CTATTCCTCTATTCTATATATTATATACTAAACTATAAGTACTATTATATCTACTATATATACTATTATATATTTGTCCTTTAGTCTATTCTATATCCCCTTTATAGTAGCTTTAAAGGTTATTAGCTCTCTATTATCCTTATAGATATAGATCCTAATATAGTACTTTACCTTTATATTTATCTTCTTCTATATAGAGTTATAATAAGATCTTATAAGAGATAGGATCTCCTCTTCCCTCTATTAAGATAAAGCTAGAGTTTACTTATTATCTTTAATTACCTAGAATATATTATTAAGTATAAGGTAGTCTTTTATATTATTAAGCTAAAACTACTCTATAGAGTTTATATAAATATTAAATATAGTAGAAGTAACTAAATTAATAAATAATAGTAGGAACTAACCTAGTTATAATTATATTAGTTAGTTATAGGAAGTAGAAGGACTAAAAAGAGATAAGCTCCTCTTAGTTATATAACTCTTAGTATTAATACTTTAGATATCTATTTTAGCCTACCTATCTAGACTATACTATCTAATAATTTCTTATAATAGTTTATATTTAAACTATTACTACTTAGGACGAGACGAATGTATAGCTTTTAATGTCTTGTTAAGAAAGGGAGTGAGCTCGTGTAATATTACCTAATCAAACCTTAATTTGGCGCTAAGCTATTACATTCCATCTCCGAGCACACGCCGCCTCCTCTACTTCACGACACACGATACCCTCTTACAAGACTTCAAGGCGCGATCCCTCCACGAATACCATATCGCCGGACAACATTCGACAGCCAAAATTGTGGTATTTATTTATACCTGCTACTGCTCGTGAACAGAGACGCGACTCTGCGCAAGAGCTATCCTACACGCACGTCGCTTGCAGTCCACTACCAGGTAAGTACCCTGCTAAGGACATGTGAGGCACCACTACCTCACATCACTTTTCTCTCCCTTCTGCCCTCACTTTGCTGTGATTACGACAAGTCAAGCGCAGGCTATTTGGCGTTTCGAGAAGTCGTCTTCATCCAAGATCCCGCGATTCAAGTTGTGCTAACATGTGAACAGTGCACACCGAGCCAGGTCGACTAGGTCATCAGCCAATGCTGCCCTCATGATGAGGGCACGACTTGAATAGATTGTTTGCTACCTTCACTTCATATCACGACATCATGGAATCAGACCCAGATACCCTGATGCTAGACGGCGAAGTAGTGGAGACCACCGAAGACCAGGGCCAAGCAGCGATCGTCCCTGGCTCTACTCTCAAGGTGGAGCTGAGTCTTGACGCAACGGAGACCGCACCTCCTACGGCAGCGTCACCACGAACGCAGGCTTTACTTGCGCCTGTATTGAAAGGCCCTGGATTTCGCCGGGACGCGGAGCCAAAAGACCAAACAAAGGTGTTTGCTAGAAAGGATGGGCCAAAACCAGCCAAATTTTCAAGTTTGCCCTATGCGACATCGCAGACCGGCCTTGTCTACGATGTGCGGATGCGATTCCATGTTGAAGCCGAGCCATCAGAGGACGATTTGCATCCAGAGGACCCACGGCGTATCCATGCCATTTTCGAGGCATTCGTGAATGCTGGTCTTGCTTGGCGCGAGGATGATTCAGGACCAATCGGCGACTACTTCATGGGTCGAATAGATACAAGACTAGTGACGAAAGACGAGGTCTGCCTCGTGCATACTGTCGATCACTGGAACTGGGTTCGCTCCTTAAGCGGGATGAGCGCGCCAGAACTTCAAGTTGAACAGCAATATCCTGGGCACATGAATGACTCGATCTACCTGTCAAGCAGCACCCCATATTGCGCCCAGCTCTCTGCCGGTGGTGCGATCGAGGCTTGCCGAGCTGTGGTGCTGGGGAAAGTCAAGAACGTTTTCGCAGTCATTCGTCCTCCCGGCCACCATGCCGAGAGAGAGGATGCCAAAGGCTTTTGCTTCTTCGACAATGTCAGCATTGCTCTCAAAGTCTGCCAGAGAGAATTCGGCACCCAATGCCGCAAGGTGTTGGTACTGGACTGGGACGTCCATCACGGCAACGGCATTCAGCAAGCCAACTATGACGACCCTAATGTTCTGTACATTTCAGTACACCTCCATCTGAATGGAGGCTTCTATCCAGAGTGCTCATATCGCGACAAGAGAGGTCCCTATGGTGATCACCTCCATTGTGGCGAAGGCGAAGGGTTGGGCTTCAATGTCAACATCCCATGGTCAAAACCCGGCATGGGAGATGCGGACTACATATACGCGTTCCAGCAAGTCGTAATGCCAATTGCGACCGATTTCAACCCAGATCTGGTGATCATTGCAGCCGGCTTCGACGCTGCCAAAGGCGATATGCTTGGCAAATGCGAGGTCACGCCTACCGGCTATGCCCACATGACGCACATGCTCATGTCATTAGCAGGCGGAAAGGTCGCCGTGTGTCTGGAAGGCGGTTACAATCTGGAATCCATAGCCCGGTCTGCCACTGCAGTCGCACGCACTTTGATGGGGGAGCCACCTGACCGACTGCTCGATACTGAGCCCACGAAATCTGGTGTGGACGATGTCAAGCGTGTTTTGCGACAGCAAAGCAGATTCTGGAAGACGCTCCATCCAAAGGACCCCTCAACGAAACTTTCTGGTCCACTTCGTGGCGTCCGCATGCATAATGTAGTGCGAGACTGGCAGGCGGAGGTTCTGTTCGATGAATACAGGATGACACCACTGTTCATTCACAGACAGCAGATATCAAAGGAGTTTGAGAATCAAGTGCTCGCCACGTAAGTACTGATCACATGGACCTGCCTAATCCTGACTACTAACTAACATGCTACAGATCGAATTACTCTGAATCTCGCCCTCTTCTTCTTATCCTTCACGACCCGCCCGAATTGATTGCCTCCCCAGATCCGAGGACGGGTAAGGTCGAGCTCCATAACACATGGCTGGTAAGTCCCTCCACAATACTGTGCTGCTGCTGTATGCAGACAGACGGCTGACGTGAACTAAGACTGACCCTGTGAAGACCTACGTCGACTGGGCAGTCAAGCAAGGCTTCGCCGTCATCGACGTCAATCTTCCCAAGCACGTCACAGCATTCGACGCTGATGGACAAGAGCACAATGATAACGACAGCGTGGAAAACCGGACTCGGGAAGCTACCATGCTTCTCACATACCTATGGGAAAATCACATCGAGCTCAACGATCCCACACACGTCTTTCTCATGGGCACCAATATCGGGCATGCTGCCATCATCAACTTCATCAAGTCACACGAAGACCAGGCGCAGAGCTTGATCACAGAGACAATCTCTTTTGTAGTCGATGTGGGTCTCATGTCCTGCAAGTCAGCGACAAATGACATGCTACCAGGCTGGTACTATCAACACTCGATGGTCTTCATAGCACGCGACCACCATTTCTGGCAATCAGATTTCGTCCGAAAGCCAAGGAAGAGATTCGGCCACACCCAGCAAAGCAGTAGCGATACAATCAGCGACATGCTTATCGACCACAAGGACGCCATCTTCGAGCTGCTCTTAGAGGATACGGTGGAGTGGAGGGGACAGCAGATACCAAGCGACAATGGCGTCGGGTCAGACTCAGCACAAATAAGTCCAAGCAAGCTGCCACCAGTCCACAACTTCGCCTTCTCTCCCGGACCGAGAACTCCAGGCACTACCAGTTCCGCCACTATGAACAATCCAGCAGTAGCTGGAAACCGAAGCCCTACGAAACTGCCCCAGAGCTTTGCACCCTCACCGAGACAATAGCCACGTCCGGGACCCCGTGTAGCTTGGAACGCAGCAGCATCGAAGAGGTTTGAGGAAACGAAGTGGTAGAACCACCGTGCTAGCGCGCATGGACAAGGCAACACGGCCGCTTGAGATGCCGTCATCTCGTGCTTCATGGCTATCATTATAGAGCGAAGGGGCTGGTATGATCTTAGGGTCATTCAGGGAGAGGTTACCAGCTAAAGATAGACCTGGCTGGCGAGCCAAGGCTCTGTTAGCTGCTTAGGGACAAGTATGCACAAAATACCTTACGTCGATGCCGTGATCAGCGCCTAAACATTCCTCTTAACGGTGTCCTTCTTTTCATCCTAACAGAGACGTTTGCAGGTCTCTAACAGTGGCGTCTGTCACTCTCTCCTAAGCTCATCTAGGGAGAGGTCGCTAGTATCAACGTGATAACAATGCCTCTTAGCGACCACGAAGTTTCCTTAGATGAGAGAGTCTGCAAGCACATGCTAAAACGACAGCAACGCACGAGACACCTTCACTTCAGTGCCGCCCGTTAGGGATTGCCACTTACGGTTGGTCCGCCCTCTGAGGAGAAGAGGAATTTTCACAGTTCAAACGCGCTGGTAGCAATCAACAGGACAAGTCAATCTGTGGGAGAAAGGCGCGCTGAGCGCCGCGTTGCATGCTACAAACGAAGGCTACTGCGTTCTTTCCGCCGCCATTGTGCTTCACTCACACGAGAGCGAATCGAAGCGACAACATGTCCACACACACAGTCATCCCCAGCGATCCCCAGTCGACCGAGCCACCAAGTCGATGCTCGACATGTTGGTCGGAGCAAATCATGGAGAGTCGTTCGCAGAGCGATCGAGGATGTGAAGTTCCAGGTAGAGGCCGCGGCCGTTCTTCTTCCAAACCTCCGCATCGAGCCAGTCCTGCGCAACAAGGCCCGCCTCGGCCGTCCACTGGTAGGTGGCTCTCTCGCTCATCTCGTCAGGGTTGAAGATCTGAGGGAGGACCCAGAGCTCGGTCGACCCGGCAGCGCCTTGAGCGGCTTCCAAGGCGGCCTTCAAGGTGATGCCTCCATCAACCTCCACGGCTGCTGTCGCCCAGTCGTGGACCGCGTTGAGGTCGTCTTGGAAGTCGAGGGCGGCGAGGACGTGGTTGCTCCACGTCTGCGGTCCTTGGCCCTGCTTCTTGATGATTGCCATGACGATGGGAATCACGTCTTGGTCTCCGTTCGCGCCCTCTTCCATGCTGTCGTAGCCTCCCATGGGATTCGCAGTCGAAGTGAAGTGCACATCCTGCGCTACCGTCCGAAAGGGGGCGGCCTTCTCGCCTGAGGACGACCTGCCCTCTTCCTTGGCTTTGACGACACGCCTTACAGCCTCCTCCAGCTTGTTCTTCTTGTAATCGGCCTTGACAAGAGGGTCAGGTTGAAAACCTCGCGTTCTCAGCGTCTGCTCAGGGATGAGTTTGCGGTTGTCATAGTCCGCAATGGCAGTTCCGTTGATTCTCCAACTGCTGGCCTCGTAGTATTCGATTGACGTCGGATAGTTCGTGGTTTCAGGGATGACTACGATCTTCATGGGAATATCGCCACGTTCCTTGTACTCCCGTGCTGTGGGGACTTCATCTCTGTGCTCGTCCAGTCGAAGAGTCCCAATCCTGATGAACAGTGGCCGGTTCCCTGGAAGAGTGTTCTCTTGGGCCGTCTCTTCCTTGGTCTCATCCTCTGCGTCAGCCATGACGGTATCTTGGTCATTGAGTAGCTCTTCTTGATCGTCGGGAGCGGGAGTGGTAGCAGGCAGAGCTGGTTGTGATGGAGAAGAAGGACGACCTATGTCTGGGACGAGCGATGCAGGGGTTGGTGACTTGGCGGCTCGCTCCAGGATTGGAACGACCTCGTTCGGCGCAGTGATGGAAGAATCTTGCTGTATGAGTCCCCGCGAGGATGTGCTGACCTCCTCTTGATGCTCGACGAGCGTAGCAGCGGCCGCTGCGGTTGGGCACGAAGAGGTAGCGTTACTGTTGGTTGCAGCAGGCTGGTTGGTGACAATTCGGACAACATCGTCGTCGTGAGGTGCTCCAGCATCCACTTCCTGAGGGAGAAGCAGCTCAGGTTCGCCGAAGTATTGCCCAGAGTTAGCAGCTTTGATATCGACGCCGTCGGCGAGGTATACATGCACATAGAAAAGACCCTCCGGCTTCTTCTCCTTGATCTCGTGGCTTCCACCTGTCAGAAAGTCCTCCAGCTTGAGGACCCGCAGGCAGCGCATCTTGTTCGGCTCGTGGGCATGGAGGAAGTATCGCAGGTGCTTTTTGTCGATCGGTCGACGGGTCTTCTTGTCGTAAGGAAATTCGTATTGCCGGAGCTGACCCCATCGTGCATTGTCGTTGATTGCGTTCTATGAGGTTCTGTCAGCAAACACGCCAACCGACGGTGCTCGATCTGCTTACCTCGAAGGCGTCTTGCGATCGGAGACTCCGTACAGGAATGTGAAGGCGTTGAATCTGGCTCATAAGATCAAGTCGCATGTTGGAGCAGAAGAGCACTAGGAGCGAAAAGGCGATCTCGTTGTCAGCCATAGCAAGCTCGGCTACCTCGATGCCAGCTGGATAGCTGGGGCCATTGGTAGGTATGATGGGCGGTCCGGCGTTGATCACGCGCCTCTTGTCGTTCTTGTAATTCGGCATCTTGATCTAGCTGAGCAGTCGGTAGTTGGCGGTGGGAGGTAGCTGAGTGTGCTCGAGAGAAAGCAGCTCAAGTTTAGCCAGCGGCGGTCGTCCGCACAGGCTGCGTAGTCAGAAGCAGGACTCGACGACGACGATTGGCCAGAGACTTTGCCGTCAGATAAATGTCCGTCTCTAAGAGCGTGTCCGTTTTACCTTAAAGAACTTCCTCGAAGAGCTTGAGGTCCGAACGCATGTCTCAGCCCTCGTTCTTGTCCACAACTGCCTGAATACCGCCAGAGACAGCAAGCGATTCATCCGCCGCCCCCTTCTCATCTTTCGGCCCGACATCATCAACACTCGCATCCGCCGAGGCATGCTCTTCGACTTCCGTATCAGGCACCAGATTAGACATCCTTCTTACATACCGCGATAGGCTCTCACAAAGTCTGTCGAGAACGAAGGCAGCCTCGCTCTTATCAGCCATCATCGGACTATCTTCACCGATCCAATCCCATTCAACCATACCCTCTGCCTCTTCATCTTCATCGAGAGTCTCTCCCTCCTTCTTTGCCGTGAAGCGAATGAGCTGCGTGATCTCCACCCATTCTTCATAAGAGTAGCGATGCTTCGTACCCTCCTTGACATCATTTGCTGTTTTTCGGATCATCTTCGCTAGCTTCCTCGCGAGCTCTCGATCTGTCGGCTCTTCCTTGGCTAAGTCGTCGATAGTTGGCGGCTCATCCTCTTCAGGAGCAGGTCCAGTTTGGAATCCTTCTTCCAAACGTTTGCGCTCGTCACGACGTTGTTTGCGCTCTGTAAGCCACCGCAATAACAAAGGATGTCTATTCAAGAAAGTACGCCAGATGCCTTTCTGGGGAAGGACTGTGAAGTCAGCAACACCAGAAGTCCAGTTCTTGAATCGATTGATGATCGTGTCTCCCATGCTGCTGATCAAGATGGTAATGGTAGGTACCGCGATCAAACTCCATGCCAAGAAGAACGGCCGCCCAGCATTACTTTTAGGCGACAGGTCTCCATAGCCTATGGTCAGCAGTGAGACGTAGCAGAAGTACAACGCTTCGAAGTAGGTCATATCCTGGGTGTTCTTCTCACATTGCCAGAAGACGACCGCTCCGATGCACCACAGAAGTCCGAAAGCTGAGACTGACAAGAACAAGGAAGACCAGTTTTTGAACCGACTTGTGTTACGTTGGATTCGCCTCATAGCATCAAAGCGATCCTTCTCCTCTCGCAGTAACAATAACTTCGGCTTGCGGCTTGCCCGTCGTTGCGGGTGAATTATCATGCTCCCAACTCTCGACAGCTGTCCAAACGTGACATTGCGTTTGACAGTGGTATGCTTCGGGTCTGTGTCACCGCTGAATCCGATGGTCTTGGGTTTGGACTCATCCCTCGGATCGAATGGTGCAGATATGGTAGGCCTCTGTCCGTTGAGGAATTCCTCTCGACGATCAAACTCGCCAGAAGTGGTGATCGTTCGTTCTGTAGTCCTGACTCTGGCCTTCTCGACGTGACGCTTGATGACCTTTTCCGCTCCAAGCTCTGCTGCAAACTTGCTGATGCTAGCAACAACCAGACCGAGCATGATGATTCCTCCAACAGAATACGGCATTACCAGTCCCCTGCCGGTGTTGCTCGTTGGATACAAATCTCCAAATCCGACGGTCAGGATAGTCACGTCGCAGAAGTATAGGGCGTTAGCGTAGCTCCATTTGAAATCCCCATTACCGAATTTCATTTCGACCGTGGAGAAAACTCCCGCTCCTCCAGCGAGCCAGACGAAGAACAACATCGTCTGCAATATCAAAGTCCTCTGAGACTCCGTGAGCGTGAAGTGTTGAGGGTAGTGGCCAAGAAAATAGCCCAGCATGTTGACCATCAGCAACATCGCACATATCATATACATGCAAGCCGCAATGACAGCGTACCAGTATCCTTGAGTGTAAGTCTGCTGAGGCCGGATAGGTGCTTCCCACATCTGCATGGCTACCGTGATCCCTATCAAGATTCCAGTAGCAACATACCAGCAGAATATCGTGACCGGCAGGGCGATAATGTAGCGAATTCTGTTAGTGAAGTTACAAAGCAGGAAGAAGTTCCCAACGAAGCCAACGACAAGGCTGGCAACGTTCATCCAATAGCACCACCTTGGGTCTGCAAAGTCCTGTCCGTCAAGCTGCTGTCCCAGAGAGTTCTTATCGCCGTTCCAGAGACATTGTCTTGCGTCTTGATGAGGAATGTCTGTAACCAGACACATGCGCCACGAAGTCACCAGAGCCGCAATCGAAAGGACATTCGCTAAAGGCCCGATCGTAGCCGCCAAGAGAGGGATGGCTGTACTAGCAAACCACCAATCCTGCTCGTCCTCATCATTCCAGTCCCTCAAATGGAACCTCCACCACTTGACGCCCGTATGCACGCGTTGAATAGCCAGGGAAGATTTCCTCCTCTCTGAAGACTGACGTCTAGATGACCGGCGTCGTTCAAAGAAGGCGTGCGGATGATGGATATGGATTCCCAGAGGCCCGCTGTGGCGATGCCAGTGTCCATCATCGTGCATCCCATCTCCATGAGCGTGCCGGTGTCTCGAAGGCGGGTTGTTGAGCGTAGCTGAGGTGGAAGGTCGCGGACTCGGTGGCGTATCTGCGCCCATCATGCCAGTGTTATCGGGACTTGACGGACGCGTAGGCTGGTGCGACCGGCTTCAATGACATGCTCGTTGGGGATTACGAGGCTCAAGAATGAGGCAAAGTGATATCAAGTTCTGAAGTATGTCGGGGTGAGCGAAAGAATAAGCCTGCTCGAAAATCTCGTCCGGAAAAGAAGAGATACGGGGATGCTGCAGCTACGAGATGGATGCACGCCACAATCCACGGACGCCAATCGATCTGGGCTCCAGCCAGATATGCTCCCGCAACATCTATCTGCTGTTGGTGAGTTGTGTTAAGGAAGACACATATTGCAACAAGAAATCGTGCTTTCGAGAGAAATGGTCGCAACGCGTTCTCGAAGTGAGGTTCAACAACGGTGGCACGTGCGGCCGAGATGATTGGACATTGCGCTTGGTCAGCATTGACAGATGGGCTCACGCAATGTGAGAAGAGTGTGACAAGAACGGCGATGTTCATGATACTGTACAGCTATATACAATGTGCTTCGAAGCATGTTGGCCGCCTTCTTGATCAGGAGTTGAGAAGCCTGCCCTGCACTTGATCGTTGACCTGCGGCATGTTTTGAACAGCCGCCAGGGTAGTCGGGGCTCGTGCGCGTACCTCTTGGATACTGCCCACCAAACGCTGCATCTGATCTCGGCTGCGCCTGGGGTTTGTGCCCCAATTTGCTTCGGTGCGGCGCAAATTGATATATGCGGCTGCAAGACGCACCATGGTATGGTATTGCGGCATGAGCGCATCGGGTGGCAAGTATCTCGCGCGAATGTGTTGCAGCCGCTGGGCTCGCGCTGAAGGCTTGGGAGTGAACTTGGTACTGGACCATCGTTCCCAGCCAGGGAACTCAGCGATGAGGAAGCGCTCTGTGAGTGTGAATGCCAGGAGGACAAGCGGCGGAGATGCCGTGCAGAGACGCTCAATTAACTTGTTCCAGGCATGATTGTCCAGACGATAGCCTTGGCTGAGTAATCTTGTGCAGACCGTGACCATGTCAACAGCGCGATTTGTTCGAGACAAGCTATCAATGTAATGACGAAACGCATTGGTGAGAATGTATCTGCGAGCTGATGCTGGCTTTGGTCCGACATTCGGCGTTGACTTGGTACGGATGATCTGAGGTGGTTGAGCTGCTGTTGTCTCGCGTGCGGACGAAAAGCCTATCTCTGCGGTGTCCCCATCGCTTGAAGGCAAGAGCACATTGCCACGAGGCGACGACCTCTCAGGTTCTGAGATCTGAGGAGTAGTTGTGGGTGGTGCAAAGTCTGGAACAGTCTGGCTGGGCGCGATTAAATCGGCTTGCTGCTTTGCCAGTTCCCAGTAGAGCTCCACCTGTGCGTACTCTTTCGCGTGTAAAAGCGCGTTCATAAGAGCAGTGAGTATTCGCATTGGTGGCGGTTCTTGCGCTTGATCCGGGTGCTGCTCCCTGTAGAGGCGGAACATCTCAGCCACGGCCTCCAGGCATCTACGAGTTCCGTGGATGTACATGACAGTATCGATGTAGACAGCTGAGGCTCGTCCCAGGTCGTACGAGGCATAACCGAATCCAGGGTCTTTGGATGTGATGTCAGATCCATCACGAGATTCTACTGCGGCTTGTAGATCCGCAATCACCTCCTGGAGAGGCGCTGCCTCGTCAGACTCGCCAGAGAGCCTTTTCAGCTTCTGCTCGAGCAAAGCCTTAGCTTTTAAGGAAGTCCTTTGAGTTGCCAAGGTTGGTCTGATGTTGTGGTGGCGCATTTTGGTGTAGAAGTCAACCGCCTCTTGATACATTCCCTGATTGGAAAACCCAGCAATGATGATGGCATAATGCAAGCCGGTAGGCCGAAGCCCCAATTTCGGCATCACGGAAGTCAGGATCTTTCTGGCACCGACTGTTTGTCGAAGATGAATGAGCGCTTGCATCAGCGCGCTATAAGTTAATGCGTTCGTGCGGGTACTGTTCGCCTGCATCCATCGATAGACTTTCATTGTCCCAGCAAGGTCTCGCCGAAGCGCGTACGTCGTCATCAGAATGTTGAAGCAGGGCGTGAGCGAGCCATAGACTTCGCCCGCCTTCATTTGCTCGATAGTCTCTTCGAGGACCTGAGTGGCCCGTTCAAGCTGGTCATTGTTTACCAGAGCTTGTATGTAGCTGGAGATCAATGGCGCTGAGCGCTCTCCCTCGACGAGCGCGTCAGATTGCTCCAATACATCTTCCACCCCTTCAACGTCACCGCGCCGGGCAAGAAGCTCGGCGATTGGTTGCATGGAGTATGCATCGGGCCTAATGCCTGTAGCCATCAGTTCCTTCATGGTGGACAGAGCCCCTTCAAGATCATCCACGCGGGCGTAAGCATGGATCAATGTGTTCCAGCATTTGAGCTGTACTTCTTCCCCGTTTGATTTGGCCGTTCTCTCAACATCCTTGAATGTTTCCGTGGCTTTGCGAATATCGGCTCTCCGTGCATGTACGTAAATCAGCGTCCAAAGCACGTCCTTTCGATGACTGAAATCTGGGTAGAGTTGGCACAATCGATCGTACCATTCCTCAAGTTCATTCGGCATGCCTGTTCTGGCGTAAAACGACATAAGTGCATGGATGCCAGCAGCGCTGAGTTTACCGTGGTCTTTCTCCCAATCAAAGACAAGTGAAGGCACGCTGATGGTATGCTTTTGGTCTTTCAATGTCCGCAAGCTCCCCGCATACAGGACCGTTCTCTGCAACAGGGAAAGGAGCATCCACTCAGGTACACGGGGTATACCGCACTGTCGATAGCTCTTGTAAAGATAAGAAACAGCGTTGTACGCCTTGGCATAATGGTCCTCACTGATCAGTTGTCCAAGCAGGGACGTCATCGCTTCCTCGAGAATTTTTGGCGCTTTGGGGTTCCATTGCCTAATTGCAAGAAATAGATCATAGAGCTTCTTGTTCTTGCTGGGTATGTACTCGTGCCACGGGGCTTGCAGAACCTGCCAAAGAGCCTCCTCGGACAGTTTGGCGCAAAGGATCTCGTAAGGTTCCATTTGCTCGTCCGATTTGATCTTCCGGTTGCGCCATTGGCATATTTTGTTGAACAGACGCGTCGACGCATCGAGCAGGTCCGGCGTTTCTGAAACGCTCAGCCAGAACATGTCTAGCTGGCTCTTTTGCCCGGATTCTTCACATGCCTCGACGTGGTGATGCTCGACTTGGAGCAGGATGTTCCAAAGGCCACGCTCGACTGCATGTTTGAAAAGCTCTTTCGAAATGTGATGGCCGTTTCGGGTATTTACCAAGGCCTCTTTATGCAGCCCTAACGCAAATTCAACATCTTTCCGCCGGAGGAAAGCTGTCAAAGTGGCCTGGTAGATAGGTAGCTGTCTGTCCTTCAACGGGATTGCGTAGTAGAGAGAAATGCAGTGCGCATCAGCCACATCGTTTCCCTGTGCAGCGAAGAACATCAACAATCGAGTCTTGAGACTTGTGTCCTGCTTCTCTTCGTCGTTGAGCGACATGTAAAGAGTCCAGGCCTGGCCTGTCGTATCTGTTCCCCGAGTCGCTCGCCGACCGGCCATCAAGTCGCGCAAAGCTTTGTAAGGATCAACGACGGGCTCGTCTACTGCTGATTCGGCAAGCTCTCCTGGAGTATCCGCGAACTCGTCGGGGTCGGGTCCCGGTCCTGTGCTGTATTGCCCATCAGAGGGTTCTTGTCTGACAAGGCTGTTTACTGAATGGTCCGCTTGTGCTTGCGCATTATCATGCAGGTCCGTATGCTCCTCAACCGCATCGATTCCATTGATGCCAGCCACGCCATTCAATGGATTCTTGCTCTTGTCTTGTTTTTGACCTTTGACAGCCGCTGCAGACGCGTTCGCGTACGATCTGACGGAGTATCCCCTTGGTACTTGAACAAACCCTTCCGGCAATCTTCTTGCGTTCCTCCTCTCCCATCTCTCGCAGCATTGTGCCTGAGACCGGTGGAGCCACGCCAATGCTTGGGGAGGATACAAGAAGTCGAGGAAAACGCCATCGTGAGGCAATATGGAACAAGGAGGACTCCGTGAGCATGACGTTTGCTTTGCGCCAGTGCTATCGTCCTTCAGAGGCAAATCGGTAGGTGTTGGAGGCATGGACACTGCCCACGGGGGCAAGTCGAGGCCGCCAGCGCCATGAGCCCAGAATGTCGAATGAAGCCTGCGCTTGCTCCGGGGCGCCTGCTGAGCACATTTGAGAGAGTCTCGGGCTCCGGCTTTGAGGCATGCGGTCGCTCGCTCTAGCATGCCACACGCCGTGGCGATGCTGCGAGCACTAAAAGACGAAAGGGCGAGCTGCGTCGGTAGGAGTGAAGTTCATTACTTCGTCCTGTAGCGAGCGAATGGACGATCGTTTGAAGGAGAGTTGAAGTCGTGGATGTCCAATCTTCGCAGTGTTGTGGGAACGGTATGCACCAAAGTTATTGCATCGAAGACGACATTGAAGAGCACAGACCACACCTCCGAATCTCCGCAACAGGCACGTGACACATCTGTTTCCAACCTCACCTCCTTCAGCCAGTCTCTGTGACTCCTTACCATATCCTACATTCGCTTCAGTGGCTTCAAAATAGTTTGGAGCCTGTAGCTTGATTCATGTAGCACAATGCGCTCTTCAACATGGAAAGGCACCCGCCCCGAAAAGCAAAGGGACTCCGACCTGCCCACAGTAATACTGAAAGTTGAGCGACCTTGACAGCATAAAAGAGCAACCTGGAGACCATCCACATGGTTCATAACTATGGTGCAAATCCTACGAGAACGGGAAGAACTCGAAAGTGACCAGCCCATTTGGACTCTCTAGACCTGGCTACGCTTACAAAACGCTCTGACAACTTTCTGTCTGGCTTTCGGCTGCAGCACACTTGGCATACCAGACATGGCTCATGCTATGAATGTTATAGAATTGCCTGTCTGTCTGAACTGCTGGCGTTGGTTCAAGCTATGGTGTTCGAATATTGCGTACCAGTCACAGACATGTAGTGGCAGACAGATGTTCCCGCTTTCGACTGCGATAGACATGTATGTAAACTTCTGCATGTCGTGATAGATTGTGTTCGCCAGCTTCGACTCTACGGTGGTCAGCTTTGAGTCGGTGAGACCTCTTACGAGACAATTCTCGTTGTCTTTTTTCGCTCCCTCTCGACAGATCTTCATGCTTCTCCTCTGCAGCCTGGAAGATTGAGTACAAATGTCAATCCAAGCGCCCTATCCAAAATTCCATTCCTAGATCACGAGAACTTTTCCGCAACGGATCAACGCTGGCAATTCAGACTGTGCGGCACACTGGTGCACGCAAAACTTGGCTGCCGCAACACCGACGCGGAGGTACTAGGAAAGTTTTGCCAAATAAAGATTCCACTGACCACTTGCCAGGCATTGCATGACGAACTAGCCGATTCTTTCCGCTCCGAGGAGGGATCCAAGCTGACCTTCCGCTTCAGCGATGAAGACTGCACCACGCGACGACCTCTTCAAGACCCTCGTAGCATGTCGCCGGCCAACAGAAGCATTCAAGTCCACATCGATCGACAAGCAGAGACGACTGTACCTTGGATAGCAAAGCTGTACTTCAAATTCGAAGCGGATGTAGAAGGATATGTCGAGGAGCTGTGGACTCCTTCGTTTATGGCGATCTCTATGACCGATACTCTGGACGCCGTGCGCGATAGGGTCCAGAAACAAGTCAACCTCAAACTCAAACGACAGCAGAGGCTGGGCTCGAAGCATCGCCTACGACCAAAAAGCAATCCGCAAGCAGCGGCTGCCGGGCCATCGACTACAGCTTCTCAACGCAGAGCAGTTCGCGTCGGGTTCAGAACGGTCGTGCACTCGTTCGATTTTGGAAGCAACAACAGAACAGTGGATCTCGACGCCGACAACCCCTACGTCAAGCGTGTACGCCTGCTCATCGATCTCTTCGAACATCCCATTGCATTTTGTGGAAAGGATCTGGAGATCGTGGTCTCCATCAGTGTCAGCTGGCTCGGTTCCGCACACCAAGAGGATATTGTTGAACGCATTCGTCCAAGGCCGAAACAGTTTCTCTACGCTCGAATTGGTGACACAGGTGACCAAATAGGAGACGACGCCAAAGGCGAGGTTCCGATGGAGTACGCTCTGACGGCGAGACTGGATGAGAGCAAGCGTCTCCTGGATCTTCGTGAGCTGGCCGTCTGGAATTTCGGCGAGTTCTGCGTCGGCGATCTCACACAAGCCGAAGCCGTGCCTCTACATCGCGACTATCAACTGCTTCCCGCATTTAAGAACGTCAAGACGGTGGCTGAGGTGGGCAAAGTGCTTCGTTCGAGCGAGATCGCACCTTCGCGAGTGCCATTACTCCCATCAATGAGCCTTGGCTCTTCGAAGTACCCTTCTCCTGCACGCATGTCTACTGATGACGGCGAGGCTACGATTGCTGTGCGCCTGGTCAACCATCTTCCTGAACCTAGCGCTCAAAACCTCAACCTGGAGAATGAGAACTGCCAAGTCTGGGTCAACAACGACGACGCCGCAATTGTTATCGAACAGCAGGTCGCGGCATGGCTGAGGGATCATCAAGACGAGAAGGGCAACTATGCATTCAGGTCAGTCCTCTTTGATGATCCTCTCAAGGGCAATTGGGCGACCGAACTCTGGGCCATGCCACAGAACTCAACATCATTAACGCTATACAGATTCGATGAGGAGAAGGGTTTCTCGGACTTCTTGGACCAGGCGCACGTTGCTGCGGGGGATTTGAAAGTCTACATGGAATGCCACATCTGGCCAAAAGATGCAGAGACTTTGAAAGGGCTTTGAGCAGCAGCAAGTTGGGTGGAGTGGAAGGAGTAAAAAAAGCAGGTTGCACTTGTCGCTTTCTTAGCATTCGTCCCTCGTTCATAGCCTATCCAATCGCATGAGATTTGAATCATCGTTTTTGACGCAGCTAGAACTGCTCCCAATCTACTTTTTCTTGTAGAGTCAACTTTCCGGTGAACGCAGGGCTGAAGGAGCATCCGATTCCAGCCTTCACTCTCAGTTCACGCTTGGGTTTGAAGCCTGGTATTACTAAACGAGCTACTTATGTCTAATCAAGTTAAAGCACAGCGAAGCGATTGCACTGCGGGACTCGTGTCACCCAAGCCACTTTCCGCTCAACCGCCATCATATCCCTTTCCAGCAGCAGGGAGGGCCGGACAGTCGCAAATGCGAAGCAATTACCATTCAGAACTGGCAGCTGAAAAGTTTATCAGCAGATTGCGTAGCCGCTGGGAAACCTGTAGTCGCCTAAGACATGACGGACCAGGCTGGCGGTCAAAGCTTGACGCTAGCATTCAATGGCGAAGCCAGGCTTGCCCAAAACGGAAGAGCTGGCGGGCACATGATTTTGCCGGCGGCCTGGCACTCCAAAATTCCATCTTTTGACAGCACGAATCTTGTGCGGCTCTTGAATTCATAGGTTGTAAAGGGGTATAGTGTTTTTTGATAAGAGGCCGACGACGGAATGTGATTGCCAAGACTGTGTCACATGACATGGCGTCACTTTAGCGAGAACGTTGAGGCTGGAGTTTCCGAGCTTCTGCTCTCCCTCACGAACACACAAACATACCATTTTTCCAAACTTTCCCATCTCGTAAACAAGGTGGGGAATTCTCTACGCATTTGCGTCAGTATCTCATTACCGCACTCATTCTGTTGCATTCAACATGGATACACCAGCAGAATCCCGATTCCTCCTTCTCCCGAGAGAACTACGGGACGCCATATACGAATTCGCCATGATCAATGATATTGAAATGCTCTCAGAACACCTCATGAAGCCATCTCTCCTTCGTGTCTGCCGACAGACTAACGAAGAATACGCCGACATCTTCTTCAGCAACCACCTGCTACGGCTAGACACTTTCTCTGGGCAACCTCCCACTTGGACATCTGTACAGGACAAGGACGAGAAGCAGGCGATCTTCGAGAACTGCGTGTTCAGAAATCTTACGGACTTTTGGAGCTTGGGCAGCGCGAGGAGGTTCTGTCAAAGACGTTTTGATGATCTGGGAGGCGATTTGAAGGTTGGCATCTTGTCGACCCCGACGGTGACTGGGTTGAGGAGGTGGCAGTGGAATATGGAGAGCCGTGCTCAGGGAGTCTATACCTGACGGCGTTTGCGGAAGCTGCTTTACTCTGAGCCGACAAGAAAGATGCGGGTTTCGGCTACTGACTCATGGTTGTATATGTCGAAACGCCCGCAGAGGAACGGATGTTCACCGTCGCTTTTTGACCGACGGCATCTTAAGCCACCCAAACGATCTTTTCGACTGTTCGAGACGATGGTCACGAGCCAGTGATTCAAAGCCTCGAAGACATCTTGGTCCTGGAAAGCATGACCATCTAAAGCACTAGACGATCGAAAAGGTCGTAGTTAAGAAGGGCTTTCTTTATACTGTGGCAGAAACTGAGATTGATGATGTGATCCTCAGCTGTCCCATTGGCAACAATTCAGTTGAGAGTTGTCCTCTCCACAATGCGAACAATAGTACAAAAGACCAGCATGCCTTGCCTTCGTAATCGTCCAACACGTATGCACCTCTTGCCATACCCCACCAGCTCGGGCGTATCGGAGCACATCGCACGAAGGAGCGGAAACCGAAAGAGCTCAACCTCACCTCGTGTTTCTTATGACTCGAATAAACATACAACAATGGAGATAAAATCCTTCTGAAATTAAACAACACCCAAACCGCACAGACGAGGCTACTACAATAATCTCGAAAGTCTAAACATAACCATGCCCTCCCCAACCTTCCTAGCCCGCACCTTCAACGAACTCGGCATCACCACCCTCCTCAACTCTCCCCGAGACGTCCACATCCTCCTATCAACACGCTTCATCCGCATGTTCGCCTACGGCTCCTCAACTCTCATCCTCGCACTGTTCTTCTCCGCGTTAGGCCACTCAGACACAGCCATAGGCCTATTCATGACCCTCACCCTCGTCGGAGATGTCCTCATCTCGCTCCTGCTAACCCTCGTAGCGGACCGGCTAGGTCGACGAAGAATCTTACTTCTTGGAGCGTTGCTGATGGTTCTGTCCGGAATGGTGTTTAGTATGGTGTCGAATTACTGGGTTTTGCTTCTCGCAGCCGTGGTGGGAGTCATCAGCCCGAGCGGGAATGAGATCGGACCTTTCCGGGCGGTGGAGGAGAGCACGTTGGCGCATCTAACGGAGGCGAAGACGCGAAGCGATATCTTCGCTTTGTACGTCGTTGCAGGGACGCTGGGGGCTTCCGGAGGGACTCTGGTGGCGGGATGGATGACGCAGTCGGTGCAGAGTTCAGGGTGGAGCGATATTGCAAGTTTTCGTTTGGTATTCTGGTTGTATGCCATCATAGGTTTCGTCAAGGCTGGCATGACGCTACTGTTGAGCAATAAATGCGAGCCACAGCCTGAAGATCATCGACCAAGCGAAGTGGAGATGAGACGAACCGAAGGACAACAGCAACAGCAACAGCAAAACGAGCAACACCAACCATTCCTCGAAGACGAAGACGACAATGACGAAGAATCGACCTCGAAACCTCCTCCTCCGCCTCCAAAGAAAACTAGCTGGTTCCAACTCTCGGAGAAGTCAAAATACACATTGCTCAAGCTCTGTGGGATTTTCTTCTTCGATTCACTCGGTGGGCAAGTCGTTCACATTATCGAGACTCGCGAAGCTAACTGACGTGAAGCTAGTGGAATGGTGCCGGTATCACTTATCGCGTACTATATCAGCAATAAGTTCGACGTTGCGGAAGGTACACTCGGGACCATCATGGCATCTGCGCAGTTCATCTCGAGTATTGGGAATATCTTCGCCAGTTCTGTGGCGAAGCGGATTGGGCTTGTGCGGACGAGTAAGTCTCACTCTGAACTCCTTGCGTATTGCGAACGATGAAGGAAAAAGGACGGAAGTATTGAGAGGCTTTTCGTGTACTAACGGTGCGATAGTGGTCTTCACCCATCTCCCCTCAGCAATTTTCCTCCTACTGCTTCCCGCGCCGTCCTCGCTATTCATGACAATCGTCCTCCTCATCGCCCGCTCCGTCCTCAACTCCATGGACCAGGCGCCGCGAAGTGCATTCCTATCAGCAGTAGTCCTCCCCGAAGAACGGACAGCCGTCATGGGAATCGTCAACACCGTAAAGACAAGCAGTCAGAGCTCAGGGCCTTTGATCACGGGTGCACTGGCAGCGAGCAAGCGTTTCTGGATTGCGTTCGTGATTGCCGGATCTCTGAAGGCATCATATGATGTTATGATGCTCAGCATGTTCAGGAACACGCCACTGGAAGGTGACCGAGGCAATCGATCGCAGCGTTTTCAAGAGCCCGAAGGTGCTGAAGACGATGATCAAGATGGAGGTCGTCAAAGATCTTGAAATGCTTAACCACCGAAGTCCATCTTGAGCGCGATGGTCGGCTCTCTTTCGGCGCTGAAGTCTTGCCGCGAACTGCGATTGCTGGCCTGAGATTTCAAGATCGCCTCCATGAGCTGCTTCTTCTCGCCCGCCATCGACCCCACGAAGCTCCTAAAGGTACCGTTGTCCGTCGCGGCCAGCTCGAGCAGCCTTGCCGCGATTCCAGGATACGATGCCTTTCCATCCTTCGCGGCGCAAGTCAGAAAGACGTTCATGGCGAGCACCACAGCAGGCGGTTTACGTTCCGCAGGAAGCTTGGCAGAAATGTACGTCGTGAGTGTCTGTCCCATCACCGGCTTAGTCTCGTCCATGCCCTCTAGGTCAGGAGCTTGAAGCATGAACTCCACAGCGTGTTGAAAAGCCAGGCGGGCGGAGACGTCTTGCACGAGAAGCGTCCTGTAGCATCCAGCGGCTACCTTGGTTGTCATGGGAGCAGCCAAACATTCTCGCAGCTCGCCGAGAAAGCGCAGAACCAACGGATCTTTTTCGGTGTCGAACAGAGGCTGAGCCGCGGACAAGAGGATCGTGATGGCGAGTAGTGTGTTCTTCTCACAGGGCAGACTGGCCTCGGACTCCCGCTTCTGTGCATTTCGTAGGATTGCAAGCATTCGCTTCAGCGCGTTCTGTAGCTGCTGCTTTGTCTCTGGACGCTCATCTTCGGTAATGCTTGCCACAAAGCGACGGAAGATGGGCAGAGCCTGGGGCAAGACCACAGCTTGACACGATGCTGTTCCGAGGATTGTGACGAAGATATGCAGAATGGACGCATGCAAATCCGTTTTTATGACAGACGGAAAGACTTCGGAAACATCGACAAGCGCCTGCAGCGAGGACCGCACTAGTATGATGGCTTCGTCTGATGACTCTAGGTGCGCAGACACAGGTGTATCTGCTAATCCGGGTACCAGCCCCGCGATGACCAGAATGATTATGCGTGTCAGCTCGAAAAGCTGTTCGATGGCATCATCAAACTGTGCCTCGCCATTGACTGGGGTCTGTTGGCCTTGCCTGGAGGAAGGATGCACCAGACACAGATTTCGAGCAATGTCGACGATGACAGCTTGCATTGAAAGGTTCTCCGTCAGAACCATTCTGTCAAGCAAATCCATCGTCTCGGAGAAGACAACTTCTTGATAGACCGCATTTCCAGATACTGAGGGGCGAAGAATCCTTTTCAAGGCCGCAAGGATGTCCAGGTTGCGCTGTCGTGTGAGTATGTCGTCGTCACCGCTTCGCACAGCGAGGGACTCGAATGCGAGGCCGTAAAGCACGAAGAAGAAGGCGACTGGCTCTTCTCGGTAGTTGATGCCAGTGCTCTTGCGGGCGATGGTCCCATTGACCTTTTCCTCGCCTTCTCCGCCCGCGCCGTCTGACTGTTCAATCTGCTTGTTGTCGAGAGCATCAAACACAAACTCGCTGTCTTCATCAATCAAGCTGGCAATTGCGTCGACAAGACTCAGCCATGAAGCCTGGTAGAACTTGAGCAAGGTCTCCCGATTCAGAGCCGCGTAGACAGTGTCCAAGTCACCTGAAGTGGCCGGGGTCGCAGTTGTCGCCGAAATGTCAGGCTCGAATCGCAAGCGTGCATATTCTCGTAGTGATGAAATCCACAGCGGCACCAGCTGAGCAATATGTGGTCTCACCACATCTTCCAGGTACTTCTGCTCCGAGCTGGCGATTTGCAGCTCTGCCCAGGCCGAGAACACGGCCATTCGGACCATGACCTGTGCATTTGCGCTCAAGCCCTTCAGATCACCAATACTCGCAGTGTCTGCGTCTCGCGAGAAGCTGTCCAAAGCAGACACCAAAGTCTTGAGAATACGTCCCATGCGGTCAATGTCCGTGACAATACCTGTTGCGATGAAAGTAGCACATACATTCACCGCTGCGGCGGCCAACTCTGGTGACGAGTCAGCAGCAAAGGCAGGCGTCAACGCAGAGCTGATTTGAGCTTGGTACTGCTCCAAAAGCATTGCCTCTTGAAAGTCTGGGTCCGGTGTCCGGCCAAACATCTTCAAGATCTGGTCGATGATTTGCATGCCCACCACACGCAGCGCTGCCACTCCAGCGGTAGAGGCAGAGAACGCAATTCGAATCACGTCGCCAACCTTCTGCTGCAGAGCCGCTTCACCTGCGCTCTCATCGCTCACAGTAGCTTCTTTGCGGATCGTGGCAATGAGGTTGTGCATGCACTCCATCGCAAAGAGACGAACCTGCCATCGCATGAGCTCCTGGGTCGAGGATGGTGCTTCAGTCTCATCTTCCTTGGTCGCGCCAGCAGTCACAGCAAAGCCAGCGACTTCTTCGTCCTGTAGATCGGGCCCAGCCGTTGCAGTCGTGCTCTTGGGTACAGCAGTCTTTGGCTTATCTACCTTGGCCTTCGTCATGGTCAGGATGTTGTTGCATCTCTGTATCCAGTCCGCGGGATCACTGGAGCCCGTTTGCTGCAGCCAGTTCAGGAAAACGTTTTGGATGAATTGCTGAGAGGGGTCGTAGTTGAGGTACTCCCAGAGGCGGTCTTCAAGGCCTGGACGAGCAGTCTTGATTATCTCGGGGGCATCGCGCCGCATGAGAGTAAAGAGGCCATGAAGGGCCAGGCTTGCAATTTCTGAAGAGGTCGAATCCACATCATCTTGCAGTCGTCGTACATACTGCGTAAACTCCAAATGTCCAGGTGCATACAGCGAGAGATGTTCCAGGCACCGCAAGCTCTCGAGCAGTATGGCAGTTTCTTCCTCCTCAGAGAACAGTCGCACGAGCGTGAGAATCATATCTCGCGCTTTCGCCATGTCTTGGAGGTCCGGACCAAGCACATTGATAAGGGCATCAACGCCGCGAGCAATGGCAGCTGTCACAGGTAGATCCATTGACATGTTTGAAGCTGCTTGAGCGACTGTCTCGACATTGTGGCTGTCAGAAACATAGAGTTGACTGAGCATGCCGATGGTACTTGTGACGTATCCCGAGAAATTCAGGCCTGCCGACTCTGCGATCGAGGCAAGGCTATCGACCGCCCAGAAATGCACCAGAGGATGAGTGTCTGCCGCAAGTGACATGAGGATGCCCACAATGTTCTTCATGTGCAGACCAGCTGCCATGCCACCCAACTGAGAGTGGATTTGGGCAAGAGCCGCGGCGCATCCAGCTCGTACATGTGGTTCACGATTGCTGACAATTGTCTCCGTCAAATGCGTTACTTCAGATCCAGTGAATGCTGTGCCAGAGCTCGAGCAAAGGTGACCCAGCGCCGCAGATGCTATATGCCGTATAGACTGATCCGAATCCTTGATGCAGATGTGCAGTAGGTTCTGCAGCCCCTTCTCCGCCTGCACGCTTTTCAATTCTCCTCTGGGTGGCCCATTATCTCCGGTCGCCACCCTGAGAGCTGTCAAAACTGCAAGTGCCACATTGGCAGTGATGGCGACTTTCCTAGCCGGCTCTTTCTGTAGCGAGGTCGCACTCAGCGAGTATGATATCTGCTCCAATGTGCTGTCTTGAACCTTTGGGCTTTGCAAAGAAAGACATAGACCGAATGCCGCAATGGCCGCATCGACGGCCTCTGTTGCAGGTGGACAAGGCATATCGTTTTCACCATCTGTTCCATTCAAGTAGATGCATGTTGGATCGTGCTCGGCAGAAGCGCCAATAGGGGACAATATCGTTTGGTCAATCTCCGCTTCCTCGTCCGAACGACTTGCCCAGTGCCTTGCCAAATGGCCAGTACTCGGATCTCTAATGTCAAGACCTCGTATTCTTCCAGTGACGCCAGAGCCGTAGTTGTCGCCCAAGTCCCAGATGCTCTCAAACGTGCTGGCAGATGCAGCAATGGCAGCGGCCAGCGAGCTCGGTGCTTCATACTCAGAGTCAGAGAATGATGCGACTGCGAGAGGAAGTATAGACGAATGAGCTGTCGTCTCAATACTACCAGCAGGGCTGAGAGTGAGGAGCTGCGAGTAGCATTCGAACACTCGGCGTCGCACCATGACTTCGTAGTCTTGTAGTTGCAAAGCAGCCGAAAGCCGATTTGAGGGATCATCGCTTGTTCTCTTTGTAGGCAGACTCTGGAGAAAGCTGACAGTATTCTCCAGCATCGTAGACAGTCTTCGAGAGATGTCAGACGTCAGTAAGCGCTGGTTATAAGTGAGGAAAGCCTTGATGGAGCCGAGGGCACAGTCCCGAACATGCGCAAGATAGCTGAGCTCCAACATAGTCCTTTTGCTAATGTGGTCGTTAGAGACTGGCTTGGGAAGAGCGTTTCGCCAGAGGAGCATGAGTTGTGATAAATGGATCTTGACGAAGTTGGGCCCCAGGGACATCAATCCACCGATCATGATCCATGCCACTTGAAGCTGGCAGCTGGAGACACGTAGATCCGAGCTTCCACTCGTCTTGAGCAGATTGGTAGCCTGCTGGAGGACACGAGCATAGACGTCGAGGGAGCCATAGAGGGGATGTTGGCTTGAGGTGCTAAGGATAGCAGCAAGACCATAAGCATATCCCGTACAGCGTCGTGGAACCTGTCGGGGCCCACCAAGGAGACCCAGCTCACGATTGACACTGTTCATGCAGATGGTCACCGTTGGCAGCAGCTGCTGAGGGCAAGCCAGCACAAATGCGCGCATGGCCTTCGCCGCGTAGATTTGCACCGTGAAGCTTGGGTGAGGTAGCGCTTGCAACAACGCCTCTCGATAAGTCTCTGCGATCGTACCAATGGCTGTGTCCAATCGTTTCGTGAGGGACGTCAAAGCACTGAGAGCACCAGTGAGCACTGAATTAGAGGGCTCTGGGCGTTCTTTGACACTTTGAGGGTAATCCTTGATGATGTCGTTCAACAGGAATCGGGCAGCGTTGAGTTGTGCTGTCTCTCCGAGCAAGCTGCCCACGACTTGTTCGAGGATGATTCTCACAAACTTTCGAGCCATGAGCTGCCGGTATCGATTGAACTGCCAGCCTTGGTAGTCCAGAATATCCTTGAAAAGGTGTCGGGCGATTTCACCATACTTCTGCTCGATCACACTCTCTCCGACTGCGCGCAATACCTTGATATAGCACACGGCGATACCTGCCCGGCCTCTATTGGGGGTTGACGCTTTGCAGAAATGCGTTGAAAGAAGTCTCAAAATCTCCAATAAGCTGTATGACAATGCAGTCGCAGGCTTCTCTGGAGCTGGAGAACCAGATCGCTCAGTTTCCTCCTCAGCTTCATCCCCAACGGCAGGCTTCTTGGACTTCTTCGGTTTTCTCAGTTTGGGCACGCCATCTTTACTTGGAGATTCAGAATAGCTCTTCACCAACTGTGTCGCCAGACAAGACGCAGCTGCATGCCGCACATTAACGGAGGAGCTCTCGATCGCCTTCAATATGCCAGCCTGTAGCTTCTCGAAGTCATTCGAATTGTCGAAGTATGAAGTCCACCGCACAAGCTGCTCCATGCAGTAGCATGCGCTGGCCTGGACCAGCAGAGATTTGTCACCACCCGCTGCGTTTCTCGCCTGTTTCCAGATCGCACGTCCAATGTCCTCATCGATCGCGACTGTAATGCCTTTCACGATTCTGCCACAGGCTTTGAAAATTGCACTTCGCATCCCAGCATCCGTGGCCGCAGCCTTCAACAGTTTCAGAATAGCCGTACATGCCAGGGGCGACATACTGATGGCACTGTCACCAGCAGCATCGAATATAGCTCCCAGGCAGTACACCGCAGCATGCTTAGCCTTTGCTTCCTTCTCCTTCCCGGCGTTGACAATGGCCACCATATCATTGATCGACTCATACAGGACTTTCCTGCTGCCCTTTGTGAATATCCCGGAGAAGCATCGTCCGACGTTCTTTCGAATCACCCTCGTTGGCGCCGGAGAGGTGAGATTGACGATCTGAAGCAGCTCTTTCTTGATTGCGCCTTGCTCTGCGGTAACTTCGTCGTTCGTGATAGCTTCGACATGGCGCGCGAGGTCGGCCGTGAACGTCAAGAGGTATAAGCCCTGCTGTTCCGAGGGTAGAGAATGGAGTTTCTTCACGTCGAGCTGAAAGGGAGATGTTTCGCCATTGGTAGCTGTGGTGGCCTTGTTGGAGTTTGTCTCTGGCGCTGCTGGCGCTGATGTTGCTGGTGTTGCCGGAGCTGGAGGCGGTGTTTCTGATTCCGCCATGGTCGTTGGGATTCAACTACGGTATTATGCGCTTCCAAACATCATCAAAGTCGTCAGTAGTGGTCGAGTAATGGCGAGGACAGAGCTCACATGCTTGTGAGGTGTGCTTCCCCTTGTGAGCGGAACCAGCTCCGCACTTTGACTTCCTGTCCAGCTTCGACCTCTCCTCCTGTTTCTCTCCACCATCCATCATGGCTCCAAGCAGAGGCTTCCAGTGCATCGTCGGCAGGCAAAATGTCTCGTTCATATGCCAGAGATGTTGGACACGCAACTTTACCAGCACAAGCCAACTCCAATCAGGCCACAACCGGTGGTCGAAGATCAAACACGACAAGGCGAAAGTCGATGCTGGAAAGAACCGCCAACGATCCATCTTCGCGCAAGAGATAGCAACAGCATCGAGACTATTTGGTCCAGATGTCAACATGAACCCACGACTGGCCGACCTCGTGACGAAAGCCAAGCGAGAGGGATTCGCCAAAGCATCGATTGAAGGCGCTATTGCTCGTGGACAAGGACGAAGTTTGAGTGGAGCGAGTTTGGAAAGCGTGACGGTGGAGGGTATCTTACCAAACAATGTCGCCGTGATAGTGGAGTGTGAGACGGACAACAAGTTGAGAACCCTAGCTGAAGTTAGGCTTATTATGAAAGAGCACGGCGGAAGCACCACACCTTCAAGTTATCTATTCGCGAAGAAGGGCAAGATCACTCTTGAAGGCAAAGAAGGGCTCGGAGCAGACGAGGCGTTAGAAGCAGCTCTCGAAGCTGGAGCGACAGACGTAACCGAGGATGAAGATGGGCGAGTGGTGATATGGGCTGAACCAGCCGAGACCAGGGCAGTTGGAGACGCCATATCGAAAGCACTAGACGTTCAGATCGCGACCTCGGAGATCATCTGGGACCCCAATGAAGACACGAAAGTCGGCGTGCCGAATGAGGAAGCTGCTGACGAACTCGGCAGTTTCGTCGAGAAGATGCACGAGCGCGAGGCTACTGTTCAGTCTATTTCGCTGAATGTGTCCCAAGGAAACCTCACCCTCGACGCCTGGAAAGACCTTCAGAGTCGACTCAACGCCTAGGGTCGCTGCTGATCGGTGGAATGTAGCATATGTGTACAAAGCAGAGGCAAGTTCTTAACAACCTGCTCCTACACTTTCTCCTGTCAATATCCTATCACATTCTCTGACGAGAACCCCTTGTTTGGCGAAAAGAGACCAAATTTCTTGTCATATCTCTCATTCCACACTGTTCTATCCCAAGCCTCTCATCGCCTTTCAATCACTCCCTCACCCGAAAAACAAGTTTCTTCCCACTAACCCTCTTCGCCCTCAAATCCTCCATGGCCTCCGGAATCGCCTCCAGCCCACCCTCCCTCAGATCAACCGGATGCGGCCTCACCTTCCCCTCCGCCAACAGCCTCTCCGCCAAAATCGCAAACCCCTTCGAGTACTCAAAATCCTCCATACTCGCCGGATTCATCACCCCGAACTGCTCCCACGGCTCGCCCATGAAGGAAAACCCGGGCGTGCTGAACATCTCCACATCCTCGCGCGGGCATTGTGGCACCAGCGACGCCGAGTACTTTGCCTTCGGCGCGAGGACTTTGGCGCAGAAAGCCCCCGTCTCTTCGGTCGAGATGCAGTCGACGCAGAGGTTGAGGGAATCGCCGACGAGATCTAGGATTTTCTTGGGTGTCTCTGGGTCGTGGTAGTCGAAGATGTGGGCCGCGCCGAAGGACTTGCAAAGCTCGAAATTCTGCGGCGAACAGGTCGTGATGACTTCGTAGTTTGACAACTTGGCGAATTGTGTCAGCATAGTGCCCATGGCGCTGGAGCCGCCGTAGATGAACATCCAGCCGGGATTCTTCTCGGCGCGGTCAGGCCAGGGGAGTTTGAATTTCTGGTACTACAACCACAAAACCCGCATTAGCAACATCTTCACCACCGCCACCAAAAGCCACATGGAAAAGATCCCGAGAACCTACCATACACCTCCCAGTCGTCAACCCCGTCACCCCCAGCGTCGCCGCCTCCTCCCACCCAAGCCCCTCAGGAACCCTCCAAGCAATATCCGCCTTGACAACGACCCACTCAGCAAAACACCCATTCTCCCGCTCATGCGGATCCGCCGGCCTCATCGCGCCACAGACCCTCTCCCCGACCTTGAAGTCCCTATGCACCTCGCTGCCGACCGCCTCGACGACGCCGGCGTAGTCGCAGCCCAGCAGCGTGTCGGCTTCGCCGAGGCCCCAGTCGACGACCGCGATGTCCGCGGGGTTGAGCGCCACCGCGTGGACGCGCACGAGGAGGTATGTGGGGCGGAGGCGGGGGAGGGGGCGGTGCGTGAGGAGTGGGGGGCCGTGTTTGGAGGAGAGGGTGAGGGCTTTCATCTTGGTGGTTGTTGGTGGGGGCATGGCGCTGGAAGGAAGTGGAGAGGGGGAAAGCAACTCAGCGGAACCATCACTGCGTCTAGAGCGTTTATGAAGATGATGCCAATGCCACGGAGACATACCACTTCGCGGAGACATTCCTAAGCAGTCGCGTAGCACCGACTCACCAAGACCGAGCCAAGTAAAAGCTGAGAAATCGTACTCGGATAGGGATGTGAGCATGAAAGGATTGCCTTTGCGGGTGCGGTCGAGGGCTCACATGCATTAGCGTGGCGGGTTCAGCCCAGCAAGAAGGGCATGAGACCAAGACCTACACTATTGCCTGACCGAATATTGTCATTCAAGATCCTCAAGCTTCGGAATTGGAAGTCATAGACATCTCTCGAGAACCTGGCCACCTCTCGTGCCCATCATTAATATACCTTTTATACTACAGATAAATTCTTCCCAACCTTTTCCTCATATTGTAGGAAGAGAGAGTTGCGGTGATTCACACAAAGACGTACACTCTTCCCGGTATCCAATGCAAAATGCTCGTTTTCCTCAAGACATGTCTCCTTCCATCGTGTGTGTACGCAATGCGTTCAGGTATCTCAACGCAGCGAATTTGCCCTCGAACGCCGTAAATGCAACCCCCTTCCGCATTCATCCATCGTTGCAGGTATTACTTGGACTGCATGACATCAACGTACCTCCCGCCTTTCTTCTTCCCCTTCACGGTGCCGGCCTTCCTCTGTCCGGGACCTGGCGGCCCGCCTAACAGGTCGTCAAGGCTGCTAGCGTTGCTCATGCTAGTGGGTGGACGGCTGGGAGGTGCTGAAGGCGGCCCTGAGGAGTCGCCTCCGTTCAGCACTGTGACAGCCGCAGGCATCGGCGGTCCATCTCCAGAGGCAGGCGTGCCACTTCGAGAGTACGGCCCTGAAGGAGGTCCCATCGATGGAGAGCCAATTCCTGATGGCGGTGGCCGGGCACCCATGGGAGGCGCAACGATCCCGCTTTGACTACCAACTCTAGAAGGGGGTCCTGAGGGTGGTCCCATCCCGCTGACAGCTCTGCCTGGAGGACCTCCTCTTGGAGGCGGTGGTGTTGAAGCAGCCGGTGTCGCGGCCTCGGCACCTCCCTTCTTGTTGACCCACTTCTTGAGGTTCTCGTCATAATAAAACGAGTTCTCCTCGCCGAGTTTGGCTTTGTGGACCGTCGGCATGCCCTCATCCTTCTTGCCACCGAACCATCCTCCGAGCCAGCCTTTCTTGTTCCCGGCTTTAGCCTTGTCGCGAGCAGCATCCGCTTCTGCCGCCTTCTTAAAGGCATCGTCGGCCTCGCGATCTGCTGCTGCCTTCTTCATAGCCGCGGCTTGCTTTGAAAGTTCGTCATCGTCATCGTCATCCATCATGCCTCTTCTCTTTGGCTTTGTAGATACGTCATCATCAGCTTCCGGTTCAGGCTGATATGGCTGGTAGGATGGTGGTTCGTATCCACCGCTGGGTGGTTCGTATCCTCCCATTGACGGCTGATATCCACCACCCTCAGCATCAGGAATTGGCTCCTCGTGTGCGCCGAAACCATTCGGTCTGGCGAATGCATCTTGCTCATCCCCAACTGGCATTTGCGGTTGCTCAGGGATCGATGGTTGATAACCATATGCAGACGGCTCTTCAGCAAGCACGGGCCGAGGCTCGTAGCTTCCCGAAGAGAACTGTGCAGATCCACGTCTTGAGTCTGACATATAAGGTATGCTGTAATCCGACGCTGCCCTACCTGCTTCGGGCCTTGGGACTGCAAGAGGCTGGACAGCTGCTGCCGCTGGTGCGTAGTTGCGTGCTGATGCTGACGCTGGCCGTTGGGGCGAGGCTGGGCGCTGGGTAGCGCCGAACCCACCAGTGGCCATTGGAGCGTACTTGTTGCCAACTGCACCAGGAGCATACTTGCTTGGAGCAGATGATGGCGCGAATTGCTGGGGTGGAGTAGTCACCGGTGCACCCGCACCATATGGCATGCCACCGCCGACCATCGGGTTGTAGAGATCTTGTACAGAGCCAGAGCGACTGATCTGGCCGGAGTCTCCGTTGACCCTACCGAATGGACCACTCATCATATCCTCGCTTCCAGCACCCGGGCCTGAGCCGTTGGAGTCTTGATCGTCGTCGCCGGATACGAACTTGGTGAACCAGCTGGCCGCCCCGGACGAAACCTTGTTCATGGCACCCTTGGAGAGCAGACCAGCAGACCCTGCTTGTGGGGTTTGGGACAAAAATGCATTCAAGTCAGTCACAGCCTGCGTAAACGTCGGGTGATAGTAAGGCGACGGCCGGGTAGTTGACGTATAGGCCGTGTTGATGTGGTCACAGTACGATTGCGCTTTGCTCTTCAATCCAAAAGCAGCAAGCTCCTGAGCGTGGATGAGCTTGTACGATTGCAGATGGGGAATGTAGTGGACTGCAGTGCTTGGCGCCGATAGAGAAATTGCCCATTCGTAGATTTCGGTCAGGAGAATCGCGTCCACGTCATTGGCAAGGCTCTCGTTCTGGCTTTGGTGATAGGCACCAAGAAGCACAAAGTTGGTCTCAGGGTTGTCGGCACCGTCGTGCTTAGCAAGCTGACGGGTGAAAAGGTAGCAAGAATGTGCAGCCTCTGCTCTCCCATATCCACCCAAAAGCTTTCCCAATGCTAACAGTGACTGGCCATCAGACGGAGTTCGGTTGCCTGCTACCAGGCCCAAGGTCTCGCGCCATTGGTCCAGTCCTTCAAGTGGGTTGCCAGAGGCGGATCTGTCCGACTTCGACACCATTTGAAAGCCAGCGCGAGCGGATGGTGGTACAAGCTCGTCAACGCATTCGTCCGAGTTCCCTGCAAAGACTTGATACAAGGCAGCCAAGCTTCTAGCGTCTCCGCCAACCGTCTTCACCTGTGATCGGACAAACGATTGAATGATCTGCTTCCAGGTCTCAGGTCCCATTGTGGATGCAATCAGCATAGCATGTCCCCAAAGTTTCTTCTCCTCGGCAAGCCACACAGCTCGTTCCCGTTGTCCTTCAAGCAGAGCCTGGCGCAGCTGCAAGATGGCAGTTCGATCAATAGCGTCTGCTTGAAGATCAGGCTTTCCAGACGCTGGACTTTGAAGCTCCATGACCTGGCTCATTTGAGCCAAGTTTGGAAGCAAGACAGCGCGAACCTCGTCCTCGATTTGTTTGCTTCCGTCGATGTGTGCATCATGTTCCACGAAGAGTTTGACAAGCTTCCACAAAACGACCTTCTCTTCGGTGCGTTTTTTGAGGTCGGGGTCCATGTTGAAGTCCATCCTGACGCTGTCGTTCTGGTGCTCGAGATCTTCAATCTTTCCAGACATCCATGAAAGCACGTCCTTTTTCCTCCCCTTTGCGCGCGCAGTTAGAGGGCCTGGGAATTTGGCATTGCGGTCGTCCATGGGCATGAAATTTGTCGCTAGCTGAACACTGACGGCACCTGGAGTGCACTTGATGTTGGGAATGCCGTTTCCGGAGGCGTAGAATGGCGTCTGCTTCGGGAAGCTACTCAAAATGCCTCCAGACTCTCCCCACTTGAATATGGGATGGCCTTTCCATCGCTCCAGCGGATCTTGCGCCCGTTCGTCTTGAGGTGTAGCGTACGTGAACTCTCTCGAGAACTGCCGACGGTGAGGTAAGAACGTTGGCTGAGAAGTTGGAGCCCCTGATCCTGCAGCTGAAGATGGCCGAGGTACAGACTGCACAGAAGCATATCGTGGCATCTTCATGACACTGGGTGGTGACTGGGTCTTCGGTCGCGGAGGAGGGCTCGTCAAGCTGGAGACTGCGGGAGGCCGCGAGTCTATTGGTGAGTAGCTGAGACTGGCTGACCGCTCTGGCGACATTGTGCCAGACGTGCTGTTTGTTTTTGGTGGCGACGCTGGCATTTGGTGCATGCTTCGCGGCATGTCATTGGGAAGAGCGGGCTGCGGCTTGTCGTGTTGGAAAGCGAGTGGGCTACTTGTCCGGGGCGCAAATGGGTTGGCATTCTGCACTCCTGGAGGCGGAGCCGCTGCTGCAGGTGCTGGGGCTGGTCCATACTTTTTGGACGGCGCTGCTTGCGCTCCGGGCGCTGGAGAATAACGTGCTGCTGCTGCCGCGGGCGCCTGGGGGGCAGTGGGAGGAGCGGGGGAGAATCTACTTTGTGTCTGTGCTGGCGCTGGCAAGCTGCTAGGAGAATAACGTTGGTTCTGTGATGGCGCTGGCGGCTGTGGCTGCGGTGGAGCTGTTACTTGCTCGGGGAACAGAGGTGTCTTGTCGGGCTGCGTCAAACCTCCATACATGGGCTGCTGCGCTGGCGTTGGTGGAGCGGCGGGTCTCTGATTAGGTAGTGCAGGCGGTGCTGCAGGCGGCCGAGATGGATGCTGCGGGGGCATTTGGGCTGGCAGAGCAGGAGATGGTTGCAACTGGGGTGTGTAAGCCCCCGATGGACGAGATCGAACTTTAGGTGCAACTGGGAGGTCTTCGAAGAAGCCACTTTGTGTCCTCGGAGTTGGCTTGGCGGCCGGAGTACCGTTGGCAGCAGTAGGAGGAGGCGGCGGTGGAACAGAACCTGAACTGGAGTTTGGAGGGGTGAGACCAGTAGTAGGAACGGTTGGCGGTCCTGAAGGAGGCTGGCCTATTTGGGAGGACATGCTACTGCTCCTCATCGGCGGTGTCGGTACTGCTTGAGGTGTGGGTTGGGGCTGTCGCGGCCGTTGTCTGGGCTGCTTCACGACATCCATTGGAAGATCGTACGGTGACTGGTAACCGCCTTTGGCCTTGTCTACAAAACTTTGAGACGTCTGGGCGCTTGGTCGTTGCGGTGGAGTCTGCTGCTGGGCCGGAGTGCCATGTCCGTACACATCGTAGAGCCCTGTGGACGGTGTGCCAGCTGATCTGCCATGGCCTTGGCCAATTGACGATGTATACGAGTTGCCTCGAGACGCCTGCGGCGTTGGTTGTTGTGCCGCCTGCGGTACGTATGAACTCGCTGTTCGCTGTGGTTGGGCCGGCGTATGTGCGATAGGTGCTGGTGCAGGAGCAGCATTGACGTCCAACTCATCTTCAAGGAATCCAGGGTCATCATCGTCGAAGAAAGCTGATGGGTCCATGTCGTTCGTTTCCTCCAACATATCATCATCATCGAGAGCTGCTTGCCACATAGCTGCCAGGTCTTCTTCCTGCTTGTCCTCGGGGACGGTCACTGGCGCATCTAGAGTTGGCAATTGCTCAGGTTCTTGAACTGGCACCGACGTAGCAGCCTCCTCTGCGGCCGCCTTCGGCTGTCCTAGCAACTCGCCGAAAGTATCATCTTCGGCAGTGGATCCCCAGCCGTCATCTGCGGCTGCTGTGGTATGAGGCACCTCGGCAGCTTGGTCTTCCGTCTTCGACACGGGAACGTTCTCGTCGCCGAGAAGCTCCCCAAACGTCCTGTCATCTCCAGCAGAGGGCCATTCGTCCGAGATAGAAGCTTGTGATATCGGCTCCTCTATCGTAGTATTATCCACTGGCGTCTGCAGTTCCGTGAAATTGGTAGTGAAACTTCGGTCGATATGTCCCAGCTGAGCTCTGGCTTTTGACATAGGCTGTCCAGGAGCAGAAGCTCCGTCAAAGTCCTCCAGAACTGACTCTTCGTTTACAGCCCGCATAGTGGTTTCCCGTTGCAAAGGCTCCAAAGTCGGCTGCTCCTCGGGATCCTCCAACAATGGGGCACTGGGAGCCTCATCCACAGCGTCCTCCATGTCCAACGTCTCACCCTGATGCTCGTAGCCGGATCCCGGCCGTATAGTGCCCAGCTCTTTCGTGAAATCGTCATCCGTTACCAAAGGAGTTGCCATTCCCGGAGTTCCTATGAAGAAAGGCTCAGGCATGTGCGCCGCCAGATGCTCGCTCTGCTCGTGCGCAGACTCATCTGGCTCAAATATGGGGTTCTCATCGTCGCCCTCGATGTCGCCTATCCGTGGGACATCCAAGTCAGTGACGGTACTAGAGTCGCGCCTGCTCACGGGGCCCTCGGCGTCGGATTCTGTAGCGGGTATGCGCATCACGTTGTCTGGAGGCGCGGCCTCGAAGCGCTGCTCGATCGCATAGCTCACAGAAATACTGCTTTGTCTGCGACTAGGCGATGCCTCATCCTCGTCCTGCTCTTCCAACGTGTCTTGCGGTTGTCGCCGAGCCTTTTCTGGCGTTGGGCCTGGATATCGGTCGAAGAAGTCATCGTTTGATGCGGTCGACGTGTTCCTCGCATGACCGCGATCCGAGTTGGGTCTGAAAGCAGGATTCCATGATGCCGAGTCGGACGGGGGTGGTGCCGCGGCAGAGGTCGAGGTCCAGGCACTGCCGAAGTTGGGGTACTCGTCGTCGCTCATGGCGGAGGTGGTGGTCGGGGGATTAGGGGGTATCACAGAGCGAGGGCAGGATTACTGGCCATGGTGTCAGCATGCGCGCGCAATGGTGGCAGAGGTGCAGTAGTTGTAAGAATGGCCGATGCAAGCTGGCCACCCCGTCCATCCCTCCCTGAACCTTGCTGGCCGGAGTTAAGTGGACGTACCTGTACAAGAGGGCGCAAATGGCAGAGACGTGAATGAATCAATCTAGAAGGTCATGGCAGGCATTGCCGTGCTCGTTCGCATGGGATGCGCGTAGCAGGAGGAGTGTCATCGGAAAGGAGAGAGGCAGTTGATGATCCGCCGTCTTGAGGGCTCAGGATTCGGCTTTGGCTGCTGCTGATTGGCCACCGCGTCCTCCGTCTTTCGTAGGCCCTCGACATGTGAGCAGCACAAAGACACATGTCCTGTAACAGTAATCGACGGCCAGCAGATCAGATCTCCAACCAGCCTCTGTCCTATACGGACTGTAATCGACAAAAGGGGAACATCTCCAACCAAATCGTCCAACCAACAACACCACGTACTTCAGGGCAATGAGATGAGGCATGACAACTCCCAACGGCTACCACAAACCGCATGCCCAAGACGACCCGTATGCCGACGACGATGAACGCGACTCGGACCTGGACTTGGACTTGAACGAGCTCGACCCGCAAACCACCTCATCTGCGCGAAAAGCACCTTCGCGGCAGCCTAGCTCAGGCCGCATCAGCTATGACTTTGGCGCAAGAATACCGCTGAGGAATCTACGGTTAGGGGGGAGAAGGCGGCCAAGAGACGAAGATGCAGAAGATCTACAAGCCTTGGTGGGCGGGGACGAGGAGGAGGAGCGGAGGAAGAGGGTGAGCGCTGCCAGCTCTGGACTGTCGACAAGGGACGATGATGCGCCGTTGTTACCACACGCGAATGGAAACGTTAGACGTGGCTCTCAGCAGGCGTTGAATAGCTTGGGGCTCTCCGGGAAGAAGAAGAAAGGCTTCTGGGCTTATCTACCCTTCGTCAAACGGAGTTCCTCGATCGCCTTGCCTTCTGCTGCGGAAGAGGAGCCTGAGGACGACCACGATCCTTCGGCGACCCGAAACATTGTTGTTGGCCAGCGACAGGCCACACGATTCCCTGCAAATGCCGTGTCGAATGCCAAATACACGCCTTGGTCGTTCCTCCCACGAACGCTGTTCAACGAGTTCAAGTTCTTCTTCAACATGTACTTTTTACTGGTAGCGTTGTCACAAATCATACCCGCTCTGAGGATCGGCTATCTGACGACCTACATTGCCCCGTTGGCATTCGTCATAAGCATTACACTGGGAAAGGAGGCGTACGATGATGTGTACAGGAGGAAACGGGATAATGAAGCAAACAGTGAGGCCTACAAGGTCTTGCGATTTGAAGAAGGCGCGTTGTCAGCTCTCAACTCGAAGAGTGGAGGCAAGAAGAGGAAGATCAAGAGCATGACAGAGAAGAAGAAAGGCAAGCGGAGAAAGGTGTCCCTGGACAACGACAGTGCTAGACTACAGCAGGCTGAAGATGAAGAGTACAGGACTGAAGACACGGAAGCGCCCTCAGCAGGTGTAGTGGAAATTACCAAGCCCTCGAGAGATCTGAAGGTTGGCGATGTTCTTGTCCTAGGGAAGGATCAGCGAGTCCCAGCCGATGTAGTGATTCTGAAGAGCTTCTCCACGGAAGCAACCACTCAGCCAGCAGAAGACACACCTCGTCAGTCAGAGGCGGAATTGCTCGACATGGGTGAGGCTTCGACATCTGCAAGTCAGAAATTGCAGGCCGAAGCGGCACGAGGAGCAGAGCTGGACAATGAGACGACTTCATCCGACCCCAGTGGAGGAGGCGAGGCTTTTATTCGTACAGATCAATTGGATGGTGAAACCGACTGGAAACTGCGGCTGGCCTCGCCTCTTGCCCAGACATTACCAGCCAGCGAGTATGTTCGTCTTCGAGTCACCGCAGGCAAACCCGACAAGAGAGTCAATGACTTCGTGGGGACCATCGAGCTCGAACCAAAGCAGCGACGAGGCTATGATCCTCCTGTTGAAGACAACGAAGCACCTCAGTCTGATGCACTGAAGACGAAGTCAAGTCCTCTGAACATTGATAACACAGCATGGGCCAATACCGTACTCGCCTCATCGACGGTTGTACATGCTGTGGTCATATACACAGGGCCGCAGACTCGCGCAGCACTCTCCACATCACCGTCAAGATCAAAGACTGGTCTGTTGGAATACGAGATTAATAACCTCACAAAAATCCTGTGCTTTCTGACGGCAGCATTGAGTATTGTCTTGGTGGCGCTCGAAGGGTTCAGTGAGCGCGAAGGGAGACCATGGTACGTTGCAGCGATGCGATTCCTCATCCTCTTCAGTACCATCGTCCCCATATCTCTTCGTGTCAATCTTGACATGGGAAAGAGCATTTACGCCTACTTCATCCATCGAGACCAAGGCATTCCAGGTACTGTTGTGCGAACGAGCACGATTCCGGAAGACCTCGGCCGGATTGAGTACTTGCTTAGTGACAAGACCGGAACATTGACACGGAATGAGATGGAGCTACGAAAAGTACACGTTGGCACAGTCAGCTATGGCGGAGATGCCATGGAGGAGGTCAGCAGTTATGTCAAGCAGGCATTTGCATTGTCGGATGACGGTGCTTTGTTCAGTCCTTCATCAGGCTTCAATATTAGCGGTGGCACGAGGACAAGGCGAGAGATTGGCCTACGCGTTCGTGATCTCGTGCTATCACTGGCGTTGTGCCACAATGTCACTCCCACGACGGAAGAGGACGAGTCTGGTGAATCGAAAATATCTTACCAGGCATCATCACCGGACGAGATCGCTATTGTGCAATGGACGGAGCAAGTGGGACTTCGACTCTCCCATCGTGATCGCAAAAGCATCTCGCTGCAGTTCGTTGGCGATGAACGTACGGTGGTGCGGGTTGAGGTATTAAATGTCTTCCCATTCACAAGCGACAGCAAGCGGATGGGAATCATCGTACGCTTCATTCGTGATCCCACCGACCGTAAAGACGAGTCTGGAGAGATCGTCTTCTTCCAGAAGGGTGCTGACACGGTCATGAGCACCATCGTCGCTGCGAATGACTGGTTAGATGAGGAGACTGGCAACATGGCTCGAGAAGGTTTACGTACTCTCGTGGTAGGCCGGAAGATGTTGAGCGCACAACAGTTCTCTGCGTTCTCGGCTGCCTACGCAGAAGCCTCTCTCAGCTTATCAGGCAGAGACGCGTCCATGTCGAATGTCGTCAAGCAGCATCTTGAGAAGGACCTCGAATTGCTGGGAGTGACCGGTGTCGAGGACAAGCTTCAACCTCACGTCAAGCCCTCTCTGGAACTCCTCCGCAACGCAGGCATCAAGATCTGGATGCTGACCGGTGACAAGGTCGAGACAGCAAGATGTGTGGCCGTCTCATCCAAACTCGTCAGCAGAGGCCAATACATCCACACCATCGCCAGCCTGAAACGAAGAGACGCCGCTCTCGATGCCCTGAGCATGCTCCACAACCAACCCAACGCCGCTCTCCTCATCGATGGCCAATCTCTCGCCCTCTACCTCTCATACCACCGCGACGCCTTCATCACCCAAGCCGTCCGCCTCCCCGCCGTCATCGCCTGCCGCTGCTTACCCACCCAAAAAGCCGACATTGCGCACCTCATCCGCGCCTACACCAAAAAACGCATCGCCTGCATCGGCGACGGCGGCAACGATGTGAGCATGATCCAAGCCGCCGACGTAGGCGTAGGCATCGTAGGCAAAGAAGGCCGACAAGCGTCCCTGGCCGCTGACTTCTCCATCACACAATTCGCGCACCTCACCAAACTCCTCGTCTGGCACGGCCGCAATTCCTACCGGCGCTCCGCCAAACTCGCCCAGTTCGTCATGCACCGCGGCCTCATCATCTCCGTCTGCCAAGCCATCTTCTCCATCGCCTCGAAATTCGAACCCGTCGCCCTCTACCGCGACTGGCTCCTCGTCGGCTACGCCACGGTCTACACCATGGCTCCCGTCTTCTCCCTCGTGCTAGACCGCGACGTCGACGAGGGCCTCGCAAACCTCTACCCGGAACTCTACAAAGAACTCACCAGCGGCAAATCCCTCTCCTACCGCACCTTCTTCATCTGGCTCGCCATCTCCATCTACCAAGGCCTCATCATCCAAGGCGGCTCCGAGCTCCTCGTCCCGGGCTTCAGCCTCAAACCCACCTCGGACCCCACCACCGGCTCTGACACCACCCTCTCCACGCCGGGCTTCAAGCGCATGGTCGCCGTCTCCTATACCGTGCTCATCCTCAACGAGCTCATCATGGTCGCGGCCGAGATCACCACCTGGCATCCCGTGATGATCTTCAGTATCCTGGGGACGGCCGGGGTGTATTTTGGGAGTTTGCCGTTCCTTGGAGGGTATTATGATTTGGAGTTTGTCCTGACGTGGGGGTTTTGGTGGAGGGTGGGGTTGATTGCGGTCGCGAGTTTGGGGCCGGTGTATGCTGGGAAGATGATAAGACGGGTGGTGAAGCCGCCTAGTTATCGGAAGGTTAGGGGGGTGTAGTCCGTAAGGAGAGGGGGTTATGGTATTATTTGAGATGTATATATATATGGAGTTATGGGGACGGGATGGCATTAGCGTAGCATTTGAAGTTTGGTCTATTAAAGCATTGTCAACTTGTTGTGTTCTCTCCTAGTATCAGTGTCGTGTGCTTGATAGGATTTCGAGGCAACATTAATAAGACGATAATGACGGAAAAGGCGAATGATGTATTTGAATCATCTTATAATACAGGTCGTTGCTTTCGTGATGTCTCTAGCCGTATTCTGACGGCCGGTGTGTGTCTATAGTCATTCGCTCGTGTCAAGCCTCAACTGCTGAGGAACAACCAACACGGAGCGGCTCTATTTCTCTCGTTGACGAGTGACTATCGTCATAGCCCTGGTGACTTGCCCTTTGTCCTCCTCTCATGAGCCAGCCAGCCTCTCAGCGAGCACCTCGCCTCGTAGGACTTGGCACATATCCCCGTATCTCCCTATATCCCCTCCTTCACCCCCTCGCCGCCGAGAACTCCCTCAACGCCCGCATCAACCCATCACAAGCCTCCATATCCGCCGCATCCACCCCCCTCCTCTTCCCGCCCCACACGCCCTCAGGCAAACTCCTCTCCAACTCATCCATCCCCGGCTGAAAATTCCTCACCTCACTACTCAACGCCCCAATCGCCTTCTTCCTAACCCCCGCATCCTCATCCTCCGTCGCCAACCGCGCAAGTCTCGGCACGCCACCACTCCCAAGCAACACCTCCTGACTCTTGACGTTATTCTGCACGGCGGTCGAGCAGCACGCCGCGGCGTTCTTGCGCATTTCGGGTTCGGAGTGCTCGAGTTGTTGGAGGAGCGGCGGCCAGAGACCCATGCTGTCCATGTTGTTGGCGTTGTCGATTTGTTCGATTAGTTGTTCGAGGTTGTCCCAGGCGATGAGTTTGTTCGCGAGGGAGATTTGGGAGAGGGGGGCTACGATGGCGCTCATGGCTTCGCGCATGCGGTCGGCGTCGGAGGGGCCGCCGAGGAGTTCGGCGAGCATTTGGGAGTTGAGGCCCCGGGAGGGGTCGCGTTGTTGGGTGGGTGCGTCGGTGGTGGTGGTGGTGGTGGCATTGTTGTTGCGGGTGGAGTCGCTGTTTTCGATGCTCCATTGGAGGAGTTGGTTGAGGGATTGTTGTTGTTCTGACATTTTTGGTTGTGTGTGTGAGTGTAGCAGTCGTGTCTTGTCTGCGGACTTGTGATCGAGAAGTTTTGGGGGGTGTAGAGAGCCTGGATGGGATAGAATAAAATCATTCACTTGTACCTAAAGATCAAGAATTCGTGAAGAGACTAGCGCCTTCCGGCACTTTCTGCCAGGTTCCTTCCCAATTCGGCGGGCTGACTCTCATTAATTAATCATGTGACTTGAACAGTCAGATCAACTCGTGTGATCCTTTGGAGACCAATGTGGCTGACTTGATATTTTTGAGTGTCTGGTGAGGAACGTTGGCGTTGCCGTTGGGTGTCGAAATGTTGAAGTCGATGGCGGGGCAGTGCCGCGGGGCATGGCACGTGCACGGAATGGAAAAAGGGGACAACGACGCAGGTGGCGGTGGGAGGAACGCACTGCTGAATTTCTGCCATACGCAGCAGCGGAGGGGCGCGGCAGATGGTATGAGAAATCGTAGATAAGCGTACGACTCGGATTTGTTAGTGGCCCCGTCTTCGTCAGCCATAGCAATTGAGCTGCCTGAGAGAGACGGCGATGAGAGGCAATGCCGGCGGTCTTGGCAGTGAGAAAACGCGCGTAAGAGGGTGACGAACGGGTGGCACTGAAATAGCAGAAGGCAGCCACATTCATAGCCGCAGTATCTATACATGCGTGCCGCCGTATTCAGCGCAGTGCATGTCCATGTCATCGTCGGGCCAGCTGAACAGCCATCGCAACAGCGCCTTCTTCCAGTCCGGTGCGTGGCCAGCAGTTGAGCTCTAAGCGAACGCTAGCGCCTGTGGCTTTGGCTTTTGGTGCCGTGCTTTCCTTCACCACCGCTTCACCGCACCGCACCCTCCACCTTCAACTCTCCGACCACATCCTTGCGACTACCCACCAACACACCACACACCGCGAACGAGCGAGCCCAGCAGCGCTCCTCATCCCAACACCACTCCCACCGACACCCACCCACATCCCTCGCCATGGAAGGTAAGCTGCTCTCGCTGCGACGCTGTCTTATGGCTGCCTCGAGCCTCCATCCATCACCCGCCCGCTCCTGGCGCCGTTCCATCTCCAAAAGGACACATGGCTGACTCGATTGCACTCTACAGAAGAGGTCGCGGCATTGGTCATTGACAATGGGTAAGACGCCGTCCGCCTGATCCTCCTTGCGCTGTGCTTCAGCTGCCATTCGACGTCATCCGCACGCACGCTGCAGATATGAGACGAATTGGCAACACACCGCACAAGCGACGACGATGAGAGCTGACACTGTCCCAGCTCTGGTATGTGCAAGGCCGGTTTCGCCGGTGACGATGCGCCACGAGCTGTCTTCCGTGAGTGATCCCACTATCACCTACAGACCAGCCGCAGCTTGCTGACACCACCACAGCATCCATTGTCGGCCGACCGCGCCATCATGGGTATGCCATGAATCCTTCCTCGAGTTCGCAGCGCAATTCTGACAAGAGCGCAGTATCATGATTGGTATGGGTCAGAAGGACTCGTACGTCGGTGACGAGGCACAGAGCAAGCGTGGTATCCTGACTCTGCGATACCCCATCGAGCACGGTGTCGTCACCAACTGGGACGACATGGAGAAGATCTGGCATCACACTTTCTACAACGAGCTGCGTGTCGCTCCCGAGGAGCACCCAGTTCTGCTCACCGAGGCTCCCATCAACCCCAAGAGCAACCGCGAGAAGATGACCCAGATCGTCTTCGAGACCTTCAATGCCCCCGCATTCTACGTCTCCATCCAGGCCGTCCTCTCCCTCTACGCCTCTGGTCGTACCACCGGTATCGTCCTCGACTCGGGTGACGGTGTCACCCACGTTGTCCCCATCTACGAGGGTTTCGCTCTCCCACACGCCATCTCCCGTGTCGACATGGCCGGTCGTGACTTGACCGACTACCTCATGAAGATCTTGGCTGAGCGCGGTTACACTTTCTCCACCACTGCCGAGCGTGAAATCGTCCGCGACATCAAGGAGAAGCTCTGCTACGTCGCCCTCGACTTCGAGCAGGAGATCCAGACCGCCAGCCAGAGCTCGTCCCTCGAGAAGTCCTACGAGCTTCCTGACGGCCAGGTCATCACCATTGGCAACGAGCGTTTCCGTGCTCCAGAGGCTCTCTTCCAGCCATCTGTCCTCGGTCTCGAATCCGGCGGTATCCACGTCACCACCTTCAACTCCATCACCAAGTGCGACATTGACGTCCGTAAGGATCTCTTCGGCAACATCGTCATGGTCAGTCATCGCACACACCTACAATTGAGACATGCAGCTAACGTTTTCTAGTCCGGCGGTACCACCATGTACCCAGGTATCTCCGACCGCATGCAAAAGGAAATCACCGCCCTCGCCCCATCCAGCATGAAGGTCAAGATCATCGCCCCACCAGAGCGCAAGTACTCTGTGTGGATCGGTGGTTCCATTCTCGCCTCGCTCTCGACCTTCCAGCAGATGTGGATCTCAAAGCAAGAGTACGACGAGTCTGGCCCATCCATCGTCCACCGCAAGTGCTTCTGAGCGCCTTGTCGGACGACGGTTTTTGCAAAGCGTTGAGCAGGCGGTGTGGACAGGACTTGTGGCAATACTACTACGAAGGACTGGCTTCTAGAACCAATCGCGGTTTCTCGCTGCTGCGGTGGACAATGGCGCGGTTGGTGGGAATGGTTGGAGCAGGATGCAGCACTCTAGGCGGGCGTTTTAATGCTTGACTAGTCGAAGCATCTGCTAGTAGACTACTGCTTGGGAACTGAAGTATGCCTTCTATGGCGAGATGACAAGATCAAAAATGCAATGCGACACTTGTTCCTTTTACCCTCGTATCCACCTTCAATCTGGTAATCGATCTGATGGCGTGTGTGAAGAGTCCGTGCAGGGCTTCCAAGCGTTGACTTTGAACCTCACTTCACGCCGACTTTGCAGCAATTTTCTCACACATTAGTACGAGTACTGATATCCGCCATCTGCTCTGATATGATATGACATGGTGGAGCATTTTCTGCCCTGACGATCTCGACTGTGACGTAAATCTTATGTTTGGACAAGCTCTCAGAGGCCACAACCTGACCTTGAAGAGAAGTATCACTTTTCTTTTCACTCCACCATAACCACACTCTCTCCTACTCTCACAAGACCTCTTCAAAGTGGCCAACAGGTCTCTCCAACGACTCCGACACTTCACATCCCTCCACTCCATCCCAAAGACCACCAAATCTTCCTTCGCCACAATGGCCACGGCGAACGACGGCAAGAAAGAAATCGTCATCATCGGCGGCGGAATCATAGGCTGCACGTCCGCCTACTACCTCACGCGACACCCCTCCTACGACCCTACCAAACACAAAATCACGCTCCTCGAAGCGAGCAAGATCGCGGGCGGCGCGTCAGGGAAAGCGGGGGGTCTGCTGGCGCTGTGGGCGTATCCGAGCAGTCTCGTGCCGCTGAGTTATAAATTGCACAAGGAGTTGGCGGAGGAGCATGGTGGGGAGGAGAGGTGGGGGTATAGGAGGGTGCATTGTGGGCAGGTGGATTGTGTTGGACGGGGGATTTCTGGAGGGAGGGGGAAGGGGCGGAGTGTGCCAGGGAAGGAGGGGGAGATGGATGGGAACGAAGAGAGCAATGTGTCCTTGCAAAAGAGGAGCAAAGACGCCTTGAACAAACTCCGCGCCAAAGGCATCCCCAAAGACCTCGACTGGGTCTCCCCCAACTCCCTACGCGCGTACGAGGAGATGGGCGACCCGAGCACCACCGCCCAGGTCCACCCGTACCAATTCACCACCTCCATGGCCTCCCTCGCGCGGGAGAAAGGCGTACAGATCCTCGAGAACAGCCCCGTCACAGCGATAAACTACTCTCCGGACGGATCCTCCGTCTCAAGCGTCACATACACCACCCCTTCCTCCAACAAACCGCAAACCCTCCCCACAACAACCCTCATCATCGCCTCCGGCCCCTGGACGCCACACATCTACCCCACCGCCCCCATCTCCGCCCTCCGCGCCCACAGCGTCACAATCCGGCCCTCCCGCCCCGTATCCGCCTACGCCCTCTTCACACAGATAAAACTCCCCTCCCCTTTCCCCGCCAACAAAGCCCACTCCGGCCAAATCGTCACCCCGGAGATCTACGCCCGCCCCTTCACCGAAGTCTACGCCTGCGGCGAGGGCGACCACCTCGCACCGCTCCCGCCCACCTCAGCGGACGTGCAGGTCGACGAGAGCAGATGTCAGGATATCGTAGATTCCGTGGGGAGTGTGTCAGACGAGTTACGGGACGGCGAAGTCACAGCCAGACAGGCGTGTTATCTCCCCTCGGTGCAGGGGTCTTCGGCGCCGTTGGTGGGGTTTACGGGGTCGGAGGGGGAGGTCATGGCGGTCGGGCATACGTGTTGGGGGATTCAGAATGCTCCTGGGACCGGGAAGTTGGTGAGTGAGTTTGTTTTTGAAGGGGCGGGGAGGAGCGCGAAGGTGAAGGGGTTGGATCCGAGGAATTTTTTGTAGGAAGATGAGGGGGGGAGGGTGGGTGTAGGTTAGATTGTTAGAGTAATTGGTGGTTGGTGGTATTTACAGATTATATAAAAACGATCGCGTGGCTACTCTCTCAAAAAGACCGCTCAATTGGAGAGTCTTGCACGTGGAAACAACGAATGACCCGCCCTTCTTCAACGTACTCAACTACTAGTCAAATGATCGACGGCCTGTATAACATCACGATTAGTCGAGATACCTCATGCTGCTTTGTTGATTACACAAGACTCACCTTATTAATATCATAATCATACTTCTCCAACGCATCCAAAGCGTCCTTCCTAGGGTACCCCATGCCCGTCAAACGCTTCAAGATGGGATCATCGTGCTCTGTGCCTGGGGTGATGGCACCTCCTCGCTCCGCTTTCGAGGCAGGGGCTGGGGGCGGAGGATGTGGGAAGTTCTCGATTGTCGGTGGACGAGTGGTCGATGAAGGTGCTGGGGCAGCCGGTGCCGACAAGCTGCTTGTGCCGTTGGTGTTGGTGGCGTCTGAAGGACCCCACGGATCAGTAGTGAGGGTTGTGTCGACATTCTTCGAGTTGTCTAGACCTGAGAAGATGGCGTCCCAGTCATGCTGCACATTTTCAGGAGTTTGTTGGATGCTGCTGTTGGCAACGCTGCTGGTGCTGCCAAAGGTGTTGCTTGTTGACAGCGAAGGCTGGAAGTTGGCAAAGCCGTTGCTTTCAGGCTGATTCAAGCTCCGGGATGCTGCCACTGGAGTCTGTTGAGTCGAGGTCATGGTGTTTGTCATGCTGGCGGCAGGCGAGTCAAACGTCGGGTTGAACTCGGTGTTGTGCTCGCCAAAGTCAAAGTCACCAGTCTTATCCGCTTCTTTTGCTTCTGCGAGATCGTCAAAGGCGTCGAAGTCATCAAATGCATTCTTTGGCTGTGCTGAAACTGCTGGTTGAGCAGTGCTGGTAGTTGGCGTGTGGAACGCATTCTGTCTTGCCGACGTCGATGGCTCCGGTGGCAGTTCAGTCGTGGTCGCCGAAGCGATCGGTCCCTCATCAGGCGGAGGTGGACTCGTTGGGTCTTCTCTCGCTGGTAGTAGACCACCAAACTTCGGGTCAAATTTGTTCTCCTCGATTCGCTCTCCGCTTCCTCCGTACGCTGCTTTATCGCTGTCATCGTACGATGGTGGGGAGGACGACGCTCCAGCGAGAGCCGAAGTATACTGGGGTGGCTCCGTAGGTGGTTGGACAGATGATGTAGCCGTCTGATTCCTAGGCGGCGAGGCAGCCGTAAAGTTGTCATCGAATCCTTTGCCCTCATCCTCACTGTCAGACTCATCATCTTCTGGTTCCAAGGTCTGGATAGGAGGGAACTCAGACGCAGACACTTGAGGAGCTGCCTGGCTGGAAGACGCTCCGAATGGATCCTCATTCTCTTTTGCAGCGTCCTTAGCTTTATCGCCCTCTCCAAAACCGGCGAAGGCAGAGTCAAAATCGTCCTTAACGGCTGGCGCGGTCTCCAAATGTGTCGGCACTGGAGTAGCATTCGTCGATTGGAATGTTTCCGAAGGGAACGCACCAGGCATGCCCTCCTGCGCAGCGGTCTCTGGCTTAGGATCTTCGAGAAATTGGCCATGCACCTGCGGTGGGGTCGCTGTATCACCAGCGGATGAGATCGTGTCTTGCGGTGTCTCAAGGCCAGCTCTACTGGCAGGCGGCAGGACTCTGGTCGAGCTAGCATCCTCTTCACGGCTTCCATCGACATTGCCAACTGGTAGATGTGAAGCAGTGAACTGCCTGCTCTCAGGCGGTGGAGGTGGCTCTGCGGCCTGAGGGCTCTCTTTGGCCTGCTCCGAGAGCGGTGGGGTCGCAGAAGGTGTAGGTTCACCCACAGACGACACGCTCTGGATGGAATCTGACATTCCCACCGCAGTTGCAGCACCTACTGCCGCGCCCGCAGCTGCTGCTGGCACTGAACGACCAATGAAACTCGTTGCGGGTGGTGTACCAGTCCGACTGCTAGCTTGGCCAGTCGGTGCAAAAGCAGCAGAAGGTCCAAACAAAGCATCGAATGCACTAGGTTTAGGACCACTTCCAGTGCCAGTCGGTGGCGGAGAGCCTCTAGCACCGTCGTTGCTGGCCTTTCTAAAGAACGGGTTCGACGAGTGAAGAGTGCCTCCTGGGCTGGCGACGGTTGACGCCGCGGCCGGCGGGCTGACAACAGGTTCAGGAGCAGGAGCAGCACGCGCTTGTGCTTCACGCTCCGCAGCCTCACGCTCGAGATCAGCCTTCTCAGATTGAAGTTTCTCCTTCTCGCCCTCGTTAGTCGCCAGCTGCTTCTTGTTGATACTAACAAGACCCTTCTGCTGTCTCGCGTCCATCTTAAGCTTCTCTATTTCTGGCTTCAAACTGGCGACTTCGGTGTTGATCTGCGCAATACGTTGCTTCAGGCTCGCGTTCTCCTGCTGGTCCGCTTGCAACGCCTGTGATACATTCTGGTGCTGTGTTTGGAGATCCTGGTATGTGCCTTCAAGCATTGCAAGTTCTTGGCCCAGTTTCTTGGTCGATTCCCGAGACTCAACAAGCTGTTGATCAAGCTCTTTGACCGTCTTGACTTCTTGCTCATACTGAGTCCTGAACTGCTGCAACCGAAGTTCCAAATCACGCTTCTGGTTGTTGGTCGCCGTGAGATCAGCCTGGTTGGTGCTTTTCTTAGCCTGTGTCTGTTCCATCTGGGTGCGAAGGTTGCCGATTTGATTGCTCATGTTCGCCAATTCGGTCGTTTCGTTCGTAAGTTTACTGCTCTCCGCAGCGTGTGTCTCGTTATCGCCCAGGAGATCGTCCGCAGCAGTCGGTGCAGCTTGTTGGGGCACACTACGCGGTTGGTTCGATCCCACAGACGTGCCAGTGTTCTGCTGCGCTATACTTGCACCAAAAGCAGAAGTCGGCTGGAACGGCTTGAACATGCTTCCAGCTTGCTGTGGTTGCGGCTGGAAACGTGCTGGACTGCTTGGACTTGCCGGCGATCCACCACTGAAGGGGTCTTTCGCCGCAGACGCTCCAGTACCTTGGGGCTGTAGAGCCGGCGCCTGTGACTGGGATGGCTGATCCAGGCCAAAAAGATCATCAGCAGCCGACTTTGGCAGGTTCGAAGTGTTCGCGGCATTGTCGAAGGCCGGCGCTGTCGACTGTTGAGGCTGTGGCTGCTGTTTACGCATGCTTGGAGGAACAAGTGGCGGTGGCAAAAAAGCCGGTAGGGGAGCAGCATTCGATGCTCGCTGCTGTCGGATGAGATACATAGCCACGGCAAATTCATCCTTGTTAAGCTGGCCCTCGCTGTTGATATCTGCCAGGTCCCAGATCTGGGCCAGAGTCTCTTCGGAAAGTCTTGAATCGGAGAAGAACGTCACAGCCTGTTCACCTGTGATTACTCCCCGTCCTTGAGTATCAATTGTATTGAAGAACTGATCAAACTTGGCCTTGTCCGCGGCCGTGATCAACCAAGGCGTGCCCGAAGTCTGTGCCGACATAGGTGGTGGGGTTCCATAGCCTGCCGGTCTCGCAAGAGGACTTTGCGTTCGAGGAATGGCTCCAACAGCACCTCCAGTAGTCTGTCGTGGGACAGGTACTTGTCCACTTGCTTGTCTGCTAGGCGGAGCACCTCGTCTCGCCGCAGCTTCATAGAATCCAGGCGGTAACGTCTGAGGCAGCGCAGACATCGCCCGTGTCTTCATGCTCGTCAACAGATGCATGGCCACGATGAACTCAGTCTGATCCAAAGCGCCCTTCTGATCGCGATCCGCCAAATTCCATATCCGACCAAGCACATCGTTCGGAAGCCCAGCTCTTTCGAATATAGCCTTCGCCGTAGCACCGTCCAGCTGTCCATTCTGTGAACCCGATCGTTCAAACAAGCTGGAATACTGCTGAACCTTCTGTGGGTCCAAGGGAGGCACTCGAATTGGGGCCTGGCCAGACAACTGCGGCTGCAGCGGATTAGGAGGAAAACTCCCCGTCGTAGGACTAGGAATCGCACTCCCACCAGCACTGCCCGTCCCACTCGCAGCACCAGCACCAGCACCAACACCAGGTATCTGCAAGCCCTCAAACTTGGGCACGGGAGCCGACTTGAACGCCAACTCACTCGTCGGTTCTCTTCCCGCCTGGTAATGTCCGATCAACCGCAACACCATACAAAAGCCGGGTTGGGACAGGAACCCGCGGTTCTCGGTGTCGGCGAGCTGCCATATCTCGCCGAGGACGTTGGGGGAGACGTGGGTGCGCTCGAAGAAGGAGACGGCGTTCTCGCCCGTGACGACGCCGAGCTGGTCCTTGTCGGCTTGGTTGAAGAGGAAGGAGAAGGCGCGTTTCTCGTCGGGGCTTAGGTTAAGAATGGCATGTTCTGGGTATCGATCAGTATGGGGGCGTTGCAGATAGCTTGCGGGTGAAGCTGTTACCGTTGTCTGACATGATGCCTAGCCGCGGGCATCAAAGCTGCTGTCCTCAGCCCAAAGATGTGCTGCAGTGACGGACGACCAGATCCAATGGCGCGGGCGGTGTACTGTACAGGGGTATGAAAGATGAGGCGTTGTCGCACGTGGAGTGGTTAATCGAAGGCTGGAGTGGTTTCATTACACCTCCCGTGAGCTTGGATGGATGCACTGGAGATGGCGCACGGCCCGTGATGACGCCGAGCTTTCCGAGCGATGGGCCACGTTTTTAACCTTGACCTCACCTCCTGATCCTTCACCTATTGAAGATTGAATGTTGGGAGTACTCAAGTATTTGTCAAGAACTACGGTGTTGGAACCTCTATTCTCCTACGTCCAAGATCTTCTTCTACGAACAACCGCTCCTGTCCCATCATCTGCTTGGAACATTGCTCCGCGATCCACATTGGCGCTGTGAAGACATTGTAGCCCACTCCTAACAAAGGGCACCGGTATTCAAATCATCTCGAGCCTTCCCATCACTTACGCTCCTCCAATACCACCAAATCACCTCCCCGACAAAACATCATCCGCAATTTTCTCCGCGAGCACATCTGCACACAAAAACATTAGCCAATAAACCCTACAGACATCTTCCCTCTCAAAACTCACAAACAGTACTCTGAGGATGCCCCGGCGGCAAGACCGCAAACGCCGCAGCATCCACAACCCTCAACCCCCTCACGCCCAAAACCCTCGCGTGCGAATCAACAACCGCCATCGGATCCTCCGCCTTCCCCATCCGGCACGTACACGAGGCATGCCAGTTCTGATACGCCGTCTTCATGATGTACGCGAGGATGGCGTCGTCGCTCGTGACGTTGGCGCCCGGCATGTACTCGTCGCCGATGAGGATGGGCTTCATGGCGTCTGTGTGGAAGAAGCTGCGCGCGCGCTTGAAGGCTTGCACGGCGAGCTCGCGGTCCGTGGGGTGTGAGAGCTGGTTGGGGTTCACGAGGGGGAGGTCCCGGGTGCTGTTGGAGGTGATTTTGACGTAGCCGCGGGAGAGGGGCGTTACGGGGATCGCTAGGATTGTTCCAAAACGTTTGCTGGGATCGGTGCCGGAGAGTGAGGCTGCGGTGACTTCGTATTCGATCTGTTGCAAAATACCCTGGTCAGTTCGCTGCGCTGCATGGAAACTAGGACAATACTGGAGATAACTTACCTCTGGCCAATCCGCCGGAAACTTGGCAAGATCCGCGGCGGCAGAAGCGCTGAGATTGCTACGGTATGGCTGGGGAAGCTTCTCCCAGCCTATGTAGTCCACGCCCGCGTTAGTCAAAGGTCCAGTCCGATTGACTCTATACTCCTCGATCAAAGGAACATTTGCTGAAGGATCAGCAATCGCACCAACGCCATTCTCGACATTGATCTCGTAGATCGGCGAGAAGTCCAGATGATCTTGCATGCCGGCTCCCACTCCAGGCCGATTTGCCAACACCGGGATATCATGTTTCTCGAGCTGTTCCCTAGGCCCGATGCCACTCACCATGAGCAGCTGAGGCGACTGGAAAGCGCCGGCGGAGAGAATCACCTCCTTGGTGGCATTCAGGACGTACGTGTTGGTATTCTGGTACGAGGAAGCTTCGACTTCCACGCCCGTGGCAGCTCTGCTCTCGTTGAAGACAATCCTTCTCGCGAGCGTATTTGGATAAATGACCAGATTCTCCCAGCCGCTCTGCAACGCAGCACGGAGATACGAAGCCTGCGAAGAACTCCGCTCTTCCTCGGGGTACGAAATGGTCAGAGGCGCATACTGCCTTCCCAGCAGATGACCACTAGAGAAGTCCTGCTGCGTCGGTATGCCCGCCTCCGCCATGGCACCATCCACATAGCTCGCAAAGATCTGAGCAAAGTTCGGATTCGACACATGAAGCGGCCCAGATCCATTGAACGCCAGAGGATTCGCTGGCGGAGGCACACTCGCATTTGCAGCGCGCAGCTGAGGATCTCCAGGGCTGTAAGTGATGCCGCGAGAGAAATACGGAAGCAGATTATCGAACGTCCACGCATCATCCCCGACCAGTTTAGCCCAGCGCTGTTGCGAGCCATACGTCCCGCGATTGTAAATCATAGCATTCGTGGCAGAACTGAACGTCTCTCCATCAGCACAACTCTCCCAGCCTTCAACTTCAACTACTCTTCAAACTCACCTCCCACCCAAAGTCTTCCCACGCCCATAATGCAACCTCCGTCCTCCAAGACCCCGTTGCGCTTCCGTAACGAATCCCCAATCAACGAGCGAATACTGCGCAGCGGACTCAATCGTCGTAGCACCGTACCGAGGACAATAAGCCGGGACGACCGAAGTGTTGCCATTATCCTGCTCGTAGAAACCACCTGCTTCGATGACAGCGACGCTGTTCTTGCCGTCTTCGGCTAATCGGTAGGCAATGGTTAGGCCGGCGGTTCCTTTTTAGGTTGTGAGTGAGCTATGCAACGTCCAAGAAGTTTGTATCAATGAGGTGAATTAGACTCACCTCCGCCAACGACGACGTAGTCATAGGAGGCATTTTGTGGCAGACCGAAATTGTTTCCTGGGACAGAACCGAATCGAGGCTGGGTCCAGGCCAGAGTTGGCGTTATGGCCAATGAATATAAGAAAAGGTATCCCTGCATAAACATTTTCCCAAAAACGAGTAGTGAAAGGAATGTAGTCTAATGTTGAACGAAATTCAAGACATATATACAAATTATGGCCATTCGCCACGTTAATGGATGATGTCAAGTTCCTCATTAGCATGGAGTTTGTAGACCACTAGTAAGGCTTGACTTCGACTTCGATTTGACATCGCCAATGCTCATGACAACCCAATAAATCTATAACAATGCCCTTTTACTGTATGCTCATCCCAATAAGCTATAAACCACCAGCGGAACATCATGACGACACTCCCCCATAACGACCACCATCACCAACGTAACCAAATACACAGCAAAAACCTCCAGACTCAATGGTCTCCCTATCGCCGCAGCAGACGGCACGACATCCGGCGTACTCACCGGTGGCCGCGGCGGTGGATCAGGAGAAGTCTTCTCAATATCCACCGTGAAGAAATGTGTATGCCCCGTAGCATTCCCCTCAATCCCCATCGGGTCCGGCGGGTACCATTGGTTGGGGATATAGCAAGTGCTGTTAGGCAACTCGCGCGGTTGACAGATCTCCAAGGACTTCGCTGTAGCTTCAGGATTCGAGGAGTTGAAGTACGCTTTGATGTAGCTGATCGTCATCACGGCGTCTTTGACAGGAGGTCCAGCGCTCCAGCCGGGGTTTCCATTAGACCAGTGCGAGACGTGGATCGCACCGGGAGACTTGGGGACGTTGGTGCGGATCGTGGACATCCATTTGCTGTCGGCGTAGAAGTCGACGCGATCGGGGAGCCAGTCGAAGCGGTATTCGTGGTACATCTCGGAAGGGGCGAAGGACATGGAGTGGTTGTCGAAATCGTTCGAGCCCGGTTGGACGTATCCCACATCCGCACTCTCAGGCGATTGAATGACCAAATTGACAAGGCCGTGGTTGCTTAAGGGTTGTTGGTGGGAGGAGAGGAACTCCATATCGATTTCATTCGAATCATTCTTGTAGAAGAAGAAGGCCCCACACGTCCCAGCGACAGCTGTAGTCTTCATCCCGATGCGAAAGCTTCCGTAGAGGATGTCGTCTCTCGCGGACACGATCTCGGCCATTGGAACGGCTTTTCCTCCATCGACATCCACCAAGTCCTTCCTCACCCAAAGCTGCAGTCCAGGATCCTCGCCGTTCACTCCAGGTCCACTCCAATCGTACACGCTCTCAATCGGATTCGTGACGACATTCTCAACCAGCGACGCTTTGCCGTACGTCCCCCTCCCGTCCCCCGGCGTGACATTGTATGCCTGTGGTATCCAAGTATCGTCATCGTCATCCTTCAAATCGTGTGCATGGAGGAAGTCACTCTCAAAGAATTCAGTAAAAAGCGCCCAGCCATCTTCCCACCCAGTGGCGTTGACAGTATGACCGCACGGACAGAGCGCGTGTTCAGTGGAGGGATATTGTTGTTGCGCGGCAGCGAGTGTCGACAGCATCGAAATGCCGGAAAGCGCCACACGCATGGTGGGCAGCAGAGTGATGGTCTTGTGATTGCGATTGAATGAATGGTGCTTCGATCAGATGCTTCGCGAATGTGCTGATTGGCGAATCGATCGTGAGAGACAGGTTGTGTTATGTGTCACAAGGAGCGGGACTTTGCATCGTTCGTTGAGGGTGGATGCAGGTTGTTGTTGCAGTCACTTTGCCGTCGTTTGCAGAGAAGTGGCAATGAGTTCTCACTCTGATACTCGCGACTTCCAAACCTCACACGACGCGAATACAGACAGCACGACCTGATCAGCACGGGACAATGTCGAAATCACAACCAGACGACACTCACCAAAACGCCGGTATCCGCTATCTCAACGTCGCGCAGACTGCTGTGAAACATCACGTGCGTTGGAGAAAAATAGCATTAGCTACGCTACACCGCAGCAGCAGCAGCAGCGGCTCCGAAGAATAGAGAAGCGGGTGCAATTTCACATGTCACCCCATCCCCATGCATTCGAGACTCCTGTTCTCCCACACGCCCAGCGCCTGCCTCTGTCCCAGCCAGCCATTAGGAAAATGCCCGTTTCCTTTTGTGAACAAATGTCTGCCGCAACTAGCGAGAAGTCAAACAGAAGGCATCCATGTGCCAACAAGATCATTGTGACGGCGGTCTTCGCGCTCTCTCATCCGGCGCCGCTGTCTTTCATTACATTCGTCCCGTCGTGATTCTTTCTCCATCTTCCATTCCGCTCTTCATCATCTCGCTTACCTGCCTGTGAGATCATCCAAATTGGCGATATTGACAGACTCCGTCCGCTGTTTCGAAGCTTTTGTAACTTCCCAGAAGTTGGATGGTAGACTTAGCCATCTTGGTCCAATTGTCTCGTTTCGAGAAGGAGGATGGGCTCTCGGATTTGATCTCTTCGAGCTCCCGAGGAGAAAGTAGGAGTGAGTCAGTGCTCAGGTCCTTGGACTACAAGAATCCGGATTCTGACAACAACCTGGAAAGACGGTCAACACAGTCATTAGAACTAAAGAGGCTAACCTCTTACCTTGCGATCTTCTCGTCCTCCCTTTCGCGAGGTTCAACTTGCAAACTTCGCTCGTACATCTCATGCACATCGCCCGCGCTTTGCATATTTCGAAGAATGTATTCCTGCAGCTCAGGCACCGGTTGCAGTCCGTAAGGCACATTCTGATATTGCTGGATGTCGCGAATCACTTCTGCTGTCTTGGCTCGTTTCGCAAAGTTGATTAATTGTGTCTTCTTGATGATGCTGGGGATTCCGTCTTCGATGAACGTCAAGTCCGTCAGGTATATTCCGAAGAATGGGATGCATGGAGGGTTGGCCTTGTGTAGAGACTCGCGGTACTCCAAGAAGTTCTTTGTCGATCCCATCAGCTTGCGCATCGATTCCAAAGTCTGTGTTGTCCGAGCATTGACCTGCGCCCACGTCCTGTTAAGTCTGTGGATAGGTGCTGAGCCCAGCGCCGAGATTATCGAGGTCAAACATGAGAAGTTATTCAAGGTTCGACACTTGTCTGCGATCGAGACAAAGTGCTTGATGACCACAACACGCCTTTTGACGTCTGCTTGAGTCAAGATCATCTGAGCGACCCAGTTCGTCAACTGATTCGAGTGAAGAATCAGGGCTTTGACGTTCTCAGCTGGATCAGGTTCGCCGTTGGCCAACTTCTTCTGCCATGTCTTATTCAAGCATTCGGTCGGCCTGATCTTGCCATACAGCTTCGACTCGATGATGGTGAGTTGGCGAGCGAACTCAAGAGCGTCGATATCGAGGAACTTGAGCTTCTTCATGTTCTTGGGGATGATGGGCGGAGGTGCTTGTGAATTGAGGGTCAGCACCAGTCGCTTACTCGAAGCATCTTGGCCGCGCATTCTTTGCTCGATCGCTGTCATCAAAGGTCCAGCTCCCGGGGTGCTTGTCGACTGCACGGCGTCCTTTGCGAAGGTATACACGCGCTGCATAAGTTGTTGACTCGCTTCATCGTTGCCCTCCATCCAGTAGTTGTCAAACCACGACTTCAAGATGTTGACCACACGGAATCTGATTGGCTTCTGCTTCTTGTCGGTCCACGTCTGTAGGTCGTTGCCAGATAATCCAGGCGGCGGTTGTATTGTCCAGCGCTTGACCAGCATCTCAAAGAGTTCAGGGCCGGTGGTGAACGACCGATACGTCAGCAAGAACGTGTTGTTAAAGGGCGAATCTAACCGATCGTGCCGGGTCAGCTGCTCCACCAGTCCTGTCAAAGTTCCACCCCGGAGTTGCGGAGGTTCAACCTTGAAGTCGTAGGCGATCTCGCCCTCGTGATCAAGTCGTAGGTAGTCAGGCATCTCTTCTGAATCTCGGCCAGGAACGGTCTGCGCCGGTACTTCCCCAAAGAAGCGCTTCACCTTTGAGCTCTCCCCTGCGCGAGCTTCCTGTGGTTGGCTAGGGGTGCCGACACTCGGTGAGGTTCCCTCGGTGAATGACTTCGAGTGCCCTACATCTGCGAGTGTAGGTCGCAACGTCTTCGAGTTGCTCTTCATGTGCTGTTCGTACGGCGCTCCGCCGTCAGTCAAGCGATGTGGATCACGACTTGATGCGTCGTGAGGCATCAACTCAGAGAGAAGCTGCAGGGAGAAGAAGATCTGGTTGGTGGCAGTGTCAAGTTCCCTTCCAACCGACTTGACCCGGTTCAATCGCTCCTCTAGTGAAGGGCCTCTAACCTCAGCCCATTCATCACCCAAGGGGCTTGCAACTGCTTGGCATGCTGCGATGAGGTCCGATGTAGAGTCGTATAGCTCTTGTTTATGTTCGGAGAAGTCGTTTAGCTGAGGCGTTTCCAATGCGGACTGTAACGAGGCGAGATTCACTGATTCGATTGTTGACAGATAAGGCCGGCAAACTTCGATCACCTGAGTGCCAGATCTGCAGACTGCATCACCGATCTGTCGATGTTTGTGATGCGTTATAAGTTTGTCGCGGAGCACCAGGTGCTCGTCTAGCCGCCGGATGCTCGACACAATCAGTCGCTTCAGGTCATCCAAGCGTTGCAATAGGGCCGGGTCCAACGCCGCCGACGGCTCGCTGAGGGCTTCGTGCTCGTCGTCCATGAATGACATTGACGCCAACGGATCTTTGGCATCGAGGCCATTGCTTTGCCAGTTGCCCGCCTTCTTGCTCCCATTGACGAACCCTGGTGTCAGCCTTGGTATTTCTTCACCACGTTGTTGTCGAGCCACCTCCACAAAGCCATAGACGCCATGCAGGACGCCTTCGGCTTCCTGCAGACATTTGGCTGCCGAGTCTGGCGCAGGGAAGTCCGCTGCGGCGATGTGAGAAGACAGGACTAGCTTGGAGAATCTGGACATCATCTCTCTGAAGTGAGGGTAGAGAGCCTTGTTCGTTGAGATGATTGAGGGGTTTCCGCTGTGGTTGTCGGTAGTGCCTGAGCCGGCGGCAAGCAACAAGCGCAAATGGTCTGAAATGTCTTCGGCTTTGCGAACGAACTCTGAGCGATCGCCGGCGTTGATGACTTCACGATATCTCTGGACAGCGCGGCGCATGTCTTCGACCATAGTATTCCACGTCAATGGAACGGCATGCGCGTCGTCAAAGAATCTCCGAGGTATTAACGAAGTGCTCGATCCGCCGGGCTGCGCATTAGCGAACGAGGTCATGGTGGTACCAACGGGTGGGATTCCCTGCTGCATCGCCGAAAGCGACACGTTGCTTGCTTCAGTAAGATTGGTGCGAGAGCGGCTCAACGGAGAAGCAGCGCTCAAAGAATCCATGGACGTCGCTGGTGACACACCGTCGGACAGATACGAACGCCTGCGTCGATGCTGACAGATAGACAATGTTAGTGGGTGTCACGTAGATTGCGGGTGAGCATACACGTGGAAAGGTGTGACTTACGCTCGAGGCCTTTGAGCCCTGTGCCACGGACGCGTCCTCAGCCTCCGACGCAGAAGCATAGTCGGTGTCCTCATCTCGCTCGTATCCGGCCGCCATGAACTCGGCCGGCGGTCTGGTCTGATCGGGAATGTAGATGTTGGTGCGGTCTCGCGGGCCAGTCTCGTTGGCGGAGGTGGGTGCTTCGAGAGGGAGTTCCATTGTGCTCTCGCCCGTGAGCGTATTGAAGTAGAACAGCCTCCCATCGGGTGTGGCCTGGGGTATCCAGAATGCCGCTTCTTCTTGGGTGGTTGTAGCCGCATTCTCGTGATAAGTGGAGGTGCCATTGGTCATGTGGGTGTGCTCCTGCTCGCCGTATTCCTCCTCCGACTCTTCAGCCTCCGAATCGCCTGCCCGAAGCCCATTGCCCATGCCATCTTCATACGGAGGCGCCACGACAGCGCAGTAGTTGCTGGGGAACCACCCTCGCACACCGCGAATCACCCCATCCCACCATCCACTCTCCAACTGCGTGATGACCTGTATGATGTCGCCCTGGTGAAAGCTCAAGCTCGTGCGGTCGTCGGCATCGTAGTCGTAAAGCGCGCGGACGTACAACTGGCCAGCGGTCGACACGCTGCCAGCCAAGCCGTTCATCTTGCGCCGGAGAGGAGGGTAGGTCGGCGACGGCCCAGAAGCTGCCTGGCCGACGCGGTGGTGAGGGTCAATGCGGTAGAGTCAAGGTCCGGGGCAGGCCAAGCGGGCGTCTTTCAAAGAGCGGCGGCGGTGTCAAAGCGAGCGAGGCCAGCAGACAGAGGGCGCTGCAGCGTGATTGATGCAGTGCAGAGCGCAGGACTGGAATGTGGTGCCGGCCGCGACCTCACCTCGGGACGCTCTGTCTCCCTTGCTCGCAGCAGCAGCAGACGGAGAGCAGACACAGCCGTCGTCGGACCCTTCTCTGCGCTGGCCTGGCGGGAGTGGGAGCGCGTCTGCTGGTCGTCGCACTTGGCGGCCTCGCTGTCGCGATTTGCTGGTAGACGGCCGGTGGTTCACAGCAATGAGCGCCCGCAGAAGCTGAATTCCACTACGATTGGATGGAAGCGAATGTCTGAAGCGGCGGCAAGCAAAGCAAGCTGTGTTCCTCGCCAAGCGTCGAGGCGAGCTGTCACGTGCCGACGGACATCTCAGTCCAAAAAGCGATGCAGCAATGACGAGGTCTTCAAACTGGCAATGGTTGCGTTGGTGGTGGTGAGAAACGCATGGCAGAGAACGCGTCGGGCATTTGTGAGCCAGCACGCCCCTCTGCCCCGCTGAGAAGGGAATCTTGTCATCGTGACTGAAGTGTGATTTGATTCGGGAAGGTTTGTCTACTCCTGCTATAGCAACATTGGCGACCACATATCCTGTCCGGTCAGCGCCAGGAATAGCGTCTCGCGACTGCTATAGTGGAGAGGCAATAGAGTCTGCCTATAGGACAGGCTCGAGCACGACATCTGCTTTCTGCTCTTTGCAGCCAGACACCCCCAGCATCGAGAAACAACCAGAGCCTTGCGAGCGGGCAACTATGCAGAAGCTTCAGCAAGGCATCCCAGCTTTAATGAACAACCAAGGCGGCATCCTCGAGCATCGAGGCCAGACGCTGACCGGGCGCCTTGCAGTTCTTACCCGCATCCTTTGAGCCTGCATGTGGTTGTTAGCTGCAGTGTGAGGCCATATTCTAGCATGACTCTTGGTCGATGAGGCAGTCAGACTATATTAGGCGACATATATCCGCTACGCCTCTGGCAGTCGCACTCGAACGGTAGAGTGACTTTTCAACCGTTGGCATGGTCAACCATCGCGTGTTGTGGTTTGCCTGGTGATATGTTGTTGCCTCTTTCGAACGTATGCTCCCCGGTCAAAGTGGAACGTATCGAACAGCCATCTCTCCGATTCTCCGCCAGCGGCTGCGCTGCTAATTGCACTCCAAGCTGCTTAGCTGGGCTGGGGATGAATGCTCCACATTGAGCAGAACACCGAGGGTAGGCCCTCGAGGGATATATGACTGGCGTCAGTGGTCAGCTCATTTGCAGAAGTATTGGCAATGAAGAAGCTGGCAAGACGTCGGGATCGTGGATTCGAAGCCGCCGGCGCGTGACCTGCTAACATCGGGGTTTGGCCAGCCTTTGTATGCATCGAGATGGTTGTTTCTTGAGTCGACTTCAGAGGGCTGGCTTGCACCGTCGGCACATTTGACTCGCGCAACGCTACCATGCACGCCTTCAACGGGGAGAAGGATGCCGCGAAGTAGCTTTCACCCTAAACACCCTCTAAAGCAAGCTAAAAAGGCCGTGCCGGCGGAAAAGCTGCCGAGTACCGTCTCCCGTAAAAGTCAGGAATCCCGGATCGAACGACGCCGTATCGGATTATCCTGGTGAAAATTGGACAACGGGAAACGTCGGGTGGCTGGCGAAGCAGAAATCAAGTTTACGAGCCGTCCGAAGTTGTTTGCTGTTCCGAGAAAGGGATCCCAGTCGCATGTCAGGAGAACGGTTGCAAGGGCGCGAAAGTGTATCTGGGTTGGCACGCCTTCTGTGCATGTTGAGAATTCTTGCTGATTTTTACCCCTCGCCGAAGGTGGGATGGAGGGGTGCATTGAAAGGCATTGACTCAGACTGCGTCAACAAAAATGAGAGAAGAACAACCAACCTGAAGAATAATGCGCGAGAAAGAGAAACGTCATGTCTCTTCATCAAACGCCTTTTTCCAAGTCACCCAGTCCGCGGCGTGACATATCTGGCCACCAGAACAAGGCGAGATGAAGTAAACCAAGCAGTCCGAAACTTCATCGATCCCATCAAACCAAGTGTTCGCGAGGACCCCATTTGTTCATCACGCCGAGGTGGGGTGGTGGAATATTACAAACAGATCAGGGGGAAAAGGATGCCTCGTGAGGCGCGGGCCCGTATTGGTGTGATGAAGAGCCGAGATTTGATCGATCGCAAACAGTCGCCATGTGCTTTCTGATGCGATCGCTGTTTGATGTGATACGTCTATGCCAACGAGTTGATGGCACGCAGTGCAAGGCGACCCGTTCATTCATGCGATGTGGTCTTTGTCGCATTGATTGAAGAACTGCTGAATCACCGCCATGTGGTCATGAGCAGCCACATCAAATGAGCATCAAAATTCATTTGAACCGGTTGATTCGCTTATTACTATTAGCCAGCACACCACGTATATGGTTCCGGCCTGTTTTCTTTTGGTTTGGTGCGGCAGGCGAAGTGGCCCGGTGCCGACGGGGAGCATTCCCCAGGACGACCGTTGACATAGTTGACCCGAGGACGAGGGCATGGGCACTGATCCGCGGCACTTTCGAACGATGAGACAAGCTGCTCGTCTGGCTGCGATCAAGATGCGCAATAAGGCGTCGAAAGCCCCTGAAGGTGTTGCGAAGCGTTTGCAGACAGCGTCGCAGAAAGGTGGAAGGACGCACGACGCAGGAACCGACCGCGACAAGCCTTTGCCGTCATGCAGAGGGCAGAGAAATTCTGTTTGAGAAGGTGGGCTGGTCAAGGAGGGGATGTGGGAGAGGCTGGGAGAAAGAGGGGCGAGATGACGGAAGCGGCTCTGGAAAAGTCTCCTTTTGCGACGGGAGGCCTTCTTGAACAAGTCGTGCGCCAACAATCAATAACGGTGGTGAAGTCGAATCATGTCTTGTCCTGTGCTGTAGTGCTGGGCGGCTGCAAGGTAAAGGGCATATAGTCAGCGACAGCGCAGCGCAACCATCACAAAATCGCCAGCCCCAGCTCACGGCACACGAATCATTTCTCGGCGACTCGCCACATCTCGTTGGTGGCACTCCCACGCTGCTTCCTGCCAACCCGCGCGGCCGCAGCTGGGAGTGTTCGCAGCGGCCGCGGACGTATCGCGAGTGACGAGGCTGAGTGCGGGCTCCCATTGCTCGCATGGTGCTGCATTAGTAGAAAAGTGTATGTACAGCGTGTGCAGCATCAGCAGGCAGGCGTGGAGAAGTAGGTCGGTCTGTGGTGGAAGGAGCGATGGAGTGGGAGTGGTTGCCGATTTTAGCCCCGCAAGTCTGGGCGGCCAGAAGTTGAGACAACGTGCTGCGCTTTCCTCGCCCAAGTCAATCTTCCAACACCCATCCCCCTCCCCACTCCTCGCCGCCATCTGCAACCTCATCGACCGCGCCGTCCACCATCCACCGCTGGGACTGAATAGCAGGGCTGTTCGCTTCTGCTCCTCTTGGCGACCCGACTCCCACCGCTTCCATGCTCATCGCCGCCCACATGCTCTCACATCCGTCGTTGCAACAGGCCATCAAGCATTAACCCATCGGCGTCGCTGGCTGCGCTGGCTCCTTTCAACACCGCCCTCGAGCGCCCGCATCACCAGCGATCATAACACGACCCCGCTGCCATGTCTGCCGTCGCAGGCCCCATCGCGCCCACCGCTTCGCCGACGGCGAGTCGCAAAGCCTCCACGAGCACCGACACCAAGGAGAAGGAGAAGAGATACAAGTGCCAGTTCTGCAACCGCGCATTCTCGCGCTCAGAGCACCGTTCGCGCCATGAGAGATCTCGTAAGTTGATACCTGTCGTTCATCTGGAGCAGCGTGTTTTTGGCGGGGTGTCGAGCAAAGCTGTCTACGCGACGACCGACACCGCGAAGTGGGATGGGCGGGGCAGACAACCAGCAAGAGCAACCACAGCTGACCTTTGATACCATCTAGACACCAAGGAACGCCCGTTCAAGTGCATGAAATGTCGCAGCACCTTCGTCCGTCGCGACCTGCTACTGCGTCACGACCGCACCGTCCACGCAAAGGATGGCGGCGTCCCACTGCAGAGCGAGGCCAAACGCCGCAATACCGGCAACAAGTCATCGCAAATTGACGATGCTCCATCAAACAAGCTACCTGAGCTCGACGACACTTCCCTCGAGCAGTTCACCGACGGCGCCAACCCCTTCGACGTCGAGCAGGCTGCCATGTTGATGACCAACTTCCAGCAAAAGGCCGCCCTCTCTGGCCAGGACCAGGCCAGCATCACTGCAGAGCCGCTCATCTCACCGCATGGCCCTCAGATGATGGAGCCATCGATTCCGTCGTATCCCGGCTCGATGACTCTCCCTCAAATGCACGGTTGGGATCAAATGCTGCCGCAGAATGTGTCGCAGCCTAAGGCATCGTCGACCTCGTCCAACGGCGGCGATCATCACGACATGATGCCGTATTCGAATGGAAACCCATTGGCGGCCGTCAGCAGCACACTGCCGCCATTGATGGAGCGTGGTCAAAGCCAGCAAGATGGTCTACCCTCGTTTGGTTCATCATCCATAATGGGAGGCCTGGCCACTCCCGGTGCCTTGTCGCCTTTCCCTTCGATGATTGGACCTGTCTCACCTGTCGACTACAGACGCTCGCCCGGTCCAGCGCAACAGTGTACGATGGCGAGAGCACCACAAGTCGAAACTGAAGACCAAGTCAACCGCATCATGGACAACATTCGCCACTGCGATAGTGAAGGTGCCCTGGTCGAGACATTCCGTCTACCGCAGACGTCTGTCCTCAACCGATACTTGTCGACCTACTTCAACTTCTTCCACCATCACCTGCCCTTCCTGCATCCAGCATCTTTTGACCCAGCGGGCGTCTCTGCGCCTCTGCTGCTGTCTGTCCTGTCCATCGGCGCATTGTACACGTTTGAACAGGATCAGGCCTACATGCTTCACATCGGATCCAAGGTGCTCGTCACGCAGTTCCTGCAGAAGAAGGACAACTTCAGCTCGCGCAAGTGTCCTCTCTGGATGATGCAAAGCTCGCTCCTGAACATGAGCTTCGCCAGCTGGAGCGGTGATCCCAAGGGTCTCGAGTGGGCGTGCTCAATCAAGTCACTCCTCGCGAACATGGTTGCAGGCAACAGATACGAGCTGAAGCTACGTAGCGAAGCTAGAGAAGGACGGCAGCCAACGCACGATGAGTGGATCGAGGATGAAGGTTGTCGTCGAACGTACTATGCAGTGTACATCTTCTTCGGCTTGCTGACTCTGACCTACAACCACACTCCTGCCATCAGCTTCAACGAATTCGACACATTGGAGTTGCCGTCATCAGAAACTCTCTGGAACTTGGAAGCATCCGACAATGACAGCTGGATCGAAAGCTTGACCGCGTCAACGATCATCACCTTCCGCGAGGCACACGATGCCCTCTTCTCCGGCGAGAACGCACGCTACAGCGCCTTTGCTACCAGAGTCATGATCAACGCACTCTTCCTCGAAGTTTGGTACCACAAGCGCAGCCCTGAGGCATTGCAAGACGTCGTCACCGAGTATAAGCTTCGTCTGGCGCTCGACACTTGGGAGAAGTCGCTTGAGCTGTGCGAGCCTGAGACAGTCGTGGTGCAGCTCAGTGCTCCTCACAAGGGTCACCCCCTCATTTTCAACGCCATGGCGATGTATCGCAACACCCGAGCGAGACTACTGGTCGACCTCAAGGCTGTTCAAGAAGCGTTGCGCTACCATGACTCCTACGAAGTCGCTGCTGCAATGACACATGCTCGCGACAAGGTCAAGAGATCGCAGGAAATGCTCAACGTCATCCAGGCATGCTTCGACTGCATTGAAGTGGCGGCCTTGCAAGGAATTAGATGGGTGGCCCGAACTTCAGCAACCAACTGGAGTATCGAGCACCCACTTTGCGGTTTGGACTTGATCGTGATCCTCAGCCTGTGGTTGTGGCGCGTCGAGCATGACGATGAGCCTGCCACAGAGGAAGAGACCGCCATGTACCAGAAGTTGCGCAGCCTCTTCGACGATGATACCGTGGACGGCTTTGGGTCCAAACTCAGCTCCACGGTGGCTCGTCTATGGGGAAGCATGATCGACGAAGTCGTCGTCTGGGGGTAAGTTTTAATATTAAAGCGTGCTCATTGAATATGCTAACATCTTCACAGCATCACCAAGCTGATGGGCGAATCCTTCAAACTCCACTCCCAGGCACTGATCGGTTACGAAGACGCTCTCATGGCCGAACAGAACAACGGCACACCACCCACCATCGCTCCCCACGCCACCGAAGTCACGGCCTACTAAAACACTCGCGACTTGATGAAATCTCATCACCCCCTGTAATAGAGTGATACCCCACGCACGCGCGGCGAACCACCACCACCACCACCACCACCACCACCACCACCACCCTTCTGTACTATTCTCCTCTCCTTGTCCGGCGTTAACAGGATCGCCGGAAGCCATGTACCAGATATCCTTGCTGCAGAACAATGGCAAACAGCGCGTTCAGTAATCAGAGGCCGGGCTGTTCTTTTTCGATCTTTTTTTCGGGCTGAGGAAAACTGGAACTCTCGGACTACTACTTTACCTACCTAATCATTCGGACTCGCTTGAGCATCGCCATCCACAGAGATGGTAGGATGTTCGAGCTGGTTCGAGTCGGCTGGACCGCGCAACATGTCGACAACAGGGTATCTCCTTTCTCCCTCTCTAATCCACGCGTTTTGAGGTTTACTGGTTTCCGCGTTATATACCATGTGCTAGTGTATCGGCATTCCTTTTTTCTGTGGCTTTCTGCTCTGTCGTGTTTCCCTTGTGTTTTTGGCTTGCGCTTTTCACAGCGGCGCGAGAAACATGAGTGTGTTGTTTTTGATGGGAGCATAGCGTGGGGGTTTGCGGTTTTTCCATTTTGGAGGTCTTGAAGAAAGAGAGAGTGAGAGACAGTGTACAGTACAATTATTCGAGCAGCAGTATGCAAAGATTGAGCTGACTATACCTCGGTTTTCCCCTCTTCTTTACTTAAGTGTGTCTCTTGGTATCACCGTTGAGGGGTGTGCGGGCTGATGGAGGGTCACACGACAGCTCCTGATGTTGCTCCTCATTCGGTTGATGATATCCTGAAGGAGGCGGAGGTGGAGTAAAGTCGACATGTATACTCTTCCTACCGTCGTACATCCTCCGCCTCTTAACACATACCGTTTACGAATGATTTACTCCAACCACAACCAAAATCACAGTCGAAACCCTCACCATGCCAACCCCTTCCCAGCACCAGACCATAGAAAACAAATCCATCTTCCACGGCCTGCCCACCTACTCCGCCGAAGACCCCTCGAACCAAAACCTCACAGCGCTCATCACCGGCGCCAACGGTATCTCGGGCTATCACATGGTCAAAGTCCTCTCCGCGGCTCCTGCTTCGCGATGGAAGAAGATTTGTTGTTTGAGTCGGAGTCCGCCGCAGGATTATTTCTGGGAGGGCCTGGATAGGGAGAGGGTGGAGTTTTTGGCTGGCGTGGATTTTTTGCATGATGCGGGTGGGGAGGGCGTGAGGGGGGTTTTGGTGGAGGGTGGGGTGGAGAGGGTGTAGGTTTCACTTTCAACATGTTTTCGCCCCTTCTGTGTGAGGTTTTTGAGTATGACGATGGTGGAGGGGCTGATGTGTTGGTGCTGTGATTAGGGATTGTGTGTTCTTTTTCAGTTATGTGCAGCCGAAGCAGAAGGGGGGTGTTGGGGGGATGTGGAAGGAGGCGGATGAGTTGGCGGAGGTTAATGGTATGTCTCTCTTGGTCTGTTCTCTAGGCCATGGAGGTGTCTATGCTGATTTGGTTGGGTGACAGCTAGGTTATTGAGAAACTTCATGGAGGGACTGAGACTGGCGAATCTGAAGCCCAAGAGGTTTCTGTTGCAGACTGGGGCGAAGCATTACGGTCAGTTGCTTGAGCATCCTCGTAAGAGCTGCGTTGACGGCGTGGATAGGTTTCCATATCGGACCGGCCACAAATCCGTCTTTTGAGAGTGATCCGAGAGTGACGCTCGAGAATAGCTTTTACTATCCTCAGGAGGACCTTCTCTTCAACTTCTGCAAGGCAACTGGAGCTCAGTGGAGTGTCGTGAGACCATCTTGTATCATCGGGGCTGTGAGGGATAACACCTTGAACTTCTGGCCTGGCATTGCGGTGTATGCGGCAGTGCAAAAGTATCTGGGCCGACCGTTGCAGTTTCCCGGGGGCTTCACGGCTTGGGATAAGGAGAGTTGTCGTGAGTGAATTCCAGACCTCGTCTCGCCGGTGAGCTGATTCCAGTTAGAAAGCACGGCAATGCTGAATGCGTACTTCGAAGAGTGGTGTGTCCTGACAGAGCAGGCGGCGAATGAAGCGTTTAATATCCAGGATGGATTGAACTTCACATTCTCTCGTCTTTGGCCGTACCTTGCCGATTGGTATGATATGCCGTGGGAGCCGCCGTCGTTGAACGAGTCGAAGTACAGAGTCTCGGAGACGAGACATCAGGCTACTCCAAGAGGGCGAGCAGTAACATAATAATCTTGATCACAGGATGCTGACATCGTACAGATACGGCTGGGCCGCCAGCCGCACAACGTTCAGCCTGCAAGAATGGTCCGAGTCCCAGGAAGTCGTCGATGCCTGGGAAGTCCTTTCGAAAAGACACGGGCTACGTTTCGATCCCTTCAAGGATCGGGCGCAGGTATTTGGAATCACTGATTCTGCCCTTCTGGGTGGTTGGCCGCTGTCGTTGAGTATGAGGAAGGCGAGGAAGTTCGGGTTTCATGGGACTGTGGATTCCTATGAGTCTGCTTTTGAGACAATCAAGGCGTTGGCGAGGATGGGGGTGGCGGTGCCGATGGTGAGGGGGGAGTTTAGGGAGGATGTCTGAGGATTTTCTGTATTGCAGAACCTGTTCAAGCCGTGATTACGCTCTCATCTTGGAGAGATATTGACATGAAGTTGTTGAAAGACTTCAACGAGGCGAGTGAATGTTTGGGGCTTGCGCAGGGTTCAAGGAAGGTTGAGCGGCCGGGCCCGAAGCGTAGTCATTTGATTGGCTCTCACGCAGGAACGAGAGCTCCACCGCCCAATATTAACCTGGCCAGAGGCGAACAACCTCCTTGATCAGGGTGCCTCTGGAGCTTGCGCGTCTTCCACTCTCGCCCTCACCAGCAGGAAACGATATCACCAGCTCACCAAGTCTGTCGCTTCCACGAAACAATAGGATCGAATACATCAAACGCGTGTGTCACCTTCCGCGCGACCAAGTAATCGCGGTTGTCCCAGAGACAGAGCCACGGTTGGGACTTGCCTCCATCCCAACTGTCTTACCTACGACTTCGACTTCGCTATACCACAAACAAAACACTTCTCGTACTTGGATACTACGAATCATACGAGCCTGCATCTTCCAGTACCGCATCGTTGCGCTTGACAAAGCCACCACACCACTGCACGACCGACTACGCGACCGCACAGCCCCACTCTGCATCCAGCAAACATGAAGTTCTCAAACACAGCCTACCTACTGGCAGCCTTGTCCGCGGCGACACAAGTCCTTGCAGATGACGGTGACTTGGAGCCTACGCCGGTATTGCGAGAATTCGTCCTTCCTGAGGCTGGACAAGTCGATCTGGTTGATCTATACGGCAACCACTTGGAGTGAGCATACAACAATCACTACAACAATGAGAGTCAGACTAACGCCCCCGTGTAGCCTTCGACAGGCCACCGATATCAACCAGGGCGCCACTCAAGCCGCCACGCAAGCCCCCGCCGTCACCACGTTCATGATGAACAAGGCCGTTGGCGCGACCGTCACATACGCCGCCTGGGTTTATACACAAACATTTGCAGAGGTGCCCGATCAGTTGCCTACACCGATCGCAGGGAAGATCGGTCTGGGAAATTTGGTGAAGCAGGGCAATGGCAAGAGAGACGCACAACCGGCAGCTGGTATTGCTGGAAGAATTGGGCGATAGAGGAATAGCAGGTCTAAGTACCTGCTGCCTCTTCGTCCGCAGATATTTTGTCAATGGCTGTTTGGCTGATGCGTCTTCTGCGTGTTCAGGGTCTCCTGTGGTTCTGGCGCAAGAGCAGGTCGGCGTCACTTTCTGGCAGCAGCCCATGAAACGCGTTACGGAGAGGGTGATCATTCCTGTAACTGCCACGGAGGCTTCGTCGACCGGAGAGCCACCAGCGGTCACACCAAACGGCAGTCCCGCATGGAGCCCACCCTACGTCTGGAATACAATGATGGGGAATCAGACCAACGCGACAATGACTGGCACCGCATCTGGAACAGCGACAGCTGGCACCGCGAGGTCCATCTTTCCGAGTCAGATGAACCCCGCCCAACACTTGCCTCCTTACGACGACTACGGGACCTAATTTGACATCAACTTTTCTTTGTAGATCATGCGTTCGAGCGACAATTGCATGGACTTGAGGCGTTTTGGAGTTTTCAGGCGATCGTCAACAGAACTTTCAATGCATGAATACAGTCGTAGTGTACTGTACAGATATCTACAGATCTGAGATATGAAGAAGAATTACAGAGTGCCTTTGATCGGCGAATTCAACCGGCTCAAGAATCAACAATTGCTCTTCGTCTTGCCTCGAAGTGCGTGGAGGATGCAACTCGGGTGCTCGTCAGGGTGATATTCTTTTGCCTCTGACTTTGGCAGACCCAGAAGCTTAGAGAACATGTCGATATCTCTCGTCGAGCTGCCAAGCACTTCTCCCATGTGTGGTCCTTGGTCACTCCATTCGACTCTCTGCAACCGGCACTTTCTCCCCTGATTGCCATCAGTATCACTATCCGTAGCATGGAACAGCGCCACCGTCTCCCCGCCAAAGTTCAAGAAGCAGCCATGACCCGGACCAAACGGCCCTTGACCATCATCAGAATCCTGGAGAAGAGGTTCGGTCGATTTCTTCCACGATGCTGGATCCAACGGGTTGCCTCCTAGATACTCCAGCGTCGCCATCTTGTAGTGTTTCGTCCAGCTGGCCGCACAGCTGTACACCAGCCCTCTCCACGATCCATCAGGAGCTTCCAGCCATTGCGGTCCCTCGCAGATTCCGATGTGTCCGAGATGTTCCCATGGCTGGTGTGGGCGACAGATCTCGACGGGTTCTGAAGCCGCCGTGGTTGGGTCTGATAGCCTCAGAATATACAGCAACTGCAAGTCCTCCCTGAAATCATTCCACTCCCTCTGCGGGCGCATGGGCCAGCCAGAATACACAAAGTACAACTCCCCATCCAGCTCGAAAACCGTCCCATCGATCGCCCACTGTCGTTGATCCATGCCTTGAATCGGACCCAGGAATTCCCATCGACTCGCATCATGAGGATCTTCTGACGCCGGAGGTCCCCCAAGAACATACATCCTATGCGACCTGTTCCCCTGGGCAGGATCCGCCGCCGCGTAATAGATATACCATCTCCCTTGCAGGGCGTGGAGTTCGGGCGCCCAGAGACGGGAGGAGTGTGGTGTGTTTGGTGGTGGACGCCTTTGTTCGATATCAAGTCAACCAAGAGAACACGTTTGTGGTGTTGAGGGGAGGGTTTCGACGTACCATACGGGTCCTATCTTGGGCTTCTCCCAGAAGTCTAGCAGGTTTGGGGCTTCCCAGAGAGGGATTCGGTCGTTGGCTGTGAAGGTTAGGTAGAATTTGCCGTGGACGTGGGTGAAGTGAGGGTCCGGGGTTGGGGTGGAGGTGATGTTAAGGCAGGGTTGTGGTGGCATGGTCGTTTCGTTTCTTTTTGGAGCGGTGTTGCTGATCTGAAAGACAGGCGCATTTTGGCATTCATGTTGTGTGTTGGCAATGTCACGTTGACGTCGCGAGACGCGACTTCCACCTGATTGGACAAACAAACCATTCAACAATTGAACCCCCTGCAAACGAACGAGCAAAGGATAGCTGCCTTAGGCAGCACACATGGGAGTTGGCCTGTGCCCGCGCGGCTGAAGTGCAAGTTAATATAAATGGACCTCGCGTAGACTATATTCCACACTATGGAATCCTTCGACTAGGGTATGGAGGGCTGAACAAACGACCCATCACGCTGTTAATATTCTCCGATTGTCGCGTGCATTGGAGACACGAAGTCACAACCTGGACATTGTTCCTCCCTTGCAAGTCTTTCACCACCATCACGAGATGGCGTACATGTACTCCTTCTCCGTGAAGTACCTCTTACTAGCAACACTCACGACGAGAATAGCGTCCGCCGATTATACCAACTTCTACTTCAACTCTTCCAATGGATGTCCGGGTCTTGGAATCGGCTGTACTGCGCCGGAGTCCATGTGCGCGTACGACAGTGTGAACGACAAGTACTACTGTTGCTCCGGGTCAAACTACGACATCTGTCGAGCGTTCGCGGCGACGTGTGGTGGCAGCGACGGGGGACCGAGCAGCAGCCAGCAGACGTGTACCTCTGGCAGTGACAGCTGGTGCTGTTTGAGCGCGAACAATGAAAGATGTACGAGTCGGACAGGTCAGTATCGAGACGTTCTTATGGAGAGTCTAGCCGCGCGGGGTTGTTGACGTGTTCTTCTTTTACCCAGGGCAAGTCAATGTGTGTGTCGCGACTCAGGACAACCCGATTGCGGCGGTGCCCGAGCTGCTGATGAACGAGACGTTCTCCTCTCTGTCCTCAGCGGACCCTTCGGCCACATCGTACTCGGTCGATGTCAACTCCCTCGCGGCGAGAGCGACGGCCTCTTCGACTTCGTCGTCGAGTCTTCAATCCACATCAACCACAACTTCTCCTTCCGCCACGACGACACAAAGTCCAGCACCAGACGACTCGGACTCGATCTCGGGAGGTGCAATCGCAGGCATCGTCGTAGGATGCGTCGTCGGCCTAGCAGCCATTGCCGGGCTCATCTGGTTCCTCCTTCGGCGTCGACGAAGTCAGAAGAAGAGTGCCTCCGAGATTCCACCGGCAGCATTCCCCTTGGGACACTCGGCCGAGAAGCACGATCACCCAATGGGCTCGCCATTACCGGGCACCAAGACGCCTGCGCCGCAATATCAGATCGCCGAGATGGACGGGAGACGCGAGGTCAGTGAGGTAGCCGGGTGGGACCCTCACACGGGCTTGCTGAGTAACAACGAAGAGCCCACCGAGTTACCTGCTGGGCCCCTGGGACCGAGAGAGCTTCAGGGATGAAGTAGGCGGTTCGATTGATTGGATGGTTTCGTGGTCCGGCAGACTATGGGGAGGAGAATACCCATCTCAAAGACCTCGGATTCTCCTTGTCATACTGCTACTGGCGTGGCATCGACTGGATGGGGCTTCACGGCTTCGATGTCCGCCAGGGCATGCATTGTGGGTGCGTCAATCGAAGTGTGCTACGTTTCGTTTCAGGCGAACGATGGCCATCTGTTGACTTCAATTCTCGAATCACTCCGACCTTCATACACCCTTTACTTTGGATTACTTCATTTCCACTGCGTTAGTAGATACCAGACCAGCGCAGTCATTGGAGATACCGAAGGGCACACACCGAGTTGCATCGGAAGGGCGGTCATTCTGATTCTGACCATGAGAACCTCAGCCACAGGAGCGGATATCAACTTGGCTATGCAGTGGAGACGTAGTTAAGAATTGGCTGACTGTGTCATGGAGGACGAGTGATAGCAAAGCAAAAGGAAGATAATAGCGCATCCAAGGAGCCCCCGCATTCCCGACGAGGGGCCGGGGCCGGCTGCGAGGGGCGGGGTATATCCAAAGTCACTTCCCAAAGTTTCTCTCAACTTCACCTCCCATGCTTCACAACTCTCTGCCCAATTCACACTCGGGCCAGCTGCTTCTCAATTCAGACACATATCAATGCATCAATCTCTTGATTCCTCGCGATGGCGGCAAGGCTTCCAGCCCTTATCTACATGATTTCCGCCAATGCACGCCTCAGCCTTTGGCGTGGGCGATCGCGCGCTCTCGAAGTTTTGGGCCACGGGACGATGCATCAATCGTTGCGTCTTTTGTGCAACAATCCTTTCCTTGAAATTTGATCTTAGACGTAGATCTATGACTGCAAAAAAATGTTGTTTCCGAGGCGCGAGAACAATGAGCACCCCCATTAGCACGACCTTCTCGCCTACTTTTATCAAACTTGTGCAACGGATCGTCTTGGGATCGGGTGGCTGGCTGTGTGTATCTCGCGTCTTCAACAGCAAGCCACCGAACCAAGGAGTATGCCTTGATGTCGTTAGTCTTGACGCATCTGGTTGCTTCTACTGGCAAAACTCTCCGGAGGTACGTTTTAGTTTGTTGGTACTTTTTACCCTCAGTCATGACCGTAAACGCCGCTAATCCGGCCGCACAATCGAGTCAGCCTGCACCCGCGAGCTCCTCGCGGAGTGGCGGTACAAATGCCGCAGCTGCGTCGTCAAAGGGCGAGGCCGGGATTTTGGTGTGGCTCGTTGCGAGTGTTGTGAGCGGTTGGGTGTATGGAGGATAGCGGTTTGTATGAGCTGGATGATGATGGGGAGAATGGCCTCAGTTTGAGGTGGGAAGAGGATTTAGTTGTGTGTATGGACCAAGGTCCTCTTGAGACGGGAAAGGGGACAGAAGTGGACGGAAACGCCCTACATAGTAAATGACGTGGAAGGAATAGAAATGAGAAATCACATACTTGGACCACCCATTCAACGTCAGTCAAGGCATGGGAGGACTTTTGGCCTCCTAGAGACAAAGTCTGTCAAGCCCATGCTGATGACATTGGGGGTGAATAGAAAAGATCATACTCCACCTTGCGTCCATCCAAGCGATCCTTTGGTAACGCTCCATCGGATATATTAAGGCCAGCTCCATGTCACCAGCGTCGAAGCCTTCCGCTATGGCTATGGCAATGACTGAACTTCAATGCGTTGCCGAAGCGCTCTCAAAGCGCTGTCCTGGAACGACGGGCGAGATCAATTGATTGGCCAGAAGTAACGACCCGTGCACGGAAGCTAAGGGATGTCCAAAATTGAAGTGCTCTCTCCGACGCGTGCTTCACTTCGACGCGCTCTTTTTCTGCCATTTGTGCTTTCCCGACGTGTTTTCTTGACGCGCTAGTGCAGACGCTTTCATTGGTTAAATTTAGCGGCCCGTAGACGGACGCTAATGGATGTTCAAATTTCGAGTTTCTTTCCGTCGCGTCGTTCGACTTCGACGCGCTCCTTGGAGGCGCTCACCGACGCGTTCGATGCTTGAGACAGTACTATTGGCCGAGATCAGCGGCCCGTCAACGGAGGCTAAGTTACGTTCAAACTCTAATGCGCTCACGCTGCGCTCTGTGGCTGCGCAGTGGGCGACTTTTGTACACACGCTGTGACGTGCGAAGGCGTAGAAGCTGTCGCAAGCATGCATGAGCATCAAGTGTGGTTGCCCCGACGCACGCCGAATCGAGCACAACGACCACAATGCCCAGCACCAGTACCTGAGGCCGCCTCGGTCATGCCGCCGTCGTACAATCCAGGGAAGACTTCAGTCCTGATGCTGACGGGCTCACGAACTACCGTGTTCCATCCAGGAGCTGCCGGCAACGACCTCTCACTCGATATAGCGACGAGCACCAGTCATACGCCCTCTGACGATCCAACATTGCAGGAGACGTATCTTTCCCAGAGCAGATGACCGCCTCTTGATGAACCCATCGACGCCCGGATGACGACGCACAGAAATATCGGCCCAATGGCCAAGGTGTCGGTCTCCTCGGCGGCCAGTATGCTTCGTTGTCTTGTCGCTCGGTACAGCTGCATTGCGAAGTGTTTGCCTGTCAGCTGCAACACGCGTCCGTCGAACCTGTCAAGGCCTGAGGATACCATCAGCTGCGCCGATGTGGACGCCAGATGTGTCTTGCTCTTGCAACATCCTTCTTGCTAACGCATGGCGTGCAGGACCTGCCAGCGCACAAGCGGGGCTTCTGCATGCTCATGGCTGCGCTGCGCCCCTCGAACCTCTCGGTTGCCTCCCAGTTGACTCGCATCGTCTTGAAGCACAGAACAGTTTGGCGGCCATGCTGGTGATGCAGGAAATCTGCTCCACCGCGGTGGAATTGGTTGAAGGAGAGAGACGGCGCAGAAGCATCGTATCTTTCACTTATAAGGAGTGCGCCGGTTCGGCAGGCAATGCACACCCTATTTCAACGTACCCTGATGTTTGCCTGGATCACAAGAGCACCTGATCGACCACGTACCTCGCCCTGATGCGCCATCTGAGACAAACATACTCTGCGGCACCACAGCTCGAAAGCGAACAAAGGGTGTGAACGGGGCGTAGCGATCCCGCTGCCTTCAGCCGGAGGACGGCCTTATCTGACGGAGACACTGGCCTTCCGGCCAGGAGCTGCAAGTCGGATCGATTATTCATTGGCCTCCCGAATCAATGGTGGAAGTCTTCCAACCCGGCTACCTGCATCTTGAGAGCAGCTGGCGATGTATGACAGGCACTTCTGTACCACGCCCTCCCAACTATGAATCGCACAGGCTGTGAAAAACACCGCCATCATCTGCGGGGTCGTACAAGCTCTGGGCTCGACACAATGAACAAAGATCGCCAGCTGTCGAAGCTGAACTCGGCTGCATGTCTGGTTGCCTTCATACCCTGGTTGCCTTGTGGTTCGCATTGGCCTTGGGAATGCCCCAGGCCTTCGACGCCGAACGCCCCATGCACCTCATCCGGGCGGCCTCTTCATACTACATGCAATAATCGCATCGATTGCAGTCCGCGAAGCTTGCTTTCAAATCGTAGTGGTGGCACGGGCTGTGAAGGGCGATAGCTCCACCATGCAACGGGGCGGAGGTTGCACTCCTCGACAAGGCAACTTCAGTTCTTCTTGTGAGTCCAGGCAAAGCATTCATCTACCCTGACCTTCCTTCCCCCCGCCACTCGCAAACTCTCTTTCCACTCTCATCACTCCGGCTGCCTTGACTCACTTACTTGAGCCGCATCGCGCTTAAGAAAGGCAACCAGCCGCCTCGTTCTATCGGCAACCCGAGTCACGTCTGTGCCTTTGATCACATCTTCGAAGATCTTGTCTCATTCCCAGCCATTTGAGTGTCTAGCTAGCAAATCAACAATGGCACAAATGCCACCCCCTCCTGGCTTCCCCCAAGGGCAGGGATTTGATCCTTTCCCGCAGTTTGACACGGGTGGTCTTGACTCTGATGATTTCGGCGGGGACTGTGGCCATGGACCACAGCGGAGCAATAGCACCAAGAAGAACAAAGACGGCAAGAAGAAGAATGCCCCTGTTGAGGTTCAGTATGAGGGCTTTATGCTCGAGAAAGCTCCTCCGGACCAAGTGGGAGAGAAGCCCAGCTGGTCCAGAGTTGGTCGTCGTCCTCTTCCATTCGCAGACTCCAAACTAGCTAGGATTTGCCAGAAAGTCCGCATTGAGGACAGGATGGGACCGATGACCGCGTTGTCAAGGCTGTCTGGAAGCCAGCAAGGCGTCATCACTCGACTCATCGCCAAACGTCAACTGGAGGAGAAGAACAAAGATGCCGAGTGGGTGCTGGAAGGCTTGTGGAAGGAGACTAAGAAAGTCTGGCGAACACGGACTATAGAGGTTGTCAAGATCATGGTTATCCTCAAGCGCCAGGATCGGAATGCTACGACTTCTGGTCAGAGGGTTGCCACTACTGCTACGGGGGCGAGTCTGTATCAGCAGAGTGAGATTATTGATCTCGCGGAGCCGGTAAAGGAGAAGAAGAAGGAGAAGAAAAAGAAGGACCGTGATGAGGAGGATGACCTGTGGGATGGACCGCCTGGAGGTTTTATGCCAGGTCCCTTTCCTGACGCTGGGCACGGTCATCATCATCAGGATGTGCCAATCGTTGAGGTTCCGCCACCGCCTCATGGCCACCAGCAGCATCACCAAGGTCATCATGATCAGCAACATATGCCACCAGGCGCAATCCCTGTCGGTGCATGGCCACCTCCACCCGGCCAACAGCAACAACATCACGGCCCTCTCCCTCACGATGGCAACCCCTTCCAACCCAACCCGCAATTCAACTCCCCCGGCGCCTTCGACATACCCCCAAGCATGGCCGACCAACGCCAAAACCACTTCCAAACCCGCGCAATGACGCCCAACGGCCGACACTCTCGCTCCAGGTCCCGCGAAGAGCAAGAACGTCGCCGACGCTACTCCTCGGAACGTCGTCAACAGCTCGACTCGCAACGACTCGAGCGTAAGCTTGACGATATCCAAGACCGTCTTGAGGATCGCGAGGAGAGGATCAATGATATTATCAATAAAGTCGAAGACTGGAATCTCCGCGACACACCTCCTTCCTCGGCGGACTCCTTCCGCGATGGGGATGATCTCTGGAGTGCACCGTCCGGAGGGTCGTTCACGCCGCCGTCCTCACCACCTCTCAGTGCTGTCATGATGGAGGGACCGAACGGGTCTTTGGGGAGAAGAGCATCTCACAAACAGTATCACTCCCGTCGCGACTCCGGCTACAACGCCTACCCAAGAGAATACCACCGCCGCAGCGCAGCCCAAGTCGTCCTCGAACCGCACATCAACAACCCCCGCCACCAACGCATCGACTACGGCCCCCAACCCCTCCGTCGACGCAGCGACGCAACAGGTCTCGGACTGCGCTACCCCAACTCCCCGAACGGCGGCTCATCGCCGCGCCGACATGGTGGTTCGCGACCTTTGCTCCACCATGGGAATACCTGGAATGGGAATGCCAGAGATGACTATCTTGGGACTCCATATGCGGAGCGGGAGAGGCCGAGGGCGATTGCGCAGTATCCTGCTGGGGAGGAGTATGGGGTGGCGGATTTTAACGGGGGGAGGAGGAGGAGGTATTATGGGGAGAGGAGGGAGAGGGAGAGGGAGAGGGAGAGGGGTTATGTTGTTGATGAGAGGAGGGGTGGACGGAGGGATAGGGAGAGAGAAAGGGAGAGGGAGAGGGAACGAGGGTATTTTTGAGTGGGGAGTGTGAGGTGGAGGGAAGTGATGGGGTTATGACTTGTATGAGTAATGCTTCTCACTACTTCTTTCTTTCTTGGGATTATAGCTCGTGGGTCGGCGTGGCTATGACTACCTTATTCTTTGATATCAGAGATGTCAAGACTGAACGAACTGTTCGAAAGGCACCATGGAAGCTTTGAATACTTGCCTCAGTGAATCTCACTAACTCACCTCGCCTTGTAGCACATTGCAATGCATTGCGAAGGGCGTCGTACACGACCTGCGCCTTGTGCACTCAACTCGCGTCTGGATGCTGATGTGCGCATGGCGTCGTGCGACGTGGCGACCATGTTGCTGTGCGCGAACGGTTGTGCGAGGTTGTACGACATTTTTATTGCAGGACGACAGCCGTGTTTGGCGATACTTGAGAGGGGGTGGGTATGGTTGGTATTGTTCTGGCAGGATGAGAATGGCTGGATACCAAACGCAAAGGAGTCGCTGTATTGCTGAAGGTAGCCATTGTTATGATACTAAACACGATACTTCTTCATCGTGATTATTGATAATTGCCCTGTGGTAGTGAAGCCAGGGTCCGAATGGTCGAGCCTCGGTGTCCGCTCAATGTTGGTGTAATGCATTTTTCTTCCTTCGCCACTCAATTCCTTTGCAGAAGATCGTCGGGCGTCGGTGGAAACTTGACATGTCGATGGTGCACAAGGCGTTCACGTCGCGCACAAATCCTTCATAATAAAAACAAACCAACATCAACCCTTGCCATGCAGCCCTACGTTCAGTGCAGGTGCTCGCTTGGGAGGCGCACACGCCAGAGGGGAGCCCCTGAGATTTGAGTAGAAAATGGGAGGGCCAGTGGAGAAGAGGTTGGGTCCCTAATCAAGTGTCGGAAATTGCTGTTGGGCCAAGAGGCAGACAGCCGTTTGGGCTAGCGAGCAACGAGGTAGTGCGCTTTTCTTGATGACCTTCCGATCCTAGTCCCTCCTCTCAATGCCTCTTTCTTGAATCGATACATCCAACTCTGCGATTGTGAACTTGGTCGTTGTCTTGTTTCGGTGTCGCGGGAATTGAGTTTGAGGAAGGGAAAGGGAGTCGGGGAAGCTTGTTGCCAGTCTTGCTGCGTCATTATTTTCTACGAAGACCGGAGCGGACGAGAGCTGACTGAGCGGCTGGGCATCTTGGGCAGCGCGCGTCGAGCAACGAGCCACGAGGAACATCACGCGACAGTCAGCATTTCTGGAGAGGGAAGAGTGCGAGGAATTTCTGGCGGAGCACGGCGCTGGGGAATGCGGTCGTAGAGGTACGTCTTGACAGTCAGCGCAAAGCTGAGCCCCCTTGTTCGTTGCACCCTCTCGTCAAACTCCCGAGCCCAAGGAACCAGCAGCACGGCAGCCACGTTCACCGCCAGCGCGAGCGAGTGGTAGCGACAAACACAATATCAACGACCGCAACAGCAGCATTGGACCGGACTGGACATCATCGAGGATCCCGTGCAGGACTCGTTCGGGCGGCGGCACGTCAGCGATACACCAGCTGAGATTCGTCGGATGCGGCGGAACAGGGCACGTCGTTGACCTAGCCGCAGCGTCCGGAGCTGCACGCAAACAAGACGCCAAAGCCTCTTTTGACATCACCGCCGCCAGACACAGCGCTGCATTTGAACCGCCGGCCTGCCTGTACCGCTGCTGCTGCTGCTGCTGCTACTGCTCGACCTACGACCTACCGACGACCGCTCCCTACCTGCTGCCACTCCTCGCCTCGCTTGCACGTGGCCATTCGCTCCTTGCCACGCCTGCACCACACACACCACTACACTCCCACCACACCTCAGCGCTGCCATTTGCTTACGCCACCTCGTCGCGGCCCTCTTCATACCGCCTGCATGATACAACCGCCAGCTCGAGCTGCGCTGCTATAAACCTCCAAAACTAATCATAATCTCCCTCCACACAGACGCCATGCCTGCCATCCGCGCCCTCAACCCCTTCGCCTCGTCACCCACATCCTCCCCGGACACCGCCATCCTGTCCGAAAAGGAGCCCATTCGCATCGAAACTCGCGAGACCACTCCGAACAAGCAGGGAATCCGCATCCCGCGGCCCAAGTTCTCTCTGCCCTTTACCAACAGCAATCCCAAGACTGCCAAGATCCTCTTGACACCCGAACCGCAACAACAGCAGTTCAAGCTAGAACCGCCGCAAATACCAAACTTCCGACCACCGAGCCCGCAGATCCCCACCCTCAGCCTGCCGACGATCAACCTGACGACCGCAACGGGTGAGAAGAGCAAGATGGAGAAGGCCGAGCCATTGACGCTCTTCTCCCCACCCACACCTGCAGAGGCGCGGCGGATTGCGAAGCAACATGCGGCATTCGGACCTCTGGGCTCGAAGCAACATCTATACTCTTCCAGATTTGTGGGCGATGAGTTCCCCGAACCCATTGAAGACGAGCCGCCATACTACTACCTCATCACAACCTACATCTCCTACTTGATCCTGATCATCTTCGGGCATGTGCGAGATTTCTTCGGGAAGAGGTTCAAGCCGGATCATTACAAGCAGCTGCGAGAGCAAGACGGCTACGCTCCATTGAACTCTGATTTTGACAACTTCTATATCAGACGACTGCAGCTGCGAATCAACGATGTCTTCAGGAGGCCAGTGACAGGTGTGCCAGGTCGTTTCATCACGCTTTTGGACCGCCAGAGCGACGACTTCAACCTGTCTTTCAGACTTACAGGCACCACCACCCAAACCCTCAACATGTCGTCATACAATTACCTTGGTTTTGCGCAATCAGAGGGCGAGTGCGCCGAGGCAGCGGAAGCCAGCGTCAAGAAGTACGGCATCTCGTTTTGCTCACCTCGCGCGGATTCTGGAACGTCAGAGCTGCACCGCGAGGTTGAAAGCCAGGTCGCGGAATTCGTCGGCAAGGAAGCGGCCTCGATCTACTCCATGGGCTTCGTTACCAATGCCACCATCTTCCCTGCACTTGTCGGCAAGGGCTGCCTCTTGATCTCCGATCAGCTCAATCATTCTTCGATCCGATTCGGTGCACGGTTGAGCGGTGCTGTCATTGACATGTTCAAACACAACGACATGGTCGCCCTGGAAAAGCTGCTTCGCGAGAGGATCTCGCAAGGCCAGCCAAGAACTCACCGACCGTGGAGGAAGATTCTTGTCGCAGTTGAAGGTCTTTACAGTATGGAGGGTACCATGTGCAACCTGCCAGGTCTGATCGCGCTGAAGAAGAAGTACAAGTTTGGACTTTACGTTGACGAGGCGCACTCGATCGGTGCTCTTGGGCCTCGTGGCCGTGGTGTCTGCGACTACTTCGGCATCAACCCGTCAGAGATTGACATCCTCATGGGTACCTTCACCAAGTCTTTCGGTGCAAACGGTGGCTACATTGCTAGCAGCAAGGCTTTGATCGACAAGATTCGCATCAACAACGCTGGTACCATCTTTGGCGAATGTCCAACCCCAGCCGTCCTCAGCCAGATCAGCTCATCTCTCCGCATCATTGCTGGCGAGCTGGCTCCAGGCCAGGGTGAGGAGCGTTTGCAGCGTCTTGCATTCAACAGCCGATACTTGCGACTCGGATTGAAGCGACTCGGATTCATTGTCTACGGCCATGACGACAGTCCCATCATTCCACTTCTGCTCTACCATCCAGCCAAGATCCCAGCCTTCTCCCACGAGATGCTCAAGCGCAAGATTGCCGTGGTCGTTGTCGGGTACCCTGCCACGCCTCTCATCTCCTCACGAGCACGGTTCTGCGTCAGCGCAGCACATACCAAAGACGACCTGGATAGATTACTGGCCGCTTGCGATCAAGCTGGAGACGTTTTGCAGTTGAAGTTCAGCTCTGGTATCGCCGGTGGACAAGAACCTCTCCACGACGGTTTGACCAACGAGAAGGAGGTCGAGATCCGCTCTTGTCTCGAAGCCGGTGGCAATCCGGCAATTATTCCGCCACGATGGAGGCTGGAAGACGTCGTTCGACGTGGTGTCCAGGACGTCAAGCAGCCATTGACATAGATCGCATGCACGCACGCAAGCCAGAGCTCTCACGAGCCATGTTACATGACGAATTCAACGCAAACACAGAAAACACCAGGGGCATGACATGCATGACCAAAGAAGAAGAAGAACCAAGCAACCACATACCACACGTTTCCCAGCAGCAGCGACGGGCTTCGCGCGCGGGAAGAGTCACGGCCCATTGAGGCAATTGCATTTGCATTAAAAACCAAGCGCAGACGATGGAATTGATTGATTGTTTTTTTGTGAAGGAGAGATCGCCCGAAGGTCCTCCCAGCAAAATCACCCCTATTATTAATGTTTATAGATTCTGTTCTATTAGAGATTGGTGATGGGGCGAACAATGGGGATCACATTCATCGTGGATGGGGTGTCATGGGATGGGATGATGGTAGGGATGGGATGGGAAGGAAGTGTAGTGTAGATGATGGATAAGATCAATTTTGAGGAGATGATGAAAGATTTCTAAATCTTGTTTTCTGTTCTCTCTGGTGGGTGATTATTGAGGGTCAGGCCTCCCGAGTTGCCTCTTGTCGGCGACCTTGGATTGGAACTACAGTCTTTGAAGATGTGGCATTTCTTTCGAGGATAACATCCCGCTCATCTGCACATTACCACTCACTCTCCTATGGAACATGTGTCCTCCTTCTCTTTCCATCATCGTCGAACATATATGGCTCTATCAGATTTGTGACTGCCTAAAAAGAACATGACGCTTTTCCTCCAAATGGCGGAAGGATTCTCACGATGTCACCTCACCTCACGCCCTATTCATCCCCGCACCTCTCTCTCTCACCTCTCCACGGCACTCCGCAATTGCTGATCACCCACCACCCGCATCTCACTACTACTCTACCTTACCTGCTTGCCTGCTCCAGTAAGCCGCCTCCTCCCGTCGTGCTAGAGCAGTGGACCCATCTCTCTTCTCTGAGATAAAAGGCGTCCCGAAAATATGGGAACATGGCTCCCTGCCTCCTCTCCCACTCCACGACCCAACGCCTCCTCACCCTCTCCCTCACAATGGGCGTTTTTCTCCTCGTAGGATCCTGGCTCGTCGTCGCTGGTGGGTTTGGAGAGGTTTTTGCTTGGGATTGGAATGGTGGTGGTGGATCGGGATGGGGTTGGGGCTGGGGAGTAAAGAATGGGAGTGCGAGTGCGAGTGGGGGTGGGAGTGCAAATTGGCATGATAATGTGGGTGTCTTGGAGTTTGTGAATCCGAAGATTGGCACGTATGGGATCACGCCGAATGGGAATGGGGGTATGGTGCCTAGTGTGGGCATGCCGTTTGGGATGACGAGGTGGACGGCTCAGACACGAGAGGTGAGTTCATGAGAAATGTCTTTGTGGCAAGAAGAAGAGAAGAAGAAGTGGGGTTTTGATTAATGTCGTCTTAGAACTTCATCTCCCAAGCGCCCTACAACGACCTGGACACATCCATCCACGGCTTCCAAGCGACGCACCAGCCGGCGATTTGGATGGGGGAGAGCGGACAGGTGGTGGTGAATCCGGGGGTTGGGGAGGTTAAAGCGCTATTTGAGGAGCGGGCGCATAGGTTCGGGAAGGCGGAGGAGAGGAGTGAGGCGTATGTTTATGAGGTGAGGATGGAGGCGGAGACGACGGAGGCCGGGGCGAATTTGACGGAGAGTATTTATTCTCCGGTTCCTGGGGGCGCGCAGCCTGTGCCGGAGGTGGTGATGGAGGGGGCGAATGGACGGGATAGGAGGAGGTGGGATGGGGGTGTGGGTGTGCGTTCGAGTGGTAAGGCTGAGGAGGAGGAGGATGAATTCTCGATCTTGCCTGTACACGACGTCCAGAAGGCCGTGAGCAAGAATGAGATCACGGTGGCTATGACGGCCAGCTCCCACGTCGGACATATGCGGTTCGATTTCGACGATTCGAGGGATCCTTACGTCTTGATCCAGGCGACGAGGAAGAATTGGACGGGACATATTGAGATTGATCCTTCGAGGAGGGAGATCTCTGGGAGTAATAATCAACGACAGGATTATCTGCTCGGTCCGTTGAAAGCGCCTGGGTTCTCGGGGTACTTCGTCTCGAGGTTCTCGGAGCCGTTCGAGTCGTTTGGTGTTGCTAATGGAGGAGAATTGAAGAAAGGGGCGAAGACTGGGAAAGGCGAGGAACTGAGTGCGTACGTGACGTTCTCAAATGCCCGAAGAGTAGAGATGAGGACTGGAGTCTCGTTCGTGAGCGTGGAGCAGGCGCGGAAGAATCTGGACATCGAAGCCCCCCAATCCCTATCCTTCGACCAAGCCGTCGAAAATTTGAAGCAAGCATGGCTGGAAAAGCTGGGCAGAGTCACGATCGAAGGCTACAATCAGACGGACGCAGACCACGACCCACGCACAATCTGGTACACAGGCCTCTTCCACGCCCTGCAATATCCCTCAGATTTCTCAGAACCCACGTCGAAGAACCCCAATTCGCCACGGACGTTTTACTCGGGATACACGGATAGCGTGCACGTCTCTCCAGATGTGTATTATCAATCCTGGTCGATCTGGGATACGTTCCGGGCGGAGCATAGCTTGTTGACGCTCTTCGCCCCGGAGCGCGTCAATGGTATGATGCGTTCGCTGGTGCAGATTTATGAATGGGCGGGACGATTGCCCATGTGGGCGAACGTCGTGGAGACGAATATCATGATTGGGACGCATGTTGATGCTGTGATTGCGAATGCTCTTGCGAGGGGGTTTAAGTCTTTTGATGTGGGCAAGGCGTGGGAGGGGGTCAGGAAGAATGCGTACGTTCCTCCTATCAATGATACGGAATTGCTGTATTATGACCGTGAGGGCGAGACACCGGATGAAGTAAGAGCTGGTTTGACGACGTATCTGGAGAAGGGGTACGTAGCGAATGATCGGTGGAGCGAGAGTGGAAGTCGAACGCTGGACTACGCCTTCGACGACCACGCCGCAGCCGTCGTAGCAGAGCACGCAGGCGACAATGCCACCGCCCAGGAACTTTACAACCGCAGCATGAACTACGACAAAATCTACAACCACGACACAGGCTTCATGGAAGCGAAGAACGACAACGGCACCTGGGCGGGCTCCGAACAAGGCTGGGCCGAGGGCGACGACTGGATCTACACCTTCAACGTCATGCACGACCCGCTCGGCCTCGCGAACCTCATGGGCGGGAAAGACAAGATGAAGGCGAAGCTGGACGAGTACTTCCAAGGCGGCCATAACGACCACTCGAACGAACCCTCGCATCACGCTCCGTACTTGTACTCTGTGATCGGATATCCCGCCTCGACGCAGAACTTGACGAGGGAGATTGCGTATGCGAATTATAATGCTACGTCGGCGGGACTGAGTGGGAATGAAGATCTCGGACAGATGAGTGCGTGGTATGTCTTCTCTGCGCTGGGGTTCTACCCCGTCAATCCGGCGGGTGATGAGTATGTCGTGGGGAGTCCGTGGTTTGAGAAGGTCGTGTTGAGGTTTCCCAAGGGCGTGGCGACGGGGGGTGTTGGGGGAGAGGAGCATACGTTGACTATTGAGGCGCCTGGAGCAGTGGAGAAGCCTTATGTGAAGGGGTTGTCGGTTGATGGAAGGGAGGTGAGGAGTCCGGTGTTGAGGCATGGGGAGATTGTGGGGAGTGCGAGGATTGTGTTTGAGATGAGTGGGACGCCGAGTAGTTGGGGCGAGTAGAGATAGGCTGTTGATGAGAAGATGTTGTTTCTTTGGCCGTGCTCGGGTTTGTGCTTCTTCTTGGCCTTCATCACATGCTCGGCTCGCAACCAAGCTTCACATGCATGCAGCATGCGCCAACGGCGAGTTCGATCAGACAAACAAGCAACAAGATCGAATCGATGCGACGCTGTCGCGTGAGCAACCACATACGATCTCGTCGATCACATGGAAGCCACAACCAAAAAATGCAAAACTCAATCTATCTTTCCTTCCCATTCACTCCAACGTGCCCCGCGATGACGTACAGCGGGGATGCAAGGATTGCTGGGTCTGGCGCGTCACGTTCTCGCCAGGAACCGGTATTCGTAAACCAGATTTCTGTCGTGTGCTCCAGGGACGTTTCCATTTCCGTTTTCTCCGACTGCTGACCTTGTTTGTTCTCACACACTCTCTCTTACTTACTGCATGAACGACGTGAAACCGCCAGGATGGTCATTGGAAAGACGTCGGACGTGGGCAGTCCGGATGGGCAACACAAGGACGCCGAGAAAGACGGCAAGATGCTCGGCGGGCTGAGAGAGAAACTGAAGAACACGAAGCTGTACGACTTCAAAGTCGGCGCCGTGCATCTGAAGCATCGCCTGGGCAAGTTCGAGAATCTGGTCAACCAGAACCATCGCCATGACGAGGAGCACGAGCAGAAGACCGACGCCAAGCGGACTCGCATCGCGGAGGGCCATCGCTTCCAGTCGTTCGCGCCGGAGCGGGATGGGAATAAGATTAAATGGTATATCGACGGACGGGACTACTTCCACGCGGTCTCGGTGGCGCTGGAGCGGGCGAAGGAGACGATTTATATCGAGGACTGGTGGCTTTCGCCGGAGCTGTTCTTGCGGAGACCGCCGTACCACAACCAGGAGTGGAGATTGGATTATACGTTGAAGAGGGCTGCGGAGCGGGGCGTCAAGATCTATGTCATTGTCTACCGCGAGGTCGAGCATGCTCTCACGTGCAATTCGCAGCATACCAAGAAGGCCCTGACGGCGTTGTGTCCCGAGGGGACGCCGGGCCATGGCAATATCAAGGTCATGAGGCATCCGGATCATAATGTTCTGGAGAATGCGTCGGATATGACGTTTTACTGGGCGCATCATGAGAAGTTTATTGTCATTGACTATGATCTGGCGTTCATCGGGGGTCTGGATCTCTGCTTTGGCCGATGGGATAATCGACAGCATCCCTTGGCCGACGCCCATCCTCGCGGTGTGCAGAATGAGATTTTCCCCGGCCAGGATTTCAACAATAACCGGATCATGGATTTCCAGAGCGTGCAGGATTGGAAGAGCAATGAGGTTTCCAAGGCGGAGTATGGACGTATGCCGTGGCATGATGTGGCGATGGGGGTTATTGGGCCGTGTGTCTATGATATTGCGGAGCACTTTGTGCTGAGGTGGAATTTCTGCAAGAGGGATAAGTATAAGCGGGATGATCGATATGACTGGCTTACTTTGACGGGACGGACTGGTGACGATGAGGATCTTATTGGTGTTCAGAGACCGAAGCATCCGGTGGGTGACTACATTCATCATCCACTCTCGCCTTTGGACGGAAAGCGTGCGAATCCGAGACAGGGCAAGACCAAGCAGCATCCTCATGGAGAAGCTGAGCCTGTGGACGATGACGAGTTTCATGATGCACAGGAGACCGTCGACGAGCACGGATACACTCGCCATCAGCACGAGTTCGGGCATGGCTTCCAGAAGGACCTGCGAGAACGAGGCATTCATCGGCCACACGTCCATAAGGACCACACGGCCCGCGAGGAAGGCGTCAGCCATCAAGAGAACTCCGGCGTCACGGGCAACGACCCCAAGAACGAGGGATTCGCCTCAGCCTCAGGTGGTATCCGCGAGAAGAGGAAGGGGTACCCATCGGATAAGGTCGATGGGGATATCATCACTTCGCAAGGAACGGTGCACGCTCAGATCGTTCGTTCGTCCGCCGATTGGTCTTCGGGAATTTTGGCAGAGTGTTCGATTCAGAATGCGTATTGCCAGGTCATTCGAGAGGCGAAGCACTTTGTGTATATTGAGAATCAGTTCTTTATTACCGCGACTGGTGAGGAGCAGGCGCCGATTCATAATCAGATTGGTGCGGCGATTGTGGATGCTGTTGTGGCTGCTGCTAAGGAGAATCGGAAGTTTAGGGTGAGTATACACCGATACACCCCTTTGTGATTTGAGCATATGCTAACATCCTGCAGGTAATGATTCTCATTCCTTGTATCCCAGGCTTTGCTGGTGATCTCCGAGATGACGCCGCTACAGGAACTAGAGCGATCATGGACTACCAATACAAGTCCATCTGCCGAGGAGACCACAGTATCTACGGCAGGATCAAGGCTGCCGGTGTCGACCCCACGGAGTACATCTACTGCTTCAACCTTCGATCATACGACAGAATCAACAAAACACCGCTGCTCAAAGAGCAAGAGGAAAAGTCAGGCGTGAAGTATCAAGAAGTCCAGCGAGCAGAAGCCGAGGAGATCATGCCAGAAGGCGTGCACGCTAGTGAAGGGCTCGAAGGTTCAGGCACCACCGGTTTCAGAAAGACGGCGAAGGAGGGCGGGATCAAGGGACTTTTCAACAAAGGCAAGAGGACCAGTATGGATCTCGATGAGGAGGATAAGGTGCATCCTGAGAATGAGAATGAGGACCAGCAGGTGCTGGCGGAGAAGAAGAAGAAGTTTGAGGAGCATCGACATGAAAGGTATGAGGAGTTTGAGGGGAGTGAGGACTCGATTGCGAAGAACGCGCTGCTGGGCGAGAAGAAGCCGAGTGAAGAGGCTTGGGCGGGACGGACGTCGGATGGGAAGAAGGATGGGGATGAGGAGCATGATCAGGAGATCAGGCAGCAGGAGCTTGAGAACTTCATTCAGGAGGAGCTCTACATTCATGGCAAGGTGAGTGAAACGGTCCACGATCGGCTGAATGTTCACTAACGATTCCAAAAGCTCCTAATCGTCGACGACAGAATCGTAATCTGCGGCTCCAGCAACATCAACGACCGCAGCCAACTCGGCTTTCACGACTCGGAGCTCAGCATCGTCATGGAAGACACGCTCCCCCTCCAATCCAAAATGAACGGCCAAGACTTCCGCGCCGGCCACCACGCTGCCACCCTCCGCCGCATGCTCTGGCGCGAACACCTCGGCCTCCTCCCCGCGCAACCCCTCGACTCCTCCCAAGACCCCAACGCCCAACCCCCGGACGACGCCGAAAACGCCTGGTACGCGCACGACGAACACGACGCCCTCGTCGAGGACCCCCTCTCCGACGACCTCTGGGACCTCTGGACCAAGCGCGCCACGACCAACACGGCCGTCTTCCGGCACCTCTTCCACGCGGACCCGGACGACAACGTCAAGACGTTCGAGGACTATGATCGTTTCTTGGGAGCGAAGGGGTCGCGGAAGGCGGGGCATATCTATGATGAGTTCCAGCCGGTGGATATTGTGCGCCAGGAGCTGGATAAGATCCGGGGGCATTTGGTTTGGATGCCGTTGAGGTTTTTGGAGGAGGCGGAGATGGCGGAGAAGGGGTTGCAGGTTAATAGTTTTACGGAGAGTGTGTATACTTAGTCTAGGAAGGGCTGTGGTTTTGGTGCGATTTGGGATGGTTTGAATGGGGCGGATTCTGAGAAGCACTTGAAGGTGTAGGGGGTAGTTCGATGGGGCATAGATGCTGTTGTATGACCTGAGAAATGGGAACGAAGCTTTCTATCGGCATATCTTGATCTCTTCAATCATTGTGAGGAGTCATCCATGGTTTCCGATCCTATGATGTTTATAGTGACAGGAAGTATACAACTTCACCCTTCACATTGTCAAAACCACCCCCTAAACCAACCACAGACATACCTCTATCATCCAGTGCAAAGGACAAAGGGGTCAAGACCAAGTCCACCTCATGTCCACAAAACTGCCACCCACAAAACCCAGCTCGAGAAGGCCTGCCGGGATACGGGCGAGGTGTCGTGGACTGACTGAGGGAAGAATCTCGTCATGATCTTCGAGTTCGAGGATCTATTCGACGCTCAAAGTTTTGATTTGATAGACATGTGCAGTTCCCTAAGACCGGTCGTTCCGATGGTTGTGCGCTTTTATAAGGCATATGGTAGTCTTCTCGTTATACGTTTGTGTGGAGGATTTTCATGGCCTTGCTCTGCGTGGATAAGGAAGAGGTCGTAGATCTGCTTGTCCTACTTGCCCTGCGCTCATATGATATTTGCTGTGCTTTTCAATCTGATGTTGTCATCGGCTATTGAATCCACCTAAAACGAGGAGCTGGTTCATGACTTGATACCCCGTGAGAGGTAAAGGCTCGTTGGGCCGGTCGTGCGCGATCAGATTATCGCTAGACGGAAGCCGCGGTGCTGGTGTTCATTCAATCGCTAGGGGCGGCTGTTCGAGGCACCCGGCACAGCCTCCTCCTCATCGGGACTGCGACGCTTTCCCCCGGGCTCCGAGTTTTCGTTCTCTTTCTTCGCGGCCTTTCCCTTGCGTGCCAACATCCCTTCCACCTTCGCCGCGACCTGATTGAAGCCAAAACGTCGTTTGATCGAATCCCACCTGAGAGCCGCAAGAGACACCACTACCACAAGCGCCGTCACGACCAGAGAGACAACCTCCGCGATGGCTTTCCACGATGTTAGTAAATGAACGGCCTGACTTGAGAATTACCGAAAACTCACAGAACCATTTCCCAACGTAGCTCGTTTCGAAATACGCATCCTCTCCCTCGCCCTTCTGATGATCCTTGAAACCCTCGAGGGGCAACGCGAAGAGACTCGCCATGAATGCAAGGGGCGTGAAGATGATGGTAATGACTGCGAATCCGATGGCGGCCGTGCTCAGGAGCAGACTGTTCTGTGTGTCTTGTATGTTGGCTTGCGTTCGTTTGAGCTCTAGTTGGGTCTTGATCATCTGCTCGATTCGCTCTGCGTCGGCGCTGATTTTGGTGACGGCCTTGGTGTAATCCTCGACTAGACCTTTCGTAATGTTGAATCTTTTCTTGTAGTAAGGTAAAGCACCAGGTGGTAGCTCTTTCATGGCTTCCGAATCGTAAGCCTCCGCCATGTTCTTAATAATCTTCATCTGCTGGTCCAGAACGTGTTGGATTAGGGCAAGCTCATGTTTGATGTCCGCGATATCATGAAGAAACTCTCTTTCTTTTGTGATATTCGGGATTTGGTTTGTGGAATCTCGTACGTATTCTTCCACTTCCGCAAAGATTCTAACGACCCCAATCTCGAAATAGCCCAGAGCAGGTTCCCAATCGCCGCCACCTCGGGTAGTACGTTTGCCAAATTGTTCGATGAATTCGGCGACGAGATGTATTACTTGCTCAGAAGGATGCTTAAATAGCATTTGATTTTCTAACGTCCCGGTGACCTCCCTTGACCCGCCGCCCTGGGTCTCAGCGTCTGGCATCGCAAAGCTGGAAATGAGCCAATTTTTGGAAGACCAGAGCCAGACTTGCGAAACCATTAAGATCGGGATGTTCTTGACGTCGATCTCCTCTTTGCTTTTGTTCTTCTTGAACTCCCTGGATACCACCTGTTTCCTGTTCTGCTGATCAAAGAAAAGGTGACCCAGTCCTGGAAAGTGCGCTTCGTCCAATGTGCGTTCAATTTGCATCATCCAACGGGCTCTGTTGGCCGGTACTTGCGATCTCATCATTTCGAAGTCCTCCCGCATACGATCTTTGGCCTGCGAACTGCGAAGAACAAAGCAAGGAAGCTGTTTCATCAGTAAGCACCAGTAGAGGATAGTGACATGATATTTACCACTATGCAGCAGCCGTCATCCTGATTTAACAAGAAACGCCACTCGAATGAGGACATTGGAGTCCTGTAATCCAGTGACGGATCACCAGGCGTTACGGAAGGTAGCCTGAAGGTGCCCAAGATCTCGGATGTTAACTTCATTCCTTCGGCTGTCTCGTGTTCTCGAAGAATATTGCCACTCAGCGCCCATTTTATCACCGCCTATGGAAGTCAGCACCAAAATATCTCATGACCAACGGAATATCCTCACAAGGAGGAAGAGACCCTATCAACACTGTGTAAGTCATTCGTCTCACGTATCATTGCTGCTTAGAAGTGCTCACATTATTCTCAGGGACGTGGAGCCACGTGAAGCCGCTTGACTGCTCTCTGATCCACGGCGTTACAGCCTCTAAATCTCCTGCGCTCATCAAGGTCAAGTCTGAACCCTTTGAGCAGTAGAAAGACCGTTCAGGGTGACGCCGAGGGAACTTTTCGAATTCTTGCTCCACCTCATAGGAAAACTCGACCCGCTCTCCCCAGTTCATAGTGTCTGTTACAGACGGTGAGAGGGGACACCACATCCAACCCTAAAATCGATGATCCCGTCTACACTTTTGTCGTAAAGCGCTACAGATTCAGAGAATATTTTGGTCGTCTTTTGCGATGAAGAAGAAGGGGGAGAAGGCCAGATTTGCGGGAGCAAGGAGGGAAGGGAGCAGAGCGTCCGGTAAAAATAGGCGCAAGAGCAGTCAGTGGACCAATCGCGAACCACCCAGTCGATGAACCGACGCAGAGTAACACATACGCCACACAGAACGACTGGAGCAGCTATCCCATGTCTCTCGCGTAGGCACGCGTAGCCGCTGACCCACATCCGAAAAGAGAGCGAATACGTAGCTTTAAGCGCGCCTTGCTGAGCCTTGTTATAATGGAGTGGCATGTTCAAATTTCTGCCGATTGATGAAAGGATGAAGCTGTGCCGTGCTGTTGCAGGAGTGTCGTTCCTGCACCAATTCCGGAATTGTGGGTCCCTTTCGGAGCAGCCAATCACAACACTTCCGGAGACCCATCGATGAACTTCACCTCTTCCACGGTAACATATACAACATACATGGGCATGGGCATGTATTCAATGAATCCTCTTCCAATCGCTCCTTAACAGCAACCTTCCAAAGAGTAGTGCAAATGCTGAAAAAGGTCGTTGCAACGATGTCTCTTCATTTAGAGTTTCACTTTGACCACTCAGGGGTCCCGGCTGGGGAAGTTTGTCTGACTTCACTTCATCGCCCCTTCTTTTTGGAGCAATTGCATTTCATCAATATCTCTAATCTTTTCTATGTATTTTATTCCCTAAATTTTCCATGATGTATCATGGGTTCGCAAACAAACGGCTTTCCATTCGCGAATGGAATTTGGGCGTTTTGGAAGAAGGTCTTCTGGGGAGATGAGGAGGCTACGGAAAGTCCACGACGGGAAAACATGGCGAATGCTGCGAATACATCTCGGCTGCGAAGAGCGACATGCCACTACGAGTACATGATGTCCACACTCCAGGACAAGGCCGAAAACAACCCCAGTCTCAAACTTCTGGACGTAGGTTGTGGATCCGGATCCATCACCATCGAGCTGGCGAAACTTATTCCCAACGGCCCAGTCACAGGTCTAGACATCTCCGGTGCGATTCTGGGGTCGGCGAAAGTACATGCAGAAAGACAAGGTGTTGCGAATATCAGCTTCGTCAAAGGCGATGTTCACGAACTACCTTTTCCGGATGGATCTTTCGATGTGGTGTGTACGCATCAAGCTGTCGCACACTTCCACGACCATAGTAAGGCTATACAAGAACTTACTCGAGTCACGAGAAAGGGTGGAGTGGTATGTTTGAGGGAAGGCGATCTTCGCACGGGGAAGTTTTCGCTTGGATACGAACTCCTGGATGAGTGTTTTCAGATTATCATCAAAGTCCACGAAGGACAAGGCGGTACTTCCGACGCCGGTCGAAGGTTGACACAATGGGTTCAGGATGCTGGTATTTCTATGCAGAGGGTTACGGCGACGCAGAGTGTTTGGATTTATGATACCCCGGAAGGCAGGAGGGATTATGGTGGGCATTGGCCTGCGAGGTGTACGCAGGGGGTCTTTGCTGAGAGGGCGGTTGAAATGGGTGTGACGATGTGAGTTATCGTGTAAAGGGGAGATGTAAGCGTTCTGCTGACCAATGTGATGTAGTGAGAGGTTGGAGCAGTACGCCGTTGCTTGGAAGCGGTGGATTGAGGATGAGAATGCTTCGTTCTCAATGGTACATGGAGAAGTGATTGCCGTTATTTGAAGACTCGAAGAAAGATATGCCCTTTCTTTTCATACCGCATTGCTACCTTCATGGACCGCCTAATCCTAGCGGCCTTCGCATTGGGTGCGAAGTATTGCAGTCGCTCTCCCCATTTCGACAACTGAAAGTAAGCTCGCACGCCGTTGGCAAACGCCATGATCCAACCTCTCTGTCCGGGGAGATTGAAGCCAACGACCACTGTCCTAAGCATAAGAGATAGCCGAACCCTCTCTGGTGCATTGCAATGCATCAGGTTGACCATTCCCAATCTCACTCGAAGTCCATCAAGAATGACTCAAGCGCAAGCCTCCGCACATCTTGGTCGAACTTCTGACATTCTTCCAACGAACGGTTGCGACGTCCCCAGAACGTGGGAGAGTTCAACACTCGTTAGGAACTTTGCTGAAGTGCCGTTGAGCTTGAGGAATTGATCCAGCGCCGCAGGATACACAAAGTGAAAGGTGTGGGATCGGTAGAGAACCTCGAAAGCCTCACCAGAGACTTGCTTGTTGACTAGGAGGAGGCTCATTGTCGCGCGTTCATCCGGCTTGATCCACTTTCCCTCCTGGCCGATCCACTTCTCAAATTTGCGGCCCTCTTGCCAGCGCTTCGTCGCAGGGAAGCGATAGTCTACGCCCACGACCTTGGGATCCTTCTTGTCGCGATTCTCGCGGATGGCCAGTCGCAAATCAGTCTTGCCTGGGGCTATTGACAGCTCATAAATCATGTAGCGAATCTCGGTAGGTAAGTCCAAGAATCTGAAGCCACACGTAGGAACCAGTACGAGAGCATAATATCCCTTCATCGGTCCCTCGGTGATTGTGATCTATACATTTTGTCAGGTGGAATTGGATTCAAGACCATCACCATGGTATGGAGGGGCTCACCGGGCAGACACGAAAGTTGGTGTCATTCTTGACAGTGAGTGTGCGAACGTGAGCTTCTTCGTTCTCGTCGTAGGGAGTCTGCGCTCCCAGCAGAACGTTGAAGGCCAGCGATAAGTCTCCAGCGTATGACGTGAAACGACCGTCATCGCAGATTGTCTGAGTATGATTAGCATGCTGTCTTCATTTGAACCCTCACTGTCCCGGTCAAAGTGAGTTGCATGGAGCTGTCATCCCCCTGCTTTGTTTAGAGACCAAGCTCTCAATTGTAGTTCACAATGCTTGGATAGATCGAGAGCATTGAGGATAGACGTTCCACTTTGAGCGTGACGAGAAGAGAGGGAAGGTGGCTTCGGTAGAACATACGTCAACTTCGAGTGGCTCCATGACGAGCCGGCACTTGCTTTTGGAGCAAGTGCTTGTCGCGGTGGATGGTGAGAAGTGGAAGAAGGAAAGAATTCAAAGGGAAGGATATCATTGAGAATGATAAGTGGAAAGAGCCGCAACGTCATAGGTGAGGTTTTGTGAGTGAATGTGAGGTTTTGCTTCACTTCCTCACTGCTGCCTAGACGCAGTATAGAATACAGACACTATGTTACAACAGCTTCATAGCTCCTGGTCGATGCTCCGCTTCTCATGTTACCCCTGACTTCCTATTCTGTGCCACAGCCTCCTTTCTCGCCCCGGCCTGTACTCATGGGGTACTCCTCCTTGATCAACTTCGGAAGCTGCTCATCAAACTCCTGGCACTTCGCGTCGGGCGGGCAGTGGCGATGGCGGACCCTCAACAGCTCGTCGATGCCAGCAGTGATTCCCTTCCTCTGGCGGGCGAGATAGACCGCATCGAACAACTGGGTGAATGTCTTGAACAGGAGGGCTACCTGCTTCTCCATAGGCTCGGTAATGGTGTCCAAGAATGCCCAGTGGTCGATCTCGAGTCTCTGTAACGACTTTGGCCGTGCTTTGGCGAGTGCTTCCATGCTTCGTTGGTTATTGCTTGAGGAACGAAGCACGATGTGTGTGATGTGCTGGGCGCACTTTTCGTTCAATTCGAAGAACCGAGACAGCGTGCCGTCGCATTCAAAGCTAAAGCGAAAGCGACGCGAGCGGTAGAGGACCTTGAAGGCTTCATTGTAAACCTGCTTGCTGACCTGAAGCAGACTGAGCGCCGTCCGTCGTTCCTTGTCGATCCACTTCTTCAGCTCCTCGTCCCACTTGCGCTTCTCCTTCCAGGTCTTAGAGCGGAGCTCGTATTCCGCGCCGACAACCTTACTCCCGCCAGGAGCCTTGCGCCTGTACAGCTTCAGCTTGGTGGTGCCTTCGGCGCCTACTGTCTCGTAGATCATGTCGCGGACTTCAGTGGGAAGGTCCAGCAACCTAAAGAAGCCAGAGGGCACGAGGACCAATGCTTGGAATCCTTTCATTGGACCTTCGGTGATGGTGTACTGTACTGAGTACTGTTGTTGTCTGTGGTGCCGAGCGCCGCCTACCGGTTTGATGTGATAGCTCGTGTCTTTGCCGATGGCAATGGTACGAACATGGCAGTCATACTTCTCACTGTATGGTACCGCGGACCCGAGCAAAGATTTCGAGGAGAGTAGCAGACCTTTGGCCGTCGCCTCGTAATGCTGGTCGTAGTTCTCGACCTGTTCAATGTAAGTATATCAACGACAATGGTGAGGTGTTGAAAGCAAAGATACCACAACATCGATTGGTTCCATGACGCGCTCGAATGGTTGCAGGTTTGGAAAGGAGTTGTTGATGTAGAGAGTAATTTTAACAGAGGCAGAAAGAAAAGTCATTTATGCTATAGTGTCTAATACGCTAGTCTCGTTCCGCCTTCAGCACGTGCAAAGCAAACACATGCAAATTAAGTGAATCGCGTAGCTTCTGATTTGTCCTACTAACCCTCACAAGCACAATTGCCGCTCTTAACACCAGCCCACAAGCACACTCATATGATTGCGCTTTTTATGCAGTTCACTTGCCCTGATCTCCCTTGTCCTCCGAGATGCGCAGCACCTTGGCAATCCTCGAGCGTATGCTAGCGCACAAGCTCTCGTGAATCTTGTCCGCGTCGGCGCACACGCAGTTACAGTCGCCTTGGCTTCCGTATCGATCATAGCCGCGCGGATCCGTAAAATATTTAGGGCTGCAGACACGGCAGGGAGTGTTGCCAGCGATGGACACCAAATTAAGCACGCTACCCGACAACTTCCGTGACTTGTAGACGGCGTGCAGGGTCTTCAGCAATCCCGTGCAGTCCAAGATGAGTCTGATGGGTGTCGTGATTGGCTTGCTAGCGTTCGAAGTGGTGCAGAAGTCTTTGTGAGCGAACTCGAGCTTCTTCAGCCCCTTTGCCTGCTGCAAGTAGCCAAGGGCGGCGCGGATGCTGGAGAAGACGTAGCCGCCGGCGTCGATGCTGATGTAGCGGAGGTGTCTGGCGCGCTGGCCGAGGTGTTCGAGGAAGTCTTTTAGCGCCGTCGTCGAGGAGAACTGGAACGCATTGTTGCCATAAAGGATTTCGGTAGCCTCGGTGTAGACCTAATACAAAGAAATAAGCACACTGCTTTGTTCGCTTCGAGGACCACAACATACCTGGCGATTGACGAAGATGAGGGCAGTGTATGTGGGCGGTGCTGCGACCCAGATCCGGTCTTCCCTGTTCCAGATCAATCCGCGATGATGCTTGTCGCGCTGGTTGGCACGGCGAGCGACTTCGCGGGGAGCGCCATGACGTCTGATGATCGTGAGTGCGATTGGCGAATGCTCCTCGAGGATGTAGCCGTAGATCTGCAGGCGTGTCTCGACAGGTAGGTCGAAGAAGGTGGCCTTCGCCCCTGGCTTGAAGACGCTAGCTGGATGGCGCGGTGGGGTGGTGTTGGACGGGCTGATGACACGGCCGCCCATCTTGACCTGCATGGTCGAGCTGGCGGACATCTTGGGTGATGGTGACAATGCCAGTGTCGAGGTCAATGTCGAGGCGGACGCCGATGTCGAAGTCGAGGTGATGTCTAAAATGACGGAGGTGACGGAAGAGCAAACGGAGGAAGTATGTCAACAAACCGGGCGGGCTGCTAGCGCGTGGTCCGAGCTTCTAAAACATTCACTTTTGCCATGTGATTTCACGTGTCCGAAAGTCAGCCACGTGTTTCGGGGAAAGCCACTCCTGGTGCTCTCTTGCCGAGACCGACATTCCCTGCACAACATGGCATTGGCCTTGTCCTTGCCTTGCTGCAACGTCTCACTTTTGACGCCGGATATCGACACCGTCGGCCAGCAATTCTTCCAATGAGATCCAGTCATACAACGAAATTCCAGACCCAGTGGACAACAACACGGCGCTCTTTTGATACACGTAGCTATCAAGAACACTAGGAAAGAGAGATGATAAGATTTCGATGATGCCATGCCATGTCTTTCCACACACTCCAGTCCATGTCCCAGCCTAATAAAACCCGCTAGACTCCTGCTCTGCATTTGATCAAGAAGGAACATTGTAGCGGGTTCTCCCAAGTAAGACATGATGTCGAAGAGACATTTCGCACGCCACGCTGCTTGGGATTGGAAAGGATTCGCTCGCTCGCTCACTGTACATGTGCAAAATTTGGGGCTGCCGAAGCTGTGCATACTGTTAGCTCTTAAGCACCTTCTCGAGTATGTACTTCACTTACGTTCTATAGCCTGTCGTTTAAAGCAGCATCTCCAATGGGTTCTCAATGACCTTCTTGAGTTCCCGCATGAACTCACCACCAACTGCGCCATCCACGACCTTGTGGTCGAAAGAGCCAGTCATCACGATCTGCTCGTCCCATTCAACACCCTCAGAGCCATCTTCCGTCTCTTTTGGCACTGCAACCTTCTTGACGGCGCCAACTGCAAGGATAGTCGCTTGTGGTGGGTTGATAACAGCGGTGAATCGGTCAATCGCGTCGTTCATGCCCATGTTCGAGATGGTGATGGTTCCACCCTGGTATTCCTCTGGCTTGAGCTTTCCATCTCTTGCCCGCTTGCCAAGATCCTTGATCTGAGACGAGATAGCTTCGAGGCCGGTACCGGTGACATTCTTGACAATCGGGGTCATGAGACCAACGGGGGTAGCGACGGCGACGGAGACATCAACAACGTTGTTTTGTCTGATGATGACCTTGCCGCTCTCCTCACGCCACGAGCTGTTGGCTGCTGGAACCTTGCGGGCTGCGAGAGCAAGGGCCTTGATGAGGAAGTCGTTGACCGAGAGCTTGTACTTGCCATCGGCGGAGGCGTTGAGGGCCGCACGGAGCTTCAGGAGCTTGGTGACGGAGATGCTGGAGGCGACGAAGTAGTGGGGGTTCTGTTGGAACGATTGAGTGAGGCGGGAGGCGATGGTCTTGCGCATGCTCGTGGCTTCGATGTCCTCGTACGCGGCGGCAGCACCGGCACCTGCGACTGCTGGAGCAGCACCACCGGCTGGCTTAGCCTTTTCGACGTCCTGCTTGGTTATCCGGCCACCTGGACCAGAGCCCTTGATCGAGGAGAGAGCAACGCCCTTCTCGAGAGCAAGCTTCTTGATCGCAGGAGCAACGAGGGCTTCGCGCTCGATCGCGGGTTGTAATCTCTCGCCGCTTGACTCTGACTCTTGTGCCTTTAGTGCCTCCTCCTTTGGCGCTGGAGGTGCGGTGCCGGAGCCAGATTTGGGTGCCTCTGAAGCTTCAGCGGCCTCTTGACCACCCTCCTTCTTCTCAGCACCAGAAGACTTCTCACCGCCAGCATCCTCGATGGTGAAGTCGTTGAATGCTTCGACATCACCGGCATCCTCGACCATGACAGCGATTGGGTTGCCAACGGCGATATCCTTCTCTCCCGAGTCCTTCAGAATCTTTGCCAACACACCCTCATCCTGGAACTCAAAGTCCATCTGTGCTTTGTCCGTCTCGATCTCTACCAGTACGTCACCAGGCGCAAGAGTGTCTCCGGGCTTCTTCTGCCATGCGCCAATGTTTCCGGCCTGCATCGTCGGGGAAAGGGCGGGCATCTGGATGATGGTGTGCGAAGGGAAAGCTACGGGAGATGATTAGAGCTCCAGCATTGAGCGGATGATGATGGGAAATACGCACATTTGGAGGCATAGTATCGGGCCAGCGATGAGAGGGCAGGTATTCTTGCGTGTGCCCGAATTCCCCATGCGCCCCTCGAGGCTCTCACCAACATAGCTGACATTGTCTCTCCTTGCTAGGGGCCGGTATGGGATGGGAGGAGAGGCCGCGAGCTTCGGCGGTGGTGCAGAGGTATGGAGAGATGCCAATTGGCAGAGGCGAGGATGGAGCTGGGGGTGAGGGTGAGGAGGAGGGCGGGTGGTTTGTCGCTGTTGCTACGAACTCTTTTCGCGTTGGGCGGAGCTCATTGAGAATGTCCGATGCTTCGGCCCGTTTTGCGTAGCGCGAGCCGCATCAATGCTGGGCCATCGCGTGGTCCCTGAAAGACTAATAATAAAACTATAAAGTCCAACCTTCTTCTCTGCACCATCGTCGAACTACAAGAATATCTCATGTGATAAACCCTGATCTACTGAACACAAACTGGGCGTCGAAAGACCATTGAAAGACAAGAGAGGTCATTGCAAACATCCCGCGAAGCTGGCGACCGTTGAATGAGATCGGAGACCTACGGAACACGCGTCAACGACGAGAATATATACAATTTACAGTCGTATAACAACAAAAGCTCGCTGCCCATCTTGTATTTGCAGTCGGACTCAGAGCAGCGATCCGCATGTTTGATGATGCAGTATCATTCTGAAGGACGGAGCGGTATATCGGCCTTCAGAGATCCGGTAGTTATTGTCCGCTCACAGTAACGATGAGACTCAGACTACAAAATGTATCGATACTCTGCTTTGCTTCTTAATCTAACCGAAATCATCTCATTCGGCTCCAAAGGACTTACATCGCGTTGTCGAGCTATTGACGCTGTCAAGCATCAGGATCCATCTGAAAGCTGGCAGACTGCAGTTCATGTGCACATGTGTCCCGTTCCAATCCTACCATCACTCCACGTATGTCCTGCCTATTGCCTACAATCGTAATTCATGCCAGTGACTGCATTTAAGATACTCGTACTCGAAGAGAATTAATCGTATCCATTGAAGGCTTGGCGTATAGAGTTTCACGCTACAGCCCCAAAGAGGAACCTTAGCACCACCATTTGGGTGCTGGATGCGCAGCTGGCGACACCTTTGGTATCTTTGTATCGACACAACGTCAGCACCACAACACACGCCTTCCACTGGGCCAAGGCGCATCTGGAGTAATATGCTTGCACTGCTCGACATTCCCCTCTCTCGCCGCACACTCTAGGTCTACCAAGCGCTGGAATGGCCGAGGATCAGCAGGCAGCGGTTTCCCCGGAGGAGCTGCCAACAGCACGCGAGGATGAAGCAGCATCAGCGACAGAACGAGCGCAAGAGGAGATGGAGGACGACGCAGAATCAGAACCGATCGCTGCAGTAGTCGAACAGAACGGCGATGCTGTTGCACATAATTCGCACACACTTCAGGAGGCAGAACAGGACCATGAATTTGAGATAAAGGAGGGGGCCCAGCAGCATATCGACAATGAGAATGGACCACAAGATGAGACGAACGAGCGCCCTACCGATTCCATTGCTGAGCCGTCGACGGATTCCACAGCATCGCCCGCCCCAACGTCGCAGCCCGTCACCGAAGCCTCAACTCCTGCGCCCGATACGCCTCGGCATCGAACAGATTCTACGTCCACGACGGCCACGAGATCGTCTGCGCGATCAACGAGAAGTAGCATGGTGTTTGTGGTGTCTGCGCTGGAGAGCATTGCAGCCTCGAAAGATGCGAGGAAGAAGAAGCCGCTCCTGGACTCGACCCAGCGGGCATTGTCAGCGATCAGGAGCGCACAAGGAGATGCGTCGCAAATAAATCCAGAGATCATGTTCGAGCCCTTGAACCTGGCTACAGAGGCCTCGACGGTGTCAGTGGTCGTGACAGCTCTGGATTGCATTGGGAAACTGATCAGCTATTCCTACTTCTCGGCGCCTCCTGTGACTGAGTCGCAGAACGGAGTGCCAGAACAGCAGAAGGTGCCTTTGATTGAAAGAGCTATTGACACAATATGCGATTGTTTTCAAGGGGAGGCAACGCCAGCGGACGTGCAAATGCAGATCATTAAGAGCTTGTTGGCAGCCATCTTGAATGACAAGATTGTGGTGCATGGTGCTGGCTTGCTTAAGAGCGTACGGCAGACATACAACATCTTCTTGTTGAGCAAGCACAATTCCAACCAGCAGATCGCACAGGGCACGTTGATGCAGATGGTTGGTACTGTATTCGAAAGAGTTAAGACGAGGCTCGCAAGCAAGACAGCTAGGCTAGGCGCTTCTGCATCTGCCTTGACGAATGGCGCAACAGACATTCACTCGGATGTGTCATCCAATGCACCCGGTGACGAGACGCCATCTGTGCCGGAGGTATCTACGCCGTCTGAAGAGAAGGATGCCCAGCCGAAGATGACACTGCAGACGTTCGAGACACGCCGCTCTTTCGACGATGCCAGAATCACTGACAGTGCCCCAACCACTGTGTCGCGAGCAAAGAAACACAATAAGAGGCCCTCGCGATCAGGGTCAGGGAATGAGATCCCCTCTATCACTGTCCAAGGAGAAGGCAGCGAAGCCGTCACGGAGGACGACGAAGAAGACGAGATATACATCAAAGATGCATTCCTGATTTTCCGAGCCATGTGCAAGCTGTCGACGAAAGCGCTTCGCCCAGAGGACGCTGTCGACATCAAATCGCAGGGCATGCGTTCGAAGTTGCTCAGCTTGCACATCATTCATACGATCTTGTTCAACCATCATATTGTGTTCACATCGCCCTTTGCTACAATACGGAGTTCGTCCAATGGAGACCCAACGGGCTTCACTCAGGCTATCAAGCAATACCTCTGCCTGAGTCTAAGCAGAAACGGCGCGAGCAATGTCAACAAGGTCTTTGAAGTCTCAGCCGAGATCTTCTTCCTGATGGTGAAGCACCTTCGATCACCCCTGAAACGAGAACTGGAGGTGTTCTTGAAGGAGATCTACATCACGATCCTCGACAAGCGGGCTGCGCCTGGGTGGCAGAAGAGTTACATCATCCAACGCATCTTTTCAAAGATCGGGTCTGATCCGAAGGCGCTGGTTGAGATATATCTCAACTATGACTGCGACAGACAGGCATTGGATAACATGTATCAACGCATGATCGAACACGTCTCTAGGGTAGCCAGTCAACCGGTCGCGGTGAATGGCCTACAACAACAAGCATATCTCGACACTCTCGCGAAGCAGAACGGCCCTTCCAATGACTGGCGGGAGAGAGGAACGTTTCCGCCTAGCCTAGCGACCGCGAACGTGAGTCAGCCGAATGAAGGAGAGCAACTTTTCCCTCCAGAGTATGCCATGAAAATGCAGGGTCTGGAATGCTTGGTGGATACGTTGAGGAGCATGGTGAACTGGAGTCGACAAAGCACAGCAGAGACGCCTACAATAGCAGCCGACGCTGATGGACGATACTCCGTAGATGACATGCGCGAGAGCCTAGATACTCGAGGCGAGGCTGGAGCCAGCGGCGCATCAATTGATGGAGTCCCGCCTGCAACTCCTGGATTAGGACCAAGCGACACGCCACTTGCTGAAGATGATCCAGCAGAGTTGGAGAAGATCAAAGCGAGGAAGACTGCACTAAACAATGCCATCCGAGCTTTCAACTTCAAGCCAAAGCGTGGCATCAAGTTGCTGATATCTGATGGTTTCATTCCTTCGTCGGAACCTGCAAGCATTGCTGCGTTCATGCTCAACAACGATCGCATCAACAAGAAGTCTCTGGGAGAATATCTGGGTGAGGGTGACGAAGAGAACATCAAGATCATGCACGCTTTCGTCGACGGCATCGACTTCAATCGCATGCGATTCGTCGATGCAGTGCGAAGATTCCTTCAGTCATTCCGCCTTCCGGGCGAGGCGCAAAAAATCGATCGACTCATGTTGAAGTTCGCGGAAAGATATACAACCTGCAATCCTAATGCATTCGCGAATGCGGACACGGCGTACGTCTTGGCCTTCAGCGTAATCATGCTGAACACCGATCAGCATTCTGGCCAGGTCAAGCAACGAATGACGATCGAAGACTTCATCAAGAACAACCGTGGTATCAACGACGGGCAGAGTTTGCCAGACGAGTACCTTCAGGGCATCTTTGACGAGATTGCTCACAATGAGATCGTCTTGGATTCTGAACGCGAGAATGCTGCCAACATGGGCATGTTGCCTCAACAGCCGAACGGAATAGTAAACGCTCTCGCTAACGTGGGACGCGACCTCCAGAGAGAAGCATATGCTCAAGCCAGCGAGGAGATGAGCAACAGAACCGAGCAGCTTTTCAAGAGCCTCCTCAAGGCGCAGAAGAAAGCAGGCGGTCCAGCTGCGATGGCCGCCAGCAAAGGCAGATTCCTTACGGCAAGCTCGTCGAGACACGTCGGTCCAATGTTCGACGTCACGTGGATGAGTTTTTTGACCGCACTTTCTGGCTCGGCCCAGGAGACGCAGAATCTCGAGACTATCCGTCTCTGCATGGAAGGCCAGAAGTTCGCCATTCGCATCGCTTGCACCTTCAACCTTGAGGACCCACGGCAAGCTTTCGTCTCAAGTCTGGGAACAGGCACGAATCTTTACAATCTCTCAGAGATGAAGGCCAAGAATGTCGAAGCGTTACGAACGCTCCTTGACGTTGCCTACACCGAAGGCAACTACCTCAAGGAAAGCTGGCGTGACATCCTGACCTGCATTTCTCAACTCGATCGCTTTCAACTCATCTCCAGCGGCGTCGAAGAGGGGGCAATCCCTGACATGCTCAAATCACAAGCTGTCCCACAAAGTCCATCTGTGAACGGTGGAGGCCGTAGGAGCGTGCAACTGGCACGAAGGCCAACAAATCGCCCAGGAAATAGCAGGACTTACCAAGCTGAGATTGCCGAAGAATCCAGGAGCGCGGATATGATACGTGGTGTGGATCGCATATTCACAAACACGGCAAACCTATCTGGTGAAGCCATTGTTGACTTCGTACGAGCGCTCACGAAAGTCAGCTGGCAGGAGATCCAATCGTCAGGGCTTTCAGAGTCGCCGCGAACTTACAGTCTTCAAAAGTTGGTGGAGATCTCCGGTTACAACATGCTTCGTGTGAGATTCGAATGGACGAACATCTGGCAAGTGCTTGGACAACATTTCATCGAAGTCGGCTGCCACAACAACACTCATGTGGTCTTCTTCGCGCTCAACAGTCTCAGGCAGTTGAGTATGCGCTTCATGGAGATTGGAGAGCTGCCTGGCTTCAACTTCCAGAAAGATTTCCTCAAGCCATTCGAGTTGATCTTGAGCAATGCTTCGCAAGTTGCTGTGAAGGACATGGTGCTGCGCTGCCTCATCCAGATGATCCAAGCTCGTGGCGACATGATCCGTTCGGGATGGAGGACCATGTTCGGCGTGTTCACTGTCGCAGCGAAGGAGCCTTACGAGGCCATTGTCAATCTCGCGTTCGACAACGTAACACAGGTATACAACGAGCGCTTCGGTGTGGTCATCTCGCAGGGCGCCTTCGCTGACTTAGTGGTTTGCCTGACTGAGTTCAGCAAGAACATGAAGTTCCAGAAGAAGAGCTTGCAGGCTATCGAGACACTCAAGTCGACGGTACCCAAGATGCTTCGCACACCCGAGTGTCCCCTGTCGCAAAAGGCAGCGGGAGCAAAGGACGCACCTCAAGCGGACGGCATCCCCAAGCAGCCGACTCGACAGACCCAGGAAGAACAATACTGGTTCCCAGTGCTCTTCGCGTTCCACGATGTGCTCATGACGGGAGAAGATCTTGAAGTACGATCTCGGGCATTGAACTACCTCTTTGATACCCTCACCAAGTATGGTGGAGACTTCCCACGAGATTTCTGGGATACCCTGTGGCGACAGTTGCTCTACCCGATCTTCATGGTGCTCAAGGACCGAAAAGCGATCAATCATGAGGCCGTCAACCACGAAGAGCTCTCAGTCTGGCTGTCCACGACGCTCATTCAGGCTCTCAGGAACATGATCAGCTTGTTCACGCATTTCTTCGACAGCTTGGAGTACATGCTTGATCGTTTCTTGGACCTGCTTGCTTTATGTATCTGCCAGGAGAACGATACTTTGGCACGGATCGGCAGCAACTGTCTACAACAACTGATCTTGCAAAACGTCAAGAAGTTCACGCCTGATCACTGGGAGAAGATCGTCGGTGCCTTTGTGGATCTTTTCGCGAGGACAGAGGCGAAGGAGCTCTTTTCGGCGGCGACGTCCTCGTCATACCAGAAGGACAGCTCATACTCCAACGGACACGAGACACCCAAGACTCCTTCAGCACTCGATGATGGTTCGATGATGTCTGCAAATGCACTGAAGATCAATGGCCTCGACAGTGACAGCGCCACTTTGAACGGAGATGGTTCATCAATGCTGCGAACGGACACCTCTACCACATTGTCGTTATCTGACGGAGATGAGCGCAGTCCCTCGCCTGCACCAAGGAAGCAATCCGAGCTGGAAGACTTCGCAGCACCGCCGCCGAAACAGCAAGCCCCAATTGTCGTCACCGCCGCGAGAAGACGCTACTTCAACCAAATCATCACGAAGTGCGTGCTTCAGCTGCTGATGATCGAGACAGTCTCAGAGCTGTTCAACAACGACGCCGTGTACGCCTCCATCCCCTCTCACCTCCTCCTACGTCTGATGGCACTCCTCAAGAAGTCGTACCACTTCGCCAAACGCTTTAACGAAGACCGCGACCTCCGAACAAGACTTTTCCGAGAAGGCTTCATGAAACAGCCCCCGAACCTGCTCAAGCAAGAATCCGGCAGTGCTAGCGTCTACGTCCTCATCTTGCTGCGCATGTACGCCGACCAATCCGACGAGCGCGCCGCCTCGCGGCCGCAGACCGAAGCCGCACTGATCCCGCTCTGCAGCGACATCATCGCGTCGTACATCGCCCTGGACGAGGAGACGCAGCAACGCAACATCGTCACGTGGCGGCCGGTGGTGATTGATGTTTTGGAGGGGTACACGTCGTTCGCGGACGCGGAATTCGACAAGCATATCGAGACGTTTGCGCCGCTGGCGGTGGGGCTGATGAACCGCGACATGGGGCCGGAGTTGCAGAGGGCGGTGCAGGGGCTGTGGCAGAGGGTTTGCGAGGTGAAGTTGGGGATGGAGAAGTTGCCGGATGTGCCGATGGTTACGCCGACGAGTCCCAGGGCGACGGTGTTTGGGCCGCGGAGGGGGAGTAAGCATAGTCGGTGAATGGATGTGATTTGAAGTATGATGAGTCTGTTCCGGGGGTTTTTTTGGGAAAGAAAAAAGCGAGGACGACGGGGTGGTCTTTGCGTTGGAGATTTCTTCCTGGTTTGAGAAGGGATGAGGGGACACGACGACGGGTGCACGCATTCTTCTCAAACGTGTGCGAGGCATATGGCGCTGGAGGTATTGGCAACGTGTGCCGGAGGGGTTGTGTCTTGATAGGAGCCGGCAACTTGAGCATGCATGCATGCATATGCATATGATGATTGAGCGGTGGTGCATATGATCCTCACCATAACCCGGTCGTTGTTGTTGTGTGAGAGAGAGCACAGACATCGCGCCATGTCGACACACGGCTGATAATCCGATTGATCACATTTACTTCGAACAAGAATCCAGCGAGCACTCAGCAAGCGTGTATCATTTCCAGTAGTTTGGGAGCGTTGCACAGCAGGAATTGGGGCTTTTGTGTGATCGAGCACAAAATTCAATGGCTTTGGAGCACAGGTTGCGTCGGCATGGGGATGGGAATGGGGCAGACATGCATTGCATTGGTGATGCGTTGGCTTTGTTGTTGGAAATAGTGTAGAAATGGAAAGGAAGGTTTGTCCTGAGTGATAATGGAAATTCCAATATGCATTGATTTCCACTGCAGGGTCGAAGCTTCCTTCGATACAGATCCACGCGCGTTTCAGATACTGCCTTTATTGTGAGGAGAAAGGGTGTGGCGTTGCTGCTGGTCTGTGTGTTGCAATGAGTGACATGTCAATTCGGCATTGGCGAGTGAGTGATTTCCGTAGGGTTGTTGCATTGCATTGCATGCTGATTGTGGAGGGTGTGCCGAGATGGGCAATGCAATGCGATGAGATGGGGACCTATATGCGATTGAGTGTTATCACCATTCATCATTATTGCAGTAGCGCTGCTGCTGCTGCTGGTGGTGGTGGTGGTGGTGAGTTTCCTAGTTGTTAACGACATTCTTGGTCCAGGCTGGACCCATCTTGCGAAAGTTGGTACGTAGTGGGCATCGGCCATTGATGTAGGATAGCGAGCGAACAGATTATTGGCTGAAATGACTTGATAGAACGCCTAGGGGACATTCATCTCATCATTAATTAAGATCATGGCAATCATGTAGGCGGTGGCGTGCGGTGTAGGAAATTGACTTTGGCTTTCTGACGCGATGTTCCTAGCAGGACGAAGCACTCGCTGCTGGGATCCCTTCCCTTAATATTCAACTATTAAGGCGCCGTTCCAGATCCTGGGTGGATGGCCTATCTTTCCTTCGAATACACGTACCCGGTCTGTGTCGTTAGGTTTGGCTGCACCCGAGCGCCTCGTGGGCAGACACAGACCGCCAGTTTCAGTGGGAAAAGTGAATGGGCTAAAGATATGTCTTAATTGACGATGATGATGGAAGGAAGAGGGACGATTTGCTCCTCCTTGGATGCTTTGATACGAAGGAGTGACGCCGTAGATAGGAACAGGCAATCGACGCCAGGACGCCAGCACGGCTTAGTGCACGGCGTGTACATGGAGATGGTAACCAGTCGACGTGAAGAGCGCGCTTGGAGGAGGTGAAGGACGCACGGATAGAGTTCTCACGACGTCCACTAAATTTTGAACGGGCCAATCAAAGTGGTTGACGGGCTATTTCAACGGGGCGCCACAACCGCACCTGGTAACCTGCGAGCTGCCACTCTCTGCGCTCTCTTCCCACCACCAGCCTGGCCTACCGCTGCGGGCGTCTACCAACGAACGCATGCCACGCACTGAGCTACGGCGTCAGGGCCTTCTGATTTGCCCGCGCACGAATGAACAGGGCCCGGCACACCTGAAACATCCCATGTCGCTTTGCGCCTGCGTCTGCGCTACCTATTGCTGGTGGTGGGATCAGCCTTTCCTCGATGCCTCTCTTTCGCCGGCGAGATGAGATGGTGCTGCTGGCTTTGGCTCTGGGCTCGTTTGGCTCGGTTCTACTGCCATTGGAAGCGTGCGGGATTGCTCTCTCTCGCCCTGGATCGATGCTCACTTGGAACTGCCTTTTGGGAACCCCGTGGGCGCCAGCGCAGAGCTGCATACACTTCCTTCTTCCTCACCACTAATTCCCTGTTTCTCTCCATACCCTTCTAACCACCACCACTACTTCCGTTCTTTGCTGCGAGTTTCTCCGTCTTGTTCTTCTGCTCGTGCGCTGTGTTACATCTACATCTACTCCTTCCTTCCCCACGGCGGCGCGATTGATTTGGCATTCCATAGCATTCATGAAACCCTTGCATTGAGGTCAATGGGCCTCTTCGTCTCCGACGATGGCCATTACCAGGGCTGGCTGGCCGCCTTGTTATGCTGCTGGGCAGCTCTATCCGAAGACGAACACCCCATTGAGAAAAAGAAGATTTCTAGACGTAAGCCTATACTACTGCGCTATAGTGGCGCTGACTTGACTTGCTTGATTGCGTGCATGCGCATGCAGTCGCGGTTATTTTGGGCCATTGTTGTACTGATTCGTGGTTGCAGCGACGACCGCCCGAAACACCATATGGAACGAGCAGCCAACGCCACTGAGGCCCATGCCCTCAACACCTTCGAGGACGTTGACTGCGACCACTGATAAAGGGATCGAAGCTGCTTTCAACGACGATGATCTGGTTCGACCTATTTCTGAACGCCCTCCTTCGATCAAGCCCTTGGACTTTGGGGGCGAGAGTCCGCTGCTTGGAAAGATGTCGTTACATGCCCGTCAGAAGAGCTCTACCACTCTCCCGAAACGGATCAGTATTAGTCGACCGACCGACTTCAGACGCTTGGAGTACACCGAAAAGCAGCGCCGTTCGCTGGTGCCGCTGCAACTCAGTCCAGTGGTGTTGAGGGAACATACGCCGGAACCTCTTAGTCACGACCCAACTGGCAATCGTTTGTCAAGGTCAGCCGATGGGCTCATGGAGGACACGACAAACATTCGAAACTCGTATCGCGCTTCTCGTGGAACACCATTCGAGCGATGCCAGCAATTGAGCTCGACAGCTCGTTTGAGCGAGCCTGCCGCGGGCGTGAATGAAAGAGGGCAAATTATCCTGGATACAAAAGTTAATACACCTACGAGGCCGCCACTCTCTACACAATCCTCATCAAGCTCCATGCATTCCCTGCGACGACAAGCTCTTGAATCTAGCTCCTCGGCATCGACCACACCATCGAGGCCATCAAGTGAAAGGATACGTCTAAAGCGGAAACGATCAAATCAGAAGAACTCTGGCGGCAGCGCGGAATTGAATGTCGACAAGGAGATTCTGGAACTCAACACTATTGTGGAGGAGAGAAGAGCCGAGTCCACACGACCACAAAGCCCCACTGGAGACGGCCATGTACCTGCAGTGGCCCCGTTGATGCCTGTGAGGGCCAGGTCTGAGACGTTGACTGACATCGGCTCTGCTTTCTCCAGGCCGTTGATCTCGGTCACGACGTCAATGTCACAACCTGAGGAGAACACAATATCCCCAGTAGAGAAGACCTTCTCCCCAGTGACGCCGATCAAATCTCGACTCTCTCGACCTTTCGTGTCAATGCCAGACCCAAGCGTCGATCAGACAGGACGAGTGCCAATTCGAAGACCAAGCTCACGAGTGACCGGCTGGCTGACAAGTTTGCTATCATCCTCGTCGACTCCAGCGCCAAACACATCGAACCCCACGCAGGAGCCATTCTACACCTGCGCACCACCTGTACGCCGTCGCCCGGTTTCAGAAGCATCACTGTGCACAAGCAACACCGACTTGGAATCACCCGCATTCACAGCGACCTCATCCCCAATGTCAAAAAGCCACAGTCGATCCTTGACTGCCGAATCAAGGATGACGCCCATCTCGCCACCATCGACAGTCGATGAGAACGTCGAACCTGGCTCGGCAATAACTAAACCGGATGACCCGTGGCCTCTGGTGGTGGAACATCCCAGTCAGGTGGGATTGGCATTGTAATGGAACGTATACGACAACACACATCAATTTCCTCATATAAAGATACCCTGGACGAACGGCAGTGGAGATATTGCCGGGACTGGAGACTCGCTCGACCTTGTAACAGTAGTATATGTATAGAGCCGAAATGAGATACAGCGTGCATTTCTATTTGGTTGAGGGTGCCCACTTTGGTGTGACGATGTTGGCGGGACGACGCAGTGACGGTGACGGCAGCGACGGGATGCAGTGTAAGCTTGTACACAATTTCGCAGATGGAGTGGAATCCGATGGGAGCTGACTTGGAATCGTGGTGTTTCTAGGCCAGAGTAATCATGGTTCCGGTAATAGCCTACCGTCATACGATGTCAAATACAGAAACATCGTTGCACAGCGATCCAATGTTGTTGTTCTCGAGAGCAAGAGCAAAACTCCCCACAACTAGAGCACGAACGCCTCTTGCTATCCATCTTCCTAAACCCCAAGCACCACTCGATCAGCCACAGCACCCAACATGCTCTTCCGCTTGCTCCTGGTCGCCCTCACAGCCGCCTCCCCCATTCACCACCTCCCAACCAACACCACACAAACCACCACCTCCACCCTCCGCCTCCTCCTCACAATCACCACCCTCGAAGCATTCCTCTACGCCCAAGGCTGCACTGAACTCGACCCCTTCGCCTTCGCCTCCGCGGGTTACGACAGCACCGTCTACGAAAACATCTGCGGGATCGCTCTCGAGAAGGCCGCAATCGTGATGGACTTCGAGGGATTGCTTAAGGCGCTTGGACAGCCTTCGGGAGGTGTGGAGTGTGAGTATAGGTTTGGGCATGGGAGTGTGCAAGGTTTGGTTGAAACGGCGAGGGAGGTGGGTGCGGTGGGCGTTGGGGCGTTTTTGGGGGGTGTGCAGGTTTGTTGTCGTGACGTCTGTTCTGGAAGGTGATTGTGTGGGCTGACGGGGTTCGCAGGCCACGCAAAGCGTTCCTCTCCTCCAAACATGGATCGCCAGTCTCGCTACGACTGAGGCTCGCCATGATGCCTTCCTTCGTGCGGAGACTGGTGCTCTCCCAGCGCCTTCCATTCACGATGTCTCTCTGCCCCCGACGTGGGCGTATAACCTCATCCAGAAATGGATCCACGCATGCCCCAAACCTCTACCATATCCAATCTTCCCTCAATTGAACTCCACAACCTCCTGGCAGCCCGGTCATAACCAAACCGACGACGCAATCGATACAAACCTCACAATCAGTCTCTCCTGGCGACCGAGCGAGTTCGCCGTCGAGGTATCGCCACGGCAACCACTATACCTCGCGGTGGTCGACAACCTCCCCGGCGCCAAGCCCATGATCCTGGACGTGCAGAGGAAGACAATGAATGGCACCGTCCACGCAGGAGACGCGGTCATTCCAGGGCAGTTTGCGGGAGGCGTTGCGTTCGCGGCGTTGACGACGTTCGTGGAGCTGAACAGTGTGGACGATCTGGTGCAGTATGGAACGCTCGCCGGGCCGGTCGAGTTTGTGTGGTCGTAGAAAGAAGAATGGCAGTGAATAGAATCATTTCTATGCTTGATTGTCCAGTGCTTTCCTATTCGGGCGAGCTCTGCGCTTTTCACGTGGCTTTTTGATAGATCCCTGCCAGGAATGGAAAGCTTACCGCGATACAGCCTCATACAGCTTTTAAGTAAGTCGTCTCCTGGGGCATTGATTGTCGTAGGGCTATGTTCAGCTTCGGTGGCGATAGGGACTCATAGCCACGGGAAGGGGGTATATAAGTAGATGGTGGTGTAACCTCGTCGTCTTGGTCCTGTTCACATCAATCAACGCTTTCCCATCGTTACAACAACCAACATCAAGAGCATAAGACATTGGAATCTGAACACCCAGCACAATGGCAGGTCGAATCGCAAGAGGCATCAGCGGCATCGTCGGCCTCGGCCAAGAAGCCTATCAACATAACAAGGAGAAGAAAGCAGCAGCTGCAGAAACAACAACAGCAGCAGGCTCGTCCTCCGCCCAACCACAACCCCCAAACCAGCCCCTTGCCCCACCACCACCCTCCTACACCAACATAGTCGACAAAGAGAAAGGCGAAACTGACATCTCCGTCTCGTCCTCCGACGAAGAAGACGACGATGAAGACCTTTGGCTTGAAGACGACGCCCAAACCGCTATCCTTCCCCAAACAGAAGAGCAACCTCGCCCCAAAATCCACAACGCAGAGAAATGGACCACCGCTTTCCTCCAGCGTCACCCACCACCCCCTTCGCAACCAGTCCCATTACCCGCAGCGGTCGTCATCCCCCAGCGCCGACCAGGAAGTCGGACACGAGGGTTCGTCCGGGCGTACGCGCCTGCATTGGCGGACAGTGGAATCGACGAGAAGGCGTGGTTGGAGTTCATGGATGGCTTCCATGAGCAGACGGAGCAGCAGGGGTATTTCAACGTGACGAACATCGCGGTGGCGTTGAGTGTCATGTCGTATACGATCTCTTGTGGGGTGAGTCGACCACCCCCTTTCCCCTCCATCTCCTCCCTCCATCGAATACTGACGATGCTCTTCATCTTACAGCCCAGCATCATCGTCCACCTCTCGGCCCTGGCTGTCCACACCTCCATCGAAGCCGGCCGCCGTCTTTACATCACCAAAAAAACAAACTCCTACCTCGACCACCTCAACGCCCACTACTTCCAACCCCGCGGCCTCTACGCCCTCATCATGCAATACGACCCCTCCTCCTCCCAGCCCTCCTGGACCCTAGACGCCGCCTCCCTCTCCTCCACCGCCGTCGCCAAACACACCAGCGACGACCACAACAACAAACCCAGCACACTCTCCACCTTCAAAGCCTCCTCCGCCAAAACCCTCGAATCCCAAATCCCCCCCGTCTGTCCCCTAACCTTCCCCACCCTCGCCTCCGCCTCCGCAGAAGACCAGCGTAACGCCTTCCGCAAAGCCATAGCCTTCTCGCGGGACTACTACGACCGCCGGGAACGCGCGACGTTCGCGGCGCATAACCAAGACTCCAAGTTGAATATTGAGGAGAAGCCTTTTGCGGGCCGGTATGCGGATCCGACGACGTTTGAGAAGAGCGGGTTGATTGGGGTTTTGACGGGTGGGGCGGTGGATCCGCGGAGGAGGAGGAGGGAGAGGAGGGCGGAGATGGGGAGGGGTGGGCATATTAGGGGAAGGAGAAGTGGTGGGAGTGGGAGTGGGGGGCAGAGGACGGGGATTGTGGGGGGTGTGAGGAAGGTTTTGGGGGAGAGGGTGCTGTATTTGATGGTTGTTAATATGGTGAGTCTTGTAGAGGATTTGCTCGGGTTGGAGCGTTTGCTAATTTGTTTTGGTGCAGCCTTCGAGAGAGGAAATGGAAGTCGCGGCGCAGATGGAGGCTCGGATGAAGGCGGAGGAGCCGAATTGGTTTGAGAAATGGCAGGCTTCTCGCAGGAGGTGATTGTCGAGTTCGATACGCTCCAAAACTCCTACTTTGGCCAGTGTCGAGCATGGAAGATCGAGGAGTTCCGGCGAGGCAGCGACATTCTTCCAATAAACCAAGACTTGCAATGGTATCTCCCGCGTCACTATCAAATCAAATCAGCTCCCTCAACCCTTCACTTCACTTCACCAACCCCTCCTCCCCCTCCGAATCATAATCATGCCCAGGAATCTCACTAATCGTCTTGACCAACCTCGTACTCTTCAACATAGAGTCCTCCTCAGGCTCATCATCATCCAACGGAATCCTCGAAATATGTCTCTCCAACCCCGGCTTCTTCATCGGCGACCGCGACTTGCCCTTGCCAGACTCGTTGCTGGTGATCCTCATCAGTCCGGAGACTTCAAAATCGGAGCCTGCGGTGCCGGAGTCTTGTTTTTCGATTTTGGCGGGAGGCTTGGGCTCGTCGTCCATGGCTTCTTCGCCTTCGCTGTCGAAGTCGTGGGTGGGAATGGTGGAGATGTGGCGTTTGAGGCGAGGGGGAAGGGTGTATCCCGATTCTTGCAATGCTTCATGAGTATCATCGTTCTGAGGAATGGAGGAGATGTGGCGCTCTAGAGATGGCTTTTCTTCGACCGGCGCGGTCTCTTCACCAGTGCGAGTGTTGCTCCTCATCAGGCCCAGGACCTCGAACGACTCAGGGTCCGCATTGGCAGAATCGTGCTTTTGGTGACCTTTGTCGTCCTTGTCGGACTTGCTGAAGCGTATGTTTGGCACCTTCTGCTTGATCTTCGACCTCAGGCTAAGACCCGTCAACGAAGACCTTTTATTAGGAGTCTCCTCTTCGTGATCTTTTTCAGGAATCGCAGAAATGTGATCATCAATCTCTGATCTCCTGCGGTTCGGTATAGAGCCTCGGCTCGTTCGGCTGGTGGTCCTCATCAGTCCTAGAACTTCGAACTCAGCGTCAGGCTGAGTGGAGCCTCGCTGCTCGACAGCCACTTCTTGTCCATCGTTCTGCAGCTGCACCTGCCAGGTTAAAGGCTCAGTAGCAGGCTTAACAGGTCCCAATCTTGCAGTCTTCCTCCTAAGGGCCTCCCACTCTTTACGCTCCCCTTCGTCCACCCAGTTCCCATGCAAGCCGATTTTGAGCTTGAAAGGCAAGTGCAACACCGCCACAGGGCCAGCAGACAGCTTCTGTGCATCGAAAATGGCGATATCATTGCGTAGGACGTCCAGTCGATTGATCAACGCGATCAGCCAACCTTCACCTTCACCAGCATCAGAGCTTAGCGGAATAAAAGCCGGCTCTTGCACAGTCGCTCGTGGACCAGCCCACCAGACATCCTCAGTCCCGTCATTCCAGTTGTAGTGACCTAAGCAGTTGAATAGACCACCAGCAGGCGAACCGCAGGCTTCAAAATAATACTCGCGTGATCCGTCGATCCGAGCTTGCCAGAAGTGATTGTAATGTTTCGTCACATACCGATCGTCAATCCGTGAAAACTCGCCGCTGGTGTTCCAGATCTTGGCCGGCTTGACTCGACTCTCGTTGGGTGCTTTGGGATCAAGAATCCAACGCTGGGTACTGGTTTCGACTTGAGGGCGCTTGAGTTGCGTTCCGGCAGGAGTGTCTTCAGGTGGGAAGAAGAAAAACACGTTGCCATCCGAAACGCCGAGATCGAAGACGATATGCCCCTGTTCGTTCTCGTAGGCACTGGCAACGTGGCCGTGGAATGCTGTTCAATTCATCAGCAAGAAGTCGAAGCAAAGGTACGTGCGGCCATTACCATTGTCAGACCTGAACCACTTAATATCCTCAGGCTTGCCATTCCGCCTCGGCACGACTCCATACCACTGGTCTTCGTTGGGGTCCCAAGCCCAATGATTACCACCCTGTTTGAGACGATCCAGCGAACACTTCAACGGCGTCAATGGCAGAATCACATAATTCTGCGTTATGCCACAATCATGAATCATGCCGCAGAACGGAGACTTATACCAGCACTCCTCCGTCTTCTTCCCGTTGGCATCAATAGTATAAACGACGATATCGCAACTGGCATCATTTCCGTTACCGACAGCTTCGTAGCCAAAGCAAATCATCTCACCAGTGACAGGGTCGAATTTCGGATGCGCAGTAAACGTCGGCGACTTGACCTGACCTTCGAAATCATACCGTCCAATGGTCTCGAGCGTGACAGGATCCAGGGCGAATGGAGGGCCATCCTGTCAGAACCTTAAGCTCAGTACAATGTCTTACTTTGATGGAAGGATCACTTAAGATGTTTAGCTTTCACGTACTTCTTTGATGGCCAGCAACGTCCCTCTCCAAAAGACGATGTTGGTGTTGGCTGCCGTGCGAATGACTCCTTTCACGGCCTCGTCGTCGGTGTAGACGTTCCGATACCTTCCGAAGAGTGCTTTGCCAGCCGCAGTCTCGTGGTGGTATCGATCGGTCTTGACATAGCGATGCTTGAAGTGCGCGTGGCCGTCTTGGATCCTGATAGCTGTGACCGCGCCATCGCCATTGAAGTGGATGTCGTCCTCGAAGATCGGAGGAAACCTCTGATCCGGCTGGATGCGATAGAACGTGCCATCAATCTCAGCAGGAATCTTTCCGTCTACCTCCAGGTCAAACACATCCCCTTCGAGTCGACATGGCGCATTGAACCCGGAAAAGACCTCAGTCTTGGGGAACTTGGCTTGGTCATTGACTCTGCGTCCTTCAGCGTAGTTGTCGGCAACCTGCGGAGCCAGATCGTGGATATGGGCCATAGTTGTCGAGCTCGAACAAGAGGTTTGACTGGAGCACGCGAGCTTGGAATAATAGGATAGCTGACATTGTGACTCGCATGCTTATGGAAGAAGAGAGCGCCATGCGGTCAGCGGCCGGGCGATACCTCCACTCCCTCTCTAATCTTCTGAGGTGGTCATGCCAAGAGCCTTACATATCGTGGCTGGGCCGGCGTCGATTCGTAGCGATGAGCATGGTGCATGTGTTGTAATCCCTGACAGGGAGCTCCTCGCCCGTCCGAGAGCTGTTCTGCCGTCGAAGCATGGGTCGCAAAGTGGAGAAGGGCCGTGGCGCGGAGAGGGGTGGAAAGGCTTCGAGGCGACTCTGGGCCAGTGACCGTCGCCGCGATCACGCGATCCGGCTCCATTTCACGATGAAGGTTCTACGCGAGAGACGCACAGCATGCGGTTGGTGCAGGACGATGAATCAGCGTTGGATGCACGTCGACTCGTGGTAGAACCGCCGGTGACGCAGGTACAGAGAAGACTGAGGGCAAAGGGCGGGGTCTCATCAGCGGCATTGGATCAAAGGTAAAGTCCGGCATGGTGATGGAGAGGTTCGTCTTGCGCCTCTTCTCAAAGGCCAAGAGTCTTTGCTATCAATCTTCTTCGAAAAGACACCACTCCATCCACGCTGAACGAATCCAAGCTTCGATTCGACCCCAACATGGGCGTCTTCGGCCGACGGGTCCGGGCGGTAGCTGCATGTGCAGATCAAAAGGCATTGGCACGCCAATGGAAACGATCAGGAGCGTCAACACTAATGCTGATGTCAATAGTAAAGTAGATGATTAAGAGATAGGATGCCACGCAATGAACAGAAAACTCATGGTATTTGTCATCACTCTAGGCGTATATTCAGGACTGGCGCCAACATCACCTGCCTCACGACTAAAAAAATACTCGACGAAGCACTCATCTGGGCAACTTTCGTATCTGCAATTTTGGCATTGGAAGCTAACTTCACATTCCGCCCTGCCGCTAATGTTCCTCCGTACACAAACATTCTGCATGTTCATTCACATACGATCAGGTCTCAACCTTTGCCGATAACTCCTCTAGAACTACCTGGAGCCCTTTGAAATATCCCTCACTCCGCGGACTTGTCGAGACCCTTCTATACTGCTCGACGCCCGAGACTTCGAACACAGCCTTGTCACGACTCCTTATGCTCATGACCGTCGCGAGGCCCTGCACAAATCGACTCACGTGTTCTTCCACGACGAGGAAATGGAAGCCGTTCATTCGCGAGTGTCCCCAGGCGATCTTCATCTCCTCGCTGGACCTTTCCGGGAGCGTGATGTCGAAGATGAACTTCTGTTGATGTTGTGTGTCGTCGAAGGACCATGAAGAACACGCGGTCCGCCAGCTTTTGAACAATGGCTCCAGGTCTAGCACTTCCTGCTTTTCGACGTTTAGGTCTTCTGACGAGTGATTGGGTCTTTGCACGGCTCTTTGTCGACAGACTTCGAGGACCTCCTTCGAAGCGAGAGGCATCAGAAGCTGGAGGCGATGTTCTGAAGGAAGAGTGAATGGTTATAAGTCAACCCAGAACGCATTACAGTGTCCCGGGGCACTGTACCTTTTGACCAATCACTCCCTCCTTTTCTTTCTGATGCTTTATTCAATGCTTCTTGTTCGACTGATCGCCGTTGGAAACGCAGCAGATCATCAGGGCTGTTGAAGTTTTCAAGCTGTTTGAGGCTGCTCATGTTGGTGTTGCTGACAGGACTGATCTGATGTCAAGTACCACGGATTCACGTTGGTTCATGTACCTGGAAATTGACTGATCAATATCATGACCTTCGCGCGATATTCTGCATGAACATGACGCATACTCCCCGCAGCTGCGTGTATGCGGCGTGAGTCTTCAATAACTTCGCCAGCGTATAGACTAGTCTCGAGCTAGACAGTCTGGAAAAGGGCTTAGATTGCCTTGTGCAACGATGCCGACGACAAGGTGGTAGAGGAAGAGCCTCTGAATGCGCTTGATTATATTGTCAAAACATACCTTCCCCTCGAACGCCTTTGGTCGTGAACACATTAACATCATCGCTAAAAAGACAATCTCCCTCCAAACGAACACTCTTCACATCAACAACCTCCCCAACCTCCCCCTCTGCGCCTCAACCACCACAGGCCCATACGTCGCCAAAACAACCCCAACCACAAACGCCACCACCACCATCAGCAGCACACTCCTAAGCTTCACCCTCGTCGTCTCCAGCTTCGTCAACTGATACCTTAGCTGATTGCTCAACTTATACGAGCGAGGACCAAAAGGCGCCGCGGGTGCCCAAGGCCCAATCATCTTGTTGATGGGCTCGACGTTCTCGCGCGCGCCCGCTTCGATCCCCTTCGTCATGCCCGGGAGTCCGTCGATGGACCATGCGTTCTTGTACGCCCAGTACCTACAGACAGACGTCAGTGATCGTACAGAAGCACCACTGCCTCACGACAACCTCGTATAGGTGACTGAGCCTGAACGTACCTTGGCATATCCTCCTTACTCCGCCCCGAGTCGAACGCCTTCTTCTTCTTCTCAAACACCTCGTTCAGCGTCGTGCGGTAATCCCGGAAGTCGTAAAACGGCACGCTATACCCGCACGAACTGCCGACTTGGTGGACATCCACCAAAATAATCGACCTCGTGGCGGGGATCGTCTGGACGGAGTTTGTCGTGACGAAGTCGTTGAACTCGAGAGACTCTCGTTCGATCACCCGTCCTAGAACACCACATCAGCACCCACCTACCCACCCATCCCTCCCACCACATCACAACAACAACATCAAGACTCACCAACCCCCCACAACCTCACAATCCTCGGCGCCCCCACAAACCCCGCAAACATAACCGTAATCCGTCCATTCTCCTTCAAATGGCTAATCGTCTCACACCCGCTGCCGCTGAGATCCATATACCAAAACGTCTTGTCGTCGATGAGGCCGAAATACTGTCCGCCTTTCGGCGAGACGTTGACGTGGCCGGACGCGGAGAGGGGCGCCGTGGACACGAAGAGCATCTTTTGCTCCAGGATCCAGGAGTAGATGTTGGGCGGGATGGTTTCGTAGAAGTGGCCCATTTTGGCGACGTGGGTATCGAGGGGGCGAGTTTTAGTGAGTGAATTGTTCAATTCTTGAGGATGAGATCAAGAACAACACATTGAATCCTGGATATCAAGACTCACCCACCCACTGGTGTGTCACCGGCCGACCTCGGCCAAGGGTTCGAGTCTATTCGCGCGCTTCACCTCTCAGCTGAGTAAATGCTCCCTGTACATACGAGCCTACCAGGACGTACATACGACTGTCAATGTCCATGGAGTAACCTTGTTCCCGGAACAATCCTCAAGATCTACTCAAAAGGGCGAACGACCATCCTCCTTGAAGCGATGACATTCAACGCTACTGTTCAATCCGCCCCAAGCTAGTAGGTACATGTAGGCACGGCCACGAGCCATTAGGCAGATGTCTATTTGTACACCATTCTGTCTAAGATTATAATTATGTGCAAGAGAAGAACTTCTTCACTTCTTATGATGCTCGCCCACCACCACATAGCGCGTTGTGTGTGTCGAACAACCATTGGCCGCGCCGATTGATGGGTAAGAATTGAAGCCCTCGTGAATGTTCGCCAGTGTGCCCACGTACTCCTTCCTCATGGTATGCCGCGCCGGTATAATAAAAAAAGTCAAATCCCTTCCCATTCGTTCCTTCATGGAATTCCGTGTATCATGAAGCCGTAATTCGAAGACACCGGGCCCGTTGATGCCTCTGCTCAAACCCCATGCCGTGTGAAACGCCGTTAGTAATGCGTGCTGTACGGTATGTACAATCCTTCTCTGTCACCGCCATCTTCCAATTGACCACTTTTGCTTTCCAAGACCCTGCTAAAGGACAAGGCTCAAACCGTGCGATGTTATGCTGAATTGCAGCCGTTCATGAGAGTGTTCTTCGGCCATTGGTAGCCGGAATCTTCCCAATGTGTCAGGTTGGGGTTGTTGTATGCCTCGGGATGATTGGCAATGTATTCGGTGGTCTCATAACCTGGTGGATCACAGGTCACCATCTCCTCGCCCGGCTTCTGGTACCAACGAACGTAGTCGACTCGCATGACAGTGGGAAACTTGAGATTAGCCAGGTCGATGTTGACCCAGCTATGCGAGAAACCCAAATTCAGGACCATTGACATGGGCTCTTCAGAAACCAGGCGCTGCCCGACATTGCCATTCGGTCCAACGGCACGGGCATCGAACTTCATCATCTCGTCGTCTCCAACGAACCACGTGATATGTGAATCTTCGGTGCCGCCCGGGACGTACTCAAATGCGTATTTCTGGTACTCCTTGCCATCATACCATTGATTGTTCAGCATCGTGGTGGTCGAGACGGCTTGTTGGAAAGGACCACCGGTGTAAGTGTTGACGAAGCTGAACTGGTAGTTGGGCGTCTCCATGAATGCGTAGTTCGGATAGTAAAAGATGTCGAAAGGTGCGACTTGGAACGATTGAGTGGCCACACTAAAGCCCTTCCCTCCCCAGTCCGCACTGACTTCGACAATATCGATCTCAGGCGCGCCGCGGCCAGTTCCAGGAGTTGGATGATCCTCGCCAACACAAACACAATTCGGCAGTCGCTGTCCAGGAAGGTAGCTCGTCCCGTCGGTCATTGACTGATTTGGGGTGATGCCAGCGTCGCAGCTGTCGTAGGTGTAGGGCCACATGCCGTCTGTGGTAGCGAGGTAGCCTGGACGTCCGAGGTTGCCCATCGTCCATACGCCAGGCCAAAGACCATGAACGCCGGCTGGACCTGGGAGACTCATAGAAACCTCAAATACGCCGCCTTTGAAACACAGTTGGTTCCACGACTGGAGCATGCCTGACCGATACATCAGACCGTGATTGTTGAACGCATCGAGCTGAAGCAGTAAAGTGCCACCACCTGTTGCGGATGTCAGTCAAATGGGAAAGGCTCGTCTGCTATGCAAACATACCTGTGTTGATAGCATCAGGGTCATACCACTCCAGATCCTGCGTAGCGCCATACCAGAGATCTGGCCCGAACCAAAAGGGATCATCACCTGGGTAAAAGGTCCGATTCTGTGCGTTGAACTCATCGCTAAACACCAACACCATCTCGTCGCCGTCGACGCTTGTGCGAGTCTTGGCACTATCAGGAGTGTCAGGGTCAATGAGGCCAGTGCGGATGTTCTGCAACAGCGGGTACACGTTGTCGTTCACATGTGCCCAAGGATTCTCTTTGTCGCCGTACCCAGGCATCTGATCCAGAGGTGTTTCGTATGAGTACGGAATCAAGCTTGTTCCAGTATAGGAGACTACTGGAAGCACAATGAAGATGGTGATCAGACCTGCCAACAGAAAGATCATACCAATCGTGTTGACAATGTTCTCTTTCGAAAACCGTTCCTTCAGCGTGGGCTTGTACTTTCGATCGTCATCCCACTGAGGCATGTGCATATCGTCGTCGTCCTCTTTATGATCCGAGTACAGCGGGAAAATGGATGGGGCACCCAGCCGGTCGTCCACCCAGGGGTAAAAAGGCACCTTCTCAGGATCAGCGTTACTGATAAAAGCAGGCGTCCCAGTCCTGACTGGCACAGCGGCCACGCCAACTGCCGGCGATTTCTTTTGCTGCCTTTCTTGACTCCCAACCAGCTGCGGCGTGCCGGGTGCAGTGTTGTTTGCCGATTCAAACGTACTCGAGGCGCGTTTATCATCTTTGAATGGATTCGACAGACGGTTGTGGAGATCGGCAGGTGAAATCGCATCACTGGGATGCAGCGCGGATGATGAATTGTTTCGTGGCAGGGGCGCAGATAAATCTTGCTGCGAATTGTTGTGCGTAGCGAATGGGTTGAAGTAGCGAGTGTAGTCTGATCCAAGATCTCGCACCGACCTAGGAGTGGAATGCTGGGTCAGGCTAGTAGTCGATCCGTGATGGGACATCTCTGGCTGCAGCAAGGGCTGTGTTGGAGTCTGTTGACCAGATGGTGCGATCGAAGCACTAGCAGGTGCTGCCGCCGCCAGTCCTGTACCCCTGCTCCTCGAGCTAGTTTGTTCTGAGCTACTGGCAACAGTGTCATCGCTGTTCTTCCTGCTCTCATTGCTGCTGCTCGTGTGCGAGGACGTTGGGTTCAGCGGCGAGGGTACGGTGGGGGCATACGGCGAGAGCGTTCCGGATTGCTGTGTGGGTGGTGATGGCGGTAGGTCTAATGTGCTTATCGAGATGTTGGTGGTGTCCAATGGCGATTGTGATGGGGCTTTGGAGGTCTTGTCCCGTGAGCCGGGCCGCGAGGCTTCCCGAAATGTCTGCGCTGAGGCCTGAGCATTCAGGTTAGTCGCTGATCGGCCGGCCTGTTGTATCTGGCGGTCATCGGCGCCATCGTAACGATCGGGTCCTCGCAGGGTGGGCCGTATGGTGTGTCGGTACGGTCTCTCGTGTGGGTGTTGTTGTGGGTGCGAGGGGGCCATTGTCTTGGGGGCCCGCGGCTCCTAGAAGACCATACAAGGAGGGTGTATGTGCAGACGAAGCGAGCGTGGTGGGCGTGGTGGAGCAGACGGCTACATTCGTGGCATGCGCGCGTGGGCGCCGTCCGTGTCGGCGGCAGCGACGGTGAGGTGATGTTTGGGCGGGTGGGCAGGAGTTCGCAGCGACAACGTGGAGAGGGCGGAGGCAGTTGCGGAGGTGGGCCAAGGCGGGCACGCCGTCGGTCGCGATGGTCAATGCAGCAGCAGGCAAGGACCAGGGGAATGCTGGGGCTTGTGGAGAAATCCTGGACTGCTGAAGTCGGTCGTAGTCGTACAGCAGAGGCACTGCTTTTCGCACGTTGATGAAGGCACCCAGCAAGCAAAGCGCACAAGCGAGCGGATGCGCCAGAGTTTTGAAACGCGCGGACGTCTTGGAGAGCGACGGGCACACAATGGGTGGGTGGGTGGATGCGAGTCTATCATGCAAAGAAACGGCGCACGGACGCTCGTCGCCTTTTTCACCTCGCAGCTGCTTGCATTTGGTTGGCCGCTTACGCAGGGGTATCAGAATAGCCCCGATAAGCTTTATCGCTGATACGAAGAAAACCTCTTCTGCTCTTCCCGGCCATATCTTCGCCACCCTCTCTTCAAACACGACAACGAAAGACTCCAACGCCATGCTAACACTTAAATACCCAAGATATCCATACCACACTCTCATCCAGCCCTCAGCCCAGATCGTCGCACCCGCGCCACGGACTTCTCATCCTCAACCTCCATCTTCTCCATCCCAAAGCTCGACAGATATACCGGCACCATGTCATGAGGACCACAAGGCCGACAGTCGCCGCTCGCCCGCCGCTTGTCGAAGAAGGTCTGCAGATTTGTGGTGAGGGCATCCTCGAGAGAAGTCCCGCTGGAATCCACATGCGCAGCTTTGATCGCAACAGCTTCCTCATCGGTGAAATATGGCGCGCTGATGTATAGCTCGTCGGTCGTCTGCAACAGTCGTCGCTCGCAGGTCTTGTCTTTCGCCATGTTGTGGAGCTGTGAAATGTCAATTCGCATCCCACGACGTTGAACGAGTACACCGCATACGTCGTAGACCAAGACACAGATCTTGTACCACAGCAGCCAATCCTCGCGAAGATCTGCTACGGTACGACGTGGCTTCGTAATCGTATCATCAAGAGACTTGCCAACTCTCTGCTTCTGGTTCTTGCTCTTCGCCTTGGACATATCCGCGCTGTATTTTCCGCTAATAATGTAAAGTAAAGTCTTCAGGATGGATCAAAGGATTCAAGACGCAGATCACAGCAATTCGAAGCCGTCGAAGCATATCCACAGCCCTACCAAACTCCCATTTCCCTCTTTCAACACAGCTAACTTCCTTAGCCTACCAGGAAATTCCTTTGAGTACCGAACTCACAATTCCAACATCTTTCTCCAACATTCCCCGCCTGACCACGGCATCGCCAACACCTCCATGCGATTTGACACGGCCCACATCGCGGAGAGGAATCCTTCGCACATGCACGACAGAATTAGCTTCCAAGACGTTACACGATGATCGATAGCGCCGTTGCCGGTAGACATCACCTCACGATACCGTAGCAACCTCATCCATCCGTGCCTTCCTTCACCACCACTCTTCTTCGACGAGCATCCCCCTCCGCGGCCATTATCACGCCTCGAGAACGTCGGTTCCTTCGGAGAGCTCTTCTGCAGCTGCTGCATGCAGCCAAGCTATTGAATTCGTGTTCCTGTCGATCCGCTGCAGCTATCAGCCGGCCGCCGATTGGTTCGTCAGATGTCTCAGCAACACTCTCAACACCTGGGCAGCTGGGCAACATATGCGAGCGAGAACTGGGCTATCTGGGCTGGAAGATGGCGCGGTCTGGATTCTGTGAGCATGACCGAGGACTGCCGGTAGGAACCGTAGAGGCTGAGAGGAATTTGATGAGTGAAGGGAACTTCTCATTCAAAGACGTGACGGCAACGCGAGTCATCATTGATATTGAAGTAACTCGCCTTAACTTATGAAACCGCCCCGTCAGCTCCAGAACCGCTCGTTCACCCAGACTCTGTCAAACATCATGCAGGCTCAACTCCCCGTTCTCGTCACAGTCATACCACGAGAGACGTCCCACTCTCATTCCTCCTTGCTCGAGGTCACTTCGATGCCCAACTCGTCCGCTACAGCCTTCCGAAAATCCACTTGAACTTCCTTTGTGTGCTGAAGGCGTTCGCGGCAGCTTGAGGGATCTCCCAGGTAAGTGCATGTACAGCTTCTCCCCATTTCTCCATCTTCGCAGAATCTTGGCCAGGTCTCTGGTGCGACGCAAATGATGTCTGGCACATTCACGGGGTCGTCCTTTGATTTCTGGGCCTTATGAAAGGCCTTGAGAAAGGGCTTGGTGTGCACTAGAACGTCCCGAATGGTGATAGACTTGCGTCCAAGTCGCTCTGGTCTACAATCTCCGCACACCATGTCGTGGGGGAAGGTCACCGACTGTAAGTCCTTGGCATCCTTCAATTTGTGAAAGGTTGTCGCTGCCACTGTGTGGTGATATGAGCCGTAGACGAGCCTGATCTGTCTGAGGAATTGACGCATCGTGCCAATCCCGCTCAAGAATGCCTTCAGCTCCGGCAGGCCGTTGAAGCTGAAGCGATTGCTGCCGTACGCCACAGGAGCAGCTTCTTCCTTGATCTGCTGGCAGGTCTTCAGAAGGGAATGCACGCTCGGGGTCTGATGTTCCCAGTTGCTCTTCTGCGGATTCCACGTGTCGCCTGGATGTTTCGATTGCCGCTTAAAGCCACGTCTCACCGCACGTTGACCGCTGAATTTCGACTTGAAAGTAACGATCTCGATATCCTCTGCTTCTTGAAAAAGCATGTCGTACACGATATTGCGAATCTCAGGAGGGAAATCCATGAAGCGGAAGAAGTCATTGATAGGCTCCAGCATGATCACATGTCGACCCTTGAGCGGTCCGTCGGCAACGGTGAGCTGGGGACTCTTGTCAGTAACTATCATAGCGTGCCGATGTAGTTGACTCACTGGCTTCAGCTTAAAAGCATCGGAGTCGTAGATCTTTGCGGAGTGCATGAACTGAGATTTTGTGGTGTTGAAGACAGACATCTTGTTGTCACCCGCATCGATGTCTAGCGTCGCATGCCAGGGATCGAAACCAGGATAGGCGTTCGTGGCGCTGCTTGAGGTGGTAGGCTCGGTTGGAGTCGTGAGATCGGTGGAGGTCGTGGGCGCGGCGGCTTTTGATGCAGACGCCTTGCGACGCTTCGCTGGCGGAGGCATCGCGGAGGTGTTGAGTGGGTTTGTCCTGTTTGCAATGTTGGAGAGACAGGTGAGAAGTTTGGAGGATTGACGTCGTCGCAAGGTCGCACATTTAGGCAGGAACCCCACGATCCGCCGCGTCGCGTCGCGCGTCATCTCGTGACCGTCCGTGCGCCTTCACATGACGCGCTTTCCCCGCGACTCATCAGAAGAAGTGAATGCTCCAGCTCAGCACAGCTTGAACTTGCGCCAAAGAAACTCATTCACTTGCGCATTACCACCCTTACCAACTCCCTCACCCAGACTTATCACTTTCAGTCCCTCCAGACTCCTCGCTCGGGAAAGAGCGACGTATTCTTGGCCTTCCTCGAAGCTCTTGCCTAGGTCCACGATCACTTTGTTGAGAGTCATGCCTTGACTCTTGTGGATCTGTGATGTCGTCAGTTTAGTTCCGCAAGATTCTTCAGCACTGCACTCACTGTCATAGCCCATGCGGCGATCAATGGAACCTGCGTCCTGGCCAGCAACGTGTACTCACGCTCATCTCCCAGCTCATTGACCTGGCAATCGGCATATATGGTCCTCTTTTGCCCGTTGTCGAACTCCACAATGGGCCACATCTTCGACTTGTTGCGAGGATTGCTAATGAATTGGCGAATCTGCCCTTCACGAAGAAACGCATACTCTCCTCGCAACTCGCCTTTGCTTCCGATCCCCTCAGGTTCCGCAGAGTCGTCTCGCTCCCGCCGCATGCGCTTCCTCTGAGACGAAGCAAGTCTGCTCGATATCGAGCTTCCCCCGGGCCCATTGCGATTCGCTTTCGGCAAGTTGGCCTCGTCATTTGGTTCGAAACCCACGATTCGCCCCTGGCTACCGTTGACCAGGCCAGCTCCAATATCCAGATTCACGAGTAGAACAACCAACATATCCTTCTTGTACTCTACAAATGTGTCGAGGCGATGTTCCCTCAACGCATCAAGCGAGCCATCGTATGGCGAGCGATTGCCCTTCGTCTCAAGATGGGGGTGCTTGTCTTTGTTCCACGAAAACATGTCTAGGCAGGTATACGAATGCTTGGCCGAAGTGAGCCTGTCGAACTCCGTCTGGTTGATGCGCTTTACTTCGTCACGCGTGGGAAACAGCTTCACCGCGTTGGTGATATCGCACGGGTGGTCGAGAAGCAGCCTCCGGTCTGTCTCTGTGAGCGCCGTGCCGATTCTCAACTTCTGCAGCACCTTGATGAAGACTTCATCGCTTTGCCGATGGATATTCGTGAGGTTGACATGCTTGAATCCGCATTCCTCCCACGCTGCGCTTCGAAATGCCCATTTGTCTTCATCGTTGCAGTCGCCGCGCATGGGACATCTGTAGACGATCTTCTCTTTATCCACAATACGCCGAGGCTGTTCACGGCCGCAATGGATGCAGTACTGGAAGGGCTTGACCGGTGGTAGCTGGCAGAAGTCGCCTGTCACAATCAGTTGAACTCCGCCAATGGCGCGAGGATCTCCTCGAGCTTCTTTCAAGATGTCGTTCAGCCGGGCAAACAGATGGTTCTCAACCATGCTGATCTCGTCGATAACAAGAACGTCTGTGCGTCGGAGCCTTGCGTTGACGAACTTGCCATGCGAGTCTTTGAGTAGTTGCTGGAGGGGTCGCTTCATGTGCAGAGGCGTCCATCCAGCAAATGCCCAGGTTGTGCTGCCGTTGATGTCGAGAGCTGCCTTCCCTGTGGGAGCAACAATCCTGACTATCTTGCCCTTGTCGCGCAGTAGAGGTACGAATGTCTTGAGAACGGTCGACTTGCCGCAGCCTGCAGATCCCGTATAGAAGACGTTGTGACCAGCCATGATGCAGTCCACCACTTCCTGTTGTTCCTTACACAAGACAGGCTGGTTCCTCGGGATTGGCGGATCAGCCGCAGCATCGTGGGTACGTTACGACTGGTTCGTATACATCACAGAGCGAGGGGTGGCAGCTGGTGTCAGGTCACCACGAGTAGTAGCACCATGCTGGAAGTTTCGTGGCTGGGCGGACGATGCAATTGTCTTCAAGATCTTTGCAGCCGGAGTCTGCTGCTTGGAGATCGGAATGGCATCTCCGGCCACTGGCCAAGTCGTCTGTGTCCTTTTGCTGGCAACGGTGGTAAGCAAAGGTTCCCTTAGTCGTCTCTGGTCTTCACGGGCGGACGCAACAACTGGCACTAGCATCTCATTGGCTTGAATTCCCGTAGCACTTGTATGAGTAGTGGGAGCGGAAGGTCTGTTCTGAGAGCTGGGAGGCGGTAGAAACGGATCCACTGGATTCGGAGGAGTCGTAGCAGCACTCTGCTGTTCAGCTACTCGAAGAACAGTCTTCACCGCTGGACCAGCTGTGGCAGTGGTGGTTGGAGCATTGCGTCCTGGAGCCACCGGCTTGCGAGTGCTCTGGGACTTCTTACTGGGCATGGTTCGATCCTCATGAGCAGTTCGTTGGCGAATTGCCGCAATCTTAGCCTGCAGAGCGTCGACCTGATTCTGAAGGGCATCTTCATCCTCGGACTCCTCAAGTAGGTCCACAACCTCAGACATCTTTTTGGGCGCAGCGTCCTGACGCTTCCTTTTGAGGGATGGTGCTGTTCGTTCCACTGGAGCATGTATTTGCACGTTTGCTGAGACTGGAGCCAAAGGCTGACGAGCCGCTGTCGGGACATTCTGCACTTGAGCCTGCGGAAGACTGTTCACATCCTCCTGAGTTGGCACGTCGATTCTGCAAAGTTCTGCAATCTTCGCGGCCTTGTCTTTGGGCAGAAGCGCGAAAACTCCGACCATGACATCCCGATCATGCTTCACCTGTTGTAGGTTGATCTCGAGCAATTTGCGAAGTGCCGCATCTTCGATCTCCCAAGTCCGTCCCGTGTGAGCATAAAGCCAGTCAGGTGCCGAGGCGTCATTGAAGTCAATTCTGTTGCAGTAGAACGTTGTCAAATGTCCCCGTCGCACCTCAGCATCATGTCTCAGCCAGAAGATCTGATCCTCGGCTCCGATCCGTGTGTAGTACGATAGCATGGAGGCCCCGATTCGCATTTTCTCCATGTCGACCTGAGGATGCTCGTTACCGCAGGCTTCGCTCAAGTATCTGAGCATGGCCTCTTTGAGCGTAGGAGATAGATTCTGTGCCGCGGCAAGGTCACGGATAGCGATCATGTCATGATATCGGATTCGACAGCAAGCTCCAGTGAACCATCCATATTGGCGCAAGCCGCCGGACACCTCGTCAGGTATGACAACCACGGCGGCGCTGTGAGCTGGGACCAGGAATGGTGGTATTTGGTATGCGACCACATCCGCGGGCGTCCTGTCATTGTAGACGCTATCGGCTTGTTGGCAGATATCCATACTTGTGTGCTGAGGCCAGGCCTTTACCGACTCATGATGATACGCTTCGAGTAGGTACTGTTGTCGGCATCCGTGGCAGTACCTCTTCTAGGATTTTCAAGTCGGTGGTCAATGCGATCCAGAATGTATGTCGATGCAATTAGGCCAATCCAATAATATCAAACGAGGTGTACAGGGCAGGAAAATTGGTTGGTCGACCAGACGCGTAGCAGCAAGAAGCGCGTCAGTTCGACCGCGCCAGATCAGATTCACTCAAGCCTCTTGGCGGGGCACGGCTCGTGCGTAGAGCGATATCACGTGGACGTGATTAAAGGACCGGCAGTATAAGAATAAGTTCTTGAATGCCAAATTTGCGCCGATGTATGCCTCCCAATGCACCGCGTCTGTTCCGTTGCTCCAGCGCTTTGTAGTACCCATCCTTTTTATGTACACAATATACACGAAACGCTCAAGTTGGCAGAACAGGGTATCCAAAGAAATGAAAAAAAGGCGAACCCAACGAGAGTCGTCCAAGTCGTTCAGTCGTAAGCCACGTTGAGGAAAGGTAGAAGCTGCGGGAAGTGCTCCTAGTAATCCAACCTGCAGCAAATGTTAGCCGGCACATCCGAATCACACTCATTGACTTGACACATTGCACTCACCGTAACTTCTCCACCACTCTCAACACTGAGATACTGAAACATAGTAGCCAGGCTATGAGAGCCACGACCAGGACGCCCGACAGGGCTGTCTGCTTGCTGCAAATAGCGGCATTGTTTGGACACGTCCGGGGTATCCGTATGGCATAATTTCCGACTTCCTGATAGGTTTCTTCGTAACATGCCCAGCTGTCGTCTAGAAGCGCACTGAATGCGAGGGAGAGATTCGAGGCCGAAAACACAATGAAATAGAGGTCGCAGAGTAGAAGGAGGGTTTTAGCGGCCACGGAACGGAGGCCGAGTCTGTATCTTGTCAGTATGCTATACACCAAACACAGTCCTGACGAGTACGCACGGTTTGCTCATGTATTCGTCCCATGTGACGTACGCGACGTAAGGTATCGCTATCGTGCTGACAATAATGCCCATATATGTCGACGCTCGGGGCGCACATTGATTGTCGGGGTTAGGATCTCTGTTGACCTTGTCCACCTTATGCAAAATAGATCCAGACACACCAAGGGCGGCACATGAGAATGCGAGGACCGTCAACCGGAAGATCAAGGGGACGAATGCGTTCTTCAGGAGGAGCCTCTGTGTCTGATGTTAGCTTGTATTTCCCATACTGTATCCCGAGAAGCGCTGCTGCGCCTGTAGTCGAACATACCCAGAATAACTTCACTGTCCTCTCTTGTCGTTCAGGGCTAATCAACCACTTCCCTCTGTACATGATCCCCTTGAATCCTGAGGGACCTTTGTGCGATGCCTCCGGATCTGCCTCATCCTCCTCTTCGAACTTCCGCGCGAACACTGGCATATTCTCCTCCATCCACTCTGGATCCATGACTCTTCCCTCGCCGCGATATTCCCTCGGGTTCGGCCCCGACTGCATGAAAGGTATCCATCTCGTCTGCTCGTCCGCAATAGGCGCCGACAACAGCCCCGGCTCCGCTGTCCTCAAATGGTCCAACTTCCTGCCAGGCTGGTATTTATTGGGCGGCGGCTTGTAGTGGCGCGTATTGGGTACTACCGGGTCTGGCGCGAGGAAAGGCGCCTTTTCATCGCTGTCGTTAACGTGCACCCAAGGCGGGATGCTATCCGGGACGTGTGGGTCGCCGTCATCTTGCGACTTGTCGGTGTTGGGGGCGCCGACGAGACTGGAGAACAGCGGGACTTGAGGCATATCCTCCACCGCCGTACGAGACGCCGCCGATTACGCGCGATGGCTTGCTGAAGCAATGTGTTACACGGGAGTTGGAGCTGGAGGAGAGAGCGGGCTGATCGTGAATTAAATTGGGCCAGGATGGCGGGATCGCCGGCCTGCTAATTTAGTGTGGAGAGAGCCTGCTGTGACGTCCCCGATTCTTGGTTGACGGCCAACCTTCCTGCACTCCACTCCCTCGCATATCCACTCATCACCTGGCGCTTCCGGATGACACGCTATGAGCGCTTGGCTTGATGGGAAATGCATGCGCTGTGGGAAAGACGTCAAGCACGGTAACGCCGGACAGGGCCGAGGACCAAAGATGCCACCGTAAGGAGACCGCATCACAAGATACATCTCGCAGTTGCACTGGAATAATACAAAGCTATAACAAGACTATGGACAGCTCGAAGAAATACAGCATCTATTCCACCTGTCGATCTCGAAATGGGACAGCATGATCACGAAGCACGCTCATTCCGTTCTAAAGTATGTGCGAGGAGTCGAGAAGAATATCACCGGGAACACAATTCATTTCTCCGCGAGGCGATCCAATATCCCCAACATCCTGAGGAAGACTATGGCCAGCACTGCTCCTGCTCTTGTCTGCCACCACCAAAATCCAGAGTCCGAACTGCATCACTTATCCATACCACAGCCAGCACCGACGTCTTCTGCCATTTCAATGTCAAACACTTTGGCTCTTCTGCACCTGATTCTCCCGTCATCTGAGCCCCCATTTTCCCAGTCTCCAAGAACATGTGGGATAATACTTTGTCTTCCAGAGGATCGAGATCTTGGTTGCTTGAGGTCGTCTCGTCGCCAGATTTGGTACTGGCGATTGAACTCGTTCGATTGTTGAAAGGCTATCTCTACGCCGCCTTCGTCTGAGGATCCTCAAAGACTTCCCAAGGACATGCACCGGCCATCTTGGTGTCGATTACACAGCTGAGTCGACGTGGAGAGGTAAGGTAGTCGTGCTTTCCGATTTGATGTTCTGAATGGCTTTTGATTCCCCAAGCTACTTCTGTCCAAGCACTTAACAGCATGGCAACGTCCTTCTTATATAACCTCCTCCCTCTGTAATCTACACAGACTATACGACTACAAAAAGACGCTCGCCACCAGCCACATGCACCTGTCAGCCGCGCTGAAGATGAACATAAGATGCCAAGGCCCGCTGTTTGACCGCCTCAGCCTCACCTCACGCCTCGACTTCACCTATCTTCACAGGCGGTCAGGGGTGGCAACAGACTCCACTACATCGGACTATCTTTGGCATGCCATCTCGTATACTGACCGCTTCCACAGCGGCTCTTCCTACCTCAACTGATTGCGAGATGAGAGCGGAACAAGCGAGCTGGGCCATGCAGAATAATCTTGCGCTGGGCGCTGCTGTACTCGTTATGCTATGCTATGAACAAGAGACACTATGACTACAACGCGAACCGATAACACCTGCGACCGATACACGCTCGAACGAGACGTCAACAAACATCACTCATGAATCCATCAAAACCCGATCTACCCAGGGACCTTTTTCGCCTTGAACGCCAAACAATTCGCCATTCGTGCCGTGTTTCCAAAACGACAATCCGTCATCTTCACATCTCAGCCTTCTCCGACTGACAACACTCGCCTACCGCCAAGTACCACCTCTACCCTCTTCGGCGATCTTCCCACTCACATCACGGCGGCCTCTCAACCCATACCCGCCACTCTGCTCCGACGCATAAAGTCCGACGTCCGTGATGTCCGCGCCAGTCCGACTGATGACACGGCCAGTCTTCTTGTCCACCGGCGCACCACCGCGGTCAAGCGCCGGGAACTGCGTCTGGGACAGCGGTACGGCTCCACGGATGTTGCGCGTTGCTGATGCGAGGTCGCCATAGTACTTGCCCTTTGGCGTGCCGTTGTTTGGACGGCCGTTCGACTTCAGCGACGGTGCAGACTCGGAGTAGACGGAGGAGTTCGCGGTGCCGTGAGATGCGACGGTGAGAGTGCGGGCAACGCCAGTCTCGATGGGCGAGTAGTTCTCATAGTGATTCTGGTGTTGAATGGCATACGGCGTGTTCTCTTTGTCGTCTTCTGGGTATTGAATCTGAGGCGGTGGAGTAGGAGGGTTCATCTTGAGCGGCTGATGCTCGAAAGAGTCGTGACGGTCGAGCTCATCCAGCTCGACGTTCGGAAGAGTTGGGTTTTGCGAGTACGGAGGTGCTGCGGTCTGCTGCTGGCGACGAGGACTTCCAAGGTCTGAGACGGCATCTTCATCGAGAACGTACCAGTTGTCGTTGAGGAGGCTTTGCTTCTGCTGAGACTTGACCACGTCCGTGGTTGGCGCGGTTGACATGCGATCAGGTGTTCCTCGGCTTGACACGAACGAGTCGTGGTGAGCGGTATTTGGTCGTGAATGGTTCTTGAAGGACGGGACTGGAGGAGTCTCTGCAAAGTCGACGACGGATGTGCTCTTCGCCGGATCCACAAGAGTACCGGCACGCGAACGATGGCCTGGTGCAACATCATGGCGAGAGCTGCGAGCGGAGCGCGGACCCTGGTACAGACTGATCTCATCGTTTTGCTGGCGCGAAAGGCGTGCAGAGTTGGGATTGTGAGGCGAGTAGCTGTTGTCCGAATCCATTCTGCTGTGTCCCCAAGGAATAGTCCTCGCCTCTGGCTCCTTTGCGGTCGATACTCGAGAGTCTGTCACATCCAGAGTGCTTCCGCTGTAGTACGCCTTGTTCTTCTCGGACATTTCGCCAGTCAGAGTCGATGCTGTGCTCAAGTTGGAATCCTTGTGCTTGTGCCTCTGCGACCTCGAGCGACGAGTGCTGCCGGTCAAGTTGTCTTCCAGCGGGTTCATGTCGGGTGGCAGCCGGGCAATCTTTCTGAACATGACGATGAGGTAGAGGTCGAGTCCGATGCTGATCAGATGCAGAGAAGCCATGACAATGCTCGCGATGAATGTCGCAAAGATGACGGACGTAGTGGCGAAGTTGTTGCTGAAGAAGCTGGTCCACCGATTGTCGACTCCCGGCTGCAGGTTGTAGTTCTGATTCGCATACAGCGCGATGAAGATGTAGAATGGAATCAAGCCGGTATCCATGAACAGCGCGAAGAAGTGGTAGCTGCCACTGCTCGAAGGAGTGCGACCCTTGGCCGGTCGAAGCAGGTGGTAGACGGCGTACATCGTAATGACCGAGTCCCAAGCAGGCTGTACAAGAACAGGTCAGTATTTCGCGCTCTCTCGTGTTTATCCTCGATTGACCTACAGCAACTCGAATGATCCAACCCGGTCCATCGTTCTTCATCTTCAAGCAGATCACGCACACCAAGATGCCCAGAGCTCCAACTTCTTGCAACAGCCTCAACGCAAACTGCACCCATCGCGTCCAGATGATACTCTTCTTCGTACTCGACGGAAGAGGCTCATGGTTGACTCCCGGGTTGGCAACTATCATATAGCTGTCTGGGTGTGCGTTGAAGTTGATGAGCGGCTTGCCATCCTGCGCGGCTCTGCGCTTTGCTCTGTCGGCTCGCTCTTGAAAAGCCGCATAATGCGCCTGGGTCGCAGCTCGTGGATTGAAATCGGAGTATGGATACGAGAGTGGTCGGGACGCGGTCGGCGGGTCGTAGATGTACGGTTGATCTGGCATTGCCGGGGAAGAACGACTGTGGTGCGCTCGCAGTAAGAACGAAGGACGTTGCAATGCTGGAAAGAGCAATGCGAGGTCAGCGCAAAGAATGCAGAGGAATGCAGTGAGATCTTGAGATCACTGGGTCTGCTATCTTTGTCTGGTGGACGAATGACGAGGCCGGTGGTGGCTAGGTGTACGACAAGGATGGACGATGGCCGCCAGGATTGTTGATGTCCTCGTTGTCATGGGCGACTATCTTATCGGGGCTTCGGCGCGAGTCTAAATCCGGCGCTGCAGGATGACATAGATCTGATAGCAATATTTCACCTCGTCCGACCTCACTTTTTGCCTCCTGTACAGCATTTCGTTTTTGTGCCGATGTTTGGGAGGACGAGTGCGTTTGTCTGCCGCAGCTGCCAGCGTGCTCAACGCGATGTCCTGGTTCCACGACGAAAGGGCGTTGAAAATGGCCTTCGAAGATACGCCACGGCGAACACGCGACAGCATCCTCTGCAGCTAGCCATCATTGGATCTGGACCGGCAGGATTCTATTCGGCATATAGGTTGCTGAAGGCATTGCCCGATGCGCGCGTGGATATGTATGAGGGCCTGCCCTCTCCCTATGGCCTAGTTCGATTCGGCATTGCTCCTGATCACCCAGAAGCCAAAGTATGACCAGAAGATATACCACAAAATGGGATGACCATAGCTGATGCGGTAGTCGCGCAGTAGAAGTGTTCAGAAACCTTAGTTGATGTCGCGAAGTATCCTGGCTTCAACTACATTGGCAACGTTCCTATAGGCGATGAAGACAGGCAACTCCCACTCACCTCGATCGCTCCACACTATGATGGAATCCTCTTCGCGTACGGCGCGTCAAAAGACAAGAGACTGGGAATACCGGGTGAGGATCTAAAGGGCGTGCACTCTGCGAGAGCATTCGTCGGCTGGTATAATGGCCTGCCAGAATACGCAGACCTGAACCCCGAGTTAGACGTTGGAGATACCGCTGTAGTCATTGGACAAGGCAATGTCGCATTGGATGTGGCCCGCATACTTTTCATGCCGCTGGAAGAATTGCGAAAGACGGATATCTCTGAGCACGCGTTGGAGGCGCTGAGCAAAAGCAGGATCAAAGACGTGAAGATCATCGGGAGAAGGGGTCCACTACAAGCGCCGTACACGATCAAGGAACTCCGAGAATTGTTGACTCTACCCGGACTAGGATTTGTGCCGCCGCCTGAAGGATGGGACGCTTTGCTCCAAGTCGAGACGAAAAAGCTTCCACGCCAACTAAAGCGAATCGCCGAGCTTCTGCTGAAAGGCTCCAAAACACCAATCGAGCAAGCAAAGAACGCCTGGCAGCTGGGTTACCTACGATCGCCCCTTGAATTCCTGTCGTCGGACTCGACCTCTCTTGCAGCCATCGGCTTCGAACAGCAAGAGTATGTAACCCCAATGATGGAGCTACTCACCGGTGAGCCTCAGACGGACCTCAACACCCTACGTGCAGCCAAAGTCAAAGGGACAGGCCGAAAAGGAAAGGTCAGTGCTAGCTTAGCATTCCGCTCCATAGGGTATGAATCGACGGCCCTACCAGGGTTTGAGAAGCTCGGTGTACCTTTCGACACGAAGAAGGGCATCATTCCGAATGACCGCTGGGGACGCGTCCTCTCACCGGATCGCGGCCCAGGCGCCGATCTGACAGCGGGCCATGTTCCCGGTATGTACTGCGCCGGCTGGGTGAAGCGAGGACCGACCGGCGTCATAGCGAGCACACTGGACGACGCCTTTACTACCGCAGATGTCATCGTGAATGACTGGAACAAGAACGTCAAGTTCCTCGGCGACGAACAAGAAGGACCTTCAGAGAAACGTGGGTGGGAAGAAGTCAAGAAGGAGGCCGAGCAGAGAGGACTTCGAAGGGTGAGCTGGCAGGATTGGGAGAAGATCGACGCCGAGGAGGTCCGGAGAGGCAAAGAGAAGGGCAAGGAGAGGGAGAAGTGTAGGAGTGTTGAGGAGATGTTGAGGATCCTGGACGGTTAAGCAGGCAGGCCATGCAGGCAGAAGGTTGTGTTGATGATTACTACTCCTTAGTAGAGATGTACAGGCATACAGAAAGCATTTCCCTCACCGGACCTCGAACTCCGCCACACCTACCACGTTCGTCTACTGCACCCCGTTTCCCCCATTCATCCATCCATCCGACAAACGTACTGTACGCACACTAACAGTGGAGACAACCATCTCGCGTTCGCGGACTCGTCTCCATCCCCTGCACCTGCACGTGCACCGTCACGTCCATGCAACGCCGAAACTCGTCGGACTTCGTGAGTGGCAACACCGAGAGCTTGTGATGAACGGGAAGGTAACGATGTTTTGTTGTGGCGAATGCGAAGAAAAGACGTTCTTGCGTGATCGGTGCTAGGAATGGGGGCGTTTCGGTGTGGAGGAGTCGTCGAGGGTCCTGCTGGCGAAGGTAAGGGCGGGACGTAGGGGATGAGCTGGGTGAGTTTGTGGTAGGTTACGTGAGCGCGTGGTGGTTTGGTTGGATTATTGGTGTCATGCTCGTAGGCGCGTGCTGGCTGGGCTTGGTCATGTTGGAAGTGCTGTAAGATCCCTAACGACGGTGGAAGTGTTGACTATCTGTAGAGAATGAGTCGCTAGGCACTTGGAACAACAGAATACTGCAGTGATGACAAGGTTGGTAATATCAAGTCTTCTTTTCCATTCTCGATGGCATCTTCCAATCTATCCATAAAAGCGACAAGCTCGTAAAGCCAACAGACAATTTCAGTGATATCTCAGAAAACTCCACCAACGCCTTGCTGAATTGATTAAGCCATCGTGATTATATTTCCCTCTCCTAGCCGACTGGGCTAGGAGTTTCGATGTATCGTTGGCAGGACGTAGCCAACGATACAATCATTCTTTCTCTTTCGTTCGGAGACCAAGCGATCTTAAAGACCAGAACCGAGTAAGATACTGGCCATGATGCTTGTCCGATGATCGACATTCATAACGCCGTGAACACTTTTCGAAAGTCTTCGTAAGAAATCGAAACGACGAAGACTCTCTACTTCATAAGAGCCATAGTCGCCAGAGTCTCGGTAGTAGGTCGATCCTTCATGCGTTCGAGTTGCTTCTCACGAGGTGACCGAGTCTGCTTCGACTTCATTTCAGAGGTCTTGATGGTGAACTTGTCCTTGATCAGGCTCGATGTCGACGAGGACGACATGATGGACGAGGAGTCGGACTTGATGGACTTGGTGGAGAACATTTTGATCGTTGTTGGGGTGATGTTGTTGTTGATCGTTGATCGATTGAGTGATATCGTTGTTGTGATTGAAGTTGATTTTGACGAGATGGTTGGAGGTCGTTCAGATATTGTATTGACTGACGACGATATATATGACTCGTAGTCCGACTGAATCAGGATGATCGAACGAGAAAGTGCTGACAGGAGGATCTTGCTGATTGATATTGTGATGGATGCTGATGAATGGGAAAGTGGAAACCAAAGAGAAGAAACGATCCATCTACTTATACCGAAACGACGACCACACACGATGGTTGTAAATCGCACCATCACAGTCACATTCGCAACACTCACTCATTCGTAGTCGTCAAACCCAAAAGCCAATGCAGCATTGACTCAAGGCTGCACTGTTCGGTTCGCGCGAATCAATCGCTGCGCCCATGCCATTCCGCATGCGAATGCGGTGTTGGACGGCGACGACAATTGTGGCTTGAGGGACCCGTGCGAGGTGTGCGAAGTCCATACAGGTGGTAGACCGGTGTCGCAAAGGCTCCACAACGGACTTGCTGTTTGCTGAGGTGAGCGTAGGGCCAAAACGTGCTCGGCCGGCATAGCAATTGGAGGTACCACTATAGGCTTTTCTCAACTAGTGGTTGAAGGAGGACGGGTCGGTATAGCTTCTCGCGCGCTGACTGGATCACTGCCTTGCGGTGACTCGAACTGCTCGGAGTTGCTGTCGACGACCGCGCCTTGCAAGATCAATGGTAACAACGCCGCCTTCTCTTTTCTGTAAGGCGCTGTTGTTTTCCCCCAACGGTGGAGGCTGTACATCGCATTCGCGCGCCTTGCAAGTCCAGTACATGCTCGCTGTCAACGCCTTTTGGTATGCGTCGCTGCTCGCTGTCCTTTCTGGATTACGTTGCCCTGTGACGGGCACGCAGCTGGCGGCCAGGGCGCCGTCGGACAGAAGTGCGCGGTCTTCGGTGAAGGATTGAGGAGGCGGAGTTCGCTTGAGGAAGAGCCACTTTCACTGCATGCTTTTAGCGCGCCCCACTTTTCATTCCACAAAGGGCACTAACGACCATAGGGCTTGTACATTTCCAATCGACATTTTTATGACTCGAACTTGTCTTCTAAGCAGCCATGCTGAGGAGGACACGAACTCCGTCAGATGCCCTATGGCCCCAATTGCAAGGTGAATCGATCAAGCCCTATTGTTGGACGAGCTGACATCTACACTCCGTCAACGCGTAATGCATACAAGCAGGAACCCAGTCAACATTCCTCCAATCTCACCACCATCGCTGAGCGAAAGAGCAGGATCGAGCTACTCAATGATCTTCAATCGTCCACGTTCGGCTTCAACCGTCCATCCTACTTGCATTCCTGATTTTTCTGCTCCGGGCCTTATTCCGAGGCCACTCCGGCACCCCAACATCAATCCTTCTGCAGGGCCAAGAGGACGAAGCCCGGTTTGGTGCTCGGCCGAAGCTTTTTGGCTCTCCATCAACGGCGGTGAGGCGGCATCTGATAACAAGCCATCTGATAACGACTCGGTACGCTGCCGGACATGTCTTGTGCAAGATTCAAGCACTCGACTGCGCGCCGTCTCATTGTAGGGCAACGAGCTTTCGACCCTTTCGGTAAATGAGGAGTGGTGCTGCCTCCTTCGCATATAACAACCCTCGGCCGATGGTCTGTCTTGTGGTTCATCACCTCTCGCGGAATATCCCTTCTCGAGATCGTTTCATCAAGTAGATGTCGTGCTCTGAAGCATTGAGGTCGGCTCGCACGAAGCCTTCACCACATGCCACTTAGTGTCGTTCACTCCACGTCTCTCCCAAGGACGCTGCCTGAACGCGTTGAGCAACAATACTCTCGCAAGAATTGCCTGGATGGGCGTTTGCTGTATGGATCTTTGACCATAATCCAGTCAGTCATCCTGCCGGTGCTGTCACTCGACTGGGTATCGATGACCTAAACCATCGACATGGAGACGAGCTCGGCCATGACTAAATCGTTTTGGATCTGAGAAGCAGGTCAGCGACTGGGTGGAAATGATTGGAGTCAGTATGTTTGTCAATGCTCAAATCCCATTTCATTCGCACCATAATCCTACACTATGTAGGAAAGTACTGACAAGACCCAGAGTCCTCATCCCACTCGCTAGGTGCTACATCATAGCGTATGCAGAGCAGAATGTACCGAAAGCCCTTGCAATCTCGCCCGTATTGTCTCATCATCCACAACTCGACTTTGCCGGGTGCCACTCCCACCACTCGCATATATTTGCCCACGTCCTCAGGTTGGACGACTTCGCCGCATCCCCTTTCACACATCGTCGTGTATCCGTTGTCGCGTGTCTACGTGTCCTTTTCCGGCCGTTTCACGTTCAGTCTCTTCAAGACGAAAGCTTACTGCGCCTTCTTTGGCTGCTGCTGGGCGGCGGCACCACCACCGACATAGCGGTTGATGTCGGTCTGGTCATGAATCTGCTTAAGGACGTTCTTGGCGGTGTCCCATGCCTGGCGGGCCGCTGGTGGCACGTCTTGCCTCTGGACGAGCGCATCACCGCGAGCACCGGCCTGCTTGATCATGCCCTGGACGAAAGTGCTTTGGCTAATGCGGGCGCGCAGGAAGACGGTGTAGAGGGCCAGGATGATCCAGCTACCCTTGACGAAGATGATAGCAGAGCCAAGGATGCGGAACCACAGGGCAAGTTCAAGGCCGGCGACAAGAGACATGCTGGCATCGTAGTAGTCCTTAACGAAACGGCCAATGGTGTCGGCAAGACCGGAGGACTGGGGCTTCTGGCCAGCAGGTGTAGCTGGTGGGGGCTGGAGAGTTGGGAGGAGAATGCCGCGAGTGTAAGTCAGGACGTGGAACACGCTGTAGATGGCGTATGGCAGCAATGCGAGCGGGTACTGGCGGGAAAAGAGCCAGAGTAGGGCCATTGCTGTAGATGGCCTTATCAGCGAATGTCCAGGCAGCCGCAATCAGACGTTTGTACTTACCAAGATATTGCACATTCTCGTCGGTCACCAAAGCAACTGGGCTCTGCGGTGCCTTTCCACTCTTCTGACGGGCACGGTATCCCTTAAAGACAACAATGCCGTATGTCGCTGCTGCCGCTACGAAAGCGGTGCGGTAGCTGAACTGGGCCCAGCGGCTGTAGTATCTGAACATGATGTAGCTGAGGCCATAGCGGAGGGTGGTCAGGAGCAGAGTCACATGGCCGACAAACCATGCGAACTGCAGCGTCTGAGCGAGCTTCAGAAGGCGATCTTGGAGCGTCTCGCCCTGTGCGGTGGGTGGTGGTGGTGCCATGCCGGGCGGTGTCGAACTGAGCGGGGTCTGGTTCGCAAGTCGTGGGTGGCTTTTAGTAATTCGAAAGAGACGCCGTCGATTGCAAGAAGGCTTCAACCAGGAGCAGAGGTCGAAGCGGTGCAAGGATTGCAGAGGTGGGAGGTTGGTTGTTTGTTGGAGTCTGGAGAAAACCAGCTGTGGTGTTGGAAGAGCGAGTGGGTCGCGGTCAAGCGAGCGATGACGACACGCTGGCAACTCTGGCAACTGCAGCAGCTTGAAGTCTCGGCCAGCGCCTGCCAACTTCACCACCAGGCCAGTTTGCTGCACGAGACGACAATTTCATGATTCTCTCGGTTCTGTCCATCGTGCGGTTGCCCTTCACATCAAGACGGATTCCTTCTAACTCACGGTCGCAGCCTGTGATGGCTCCTCATGCATGACGCCTAGTGGCAATCGAAACGGACAAAATATCGAAGTCACGGAAATCCCAGGTCGGGAAACGACGACGTGAAGACTGGACCCATTGTACAGAACCTTCGAAGACTTATCAATCTGTGAGAATAGTGATACACTGTCGTCTCTCCTTGTCATTGAGCTCTTCATGCAATGCTTGCGTGACTCACAAGGTATTCGACCTGCCACTCTGGGGTATAAAGGCGTTGCGACATGCACGTGTGCACATTTACCACACACATCTAGAAGCAATTATAAACCGCCTTGGGGGTTATAACCGTTGCAGCTTCGTGTTGTGGGGGCATTTCAGCTTACTGAGGGGCAGCAATGGACGAAGTTGACGACAAACGTCTGGCGATTCGCCATGGACGAACCGCAGACCAAGACGAGATCATCAAGCTATCGAGACGAGTCCAAGATAAGTTGACGGCGAGTGGGAGTCTGCAGCAAATAGGTCCGCTGCAACAAGATGCTGTGGCCCAGGCAATCGCCAATCAGCAATGCTATGTTCTCGAACGGTATCAGTCAAGTTCCCTTGAGTCGAAGACCATCGGATGTGCGCTCTCAAGATCTCTCCAGGCAGGATACTTCCTCTCTACGTCTGACTTCGACATGAAAAGTTTTCCGTCTCCCTGGCTTTATCTGCACTCGATCATGCTGGAACCGGAGGCTCAAGGCCGTGGCATCGGCAAGTCCTTTGTTGCAGAAGTCGTCAACAAGATCGCATCTCTGCATCATGATTGTGGGATCCTCTTCCTCGATTGCTGGGCCGGCAATCAGACGCTTAGGAGATTTTACGCTGAAGTTGGCTTCACCTTCACGGCTGTCATCCCCGAAGAGGACTATGAGATTGCAGTGTTCTACCGGCCGCTGCATGCTATGAATGTGCCAAGTGCGGTTGGTTGAAGGCCGTCGTCATCAGCTTTGAGAGGGCCACTATTGGATCATTTGACTTTCCGGATAGCGGATAGGAGCGCTGTCTCAAGAAGTTGGTGCCTTGCATAACACGACAGGCTCATGCTTGCAGAGATGTTTGTTCTATTTTCTACTTTCCAAACCGATACCCAACGATCCTCGAGCGTCCAGTCGCTTTCACACGTGAAAGAGCACAGGCCGCGCTAAGGTAGATGTGTCGCGTGCTTGCTTGGAATTCGAGTTTGAAGCGGCTTACATAAGTGCCGTCAAGCGTGCCCGCGTCACTTTGCATTTTCAAAAGCTCTCTGCAAAACTCGACATTGACCATGTAGGACCTCACTTCCACCCAAATTCATTGCAAACCCTCCTCCTGGTGATGCCTCTCCTGAGGTCGTCTACCGCCACCACCACAACACTCACCTAACCGACACCCTCCTTCACGAACCCTTACCATGCGTCAGACCTGCATCTTCTCCGGGTCCTCGCACCCTCACCTCGTCGAGTCAATCTGCGAGCGTCTCGGCCAGAAGCCTTCTCAGGTCGAACTGAAGAAGTTTAGCAATGGCGAGACATCCGTCGAGATCAGTACGTCGCCGTCTTCGCTGTGTCGCACAAAATCACTCCGCTGACATGTGATCCAGAAGCCTCGGTTCGCGACCAGGATGTCTTTGTCGTGCAAAGTGGGAGCAGCCAGTACGAAGCCCAATGCCTCATGCTGTGGCGGCCAACTGACGAGGCAGAATCAACGACAATGTCATGGAGATGCTCATCATGATCTCTGCCTGCAAAGGCGGTTCTGCGCGCTCCATCACCGGTGAGTCGACTTTTGGGCCGGTCCCTCCCGATCTAAGCAACCCTGCTGATAGCTCGTGCCCAGCCGTTATGCCATACTTCCCATACTCGCGCCAATCGAAGAAGAAAGCCCACCGAGGAGCCATCACTGCCCGCATGCTTGCGAACCTCATGAAAGTCGCCGGCGTTAACCACGTTATCACGATTGACCTACATGCCTCGCAAATGCAGGGGTTCTTCAAATGTCCTGTCGATAACCTCTACGCGGAGCCTCTCTTGGCCAAATGGATCCGAATGAACATCCGCGATTGGCAAGACAGCGTTGTTGTGAGCAAGAACCCAGGCGGCACGAAGAGAGTTACAAGTTTGGCCGATAAGCTGGGTCTGAGCTTCGGCATCGTGACAACCGATCAGAGGAAGCCCAAAATGTCACCGAGCATGTACAACTCAGCCATCTTGGAGAGCCTGGGCGGAGACGGCACGAACGATCGCGGGGCACTGGAAGACGAAGATGCAGAAAGCAGGATACACTCGCCAGAGCGCGAACCAGGAGCCCCAAAAGAGCACGACTGGGCACAAAAGCGCAACATCAGCCCCAAGTCAGGCGCCGAGGGACAGAGACAGCCCAGCCGGCCAGGCCCACAGCAACGTGCAGTCACCTCGGTGCCTTCATCTGTCCGAACCCGCTTGACCAACGGCGAACACGCTTCAAGCCCCCTGGCCCAATCGACTCGCCCAGAATCTGTCACCGATGAGCAGAAAGAAGAAAACGACAATCCAAGGGTACCATTAAACCGTTCTACGACGATCCCGACGTTGACCAACTCCCAAACTGTGGCCGATGAGGATGGATATGAAGAGCCCGAAGGTGATGACGACTCAGACGAGCGGGCCAGAGATGTCATCACTGGTCGTTTGATTCACGGTCACATTGTCGACGACGATGTTCCGTCGCCAAGCCTCTCGCATTACTCTGGACGCCGTGGTCATCGCTCTAGCGAGGATGAAGAGACGCCAGACCACATGACCCAATCGTTCATGTCTACAGCATCATCACGTTTCACTGGAGGGAACAATGGATCCAATGCTGTGCACGGCTTGGGCGGTACGGGAGATGCAACGCACTCGGACGAGGAAGAAGAGGAGAACCTTCAGAATCCCGACATCGAGACTCGCGTGACTCTCGTGGGCAATGTCCGTGACAAGGATGTCATCATCGTGGATGATATGATCGACAAGGCTGGTTCCTGGATTGCCGCTGCAGAGACTGTTGTCAAGCGTGGTGGTGCAACGAGAGTATACTGCATGGCTACGCACGGTCTGTTTGGCGGCGATTGTCTCCAGCAACTGGACGAGTGCGACGAGATTGAAGCTGTGATTGTCACCAATGCTTTCCCGATTCCAGACGAGAAGCGCCATGGTATCCGGAAGCTCGTCGTACTTGATGTGTCTGGGCTGCTCTCCGAAGCTATTCGACGAAATCACCACGGGGAGAGCATCAGCCAGCTATATCACCACTGGGACTGAGCACTGGATCTTCGAGAGCCGACGCACCTCACCCACACGGCGTTTCCGGCGACCGGATCACGACATTCGAGACGAAATTGAGTTGATTGCTGGCTTTCTCTGGAACATTTTAATGGCTCTGGCGTCATGGTAGAAAGGGGGTCCTGGGACATTACGGAAACTGGTCTGCTTAAGCTTCGAGATACTATTCAGCGGCGGCGAAGGAGGGATCACCTTTGACATGAATGTTATGCGAATGAACGGCCTTGATGGCCCGTCTTCTACTTTCTGCCTTGGTCAGGACAGAAATGCGAATATGAAGACCCTTTACCATTTCTTATTTCTTTCAAAAGGTAATATCCAGCGATGCAAGTGGTTTAGCACTTGCCCGAGCTTTCTCTCTTGCATGAGATTGCCTTGGAACGGAGCGTTGGTAGATTGATCGGTGCTCGTCTCTTTTTGAGATGGGTGCTACTTGGTTTAGAAGGCGTGCTCTTCAGGCCTTCTTTGTTGAGGGTTGACCCTCTTTGGTGAGGGGAGGAAGAGTGTGCAAGAGAACCTCCTGGACAGACATTATCATGCTCGGTGGACTGAGAGGAGCAGAAGTGAGATCAAATTGAAAAGAAGGCTTGTGGACTTCTCATTAGACTCGTCCCATTTGATGCCAGACAGGCGAAGAATCCACGATTGTCGCAGATTCATGATCTCCCCTCGAACTCCAGAACGCTCTCGCTAAAGGCAAACCCAATCATCCCCGCGCTCAGGTTCAAGAGACCTCCTGTGGTCATCTCAAGAAGTGCACCACAAGCCAAATGAACAAGCAGAAGACTATGAAGCCACCTCCAAAGATCCACTTGTCCTGTTTCGCTCTCCTCTCCACCATACGGATCGTATCTCTCGAAATCCCCAACGTCGCGCCAATATCGTAAAGCTTTCTTTGAGTCCCCTTCAGCATCTCTCTCTGATCACCCAGATCCGCTAGGACAGCTCTCCCTCGCTCCAGGTACTCATCCAGCGTCTGATTCGAACTCGAGAAGAAGCTGTTCTCCTTCAACGCATGGCTCTCTCGTGCTTCGTCTCCTCCTAGCCCGTAAGGCGATTGATACGAGCTGTAGCTATTCTGTCCATTCGCACCGGGCACAAAGTTGGGATTACTCGTCCTGAACAGCGGGTTCACATTCTCTCCTCTCCCCGCGCCGCTGCTTATAGCCGCGTCCGCATAAGGATTCTCAGGCGTATTCGAAGCATGCGGTCTCCTGCCCAGCAACTCACTGCGGTTCTGCGAATGTTGCTGCTCTTCCCGCGTGTGTTTCAGCTCCGCGAATCGGCTTCGAAAGTCTAGTAGTTCGGTGCGGAAGTTTGACAATCGCTCTTTGCCTTTCTCGGCTTTTTCTGGGACGAGCTCGTCGGTTACGGAGCGCTGGTAGTCATCGAGGGTTCGCGAGAAGGAGGTGATGGAAGTGGTGATTTGGCCTTGGAGGGCGACGGGGTTGGCGGCGGTGTTGGAGGAGAGGGCCTCGAGGTCGGCGCGGATGGATTTCGATTGGCGCAGGGCCGAGTTGTAGAGGGCGCTCTGGATCGAATCTTAGCTATTATCATAATTGAGCCGTACCGGTGTGCTTACCATGTTGGCGAAGGAATTGAAGTGCCGTGCGATTTTCTCGTTTTCCAGACCCTCGTTTCTCGTTCAAGAGCGAGACGCGTGCGGTGCGCGAAGGTGGCCCGAAAGGTGGCTTCTCAAAAGGGCAGCTACGGCTACGTCATCTTCAGGCTAGATTCCTCGACCTGGCTGCCATGATCACGACCTGCAGCATCCCGCAAGTCGCCAGGGAACGAGCGCCGCGGACTGCTTTCCTGTCGGCCATATAAAGACCTTGGCATGTGCTGCCAATAACAACACGACTCAATCGACATGGCAACCTGTGTCGACTGCTGAGATTCACTACCATGGACCTCCTTCGACAACTCGTCGCCAGCCCTCGTGCCCGTCATGCTGAGGCGGGCCTTGACCTCTGCTATGTCACCGATTTTCTCATCGCCACTTCTGGACCAGGAGCAACGTATCCTCAAGTCGCCTACCGAAATCCGTTGAAAGATCTTGTCAAGTTCCTCGATTCGAAACATGGCGACAACTGGGCGATCTGGGAGTTTCGTGCCGAAGGCACTGGATATCCCGATGAAGAAGTCTACAACCGAATACGACATTATCCCTGGCCGGACCATCATCCCCCTCCTTTCAGTCTGATCCCTCTGATCATGGCGTCGATGCGGAATTGGTTGAAAGGGAAAGACGCTGAAGGCAAGGAAAGAGTTGCTGTCGTACATTGCAAAGCCGGGAAAGGGCGAAGTGGGACCGTGAGCGCCAGCTATTTGATCAGTGAGGAGGGTTGGACGGCAGAAGATGCGAAACAACGCTTCACGGATCGAAGAATGCGCCCTGGGTTCGGTGCTGGTATAAGCATCCCCAGCCAGGTGCGATGGATCAACTATGTCGATCGATGGACGAAGAATGGAAAGATCTATGTGGAAAGACCGGTGGAGATTGTTGAGTTGCATGTCTGGGGTTTGAGGAATGGTGTCAAGATTGCTGTTGAGGGGTTCGTGGATGAAGGCAAGATCATCAAGACGTTCCATACTTTCCAGAAGGCGGAGCGACAGGTTGTACGAGGCGATATCAGGAGAGAAACCGGGTTTGCCGATGTCGCTTTGGACTTGATGGGGAAGAAAAAGACGGATGATGTCGGCGAGCGAGTCAAGGAGGCCGAACAAGCAGAGAAAGAGGCGGAGCGAACGAACACAGATGATTCATTGCCTGCCGGCGGTGATGTCGTTTTCAGGCCATCTTCAAGGGTCGTATTACCATCAAGCGATGTGAACATTGACTTCGAACGACGCAACAAGTCGAAATACGGCGGCTTTGCTATGGTTACTGCGGTCGCCCATGTCTGGTTCAATGTCTTCTTCGAAGGTAATGGACCAGAGAACAAAGGCGTGGGCGATGACTCCGGGGTTTTCGACATCGATTTTGACGCCATGGATGGCATCAAAGGTAGCCTCCGAAAGGGAACCCGGTGTTTCGACAGGATGTCAGTGGTGTGGAAAGCTATGCCATTGGACCGCCAGCCAAGTGTAGTCATCACGGAACCTTCAGAGGGCGAAGAAGTGGAACAGAAACGTCCGGCGGACTGGAGAGGCGGTGACAAGCAGTCTGAAGATACTGAGAAGAAGCTAGGGTTGAGAGAAGCAAACTCGGAATCTGCTGCGGTCAGTCGTGCTAGCAGCGTGCGGACATCTAAGAATGGGGACAACGAGCCCACGATCGACGAGATGGAAGGGGTGCAAAGCAGAGGACCTGACGGCAAGGCTTTGGATGGTGTTCACGGCGAAGATACCAGTGCGAGTAAATCTTCTGGCCTGAAGCATGCACAAACAGACCCTGAACCAGGCGTGATCGATAAGATCAAGTCCAAAGTTACCGGAGCCGAGGGACTGCAGCCTGACAAAGGACATGTCTCGACAGCAGATCTTCCAGACGGTGTGCCAGAGGATCAACTTCAAACAGCAAAGGAGCATAACATTGGTCATATGAAGGTATTTGATAAGAGCAAGGCTTCATGATGTGACTGTGACGGGCGGCAGATTGACCTGAGATTGATTTAGCGCGGCGTTGGGAGAGCATGAGGATGGCAAGAAGATGCATTTGACGACAGAAATACCACATTACATCACGGATCTAGAATGTATCACTTTCGGCGCCGAAGCCAGCACACTTTCTTTGAGGCTCAAAAAGCACGTGAAGCCGGATATTGCTCAAGCAGCGAGAGCCGGAGACTTTACGTGAGGAGGCTGACGCCACACGCACGACGACATGTTCATTGTTCAGCCGCTTCGCTACACCTCTCTCCTCTTCCAACCCCGCCTCGCTTCGAGCATTCTTCAATATGTCCGCCAGGTTGGCAATAGCAAAGACAAGTGAGGGGATCGATGTCCGGTCCACGTTTGTCATGGTTGTACAGGACTGCTTCTAATTGCAGCGTGTTACTTGGCGGTGTCAATGTCGAAGGTTGGTATAAGTACGGTGAGTCCTTTCCTCGGTCAGGGAGATTTCGTTCTATCATCAGCAAAGCACATTCAGAAGACACGAGAGCAACAGAATTGACAGCAGCAACGCAACAACTGAACAACGCACGAAAACCCACCATACCAAGACTCCTCATTAACAATGGTTGCCATTCGAGAAGTCCGCGCTGCAAACGCCTCCCTCAAATCCAGCAAGCAATCCCTCACAGCCGTCTTCACCGGCGCAACGAGTGGTATTGGCAAAGCCACTGTCCAATCCTTCGCGAAACACATTCCTCAACCTACAGCGATCATTGTCGGCCGCAGCCAGAAAGCCTTCGCCCCTGAGCTCGAGAACCTCCGATCGATCAACCCAGATGGAACCTACGTCTTCCTAGAAGAAGACATCTCCCTCATCAAGAACATCGACGCCGTGTCCCAAAGAATAGCCTCAACCCTGCAAGAGAAGAGCTTGAAGATCGACCTCGTCTTCCTCTCCCAAGGCTACATCTCCTTCAACGGCCGTGAAACAAACGCCGATGGTCTCGACACCTCCGTCTCACTACGCTACTACGGGCGCGTCCGCTTCGCACAGAACCTCCTCCCATACACAGCGCCCGAAGCCCGCATCGTGAGCATCCTAGCAGGCGGCCAGGAAGCGACGATCATCGAAGACGACCTCGCTCTCGAGAGAAACTACTCCGTCGGCAACGCCATGGGCCATCCAGCGTGCATGCTCACACTCAGCTGGGACGCTTTCGCCGCGCAGAACTCGGACAAAGCCTTCCTGCACGTCTTCCCTGGCCTGACATCCACGGGTCTCCTTGGCAGGAGCGCGACCGGCGTGCTAGGGCTCGTGATGAGATGGGTCGTCGAGCCGATTCTGAAGCTCACGGCGAGCAAGCCGGAGGATATTGGGGAGAGGATGTTTTATTATGCGACGACGGAGGAGTTTGAGAAGGGGAGCTGGAGTTTGGATTGGGATGGGACGCCGAAGGAGAATGCGGTGTTGAAGGGGTATCGGGAGAGGGGGTTTAAGGATGTGGTGGTGGAGCATAATGAGAGGGTTTTTGAGAGGGCGGTTTCGAGATAGTGGGATATGAAGTTCTGGTAATATGAGATCGATTCAAAGGCGTTTTAAGTGCTCAGTAGCAGTATAGGATAGCTATCGCGTGTGTTCTTCAAAATAAGCTTCACTAGTCCCTTTTGCCACGCGATCACATGCTTGCCGCACGAAGTGACTGACTATTCACTCGCCAGCGCGCGCACAGACCCTCGTCACTTCTCTGCACAAGGCGCGAGACGACTATGACCGTCCATGCAACTCTCTCAACACCACCACAACATTCACTCAGCGCAATCTCTCCGCATCCGCACCGCAACCATGCGAACACCATACTCCCCGCTCAAAGCCCAAACCGCCCTATCCCTGGCCCAAAAGGAAGGCGAGCCAGAAATCACCTTCGGCGAGGACAACGAATATTACAGCGGCATGGCCGACTCTCTCACCCGCAATGAGGCCAAAGCAGAAGCAGAGAAGGACTCCGAGTCCGATTCAGGCGGCGACATCATCCCCGGCCCAAACAACCGCAGAGCGCCTGGCACCTCGAACGCAGTCTCACAGAAAGCCGACGAGGACATCATCGAGACGCAGTTGCACATGATCCACGCGAGTCTGCTCATCCACAAGCCAGATGGCAGCATCAAGTGGAATGCCGCGAGCGAGATCAACCCCGTACGCTCTTACAACCCCCCCTCTCTACCCCCATCCACCCAACAACTGACCCTTACCATCTAGTTCATCTCCCCCGACTCCCCCCTCTACAAATCCGGCGGCCCCGTCCTCCGCGTGCAAGAGTCCCTCTCCTGGACCATGGACATCATGCTCTGCTGCCGCGCCCGCTGCACCTTCTGCGCGCAAGTCTTCGGGCCGGAGGACACGGACCAAGACCGGCGGAACGCGGCGGAGGGCGCGGAGCAGGTGGAGTTGAATGGTGAGAAGAGTCCGTATCGGGGGTTGCCGTTTGTGCACACGAAGGATCTGAGCAAGCGGAAGGGAGGGAGGTTGTTTATGCCGGCGGAGGGCGAGGGGGAGTGGGGGTTGGAGGGGGTTGAGAAGACGAGGGTCATTGAGGCGTTGTTTATTGTGGCGAGTAGGAAGACTCGGTTGAGGTGTTTGGCTTGTGTGGTGGATCGTTGTCAGGTGTGTAAGGAGGCGAAGGAGGAGGCGGATAGGCGCGTTGGGGAGCGACGAGCGACTGGGCCGAAGAGGAAGAAGACAGTTGTTGATGATACGTTGGACGATGAGATACGGGTCGGAGGGCCAGGGGGTGGTGCTCGAGATGCTGCAGAGATGGAGGAGCAGGTCGTGGTGGACGCTGATGGAGGTGTTCTTCGGGAATATGTTTCAGCGGAGGCGTCGCCCGAGCGTCCGATGGGAGGTGTTTCAAGCAAGAGCAAAGGCAAGAGGAAGTTGATGGCCTGAGTGAATGGTTCTAGTGCGGCTGGCTTCTCGTCAGCCAGTGAAGCTTCTATGTGAAATTCATTCACTTACCAAACCCAATTTTCCACGGGACGTGCCGCCATAATAAATACTTCTTGAATTCATCTTCTGCCGCCTAGGCCTGCTCTTGAAGACAAGCACGCACCTTTGCACATCAACTCGATCACATACCAGGCCTCGCGACCTGCGCCATCAAGCCATGGCCTCACCATCCGGGCCCTCGACACCACCACCACCACCACAAGAACCAGAAGATGACAGCGACACGAGCTCTCTCTCCGACCCGCCCTCCGAGCTCTTCTCGCCCTCACCACTCGTCACCAAGCAGCCCAGGCAAGTGTCCCCATCACCCATCCCGAAAGGCTACCGGATCAACTCCATAACCGGTAGCCTCATGGTCGACCCCAAATCGCGTGACTACGTGGCCAACTTCCGCGCGATGTATCACCCCGACGTCGACTTCTCTTCGGGTCGGTACATCGACGAGGGAGCATATGCGGTTTCGGTTCGACATGTGCCGCCGAATGTGCCCAAGGAGAGTCGTCCATTGGCGGCGCCTTTGGGTCTTGCGACGAAGGGGGATGTGGATCGGTATCGAGGACCGAATGTGACCCCGAAGCGGGCTGAGGATGCTGTCAAGGAGGAACAAGAGCCTGCGTCTGTGAAGCTTGAGGTTCCGACAAGTGCCAAGCGGCCGTATCCTTTCCACGAGGACGAGAGCTGGGCGGCGAGCTTGGCGAAGACGCCGAAGAGAAATGGCAAGGAGGAGGCTGATGGAGTCGTCGATTGCAAGGAGGAAGACGAGGGTGACACGACTCTGACGGATCCTGCAATGTCGGCCACTCCGCCAGTCAAAAACTTCCGCATTCGTTGAGCGATGAGTGCTGTCTGGAGATGGAGTGTTGTCTGTGGACTGAGTGTAGGATAGAAGGGGGCTATTCTGGACCTGTCTGCATTTCAGTGTATCGTAGCTTATGGTACACAAGATGGAACGCCTCCCAAGATGCAGGGATCATAGAGGTCTGAAACATCACAAGAAACACCAAATGCCGCGCTGCTGTTGAGGTATCTACAAAGGTTCTTCGTGTTCTTTCTCTTCACACCGTCTAAGCCTTCAAGTTCGAGATGATGGCATCAGCGTACTCGTGGGTCTTGGCCTTGCCGCCAAGGTCACCAGTAAGAGCCTGTAGATGTGAATTAGTACAGGTCGGGGAAGAGAGCGAGATTTTCTGATATTCATACCTTTCCTTCTGCAAGGGTCTTGAAGATCGCCTGCTCGATGCTGCTCGCATTTTGTGTAAGACCCATGTGTTGCAACATCATGATAGAGCTCAACAACAGGGCGGTTGGGTTAGCAAGCCCCTTGCCGGCAATATCTGGGGCAGATCCGTGGACAGCCTCGAAGATGGAGCACTCGTCACCAATGTTTCCAGATGGAGTAAGACCCAGACCACCGATCAGACCAGCGCACAGATCAGACAAAATGTCACCGTACAAGTTGGGCATGACCAAGACCTTGTCGTTGTATGGAATTGGGTCGGTGACCATCTTCAAACAGGTGTTGTCGAGCATCTCGGCGTCAAACTCGACATTGGGGTATTCCTTGGCGATGTCGCGAGCGAGGTTCAAGAAGAGACCGTCGGACATCTTCATGATAGTAGCCTTGTGGACAACACGGACCTTTGGCTTGCCGACATCTTGCGCATATTGGAAAGCGAAGCGCAGGACACGCTCAGAAGCCTCCCGAGTGATGAGCTTGATGGATTGGACCACACCGTCGACCACAACATGCTCGATACCGCTGTACTCTCCTTCGGTGTTCTCACGGATCAAGACAGTGTTCACGTTGTCGTATGGGGTCTTGTATCCTGCGATGCTCTTGCAAGGTCGAACGTTTGCGAAAAGGTTGAAGGTTCTTCGGAGGGTGAGATTGAGCGAGACGTGACCCTTGCCGACGGGCGTGGCGAGAGGACCTTTAAGGGCGACGTAGTTGCGAGTGACGCTGTCAATGGCCTCGTCTGGGATGACAGTCTTGCCGTCCTTGAGTGTAGGTGTAACGTCCACTGGTTCCCACTTGATCGGGACGTTGGCGGCCGAGTAGATGTCCTTGACTGATTGTGCGATCTCTGGGCCAATTCCGTCACCCTCGATCAGCGTGACAGTGTACTTGCCCTGCGAAGGTATGGTATGTTAGGATTTGCTCTTTCACGTGCTTGCCCTCTGCTTCCGAACGTACATCGCTGCCCTTCTGGCCCTTGAACTTGGCGACCTTGTCACCCTCTGCGGTCGCATATCCTTTGCACTGGAACTGCTGCTGCTGCCATCAGCATGTATGCCTACCCATGGTCAAGACTCTTCCTGACCTGTGCGAAAGTAGGCCGCGATAGCTGGCGCAGGCATTGCCGCGCCGCCGGCGCAGCCCTCAAGTTGCGGGCCAGCATGGTTGTGGGGGTGTAAAGGTCCAATGGAAGGGATGTGTCGCCTGCGACTCTGACGACGGCTTCCGGGCGCGGAGACGGTGGGAGGAGTGTGTCGAGAGTGGTGGTGTCGTTGTGCAAGAAACACGATCAGATTGTGGATGGACGCAGAAGCTTCAGTCGCGGCGGCAGCCGGGCCCCGGCTTCGGCAACTCTCTTGCCACGGGTGAACGATTGACCACATTCTTGCTGTCCACGTGGTGGAGGCGCCTTGCCTGATCACACACATACCACACGCCTTGCGGAACCATTGAACAGCATGCACGGAGGGGGATTGGGATCCTGAAGGACCTTTTGACTTCTTGCTGCCGACTTCTGTCAACCTTGATCGCGATTTAGCCGACATCTCACATGGCCTGGACACGCTAGACGCCAATATCAACAGGGGCTCTGCTTGAACCAGCGCATCTCGACCCAACATGATCTCGACGCGTCGCTACACAGTATACTTGCTGTTGGCCGCGCTGGTCATCTTCACAGTAACCCGCTTCCGAGAGGGTATTATATCGACAGCGCGAATACGATACGAGACTTTCTTTCCGTCAGGGGCCAAGAAGAGTTCAGATGGCAAATTTCACTGGAGCGATGTACCTGTGTGGTATCCAGTGCAATCGTTGACTCAACTTCCGAAAGGCAAGCCTCATGAATTGCCAAAGATTCAATTCGCCTTCAAGGCAGAAGACGCGGTATCTGCTGTCAAGCGAAAACAGAGACAGGCGGCTGTCAAAGAAGCATTCGACAAGTCATGGAACGCTTACAAGAAGCACGCTTGGATGAAAGATGAGGTGACGCCCCTGACTGCACATTTCAAGAATGGCTTCGGTGGTTGGGCTGCGACCTTGGTATGTACATATTTTCAAATCCTCAAGACCAGCCGCCACTCACCAATATCTAGGTTGACAGCTTGGATACTCTTTGGATGCTGGACATGAAAGACGAGTTCGAAGAAGCAGTCCGCTCAGCTATGAACATCGACCTCGGCATGGCCACCATGGAGACGATCAATGTCTTCGAAACTACAATCCGACATCTTGGAGGCTTCCTCGCTTGCTACGACGTGAGTAGCGATAAACGGTGCCTGGTAAAGGCCAAGGAATTTGGAGAGATGTTATTGAAGGCCTTCGACACTCCCAATCGAATGCCAATCACTCGGTGGAAACCCCAAGACGCGATCAACGGACATCAAGTTGCGGACGAGGTCGTGTTGATAGCCGAGATCGGGTCCCTCACGATGGAATTCACTCGACTGTCTCAAGTCACTGGCGATGTGAGGTGGTACGATGCAGTCGATCGAATTATGCGGACCTTCGTCAAACAGATCGACGACACTCACTTACCTGGAATGTTTCCGGTGAGCCTGAACGCTACCAGCAGGGATTTCACCCAGGACACGTTCTTCACCTTGAGTGCCATGTCCGACTCGTTCTACGAATATTTCCCCAAGATGCATGCACTTTTGGGTGGATTGGAGCCGATATATCAGAAACTTTACCAGCGGAGTATGGAGACTGCCATCAAATATAACCTCTGGAGGCCAATGGTCCCTGACGAAGCCGACATCCTGATGTCTGGCAACGCTCGGGTCGAAATGGGGAAGCCGCCCATACTCGAAGCCCAAGGTCAGCATCTCGTGTGTTTTGCCGGTGGCATGTTTGCCGTTGGTGGACGTCTTTTCGAAGAAGAAGCGCATGTCAAGATCGGCCAGAAGCTGACTGACGGTTGTATCTGGACTTACAAGCATTCGCCATTGGGGGTCATGCCCGAAGTCTTCAACATGATGCCATGCGCATCGCGTGTGGAAGAGTGCAAGTGGGACGAGAAGAAGTGGCTCGACGAGATGAAGACACATGCCGACACCCAAGAGGAAGACGGTGAGGCAGTCGCCAAGCGGTTGCGGATACCCAAGGGATTCGTTGGTGTATGGGACAGGAAGTACCAGCTTCGACCGGAAGCTATCGAGAGCGTCTTCATCCTATACCGCACGACCGGCAAAACATATCTTCTAGACGCAGCCTGGGAGATGTTCCAGGCCATCATTGCCGCCACAGAGACGCCGGTCGCGTATGCGGCCCTGACAGATGTCACATACTCGAAGAAGGAGGTTGAAGCAGGCATGCAGATCAAGATGGACAGCATGGAGAGCTACTGGATGGCGGAGACCCTCAAATACTTCTATCTCATTTTCAGCGAGCCGGACTTCTTCAGCTTAGACGAATGGGTCTTTAATACTGAGGCTCACCCATTCCGGAGGCCATTAGCGAAATAGGCATGGGCGGAGAGGATTTGCTTGGCTTAGCGTGCTATCAGAGCAGAATTCGAAGACTTTGACGTCGATTCAAGTTCGTGCCCATGTCTCTCCACTGTCGGGCGTCTGCTGCTGTGTAACGAAACAGGTTGCATGCATGAGCATTCTCGCCCAGGAGTTTGGCGTCTCAACATGTTGGCAACCGACCACTAACATAAAGTTCCCAAGGGTGATGTTGGTGAGAAACGAACACACGTTTGACGACGGTCGAGTTTCCGTCAGCAAAGCTTTCAGATAGATTTATACCGAACATCAAGCAAGTCTCAAACACGTCAAAAGACTGCTCATACGTGATGGACACTCGGACAAGCTGAAACACAGCAGCCAAGTACCGGGTCAACCTTGGCCGTGGAGCTTGGCCTCTACGAATCTTTCGCGCTTACCATCACTAACATCTTTTCGCCTCACATGCATCGGGGAAAAACATCACTCTCCCCGTTACACAGCGCATCGCAACACGGCAGAAATGCCCCCCAGACGACGCAGCCCGCAAGCAAGGCACACGCGGCTGAGAACTATATATGGTGTTCGGTACTGCTGAAACCTCTGAAACCGGCCAATAGGCATGAATCTTGCACGAGAACGGTGAGTATGCTGTGCGCTCACAGCAGCGAGATCGTGCGGGACTCCGCCTCGCGGTTGGGTTGGAGTAACAATCCTCTGGAATCATCCTCAGTCATTGCCGCTGCTGCTGCGTACGCCAGACCGGACATAGCCAGTGGCCTTGGTCTTGGGGCTTCGCGTCCAACACATAGGCGCAGGATGCAACAGGGAGGCTCTGCTGGTGCACCCAATCTCACCCATCGCAGAGAATGCCCAGGAATAAGATGGGGACCCGATTGCAGCGGTCCTTCTGGACGAGGATGCGCTGCTGTGCGACATGTCGGCTCGGCGCCTCAATGCTGGTCAGCGTACAGCACGGTGAATTGAGAGGTGCAGCCAAGGCGCATCTGCTACTTGTTTCGTCCGTCAACAAGGCGAAGTGAAGTCGATGACAGCAAACCGCAACACAAATTCCTGGACGTTTTCTCATCGGCTGTCGGCAGGCGAAGCCGGCTTGTTTTCCGAGTTGCAGATCTTGCTTGCTTGAGCAACGTCAGCTAACACGTAGGGCCTGTGCGTGTGGCAGAGACTGGACTGCTCCTGAAGACGCTTTCTGGTCCGGCAACGTTGACGACAACTTCTGTTCCAAACTATTCCTCCCTCCACAGCTCCTCCGCGGTTCTGACATCGCCGTTGTTTTCGTCATGTGGCCCTGAGATCAGCCGCGGCAACCAACGGCCATCACAACAAAGACGTATTCTTGAGGATTACATCTTTACCCACCCCCGGCTTTCTCGGAGGCACCGCCACCGTGACGCCTGCCACGGAGGAAGCCCTGTGGATCCATCGTGACCACACCACTTGAGAGCAACGAAATCGTCTAGGCCGCGTCATAGCCCTTCTGGATGATTGCGTATGGATGGAAATTATTGATATTATCAATCGCTTGTCCCTGCTACCTGGTCACATTCACTGCTAGGAGTGGCAAGGAATTCCCTTTCGTCTGAATTGTTTCAGCATCAACCAACATCGACAGAATCAACAAAATGCGAGGATCAATATCAACATCGCTCGCTATTGCGACTACTATTCTGAGCGTCGATGCCATCAATCTGGTAAAACGAACAGATGGACCTTCCCGAGTCGTGGAGTTTCCCATACAACGAAGAAGTATTTCGAATCCAGTTCAACACGACCGACAACGAATGCAACGACGCGATGGAACCCTTTCCGTGACTCTGGATAACGAGGAAACACTTTACTTTATGAACGCGACGATCGGGACCCCAGACCAAAGTTTTCGACTACACCTCGATACTGGATCCAGCGATTTGTGGGTGAATGTAGCTGGCAGTTCACTTTGCACGCAAGACAATGGCGGCGCTTGCTCAGTATCCGGGACTTACGATGCAAATTCATCGTCGACGTACAACTACGTGAACAGCGACTTTAACATCACCTACGTGGACGGATCGGGGTCAAGCGGCGACTATGCTACCGACACAGTCAAGTTCGGTGACGTTACCATCGAGAACCAGCAATTCGGTATCGGTTACGAATCCAGCTCGCAAGAAGGCATTCTGGGAATCGGCTACCCAATTAACGAAGTGGCCGTGGCCTACAATGGCGGACGACCGTACGCGAATGTGCCACAGAGTCTGCTGAATAACGGCGAAATCTCTACGAACGCATACAGTCTGTGGCTCAATGATCTGGACGCCTCGACGGGCTCCATCCTCTTTGGCGGTGTCAACTCTGACAAGTACACTGGATCACTGGAGACCCTTCCCATCATCAAGGAACAAGGCGTCTATGCTGAGTTCATCATCGCTCTTACTGGCGTCGGTATGAACGGGAACGCGGGCAACCTGTCCAGCAACCTTGCCGTCCCAGCTCTTCTGGATTCTGGCAGCAGCTTGATGTATCTTCCCAACAATGTGACCCAGGAGATCTACGACGCTGTCGGTGCGTCGTATGACGCGAACCAGGGCGCCGCCTTTGTTGATTGTGATCTCGCCAACTCAGACACTACGATCGACTTTACCTTCTCGAGTCCGACTATCCGCGTTGCCATGAACGAGCTCGTCATCATTGCCGGTGTGGACCGTGGTCAGCCCGTGTGTATCCTCGGAATTGGACCTGCAGGCTCCAGTACTCCAGTCTTGGGCGATACATTCCTGCGATCTGCTTATGTCGTCTACGACATCACCGCCAACGAAATCTCCCTCGCGCAGACCAACTTCAACTCAACGAGTGACAACGTCATGGAGATTACCAACTCCACCGGTGTACCTAGCGCGACCTTGGTACAGAATGCTGTGACCAGCGTCGCCGTCAGCTCTGGAGGCGCGAGAATTGGTGATGGCGGTATCACCACAACCATCGAAGGCGCAGCGCAGCCTACCGCGGCACCTGGCTACAACATGGCATGGCTGGGCGCAGCCGGTGCCGTGGCTGTGATGGCGCTTTGAGAATCTCATTCGCTACATGTTTGATTTGTTTTCCAATCTATTTGATTTTGCATAGCGAAAGGCGTTCGCTCGAATCCTGGATATACCAGCATGGGAGGGGGAAAGAATATTGCATGGAGCGTACTTTTTGAGATTTCCCGCCACTTGATGTAGATGAGAATGTGATCATGACACAGAGAGCTGGTGAGGAGACAGAGGCATAGAAGGCAAACAGAAAGAGCATATCGAGAGTCGATAGAATATAGCAGCAATTACGAGTAGAGAATATGTCAGCAGTTTGGATCACGATGCGTACAGTACATCACTGGTGAGTTAGAAACGTCCTCTGTCCCGACCGACATCCATCGCTCTTGCCACCAACAACATCCGCAATCTACCAATGAGAGCTGTCTTCTATCATGAAAACGAGAGCTTATCTTCAACAAGATCAACAAGCCACCATATGACGATACCGGCTTGCCCGCACGTGGGCCGACAGGCCGCCCGGCCAAACAGAAGCCTGCCGATAAGGAGGGGGAGGTGTGGTCTTCAAAGGATGCCCCAAACCTAACCGTAGCGACATCTTCCCGCTCCACTTGGCTTCTTGAGACAAACTCCTTGAACGTCGACGGTCTAGAGCATGGACGATACGAGACCGGCCAAGAGGCAGAAACGCCGAGCTATAGCGTAATGATATCCTCTGTCCTGTACAGTGGAGCGAGTCTGACTGTGAATGTAGCTGTGAGAGATGTCATTCTCAGAAGATTCGATGTTCGGGCGAGCAGCCGTGTCAGGGTTGCGAGATTGCGAAGAAGCCTGGCAGTTGTCGGTATCCGTTCAGAGATCGCAATGTTACTATACCTGAGAGGTGAGACCAGTCCTGGAGCAACACTCAACAGAGCAGTGGATACTGACATGAAGCTGAAGCTACCTCGAGAAACTGGAAAGTGAGATCCAAGAGTTGAAGGCCCGAGAGTCTTTCGTCATCACCTCCCAGATTGCAGCTCCGTCTGTCGAATCGCCTCCAGATCAAGTACGACAGGGACACGTCGCAGAGAACGACGTGCCAAATCCGTTGCTCGAAGTCCAAGATGGCCTCTTCGCAGGTCAAGACTCTGCTCAACCGGTCTTCATCGGCGAAGCCAGTTGTACAGCCTTTGGAGACAGACTGTTGCAGTGCGTTGATTCGAGCTACAGTTCCGTGACATGCAACACGATCCCAGATCATATCACCCACCCTGCCTTCAACCGGCTAGCAAGCAAGGACTTCCAGCTCCCGAATAGAGTCCAAGCAACTTTGCTTGTTCGAAGAGCACATAGCTTCATTGGGAACAACTATCATTTGTTTGAGAAGAAGTCGTTCTTCGATAAGCTGGATCGAGCGTACAGTGGTGAAGGCGGGACAGACCTGCTCTTCACTTGCCATCTGTTCGCTATGCTTGCTCTTGGGGAGCTCTATACACATTGCAAGACCAATGCAGCAGACAGTCGGATACCTGGGACATCATACTTCGTGCAGGCTGTGAACTTGTTGCAGGACCTCTACGAGGTTGGCTCGATTGAGCAGGTGCAGATCTTGTTGCTGATAGTAGGTGTGAGCTTGGAGACTTACCTTTGCATGCTGACCATTCGCAGTCATTCTATGCTAACTCGCTCGGCCGTGTAAAATCAGCACACGTTTACTGCGGAATTGCCGTACGCATCGGCATCGGACTTGGCCTACATCGATCGCAAGCAGGATCAAGTACCATGTCGCCAGTACAGCGAGAAGTTCGTCGACGAGTCTGGTGGACTCTCTACCTCTTCGATAGGATGATCTCTTCAAAGCTTGGATATCCTCTAGCTATCAGAGATGATGACATCGATGTTGAGTTTCCTTCAATGGAAGGCTTGTCGACGTCCGAGCAAGCCGAATTCTGCGACCCAGTGCATCTTCGTGCTCACTCCACGCTTGCAAAGATCACAGGCAGTATCTGTAAGTTCGACCGAATCATTTTTTGCTGTAACAGGCTAAACGTATGCAGTGAGCGACATCTACCGTCTCCCTCGTCAATCGAATCCGAGCTTCGTCCGCGTCGTACATCGCGTTCTGAATGACCTTCGCCAATGGGACGAAGAGTTGCCCGTAGTGCTGCGGCTACAAGGCGAAAGACCACCACGAAACCTCTTTACTCTTCACATGCAGTACCACCTGTGCATCATTCAGACAACGCGGCCGATTCTTCTGCACATCTTCAAGATGAGACTACAGTCTGGATTGACTTCCACCAGCCAGCAGCGTCAGACATTCTCACCGACGACTCTGGCCCTTGCAGATGCCTGCGTACAGGCCGCCAGGACGACTAACCAACTGCTCTCGAAGCTTTTCGTTGAAGGCAGCCTTGCGGTATTTGGCTACTTCGACTCCCACTATCTGTTCTCCTCGACTCTGATTCTGATCATCTCTGCCGTCATGGAGCCTCAATCAACAGTCTCAGATGCAGTACAGACGGCGTTCAGCCTCTTGAGGTCGATGGCTAGTAATGGCAATATCTCGGCAAACGACTACTTGAACCGGCTTGAGCACATCCGCTCGACGGTCAGCAGTGCTCGCGCTCAGGCCGATCAGCGTCTACCTCGTGTGACTCTACCAAACGGAGACATGGAGAAGTCGAACCACCTGGACCAGGGCCAGGCCATTGCCGCCACCTCGAGAATCATCACCAACAACGATCCGCCATTATGGGAACCTTCCAATCCCATGCTCTCTGGCGACGAGTTCAATGGCGACGATCCGCTCGGTAACCCCTTTATCGAGAGCTTCTTGGCAGAGAAGGCCTTTCAGTGGCCTGGAGGTTTATCGCCCGAGCAAGATTTCTTGAGACAATTTGCTCAAGAGCTAGGTGATGAATTCCTTTTCGGCTCCTGAGGGCCTCCAAATTCCGTTCTGGAGTCGCTCTGGCTTGGCTTTCAATCTCAGCTTATTAACCGCAGACACATCAATGGCAAAGAGATGATTGCCGTCCGCCTATCGCATGCATGCAGAGACTGGCTTCGGCCAAGTTGCCCGAGCTACAAGACTTCAATTCTTTGAGGATTCTGAACCAAGTTTATCCAGGAGATACTTCACGTCTGGCGAAGCGAGTGATGGCCCACAAACCGGATATCTTACTGATCGAATCAAGCGTCCAAGCGATTGATGAGCCTCGTCGACAGCTCTTGGCCAAGAAATACAACCTCATTCAATATGACTGCGATTCGGTAGACGACTTCATCGAACGAATGAAGCCAGGAGGACTGTATGCATCCATCCAAGCCATTGTCCGTCTCGGCTGGCACAAAGTCGGTCGTTTTGCGGATCTACGACCATTCGCGACCGAGGTCGTCGCTCACTTTCCACCAAGCTTGAAGATAGTGAGCTGCAGTGGGCATGGATACGATGCCGCTGATACCGTGGCAATGGCTGAGCGTGGCATCTGGTACTGCAATACGCCGAACGCCTGTACCGAAGCTGTTGCTAACACGGCAACGTGGCTTGTTCTGGATACATTTCGCTACCTTACGTATGCTCAGCTCAGCGCTCGCAATGACTGGGCTACGAGTCGAGAGCTAGCTCTCCTGGCTGATGACCCCTGTGGTAAGGCTCTGGGGATTGTTGGCCTTGGAAATATAGGCTTAGAGATAGCCAAGAGATGCGAGGCTGCTTACGGCATGAGAGTGCACTATCACGGTCCAAGGCGAAAACTTGAAGCTGAGAAGACGCTAAAGAGCGGCGCAACATTCCACGAAACACTAGACGAAATGATCCGAGTTGTCGATTGCATTGTGCTCGCAGCCCCTTACACCAAAGAAACCCATCACATGCTCTCAACTCCACAGTTCACCTTGGCGAAACCATCCGGCCTTCGAGTCGTCAACATCGCAAGGGGCAAGATGATCGACGAGGAAGCTCTTCTCGAGGCCATGAAGAAGAAACAAGTCGTGGGCGTTGGACTGGACGTCCACGACAAGGAACCTGGTGTGAACCCCAAACTTCGAGACAACTGGATGGTGACGCTTCTGCCTCATGTTGGTGTCTGCTCGCATTCTGCCTGGAGTAACTTTGAGAAGCAGTGCTGGGACAATCTGGAAGCTTACTTTGAGACTGGAAAGCCTTTGACGCCGGTACATGAAATTTCGAGAACAGGCTGAGACCAAACCATTCTCCAAATCGGACAAGATTCTTTGACTATTAGATACAAATCCTAAAATAACCTCCAACACCTCGCTTCCAAGAATTCGGACGCTCATCTAAAGGGTACTCTCCTTGGACCAAACACCTCTCGCTCGAATGCGCTTGCCATAGATGAAGAACAAGTACGGAATGGGAATCATCAGCGCCGAGACGAATGCAAAGACGCTGATTCCCCAGTTGATGCCAATGTTGTGCAACATTGGGCTGATGAAGAGGGGGAAAGCGGCTGCGAAACCACTCCTTAAAGCCGTATTGGCCGCGACGGCGGACGCTGCGTAGCGCTGGAATGTGTCTATGAGGTAGTTCAGGGCGGCTTGAAAGATCTAAAACCGCGACAGTCAGTGTTTAAACTACTTCGTTGACGATTTGCACTTCGTCGTGAAAAACAGCACCGTGATATGAGGGGAGGGATGATGGGATACGTACAGTGAAGAAGCCGATGCCTTCCAGCACGATGCCAATGCAGGGAACGAGCCAGAAGACGCTCGGCGAGGAGCTCCACGCGAACATGAACAGACCAGCCGTGAAGAAGATTGAACCGGCCATCATAGGGGGTAGACGGGCTTCTGGAACGGGGCGGAAGTTGTTTTCTCTCCACTTCTTGACGTAGTACTTCTGGTTGAACCAGTTCGCGGACGCTCCGATGAGGATACCGATGAGCATGGCGAGGAAAGGCAGGGAGCCGATGAGCGAGTTCCAGCCGCGTTCTTGCTCGAATTCGATGGGGAAGGCTGCCAGGGAGCCGTACAGGATCCCGTAGCAGAAGGAGGCGTAGAGGGCCATGAGGAGACAGATTGGGGTTCCGAGCAACTGGAATGGTCGGACGAGGTACTTGTGGCCTAGCTCCGCGAGCGAGACGTCCCATTCTTCGTGTTTGGCGTGCAGAGCCCAGTTGCCGGATTCATGTCGGAGACGACTGGCTTTTCTCACGAGCAGCACGGGCGGGTATGATTCGTCGATGATGAGAACGTCCACGGTGACCATGAACATGATGAGGATGCCGGTAATGTATTGCGTCCATCGCCAACCCATTCCGGACACAATCAGAGCGCCGCCGACGATCGGTCCAAGGGTAGGTCCTCCTACGACGGCCATAGCGTAGCCAACCATCGCAGCACCACGCTTATCCGGTGTCCAGATGTCTCCAAGCACACCGCCCGTGTTGGTCACAGGCGCGCTGCCGAACAGCCCAGAGAAGAATCGACAGATCATCAGCGTCTGGAAGTCCTTCGCCGCACCGCCTCCAAACGTGAAACATCCGAAGATGAAGAACGGAATCAGAACGACCATTTTCCGTCCATACACCTCAGAGAGCGGCGCCCAAATCAAAGGCCCAATCCCCATCCCCACCAACAGAAGCGAGATACCCAACGTGCTGACTTCCTGACCGACGTGGAAGTGCTCCGAAACCTCACCCACCGCGGGCGAATAAATACTACTCGCAAACGTCGTCGCCATGGCAGTGAAGCCATACATCGCCGTCGTGATGGCCTTCTTCTTGAAAGGCCAGTTCACCGACCGGTACGGATCGTCCTTCCCATCGAAATCCACAATCACATCCGCCGCCGTCTTCTCGTGTGTCAAAGGGTGCGTGAAGGTTCCTCGCGGCCGTCTCGATCGCACAACGGATAGGACTGTCGACGCGGTGGTTTGGGCTCGTTCAAGGCGTTGTGTGGTCGTGCGGGAGAGGCTGGAGACGTTGCTGCCGCGACGGTCTCGCATGGGGCCTTCCATTTCGGCTTCGGTGAAGACGCTGGAGACGCTCGAGGCATCGTCGTCGTCGTGTCCGCGGTGGGGGTCTTCGACTTGTTCCTTTTCGAGGTCCGGGGAGGAGTTGTCGTTGGGCTCCATGCCGATGTCTCGTTCGTCTTTGTCGGGGTCGCGCTCGGCGGGAGGAACTTGTGATCGATCCATGATCGTTGGAGTTATGTTGTGGTCGTTGGTATGGGAATGAGAATCGATGCCGGAGGTTCAAGCCAGCGAATATCTGTTTTCAATGCCGTTGGATCCAATATAACCTTGCTCTTCGCCACCAAATCCTCTCTCCAACAATGCTCAAAGGCCAATTAATCACCAAACAGCTGAAGTGTGATAATATAGTAAAAGCAGCAATTACCAAAACAGACCAACACGTCCGCCTCCGGACCACCTATATACTCCATCTTCGCCTCCACTCCTACCACCACCCAAAAATTACCTATCTCTCTCTCCGTCTCCTCCAGACCATGACGTCTCAATGAAAGCCAAAACGCGAACACACCTGCGCTCAACAACGACACCGGCACCACCAAACACCATCGCTAAACTCCGTCATCGGTTCGAGCCCCGCCGAACCACCAATCGCATCCCCTAAACTCTCGGGCTGCACCTGAGACCGAAGCGTCTGCGGCAACGTCGGCTTCGTACCCGCTAAATAGGTTTTGCGTGTTTGTTACCACTTCAGAACTCGTTCAGCAAGTGAAAGCGTTCCTGAGAGACGGCGTGATGAATTCGGGCGCCGATGATGGAGGTCAGCTGCTTCTCGATTCGCACGCATCGCCGAGACTACTTCATCTGGTCGTCGTGGTTAAAGATGATGTTCCTATATCGCTACCTCTATACTACTACCAACGTTGTCTCACAAGCACCGTCGGACCGAACCAGACGAAGTCTACCCCGATTGCGAAGTTGCTGCTGATGACTTGCCTTACCAATTCTTGGAAGGAATTCAAAAATGTCCGATGATCCCCCAATAGTACTCACTCTGTCGCTACTTCGTTGCAATCTCTCTTCCAGCACATGCCGTTCTCGGTCTCTTCGACTCCCCTACGTCACGACATCGCTGAGCCCTCCGCGGCCTGAAACCCATTGACTTGACTTTGCCTGTTCTCTTAAAACCCTCCCGATCGACTCCCGTCCTGGGCGCAGAGCTTCTACTGAAGGTAGTGCCAAAATCGCACACCGCAGCTATAAGTCAGCAGAGCTATGCCTTTACACAACACCCACCCCAAGCCTTTCGCTTGTGCTCGCCAAGCAAGATCTTCTCTCATGAAACGCGAGGTCATCGACGAAACGGTCCAATGCTGGCTGGATGGACCGCTGGATTGCAGAAGTTGTTCGTCCTCGGGATTTCACCGAAACGAGGGCAAAGGGCGAGGCAAGAGGCAAGCCACCTACAACACCCAGCATGTGAAAGAGACAGGAGAGGAAAGAGATGACGTGGACTGCTTCTTCTTCTTATCCATTCTTCCAACATGGGAAATACCGTCGACTATATCTCTCTTCTCTGCTTCCTATTTCACACTATCTCTCACTCTCCCTCCCTCGCACAACCAAGGAAATCATATTTCGATTCTTTCTTTCTCGGTCTGAGACAGTCGGAGCCAATCTTCCAGCCAAAGAAAGAGACAGTAGTAGAAAATCAAATACAAGAATGAAGTAGCTGTTGGTATCACAACACAATAGTCGGCTCCCATCCCCATCGCCTCCATGCCACGGTCCATCCTCCAAAATACACACGCTTGCTTGCTCGCTTTGCTTTTCGTTTGCTTGTCGTTGACCAAAGCCTTCCAGAGAACTTCGGTACAATCGGTCTGGTTTGTGACTTGATTGAGCGAGGCGTCGTGGTAGTGAGGTCTGATGCTGGGGCCGAGGGAGTGTTGAGCCTGGTGAGATGGTTGCAGTGGAAATGTTAAATTAGTGACATTAGAACAACCCGCTCGCAACATTCTCAACCACACGCTCGGGGGCAGATGACAGTGGGACATCTGACCCGCTGCAAATGCCTCACCATGCAGTCTCGACACAACCCAGAAGACATCAACACGCAAACACCTCGCTCAATATTCAATGTCAATTCTAGCCGCGGAGCGAGAAGCCGCCCTTCTTGCGACCCTTCTCCTCGACTGGCCGTCCACTCTCGATTCTGACCTTCTTCTCTTCGAGTTCCGCCCGCTGTCGGTCGAGCTGCTCCTTCATCTCGCGGTGTCGGGCGTAGAGCTCTTCTTCGCTTTGCTTGAGCTTGCTCTCTTTCTCCTGCACCTTCTGTTGGAAGACCATCTTCATCTCGAGCTCCATCTTGGCCAGCTTCTGCTCGTGCAGCGATCGTTCTTCTTCCTGCTTGACGGCTGGGTTGACCTCCTTGAACACACTAGGATCTTGGGCCACACCCATAGCGGTAAGCTTGTCGGATCGGTAGTTCTCGTAGAGGAAGTTGTTGGTGTGCTCCTTCAGCTCTTCCATGTGAGTTCGGATGAGCATCTGTCGTAGCTTGACAAAGTCGCAGTGCTCCTCGTTGTCGACCTCGATGACACCCCATGGGTAGCGACGGCCACGGACCTTGCGTCCTTCAGGAGTCTGGACCTCGGTGTTGGCACCGACAACGGCAAATGGGACCTTGGACATAATCTCGTTGTTCTCGGCGATCGTCTCCTCGTCGTCGAGCTCGTAGCGTGGGCCCTCGAAGATGTGGATGTTGTGGTGGTGAATGTCGGCAAGGATCTGCGAACTGTCAGTAGAGATCACAAGCAGCGAGACATGATACTCACACGTTGCTTGAAAGCAGCTATCTCCTCATCTGTGAGGGTGTCTGCCTTGGCAATGACGGGGATGAGGTTGACCTTGGTGTGAAGTCGGCGCATGACCTCGACGTCCAAAGGCTTCAAAGAGTGACCGGTGGGCTGGATGAAGTAGACGCATGCATGTACGCGGTTGTCAACAATGTTCATGCGGTTGATCTTGTTCTCCGCATCCAGGTACGCATCGAAGCGCTGCTCAATGTTTTCAACAATGGGTCTCCAGGAGTCATCGTTGTTGACGAAGTCACCAAACCCAGGAGTATCGACCACAGTCAGGCGCAGACGGACACCGTTCTCCTCGATGTCGGCGGAGATGGATTGTATGCTGACCGTCTTTGGTGCGAAGTCGAGAGATGGCTGCTTGCGCTCCTTTGGTGGGTACAGAGACGTGTTGAAGAGCGTGTTCACAAGAGTCGACTTGCCGAGGCCAGATTCACCTGCGCAACATGTGTCAGCGCTCCTTCCTCATTTGGAGAAGTCGTCATTTTGTACTCACCAACGACCATAACGTTGAAGTTGAAGCCTTTCCGCACACTCTTGCGATGCCATTGGTTTGGCAGGTTGGCGAAACCAACGTATCCTGTAAGCTTCCTGCGCACAATGTTCCTCATGTCGCTCGCTGCTTGCGCTGCGGCCTTGGGATCCTTCGAGGTCACGGTCTGGGGAGTGTTGGTGCCGCCGTTGGCCATGGCGTTACTCGTCGTGACTAGGGGCGAAGAAGGTTTGCCATTGGGCTGTGCTTGGTTTGGGACAGGCGACTCGCGGTTCGGCGGCGCGGTGGTGCCGTTCAGAGTTGCTGTGGGTTTGGAGTCAGCGGACAGTCGAAGCTCCCGGACTGTGAGGTCTTGACGATCAGGAGTGACGACGCGAGCGACCGCGGCCGTGCCAGTCGCCGGCGCAGGACTGCTGCTGTGGTTGGGGCTGGCAGTGCTGGCCACGGATCTGGCGCTGCTGGACTTGGCTGAAATGGACATTGTCGTTGAGGAGCAGGGCGCTCGTGATGCCACGTGGTGATGAATGCGGCGCGCGGTCGTGCGCTCGACGGAGGCGCGGATGGGGATGAGGGTGTGGTGATGGAGAGGAGGGAGAGGGATGGCTTACCCATGGTGAGAGCGTTCGGGGTGTTGTTTTGAGCTGTAACGTGGTGTGCCTTCTGCGAATGATCTGGGAATGCGAGAAGCGTCAGTCACAGCCGTCACGAGGCATTGACGCAGCAGGCGCATTGGCATCGGGGCGTACAGGGAAATTCTGCTGGCGACAAATGTGCCGCGTGTCGTTCCACTGGCGCACGCTGCGCTGGGATCAATGGCAAAGCCGCTGCTGCGGGCGGAGACGAAGGAGAGTCGAGAAGGTATTAAAGACGTACGGATTGATGATGGCGGCGGACGCAGAGGCTGGTCGACGGGGTGCTGCTGCCGCGGCGGTGATAGGGAGAGGAGTGGAAGTTGCTGGTGGTGCTGTCGGCCAGGATTCAGGAAAGGGGACTGCCTGGCACTTGCAGGGGTCGCAGCTGGGCCAAGCGCGATCCGGCCGCCCAATTTCAACCTCCGCAAACCTTGTCTGGACGTCGGCTGCCCATCCGAGCCAACTATCTATTTGATTCAGAATTCATTGACCTTGAGACTGATCCTCCAAACAATTCATTTCCACTGCTGCAGTGCTGCTGGACAAGTCTCTTCCAAATCCACACAAATGGTACCTGCTGCAGGCCTGCTGTGCTTCGGCCAAAGCCGCATGCAGCTACGATGGAAGCTACAGCTGTTCGCCGCGTGTGCAGCGCGGAGCGTCGATGGAATCGATGACAGCTTGGGAAGAGTCTTGCCCGGATACGAGGTCAACAAGGTCACAATATTCTCCGTCACGTGTGCGGTCGTGGAAGCATACTGCTGTGCCATGTGTCGCCATACGTGTCACGCAATGCCAGGCCATGCTTGTCCTCGTGTGCCAGCAGCCTCGCAAACCTGCAGGTCTCGAAAAGCCAAGCTTTATTTCGAACTCTCGGCTCGTGCAAGCCTCCAACGTTTGTGGGTATATATAAACTCTGACTGCTCCTCCATTACCTCTCCACCCTTCCGCATTGTTCCGTTTCCAATGCTCAGTACGAACATCATTGGTCATCCAACGAACGTAATGTGCACTGCGTGATACATCTCGCTCAATGACTTCACGCTTTTGCTCCTTTTCAGCCTACCCGTAGCCTCCTCGATGCTGAACACAACGCCTTGCATGAGGCCTTTCGTGACTTGCGTCTGCTTCTAGCTCAGAGAAGCCAGCATGCTGCTGAGTTGGCCCTTGTCGTACTTGACGTACTTTCCTTTTCCCTTGTCAACCTCGTGGTATCGTTCCCAGAACCGAGCATACAGAGGCTCCATGAACTTTTGTACCTCGCGACCAAGCAGACCGCGGACCTCTGGCTCCATCTTGAAAGATTTGTGTCTGGCCAGGAGGTCGTCAAATGCAGTATTGAAGTTCTTGAACTTCTCTTTGATTGCGTCCTTGTCCTTGCTCGATAGCGTTTTGAGGATGGTTGCCGAATCAACTGCCTGGCCTGTCGATGGTGGGCGCATTTGTTTGCTGGTGTACTGCACATCGAGCAAGAATGGGCTGACTTCGTTCTTCCAGGCGTCCAAGTACAAGTTCGTGGCCTTCTTCTTCCAGCCGTCCACTTTCGGTTGCGCCCCGCCGAGCAGGGTCTGCAGCTCAGATTGTCGGATCATGCGCTCAATGATGGCAATGTTGTTCGCGAGGAAGATTCCCTGCAAGCTCTTGCCTTTCTGCAGCTGCCTGGCCTTCGATTCCAAGCTTGAAAGGAGTGTTTCGATGCTGTCTGTGCAATAGTGAGCAAAAAGCTGCTTGCCATCAGCACCGACATCGAACGAGGACAGTGTTGGCACGGAATTGGTTGATGCTGCATCGTTAGGCCGATTCCATCCACCATTGCCTATGCTGCGCATGATGCTGCTCAGAGGTGAGAGATATGCCGTCATGAGTTGCAGTCTGGCCATGACATCTGTTGTCAACGGGAGTGGACCACCATCTCCTGGAAGTTGCAGCATCTGGTTCATCTTGGACCTGATGTCACCGAGCAAGGTGGACAGAGAAGATTTGGCCGTTTCTCGCACTGGCTTCAATGCATCTGAAATGGCATGCTTCAGCTCGCCCGTATGACTCTCGATCTGGAATGATGTGTTGGAGACCACGTCAATGATTTCGTATGCGAGATAGCAGTCAGTGATCAAGTGGTTCCTGATGTGAGCGTCCAGATCACGCAGTGTAGAAGAGAATGTTCTTAATGATTCCTGACATGTCGCCAACAGAACCGCTCCCCACTCCTCTCGACTGAATATCGGACATATGTTGTCGTATTCGGCAATGTACATTCCCTGTATACCAGTAGCGTATGTCATGATGGCACAGGTTCCTGGTCTGTAGACTGCATCAGCAGCCACCTTCTTTGCCGTGGAGATTGTCGCAGTAGCCAGGTTTTGTAGTGACAGTGACATGTACTGTCCCCTTTCGTGGGCGTATACCTTCGCTGAAGGGGTGAGATCGGTTCCTGGTGCGACTTGTGATGTGAAGTTCGAGATATTGGTGTTGATGGTTCGCAGTTGTGCAGACTGGTTCGATGATATTCGGGGAAAGTCCTGTCCTTGTGTGATCTGCTTCAATGGCTCGATTGGTTGTGAATCTTGCCGCAGCATGTCCCTGAACACGTTCTCCAGATTGCCTGTACCCACTGCCAGCAGACTGCTCAACTCTGAGATCGCAACTTGATTTGAGCGCATGTTCGACGCTTTCAGTGATTTCAGAGCTTGGTTGGTACGGTCAATGCTGGCAATGTACTCAGTCAAGCCCACTTTGTCCGGTCGATTCCGTAGAATGCGCTCTTCCTTATTCCGCATGTCCAGTGGCTGCTTGACCTTGTCTATTGCGGCCTGAATCTTGTCGATATTGTTGTTCTGTATCTGCAGACGTTGCGTGTTGCCGTAAATAGGCCCTATCGCATCTTGCACAGTCCGACCTGTCTCATTCAAGCGAGCCATGGAGCCTTGGATCTTCTTCGACACCGACTTCATCTTATCTAAGCTGGCAAACAGAACTGCCACCTCGGCGGACTCTTCCGCGTACGCGGCATGGCGTTGGGTCACCATCGTGCGTGCAGTCGCTGGCGCTGCTCGCGCGCCTCACATGGGAATGAAGCAACGTATCGGGTCGAAGTGGTATCGCGTGGAATCGCGTAGTCAGGCTGCAGCTTGAGCTGGTCTGGATTCGTGGGAGGCTGCGACACTGTTCGTAGCAATAACTCGTCTCGGCGATTGGCGCGGTATTGTTGAGGTGAAGTAATGGTCGTGAAAGCCGCAGCAAGCTCTCTCCACAGCCTCCACGGAGCAAGGTGAGGGTTCAGGAAGCTGCCGGGTACGAATCCGAGCGTTGTTTGGAGATCAACGGTGAATACTTCGCCGAAATCTGCAAGCAATGTTGAAACCGCAAGCATTGAAGGCTGATCTGGTCACCGAGAACCCATAGTTCTGAAGGTCATTCTGGGGATACCACAAGACCCTCATCGTCGATACCGAAAGAGGCAAACGCGAATGACAAGGTGTGACGTTGGCGTGCAGGGCACGTGCAGCCGCCCCTGTCAATCAAGGATTGCCTTGTGTCTGCCGGAATCAACTCCACTCGCCCCCTCCGAGGCTCCAACCTCTGCTCTTCCCGGCATCTTCTAATTCTACTGCACGAATTTGCTTAACATTCGCTTCTACCTGTCCTTTTTTTCGACCGTCTGGCCTTGCAATGAGCCGCAGGTGACCCCAGCATGCCGCGCGCTATTCCACGGCTTCACGCAGGGAGCTTTAGAAGGCTAGCATACACACTCGGTGGCGGTTCCTCGGTCATTGTTGGATATCGACTATGGCTCAGTCGACCGCCAATCTTACTGGAGAGCGGCCAAGATGCAAGCGCCTTTAGCTCCAAACCAGAGATCTCTCTCTCAGAACGTTTCAAGCGCGCTGCCGCAATACAGCAATCGGGCCACGATGAAGACCCAGAGAGCAGGGCAGATACCCAGACTCCTCCGCCACAAACCAAGGGCCACTCCGTTTTCGATGCCGAGGGCGACGATGCGTCAGCTTGGGACACAGCGACACTTCAAATTGGTAGGGTGTGCGAGTCGTTCGTGGGGTTTGACTTCACATCCATACGATCGAGACTGGCTTCCTTGATCGTGCCTTCATGGCTTCGAACTCTACCCGAGCTGTTGACGAAGCTCCAAAATGAACTATCAATGGCGCCTTGGTCCTTGAGCTGGGAGATTTGGGAAGAAGCGCATGATCCCGAGATCAATCCTGAAATCCTCTGGGACGCGCAGGTTCGTGTGTCTGAGGATCTCTGTCCAGAGGAGCAGGCGTTTCTTCGCAAGCGCCGAAAGAACACGGCAAGGGCTCTCTCACGATACCTAGGAGTACCGGAGAAAGAAGTCCACCCCGACGACGTGCCCACTATAGCGATTTGCGGGTCCGGGGGCGGTCTTCGAGCACTGGTAGCAGGGACATCTTCTTACCTTTCTGCACATGAGGCTGGACTTTTCGACTGCGTCACATATACCGCTGGTGTAAGTGGTAGTTGTTGGTTGCAGACTCTATATTACTCTTCGATAGGAAAGTTGAGTCACCAGAACCTCATCGACCACCTCAAGGACCGAATCGGCATCCACATTGCTTATCCTCCGGCAGCTTTGGCCTTGTTGAATCAGGCGCCTACCAACAAGTTTCTCTTAGCTGGCTTTGTGGAGAAGCTCCGCGGCGTGCCTGATGCTGACTTCGGCATTGTTGACGTGTACGGACTCTTGTTAGCGGCACGCTTGATGGTACCAAAAGGCGAATTGAGATTGAGTGATTTCGACTTGAAGATCTCAACCCAGCGCTTCTATGTAGAAGATGGTGCGCAGCCATTGCCCATCTATACGGCCGTGAGACACGAGATACCCAATGTGCCAGACGACTTTTCTGGCATGGCCAAAGAAGCTCGTTTCAGCACCAAGCACTACGACTGGTTCCAATGGTTTGAGTGGACGCCCTACGAGTTCTTCTGCGAGGAACTCAACGCAGGCATTCCAAGCTGGGCCATGGGGAGGAGATTCTACGAAGGGCGGAACGTGTTGCCCGAAAACGGTCTGGCTCTACCTGAATTAAGAGTACCACTGATGTTGGGCATATGGGGAAGCGCCTTTTGCGCTACGCTCTCTCATTACTACAAGGAGATTCGCCCAATCATCAAAGCGGCAGGACTCGCCAGCCTGGATGCTGCACTAGCACAGAAGGACGAAGACCTTGGGAAAGTCCATCCGGTGGATCCTGCGGTTATCCCAAACTTCGTACTGGGGATGAAGAACAAGCTGCCGCGAAGCTGTCCGGAAAGCATGCACAAATCTCAACATCTTCAGCTGATGGATGCTGGCATGTCTAATAACCTGCCAATCTATCCACTGCTTCGCCCCGGCCGTGATGTGGATGTCGTCATCGCATTCGATGCGTCTGCCGATGTGAAGACAGATAACTGGATCAAAGTCGTCGATGGCTATGTCCGCCAACGTGGTGTCAAGGGCTGGCCGATGGGAGCCGGTTGGCCGCCTGCAGGAGAGTCCACTGAGCAGGTGACAGAAGACATGGAGATTGCCGAAGCTGCTTCGGTGGCACACTCTCCGCGGACCTTGAATAGTGTTCAGTCGAAACACGATGGCAGCATGGAGGAGCTAGGTCATTGTACGGTCTGGGTTGGCACGACGCAAGAACGCGACGAGTACATGGACGACCCGGCCACACGGCGGCTGAAGTCAGACCTCTCAGACGACTGGCATCTCCTGAACCCCGACGCAGGCATTGCACTCATCTATTTTCCGTTCCTGAAGAATGACAAAGTGCCCGGTGTCGACCCCATGACATCCGACTTCATGTCGACGTGGAACTTTGTCTACACACCCGAAGAGATTGACAGGGTTGTCAACTTGGCGAGGGCGAACTTCGAAGAGGGCAAGGAGCAAACCAAGAAGACCATTCGAGCGGTCTGGGAGAGGAAGAAGGCCAAGCGGCTACGGAGAGAGAAAGAAGAGAGGGAGTCGAGAAGACTGAGTCGAGTACGTCGTGGATATGCTGCGGTGTCGAGAAACGGTGATGTCGGTCAGGGCGATCAGTTTGGTGGAATCTAGGGGGTACTTATTAGGCGTAGAATGAATGTGGATATACCCGTGGTGCGAAAAGTATTGCTTGTCTGCCGCAAGGCTGGAGGTCTATGTACAAGTCTATGGTTTACGAGCGCCGACTCATGCTACAAGTGCTTCTTCGCGTGCACGCCATTAGCAGCACTGCCATCTTCTTTCCGCCCATCTTCGAGCACTATCTCCGTCTGTTGAACACGCCAAAGCACAAATGCGTAGGCTACATCACACACGAAACCTCCCACCCACAGAAACAACGCAAACGGCGAAACAAAATACTCATGAGCTTCAGTCCAGAACCACCAAGCCAAACCATAATTCAAATACAAACCTATAATCGACCCAAACGTCCTCGTAGCCCTATCAAATTGTCAGCAAACTCCACTTACGCGATCCTCCGAAACAGTCGAACGTACCAGATGCTCCAACTCACACCCCCCGAATGCTGCCTCACCACCAACTGACACAGACTCGCCGCGGAAAGATACGTCTGACAAAACGCCGCACTCCAAAACCCCAACTCGGTCGTATCAGGCCCCACGACCCCCCGATAGATCTTCCCTTCCTTCCTCCCAACCTCCCCATTCAACCACCAATTCGCGAACGTCCAGTGCCCCAGCGTCGCCACACCAACCATCGCAACAAAAACGCCCCCAACATTCTTCGCCACGAAGGAAGAATGTCTCCACTCAAACCTCGCAAACTTCAACACGCCATACAGCATCACGCAGTCGATGACCAACCAGATCGTGAAGACCGCGCGTTCGAGGGGCGATTCGGCGACGTAGAGCGCGTAGACGAGTTCCCAGGCGAAGTTGAGGGCCAGGGCGAAAAGGGGCATTCCGTAGGATTTGGTCTGGAAGGATTCGCGTGTGTAGAGGAGGTAGGCGAGGGTCCAGAGGGCGCCGCCGATTTGGAGGAGGAGGTTGCACGTGGGGACGACGTGCGTGGGGATGTGGGGTGGGGGGATGTCGTTGGAGCCCATTCTGGATGTGTATATCTGTTTATTTTTTGTTTTCTTGGGCTTGGGAGGTGGGTCTTGCACCTGAGTGAACGAATAGGGAAGGGACGATGAAAATCGACGGGGGTTTTCAGTTGAGGTGTAATGTTTGCGATACGAGCCGGACCAAGATGTTGATGAACTTGGAAAGTTTGTAAGAGATACTTGACTGGGTAATGGTTTGTTGGTAGCAAGGATCTTGAAGTTCTGAGTTCAAAATGGAAGATGGTACGATCCGGAACATCATTTATCCGCAAACTCTCGTGAATGCCAAGACTTCACTTCCTCCACTTTCTCTCAATGAAGCGCGAGTTGTGAAGACGAACCACCATAGTCACTTGCCTATCCCTCGCCGATTCAATCCATTGTTCTTAACTCATAGTCTCGAGAAGTAAAAGGCGTATCATATTCCATCGATATTAATTCCAAAACTTCAATACCAAGGCGAATGTAAGGGATAAATGAATGCGTCGTAAGCGTGGCCAATTCAAAGAAGCTCGATCAGACCGAGTATAAATAGTAGGAGCATCTTAGCCGTATCCCTGGCCGCTCGACATGCACAAACGGCAAACATCGCTTGCACACGTCGCTCGTATGGCCGAACCCAGACTCAAAGAACCGACGGCCTTGCCCTGACAATGGAACATATGCTGAGACTGTTGTTAAGCGCGCGTTGGACGGCTAGTAGCCTGCCTAGAGCATCCATGATTTGCTCAAGGCCCAACGCGCCCAACGTCGCAGCATATGTTCAATGCTCAAGGGCATCGGTCCCTCTCGTCGTCCAAGTAAGGCGCGGCGTCTCCGCTCACACGGAGACGCACCGTATTGTTGGAAGACACGTTACACCCTGGCACCGCGATGAGGTGCGCTCCCTTCGCCGGGGAATGTGTACGTGGAGAACGTATGGTGAGTGATATTATTATCCTTGCAGATGAAATTCTGCTGCGTCGTCGAATCGAAAGAATCGTCGTATAAGTCGTCCCGTAAAAGCGCTTCGAAATCCATATCACAAACATTGAGAATGTCTGAATTAGTGCAAGAAAATAGTGCGTTGGCCTTGTCAGATCGTGGGTCACTTTTGGAATGGAAAGACACGTTGTATGTATCGTCCCGCAAGAGTACATCGAAGGCAGTGTTCGACGCATCCGTGTTAGAGCCGCCTTCCTTTGAGCCGCTAGTGTCAGACGTATTGGTGGATGATTTGTTTCCAGAACGGCAGCGACCACCTGCAAAGACGTCCTTGTGGACTCTTGCCACATGGCGCTTGACGTCTTTTGGCCAGATGAAGCGTTTGCTGCAATGCTCACATGCATGTGGTCGCTCCTCATGGGCTCTGTGCTTGGTTTTCTCGTGCTTGCGCAGATCGCATCGCCGGCGAAATCGCATTGAACAGCCTCTACATTTGATGGGGTGCGAACTGGAAGACTTGTCGTCATCATGTTCAAGGAGGCTGCGCTTGGCGGTGAGGTCTTCGTCCATGGGCGTGCAGGGCCTTTTCAAATCCGACTTCTCTGCGTGCCCTTGCAATGGATCGGGGTTCACGAGCGTCTTCTGCGACAGTCGACGTTCGTTTTCGCCCACAAACGAGCCGAAATCAGGTGTGTACGCAGTATAGGGGCTCATCGTCAGAGAAGGCGTATGTTCATAGGAGGCCGATGCTTCAAAGGTCTCACTTGTTCCATAGTCCTGGCTGGAAGAAGGACGTCCCAACTCTTCCAAAGGAGGTAGTGTCAGCCGACCGTCGGCGAAATGGTTGGGTTCCAGCATGCTGTCGTCAAAGGAAGTGTTGTTCCAACTCAAAAATGATCCATCATCGTCCATGGATGAAACCGGGAAGAGCGTGGGATCTATGTGCGAGTAGTCCACATTCGCTCTGCAGGAGACATGTGTTCTTGCTAAGGACTTTGTCAGCTGGGCCTATTTAGGATACAAGCAGGTGCTCATGCCTGGCCCATATGCTTCAAGGCAGCTTCGTCGCCTCGCAGTGAATACTGCATCCACGCAGTGTCTCCTTGAGCTCCATCCGGCTCGCCATTCCACCAATTAGTGTCAGTACCTCCGTGATCCATATCCCGGAATTTAGGGATGTCTCAGTGCCACAAGCCGAGATGGACAAAGCTGTGGCAGTGGCGGTGAGAAGGCGGCATTGGCCTCTCTAGCTCGGTGAGAATGGTGCGGTGTGGAGGCCGCCTTGGAGGAAAGTCGACAACTTAGACGTGGCTTTCGCGGAAGTGGAGCTGTGTAGAGTAGAAATCTGCCGTGAAGGTCGGCGACACCTTAGGTCCAAAGAGCAGGTGGCTCGCTGGCGGCATGGCTGGCGGCATGTCAATCCAAGCTGAAGAGGCCGCCCGCCAGCGTCACAATGGTCAAGCCGCATATGCACTGGGTGTAAGCGGCCCAACCACGGTGCCATCTCCATGGCGGATGTATCTCGATCTTTCTCTCCGCTTCTATTGAGATCGGTCGCTTTAAATGGCAGTTGGTAATGAAGTTTTGGACTTAAAGAGAAACACGAAGCTCCGTTAGCGTGGTCCAATGCTTTCGGAACTGCTTGCGTCGACCAGGCTGAACGTCGCGAAGAATGATGAGGTGTTATACAGCTATGTCAGGTCAAAAACAACTCCGTCTCGATTTGCTTCATAGTGCCAAGTTGTAGGTATAGTCATCCTCCATGTTCTGGCTTACCCAGAGCACAACGCAGCTAGACCAACCATTAGCATTCGTATGTTCGGACCTGTTCAACGATCGTACTCACCTCAACATAACCAGCGCATTCGCAAGCAAGTTTGCCACTCCAAACCAAAGTGACATGCCCGTAGCACCCTCAGTGACATACTTCAAGACCATGACAGTGACACCTCCAGCCAATCCACCAGCCATCGCCGCAAAGCCCATGAACAGCACAACTCTTGCCTTCCATGCCACGCCATCACCAGAGTATGCGAATGTGTCACCCGACAGGCGCGTCTTATCAATGCTATTGATGACCAGCATCCCAAGGAACGAGAAGATTCCAGGAATCCAGTCGACGAAGTTGAGGTGGAGGTCGGAGCCGTTCAGGCGTCCGTTGCTGTAGACCGTGGCATCGATCATGACGAAGAGGGCGATGCAGAACTGCGTACAAATTAGTTGCCTTATCCTTTGACATTCTACTCTTCAAGGTTCATCCATACCAGAGCGCCAGAGAGGTAGACGCCAGCATTGCGGGTATTGGCGCTGTTGAGCCACTGGGGCTTGGGGAATTTGAAGAGTCGGTGGTCCTCCATATCGTCGCCGTTGCCAACCAGGTGCATGAAGAGGGTTCTTCAAAGCAGGAATATTGAGGAGAGGTCGAGATGTGGTGGTTGTGTCGCGTGAGGATCGTCTGGTCGCAGCTGCCTTGCCTCTGCGCTCACCCGTGACGAAGCCAGCCAGCTCTCGAGCAGCAACCGGCTTGGCAAAACGGCGGTCGGCTCGTTCGGCGACTCCTGCCCGACGTCAAAGACAAGCATCGTGCAAGGATTCAGGCACTTTCACTCACACCAGGAACCGGAGACAAGCCCATCCTGGTTAATGGGCCTGTCACATGAAAGCTAGATTTTCTATAAAAGATACTGTCTTGCAAATTGAGCCGAGGCCCAGACGTACATCTGTTCGGTCGGACTACTGTTTGTCGGTCTAACCACGTTCCGACTGTCTTTTCTCTTTCAACTTCACCTCTGTCTTTACCACATCCATCACCTGAGAAACTCGAGTCACAATGGCGTTCTCATGGTTTCCCGGCGCATGTACAACTACCTACACTCACTCCGACAAGCCATTGATCGTCCAAGTCAAGAATGGCCCCAAAAGAGCACTCCCGGAGATTTGCAAAGATGTGATCCCACCATGCAATCTGAGTCCAATGCTCTTCAACGGCCACCTACAAACAGCATGGACAGCTTTCAAGTACCAAGGACCCAAGATACATTACAAGCGACGAGTCTTCGAAGCCGAGAACCCTGCTTTCAAAGGCCATTTCACGATCGACGTCGTCACCGCTCCGCCACCATCAGCGGGGACTTCTGCGACAGATGGTGGACCAGAGGACCAGGGACTGCGTGAGGATCCCATGGGTATTGGACATCATCGACTACCGCCGAGGACGACTTACTTCACAGACAAAGAGTTTGAGAACTTGGGAAGCAATGACACGAAGCCTCTGCTCATTTCATTGCACGGATTGAGTGGCGGTTCTTACGAGACTTATCTACGCGAAGTCCTGGAGCCACTGGTCAAGGCGACTTCTGAGGGTGAGAAGGCCGGAGGAATGTCTGGAGGAGACTGGGAAGCACTAGTTGTGAACAGCCGTGGCTGTGCTGGATCTAAAATCACGACGAGCATCTTGTACAATGCGCGGGCGACTTGGGATATGCGACAGGTTGTAAAGTGGGCCAGGAAGACATGGCCCAAACGTCCGATCTACGGTATTGGGTACTCGCTCGGTGCGAACATTCTGACAAACGTGGGTTGTTATCCCCATTTCATTTCAAATCTCGTTTGCTGACTCCTTTTGCTTTCCAGTATCTGGGCGAGGAAGGCGAGAACTGCCAGCTCACAGCCGCCGTTGTGGTTAGCAACCCCTGGAAGCTCGAAGTCGCATCTCTCGCTCTGCAACGGTCATATCTGGGCATGGAGGTGTACAGCAAGGCCATGGGCAAGTCAATGCTCGCTCTGTTCGATACTCATGCCAAAGAAATCACGGAGAACAAGAACATCAGCTCTGAGGGCATGCATAAGCTGAAGTATCTTCACGAGTTTGATCGTGCAGTACAGTGCGCTACCTGGGGTTACCCGACTGAAGGAGCGTACTACAGAGATGCCAGCAGTGCAGACAGTGTTCTTGCCATTAGGATCCCGGTGCTCGCGGTACACGCGCGAGATGATCCGATTGCCGTGGATGAGGCCGTGCCATATGAGGAGATCAAGCAGAACCCATACATCGTCATGTGTGCGACGAGTGGTGGTGGACATTTGAGCTGGTTCCAGACCCAAGGAAGATGGCATCCCAAGCCAGTAAGTTGCGTTTTGCTGTTGTTTGTAGCGTCAACAATTGACCCAGTACGCAGTGTGTCGCCTTCTTGAACGAGATGGCCAGAAATGTCGATCTCGCGAAGATCGATGCCCCAGAGGTTGCGAGCCATGGTCCTAATGGCGGCCTGCCCACGCCTTTTGCTTTCACTCCCATGCGGAGAAAGGCTCGTGTTCCTCAGAACGATCCTTATGATGCTTAGTGCTCATGTTGCGTTCCAAGCGAGGCGTTTTCGAATAGGTTCCCATATACCGTAGACTTAGACAGATATTGTCTCCGCGGACATCTCAGCCGAAGCTCACTCTCTTGCGCTTCGTTTTCCTCGCGCTGTCATCCTCCTGCTTGTCTCCGTCGGTTGCCGCATCACCGTCTGACTTTCTTCGCTTCTTGCCGCCCTTCTTCAACTCTTCTTTTCTGCCCTCAAGTCCGTCTTTCTTACTTTGCGCTCGCTTCTCGGCTTCGAGTTTCTTTGCTTCCCTCACTTCCTCCATCTGCCGTGCCCTCATCATCTTGCCCTCAAGATTGCCCTCCTTCTCCGCCATCACCATTGCCATGATCGCATTCATGCTCTCCTTGTCATCTACGAAGTTCTTTCCCTTCTTCGCATTTGGAGGCTTCTGAACACCCGCGGGTCTGATACCATTCAGCTGTGGTATCTTCAGCTCTTTCTCGGTGTATCTCATATGCGGCGGCTTTTTCTTCTTGTCGCTTCCAGCATTTGGCTTTGGCTTGTGTTGAGTCGGGGCAGGCTTCGGACCAGTCTTCTTCTTCCCTTTGGAAGATGAGCCAGACTGTGATGGCTTGGTGGAGCGCTTGCTCGCGCCTTTGGCTGCGCCAGCTTTGGCTTTGGGCGGCATGGTTGCTGTTGGTGAAGAAAGTGGACGATAAGAAAGTTCGTCTGGGAATTTCGAGGGTTCAAAAAGATCGCCTGGAATTTGGCTCTGGGACGGACCTCTCTCCGAGCCAATGATTCTGCTGAAAGCTACTCCTCAAACGCGTGAGGCGGCGCGACTTCACTCCATCTCCACGATGACCCTCGACTGCCTTCGCCCGACCATGGAGACTCGAATATAACGAAGCGTGCCTGAAGAAGCCATGTCAAGTACAGACTGTTCTTATAGTTCATAATGCCGTACCAAGGCCCAAACGGGTACATCCCACCTGGCCAATATGGCAACCAAGATGGTCGCGGCTTCCAGACCGGGCACGCGCAGATGTATCAGGGAAACCGCCCCAACCAGGCTCCTCAGCACCTGCCGCAGTATCCAACCTTTGAGCAAGCGATGTACAACGCGAGTCATTCGCAGACTCAACATTCGACGCCCCAATTCTACGGCCAAGGACATCCACCGGCTTCCTTCTACCAGACTCCCACTGCTCAATACCAACAGCAGCCGTATCTGTCGCCGCCATCGCAAACGGCTCAGATACCACAGATTCGGTACTCTCCCGATCCTCTGCAACACTATCAACCTCCACCGCGGGCTCATGTAGGCACTTCTTCGCAAGGGCGGCCCCAACAACAACAACCGCCGCAAAGGACACCGTCGCAGCCGCAAAGACCGATCTCTCAAGGCCAGAGCGTGCCACATGTGCAGCAGCAATTTAGTCAACCCAATGTGCCTTATGCTGGGAGTGCTCAGCGCAACGCCAACGCAACTGTGAGGAACTCCCAATTGCCACCTCAGCAACAAAGACAGCATTCGCAATCAAGACCTGTCTCGGGCGGTGGGACTGCGGCGCCAGTGCAGCCTCAAAGGCAGACACCACAGAGTCAGCGGCCTCCACAAATTCAACAGCGAGCACAGGTAGACACTAGTCGCCCATCGCCAGCACAGGTTTCACAGAGCCCAAACTCGCAGTCTTCGAACCATCAGATACAGCACTCGCAGCCGCAGCCTCGGTCACATCAAGCTACTCCACCGGGGACCATCAACCCGAATGCTATGCACCGCCAAGTTGCACACGTACAGCTACCTACGCAACGATCTTTGAAGACTCTCGAAGAAGGATCAATGGCGAGACCACCGAAACGAAGAAAGTCCAACGAGGGTCATCCGGTACCAACCTGTGGACCGAGCACAGGTCCTCAGGCCATATCTCGACATGTCAAGCAAGAACCACCGGCGTCCTCGCCTTTGACTGAGTTGACTTCTTCACAAATGCCACCAACTCCGACTCCCGCAAACGTTAACTATCAAGCGGTCTTGCTAGGCCTCTGCGACGAGTACATCAGTGCGGCATACAGCATGAGCGTTGGGCTTTCTGGGGCTGAGGTCTCCGATCAAGACTTGGACACATACCACAGTCTTCTCGCAACAGGCATGGCATGTCTCAACTCAGTGTTGAGCAATTACCATATCTCTGACCCACGGTTAGAAGGCCGTGTTCGTCTTCGACTTGCTAGTCTTCTGTTTGAGGAGACCGAGAACGACATGGATGCCGAAGAGGTCCTCACCAAAGGCATCTCACTGTGCGAGAGGGCCCGACTTCGCGACCTGAAGTACGCTATGCATCATCTCCTCGCACGGATTTGGTTCAAAGGAGGCAAGATCAAGGCGGCGATGAAAGCGGTCGACAAGCTCATCGTGGAAGTGGAGAAACAGAAGTTGGTACACTGGGCGTACACCTTTCGGTTTCTGCGAGTTACACTCGGCGTACAGACGGGAGTCACGATTGCCGAGACAGCCGCGTTGGTCAAAAATCTTTCCGCAATCATCGAGACCGCGGAACACAATGGTCATGTCTCTGTCCATGTCATGGCCAATCTCTTACAAGCACTGATCTACCTGCGATCTCGAACTCCCGAGAGTGTTGACCTTGCTCAGAGATCCGTGGCTTCTGCAAGAATGCACCAGCTGTCACCGGAACTGATGAAGCTGCCTCGATTTCAGTGTCTCCTGGATTTCGTCGATCTCGCATGCAGCTTGATTCGATTCGATAATGATCAAGTCAATGCCAAGTCAGAGAACATGCAGAGGAATCTGGACTCATCTGCCAGGAACTCGTCTTGGGACAAGCATGCTGATTGGCAAATCTCTTTCGGACAGCTGCCGAGTTCTTCCACCAACATCGAAGTTGACACTGGTGGCATGCTGAAAACGCTCGACACCGGGGAATGCGCGTTTGCCTTTCGATGGCTGACGAAGTCCCAGATACATACTCTGAGCTACTTGTTTGCCGGCCTATCCAGTATGAACAAGAACGCAAGTCACGAGCAAAAGGCAGAGGCCTACCTCACGGAAGGGGTTAAGCTGGGAAAGCTGCCGCTAGGGAACAGTGCGCAGTCTTTGCCGTCCGCCTCCGCACAATGCAACACAAACAGCCTCCTGCTAATGTCTTTGCGGCTGCACGCCGTGTTCGCCCGCTGCGGCAGATGTGACTGGGATACAGCGTTGAGAGGGATTGCAAGCATCCGAAGAGACATTGAGGCGCTGGAGACACCGCCAAATCAGCACACGTTCAGTCTCATCAGCTATCTAGAAGCTTTGTGCAAGCATGGACTTGGGGATCTCCAGGGCGCCCTGAAGCTCTATCATTCGAACGAGCTCAAGACGGGATCCAACCTGGATGCAAAGGCAGCTGCCGGCAGCGTCGACACCATTCGTATCCTTGCGGCTCTCAGCAGTATTCTGATCATGCGCCACAATGGCGATAGACAGGCGGCCGATCAGCTCCTCTCAGAAGTTCAGAACGCGTGCTTGACGAACCCCAACAGCAACGGAAATGAATATGGCAGCAAGCCAGTTGAGTCTGCTTTCTTCATTCTCAAAGCGACCGAGGATCCTTACAAGTCTGCGGAGAATATCATCATAAAGACGAAGCAGTACCTGCAGTCTGCTGTTCAATCTGCCAAAGCCGCGGTTAACAACCAGCTGTTGTGCATAGTCATGAATATAATGACTGATCTGTTCTTCACCAACATTGTCGGTGATCAAGCAGAGAAGTCAGCAAAGGCTGCCAGATCGTTGGCCACGAAGTCTCAAGATAAGTTGTGGACAGCGGTCGCTGACGACATGTGTGCGAATACTTTGGAGAGGACGGGCAGGATCGCGGACGCCCAGAGTGTCCGACAGGAGGGACAGGAGGCTTTGCAGCGCTTGCCGGAATCCTTGAAAACTGCTTTACTGAGGGATGAAATGATGGTGGAGTAGCATTCTGTAATGCTTATGTTTGGGATGGATGTCTGGCTTGCGAGGTGCGTGTACATTGCTGAACTGCTGGTGCACAAGATTTGTTCACGAAACGTAGATACCCAATGTATTGATTACCACGGAAGGCATGTATCAACTCTATCAATTGACCTTGTGCAGGACGTACTCGTCGATTTCCCCCTCTTACCGGCTCACCTCGATCACCACGAGAACTCTCGATTACCGCCTAACGATCTTTTCTGTCTCTCGCATGCGCGCTCAATTGTCGTAGATTACTTCCCGTTTCACTTGCGCCCTCATCTGATCCAAACACTTTCATAAGGCAAGAGGCATGAGCAGGTCACTGTCAGATGATATTGAACATCATGCTTGAGAGCCCACTTTCTTCAATCAACTTGATTTACATCACTGTCGAACAACAACCTGCCTACATCAAACAACTCACGACAGCTGACCTTGGAAGAGACTGCCTAGCACTCCGACGAGCTGACAGCATTATATTCAACGACACCCGACTATAAGTCTCCTGGAAGGATCTCTTGACCGCTCACTTGAGGTGTTTGCCAGCTGGCTGATCACATGCCACTGGCTTCACTTGCCAACTTACAAGCTACTCGGTGCTTCGATTCAATCTTCTTTCTCAACAACAACAACCTTAACGACACCAGCAAAATCTCCAGCAAACACTAGTGAGGGCTGAATGCTGTTCACCTCCACTTCCACCTCACGAACACGAACACTCAGTCTTTGACAACACCATATCGACTTCAGGGGCACCTTTCACAGACACTTCCCTCACTTTCCAGAAGATCTCCATCAACAAGACCTTGTCCGGCTTTGACCTTTGTCTCACCACATCATAACACTCTGCGATCCAACACATCCACAAACAAGTCTCATCTGAAGCTCGACTCACCGCAGAAGCAAAGCCAACATGGCCTACGAGCAGCGCTTCCATGTCCGTCTGCAGGCACAGTTCCAGGAGGCAGGCGCTCGCATCCTCCACCTCGAAGCTACGCTGGCTCAGAAGGATGACCATCTCGCTCAGAAAGATCGTCAGGTTGCGAACTTGAACGGGCAGATCCAGCGCATGATGCAAAGCACTCCCAACAATGGCACACAGGCCATGACGACAGCCATGCAGACTCAGATGAATCAAGCCACCGCGAGATACACGAGTGCAGAGAATCAGCTGAGGCAGATGGTCCAGAAGTACAACACTGCCACAGCTCAACGACAGCAGACGGATCAGCAGCACCAGGCCCAGATCCACTGGCTGCAGCAAGTCATAGAACATCTGAAAAAGGAGAACATGGCCCTCAGAAGCTCGGGCGGTGTTGGAAGGAAGGCGGACATGGAGACAGTAGTACAGGACTATCAGGCACCGGAGAAGCAGTTTTGGCCTCCCAAGAAGCAGAATCCACAAGGCGACAAGTGCCCGTCCTCGGCCAAGAGAAAAGCCGCCGAGCAGCATGTTGCGGACGATGACGAGGACGACGAGGAGCTCAGGTAAGACTGGTCCACAGTACTAGGTACTCGGTGAGTTGCTGACATTTTTGTAGTGCAACTGGGCTTAAGCAAGAACCTGGGGACGATCACGAACCTGCTCAATCGACGAATTCCTCGCACGAGAATCTGTCTCATCCTCCATCACCACAGGTCGTTACCCAAGGTTCGATAGGCCCGAACGCCTCCTTGGCTGGAGAACCTCCGACCCAGTCCAGCCCTGTACAACACCCTCACAGGCCATCGTTTCCCCAACAAGGGGGTTCGCTCGCAACGAGGACGGCATCGAACGCAAGCTCAGCGAACAGTTCATCGATCATGACAGCAGGCCCACGTACTACCCTTACGAAATTCCCTCAGGAGCAGTTCATGCCTCCTCCACCCATGTCATCCAGACAAGATTCGCTTCCAATTCACCCAGAAGCGAACCACCGCTCGCGGGCGAATGCTGTGGACCACTCTGCAGACGACTTGATCGTGACCAAGGTGAGGCAACGGAAGGCAAGCGCACGAGACGACATCAAGAGTGAAGTCCAGGACCTCGCGATCACGGACCCGGCATCTAAGGCGAAGCTTCACATCAAGGATCCACAGGCCAGAACACGCCAGGGTTCGAGGCGGTCGACGCACAGCGAAGTCATTAACCTCTGCGAATCCCCGTCTCCAGATCCAGATCCACCGACGAAGCGTCGTCGTACCAACGGCAGTTCGTACGTCCCGCCGCCACCGCCGCAGAACCGCAACCCGACGCGTGGAGACATTGAGGATAGAATGAGATTCAAGGCAATCACGGCGCACGGCGCGAACAATGCAAGTTTCAATTACCTTGATTCAGAAGACGATCTCGCTGACGGTGCTCAAGCCCTCTGGGAACAGATCGATGCCGTCTACGAGCTCTGGGAGGAAGCCAAAGGCGAGGACTGGAAATACGAGTTCGAGGTGAAGCTGAAGAATCAGAACTCCAAGCAGTGCGTGTCGTCGAAGTTGAAGATCGAGGGGAGGGAGAGCGGGAAGTCGAAGTGGAGGGTTGGGGGTGAGTGTTTGTATGCGTGCTCTTAGTGTGTTGAGGAGAAAAAGCCTTGCTTCATGTGGCGTGAGAATGAGTTTCGATTGCTGCCTTTGCATAAGGACGATCTGGTGTGGCCGGTGGAGAGGGGATTTGAGGTGAGGCAGTGGATCAATTTGGAGTGAGCGGTTCATACAAGATATTGAAGCCCTAAGCAATCCCACTCTGTATTAGAATTGATGCTATCACTCACACTCCAAACAGTCCTTCACAGAATGACTATTTAAGGTTTAGTAACATTTCGGGAAGGAGCGAGTCAGACCTGAAACACGCCGATCGCCATGTGACGAAGCTTGGCGCTCACCCGACATCACCTCGACGCTTGCTTTAGAACTCACCAGACACAACCGCTTCCAACGATATCGCGGCTATTGTGCGACTGACTCACCAGCATGGACGACACAATCTACCCCCCAAAGCGGCCATCCGCCCAGCAGCGCTTCGCCCAACGGTTGAACGAACGGGCCAACACAAATCGCCCTGACGCAGGCGCGACACCTAGGATATCCCACGACATGCTAGCTGGACAAGGTCATCCCAGCTGTAGTGCGAACACCGTCCAAGCTCTGCCTCGCGAGCAACTCCAGCAGTTGATTCAGGCGCTGAGGACCACGTCACAACGTCCCGAGACCTTGCCTCAACACCAGGTTCAGTCTCCAGAAGCGAGTCTTCAAGTGCAGTTGGAGAATCTATCGAATTCCGTATTGGAGGTCCGGAGCGTGGTGCAAGGGATGAATGTTCGTCTCGCCAAGCTCGAGAATCGAGTGGAGGGAATGGGTATGGTCAAGGGCACAACGGTGAGTAGCGTGAGGATGAAGGTTCCTGAGGGAGTCTCATGCTGAACATCTGAAGGCCTTGGTCGACGTGGTGCAGGAACTCCGACGCTTGAAGGGCGCCGTTGCTGCCATTGGCCGGTCTGCCATCCTCAAGGCTGGACCAACCGATCAGAAGGCTGAGATGCAGGCAAAAGAAGGCGCGAGCAAGCCCCCTGAGTACGTTCAGTCTGCTTCTTCACCACCACCAAGTTCACGTACTGACTACGTATAGGAAGAAACGCAAGACAGCCAGTAACGATGCACCCGAGCCCGAACTCCAGCAGATGGTAACCAGGCGCCAACTGCGTAAAGGCGGGTCGAAGGTAAATGAGAAGGAGAAGACGACTTCAGTGCCACCGACCAATGCGATTTTGGACGCAGTCGAGCGAGGCAGCGAGGATGATGCCCGAGAGGCTCTCAAGACTGCGAAGACACCTCGTCGCTCTGGTAAATAAGACGATGGTCGGGCCTGACTTCGTTGGAAGCGACAAGATGTGAACGATGATAGAGCATGGAGTGGATTCCTGAACTAGATGTTAGCTTGAGTGAATGGAAGCCTATGCAAGTTTTGGGATGAACAAACTTACATCTGCTTCAATAATGGTGCATCCCGTCCAAACATCCCCTGACCAAGCTATCGAGATGAAATCGAACTGCATGGTAGCGGGAGGTGCATTAGGGATAGAGAAGAGCGAGAGGTTACTTTACCTACCCCTTCACTGTCCACGTCCTTTCACCCAAGTCCTCACCTCCTACCAAGTGTAAACCCAAGGCCTATAACCTTTCACCAAAGAGCACTTCCACCTCTGTCTTCTCGCTCCCATCCCCAAAAACCTGCGTCCGTCAACGCCATCCAAAACACCATCAACCCCTTTCTACATACCATCAGCAACGGGGATAGCGACCATGACTGAGCAGGTGAGTTTGAATCCAGCGGACGCGTTGGCGGCATCAGTGACGGCAGCACACCCAGCGAGCGAGAACCTCCGCTACGTGACCGAGGAGGCAAATGCGTACGCGGACATCATCGCGCGCATGGAGCGCACGGAGGCGGAACTGCGCGCGCAATTGCAGGAGAGAGACAATACCATCCAGGCACTCTCCCAAGAAAACGAGCAGCTGCGAGCACAAGTGGCCAGCCAGAGCCATGGACAGACGGCGAGCAACGGGGATGGGAAAGAAGACGCAGAGATGAAGGTCGCATAGTATGTATTTCGAATCGCTGGCTATCTGTCACTCATTGGTTCAGAACTCCTCCTGCTCGCGAAAAAACATGGTAAAGCTGATGATTGTGCCGTAGATGAGAAGGCCTCCGATGATACTCATTGCCATGGCTGGGATGGTGATTTGATCGCAGTGGGCGAGGACGACTGGGAGAGCTGAAGAAGATGGATGTTAGCGATTGTTTTGGCATGAGGTACACGAAGAAAGATTCAAGCGCAAAGGACGGCGCAGTGGCGTTGAACAGCAAGGACTGCTGCACAAATGGACATGCATAGTCAAGCTCGGCGCGCGCATCGAAGCACATCGCCAAAGCAGCCCAGTGCCAGCCACAAAATGCGACGAGACCGTACGATGAGAACACCACATACCAATTCCCATAACCACCAAGAATCCCGTCATGAACCTTCCCAACTCCACAATGCTGCTGCTCCCACTATCCATGAAATCATCTTGCGATTGCGCCTTGCCGCAGAGCCAGTTGGGCACGGGTGCGATTACGTAGGTTGCGACGACGAGGAGCGTGAGGTAGTTTTTGAAGAGCGCGGAGGAGAGGATGACGAGGAGGAAGCCGATTGCTAGGATCTATGATAGCTATTAGGATGGTGATCTACGAGGTGATTGTGGGGGTGGGCGCGTACGAAGGAGAGGACGATGATGGTCTTGAGGCCTGCCATGGCCGTGTGCTGCGGAGGGAGCGGAGGTTTTGCGCAGTGGTTGAGGAGGCTTTTGTCGTGGAGTTTGATGATTGCAAAGGTGAGGTTGGAGCTTGGGACAACGATATCGAGAGGGTTCCTTGTCGAATGGGAGTAGCAGAAGTGAAGTCGGCTGCCTTGACGTCGCTTGCTCGCGTGAGGCTCATCGGAAGGCGCACGAGCCATGCGACCTGGAGCTTCGCGTCCATCGCGGCCTGAACTGCATGTGAACGGCCATCCACCACGCAAACATCCCATCCTCCTTCTCCCATCCAGCGAAACATACAAATTGAACAACAGAACAAGAGAATACCGCCAAGATGTTCAGAAACAACTACGACAACGACTCCGTCACCTTGTGAGCACCGCAATGATCAGCACGATTCGATGTTTCCATCTAACAGCTTCACAGCTCTCCCCAAGGCCGCATCTTCCAAGTCGAATACGCACAAGAAGCCGTCAAGCAAGGTTCCGTCGTCGTTGGCATCGTCAGCAAGACACACGCAGTCCTCGCAGCACTCAAGGTATGGCAGGTTGATTCAAGAGATGAATCGATGCTGACGACTGTCCTCAGCGCAACGCAGAAGAGCTCTCCTCCTACCAACGCAAAATCATCCCAATCGACACGCATTATGGCATTGCCCTCGCCGGTCTCGCTTCCGACGCCCGAGTGCTCTCAAACTTCATGAAGCAGCAATCGCTGTCCTCCCGCCTCACATACGACCGCCCCATCCTCCTTTCCGAAATCACCTCCCGCATCGGTGACCGCGCTCAGACAAACACCCAGTCATACGGCAAGCGACCTTACGGCGTCGGCCTCCTCATTGCCGGTGTCGACGCCAAGGGCCCACATCTCTTCGAGTTCCAGCCGTCAGGTGTCACGCAAGAGATGGTCGCATGTGGAATTGGTGCAAGATCGCAGATGGCGCGGACATACTTGGAGCGGAATCTGGACAGCTTCGAGGACAGCAGCCGGGAGGAGCTCATCAAGCACGCATTACGGGCGCTGAAGGATAGTTTGAGCCAGGACAAGGAGTTGACCGTTGACAACACGAGTCTCGGCGTGAGTGGTGTGGACGAGCCGTTCAAGCTGTACGAGGGCCAGGAGATTTCGAGCTGGTTGGAGACGACGTTTGAGAACAGACCTGAGGGTCAGGAAGGTGGGGACAGCATGGCGGTGGATTCATGAGCGAGGCGGTAGATCGATGTATATGCATGATGAGACGCTTCGACTGTGATGGTGGTTGATTGGCGCGGACACCAGGTCTAACAGATGGTGCGAGCAATGCATCCCCAAATCTGCACAGCACACCGCGTGGCTCACAAACGGCCACTGCTGCATTACAATTGAACGACCCGTGTAGCAAGACTGAAATGTAACAGTACGAACCCACGATCAACCTCTCTTCCTCCCATCAACTCCACTCAACAACCTTCCCCGTCTCAGCACTCTCCCTCGCAAACTCAATACACCGAATAACATCCCTACTCTCCTCCGGCTTAACAACAACCTCCCTCTCCCCTCTAACAGCAGCCACAACATCACGATAAAAATCCGCATAACACCCCCTCAAACTCGGCACCCTCCCATCAAACTTCACCGCACTCTCACTACTCGGCGTCTCAAACTTCCCGTCGATTTCCTCCCTCGTCGTCAGATACCCATGATACCTCTCCGGCTCCACCCCAAACCCCTCATCCGTGACCTCCAACCCCTTCTCCAACAAATGCTCAATCTGCACATCTTCCCCATTCTTAATAAGCACCCCCTTCGTCCCCCGAACCCAGTACTTCAACGCGAAAGCAGGCGGCACAGGACTCACCGGCGTAGTCTTAATCGTACAGACCAAATCACTATCCTCATACTGCAAGATCATAGTAAACGTATCCCCCTCCACAACAAGCGACCTCACCACCGCAAAAACCCTCCTCGGCCGCCCAAACAGCACCAACGTCTGATCGATCGAGTGCGCTCCCAGACCGTACAACAATCTCTCCCCCGGGCCAAGAGGCTCCCTCGATCCCGATCCGTGGATCCAAGGCGGATCGTCGACGTCGTAGTGGTTTGCGAATTCTGTGATTTTGCCGAAGGCGCCCTGCGAGATGTGGTGGCGGAGGGTAAGAAAGTCGGAGTCGTAGCGTCGGTTTTGGTAGACTGTGAGGAGCTTTTGTTGTTTCTTAGAGAGGGCGATGAGGTTGTCTGCTTCGGTGGAGGTTGGGGTGAAGGGTTTTTCGACGACGACTGTTGTTCGGTATCCGTCAGTCATGGGGTCTGATATCTGGTAATGGGGGTTCTGACCGTGTTTCCCGGCTAGGAGGGCTTGTTCTGCGAACTCGGCGTGTGTGGCGGGATGGGTGCAGACGATGACGAGGTTGATTTCTTCGTCTGCGAAGAAGTCTTGGGCTGTTCGGTGGTGTCTTGCATTGGGGTGGTCGACGGTACAATGGACGCCTTTCTCGACGTTCGATTTATCTTTGGGAGCCTCTGCCCGTTGCAAAAAGGCGACGACTTCTAGATCGGGGTTGGGGAGGATGAATGGTAAGTGGAAGACTTTTGTTGACGAGCCGTAGCCAACGATGCCGACCTTAATGGGAGCCATTTTTGAGAAAGTTGAATAAAGGTGGATTCTTTCGAAAAAGGATTGCGAGAGAGGTCCTATAGCTTCTACAAGCTACATAGTATGAGTGCTGCTTCGGATAAGTTGCCGTGAACTCCGTTTAGGCTGAAGTACATATGTATGCCAAGTATTAAGAGCTTCGTTATCATGCTGGAAACGTGCTAGCAGGGGAGTGCTCGCAGCGTGTACGAGAGAGTATCAGGATGGCCGGGCAAGCTGAACAGGTCAAATGGGAAGGCGGAAGCAGATCTAGCTTTTTCTTGCCAGGCTGCGGAACAAGCTGTTCGATACAAGCGGTCTTGACGTATGGAATGAATGAATTCGATACTCACATAACTCAGATATTCCAGAGCGGGGGATTGGGTTGAATTTGAAGTTGAGGGGTTTGCAAAATGTCGCTGAATTGGTGTACGGCGGGTATCATTTCTTCTTCCCTCCTGCTCCAGACGAAGCGCTCGCACTGCCTCCAGCAGGTGCAGACCTCCCAGCCATCCAGCCAGCAAGATCAAAGTTCTGAAGTTGGTTCGCAGCACCTTCGCTGCCCATGAGCGGGCTCTTCTTCTGCATCTCCTCGAACTCAGCCTTGGCCTCAGGATCCACTGCAGCATGTTAGCAAACCTCACAAATCCGTGCTGCCGGCGACTCGACGTACTGTTATCCATAATATACGGCATCCCAAAGATCAAAACCCCCGACCCTAGCGCCATCAAAATCATCGGGTTCTTAAAGAAGCTCAACAAATTGAACCCTCCTCTGACCATGTAGAAATCCTTCTGCGAGATTGGGCTCACCGCGATCGTAAGATCCCCCTTGCCGGTCCCATAGCTCGGTCCCTTGTTACTCCACTCATTGCCTCTGAACGTCTGCCATGCGCTTATCGTCTGCGCAGTCTCATCTGCCGCCTTCGAGACGTCGACTCGTAGTGGTGGGAAGAAGTGGTCGCGGGCGTGGAGAGTGAGCAGGTAGCTTGCGTCTGGGATGTCTTCGAAGACGAGGGTGTTGTCTCTGCGGATTGGTGCGTCGTAGCGCACACCGGGTGGGCCCAGTAGGATGGCGTGTGTTGATGATGGTAGAGTTGATGGGTTTGGGAGGAGTTGAGAGGATGGGATCGAGACGACGAGGCGGGCGGCGGAAGAAAGAGCTGCGCCTGCGAGCAGAAGCAGGCTTTTGGGGGCGAGCATCTTGATTGCGCTGGATATTACATCGCTCTTCGATCAGATGTTGAAGTCGAAGTCAAGAGCTCGAGCCTCGTCGTCGGCTGCGGAACGAGCCGAAACGCCTTCGTCGAACGTCACCTCTCGACATCCCACTCGCGGATGAAGTGTGAAGTATCAAGGTTCTGTGGCAGATCTCGCCCTTTGGCAAAGACACGATAAAATTCGCAAGAATCGTCAACAGTTGTGATTCAGTCTTATGACCAGGGATTTCGCAGCACAGAAACGGACACATTCCCTTTGACTATCGTGCGAATCGCGAAATAGATTCCCAATGCATGCTCCCACAGGCCTACTTTCTCTCCCCCGCGAACTGCGCGACCAAATCTACCCCTACTTAACAACCGCAACCTGGAACCCCCAATCCTCCCTCCGCATAATCCCACCCCCATCCAGCGACGGCCAACTCTACTTCTGGCCCGAGCACGCCAAATGGCAACCCATAGCCCTCCTCTCCGTAAACCGCCAGCTCCGCTCCGAAGTCCGAGACTTCATCGCCAGCCAACACAAAACGGGAAACGTACGCTTGGAACTCGACATCTGCGTCAAGGGATACGTCTACACCCCAACGTGGACATTTCTGAACTTCGCCTTCAGACCGAGGGATTCGCTGGATTTACACGTCAACCTGACACTCTTCAGCACGGAAGCCTTCCGTCGGAATGATGGCTGGCCGAGACAGCCCGGACAGATCTTTCGCGCGTTGCTAAATTTCCTGAATCGATTTATTTACAGAGGCCCGAGTTTTCTGGACAGTGATCCTCCATTCGAGACGCCCGGACCGCATTTCATCAAGACGCTGTCGGTGGATGTCACGTTTCAGGATTACTACACGATGGATACGTGGCCGGAGACTGTGCATGAGGTTTTTAGGATGCTGAAGGCTTTGACGATGTTGAATACGGCGGGGAGATATATTGGGAGGGTGGAGGTGAGGGTCATTTACAGCCACGGCTTGCGAGCGGTTCATCGGCAGGCGGGTTGGGATGTGAGACCTGCAGGTGCGGATGCTACGACTCCGGCTCTTTTCAAAGAAGACGATTGGGCGCGGATAGGCTTCTTCTTCGGCGATGCGTGGCTCGAACGCCAGCGAGTACCGAGAAGCTTTCAGTCGAACGTAGGAGAGACGATGCTAAACAGTTGAGACTTTTGCTTCTTTGCATTGATCTCGTACTGCTCGTCGATAAACCAAAAACCCATGTATCCGAAGACTCTTCCAAATGCCCATGCTGATGCTAGTGAACGCTCACAGTGCCGCTCCAAGACCCTTGCATAGCCACCGTATCATCGTGAACCTTTCCTTTGAACGCCGTTCTAATGCCCGTGTAGAGACTGGTTTGCGTATCCTGACCTCTATACCAACCTCGCCGTCGCGCCGCTGACATAGCTCTTTCTTTTTCTGCGCCCACTTTCACGGGTCTCCAGAAAAGTTTCGCCTGTCCGCCTGCATCTGCTTTGAATGGCTGTCCCATGCTGGGACCAGGCCATCCGCATATCGATGTATGCATAGCGGGCGACAGTCGAATGCCTTTGGATCGAAGTGCTGAACCCAGCTTCTAACAGTCTCATTCAGCCCATATTGTCATCACCGTCCTTGTCAACCGTCCTTGCTTTTGCTGCTTTCGAGCCCACACTCCCCTTAGAAGCTGCTTCGCTCTCAACCAAGCTCGCGCTTTCGGACTCTGACGTGCTCGACTCTTCAATGTCATAGCCATCCGTTCGATCCACCAGGCTTTGATAGTACTCCTCGAGCACTTCAGGCTTCGGCACAATACGCCATTGGACCCTCTGTAGGAACTCAAGTTCCAGCGTCGCCAGCTCAGATACTGGGATGCCTCCTATGCGAGCGTAAGTAGGGTTCGTCCAGAAAGAGTCGCTGAGTCCTTTGGCTGCAACCGTGGCTGCAGTGATGAGAAAACGATGCACAGTCAGGCTGTTGATCGTAAACGCCGAGTACATGTTACATAAACGGTCGATGTAGTACACCATGCTGAGCAATATGGGAGGTGAGAGCGTTGCGTGCTGGATCAGTCGCTGCAGGTAATCAGAGACGCTGATCCCGGGAGGAGCTCTGGAATGGAACCTGGTCAGTCGGCCATCGCGCAAAGGTATCCTATCGTTTATGCGGATGAGCTCCATGAGCATGTTGGATATGAGAACGCCCAGATCCTTGGGGTTGCACGTCTCGTATTTGGCCGGCATAATCTTGACCGTCCCCTCTGCTTTTGACCGCTTAGGTGCAGCTGAATGGCCATGCGTCGAGCGTGCTTCTTCCGGCTCTGGGTCAGTCGACGAAGTGTCTGTGGCAGGGTCTGCCCTCACACGCGGCTCTGCGGGAGCTTGCGAGGTGCGTGTTTGTGAGGCGCCGGACGAGGCGCTGGCGGAGGTCATCGACGAGATGGAGGATGTGTCTGCAGGCGCGGCGTCCTTCCTCTTGCGCGCGCCGCTGGGCGTCGAACCCGGAGGCCTCTCCGCAGCGGCGGCCACTTTGCGACCAGCGGTGGGAGGATAGCCGTCCGGGCTGTACTGGGTGGCAGCATCTACGTACCCGGAAAAGCTGGACGCTACCGGGCCGCTCTCTACGAAGTGCTGGAGCTGCTTGGGCTGGTGGGCGGCGCTGGCGGGGGCTGGCGCATTAAAAGTGCGTCTCGGCGAGCTGGAAGGATAATGGCGGGGTGAGCTGCGCGGCGGAGGAGCGAAGGCGTTGCGCGGCGACGGGGCGTGGAAAGAGGATCGTGGAGAGGCGGCGGGCGAGGGAGAGGAGCTTATGGCGGTAGACATGAGGTGGGAGACCAGCGCTGCCCCTGGTAAAAAGCGTAGCCAATGTAAGGCGAGATCAGGAACAGGCCGGCGGATGTCGCACTGGAGTCGTGGAGCATTTTATTGGCGTGCGATTGGTCGGAATAGACGAGCGACTCGAGTGGGTTCAAGGGCAGGGCAGGCGTGCATCGAGCGAGGAAGAGCAGCAGCGATGGGTTGAGCGTGATGACGAGCGAGACCGGCAGTATATAAAGTGCCCGCCACTCGAAGCGCTCCCTCTCCTCACGTGTCCGAGTGCGCAGCCCTGGCGGGTTCTGGCGGCAGAAGAGACGCTCGCCAATGCTGCCGATTCGCGCGGCGTTTACGTGGGCGAGTCCAGAGGTCGGCGGCGGGCAGCGCAAACTCGGAAAAGTCTGCACTCGTCTTGACGGAGGAGAAAACTTCGACGAAGTATATCGTCGTCAGGACGCAGAGAAGACTTCTCGGGCGACGAAGTGGTACCGAGCTCGTCATAACACCATCCCTGCGCAGAACCGTCGTTCGTCGAACAACTAAGAACGTTTCATTACAACAAAATCTACCTTCAGCCATGACTCCTTCAGACGAAACACCCTGTGTGTTGTAAGGCATACAGCGTCGCGTACGAATGGGGAGAAATCGAACATTCAGTATTCACTCACTGTCGAATTATTTGTTGGTTTGTTTATGGTAGGTGTAGCCTCCATGTCGCGACTTATGTCAGCTCCACCATTTTGTCATCGCTAAGCGAGGCCCTCCTCCAACCTCACTTGCCTCGATTGCTGCAAGGCTGCTAGATCCATCAACACTCCCATTTCCCATCACTACATCGGCATCCAGACTGGCTAGACTGCACATGTGAGCGTATTCACTTGCCACTCGCTGAGTCGCCGAAATGGTTCAGGCCCCATCGTTTGATGCTATCGCAACCCTGGGCGATGTCCACGCACCCATCGAACAGAAGTTGGAAGTCGCCAGGAAACTCAAGAACATCATCGTTGGCCAGGATCAGCGGAAAGAACTGGCTGTGAAGAGCGGTATCGTCCAGCCACTTGCTGATATCTTGTCGGCTTCGATCAAGGCAACCGGGAAGCGGAAGCTAGATTCTAATGGTGTCTCTCTCTATCGAGCACAGGAATGGACCCAAGAAGATGAACTCAGGCTTCAAGCTACACTTATCATCGGAAGCCTCGCTGCGGGTGGCCAGCAGTTCTTGCACCCTTTATGTGCTGCCGATGTTCCAAAGATTCTTGTAGACATCCTTCTAAGCGACGTTGGACCCCGACTGGTCACTGCTACCCTCCAAGCCCTTAAAGCGCTGGCAGCTTTCTGGGCAACCTGCGAAGAGAACAGCATCGACTACGACTTCTGGTCAGCTTTGTTCAATGTTCAAAGCTTGGAGATTTTCAATGGTCTTCTTTCCAAAACTACCGCTTCAACTGCCAGCAAGCAGGAGCTTAGGCTCGTCGCTGATACCATCTCTGTCCTGCCGGATTCTGCGAACAGCACCAAGTCTCTGATCACCAACTGTGGCTTGCTGGATACACTCGCCTCTCTGCTTGTCTCTCATGCTGCAGATAAGCTGGTCTGGTACACCGGCGATACGTCGCACCTTGCTGCACCTCCGCCAGCCACATCGCTCCCCAGCATTCTTGCTGCAATATCGACCGTAATTGCAGGCTCGAACTACCGCACACAACGCTTCATACTCGCATCGAATGTTCGAGACCTATTCATGAATGCTAGGTCTGACGCCAGCGACAACCGCGCAGGATTTGGGCCTCGCCATGGCTTTGCCAATCCTTACGAAAGCCTGCTTCCACCGTTGCATGTACCTGCGTATAGGACCGTATCGCACAACCCCGGTTCTCACAACTTTCCCGCGATGAAGACCATGCAGAACGGCAAAAATGGCAGCGGTTCTTCGGACGCTCCTCAGCCTACTGGCGATATCGACCACTCGAACGCAGTTGTGGGCTGGCTGTTGGTTCTTGTGCGGTCCATGCAAGGGCTGGATAGGCTCATAGCGTTGAGACTCCTTGCACTTGTGGGTAACGCGATTGAATCAGACCCTGTTGGCTCTTCCCACAAAACGGAATTCTCGCAAAAGACACGAGAGCGACAGAAACAGATCGCACTTCTGGCGGTACCGCCGTCCGTCAGGCTCGTCCAAGCCGCAAATGATGGAAAGAGCTCTGATGGCATCGAAGAGGAGAAGGACAGTCACGGCATCCGTGAGCTTGCCTGTGCTGTGCTTGCACTTCTTATTGAAAGAAGCGCGGCACTGCAAGTCGCTGCTGTAGACGCTGGTGCAGTCAAGCATGTATGCCCGATTCTGAAGAAAAGCTTCGACAACATCTCATACGCCAAGCCAATGTGGTCAAGCAAACCCAGCGTATTCGATCATGCCAACCTATCAGAGACCTGTCGTTTGGGTACAACCGCCATTCCGCCCGAGATCTTCCATGCCATGCGTTGTCGTCAAGGCGCTCTCAAAGCTTTGGAAGCACTCGCCGCTAAGGAAGACATCCACCGAAAAGCTATCATTGAGTCTGGCGTGGTGAGTTGCATCATTGACTCGCTGAAGCCATTTCCACCAAACGCTGCAGCAGATGCATCCAAGAACCGCTCTCAGGTCGCCCCGAAGGATGGCAATACAATACCGGTCATTCTTGCGGCCTGTGGTGCAGCGCAGTCCATGTCGAGGAGTGTCAGCGTATTGCGTACCAGCTTGATCGACGGCGGGATCGCAAAGCCTCTCATCGTCCTGCTCAACCACTCATCCTTGGATGTTCAAGTTGCTGCGACGGACGTCTGCTGTAACTTGTTACCAGACTTTAGCCCAATGAGAGATGACCTGTCCGAGGGCAACGTTGTCAAGATTTTAGTAGAGCATGCGAGGAGCAGCTCGCCTCAATTGAAGCTCTCCAGCCTCTGGGCACTCAAACACCTCGTATATGGCTGCCCAAAGGAGGTCAAGCTCCAGACTTTGGAAGAGCTCGGGACTGGCTGGTTGGTGGACATCATCCAAGGCGAGCAACAAGACGCGCCACCCGCTGCACCTGGCGGTGGAGTGAGCGTTGGTCTCAGCACACCGAATGCTGCTGGAGAACAAGTCAATCTGCTCAACCCATCATCAATGGATGTGGACGAACCAAGCACGACCGTGGAGGAGGCCATGGATGATGAGGAGGACGACGGCGAGGTCTTGTATGATGAGGCATCGAGCACTCATTACCGCTCATCCCAGCTTCGCTCAACGGTGAATCCGCCTGTGCCAGCCTTCAACAGCAAGAAGTACCTCTCTTCAATACGCGAAATGGAGCAGAACGATGAGTACGCATCCCGCAAGGACGAGATTACGATCCAGCAGCAGGCCCTTGACTTCTTGCGTAACCTCATGAATGGCGATGACTGTGCTGCGTTGGCCGACCACATCATGCATCAAATCGGCAGCGCTAGAGTCTACGAACTTCTCACCTCCAAACTCTCTCCTCTCCCTCGCTCAGTGACCGGAGGCCGGCAAGTGTACAACCCAACTGAACTGGTTCTTAGCACGATCCACGTCGTCATTCACCTCGCCAACGCCTCTCCCCGACATCGCCAGATGCTGATCGCCCAGAAAGCTCTGCTCCAAGCCATGGTCCCTCACTTCAACCACCTCGACCACCGTGTTCGTGTGATGTGCGTCTGGGCAGTCAACAGCCTTACCTGGGTCGAAGAAGACGGCGACCGCCGCGATGCCCGCGCAAGAGCACAGGAGCTCAAGGCCCTTCAGATCGAGCAAGCCGTCCGAGGATTGCAGAATGACCCGAACCTCGATGTGCGCGAGCGAGTCAAGACCGCTCTTAGGCAGTTCGATCAGTTCTAGCCAGACGATCGTTTCATGGGCGACACCGATGGTCTGAACGCTGCACAGTTGCTCTTCGCTCGTCGAGCGTCGCCAATGCCCGGACAGGAACGGGGTGAGGCCTTGTCTTTTGTGGCATTGGCTTCTAGGAGTCGGTTTTTGGAGGAACCCCTTTGAGATTGGAGGGTTTTGGACCTCAGGGTATGGATTGGAGAGATATATTTACGTAGGAACAGCCTCTGTATGCAGCAGGAGTGAACATAGCACTCGTGCAGTAGTACTGTATTGCCAAGGTACATTCTTGCGCATGAATGCTTGCCGTCTCTACCGACTCTTTGCACCGCCTCTCAACCACAACGTTGCATCGTCGTGTGCTCTTCCTCACACCGTTCCGTGAGTAATTCAGCCACGGCTACCGGGCGCCTCGGGGATGCACATTCAGTTAAGGAACTTCAGTCTTGCTGAAATGCCTCGTAGTACAGTCGTCGCATCTCGCCACATATCCGCCGCCGTATCTCTCGATGTAGAACTCAAAATCCTCTCCACAGTGGCGACAGAACCTGATTGCATCGAACTCGGCGAGCTGGGCAGCAATCTTGTTGCCGATGCTGTTCTGTGCTGCCACAACAGTGGCTTGGCTGATCTGCAGATGCTGAGACAGTCGCTCTGTCTCTGCCTTGTACCATGCAAGGTTTTCTTCGACAGGCTTCAGCTGCTCTGCTGCCGCCGTGACTTCTGATTGAGCGCTGCCGAGCTGTTGTGAAAGGCGCTGAATATCGTCCTGCAGTGTCTTGACAACTTCGACGTGCGACTTCTGCTCGTATTCGAGATCCTCTTGATGACGATGGGTAAGCCCCAGCATGAACTCAGCGGTGAAGTCCTGGAGCTCTGGGTTGTCGACGACTGCTTGTACGAACCAGCCATCCTTGAGCAGAGTCTTCTTCTCGTCAATGCAGAAGTCGAGAATCTCGTAGCGGAGACATTCATCGGAGACAGGAGTGTTGCTGTAGATGGCTTCGAGGATTCGAATGAGTTGGTCGTTGCAAATGGGCAGCAGCGATGACTTGCCGGCTTGGAAATACTGCAAAGCAAGTGCCTCCAGATCGGGGAGCTCGTAGTAGTCCGCAATAGCGTAGACATGGACATGTTGCTCAAGGACGTCGATGGAGGATGAACTGTCCTGCACGTAATCTTCTAGCCGCAACTCCTCGAAGCTCTTGGACTGGAACGGGCCCATGAAGCTGATCGCATGGTAGATGTTTGGCTCATTGGGATTTCCTTCATCTTGCTCGATATGCCAAGTGGGTTCAAATCGGCACCAGCGCGTGCCTCGTGAAGAGTCCTCGGCGTTCGAGGTGAGCTTGATGGAGTATCTGCCGCGGTAGATGAACTCTAGCATTCGCTCTAGAGTGTCGACGTCGAAGACGGCGTGATTGACGATTCTGGTATCAGCTTCCTGGTCTCGATCAGCCCAGCTTCCCCTTCGAAACAGGTTTACTTCTTACCAAGAAGCCTCCACTGCACTCCCTGTCCAACACCTTGGAGCGCGAACAAACGATTGCGCGATGCACTTTGAAGCTCTTCCCGCCGCATCTGATCTCGAGGTCGGCGTACTTGGGGTCATGTAGAAGAGCGCCGATATTGCTAGCGAGCGCCGCCATCTTGATCGTCAGTTCCGTGTGTTTGGTGTGGTGGTGATGAGGCCCAGTCGATCCTACTCGTTGACAAGCGTCAAAAGCTAGGCAGGGCTTGGCAATCAGATGTTGGGCAGGCGCGCTAACTTGCAGGGATGCGGAGAGGAAAGAGCGGCAACGAGTTCAACTCCTGAAATGCTCACTTTTGCAGTGATATTCGCCAATGGAATGAGACCTAACTCACCGATTCCTTGTTATACCTGGAATGAGGACGATGATAGCTTTGACATCGATAACAGGTGCAGGTAAACGGCAGCGGGACATTGGCAAGCAGGGAAATTGAACGTCTGTAGAGGTGCAGCAAAAGGTTGATCAGTCGTGGAATTGCTAAGTTCATGTTGTCATTCACATACCAACCGGCTCGTGTAATGCTCAAGTTCACATTAGCGTCAGCATCTCAGTGTCAATTTCGGTCTCGTCACTTCACAGGAGCCTGCCCCTTCCCCTTCGTCGACGCCGACACGCCCTGCGCAATCTCATTCGCCGCCCCGATCCAATTATCCGGATGATTTTTCCTCGCCGCCACCAAAACCCTCAGATAATCCTCCCGCACCTTCTTGATATCCTTGAACAACACCGGCCGATCAGCCGCCACATCCCAGTAAAGCTCCTCCGCCTCAAACAAGACATTTTGCAAATCATCCCGGATTTGTCGAAGACGATTCGGGAGACCTTGGCCCTTCATCAAAGCCAGCGCGCCGGCGATGACTGTTGAGACAGCTCCCAAGACCGCGATGGCGATGTGGTAGTTCGAGCGGATGCTGCCCAGAATGATGAAGATGGCGCTTAGTAACAGCTGCACGCCCATCAAGACATATGTTGCAACGTCGAAGACTCGGTACTTCGTCTGGACATATGTGTGGTGTTTCAGGACCGTCTCGTACAGTCCGTTCTTCGTTCCTAGCTTCTTCGGCATCTGGCCGTTGTTCGGTGGGTTCATGCCTATCAACTCGTAAAAATGCGGTTTCGTTAAGGGTGTCATGTTGTCGTCTAGTCGGTCGGCGGCTGGGTCTGGGTCCATCACTTTCGGGGCGTGCTGGAAGATGGAGACCTTTTGCGATGCTGGGGTTTGGGGAGGGAGAGTAGCTTGTCGTTTGGCCATTGCGCTGCTCTTCGGTTGCCCTGCTTGCTGTGTTGTGCCCTGCTGCTGTTGTTGTTGTTGCTGGGGGTGTCCCTGGGGCGAATCTTGCGGGAGCTGTTCATATCGTTGGTTCTGCCTGAGACTGCGTGATGATGCCGAGGGATGCTACATAGAAGAAACGTCAGTGAAGTTGATGTGAAGGTCTGAGGGGATCAATCATACCAATATCAACGAGCTCTGCTGGGGACTCAATGCCTGGCCTGCTTTTTCACCATAGTCATGTGGGCCCTTCTCAAGATCACTCGCAACGTGTCGTATACTCTGGTTACCATAGATACTACCTCTCCACGATCGCAACGAATTCGACAAGTCTTTCGGCAGCTCGTGCATATTGCTTGATTCTTACAGTCGGGCGACGAGGTAGAGAGCACGGCGACGACAGCCTCTGATAAAGAGACGTGAGATCAGCTCCGTCAGCCATTTCGCTAGAGGCTGGAGGTCGCGATCTGCGAACCGGTGTTCTTGTGTTGGCGCTCCGTACAAAGAAGGATTCAGCCGCGGGCGCTCACGCTCTCGAATGGAGGTGGGTGAGTGGTCAGGCGTCGTTGCCCTAGACAACGACCGGTGTAAACAACACTTTGGTGGACGGGGAAGAGAGGCATCACGAACAGCAAGTGAAAGCCTGATCATCTCGGGCCAAATGAAAGCAATGTCAGTAACTCGCAGGCTATGTGAGATGCAGTGCTATACCATCAGGAGGCTATACTTTTTTGGATCGTGGTCCCACAAGAGTGGTACGTATGAAACACCACCCAGCTGGACTTTGGAACTTCGTCACATGGATGCGCCCACTTCATGCCTTTTCGAATCTCTGGGTTATACGTTACACAGTGGTCCACCCTCGTCGTTCCGATCAAAGCGGTATGACACGGCAATAACGACCTGGCACCGTCCCGACTTCTCTCCATATTTCAGAGCGACTAAGCTCTATGTCTTAGTATCCATCCGGCTTTCCATCGTGGACTTGCATGAACCACCGCGAACGATACTCAAGCCAGATACGGCGATTAACTGAGCGTGAGCTTCTTCTCGCCCTGTCTGGGTTGAATTGGCTAGAGAGGGTCAGTGAAATTGGGAACGTACCGCGAATGCGGAGAAAAACTTACCAACTGCTTTTGAACCGTCTCCAGCGGCGTGGTAGCTGTGACAAGGGGAAGGTCGTTTGCAGTGAAGTGAGTCCTGTACGGCTTTCCAGGGAACAGGAAACTCTGAGGAAATCCAACATCGAACGGCTCCGAGTCGTCGATATCGTCAATCTCCTCTTGGGTCAATTCGACTCCCAAAGCTTCGATGTTTCCCTTGAGGTGCTCGACCTTTCTGCCACCCACGATGGGGAAGACATAAGGAGCCTTGTGCATTACGTATGCAAGAGCGATGCTGGTGACCGCAGTCTTCTTCTTCTTGGCAAGTTCATCGAGCTTACCAGCTAAGCGGGCATATTTCTCGCCCTGAGGAGCCGCTTTTCGACCATCTCGATTCGGATCATCGAATTCCTCCTTGCTCTTGAGCTGTCCACGACCAATAGCTCCCCAAGGAGCAATACCCATGCCCTCCGCTTCACACTATCCACGCAGGGAGAATCAGCAATACTTCGCGGATCTCAGGGCGCCATAGACTGTCACTCACCATCGGAATGATGTCTCTTTCGAAGTCTCTGAAGGCGAGGCTCCAGTGCCCTTGATATACAGAGAACTGAGTGAGACCATGGAAACGAGCGTAGTCGTTGCACTTGACAACGAGCCAGGCGGGCGTGTCGCTGATCCCGAGGTAGATCACCTTGCCAGCCATGACAAGCTGATGAAGGCTGTTCATGAGCTCAGGGATAGAAGTCGTAAAATCCCACCAATGGAGGTACAATAGGTCGATATAATCGGTCTGTAACTTCTTCAAGCTGGCCTCGACCGATACCCTCAAGCTTTTGGCGTGGTTGCTTCGAATCGGTCAGCAGAGTCAAAAATGTCTCTGACAGTCCTACCCACCCTTGGAAATTGGACTTGATCTTCTCATTGGCGCCCATGGTCCGGTAACCAGTCGTGAACTTGGTGGCAATGACCATCTGATCGCGGTTATTGTTCTTCTTCATCCACTCTCCGATCCAAGTCTCGCTCTCTTCGGCTTGGTAGTTGTTCGCTAACCCAAAATGTCAGCTTTGCATTGACGACACAGATTTGATGTCCGCCGGCAAGATGCTTTTCTCAGACCAATCTTGGCGGGATATATCGAGCCGGGAACGAACGAGTTGAGCAGTGAGCAGCGAGGGAAGGACAGCACGAACCAGTATCAATGAAGTTGCCCCCGTTCTCATAGAAGAAGTCCAGCATAGCGAAACTAGTCTCCTTGTTGCATTCACCGAGGGCGTTCTTCCAAGCATCTCCGAAGTTCATTGCTCCCAGGCATAGTGGTGAGACTCGGACGCCAGCCGTGGCCGATAGGATACGGTGGAAGCCGAGAAGACTTTTTGGTTTTGGAGCGGGTGGGAAGAGTGAAGACATTTTCAATGTTCGTGCTAGACTTGACTGACTGGCGATGGAAAGTATACGTCTGATGTTGTTGTGAAGAAGGATACTTGCTAACGAAAGGTGGAGTGATGTCCCATCTATCTCGGTCTTTACCGATACGTCCGTCCGAGGGATGCTGTCTTCGACTCTTGCTCAACCAATGGATCTTGTAACATCCATATTATCGAACGCCAAAGACAGTGTGGACGACTCTGCTGCGGCCGCTTCACCCTCTTCACACCAACGAGCAATACCTCAAACGACGGGATTCGTCGCTCTACACTGGCATACAACGAGCATTTAAAGTTTGATAGATGACGTGCCGGGCGGATTGAGCTCGCATCTTCTCCCTCTCACCACCACCACTACTCGATGTCCGTTTAGTTACGGTGCCATCAACTTCATCAATGTGATGACCATTACAGACATCGACAAGATCTTGATGGGGCTCGGTCCTGGCGGCATTGTCGGCATAGCACCCCTTAACATCGTTGACATGGGCTGCAGTGCGGCCGCCTCTGCCGAAGTCGAGAAGCAGCTTTACTTTCTTCGACGCACTTCCAAGTGTCATTTTCGACGGCAGTCAAGAGTATGTTTCCTAGTGACAGGACTCGCTGATGGCATGCAATTTTGTTCCGCAATACTTGGCCCCCGTCATTGCCGAGTGGGCAATCCGATGCACAGGGCAGGGGATACCTGCCATGCCACGCGCTTTCTACTGATACAACAGACAGAACCCGAGGAGCAGTCCGTCGCCGCTCATGAGGTCTTGGTACGTACAAAGTCTCGAAATCGTGGTAGAGAACACCTCATCTTCAGAGTCACAATGACCTCAGGACGATGCTATGGCACGAGGACGATTGACCGATGACTTTTATACTGCCTTTGGGTACTGCACATCTCATCGGAATCTCCTCTCCAACGCTCTCGCCGACCCGAACCTGTTCCACGGCAGATCGACGCGTTTCACTGGCTCGGGATAATTGTGCAGCACAATGTACATCTTCCCCACGCGCGCCAGCCTTGTGCCTTGTGACTTTCTTTCTCTCCGATCTCCACCTCCTGTTCGACCTACCATGGCACTGCACGTATTCTCTGTGTACTTCTCGTGGACACAACACGCGACCAAAAGCACCCATCTCATCACCGGAGATCTTCTCTTCACACCTGCAGGCTGACGGCATCGCGGAATCGATTCAGCCAATTCCTGCTGCCCTGAAAACGACCCTCGAAAATTCGCTTCAAGATGACGGAGAACTTTCAGCCAGAAATAAAGATTCCTGCCAATCAAGCGAAAGCGTCCCAGAATCTGCAACAACAACATCATCAAAAGGATTCCCCGAGCAGGAATAAAAAAGCCCACTACTGCCCACTCCCAGTGCCCGCAAAACATGAAATCTGACCTGACCTGACAGCCGCCAGCGCATCTACGCATCCTTTCGACAAGGATCCAGTCAGGTTCGCGCGCAGGAGACGCCCTGATTCAATTGGACCACAGACGCAAAACTCTCGTCTCCCATTTCCGCTCGTGCACCTCTCTTACAAGGCACACCGCACGACCTATTGCAGTGCAACGACCTGCTGACTGTCGATCTCGTGTTCCTCGCGAATGGGCGAATTTCTGGTCCACCATCGTCATGATCCGTCGCTTCGCAGGTTGCAACGTGACTGAGACCTCACGCGAGACCCCCTTTGGCATCGTATATTCACCAACGCCAACACCGCCAATTGTCGATCCCTAAGAACGACCCCCTTCGGATCTTCCATGCCGAACCAAGCCGAGTGCGATTCAAGGCTATGCTGGCCAGCTTCACCGACGTCAGATGCGCCGAGCGCTGATGGGGGCAGAAGCGGGTCTACGCTCTCCTGTGTACAGACTCCTGTCCGTGAATAAGACAGACAGGTTGGTCGTATATTAAAGGGCCCTTGTAACCGCCGTGAACGCCCGCCCTGTAGTTCGACGCTTACTTCCAAGTGGTGAGCCATTCGAAACACAATCCTCCTTCTTAGTGCAGTGAAGCTAGAGTGTTTCATATTCACCTGGCTGCCATTCTTGGCGCTCTTTGCAGTATTCACCTATTCTTCGGCTTTTTTTACCTATTGTTGGGGTCGACAATAGCCGCTGGGCTCTTTATATACCGTGGGTTTGGTGGTTTGATGTGGTTGACTTTGTGTTCTGCTAACAAGAAATAGATCTGGATTGGACTCATCAGCTCTCTTACTAACGACTCAACGCTTGTTGGTTCGACGTCTGATAGTGCCCGTCATCCATTTGGCCAGTCCGAGTATCGATAGAGCAACACCTACAACGTCGAAAGAATCAGAACCGGCATCATGTTGTCGCTACTAGCAAAGACCGCCTCGGTCTTCGCCCTCTTGCTCAACACCATCAACGCAGCACCACTCGAAAAGAGGGCAACAGACCTCAAACCTGTCATCACCACCGACGTAAGTCCACCACCCTCTGAATACCCTCACAGATGAACTCACACCAACCCTCAGTTCCCCGACCCAACCATCATCAAAGTCGGCAACACTTGGTACGCCTTCGCCTCGCAATCCGCCTACGACTACAAAGACATCAAAGTCCAGCTCGCCACCTCCACCGACTTCAACACCTGGACCGTCACCGGCAAAGACGCCCTCGGCTCCATGGCGCCTTGGGTGAAAACCGATGGTCCGGCGGTGTGGGCTCCTAGCGTCAGCCAGCGCGCGGATGGGAGTTTCTTGATGTATTACTCCGCCGTGACCAACACCGCTGGCAACGGGGCTTATCACTGCGTTGGCACCGCGACGAGTGATTCGGTCGAGGGTCCTTATAACTCGAATTCTGACGAGCCGTTCGCGTGTCCCATCGATCAAGGCGGAGCCCTCGACGCATCCGCTTTCATCGACACCGACGGGACGAATTATGCTCTGTACAAGGTCGACGCAAACTCCAAAGGCCACGGAGGCGTGTGCGGGAATACTGTCGAGCCCATCGTCAAGACTCCGATCATGATCCAGAAAGTCCAGGCGGACGGCACGACCAAAATCGGCGACCCCGTCGAACTGATCCACAACACCGATCGAGACGGCCCACTTGTCGAAGCTCCGTACATGATTCGCAACAGTGACGGAGTTTACATGCTCTTTTTCTCGTCCAACTGCTACACATCCGCGGACTACGATGTTAGTTACGCGACGAGCTCGTCGCCGACGGGACCCTTCGCGAAGACCACGACTCCATTGTTCGTCACAGGGGTCTTGGGAACGATCGGGCCGGGCGGGGCGTCGGTTGCGAGTGATGGGACTTCGATGGTGTTGCATGGTTACGAGAATGACCAAAAGGTTGGAAATGTGAGGTCGATGTTTGTCGTGAGCATTGCCCCGCAGGGTCAGAAGGTGCTGCTGCAACAATAGGGCCTTTCGAGCGAGGGCATTTGATGCATTGATGAGATATGATTAACGATGTGACGAGGAATGCGCTACGAGATACGCCCAGATAGCGACCAGCTGTTGTATAGGCCTGTATCCAATTCATGAACTCAAGAGGTCTTTGAGATCAGGACATCGTACACATTGCTGTCGCTGTTTCATTTCGAAGTTGCTCTGATCCCTCCCTCCCAGATCTCGAAGTCTGTCTTCGATTCGCCACACCATGCGCTGAAGACGATCTTGCATGATCGGTTCCATCCGATCAGATTTCTTTCATCTCCAGCATTGTAAGCTTTGTCTTCGTGGATGGGCTCCTTCAGCAGTGCTATTCGAGTGGAGAGCTGATTCGTCCATGTCAGGCCTAGACTCGGTGTTTTGAGATTCGTGACTGTCGGGTCGTCTCCCCAGCCAGTAGAGAAACGTTGCTGATGATCAATCGCAAACGGGTCGTCGGTTGATAGCATCGTCGGTGTTGGCTGGGAGGGCATCTGTTGGGGAAGGGAAGGCATTGGCGAAGCTGGTCGGATAGCCTGAGTTGACTGACTGACTGCATGAAAGGTGTTGGGTTCTATAGTAGTGAAGCGATCTGCCACTTGGTTCGCAACGACAACAGCGATGTTGTGGGTTTGAGCCAGGTTGCGGAGGAGCGCTCCGATCTGAGCAAGATGGTTGCTGCGTTTGGCGAGAGCTTCTACGCTCTTGGATTTGCCACCTTTGTCGAACTCGGCTCGATAGTTGGCCGCGATGCTGTCAATCACCAGCAAACCGACGTTGTGTCTTTGAATGGCGACGGGGACCTGGTATCGTAGAATATGCTCCTGGGCTTCAACATCGTGAATGTGTGTGCTCTGGACACGGCTCAAAGACGGCCTCTGGTCCGGTGGTAGAGGAGATAGTCGAGGATGATTCTTCAATATCTGAGTGAGTCGTGTTGTTTGAAGAGGGGCTTCCGTGGAGATGTATAGTGCCGAACGCTGAGCGCCCCCTTCCGAGTCTTTGAGTTGGGATGAGAGAAGGAGAGTCAAGAGAAATTGAGTCTTTCCAGCAGCACTGCGTAGTGCAAGTCAGAGACGAAGACGAAACGAAACATGTCCGAAGAACTCACCTCTCGCCCACGATCTCAGTCAGGTGACCGCGCGCTACGCCGCCGGCGAGGGCAAAGTCTAAAGCGTCGTCCAGGGTGCTTATCGTGGTCCATCTGTCCGCGACGTCTCGTCTGCCACCATCAAGGTCTTGACCGCGTCCTGGCTGCTGGGCGAGCTCCGCATGGAGGTTTTCAAGAACTGCTTGCGCGAGTTTCTTCACCTCGCCAGGCGGGACTTGGGCTTGCTTGGCGACATCGAGCGCGTCCAGCGACAGCAGATCCGCGGTGGAAATCAGGGCGCGCTCCAGCGATGGGATAATGTGGGAGAAATCGGCGACGTCGAAGTCAGGGAGGACGGTCAGAAGGTTGGTCATCTGGCCGCAGCACCATCACCGCGGCAGCACGTGAAAGACGAGGATGATGATGCGGTGTTTGGTGGTGTGTGGTGAGTGTCTGGTGTCGGTGTCGGAGTTCTCAAGCCGAGCCGCTCTTCCGCCCAGAGCGACCAAGCTTCCCTTCGAGCGAACGTCGTCTTTCACAGCACACTGCCGAACGTCATGGCCTGGATCAGTACTTTGTCCTCGAGTAGCCGCTACTGCGCTCTTCCATCATCATATGACCGAGCCTGGCCGCCAATATCTTAGCCATGTCTTCTCTTCTCCCAGCCTCGAGATGATAACCAACACCGGAATTGCAACAACAACTCGATCACATCGCCAGCACCTCCCAGCTCTACCTATCCCTGCTGCGAAGCTACGCCTTTCGCCTCACCTGCTGCAGCTCCAGCTCGACTAGCGCCCTGCTCTCTGGCACCTCAATCTGCCACTTCCCTCTGTCCGCCGCCGTGTTTCGTCTCGTCCTGCCCATGCAGGCGGAGCACCGTGGGCCTACGATTGCCAAATAGCCGTGGAAGAGCGAATCCGCGCAGTAATCCTCTCCCGAGGTGGAGTACCCAGCGTCCCAGGCCGGCCAGAGAGCCGCTGTCTGCTGAGCAGGTCAGTAATTTGTTGGTTCCCTACTGTTCTCCCAAGGCCCGGCACTCAATCACCGCACGTTCGGCGCAACGGGCGATCCCCACGTGCTGTTCGTTGCCATCAGACCTGACCGGCCATCACATGTGGCTCGGTCTTCTACGACGTCAGGTGCGAGCCCAGATTGTTCAGCAACTGCCCTTCCCAGCGGGGGCTTGGTTTGCAATATCTATCTCGAGCCTTTGCTCCTTTACTCCATTCCTGGTCTTCGTTCAGACCACGCCGCTGGGCCTCGCACAACCATGCCCTTTGCGTCCTAACTCCCTATCAATGCCGGGCTACTACCATCAGGATTGTCACTACTTCTTTCGTACCTCTTTGCGTGGCTTGTCCATTGCCACGCTTGTGTCTCCGTTGCATAGCTAGATCAAGTGCTTACGCTTATCATGTCTCCAGTTCGACAGTTTCCATCCATAGTCGAGAAGCTTGAAAACTCCAACAGGCGTGACTCTGCCACCATGGCCGACCGATCAGAAGCCAGTGCGAAGGAGACGACCCAAAGCTTTGCAAAGGAGAAGCGTGATCCGTTGGGGAATGATTTCCTAACCAAGTCGGGACCTGGGATCACTTTTGCCGCTCAAGACAAACTACCCAAGCTACCGATCCCGGATCTCGAGGCAACATGCAAGAGGTATCTGGCTTCACTGTATCCTCTGCAGAACGCAAGGGAACATGCCGAGACAGAGCGTGCGGTGCACGAGTTCTTGCGTACCGATGGACCGGATCTTCAAGAAAAGCTCAAGACGTACTCTGAGGGGAAGAGCAGCTACATTGAGCAGTTTTGTAAGTCAAGTCAAGCATCTCTAGAATGATAACTTCTGACTTCATTCAGGGTACGATTCGTATCTGAACTACGACAATCCTGTCGTATTGAATCTGAATCCCTTCTTTCTTCTCGAAGATGACCCAACTCCGGCAAGAAACAACCAGGTGACACGAGCCGCGTCTTTGGTTGTTTCTGCTTTATCTTTCGTTCGCGCCGTCCGCAAGGAAGAACTGCCCCCGGATCAAGTTCGAGGTCAACCGCTGGACATGTACCAATACTCACGGCTGTTCGGTACTGCCAGAATACCCACAGAGAATGGATGCCAGATCGGCCAGGACCCATCATCAAAACACATTGTCGTCCTGTGTCGAGGACAATTCTATTGGTTCGACGTGCTGGACGATAACAACGACCTGATCATGACCGAGAAGGACGTCAGCTTGAACTTGCAGGTCATCACTGAAGATGCCGACCAGACCCCAATCTACGACGCAGCAAAGGGCGCACTTGGCGTTCTGAGCACTGAAAATCGCAAAACATGGTCAAGCTTGAGAGAACTCATCAGCAAAGACAACGGCTCAAACAACAGCGACTGCCTGAACATTGTGGATTCTGCACTTTTCATCCTTTGTCTCGACTATACCGAACCTCAGAGTAGCTCAGACGTATGCATGAACATACTCTGTGGAACTTCCCAGATTGAACGTGGCGTTCAGGTCGGAACATGCACGAATAGATGGTACGACAAACTACAGATTGTCGTTTGCAAGAACGGCAGTGCTGGAATCAATTTTGAGCATACTGGTGTGGACGGTCATACAGTTCTTCGCTTTGCATCAGACGTATACACAGATACGATCCTTCGTTTCGCCCGCACTATCAACGGACAAGCACCTTCCCTGTGGGCATCACAGTCGCCGGATCCATCGAAGAGGGACCCTTCAAGCTTCGGCGATGTCAGTACAACTCCTCACAAGCTGGAGTGGGACATGGTGCCAGAGTTGGCAACGGCAGTACGATTTGCAGAGACTCGATTGGCAGATCTCATCCAACAAAACGAGTTCTACACTCTCGAGTTCGGGCAATATGGCAAGAACTTCATGACATCGTGTGGTTTCTCTCCCGATGCATTTGTGCAGATGGCTTTCCAGGCAGCTTACTATGGCATGTATGGCCGCATCGAGAGCGTGTACGAACCAGCAATGACGAAGTTCTTTTACCACGGACGGACGGAAGCGGTACGACCTGTCACTAACGAGAGTGTAGAGTTCATCCGCACCTTCTGGGCGGACACCTCGCCAGCAAAGAAGATCGAAGCTTTGAAAAAGGCCTGCGAGAAGCACGCTGCTTTGACCAAAGAATGCGCCAAAGCCCAAGGCCACGATCGCCACCTCTATGCCTTAATGTCCCTCTGGCAGCGACAAATCGACGGCGACGCAGACTTCACGAGCAACGACGGCGACGCCCCCAGCACCAACGGCTGGAACAGCCCGACAAGCGATCGAGGAGACCAACAATCCAGCGTCGGCCCCTCCCCCAACCGCACCAGCATCGCCAGCGACGAAGGCAGCACCCAATCCACCAGCCAATCGCCCCCACGAACGCAACAACCCATCCTCCCGGCCCTCTTCGCAGATCCGGGCTACGACCGCATCAACAACACCATCCTCAGCACCTCCAACTGCGGCAACCCCTCCCTCCGGCACTTCGGCTTCGGACCCACCTCCGGCGACGGCTTCGGCATCGGCTACATCATCAAAGACGGCAGCGTGTCCATCTGCGCGAGCAGCAAGCACCGGCAGACGAAACGCTACATCGACGCGTTGGAGAGCTATTTCCTGGAGGTGCGCAAGTTGCTCCGCCAGACGCATCGTCGCGGCACGAGTACGGATAAGCAGGCTTCGCGGGCGCGGGAGGCGGAGGAGAAGAGGCCCAAGGGCCAGAGGGTCAAGTCGAGGGGGAGGGTGGTCGGTGAGCCGGGCGGTGCGGGGGCGGTGACGGGGAAGGAGCCCGAGGGGGATAGTGGGGTTGCGAGTGATGATGAGTTGGGGGGATGTAAGTTCAGAATCTTCTTTCTCTTTTGATGGTGGTTTTGTTGGTTTTGGTCTGCTGACTTTGGTGAATCTAGATGGTTTCTTCGATGCGGGTATGTTGCTGCAGGCTCTGAGGGCGAAGGAGGAAGGAGCGGAACGGCCGAGCGAGAAGGTTGCGGCGAGGAGGGAGGTTGGGAAGAAGTTAAGGTTGATGGAGTATTAAGTAAGTGGTTGGAATCGCTCTTCGGGGTTTGCTCTTGGTTGCATGGCATTGCAAGAATTCGAGTGCAGCATTGCATGCATGCATTCTTTGAGAGGTTGGATGTGGCCATGATAGACTGTGCACGAAACCGGAAGGAAAGGAAAGGAAAGGAAAGGAAAGGAACGAAGACGATATCAGAGTAGCATCATCTGAACTTCAGATTCTCATTCCACCAGGCTCCCATCTCATCCATCCGAAAAAGAACAAGGCCTCTGGATCTGGTTCCGTCTTTCATGCCCGCCCCAAAAACGCCTCGCTAATACTCACAAGGCCAGACCACCCGTTCTATGTTTACAGCAATATCAAATCCCCGTCCAGCTCATCGTCGTCATGTCTAATTTCTTTCGCTGGGCTTGTAATAGTTGTTGTTGTTTGCAGTCAGTCATGAAATGTGACGGATTCGTTCGTTCCCATCTCGCGGTGATGCCGCTGTCATTATAGATCCCTCCCTTCTTATAAAACACCCTTCGAATCGATAATCGTGTCATGCGGATTGGATTTCTCATGCCCGCTCAGAGCATGTCGTCCTCCGCTCGTCTCAGCTTGAAGTCAGGTACCTCGTAGAACCACTCTGTCGCCTTGTCCCATTGGTATGCCTTGAAGTCCACTCCGTAAGGCTTCGGCTCGAGGCAGTAGAGCATGCCGATCGGTACATCCAGATCGGCGACTTCTTCTCTCCTCAGACCGCGGAAGTAGGCGAGCAGAACACGGGCCACGCTGCGGTGACCCACGAGCAAGACGTGGTCTTCCATACGCTCCAGCTCGACGATGACTGGACGCAGACGGTTGATGATATCGAGGTAGCCTTCGCCGCCGGGTCCTGGGTATCGGTAGTGGAGCTTGTCGGCCTTGCGGCTCTTGTACTCTTCTGGGTATTGCGTTGAGATGCAGGAGTATGTCAATCCTTCCATCACACCTGCGTTCAGCTCGTCCAGCATGCGCATCTGCTTGGTGTCGTACTCCTCGTCATTGAAGTACTGAGCTGTCTGGATGCTGCGCTTGAGCATAGACGTCCAGACACAGAACGCTTTCGGCTCAAAGCCCAAATCTGTAGCGTCGGTGGCGACTGATCCGTTTTCTGAGCCAGGCGATTGGGGGTGGAAGTAGGGATTTGGAGGGGTGACATCTCCTGGCTGCGGTGGGAAGTGAGTATTCCGCAGGTTCTCGATCTGCTTCATGTCCCATTCTTGTCGTTTTTGCTCCATGAACCTCGCCAATGACTGAGCGTATTGGTGGCCTTCTGGCGCAAGGTCGCTGTCGCCGCCAATCTTGCCCGAGACGTTGTCCATGCTCAATCCATGTCGGGTGATCCAGATTTGTCGTGGTGCGAGGTTGAAGTTGAGAAGGTAGTAGTTGGCTTGCGCCATCAAGAACCCCTTGATCTGGTGGCTGATGACTTTGCGGCCAACGTCGATCATCTGGATATACGGCATGTTGTTCTTTTCCTCGTATTCACCAAGCGGTACGTACGATTTCTCGTACTCGTGCACTCGCTTCTTGAAGTCCTCCAATGCAATCACCGGATCCATCTCCTTGTAGTCAGGTCCGTTCAGCTTCAATCGCATGTTGGCTTCCAGGAGATCGGGGTCCACACAGCTCGATTCGAGGAAGAGTACGTTCAGTTGTGGTCCAGCTCGCTCTCTAATCCGATTCATGATCATCTTCCGTCGCTCCATGGTACTGTTGGTAGCGTCCAGAATGCCAACACTGCCGTTCTCGTATAGGATATAATCCAACAAGTCATCCAATGTCTCCCGAGCCACCTGCTCTCGAATCTGTGCAGCCCTCTTGTTTTGCGGATCGAAGAAAGATGCATTCTGTTCCATTGCTTGGTCGTCTTCCTTGGCCTGCTCCTCTGGTGCATCCCTTGACAAAACGATTGTCGCCATACTCTGCTTCCTCTGCGAAAGTGGCGGGATGTCGTCTGTCTCTCTATCATGGTTCGTATTCCCATTGATCTCTGGTGCTTGTGTCTCTGTCGCGCTGCGCGGAGGAGTTCCTGGCGCGTCGATCTTTGTATCATCGTTCAGCATCAGCTGTGCCACAGAATGCTGCCTTTCTGCTGCGCTCTTGCTTTCAGTAATGTCCTGCTTGACGTCGTGGTTGTGCAGTGGGTCGGCCTTCGCAATGTCGAGAACACTTGGTCTGTGGTGCGTGTGAAGTTCTTCCCGCTGTTGTTGGCTCTTCGTCTTCTCCAAGCTATTTGGACCACCAGCCACAACACGCCGCCTCTCGCCCACGTTGAAGATTCTTGTATCATGCTGCAGCCAGTTGAGGTACCGCGCCAGCTTCTTGGTGATGTAGCTCTTGCCTCGAGCGGGCAGTCCAACCATGACAATGACCAGCTTCGATCCCACATCTCTCGAGGCGATTCGACCATCGGGGGATACCTTGCTCTTTGTCAAGCCAGGGATGTCGAGGGTGGTCGGCCGTACTCGAGGCGTGCTCGTTCCCGAGTTCTGTCGAATAGGCATGGGGAGTTTCTGGCTGGGTGTGTCTGAGCCTGCACTGCTGGGCGGCGCTGAGGTGTTGCCCATGAGGCGCGGACTGCTCGGCGCCGTGGTCGCGGGCGTGTCGTTGTTGGCCATGGTGGCGGTCATGGTCTTGGGGACTTCTGGGAGGGTGCCGTTCATAGCCGCTGCCAAAGAGCCTCGAGTCTGCGGCAGTAGGTGTCTGGGGTCGGGTGCAGAAGAGCCATCGTATTGTGGGCGCAGCGTGACATTTGAATTTGGATCTCGCACGGCAGCGGCAGAAGGCGGGCTGAGGGTCTGGTCGAGAGTATTTCGTAGTTGATCCACTTGCTTATGGTCCGGCGCGACTTCGTTGCTCCACCGGCGGGATTCAGACTGGCTGGAGTTGGTCGTCATCGCCTGCTTCGCTAACAATGACTGCTGGCTCTGCCTGCGACGGAATGAACCTAGCGATGAGTTATCTTCTACCACGCAGGAGCAGGTGCCGTTGCTATGGATGTTCAGCGGCGGCGGGTCGGCGGCGACGGCATGGTATGTTGCGGTGGTGGTGGTTGTGTCTGGAGTGGTAGCGTGCGGCATCGGACAGGCAAAACGTGGGCCTGCGGGATGACAAAAGGCGCGAAATGGTCGAGGTATCGATTGGAACAGAGCACGGGCGACCTGCGTTGGACGGGCAAGGGTCTGGAGAAGAGAGTTGGCGCCTACGGGCGTCGCGGCTGCGAGGCGAAAGTAGTGAGTGGTTGAGTCGAAGAAATTCTCTGCGCGAACCAGACTCAGAAGGCACAGCGGAGAGCAGATGGAGTCGATGTCGTGTGCTCAGTTCCCGTTGGCGTGGACATGCTCGCGGAGGACGGGGGCGGGTGTGATTATTATGGGCAGTCGATGCTCAACGGGTCTGAGAAATGGCAGATTCAAGAAAATAATTTTGAGTTGCGGCAGCGCTCTGCCATGTGCCCGCTTGCCGATCTCGCGGGTGGCGTGGTCAGGAACAGAGAGATGTTGGAATGAGGCTCGGCGCTGGGCGACGCTCAAATGATGATGCCGGCCAGGAGACAAGAAGACGACAAGACAACAAGAGCTGAGCAGCAGGCCACGCGGCTCAGGACAACAACAGCGACGCCTTGCTTTCTTCTGCTCGAGCTGCTCTCGTCGGGGAGTAAATGCAATGCAAAAGCTAAAATGGTCAGGCAGGTACTCAAGCCAATCTACTGGCGCTCGAAGCCCACGCCTCCCACCCCAACGCACTCACACATGACGAGGCTGTCGGTGATACACGTCTCAGACCCATCCTCAGCTGTCCCTACCACTTTCGAATCGTCGCCCTTCCGCACACATCCCACGCCCACAGTTGCCTGCACCTTGTTGCTCTCCGTCGCTGGAATTAGATGCTCGCCGAGTCTTGGCTGTCCTGCACCCGCGGGGAGGAGGCCGGTACCCCATCTCACCAACGGCCGCGACATCGCACGTTGTCTTGCCCTTATCTGCTGATGAGCCCTTGGCTGGCCCACGCTCTCACATCCTCCGCTGCCACCCCGCCGGTATCATCCTTTTCAAGAAGCCTTGGCGCCAGGATTTCATTTCGGATGGGGAATCGTTGCGCTTGCTCACTCGGTACAGATGCTCAACGTCGCTCAGAACAGATTGCGCTTCTTGGAGCCAAGATGGGATTCACCGGCTCGTCTCACAGAAGGCTGCTTAAGAAGTGTTTATCGACGCTTACCTGGCCATAGTTGGGTCTTGACTTCAGACGCCAAGTCCACGATGGTCGATGGTTCAACCTCACCTCTGTCATCATCGTACGACATGAGACCGACTTCAAACACTGGCCCAAACTAATCACTGGGCCAAGAAGCCGAGAAACTCAACCCACGGTTTGTGGAATGCCGTGGCCTTGTATGTCCGTCATCAGGAACAACATGTTGGACGAGACATGGGGGATCTTCAAGCAGGCCCAGCTGCAACACTGGAAGACGTGGTTCACCATTCTATCCTCGTCGTTCCGCTCGAATTGGAAGGCATGGAAATGCTATCTCTCCACTTCTTGGAAAATGACCACGCTTCTGTTCACCTGCCAGTGATGGGATGTATCCTCAACTTAGAGCGAAACACCAAGGGTGATGGTCATACCTCAAGACAAATTTGTAATCTGTGCCATCACTGACACGGGGCGCTATCCCACTCCTACCGGCGTAACACCCCATGAACATTTCGCTGACCGATGACGACCACCTTGGCATACACGTCGATCAACAACACTAAGAACAACGCGTCGGACAAGCAACAAAGACTAGACAGCGCACCGAAGTACTAATGCAACAACACAGCCTCTGCCAAGTACGCAGCGTCGTGGAGGCAACGTCAACTAACAACACACTGGTCGCAAACCAACACCCACAAGAGCAAATATCGAGCGAATGGTGAACGTACAAACCATCGGGCACCGAATAAGTACAGCGAGTCGACGCCGACCGCAGCACAAGTGTCAAGACGAGCATAAACTCTCGCGATGAACGCGATCGAACGACAACTTCTTCAGCCTCGAATTAGACTGCTGCATGAAGGCTGTAGCACACTTTCCATCCCACGAGACCGGGGACTATAGCATCGCTTTGCGAAAGGCAGGAGATCCCAAATGTACAACACCTTGGCATTGTCGGCGAAGAATGGTAAGGACAGAAGAGGACTTTACAAATGTAAAGGTCTTGCGCTCTGAGCAAAAACATTTCTCGCAAGTCCAAGCCAATATTCCGGAAAGCCAGCTTCACAGGCCCATGTCAAAAACGAATTTTGCTTCTGCCTCACGCTGACATTCCTCTCGGCATATCAATAAGCATACCGACACTTTTCGAAGAGTAGGAAGCATCTCGGTGAACCGGAAAGAAGAGGAACATCACTGTCATTGAGACCAAACTGCCATTCAACTCCGTCATCAAATCATGGACCAAACCAACGACAAACCCTTCCCATTCCTCTCCCTACCGGGCGAACTCCGCGAGAAAATCTACACCCACCTCCTCGTCCGGCACCGCATCCTAATCAGCTACAACCAAACCCTCCCCTCACGACGAGACCACCAACAAGCCACCCCATCCAAAAAACCAAAACCAAAACCCACCCTAAAAGGCCTCGTAGCCATCACCTCGCTCGCCACCTCCCCCAAAACAACAAGCACCACCACCTTCGAACTCCCCACCCCCTACGCCACCCGCAACACTGCCGCCCTCCTCCTCACCTCTCGCCAACTCCACCACGAAGGCACGCACACCCTCTACACCCACAACGTCTTCGACTTCAAAACTATGCCCGCCGTGCAACCCTTCCTCTCCCTCATCGGCCCCCGGAACCGCTCCCTCTTGACGTCCATCCGCCTCTCGAGCTGGAACCGCCTCGGATGGAAACTCGCCCTGAACGCTCTCGCAGAGACGAATGTCAGGGAGGTCGAGATCGCGGTCTGGAAATTCGATACGTACGAAGCGCAGTGGGAGGGGTTTTTGAGGGAGTTGGGGGAGGGTTTGGGTGGGGAGGTGGGGAATGTGAGGTTTTGCGTGGGGGGTGGGGAGGTGTGGGAGAGGGGGAGGGGGAATGTGCTGGGGAGTGGGGATGTTGAGGCGGTGGGGTGCAGGGTTCGGCGGGGAGACTGGGGGGTTGTGAGAGGGTGTTGAGGAGATTATGAGAGGATATTGTGGTTGAGCTGTAGAGGCCCCCAAAGGCGTCTTCTCGTTCATGATGGCATCGACTAGTCTGGTTGATGCGTCCAGTAATGTGACACGTTCGCACGCTCGCTCGCTCCAAAACATCTCAGCAGAACTTTTCTCTTAATCATGTCCACGTCACCAGAGGCGAAAAACGCTCACACAAAAGCTCTCATCCATCCACACCAACATCCACGCCAAACTCCTGCGCTGCCCTCGCACCAGCAACAGCAAGACTATCCGCCGCAGTATTCCCCTCATCCTTGTCATGCCCCTTGACCCACTCGAACCTCACACCTCCTGGACCCCGATCCCAGTAAGCCCGCTTGTCCTCCGAGATGGCAATATCCTCGCCTTCCTCCATGCGAGGTCGATTCAGGATGATGCGCTCCTCCAGCATGTCGAGGATCTTTTGGATGAGGTCCTTGTTCTCCACGGCTTTCCGGGACGAGTTGATCCAGTTGTTTCTCTGCCAGTTGTGGAACCAGTCCGTGACGCAGTCGATCGAGTACTTGCTGTCGCTGACGATGACGATCTTGCGGTCCTTGGGCGAGACTTCTAGAGCTCGGACTATTGCTGTCAGCTCGGCGCGCTGGTTGGTCTGCTTGACGCCTTCGAGGGGTTCGCTGATGTTGCGTCTGTCGCTTGGTCCGAAGTAGACGCCAACACCACCCCAAGCACTGGCCTTCCCATTGCTGAGCGAGCTTCCATCTGTGTATATCCGGATCGGGGCGTCTCGTACTGGCCGCACAGCTTGGTAGGTGTATGCTTCGCGTTCGCCTCGTGTCTTGTAGCGAGCGCCATTGGTGGTGTGGTCTAGGGTGATCGATGTATCGAAGCCATCCTCAACATCTTCTGGCAGCGGGCCCTCACCAGGCTCATATTCTCCCTGCTCCATACCTGGCGGCGGGCTGCTCTCATCCTTAATGCCATTGCCCTTCTTCCCCTTGCTGGTCTTCGCCTTCTTCTGGGTGTGCTCCGACTCAATCGTTCCGACTGATGCATCGTAACCTGACAGTCGCCCCTCTGCCACATATTGCTCTGCCTCCGTTCTCGTCTTGAACCCTCTATGCTTCGGCCCCTTCCATCCCGTAATCTGATCCAGCACCTCCTGCCAACTCGTGTAGATACCTGGATTCCTTCCTGACTGCACTCCATAGTACCTCGTCGTCTTCGATTCTGTCCCAGTAGTTCCTTCATTGTTGACAAAGTTCTCGGCGTCCGTCAGAGAGGTAAATGACTTGAACATGGCCTTGGGAAAGCCTCGGACTTGGTCGAGACATTCTGCCCAGGTGTGATAGATGCCCGGCTCTTTGCCCACACGGACGGCGTAGAACTTGAGGGCTCCCTTCGATTCTCGCTTCCGCTTAGTGCCAGCAGTCGGGGTGGATGGGACTTGTGGAGCAGGTGGTTGGTGTGTTGACGTGGGGTTCACGGCTGTGAAGCCATTGACTCCGTCCATTGTGATTGGGAGCCGAAGTGTTGATCTGTCGGGCAATCGATTGTCAAAGAAGAACAAGATCGGTAGTCGTTTGGTGGTCCCGTTCGCACATGGGTGGGGAGCTTGAGTGGTGCGGACACGTGATGGTGAGCTCAATGCCTGCACAAGCCCGGTGAAGGGGCGGCGGAGGTGGTGATGCAGCTTGTTGTGTGACGCTCGCAAGAAAGGAGGGTGGGAGACGAGGGAAATTTATGTCAGAAGGCGGACGTGGGAGCGCGGGCTAGACGACAGTTTTGGAGGGGAGGAGAAGAAGAAGGCGCGGCCGGGTGTGCCTGCAACGTGTGGGCGGCATTGGGAGGGGGTAGTACCCATCCCAGCTCACGGCGGAAGGTGCCGTTGGCGGGAAAGCACGACTCGCCGCACCGCCTGCACGCGTGCCGAAGGGGCGTCTGCGGCGGGCTATGTTTGTCGACAGCATCGCGGCTGGCCGTACATGTAGGCTTGCTGGAGACACGCGATGAGGGCGGAACGGAAGTAAGGGCAGGAAGAAGGCCATCGCGACAGTGCTTGGCTTGGCGAGGACCACCTCACCTGGTCTGGCTCGCATCTCGTGATCGCTTCAGCTCCACCTCACTCCACTCTCATCCACCCACCCACCACCACTTCGTCCTTCTCCATTTGTGCGGTCTTCGCTAAAATCCCACCGCGCCCTGCACTTCAGATGTAGCTGCTGGCTGCCGCAGCATGTTCGAGGTAAGTAAGCCTCCTGAAATCTCCCACCACCCATGCCGCAACGACCACAAGCTTCCAGCGAATGGGAACATCCTAGTCGAGAAAGCAAGACGCACTTGTTGGACTACTGCAGCCCCAACAACAACACCTCCCTCCCCGACCAAACAATCACCGCAGTCCTTTCTCACTTACATATACCCAGACCCGCCATGCCTCCTCCCGCTATCGCCTCCGCCTGCACCGCGCCCGCTCCGTCATCCTAACTCCCCAAGAACTCGTCGAGATCCGCGCTGCACAACGCACCTTCGAGGGAGCCTACATCCGGACGAGCCTGTCGCAGTTCAGCTTCGCATTAGTCGTGCTGAAGATTTTCACCTCCGAGTTCTACAGCATCGGGGCGTTGTTTGCCGTCTATGGCGCTGGTGTGTTGGGAGTTAGTGCTTTCCGGCGTATGCAGGGGAACAGGCAGTTTTTCAGCGAGGTTGGTGAGGACGGGCTGAGTAGGAAGCGGTAGGTCCTTGAGTCTGTCTTGATTGATGGGGCAGTGTTGATCGATCGACAGATTTCGAACTAGTGGTAATGTCGTCGTTGTTCTTACCAGCCTGAGCATTGCGGCATATGTTACCTTGCTGGTCTTGACGCTGCGGTTACAATGATGAGGTGAAATATAGATTCTAATCGAGACTCGACTGATGATGCCCACCACAACTCCTCTCTTGCTTCACTCCTCACCCTTGCGAGCAAAGCATCTATCTACTTGTAGTGGAGCGCATCGTCTCATAGCCCGAGCTGCTTGTTGTTCAATCCTCAAATCCTGCATACAGTCCGCCCGTGTTCTCGGAGGTCGTATCCAACCTGCCAGCCAAGCTTTTGTAATGTTCCTTCCTCCAAGTGCAGTTCAAATGAAGTTGAGGTTGAGCGTTGGGGTGGTGATTCGATGCGTCTTGCGAAGTATCGAAAGGCCAATGACTGTCATGTTTATGGCATCAAGAACGAACAAGGGCCGGCAGTCTCATGCGGCACAGGGAGTGATCGAGCGCATGATCACTGCCCTCGCTCATTGTGACATGTACCCCTGAGCATCCGTCGCCTACAATCAAGATCCACCTCAGCAGTCTCATGTGTGTTATGAACAACGCGCTATGATCGATGTCGCAGCTGAAGGTTGTGGTGTCCAGTTCGGCCGTGAAGTATGCGGCGCAGGACAAAAGGTGTAGATGAGGTCCAGGGGCGAGTGCCGGCCAAACTTCCTCGAATGCGATATCTTTCGATCCTCCTTCTTCGCTCAACAGCTGTTGACTTCAATCGTGCGCCGTTGCGCAGTGGTTTGGCCATGCCCCCGGTGTAAGTGTCGCTGCAACTTCAAATTGCGCAAGGAGTGAGGTCATCATCACCTTCGAGAAAGGTCCAGGTCGCCATCGAGCTCGAAAGGTAGAGTATGTGATGAAGCAGACAAAGGTACGCAGTCGCCAAAAAGAGATGCACCCTTCAAACAGTCCGTGGAGAAAGGCAGGTGCGTGAAAGGAGTAGGAACGACCCCTCGCGTTGCAGTTGATGATGGTCGCGTGGTGGCAGAATCGAAAATCGAAATACCACCACGGTCAAAAAGACTGACAACGCCGGGAATCGAACTCTCGACCAAAACTGCAAAAGAGAACCCTACCCTGACCCCAGATTTTCCGGGAGAGGTGGGAGGGAGAGAAACTAATTGGGACCCAAAGATGATAAGACTTTATGCCTTTTACCAAGTCGAGGTTCGTTAAGACGCTGTCGGACAGGCCTTCGATGTTTACTCATTGACGATCTAAGTACCGCTGAGCCACCAAAGGTTGCTGCCAAAGGGCGCCCACCAACGTTTACTGCTTTTGTGACTGGACTAGGAATTTGCATCATATAATGCTAAAGGGCGGTTTGGTCCGGGGTTTTGCCGGTTGGGATTTGCGGGAGTCGTTTTGCCCGCACCACTGCTGGTGACGTTCGATGGCTCTTTACAGGCAGATGATGTAGTAGGCCTTGTTGAGGGACTCCAGGAGATGGGCATCGCGAGATTTCCAGGTATCAATGACTCTTTTGATCGCCGTCAAGTGCGAGGGAGGGACGGCTGACCGGGCGTTCAGGGATTCTGGTCACGGATTATGATGATGGCAGCCGGTCCTCAGCAGAGAACTCCTCTTCGTCTCCGGGGGTGAACAGAGGCTTGCACAGACCCCATTGTCTTCCATAATCTTTGATCGCGCTCTGTGCCTGATTGCTGGTGAGCCACACTGCAAAGCGTGCAGCAGCTCTATGTGCTTCTAGATCTCGGTCACCAGACACTTCGCTCACGAACGCATCGCTTTTCACGACTGCAGAACACGGGTTCAGTAGCTCTTGGCCACCTTCGACATGCACGTGCAGTGATGGGATGACGCCGTCTCGTTTTGCCGTGAGGAACGTGGCTCGATCGGTAAGCAAAAACGCTCGTTCGTTGTCGGCCCTCAGAAGTGCATCGTAAGGGGCCAGAGGGTACGTTTTCATCCAGTCTTTACCAGACACATCTACACCAGCGGCTTGCCAGAGTAGCTGTTCTTTCGCAAACGTGGCTGATCCGTCGCCTCTAGTATGGAACTCGATACGGTCCAGCCGTACTCCACCAGGAGCAGCACCACTCCCACCGCGGGCCGAGTGGGATTCCGCAATGATTCTCAGGGCACCACAAATATCGAATGCACCGACATCTACGTCCGGACCAACAAGAATGAAGTGATCGTTGAACGCCCTTCCCACTCTGCTCGCCCACCCCTCATCGATGGCCAAGTCCTCGTTGTGAGGCTCGTAAGTGAGAGCTATTTCAACCACACCAGCAAGCAACGCGATCTGGGAGTGGCGGCTGTGATTGGGAACCCATCCGATGCGGAATCCTCCACCGTTTTCGGCAATGTACATGTCAGCCAGCATACGCAGAACTCCGGTATAGCCAGCGCCACCGTTGCCAATGCGGAAGACGACGTCGTGTGCAGCATCGCCGTACATTTCTAGCTCTTTCGTATTGATCACATCGGATCCAGAGGGACCATTGCTCAGAGACAGCAGTTTGGAACGATAGTTACGCGAGATCCACGGATCGGATGTGTCTACTTGGCCGGAAAGGGGAGCACCAGGATGTTGTTGCTGAGCCATGAGGTAATGGACCAGGCGGACATCGATCAGCCTTCGAGTTTGTTTGTACGGTATCGAGGAATGTAATGTAATCCGCCTTCGAAGGTCCTAGAAGGCGGGGGGGTAAAGAGTATAACGTTGTTATATTTCAACGCTTCATGCGCAAATCATCTCTACGCTGTGAGCACCAGAAGACGAAGTGCAAGTATACATTCACCGTAAGCAAGGATTCAAATGCCGACGAATCCCATCCGCCTAATTGCTTTTAGCCGGCACTCAAAACTCCTCCAGCGCCGTGCTGTTCAGACCCCTTTCTTCTACAATATCGTACAACTCTACCTTTCTAAGAGACCTCCATAGCATCACCATTGCTGACGCCATTCGCCCCTGCGCCCAGAGATACGCCACCGTCCTCACCGATGAATCGCTTCTCGAACTCTGTGACGAATCGTACAGATCGTTGAGGGTCATAGAATAGCTGGAAAGACCGTTGGACATCTCCCACCTCGACCTCCTTGGCCCTCCGCTTCTGAGATAGCAGATGTGACGTGGTGATGAGGTTGCTGGCATACCTCAGCCCAGTCTCTTGACCAATCTTGGTAAGAAGCGCAAGAGCATCCGGCGAAACGTCAACCTCTTCCTCTTGTGCACGTATTGAGAGAATCTCACGGATCTCATCTGCTTGGTAAGGGTGTGTCGATATGATAGCAACCCGATCAAGGAAGTCGAGTGGCAGGCCGTGAGGGCTCTTGTAGTTTGTGCCTCTGATGGTGGTGGAACCTCGATTCGAAGCCATGATGACAATTGGAGCGAGTTCGTCTTCCAGCGCTCGGTTGATAAAGCTGAAGCACTCGATGTCCAGCATATGCACTTCGTCGATGAAGAGAACCCCAGGCACGATCTCTGCTTTTCCTTCCTCTTTCCACTCTGCCACCTTTGTGTTGATCTGCTCTCTCACCTCGGATCTGATCTCACCGGTGTCGCCAGAAAAGAGAGCCAAGAATCCTTGTGTTCGGCTGTTGATTACGTCGATCTCGTGCAGCGAGACTGTGTGGACAGTCTCACGGCGGACCTGAAGCTCGCCATCTGGGCATTGTATGAACTTGGCATCTGATCCGACAGCATCATAGTCTCGACTCCTGGTGTAGCTTCTGCCGAGTTTGGTGATCCTGCCGCTGGCCTTGTCGATGCTGATGATGTCTCCTGCCATGACCTTCTCCTTGGTCATGCTGTCAATCATGCGAGTGCCCATATCGTAAAGCGTCTCCATATCCGTCGTCTTCAGAGTAAGCTTTCCGCTCTTGTTGTTCCCCGTCACAGAGCGGTCGATCTGTATCTCCACCACCTCACCCTCGATGACCTCGCTCTCCTCTCGTATCCGCACGCCGATGGATTTTCGGAATGCTTGCTCCAGCGCCTCGGTCTTGCTCATTTCGAGACTGAATATCTCTGAAGAAGCCAGCATCGTGAAAGGCGTATCTTCGCCAAGTCCCTTGCTCATGCCGATCGCGATCGCTGTCTTGCCTGTGCTTGGTGGTCCTGAGATGAGAACCGCACGTCCTGCGATCTTGCCTTCCTTGACCATCTGAAGAATCACACTGGCGGCCTTTCGCGCCTGCTGTTGTCCCACGAGGCCATCGGCATTGGGTTTGGGGGTTAGGGTGTCTGGTGTTACTCCAAGTCCTCGAATGTGAGAGTGAGCAGCGATGAGGTTGAGGCCTTGGCTTTCTTTCGAATCGGACACAGTGGTAATAGCCTGGATTGAACATTAGCCAGTGTCGTGCGTGTGTGTGGAAATGCATACAGCTGCCATCTTGACTGATCCGCGCTCCCCGGCGCAACTATCGCAGAAGTCGTACTCAGTGGTAGAACCAGGAGTTCTGTCGGGTCTGTGAGAGGGCTGTTCGAACGTGGATGTCGAGGGGCTACAGGCGTGTTTGGGCGGCGGATCTGGGATGGGATGAAGTTGCTTCCTTTGCGAAGCTTGGACCGCGAAGAGACGCGTGAGGGTCGTTGCCAAAAGTGTTGGTTCTGGTGATCATGTATGGTCGAACCGAATTCCTCGCTCAGACTTCACTTCACGGCCTCTTCGAAGCAATCTGTGCAACTTCGATCTCTCGCAACTGATGCCCAAGGCTCTATCCACCAAACGGCTACTGCCATTCAAGGTGGTACCGTCATCCTTCGAATTACGATGGCAACCATCCACAAGCGGTCCAAATTGCCAACGCAGGTCTTGAGCAATAAGGACATATGTTCCAATTAGGAGCGGGATGGGAGGTCACTCCGGGTTCATTACGTTGCAACCTACAGAGTGATCAAGACATGAGGGCTCTCACGAATGGCAAGGTGACCTTGGATGACTTTCGTAGACAGCAGCTGTGCAACGTCGGCAAACATAGCCTGCACTTCGGCCCTCACCCTTGCAGAGGTCTGCACTTGAGCGCAGGACGTAAGATGGGAAGTAAGGTAAGCCGGAAAGTGAGACAGGGAAATCGCAAAGAGTCTGAGCGTTCTGGCTCAGTCACTTGAGACAAGTTGTGCCGCTGATCTGGGATGCCGATGCCAGCGCGAGGACGGAGAGGTGGTGAGTCCAGATATCCCTTCCTGAAGTCGCCCACGACGGCAGCAGCTTCATTCTCACCAACACAAGCAGGACTAAGCCGCTAGACAGGCTTCTAATGCTATTGCAGGCATGGGGGGTCTGGAGAGAAAGAAGACTTGGCTTGTAAGTGGTCCCTAAGCGTAAGTGAGTCCTCCGGTGAGGTTGCAAGTGAGCTTTCAGCGAGGCCGTTAGTGAGTATTCCAGTAACACGGCAAGTGAGTATGTAGGTGAGTTCTCCAGTGATCTGGCACGTGAGTTCTTTAATGAGTTTGTAAGTGAGTTCACAAGTGAATTCTCCAGTGAGGTTGCAGTGAGTCCTTCAATGAGATAGCAAGTTAGTTTGTAAGTAAGCTCACAAATGAGGTTGCAGTGAGTGCTTCAATGAGGTAGCAAGTGAGGTTGTAAGTGAGATAGATCCACTCAACTCGTCCAACTTTGTTAGGATGGGAGATACGCCGCCGGTTTGAGTTCTGCTAGCGCCGGAACTACCCGTGACTGGCTATAACTTCGAACCTCCGACATCAACTTCAATGCTTGAAACACAAACAATCCGGTCGCACGGCGGGTAAGTTGGCTCCTTACACTTGTATTACCCTGGCATTGACTGACCCTCTCCTGTGGTAGACAGCAACCAACATGTCGTCCAACGACACCAGCCGCGATCCGCGTTTGTCAAGAAACGACCCTCGCTTGCAGAACAAGAAGCGTGTTGCCAGCCAGTCGCCAGCAAGCGCTATGCAACCAACCCCGAAGAACGTGAAGCCAGCCACTGCCAGCAACAGTTCGAACACCAATACTGCGAATGGCACGGCTACCCAAGCACCGACCTTCGACCCTCCTCGTCCACCTGGCATGGCCCCGCCACCGCCTCAGACAGCGCCATCTGCCTTCATGAGCAGCGACCAACCAGCGAGCGAGCATTCAGTACTCCGCGACTTGCCTGCGCAGCCCAATATGTTCGATCTGCTTCGAGCCTCGTCTGATATCACCGGCAAGCTGACCTACGCCCGCGTCGAGCGAGACAAGACGATTCCGCCGCTCCAGAAGGCTCTCAAGGAGTATGAGACCCTGAAGCCATATTTCGAAGACTTCGCTGCCATGAAAGAAATGCACACCAGCAAGGTCAGACGTGCCCGGAACAAGCACGATCGCGCACAGAAGCTCGTCATCTTCTTCGAGCAGGAATCTGCACAGCTGGACCAACTCGTCACCACCTTCCGCGCTACCACCCCGAACCTTGGCGCTGCTCTCGGCATGCCAACGGATGACTCGGTGCCACAGCAGATCACTGCATTGCGGGACAGCTACAACGCACTGAAGGGCGATGTGGCGGCGGAGAGCGGCCGCAACAAGCGCGACATCGACGCGCAGAAGGCGAAGTTGGCCAACCTAACTCAGCAGCTTGATCTCCTGAAAGACAAGCAGGACCATAGCGCCAATCAGTTCGCTACTGCCACGGCAGGAATGGCACAGTTGGAGAAGATCCAGCATTCGCTTGCTGAAGTCACGGAGAAAGTCACGAAGCTCGAGGCCGAAGCAGGCAACAAGGACGATGGCTTGGGTTTGGTCCAGTTCACTCCAGTGGTCGCACCAGAGGAACCGGATCCGGAGCTCTCCCAGATCCAGCAAATCTGGTCTACGATCTCCCACCTGGAGATGGCTACTGCGAACCACAAGAAGCAGCTCGACAACATCACCACCGACGACGTTGTCAACCAGATGGTCAATGTCATGGGCCAGCACTGGCCAGATGCCAAGAACTGCCAGGCCACCGTCGACAGCCTCAAGGACGGCATCGCCAAGCTCCACGACCACATCAACCAAGTCTCAGCTCGTGTCAACCAGGGACAGAATGGTGTGGCCAAAGCTGAGATCGACAAGCTGAGAGGTGAGCTCGACCAGGTCAAGCAGAAGGTCGGCGGTCATGACGAGCTTCTCAACGAGGGCAAGCAGACCTTCAATGGCATTGCGGACCAAGTCAACACCATACGCGACCAGGTCGCCAAGCTCGAGGGCAACCAGGACGAAGCTATCCGCAACGCCTTCGGATAAGGTCACATCACATGTTTCAGCATACGGCCCTTGTTGGCGGCTTCTCCTTGCTTTGTCTTGGAAACTACCACCGGCGGGCATTTTTGTTTGTTTGAAGCGTATCACGGGCGTTTGGCGGTTGTTGCACTAGAGATACCCCCATCAGCGAGACGGAAAGGCGTTTTGTTCATCATGGACAAGGCGTATTGCAATGACAGGCATGGAGCATAGCGACGGTTGTACTAGGATTGGCTTTACGCTCAAGCAGGCACGTACGTCGATGTTCATAGTCTGATACAGAATTGTGCCTCAGGCACTCAGAGAATGTCTCCTTTCGTTCACTCATTCAAATTCGTACTAATGGTTGAAACGCGATCGGCAGCAGCAGGGAATCGCTTTTCGTATGCAAAATACATATCCTCAGCAGTGGTATCATCGCATCAGAACGCCTCGCTAAAATCGACTATGGCTCACAGCCCATCATCAGCTCTGCCTCGCCGCAGCATCCTTCGCCTTCTCCTCCGAAGCCTTCGCCTCCCTCTGTTTCCTCATCCTCTCCTCCGCAGCCCTCGCCATGACCTCCCTTCGATTCAACGGCTCCCCAATCGAAAGCCCCGCCATCGCACTACTCCCAGCAGCACCCAGGACATACTCGCCCCCCTCCCACCCCCCACCATCCGCCTCCTCATCCTCCTCGCCCCCATCTTCCGGATTGTAGAACTCATCCCCACCGACGGAGTTCCCACCCCGTCGCCAATCGTTCTTGTCGACCTCCGCTTCGATTTCCTTGCAGAGTTTCCAGAAGTGCTGGTCGTGCTCGCCCCAGACGTTGTGGGCGAGTTCGTGGCAGAGCGTCTTGCGGATGACTTTGTAGTCGCGGTAGCCGTCGTAGGCGTCTGTGCGGAGGCGCAGCTCGATCACCTCTCCGCGGTTTCTGTTCAGCCCGAGGGTTCGGGATTCGTGCGTGGTGTGTTCGGCGGGGTTCATTTCGGTCAGGAGGCCGACCGAGAAGCCGTGCTTGCGCATCGAGGCTTTGATGCCCGCGTCGTCGCGGAGTCTTTCGAGGAAGCGGAGGCTCTTTTCGGGGTTCGGGAGGTATGGGAGCGGGCGGAGGGTGTGGAAGGTGTATCGCGCTTCGTCTTGCACTTTGTTCCAGTCGCGGTTCTTGTGCGCCTTGACTCTCCTGCCTGCTCGTAGAGCCTCTCTTCGTCGGTTGATTCTGGCTTTGCGCTCTGCTATATCGCTTTCCATCTCTTCGACTTCCGCGGTTGTGGCGCCCATGAGGACGATCTTCTTGTCTTTCAAAGTGTTGACAGCCAGGCTCGGATCTTTGAACGGTGGCTTCAGCAAGCCGACCTTTGGCGTGATCAAGAACTTCTGATTCGAAGGCGGAATATACAGCTCTTCTGCGACGGAGTCCGAGAGGTCTTGTATCGTCGCATCGTCGTGGTATATCGGGAGCTCAACAGGCTTGTTGTGGAGCAGTAAAGTGAGTCTAAAGACCGGCTCGATCTCGACTTCATTGTCAATCTCCTCCAGGCTGCTGTGCGAACTGGTCAGGGAACGCGCGTCCTCATCGTAAGGCATACCGAGCGACGAAGGGTGAGATTCCGGATCGGCCATCGTGCGGAAACAGTTGACGCTCTTCAAAGCAGCGGGCATGCAGTCGGTTGAAGTAGTATGTGTTGATTCGGGATGTGATTGTCGCAGGATTCTTGCGTGCATGAAGAAGAGAGGGGCAAGAGACAAAGGGAGGTTAAATACCTACAGGGAGTTCTATGCACGTCTATGTATATCCGTTGATATGGGGAGTATGTAATCGCCACGGGGAGCATTCGAATCGGAAGAGGAGGGCACAAGGCAACTGTAGCTCACGTCATCAAAACTGAAGAGCATGGAAGGGCGACGAGCGGGCACTGCCACACTCGGCATTCGCTTCGCCGATCGACTCGAAAACTCAATGGCCAATTTTTTAATCATGCATTATCTCTTTCTCGCATACCTGGTACAACTGCACAATGGCGGGTATAGCGGGCATTGCATTGATTTCAATATTCCGATATCTGGTCAACAGTAACAAGATCCGCAGTCTTGCCCAAACAGCAACTCCACGCGCAGAGTACAGTATCCCTTCGCAAAGGTGGTATCTTTGAAGAAACAATCTCTTTCCCTTCCGACATTCATCATTCCAAACTCCCAAGTCATAACACGTCGCAGCACATATCCGATATCTTCACTACCGCCTTCGCGGCTTCCTAGACCTCCTGCGACACATTGAAGTTCGGATCGGCCTTGTCGTTCCTGCTGCTGCGATTGCGAGTGCGAAGGACATGGACCACGGCCATTGCGGTCGTCGCTGCAAAGACAGCCCTGCAAAGCGCGACAACGTCAGCTCTTGCGAACACCAAAGACAGACTTGCGTAGTCGTCGCCAGACTCACCATTCAAACGCCGCGAACACAGCCGCCGCCTTGGCCGCCGAGCAGACTTGCCCAAAGCACACCCGATCGCTCAAGAACACCGCCAGCGCGATGAACCCAGCGAACCAAAAGATCATCGTCACGGCCTCGACGCCGAGGATCGCGAACTTGTGGTGCGCGACCGTCTCGGAGAATCGCCATGGCACGATGATGAGGTACAAGAGCGCGAGGATCGTCCAGACGGCGCAGAAGATGAGGTAGTTGACTTGCGAGGGCGAGGTGTCGTGCCAGTAGCCCGACCACCAGTTGGCGACTATAGCAGACACTGTCAGTGATGGAGGACAAGGCTCGGGTCATTCTCGCACATACCATAAGCTGTCAAGCCCAGCACAATGATGGCGAAGACGGCTTGTACAACGCGGAGGATGAGCACAACCAGCCTGCTATCGAAGGCTGCCATGGTGCTACAGTCGTACGGCTCGAAGGTGGGTATCCGTTGGTGCGAAGGAGTTAGGGTTCGTTGTAGTAGTAGGGATGCGACTCGTAAACGCTCGACCAAATCGCAACGCAGAAATGCGCAGAAGCCGGATCAAGAACAAGAACGGTCGATGCTCGCCTGCGTCGATCGTTTGCGGTTGTTGGTTGTCGCGTTTGCTTTGCGGGCGGGGAATGGAATGCAACGAGAATGGGGGGATCGATATGTGGGAACGCCCGATGAGACGCGGAGAGAGGTAACTTTCCAGGCTTTCTCGAACGCACGACCGTTGTGTGTCGAGCAGGGAAGATTGCTGTATATCGAAAGCAAGCGAGCAAGCAGGCGATATCAATAGAAATCCTGCTGGTGTCGACCAAACAAAAGTCACAGCTCACGACTTTCTCGTCTTATTACGCGACAAATGGGGCGCAACTGGGGCAATAAACAAAACCTCGACTGCCTAGCCTCATGACGTGAGTGAGGACATCGCTGGCTGGCTGGCGTGCGTGCGTGTTCTTTGTGCTGGCTGTGTCGGCTGATCAACAGGTTCGCAAAGCCTGCTTTTGGGATCGACTCGAGCGAAAGTGTGGCGCTTCGGCGAGGGATCATTCGTCTCAGACAGTTCAGACTCCAAGGCTTGCATGAAGCTTCCGATGACTTGAAACGCGGTCCTTGTCGGCCTTTACGACCGTCTTGCGATGTCGAATTTCTATCCTCTCTGCTGGGAGGAATACCAATAATCCATCCACATCGCGCGAGACTCACGACAACGCGCCTCTCCATTCCATCAATCTACACTTTTTCTCTCCAGCCCTTGTCCTCCAACAAAGACCTCCATGGTACGACGTACGCCCCTCTGCCGAGAAAACCATCACCCCATCACCTCTCGTCTCGGCACATCCAAAATCCTCCCGCCATCAACGTCACCTCACCTCACCTCACCCTACCGCAGCACAAACTCACAGCAGTCCATGAACAGCTGAGCACCGCCACACCCACCCACCAAACCGTACGAACCAGCAAGTCTGTCCACGCGGCCCATCTCGCCAACGTGGTTTCCTGGACTGGATGGCATTGCCGATTTATGCGTCTCTGCGGTGAGGAGTGCTTGGAGATGCGGTTAGGTTTGTGGTGTACTGTACGCACATACATTGTTGTATTGGTGGTGGTTGACGTGGCCCATGTGTGTCGTTTAGAAGACCGTTCGATGATTTTTACTTTCGCCATCGCCTTTGCCATCGCCTTTGCCATCGATCTGAGGTCCTGTGGTAGTACTTATTCTATACGAAACGCAGGATGACAGGTCGCAGAGGGCTTCCTGCCATTTCACTCACGTGGCACAGAAACGGAAGACAAGTTTGAACTCTTGCCGCTGCGAAATTCGTTTGCTTGCCTTCCAGCCTTTCACGTGTCACTCGTATTACCTCAAAAACGGAACGTTGAGTAATCCCACGTCCACGGTAAGCCAACCATCCCGAAGGCAACACAAGAACACAAGAACCGAGTTGAGTACAAACGAATTGTTTGCTCCCTATCCGCACCCGCTCTCCTCTGCTGTGTCCGGGTAGATAGATACAAGAAACTCCTCATTCCTCTCTCCACTCTGGTCTGCTCTGTTTTTCATCTCTATCCTTTCGCGTCTTTACAGTCTGTTCATTTCGAGAAGTGTATGTATGCAGCTCCTCTTTCTCTCTTCCTCAACCCCCACCTCTTTATATCCAAATTGGAGAGAAAAACGCCGCGGCTATGCAAGGAATGAAACACAAAGGAAGATGAAACCGATCAGAGCTTCGACTTGGGCTTGCTCTCGGCCTCGACCTCGGCGTACATCTCGTCGATGACCGGTCGGTAGAGTTTGGCGGTTTGAGGACGCTTGAGTTTCAACCTGCAACAGGATCAAACAAGTCAGCAAAATCTCTAAAATTTCCTTTCACGCACGCGGCTGGATTTTTCTCTGGACTCACGTCGGCGTCAACAACTCATTCTCAATCGTAAACGGCTCCAGCATCAACCGCACCGCCCGCACATTCTCATAACTGTTAAACTTGGCCTTCTTCCCAACCTTGGCCAACTCCCTCAGCACCGCCTTGCGCACTTTAGGCTCCTGCGCCGCGGCATCGATGGCCTTGACATCCTCGGGGTTGACCCTCCTGCCCAGGACTTTCTCGAGGTAACCCGCGAAAATGTCCGGCTGGACGCCGAAGATCGCCACGAGGTTCGCCTGCGTGCTATCGCCGTGGACGTATCCCTGCGCGAGGAAGGGGAGGTTGCCGAGGTAGACGTTCTCGATGCGTTCGGGGGAGATGTACTCGCCCTGCGCGAGCTTGAGGACGTTCTTGACGCGGTCGACGATTCTGAAGCGGCCCATTTCGTCCACGGTGCAGATGTCGCCTGTGCGGAACCAGCCGTCTTCGGTGAAGGCCTTCTTCGTCTCGGCTTCGTTCTTGTAGTATTCCTTGAAAACAGTTGGCCCGCGAACGAGGAGCTCACCACGAGGATGCGGCTTGTCGGTGGAGAGGTACTCCATATCAGGGACATCCATCAGACACAGCTCGGTCGTGGGCGCAACAGCACCACAGTTGCCAGCGGAGTAATCGCCCTCCAGCTGCGCCAACGCAATCGCATACGTCTCGGTCAAACCATATCCTTGGTAGAAGTTGTTGGCAAAGACGATTCGCAGGAACTGATGAAGCCCAGGATCCAGAGGAGCCGATCCAGAAATCATGGTCTGCGCGCGATCAAGACCAAGCGCAGCAGAAACCTTTTTGGCCCAAATACGATCGTACAACAGGTGGCGGTTCGTCGCCTTATCGGCTGGAGCCTTGGTTAGGTTTGCAGTCTTGGTGTCGACAATGTAACGAGACAAGCTACCCCTGAATCCAGGAGCTTCGATCGTTTGCGTCTTGATCGCACCACCGAAGCGGTTGAACAGGCGGGGAACACTGGTGAAAGCAGTCGGCCTCAAAAGCTTCAGATCATCGACCAATTCCAAGATATTGCCGTGGAAGTAGCCGATTGCTGAGCCAGCCCAGAGAGCACCGTGCTCAGTCACACGCTGGAAAATGTGTGCGAGTGGCAAGTACGAGCAGATCGTGTCGTTCCGAGACTGCTTGCAAATGGTCAGGGAAGACGACGCAGCCGCAACAGCGTTCCTGTGAGTCAAGATGACACCCTTGGGGTTACCGGTCGTTCCAGAAGTGTAGTTGATGGTAACCGTATCATCAGGTCGCGGAGGGGTGTACGGCCGTGGCGAAGTCTCTCCAATCTTCTCAACAGCGCTCAACTCGTGGATTTGAACATTATGCTGCGCGGCCATCGAATTGAGGAGATCCTTCTTCGAAAACCCAGCCAACTCGCCCTCGACGGAAATCGGATCCAGCGAAATGATCAGCTTCAGCGAAGGACATCTCGGCGCGAGCTTCAGCAGAGCCGGGATATGTGGCAGCGAGCAGCAGACAGCCGTCAAACCCGCATGGTTGATGATATATTCCACGGCATCAGGACCAAGGGTATCGTACAGCGAGACGCTATAAAGCGACTGCGACATGCACGCCAGATCCGTAATCTGCCACTCCGGGCGATTCTGGCACCACAATCCCACACCATACTGCCTTCCAATGACACCCACAGATTCATGCAGAGCCACCAATCCCACGCCAAAGTTCGCCCGCCTCTTCTGCACTTGGCTGTATGTCTGCCAAACGTATTTACCAAAAGTCTTGGTCGCGGGATCGTAAGGTCGATGGCCTAGACACTTGCCATTCGGTACTCGACCAACCGACTGCTCGAAGAACTCGTGGGCGGTGGTGACGGCCGGATCGAGGGAATGAAGAACCCCCTCCGTTCTTCGCCAATGCCGATATACCGCGCTGCGACCTTGCTTTTGCGTGCCCGGCACCGCGATCGAATAGGGCGCACCTGGAGGCGGCGGGGGGACGATCTTGGCCGCCTCGTCGAGCGCCAACAAACCCTGCGTCATGGTGATTGTGGGAGAGTGTGTGCTTCAAGCGAAGAAGCCGCTGCTAAAGCTCTGCGATCGTTCGCGGGGGACGAGAGTCGTACACAGATAACGGGATCCGTAGATTTTCGGCGTCGGAAAACAGAGATACAGAGATTCGCGAGATTTAGGCGGGCGATTTCGAATCTATCAGATTACGATTTGCGCGCTCGCTATCTGTGTGCGACAAGAGGAGAGTTGTCAGTTCTGCTGCCCTCCAGTTCGGCGAGTAGCCCGGGGGATGTTCAAGCTCACACTCATATGTTGCAGACTCTCGCAAGAGGCTCTGTGCTATTCTTCACAAGAAGGAAAAGGACGCTATCCTGCACGCGGGAGGGAGAGGAGGATAGATACAGAGGTGTAGAGAGCCGGTGTATGTAGGGAAGAGTAGGAGAGAGGGAGAAGGGATCACTTGACCTTGAGTGTGGTTGGCGGCGGCGGCGGCGGTGGTGGATGGTGGATGATGTGCGTGCAGCTCTGTGCACAGCAGCGCAGCGCAAAAACGCCTCGGCTCATTCGTACAAGGTCTCGCGTGGCTTAAAGGAGCAGCTGCTCCGCGACGTCCAAGTCCACACAAAGCGAACTTGTTCCGAGGCGGCCAAGAGCGGCAAAGGAAGAATCAGCAGCAGCGGCACCCAGGATGATTCTCGTTTCCAACACCCACCACCACCAACAACCACGAGAGCAAGGATGCTAGCTGTGCGGTGTGAGATCGTGAGAGATGGAGCTGTTGCTATCACATGCCAGTCTCGCTGTCCCTTCCGTCATCTCAGCCAAACGCCGCGCCTTCCATGGGACGGGACTTTTGACAGGGCAGGGTGGCAGGGATCTCGCCGAAACTCTCGAAGCTCAACCGCTCCCTGTCCGAGGCTCGATCTCCTCGACTTCACGCGTCACGGGCACGAGAGGCTTGGCCATTTGATACCGCTTTCCGAGAACGATCATCACCACGTCTTCTGTCTTTCACGTGCGAACGTCTGTTCGTCGGCGCCGGCTGTTCATCTCGTGTCTCATGATGAAGCCCGAACGCCGTCCACTGCCGCAAGACAGGGAATACTGGTCCAGGCTGATACCTCAACCTTTCGCCCTGGCAGAACTTACTGTGTGAATGGTACTGTAGAATAAGTCGATCCTTCTCACACTGGAAGCGAATACATCTCTACGTGTCTGCAAAACGACAACATCACATTTGCTCAAAGCAGGGGCGTAAAACCGAAATTTTTCATCGAATTGGGTATTGTAACCTAGCTTTTCCTCCATCTTCTCATATATCCAACATCTAAACGGTTGGCTTCGTAGGTGCGTTGGCATCACCAGTCACACCGCCGTTATCGGCGCCCTTCTCATCTGGCTTCGTCGCCGCGTTCTTGAAAGACTGTTCAAAGTCGGCGATGATATCGTCAATGTGCTCAGTGCCGACCGAAATACGGATGAGATCCTGCCAGTCTGGTTAGTGTTTTGTGCTTATTGTTTGGAGTGAAGAAAAACATACCTCAGTAACACCACTGCTGACCTTCTCCTCATCGCTCAACTGCTCGTGGGTGGTCGTCCAAGGATGAATAGCCAAAGTTTTCGAATCACCGACATTGGCAAGATTCGAGATGAGCTTGAACCCATCAACGACCTGGCTGCCAGCCGTCTCGCCGCCCTTCACACCGAAAGACAGAACACCACCGAATCCACGCTTGAGGTACTTCTTCGCGAGCTCGTGGCTCTTGTGGCTGGGCAGACCTGGATAGCTAACCCAGGCGACATTCTCATTCTTCTCCAGCCACTGTGCAAGCTTGAGAGCGTTCTCTGCATGTCTCTCACCACGCAAGCTCAGAGTCTCAATACCAAGGAGGAGCTGCTGTGCGGCGAAGGGGTTCAGGGCCGCGCCCAAGTCACGCAGGATCTCGACTCGCAGACGGATGATGAAGGTGATGGCGCCGAAGGTATCCCAGAACTTCAGGCCGTGGTACCCGTCTGAAGGCTCAGTCATCTGAGGGAATCGCTTGCGAGCGTCCTCACTGCCCCAGTCGAACTTTCCAGCGTCAACGACGATACCGCCAATGGTCGTACCGTGACCACCGATCCACTTGGTCGCGCTGTGCACGACAATGTCCGCGCCGTGCTCGATTGGACGGAAGTAGTATCCACCAGCACCGAAGGTGTTGTCGACGACGACTGGAACACCAGCATCATGGGCGACCTTGACAATCTTTTCCCAGTCTGGGACGTTGTATCTCGGGTTACCAATGGTCTCGAGGTATACAGCCTTGGTCTTCTCATCGATGAGCTTCTTGAACTCCTCCGCGTCGTCTCCGTTGACGAACTTGGTAGTAATGCCCAATCGCGGCAGGAACACCTTCAGCTGGTTGTAGGTGCCTCCGTAGAGGTTCGAGGTCGAGACAATGTTGTCGCCAGCATGAGCGAGAGCTGCAATGGCCATGAATTGAGCTGCTTGGCCGGATGAAGTTGCCAGAGCAGCGACACCGCCTTCCAGAGCTGCAATTCGCTTCTCGAAGACGTCGACAGTTGGGTTCATGATACGCGAGTAGATGTTGCCAAACTCCTTGAGGCCGAAGAGCCTCGCTCCGTGAGCCGAGTCATTGAATGTGTAGGAAGTGGTTGCGTAGATGGGAACAGCGCGAGACTTGGTCGCAGGGTCGGGCTCCGCACCTATTCAAACACCAGAGGTCAGTCATGAGGTTTGGAAGTGTATTTCTTAACTCTACTCACCAGCGTGAAGCTGGAGGGTCTCGAACTTGGGGACAATGTCTTCTCCAGACATTTTGAAGATCTGTTCTCTTAACTGCTGTAAACGTGAGAGACCTCTGGACTTCCTGGGCATGCACTGTGCAGTGAAGCAATGAAGATTAAAGGACTGCTCAGATCACACTCCAGGTTCAAGAGAAGTTGTACGACGTGCGAGGAGCTGGGATGATGTGGATTTGGAAAACAATGGCACAATTTCTTTGTCGTGTCCACAGCCCCGCGTGCCTGGTATGAAGCTCACTTCACCACCCCGCAACGCGAGCACGCCATCATCTAGTCTGCGCTCAATTGCCCTCTGCTACTGGCCAATCCCGCCTGGACGAAAGGCTCTGGCCTCGATGGGTGCTCCATCATCCCGGCATTCTCCTGCTTTGGGCGTGAATGCATTCGTCGATGCACCCCCAAACCTATCCCGGCCGTCGATCTTCTGCTGGACAGGCAGTCGGGAAGCTGCGAAGCTCGACGATGACACCATGAGCTTCATCGACGGCTCTGCACACTATGATGGCAGGTACCTGGTATCTCCAATTCCCGCAAAAGTGTCAGCTGTTCATCCAGGCTCTTTCGTAGACGCCGTGCCTGGTCGAGACGGCGGCAATGCAACCGATGCTGGGGATTCAGCAATGTGAACCCTTGAAGTTCTTATATCACGGATAACCTGGACCACTTGTCCAGCGCTTTCATACTGCGTCTCGCAAGAGACAAACGCATCATCAGGGTTCTCGCTGGCGTCAGGATCTGAAGACTCCCTCTGCACGGCGATCATAGGCAGTGGATATGCACCGAGCTTCAAGGGTACGAGGAGGACATTGAACGCGTTCTCAGCTCCATCTTGCAAGACGAAGTGGCATCTTCGCTGACCACCCACGAGCCAAGTATCCGCTTCGGTGCCGACGTCACACACAAAGGAGGACTGATTGTCGCTGTCCCCGTGAATCTTGAACGTTGGCACTGATGGGAATAGGCTTTTCGAACTCCAAGCCCCGGTATGCCTAACACGCACAGTGGCCTGTACCGGCTGTCCTAGGGTGAGCACCGATGGAGTCGACTCGACAGGAGGCTTGGCTTGCAGCAGGTTCAGGGAAGCGCTGAAGACGGTGTTGACATTAGGCACATCCACAGAGATTGTGATATGTTTTGTGGCGTCCTTCTCAGCGCCATCGTCGGCCCATGTCACTGAAAGGTTGTCCTTGTGCCAGTGACGGAGCCATTCCGCCAGAGGGAGCCGCACACTCTCTTGTAGAGTGTCAGCAAGCTCCTGCCAACCCAATATATCGAAGCCTGGGATGTTTGCTTCCCCCAGGAATGCAGCTGTTTCGAGATCGGTATTGTCGATAAAATGCTTGGCGCGTTCATGTAGCAGCGGAAGCAGAAGTCTGCATAGATGCTGGAATGGAGACTGCTTCAGAGCATCGCTGAACCTTTTTCGAAGACCAGCAAGATATAGCTCATCAATGGTTTGATAAGAAACTCCAAGAGCCAATGCAGCATCGCGTTTGAGTGTTTGGCTGTCCACTGGGGATTTGCGGGTGATCTTGTAGACAAGCTTCATCGGCTGGGACTTGTAGACCGTGACGGGCAGTGGCAGTTCAGGAGGCGCTTCCACGGCGTAGACAGGGGAATCCGCTAGGTCTGCTGCCAACATCAAGAAAGGCGACTTGGTGGTCGTTCGGACTGTAAAATTCGAGAAGAGTGCATCAAGATGGAAGATGTCGTTCACATCGACGTCCAAGGGCATTTCGTTCGAAAGTCGAGCCGTTTGCAAGTGAATGAATGTTCCATCTGGAGTCTGATATTGAACCTCCAGGCGCACGGCAATGTCGGTGTTTGCATGTTCGACAGTATATGGTACGATCACAACAGCTTCTGCATTCTGACCCAGCGCCTTGAAGCTGCGCTGCCCAGGCTTTCCAGATTCAGCTTTGTCAAGATCAATCCCTTCCGAGCTTGTGTCTGCAAGATGAAGTCTCAGACCAGCCGATATTGGTTTGAAGCGGACCTCGATGTATTGGATGTCATTGTGTCCAGCGTTCAGAAAAAGCTCGAGCCGTCGTGGCTTGTCGATGTGTATGTCTTTTGAGCGTCTCAGTTCCGCACTCAAGGCACGTTCGGCTGGGTATAAGAAGACGAATGCTGGTGCTTTCTCTGGTTCTGTGACAGTGACAGTTGGTGGTTCGATCTCTGTGAACCCAAGTGGAGTAGGCTTTGGTGGTGGTCGCAATTCCTCGACGAAACGAATCTTGTTCGCACGTAGCTGTATCTTGTCAATCACGTACGCACCATATGCGGTGGCATGGGACTTCAGAGTGATCTTGTTCACACCGTTCTTGACAGTCGACTTGCCGCTTGTGACCCAAATCTCATGGCTAGGCTCGTCATGGCTGACCAAACGTGCTCCGACTTCGTCGACGTCAAGCTCGTCGTCAAGAACATGCTCGAGATGTAGGGAAAGGCCGAAGCCATCCGTGCTCGACTCATGCATTATCTCTCGGTGGAGGTATGTCCCGTGGAAGAATGTCTTCATGGGCTGGATCATCTCCTGTTGCAAGTCTCGAGATGCTGCGACGAGGTCTTGAAGCAATCCGCCCGTTTCGATATCGCCGTCGCTTTTATGTCCGGCACTCTGAGCGGTCATACGCACTCGTGGAAATTGCCTTTCCATGCTCCTAGCAGTCACCTTCGCGAGCAAGCTAAGGCCGTTTCGCACATAATCCTCATATCGCTGCAACTGTTTCAAGCATCGGGAGTAGAGGCCGAGTGCTTCAAGTGCTACTAGATCCCAGCTGTCTGCAGAAAGTGTCGGGAGAATGTGCTGAAAATGCGAAGCGGCGTCCTCGAAATGCTGTTGTTGACATTTGAGAATGGCTATGTCGCCAAGCAGCACCTCTGCAGACTTGCTCTGGGTGGCCGCATAGTAATGGCGGATGGCGAAATTGGTTATACGCTCGTATGTCGATTGAAATCTGCTTTCGTCTTCCAATGCCTTCCTTAAACCTGGGCTAAGGTGGTCTTGAGAGGTTGCTGTCTGCTCATCATCGGCCAGCACGGAGTCTGTCGGGGTCTCTCCTAAACTGACTTCCTCCATCTGCTTTGTCCGCGAGCGTTTTGCAAAGGCCCACCCTGCGTACCAACCATGCCGCCGCGCAACCTGCTCAAGCATCTTGCGGCGTGTCGAAATCAGATCGGCACGGTAGGTGGCAAGTTCAGCTTGTCCTGGGATCCCGGTGGGTTTCGCGGATTCAGCCCCAGAACTGGATCCTGGTCTGAAGGCATGATCGTCTTGGGTCCGAGGCCTGGACTGTGGCCTCGGCGGTTGTACCGGTTTGACATCATTCGGTGGGAGGCTTGTAGTTCGCTGTGGATGGGTGTTGGCCCCCAAGCCCAAATTGAGCACTGGGCGTTTTGGCTTTCCGTTGGGTGCCTGCATGGATTCCTCGAAACCAAGCCTTGTAATGTCAACCAGTGCAGGCGCTGCTGTCTCATCAAGGACCAGACCCGCCACGGCCCACGTCCATGAGCAGACGAGGGCTTCAATCTCGGCAGTCCTCTCTCCACGGTCTTTGTGTTCCGCCCTAGTCATGAGGTCCTGCCTCAATGTCCTTGCAATGTTGTGGATGAAACTGGACGCCCGCCAACACACTTCGGAGGTCAGGACGAGATCCTCCCCACCCTCCTTGTTTGCATCAACACCAAGCTGAGCGCGAGCGGATTTTGTATTAGCCAGCCGCAAAATCAATGCTTTCTGCCTCGTGAAAATGTAGCAGAAGAAGTCGAAGACGGAAATGTTGCTTCTCACAATCTTCTCCCTGTAATCTTTGTCAAACAATGCATCTGCATCGCGTCGGTCGTTCATCGTCTCATCATTCGTGCCATTAGTTACTTTGTCGAGAGCTCCAACAATACGCTCCCTAATATCATCAGTGTACGCTGCGAAACTAGTGGCGGTTCCTTGTGCCTCGCCAGAAGCAATCTCTCGAAGGACCAGCTCCAGCCCAAGTGAAAGCTCATCGTATATCGCCAATGCATCCTCCACTAGGCCAATACTTTCCAATGCTTTAGCGAGACCTTCTTTGTGGATGAAGAAAGTACAAAAGTTCCAGCCAGGTAAGGATCGTCGAGCTTCCTGGTCTGTTATGTCGGCCTCGTACTGACGCACTCGCCGATCGAATGGTTCCAGAATGAGACTCTTCAATTTGCCGACGAAGTCGTTCCATGTATTCTCCCGCTCTTGTGGTGTTTCTTCATGGGTCTCTGCCACCGCTGGTGTTGGAAGTAGATCCGCAGGTGCACGAGCCTTGGGTATGCGAATTTGAGCGATTCGGTCCAGATATGATTTACCCGAGTCGTTGAAGTCTGCTCGCAGTCGGTCGAAGACAGTGCGAGTACTCTTCCCAATCAACTTGGTACCAGGCTTGCGCTCTTTCAGCTCATCTGGATCTCTGGTTCCCTCCCGCCATCTCGGTTCGCTCGCCGCAATCGTGTCAGGAATGACAATGTGTAGAATCATCCATTCGAAAGCATCGTGGTCTTCCCGCTTCCAGTCAGGCTGGGCATTCTCTCTGATCCATTCACGTATCTTCCTTCGATCGCTTTCTTTGTATGCATCCTTGTCGTCGCATCGTAGCACATAAACTTTGAGGTAGGGGCTGGTTCTGAACCCGGGTATCTGGTGTCTTCGTTCCTTCACCGCATTTTTGCGCCCATCTGGCCCTCCCCGCACAATGTCAAAACTGTTGGGTCCCTCCGAATCGGTCCGCGACGTTGTCGGTCGAAGGTTGTTCGAGGTAGACTTATCGGGTACGAAATCGACATGGAGAGATTTGATCTGGCGCAAAGGTCTAGGCGGTGACTGCCAGTTGAGATTTCGCAGAGGAAGGCGAGCAGCTATGTCGGCCGAAACGAGCGGGAAGACGCCAGAGGGGTCATGATACTCGACTGTGAGAAGGAATCAGCCATGCGTGCTGTGGTTGCACAATATCGGGAGTGTACTCGCCAGTGACCTTGCTCGAGCTTTGAGCGGTGGGTTCGGGGTGCATGTCCAGTCCAGCCTTCGCAGAGCCTGACTGTCTGCATTGCGCTGGTCGCACGAGATGCGCAATGCACTAGACGGTCGCTAGCATGGCGTGAGTGAATGGTAGCATGTGAAAGTCAGTGGCAGCAGGTCTGGGAGCTCAGAGGTCGGGATCTCTTGAACGTTGCAGCGCTCTTTCCCCAGCTAGCTGGAATGCTGCGCACGGTGACGTTTTGGAGCACTCTCATTGGCGCAAGGCCTTTGGTCTGCGACTTCACGAGAACTCCCGTTGTTTCAACACCACCTCCTCTCTACCTCTCACCACTCCAATCCCACTCCCCCGTGCCATTGAAGCGGTCAAGATGTATCCGACACTTTTGCGGCAGGTATGGAATCCCAATTGGGCATGGAAAGCGCAGCACTGAAGCAGAGACAGTCCGCCCGTCCTACCTCCATAACCCGCGACTTCGTATCAGGTGAATATGAGAAGAAACTGTACAAACGAACGATGAGTTGACGGAGGAAAGGCCAACATCCATGGAGGCAGCCAACTGTCAGTCATCAACTCTAGGAACCTTTGCGCAAGCAGTGTTAACAGGAGCGACCACAGAGCTACGAGACGTTCAGGAGCAAATATGGCCCTCAGTAGGTCTTCGTCATGGACAATTGGAGCGCCGATGTGCTCACATACGGGTTCCACAGATACAAGATCCCCTTCAACGTCTACGGCGTTGATGCGAAGCGCTTGATCAGATAGTACGGACATCCGAGCGATACCGAACCGACACAGAACCAGCCCACTGACCACCTACGCAGCGGCGGCCTCGCAGGCGCTTTCGGAGCAGCCGCTGGCATCTTCGCCATTTTCTTCTTCGACGGTGTTCCACGAGTGCAGAAGGTATGGAATCAGGAATGAGCATGGCAGAAGTAGAAGAGGCTGACTTGCCGCAGGACATTCTCCAGAAGGTGCCTATCATTGGTAGCTTCTTCGTTCACGAGATTCCCCCAGAGGACAACCCATTCTAAGAAGCGCGACATTTGAGCGATGACAAAGACTAGTATCTGTAAATAAGAGCATGGAGTCTGTACCCAATAGAAAAAGAATGGATTTGTTCTACTGCAGATCACACAACACTGCGTCTTTGGCGGGTTTGGTGGCTTTCACACACATTGACTTGAAGCAGAATCAAGCGCGTCCCCTGCAAGGTCACTTGTCGAGTATTACCGGGACAGAATAACAACAGCAGCAATGAAGCAATCTTAGCAACTATTGCGTGTTGGCAGGCATAGCATTTCGTTCTCTACCATGACAAAAGACTCGCTGGCTGCAGAAGGCTACAGGAAGACAATACGATGCAGACGAAAGACAGGACAATCCAAGACGAATCTCATGAGGGTATCTCGCTAAAGACCGCAAGTAACGCATCTGATTCCAATTCTTCAGCACCTTGACTGAACGTCACTCCCATCACACCTCATACGGCCAGCTAAGATCGCGCAGACTCGCCACATCACCCACGCACGATTCCAGGCACACGGATATCAATGCGCTGCCACTTTTTGATATCACAAACTTGACAATCCCTCGCCGCACTCAGAACGTCTCTCGCCCGCACACCATTCGCCTTCTCCACGTTTACCAAGCAAGTCGCAGTATCATCCGAGGTCTTCCGCCCGAATATCCGGAACCCGCTCGCGGACGATCGCTTCCAGTAGACTGTAGCTTCAACATGGCTGCATGGCATCTGCGTCAGGTACATGTTCAGCCACGACTCGGCCGAGCTCAGCTTCGCCCTGAATTGCATCGTTCTCATGCGAATGACCTCCCCTTCAGACGGGAAGACTGGATTGAAAGACACGACTGGGCCAGAGGGTGACTTGGCGGGATTGTCGACAGCGTCCTGATCCTCATCGAGATGCTCCTTTTCGTTCAAGCTGGCTTGCGACTTTTGCTTTTCGGTAGATGGTCCAGAGGCGTGTTTGTTGTCATGCACGAAGCGCGATAGCTCGGTCGGCGAGAGTCTCGTACTTGGCACGAAACCCAGGAACATGAGGCGTTGAAGATGTGGAGACTGCTTGATGACTTGGCGCCATTGTCGGCATACTCTCTGGTCCAGCAAGAGGTCTTTCATAGACAGATGTTCCAATATATATCCGAGCAGCTCGGCCGGTAATGAACTGATCGAAGCCATTGTTGTCTTTCAGGCTCTTCGCAGCGGTGGATGTTGTTTCTTGCTGTCGTCTCACAACAGGGCAAGGAATGGGGCCGGAAAGTGGTCGCGTGCGAAATTGTGGGTTGCTCACAAAGACCACAGGATTGAGTGCGTCACTTCGCGCGGTACAGTAATCTGCCGTCCACAGCCGACTGGCACCCAAAAAAGGAGAAAGGGTGAGGGTTTCGTTAGGGATGGAACGAGAAAAGGTTCGAACAATGTTGGAAATGTCTTTTTTAGAAGTCTGCTGGCCAGGCGTCGCTGCTCCGCCTTGTATATTGCTCGCCAACACGCCGCCGAGTGCTGCCCAGCATCATGGCAATCGCGGCGCTCACTTGGCCAGGATGCCCGAGCCATTGATACGGGTGCCAGGATGTCGTCGATGGCCTTGGCCAGTCAGAACTGCCACACAATACACTCTTGTGCGGACACAGATGTGATACGACTAAGTCCGGGACACGCAAGAAGTACAGAGAAGTGAGAGTTGTTTAGGCTTTGGTGATGAGCGTTGCACAGAATCCGTCGCTGGGGGCGGTCATGCTGGAAGGCTGCCGATTTGTCGTTACGAATTTACGTTCGTCACACGTGAGCTGGCGAGTGAAGCGTGCGGCGGGGGAAACCTTGACCTGGTTCAAGACATCGAACTACCTGTGATCCTATAAGATACCTACTATTCCAGTCATTCCTTCACCATGTTCAAGAAGAAGCCTACGATCAAGCCCTTGGCTCCGTTGCGATCCTCCGATCGGAGGAAGCTCGCTGATCAGATCATCAATGACTTTGAGCTTGAGAGCCGGGATGAGGGAGCAAAAGATGAGCAGACACCAGAGCAGAAGGCTGAGGCTACGGCTGCGAGGACGAGCTTGAGGAACTCCCTACTCCCGGACAATTCACAATCTGCGAGATTTACGACGACCCATGGACCGGATCTAAAGCAACTCAATGGCACGGTGTACGTTGGGAGTCAGAATGGGGAGGAAGCTCGAGTACTTTGGTTCCAAGTCGAGAATCGCATGTACCCGACAGTATACACTCTATGGAGAAACCCAGACATCGTGCCATTGCTGCATACACCAGAGATTGTGGTCAAGAAGCTTCAGGGCGGCGCAGACTTGATGACGCCAGGTCTTGCTGGAGGACCTCCATTCCCGCCCAAGGCCAAGAAAGGAGCTGTAGTGGCAGTCGCAAGTACAGACAAGCCGACAGTACCAGTTGCGGTTGGAATCTGCGAGATCGACGTCAGTGCGTTAGAAAAAGTGCAAGGTGCAAAAGGACACGCAGTGGAAAATATGCACTGGGCAGGAGATGAGGTTTGGAGCTACAGCACGAGCAGCAGACCAGGACAACAGCCGCCGGAGGAAATTGAAGGCTGGGCAAAGGTACTTGAGGAACGAGGCTTGACGGAGAAGGCTCAAGAGATGACACTGGAGGATCAAGACGAAGCTGGAGGAGTCTCTCTTGACAGTAGCGAGCAACCAGCACAAAATGGGCATTCTGATCCTGTATCAGCTGAGACTCAAGACGGAGAAGATGCACCATCACAACCTGATGCAAAGCCGCTCACGCAGAAAGAAGTCGACGACGCCTTCTATCAGGCGTTCTTGTACGGCATCTACCACTATAAGACTACGAACCCGAACCAGAACAACTTCGGGCTCGTATTTCCTCTCTCACAATCCTTCGTCATGTCGACACTGGTGCAACCGTTCTTGCCAGCATTCACTCCAGAGCAAAAGGAACAACTGCAGATCAAGAAGACCTCTTGGAAGAATATCAAGAAGTTCGTCAAAAGTTTCGACAAGAAGAAGATTATAAAGACCAAAGAGAAGGACGGACATGAGACTGTGGTGCTGGATATTGATTTCAACGATGCCGAGATTGTCAACTTCAACCCGTATCGATTGCCCAAGAAGGAGACTGTTGCTGGCTCTTCACTAGGACGGGGAGAGACGGCAACAGACAAGATCGATACTGGTGATGACTCAGTTGGTCAGAAGCTACAAGTCGTGTCCTATTATCGACCCACATCCAAGTTGCAGCCAGTCTTTGATGCTGCCTCTGCCACGAAGGCATTGTACACGCCACCCGAAGTTCGTGAACTCATCACCGCGTACGTCGAGGCAGAGAATCTCGTCTCGGAAACGAACAAGCGCCTCATCAAGCTGAACCCTACGCTCGCCAACTCTGTATTCGACGGTACAGGGCAACTCGACAAAGAGGTCTTGGCCAAGGGTTCCGTGCCCCGCGACGCACTTATCGATCGAATACTTCACGGCATGGCGAACTCGTATGCCATCGTCAAGAACGGGTCTGATCCCAGCAGTGTCAAGGCAAAGAGCGGCGTACCACCGAAGATCCACATCAACCTTGAAACCCGCAGTGGCAACAAGACCGTGACGAAAGTCTCTGGCCTGGAGCCATACCACGTCAATCCACGGCCTCTGGCTGATGAGCTGCGAAAAGTATGCGCTGGTTCGACGAGCGTGGAGCCTCTCGCCGGAGCAGCCAAAAAGAATGAAGCTGCCGTAATGGAGATTATGGTCCAAGGGCCGCAGAAGGATGCTGTCGTCAAGGCTTTGGAGAAGAGAGGGGTGGACAAGCGGTGGATAGAAGTGTTGGATAAGACGAAGGGGAAGAAGCGATAGATTCTGTAAGGCTACCTCTTCCTCATGGCAGACTCACCCCATCCTTCACTTCCTAGTGTGATGCAGGCTCCTCTAACCCCCAGGTGATTCGTACATATCAGCCGAAGTCCTGAAAGGCAGACATCTCCGCGCAAAGTGCTAAGCTCCTTCAAATGTACTGGCTCAGACTAACATCGTCTACAGATTATGCACATTGTCGTGAAAGACTCAGGCAGCTAGGCTTTTTGAAACAAGCTTTCCTTTGCATGCAGAGTGAATCGCAAGCGATGCTCAAAATAGACAACTACAGATACAGAGTTGCCGCCGGTAGCACAACGTTAGGAAAGTGACACGAAATGATGCAGCTCTCTCAGCTCTACATCGTGCGAGCTGACCTTGCAAGGTCCTGCGATCTCTGTTCTTCTCTCTCGTCAAAGGCGGCGACAAACATATACCGTAAACAATTCGTCAGGCGCTTGAAATGAATTCGAAGTTGTCGCCTGGCAAGCTTCAGTCTAACAACTCTTATGCGTGGCACGACTTATCGTCATCCGCGCCAGAAGTACTCGCAGACCCCGTGGACAAGGAGTACATCGCATCCAGTGGCAAGGAGGTCGCCCCCTCCGCCGAAAAGCAAGTTGCCAGCGACGATGGTATACAAGTAGCTCCAGGGCTCGCGCCAGAAGTCCTCTCGGAAGTGAATCTACCGGAAGCTATAGATCAAGAGGACGAGAAAGAAGCTGTCAATCCTGATCCGGACTATTCTTTGGGCCTGGAAGAGAAGCCAATCCCCTCACGTGCCCAGTGGCGAAGAGACCATAAAGTGGTGCTCTTACTGTCTGCAGGAACTATACTGCTTCTCGTGATTGCAGTTGCCTTGGGAGCAGGTCTTGGTGTTGCCTTGAACCGAAAATCAGAAAACAACTCGTCGGCATCAACAGTGCAGTCTACGAACGGAGTGACGCTGTACGACGCAAGTCAAATAGCCTCGCCGACTTCCACGAGTCTCCCGACTGGTACAGGTGCTCTTGCTCTCAGTGCAGCCCGAGAATCCGCAGCTACGTGCCTAACTCAGAGAGACCAGCAGGTTGCCTGGGATTGCAATCTGACTCCGGACTCCCGTCTCGCCATCGATATTCAACAGTCATCACTCTCTGGCAGCAGTCTGGGCGCACAGGTAGTCTATGCTTCAGACTATACAGGAATCCAGTATGGTGCTCAAGCCCCTTACATGAATACCACTCTTGGCCAATTCTTGACCGTCATCGACAACAACGATCCGGAGTACGGTGCCGCCTTTTACTTCCAGCAAACGTACGACAAAGTTGTCGCTCTTCCGGAAATTGCGATCACTCTAAATACCACATCGAAGAAAAGACTGAGGCGCCAGACTTTCGATGAACTAAGTCCTTAACTACACAGGAGGGGCGAGACGGCCTCTCCTGGCGAACGCCTCTGGCTCTGCGTCTTCAACGAGACCCTTCTAGAAGGCTTCATCTACCTCAACCAATCCGCTCATCCAGCCTCGTCAACCTCCAGCTCATCATCAACCTCCGCTCCCGCAACAACAAGCTCTCACCTCCAAGGCCAAACCGCCGCACTCACCAGCTCCGATTCCTCAAACACAGCCTCCGCAACTCCGACCCCTACGACCACAAGACCCAACCCCTGGGACTCCCTGCCCACCTTCTCCCGAGTGGTCAAGCTCGAGGAGCGCCGCATCGCGAATAACTCTGTACAACCTTGGTGTCAGAAATATCAAATCCTGGACGGAGGCTCGGCGAACTGGGTGGGGGATGAGAATGGGGAACCGATCATCGTGCGGTTGGAGGAGGATGATTCGAATACGAGTGGGCAGGGGTGTCGGTGTCAGTGGATGAGTGGGGATGGGTCTTGAGACGAGGTGATGAGGAGGGGAGAGGTGGAGGTGGAGGAGGGTGTGGGTGGTGTCAAAAAGTCCTTGGATCGTGAATACTCTCCACGTGGAAGTCTCTTTCCCGATGCTATGTCTTCGGTGTTACACGTGGTGGAGCTGGAATGTAAAAACCCCCAACGTCACTTCTCAAGATTTTTATAGAGGCGAGAGGCAGAGAGAGCTCTCTCTAGCTTTAATAAGACGCGAGGCGTACCGAGAGGGAAGCGAGGGAAGGATATTCTAGGATAGCTCTCAGTGTTGCAAGATCGAGAAATATTCGTTCGTCTTTGATGAAAGCAGCTCTATTTCTTACTAGTTTTACTTCTCTCGAACATCCCCCTTTCCATCACAAAGCCGTGCTCGAGCCATCTCCTCCCAAACACCACACATAATACAACACGTTTACCTCCAGAGCTGTAACAAGAGGCAAGACAAACCATGAAATCCCACCACCGCCTGCAGTGTACATGTCAACACCAGCATATAAACTCCGCGCTAGCAAGACGCTAAAGTCCACGCACATGCCTTAGCGTCAAGGTAAGAAGCGACCAATCAAATCGCCAAAAACGCCAACCCTCCCTCCCAGCTTGTGAAACCAGTGTATCAAATGTCTGTACAGATGTCAGTACAGAAACGATTTTGCGGACATCGCTTAGCGTGAAGGAAGGAGCGGCCAATCATTACCTTCCCGAGCACCAAGCTCCTGGTTCCAAGACTGGAACGTATCGAGATTTAACGTCACCTCGTGAGATGAGAGTCAAAGTCCAACATCACTTCATCATCCAAGAATCTATAGACATCTAAAGGAAAAAATAAGTATTTGTAAACAGAAAGAATCAACTCCATTTCATGCACACACCCAACAGCGCTAAAGACAAGTCGAATGCAGTTCAACTCAACAGACAAGAAAAAACACACAGACAGTGGATAGGCAGAAACGTCTACTGTACAAGTATCGACTCGTCATCCACAGCAGGTCAAGTCCACCGCTCCACTCCCAATCCGAGCAACGACGCTCACATCCATCCTCTAGTCCTCAAACAACAACCTTTCTCTTTTGAAGCTGAATTACTTCCAATTCCATGCACCGTCCATGCTTCTCAGGGGGTATCCTTTTTCTTTTGGGTTCGGGTCTCTTCGCTTGACAGCACATTAAGGTGGTTACACGTGAAGGAAAAGAAAGGAAAGTCTTTCGTGACACACGAATTGTGTGAGGATGGGGGAGACGCGGCCGTTTGCATATTACACCAGATTTGTCGTTACCTCCGCTCGTTGGCCGCTCTTGATCTTGATCAGATCTTGACTTAGAGGGCAGCAACGAGACCGGCAACAACAGCCAGACCGGCGAAGCCGAATGAGGCCTTGCTGGCGGCGCCGGTGTAAGGGGCTGGAGAGCCTGGGCTAGTCGCAGCGGGAGGCGAGTACGCGCCAGTTCCGGTGGCGCCCGTGGGCTGGTATGCTGGGACGGTGCCGTTGGCCGCTGGGTACGGAGGAGCTGCTGGGCCAGACTCTACAGGCGAAGCTGGGCTTGACTCTTCAGGGCAGGGAGCGCTGCTTGAGCTGCCGCTGCCAGAGCCACCAGAGGCGTAGCTTGGCGCAACCTTGGCACCACCAGCCTTGCCCTTGGTGACCTCGACTTGAGGAACGTATGAGTTCCATGTGCCGAGAGATCCCTCGGATGGCTTGTTGGAGGTACCAGAGAAGACGGCAGCGTTGAATGTTGGGACGTTCTGGATGTTGATCTCCTTGCCCTCACGAGCAATGCGCCAGTGGAGGTTCTTGGTGAGGTAAGGGACGGCGTTCTTCTCAGCCATGCTGGGAAGCTTGCCCTGCTCGACACGCTTCTGGAGGTGGGTGGTGAGGGGGATGGCACCAGAGAGGTGGACATCAGGGTTGGCCATCTCACCACCTGCAAGCACACCAATGATACCGGCGCAGCCCTCATCGCCGAGCCAAGTGGAAGAATCGTTGGACTTGGCTGGGGAATCGAAGACGTAGACGATGTACGAGCCATTGAGAGTGTAGCGGGGAGTCTGGACGTGGCAGGTGTACTGGTAAGTGCTGCCGTTGGGTGCGTTGAAGCTGGAGTTGTTGGGAACAGTGAAGTTCTGGAAGCCTCCAGTTGGGAATGCGCGTCCACTGGTGGCAGTTGCAGTCGCATTGTTCGCATTGAATGGTGGCGGGGAAGAGACAGACGAAGACACAGCAGAAGAGCTGGACGATGCAGAAGCAGAGGAAGACGTCGAGCTGGCGGCGGAAGTGGAGCTGGCAGAGCTGGAGCTGGAGCCAGTGCTGGGCTCGAGGGCGCGTCCAGAGTTGCCAGCAGAGTCAGTCTCAGCGTTCTTGGAGATCGAGGCAGCAGTCAAGTTGGCGTTGGGTCCGTACAAGCTGTTGACAAAGTTGACGATCGAGGCCTTGGTGCCGTCGCTGGTCGAGAACTCTGGGTAGGTGTACGAGAAGGTGGTCTTCCAGTCGCGAACCTCGTCGGTCGTCCAGAAGCTCGAAGAGTCCTTGCGGAAAGGCGTCAAGGGCGAGCCGGCGTTCTGAGTGGAGCCAGACTGGATGGTCCAAGTGTTGTGAGGAGCGACTTGCGAGGCACCGTAGCTGTCGGGGTTGATCGTTTGCCAGAGAGCGAAAAGACGGTCAACGTTGCAGTGGTGAAGCCAGAAAATGGCATCGAAAGCCGCAAGAGGCAGGTAGGTCATGTGGCCTCCAGACACACCGTTGCTTCCTGGACCTCCGCTGGTCGTGTGGATCGTGTTATGAATACCTTCGAGAGAGTTGCCGCACTTCTCGGTTGATCCAGAAGCATCGTTGCTGAAGTGGAGGTAATCGTCACAGCCCATCAGGTTGTAGACCTGGTCCTGCATGCTGCCCTGGATGTTGTTGAACGCGTTGACCGCGGACGTCTCTTGGCTGGTGCCATCGGCGTTGTTGCTGTTGGGGTAGCGCAGAGTTTCGGGCCAGGTGGTGAACGGGCTGTAGTACATGGCGCTTGGGTCGGGCAGCTTGTAGGTGTACAATGGGTTGTCAATGGTCTGCTGGCCAGCTGGGAGATCGACCACGATCTGAGGCGAGCTCAAAAACGCCGGGAAGACATCGCCAGACTCTGCCTTTGCAGCCCAGTCCCAGTATGGGAAACGCATGGTCGAGCAAGCGTCAACCATGGTCTGTCTCTTGGTGCCCGTGTATTCACCTGCAAGCTCGCAAGCAATCTTGAGGAATTCCTGCTCGTAGAGGGCCATGTAGGCGCGGTGCCAGGCGGGGAAAAGGACGGAGTCGTGGCAGCAGTATCCATCAGCGTCGCCGCAAGACGAGCATTGCTCGACGCCGTTCCAGCTGGTGCGCGGCACACCGTGAACACCAGCGACCTGGTAGTAGCTGGTGGAGTTGGCGGTGTTGCCGTCCATCCATCGGCGCATGGCACCGACGAAGAGGGTCCATTGGTCGGGGCGGTTCGCGGCGAGGTCGCTGACCTCTAGACGGGTGTGCACTTGGTTGTCGCCAAAGCCCTTGGCGCCGGTGATGTAGACAGGACCAGCCTGTTGCCGCTTGTGAAGGTGCTCATGCTGGAGCCCGTGGGCGGCGACGGAAGAAATTAAAGCAAGCGATGAAATCGCGGTGGTGAGAAGCATCTTGCAAAAGAGCGTGGTCGTCGCCAAGATTAAATGAGAGTGGGTGGTTGGATTAAAACCAACTCAAACATGCGCACAAGGGCTGCGGCAGGTAGAAGATCGAAAGGGCGGTTGAGGGAAGGAAAGGTCAAAGGAGAGAAGCGAGAGAGTGATGGTAGGTCGTGCCTGCCCTTTGACGCACACCAGCGAAGGGAAGCGGCAGTCGCAGATGCAGTAGCGGCGTTAAACCAGGCCGTCACGAAAGACTTCGTCCCAGGACGGCGCGCGCGCTTGGCCACAGACTGGAAGACACACCCAAAGACACAGCATGGACACGACAGCAGAGGCAACGCCCGGGTGTTCGTTGGACGTGAAGTCCACAAACGGCGCGGATCGCAATGAGCGCGGCAGTCGGCAGCGCTGTTTCATGAGGGACAGGGTTTAGTGCTCTCCTGGACAAGCGGGCCTCCCGTCGACCCGCAGCTTAGATTAAACACCGCGGCCACATGCTCCCATTGCGTGAGACAAAACCACGACCACGTTGCACACGCCGCTGGGCAACAAAGGAATCTCCAAATCTACGCGCCCAGCCATTGATGACAATGTCTCGAGGAAAACCCGCGACACGTCCCTCGCATCGCTGCTGCTGTGCAAAACAACGGTGCCACCACGCACCCTCCACCGATCCGTCTTCCGAACGAGGTCTCCTGGCCGCGCTCCACCACCAGCACATCCACGCACGCACCCCGGCCTGTCTCTGTCTCGGTGGATCGCATCACCAAAACTCTCGTGTCCCCAAAATTGCTTACCTCGCTGACCGCGTGTTCTCCCACCGTGTCCAGCTTTCGTGGCCTTCAAATCTCCCCTTTCAGCACCTCCACGGTTACGTCGGCAAGCCACCACCACGAGGCCGTCTCGAAACGGTGAGGCTGTGTTCCCCCGATTCCTTTTCAACGAGGATTGCGAATTCTTTTTTACGAAGAGGCGCTCGCCATTCATGAAGCTTCCACCCGGAGGATTCAATACACTCCACAAGCGAGCGAGCTAAGCGTGCTGTCAAATGCAGGTACGCGGTTCTTGCACGAATCATGTCGCTTCTCAAACACTCCACCGCGTATTTATGCAGGAACAAAGGAGATGATGGATTCTTCCTGGCTATACGAAGTGCTGTCTCTCTCAGATGCAGTAGGTATACACACCGTACACGCGTGGTGTCAAACGCCTCATGCGCCTATGTACATGCTACCCGATTCCTTCCTCTCCCTATGTGCGCTTTTCAAACACCAGCTCATGCGCTTGCGCCCGCCAGCTGAGGAGGTCCGTATGAAACCTGAGGATTGGGTTCTCCTGGTGCCATGAAGTTGGTGTGTGGGTCCTTGGCGGCTTTCGCAGCCGAACATCTTGCCATCGTCGGTGATGATCTCGAGATCGCATCGGTGAAATAAAAGTTCTCAACCACGTGCTTGAGAGGTGCGCCAGTCGTGGAAGCCCCCTTGTTCTGGTCAACAATCTGGACTTTGCTGAGAGCTTGCAGCTCCTTCGATGTGGGCTCGACAATGTCGTATCTTCGCAGAGCGGGTGAGATCTCTTCCATGCGGTCGCGAAGTGCCTCAACATCGTCATATGGAAGTGGCACGTCCAGTGCCTCTGATACAGCACGCACAATCTTCCAATCGTCACGAGCCGCGCCATATACCGAAGTTGCGGCGCGAGACAGCTGTACACGACCTTCAGTGTTGACATATGTGGCACCCTTCTCGGTGTAGGCAGCGCCGGGGAGGACAACATCCGCAAGAGCTGCGCCGCGGTCACCATGATGACCTTGATAGATCACGAACGCATCCTTGGGGATGTCAGATGCGTCGATCTCATCGGCGCCGAGGAGCCAGATGACCTTGGGTTTGGTGTTGGCGGTCTCAGGGCTTTGGGAAGTGAAGCCGACTTCAAAGGCACCGGTGCGAGAGGCAGCACGTTGAAGGACATTGTAGCCGTTCCACTCCTCGGTCTGGAAGTTGGCCTTGTTCTTCTCGACGAAGGAGCCAACAGTCTCGTAGATGGCCTTGGCGTCAGGGTGTTCAACAGCGCTTGAGCCGACGATAATCAAAGGCTTCTTTGAGCTCTTCAGCTTCTCGCCCCATGCACCGCTGAGTGCACTCTTCAAGTCGTTGGCGTTGCTTCCGAGGTTCTCGTAGTCGAAGGTAGACTCAAAGTCCTGGCCGACAAGGCCAACTTCGAGGTCGGACCTAATCCATTGCTTCCTTATTCTGGCGTTAAGAACGGCAGCCTCCCACCTTGGGTTGGTGCCGATGAGCAGGATGGTATCAGCCTCTTCGACACCAGTGATCTTCGAGTTGAAAGCGTAGTTGGAACGAATGTCCGTGCCGTGGGCTAGTGGAGCTGAGCCTTGTGGCTGATCGAGAGCGAGGTTCTCAGAGCCAAGACGGTTGGCAAGATCCTTTGCGGCGACAAGAGTCTCAGTCTCAACCAACTGACCAGCAACAAACTTGACCTCGTCACCCTTTGGTGCAAGCTCCTTAAACTTGTCGCTGATCTCCACCAGCACATTCTCCCATGTAGCAGGCTGGAACTGGTTGTCTCGGCGGATAAGAGGCGTGGTGAGACGCTGTGTGCTGAGTCCATCGCATGCGAAGCGGCTCTTGTCGTCAATCCACTCCTCATTAACGTCATCATTGAGTCTTGGCAGAATACGCATTACTTGAAGTCCACGAGCGTCCACGCGAATGTTGCTTCCCAGGCCGTTCATGACGTCAATAGTTTCAGTATGTTGAAGTTCCCAAGGACGAGCACGGAAGGCGTATGGCTTCGAGGTCAAAGCACCAACAGGGCAGAGGTCAATCACGTTTCCAGAAAGCTCAGTGTCCAAAGCAGTCTCCAGGTACGTGCCAATTTGGAGGTCATTGCCACGTCCAGTGCTGCCCAATTCAGGTGCACCGGCAACATCGTTGGCGAATCGAACACATCGTGTGCAGTGAATGCAGCGGTTCATCGAAGTCTGCCCCTTGTCAGCCATGCAAACAGCCCTTCAAGTCTCGTATACCAACCTTAACGAGAGGTCCAATATTCTTGTCCTCAACCGCTCTCTTGCCATCCAGTTCGTGAAATCGTCCTCTGTCCGCACCATATCTCATGCTCTGATCTTGCAAGTCACACTCGCCACCCTGGTCGCAAATGGGGCAGTCCAATGGGTGGTTCGCCAGCAGGAATTCCATGACACCTTCTCTTGCTTTATGGGTGAGTGGGCTATTCGTCTTGACCACCATACCCGGCTGGACAGGCCAGGCACATGATGCTACGGGCTTGGGGGCGCGCTCGACTTCGACCAGACACATTCTGCAGTTTCCGGCAATCATAAGTTTCTCGTGGTAGCAGTATCGGGGGATGGTAACGCCTGCTTTCTCGCAGGCCTGGATAAGCGCTGAGCCGGCTGTTCCACGATGTCAGCACCCCTCTATCTCCCCTATTCCATCTGATTTCCAATGGTATACCTTCGACAGAGACCTTCTTGCCATCAACCGTGAGCTCCACCTCGGCCTGCCGTCTCGCGCTCGTGGCGAAGGTGCGGGCGGTCTTGCTGGCATTGGCCTTCGCCGTAGCCGGCGTCCGCGCCAGCGTGCGCAACAGGTTCTGCCGCATCATGTTGGCTGCGTCGCCGCGGTGGTATGGAGGGTGTAGGTGTAGTGCCGTGGTCGCCTCCTCCGGGTCATGAACTAAGCAGGTGTGTGCTTAGATAGGAAAGCTCGTGATTGGCCGAAGACGCCCCACCCACAGCGCTGAGGTTTTCGCTATAACTGTTTCCGCCTCTACGCTACCTCTTTCCTTTCCTCTTCACTCATGACGGCACTCTTTATTGTGGTATATTTGGACTTTTCCACCTGAATGTACTCTATTATGTGTCGGAGAGCGACTTCAAGGTCCCATAGCTGGAACGACGGAGAGCAGCAATGCTCCATGAAGGACTTTCCTTACCGATGGCACTACATACGAACTCGATTACGCCTACATTGAGGCGCGTGGCGGGAGGTGGATGATGGCCGTACCGCATAGCAAATGCAAGGCAAGGAGATCTTCTGTCTCTTCTCGTTTGATCTTTGAATTGGTTCTTCTTCGATTTCTGTTGTGCCGGGCTTTCCCCGTAACTACGTCTCAACTCCAACTGTCAAGAAATTGGTCTTCTCACTCTTCTCCCGTGTTGTGCGGCTCTCACAACTCAGTACAACTCCACGTCAAGTCGAAACGACATACCCTGTTGAACACTCAAGGTTTGTTCTGGATATTCTTGCACACTTCGCGCCTTCTCCTAGAGGGTGTGCGGACTGAGGACCACACCCTCCACCGGCATCCCCCTAAATCTTCGAGCGACTGAGCTCTGCATTGTACTCTCGGTTGCATGGACAGCTTGCGAGCAACGGGGATGAATCTGCAAAGAGCCGATTGACATCCCAGTGAGCAGGCCCCCAACCATGCTATTCAGCGCCCTTCGCAAGCGAGTGGCAGCAGCAGCTCGACCAGGCATCTCAACGCCATACCGCCGAGCACGAGCAGAGCAGAGCAGACTCCCCAAGCAGCCACCGCAGAGCACCCAAGGCCCACCCGAGTCGAAGCCCTCCCACCGCACTCGAGATACTGTTCTCGGCTGCATGGTCATGGTCGCCCTCAACATTGCCGTCATGGGCTACTTCCACAAGGACAAGGACGATGCGCCTCCGTCCTTCGAGATCGTGGATGACTGAGACGTAATGAGCCATCGATCAAGGTACGTTTGCGTCTTTGCGAGTCGCAAATAGGTAGGGCACGTGCAAAGGCGAAGGTTGAACGAAAATCAAGGTATGTTGTTCGGACTATACGGCAGCGTGACAGCAGAGTATGAGCACATTCACACAGTCCAGGCAAGCAGTGGCAAGAGCGAGCCATGGAGTAGGTAAGCTCAAGAAAGCAGCAGTTCAATGAGAAAGTTGAACAGAAGCGTTCAACAAGCAGTTCAAACAATCATTTCACATACTCATAACATTCCACACGCCAGGTATATACCCCCAAACCAGTGCAAACAACTCCTCCTTCCCATCCCATCCCACCACATCCCATCATATCCTCATACATATCTCCCGCCTAAGCAGCCGCCCCAGCAACCGGACACTTCTGCGCAGAAACATCATCCGCAACCTTAGGATGCGTCGCCACCTTCCCCTTATGATGCTCCAACTTGGCATTCGTAACAGGGCACACGGCGCCCGAATCCTTCTCATTCAAAGCCGGGTGCGACGGCGGGAGATGCGCGTTGACAGGTCCCACGACGGGGCACGTGGCATCCGTGAGCGAGTCCTTCGCGTTGGCGTTCTTGAGGGCGGGGCAGGACGAGGCGTCCATGGCTTTCTTGTCGTCTGCGGGCACGTTGGGGTCCGAGGGGTGGTTGTGGATTATGTTGTCGTGGTGTTCGACTTTGGCGTTTGTGATGGGGCATCGGGCTTCTGGGTCTGTGGTGAGGGAGTTAGTGGGGGTTGTGATGATGGGAAGGCTGGCTGTTTGCGTACCAGATGTGATCTCAGGGTGGTGAGGTGGGAGCACGTTGGTGGTGGTGCCAACGACCTGGAGCCTTGTTCAGTACGACGCCTATCATTCAAGCAGTTTCTCTTCACTCACTGGGCAGACTGATGCAGTGGCCATGTTGACTGTTGAAAGTATTCCGTTCGTGTTGAGATGTTGTTATTGATGAAAGTGACGTTCTTTGTTCGAGTTTTTGAAGACCTTCTTTGTAGAGTGACAAGGAAGAAGACAGAAACAAACCAGGAGGGCGGTCGACGTTTACAAACCCCCGCCAACACGTCGTCACAGAGTTCAAGGCCGTCCCAGGAATCACTTCTACGCGGGGCTAAGCTGAATAAGATGAGCGCTGATTGGTCAGGGGTTGGCTGGGCCTGAGGTCAAGTGAAGCCACTGCACTGCCGCCTTCTGAAACGCCATCTTGCGCTCAGAAAGGTCTCGAAGGCCACGAACGCAGAGCACGACACGACCTCCGGCACGCAGGGCAGAGGAACAGATGCAGGTGCCCGCGGAGTGCAGGTGCAGGGTGTGATAGATCAACCAGAGAGGTCGAATACCAAATTCATTGTACCCAAAAGCGCAGCCTCCGTTCCCAATCATGATGAAGATTGTTCAGGACGTGCATGAAGAGGCAGTAGAGACGGCTCCATGGACCTTGCGACCTGCTGGAAAAGGCAGAAAGCTCGAGCGCTAAGAGTACATGCTGAGCCCATCTGTGCCTGAAGGGGAGTTTGCCGCGTCTAGATCAGGGAGCTCGTATGTATTCCGAAAGCTACAATCTTCTCACTAATCAATCGTCGTGTTCTTGCAATCTATTGTTGTAGTCGCAGCTGTACAAAGAGTTTGCATTTTGATGGTGTAAGGCTGGGAGATGTTGAATTCTCGGGGCCCGGACTGTACAGTCTATTCTTCATCCGCCTTCGCAGTATGTTCAGGGGTCGACCTTCCACGTCTATCGCTCTCGAATCTGATGCTTCGCTGCCAGCCGCCCGTTGGGGTGTCTGAGCCGGATAGCGCTGGTGTTTGAGTCTTGGACCTGTCTGCTGGGCTCACCGCTTGAGGGCGAGGAGGGCTGTCAGAGCCAGAGACCTTGGCCTGGGATGGACGATTGATAGGATGTCCAATGATTCTACCGTCTCTTGGACCAGAGATCTCGGGACGAGCGCTTTTAGCACTCTCAGGCGACTCATCGCTATCGCCTGGTCTGTTCTGCTCGTTGCTGTGGACAGTCGCGCCTCTAGGTCTCTTCGTGTGGCCTGTCATGCTCTTGAACACGGCCACAATCACATTCAAAGCGCTGTCCATCCCGGAAGAGCTGGTGGAAGGCCCGACCTCTGTGGTCGTGGGCCGACGGCGGCGGAAAGAACGTACAAGGGACCTTTCCTCCCTCTCCACCCATCGCGGCACATGAGGTTCGTCGGTGTCTGTGACCCGTGACGGAGCGGCGCTGGGCGCACGAGAAAGTGCTCTCTCGGACGAGACGGCAGTGCTGATCGTTCGAGGGAGATAAAGTCCAAGCTTGCCCAGAGGAATGCTCATCCCGTGGACCACGATTGAGCACACGACCAGAAACCAGACCACGACTTCCAGTACCTCGTACTCGTGAGCCGCATCAGTTCGCGTGTGTCCATCGTAAACGATTTCAGTCAAGAACTCTCGTGCGATGTACAGATAAAAGATTGCGCTGACGCCAATTGGGCCGAAGAAGCCAACGAATGCAGTATGCTGCCAGGTTTCCACTTGATGGACCCACTTTTGGAACGCAAACATCATTGGTAAGCGGCGGAACAGGAGGACCAGTATACCCAGAGGAATCAAGCGGTAGATGGGGATGACAGAGTTGTCGACAAACTTGTGCCACGGGCAAACGGCACCTGTCATAGTTTAGCGGAAAGCTTTCTCAAATTCAATGACAACACATACCAAACCACATAAATATAGCGACGTTTAGTAGCATGTCTATCGTCGGCTGTAAGCTGTCGTCCATCGTTTCGAGTCGGAACCAGTCGTCCCAGGTGAAGACATTCCCGGCAATGAAGCAAGCCAGGACATCATCAGATCCAAGCATCCCCACAGTGCCGACAATGAAGAGCTGTCACCTTCGTCAGTTCTCGCTTGCATGGAGAGTATGTGGACGGGCTTACAGCTAGAGTGATTGCGAAGACGAGGAACGACTCTCTATCAACGTAATGTCTTTCCTCTGCCCAGTGCAGAAGCTCCTTGGCAAGATAGCCTACTACGGCTCCATATGCCACAGACATAATAATGACATAGGCCCAGGTGTCATAGAACCACAACGCGAAAGCATGTCCCACGCCGCCATGGTACCCCATTCCACCAAGCCCGGCATATTTGAGCAGATACAGTCCAATGAACAGGAAAGGATATCCGAGACCATCGTTGGCGCCTGACTCGGCAATGATGATCTTCTGGAGCGGAGGAGGGATATTCTTGTCTGCAAACTTTCCTTTGACGATGCTGTTGGAGAGGATTGGATCGGTGGGAGTGACGCATGCCCCCACCGACATGGCAACGATGAAGTTGATGTTGGGAACAAGCGCCCAGGTAAGCAACGACGTTGCCATCCACATACAGCACATGCCCGGCCCCAGCAGTATGCATAAGCTCTTTCTTTCCTTCCATAAGTATTTGCTGGGTAGCTGGACTCCGGCCAGAACCAGCTGGACCCCAAGAACAAGCCTTGTGAAATAGAGCGTAATAGTCTCCAGATCTTGCTCGTTCCCATTGGCGTATTCCAGCGGCCTTATGAAGTTCGCAGCATGTGGGCTGAAGATTACTCCGAATAGAGTTGAGATCAATGCCTCGGAGAGGTAGAACTTCTCTTTCAGCAAGTAAGACACCAATCCAAAGACTGTGATGAACCCGCCGATCGTAGCGCAGACGATGTTGAAGTTGACCACTTCTAAGGTAGGCATGATGATTCGATCGGTCGGTGGAGGATCGGGATTGAAAGAATGGAGGCGGTGATTTCGTGCACGATTGTGAACGTGTGTAATTTGGTATTTTGTAGTATCGTTCTTCAGGCTTTACCGCAATCGCAAGCCTGGTAGCAAGTGTTATCGCACTCTCCTCACGCCTTCTCGCGCCGCCAGTCGAGAACGGCCCAGCTGGGCAGGAACAGCGAGTGTTATTGAATCATGAAGGCTGTCTTGACGGATTCTGCGCTCGATCGTATAGGTGCCCGCCACGTTGATAAGCCTTGGCAGTGGTATAGAGGGAGCAAACAATGTTACGATGCGGTGGTGCGAGAAGAGGAAGAGAGATCTGGAGTGAAAGACTTGAAGTGGGTCGTGCTGATAGCGTGGGGAGTGTGGGGAGATGGAAGCCAAGCTTCTACCCCGCCCCCGTGGAACCGACCACCATGGAGAGAACATGGCCTCGCCTTTCACCATCATCAACTCAACATCATCCAGAACATCCACAGCTATGTTCCGTGCGATATACACTCGATTCTCGACCCGTCTGGTTTCCGACAGTCTGCTTTGGTGAGCATGACCATTCAGAGCCCCTCGCGTGCTTCCCATGGAACCAAGGACGAAGCCTCGCGTATGTTATCTGAGTTACTTGACACTTGGTCACCCATTTCTCCAGTATCTATTATGGTGAAGTGAATGTCAAAAGATGAAAACTGTGAGATGTGGAAAAGATTCGTCACTCACTGCAAGTCCCTCGAGCACCTGGATCTGTACAAAAGTGTCTCATGCTCGACCTTTCCGGTGGGAAGATGTCTTACCAACCCGATCCTTGGTCGTTTGGGACCTCGTATTGCTGTTAAGTGTTTCTTCTCTGAATACGCTGGCAGCGGCCAAAAATCACATCACCATTTCCCTTTGCATGCCGCGATGGGAACACAAAATGTCAGGGTTTGACCTTGTCATCCGATCAATCCAAATACAGACTCTTTTGCTCGTCAACCCGTTTGAAGACTCGTGATCGCCTTATGCTACTCACTATCTGTCTAGAACGCGAACAATGCAGGCCTCACCTCATCACTTCACTTCCTAAAAGGAGTCACATGCGTCCGATGATTTTCCGCTCCCAGCCAATGGTCTTGTGACCTTCTTGACTACGATGTCTACTACAAGCTCTTAACCTGCAAGCAGCATATATACATCGAACAACCCGATACGAACAACCTGCTGCACAGGCTTTAGTTCAGACTGCCGGCTATATCGCTTCACCCACAGCGACTTATACAACTCCAGGACACACCTGCACCCAACTAGTAGCCGTGGCCAGATCCAATTTCTCGATTTGTCTCTGCGTACGGAGTCGGTCATATGCCACACAACCCCGAGCGCGCGACAGGCGGGCCATCTTCGCTCTTCGTAACCCAGACATCTCGGCGTGACACGCCGATCAAGATGGAAGATGAGGTGTTCCGATTTCGATCATTCCGAAGCACTCCCCAAGCACTCCCAGACAATCAGTTTCGGCCCACCCCACCAGAAACACCACTACCAAGGCGCGCCCGTACCGAAGAGCAGCAACAAGTCATCTCACTCATTCTGACCGGAGTCAACGCCTTTGTGACAGGACCTGCAGGAAGCGGAAAATCGTTCATCATCCAAGAGGTAGCACAAGAGCTTCGAGCTAGGTCCAAATGCGTCAGGATTGTTGCACCTACAGGTCTAGCGGCCTCTCACATTGACGGCTCCACACTGCATAGCTACTGCTCTTGGATCCCGAGCGACAGCCAAAAGTCGATTGCCCAGCTGGAGAAGAAAGCCGAATTTGGCTTCGCACAGGCACGGTTCGACGATACAGATGTGTTGATCATCGACGAGATCTCGATGGTGTCGAACTACACTTTTGAAAGACTGAACAGAATCATGAAAGCGGCTAGAGACAACCAAGATGTTCCATTTGGAGGCGTTCAGATCGTGGTACTTGGAGATTTTTGCCAGTTGCCTCAGGTCAAGCTGTTTGAGACCTGCTTCTACTGTGGTGCTTTCATGCAGAGGAAGTATCGCAACCGAGATATGATCTGGTTATGCCCATCTTGCAAGCAAGAGGAGTTCGAAAATGACCAGTGGGCTTTTCGTGCGGCTGCGTGGGACGAAGCGGGCTTCTCGAATTGTCATCTCACAGAGACTCACCGACAGACAGACCCTGCGTTCAAGGGAGTCTTGAAAAGGATGAGACTGAACGGACTACTCCCCCAGGCCGACATCAATCTCCTCGTCCGCCATGAATCCGAAACAGAAGGCGCCATCCGACTCTATCCGCGCCGAGACGACGTGGCTGCCTATAACGACGAAGAATTCAAGAAACTACCAGGACCTGTGGTTCGATACAAATGCCTCGACTACTTCCGACCCAGTGCTGCTCACCCGCAGTATAACAGCCGCGGCGTACGTCAAGCAAATGGCATACTAGAAGTGCTCGGAGATCAGCACCCTTACGAGCGATGGGTGAAGCTCAAAGTCGGCATGCCTGTGCTTCTCCTCACGAATCTCGACGTTCAAGGTGGTCTCGTCAATGGAAGTCAAGGTGTCATCGTTGACTTTGAAGACTATGATGAGGCGACTCTCCGCAGATCGAGGTCAGGGATCGATCGATCTACGCCAGCTCCTTGGAATGGCCAGAATGGGCAGCAGGACGATGGACAAGGACCTACAAGATACGTCTCCTTCCGTACCGGGGAGCATGCCAACATTCGCCATGAGCAGATTTCCGAGTTCATCGAGCAAGCAGAAATTTCCTCCCAGAAATGGCCCGTTGTGAAATTTACGAACAAACGTACCATGACCATCTTCGCGGACTGTCGCATCGATCAGCTCGGGAATGAGGCACCGTACGTCCTCGAAGGTCGCACGCAGATTCCTCTCATGCCTGTATGGGCCATGACACTCCACAAAGCTCAAGGCACCACTCTCGACAAGGTCGTTGTCAACCTCTCGCGCAAGTTCGGACCCGCACAACCGTACGTGGCCCTATCCAGAGCGAAGACCCTGCAAGGGCTAAAAGTCGAAGCGCTCGGTCAGTGTGGCAAGTCGGATGTAGACCGAACAGTCAAAGAGTTTCTCCAGGACACACATTGGGATTTGGGACGATTGGATCGATGAAGCACGATACGACGATGGACTCAAAGTGGAATGTCTTGCTATTCGTACCTACGGGAGACGATGGACTCTTTGCTACTCGGACCAAGGACAAGTTTTTGAAATTGCACACCAGATTGGAGAAGACCTACACCTTTGGAACCAGCGATTTGCTTTGTTGTTTCTTGCATATGCGACCTCTAAGACGATGCTGGAAAGGTTGAATGGCGAGTCCTGCCATCTCGACATGTTTGAAATACTCCACACTCAATCGTATTATACAATACATACAGATAGAATATAAAAGCGATATCCATACCCTCTCGGCACTGCCTGCTAAAGCATTGCCGGCCGACCGGCTTCAAAGAAAGGATGGTCCAGTTTAACTAGACCTTGCTCCGCAATAGTAGCAACCCCTCACTCACCTACGAACTCGCCCACCTAGCCAAAGATCGGCCCGACGGTAGCTTTGGATAAATCTACTGCAACTTACTGTACCTTCCAACTTCGTCCTCCTCTCGTCCAATAGAACACACTCAAAATGAGCGAACACTTCACAAGACCCTTAAGAGACCTCAAAGGCCGAGTCGCCATCGTGACTGGAGCTGGATCAGCTGGAGATGGTATTGGGAATGGACGAGCTGCAGCGATCCTGCTGGCCGAAGTGGGCTGCTCGGTCGTATGCGTTGATATAAAACACGAACTGGCCCAACGGACCGTGAAATACATCGAAGACGACGGTATTGGAAAAGCTGTGGCAGTCCAAGCCAACGTCACGAGCGAAGACGATGCAAAGAATGTCGTGCAGACTGCGTTGAAAGAATTCGGTCGATTGGATGTTCTGGTCAATGTGGTGGGGGTTGGAGGCGCGACGGGGACGGCGGTGGAGGTTGATATGGTGCAGTGGGCGAAGACGATGGAGATTAATGTTGCTTCAATGGTGGTTATGGCGAAGTATTCGATCCCGGAGATGAAGAAGAACGAAGGGCAGTGGCGAGGTAAGGGAGCAGGACGAGGGAATTCGTTCAGGACTTACGTTTGAATAGGGAGCATTGTGAACATCGCCTCTGTTGCGGGTATTCGAGGAGGCAATCCTCACCTGTTATACCCGACCAGCAAGGGAGCGATTGTGGTAGGTCTTTGGGTTGCTTGTCTTTCATTGATTTCATGGCTGACTGTCGTCCCAGAATATGACGAGAGCTATGGCCAGTCACCACGCTCCTGATGGCATTCGAGTCAACTGTGTGTGTCCAGGAATGGTTTATACACCGATGATGTATGCTTCTGGCATGAGTGCAGAAGCGCGCGAAGCACGTAAGGATAGAAGTTTGCTGAAGACGGAGGGCACGGCGTGGTACCTTCAAATGACCCGTCAAGACGAGGAGAGCAACACTGACCTCATCTCAGGGATGTCGGCGCCGCTATCAGATTCCTGGCCGGGGATGAAGCTCGATGGTAAGTGAAGTCCACGGCGTCGCAACACTGTGGATATTGGCTAATCAAAGATAGGATGACCGGCGTTATCCTGCCTGTAGATGCTGGTGCCACGGTGGCGGCTGGCTCGGACTTGCCCAAGGAAACCAGTTTCAATTGATTGATCATGTGTCAAATGTTCGAGGATGGCGCTGCTAGAAATTTAGGGGGCCGGGGCTTGCATTTATGTGGTGATCATTGCACCTCGATGCTTTTCGGAGGTCCTCGGTGCAGGCAGATAGAAGTACTCGACTCGAACGCCCTCAACTCTTCATATAGTGCAGATGAGCCATAGCTAATTGATCTCCTGAAGTGTAGTCGTGAGCTGTTGATGGTCCCGGCGTTGGAGAAGCCATAGACTTTGCTGGTGGCTGGGATGGTCCTTGCGCAACGTGAGGCTTCATGGCGAAGGCTTTGTGCAACAACTTTGTACTACTCTCATCAACTTCTCATGATATGTCTTCATGAAAAGCGATTTTCAGGACCCTTCATCGATTCGCAAATGTACCGGGACCGCGGCGGGTGGCCTTTCAGCCAAGTCATCGCAAAACGACACGACTTCGTTGCTCTCGGGTTGCATCACGCTGAGCTCCCGTCGTGTGCTGTCGTGTTGATGCTTGGACCGAGCACGTGCGATCTTCGATGCATGGAGATGCGAACTACTGCAGATAGTGAAGATCTTGTCAAGGCTGACTGATATTCTTTCGTTGGAAGTGGCCGCCACTGGTTCGCTGCTGGCGCCGATTGGCGTGCTGCGGGACCATCCTCCGATGGCAAATGATGTGAAATTTTCGCCATTCGTTCAACTTCACAACTTCCCTGCTCTTTCATTCATCACAGTCAACAAGATCAAAGACATTCGGAACAATGGCCTCACTGAAGAATCGAACGTCCGCGACCGCGGCCCCGCCCAACTACAGCGATGCCGTCGCTGCTCCCAACAACCCGCTCCAGTCCGACTTCGCCGCCACCGACGACAGTGCCAGCATCGATTCCGACGAACGTTACCTGGTAAGGCTCTAGAGAGCATACCCACGGTTGATATGACGGTCCTCAAGTAATCTTCGACGCACTCAGTGAGTTACGAAATCAGCATCAAGCAAGAAGTCATGTACGCGGGTGCTTTGCCGCGTCTATCCTATCACCAACCTCAGAGCAAGTCCTTCTGTGGAGTGATAGCGAAGATGTGGAAGGGCTGAGATCATACCGTTTCGAACTTGAAAGCAGTAATTTGCGCGTTAATGGAGATGCATGACCTCTATATCAGTCGATGCTCCAATCCCTTGTTCCCCTAACTTGAACAGTGTGTGCTAATCGTCCGAAGCGTGCTCTGGGATACAAGCAGGTATGAAGAATCGTAATCAGCATAGTACTGCCCGTACTAACTGTTACAGTCCCTCCATCGACAATGGAAGTTCTTCGAAAGCTTTGCGGCCAGCTTTGGTAAGGCGCTCGAACGGGCATGCACTTCAGCGACTAACGGAATGCAGCTGCACTGTATGTCGTCGGAGGCGTTCGCACAACATTCACGATCGGAGTTGGAGCAGGTGGTCCAGCAGCTTATTGGTATGTTGTACGCCCTGTTCATCGAGAAGAGCAACCACTCACCGTTCACAGGTCGAGCTACGTCGTGACTTGCTTCTTTGTGATGATCACTGCGGCAGTCCTGGCTGAGATTTGTTCAGCCCTTCCTGCAGCTGGATCCATCTATTTCTGGGCCGCAGAAGCTGGTGGACGCCGTTACGGCAGACTCTTCGGTTTCATCGTTGCTTGGTGGAGCACTACCGCCTGGACCACGTTCATTGCAAGCGACTGTCAAGCGGCCGCCAACTTTCTGCTTTCTGAGTTGACTGTCTTCGGAGTCGACTTTCCAACGGACACCAACAACGTCAAGTTTCGTGCAGTACAGTGGATCGTTGCCGAGGCGATACTGTTCATCTCCATTGGCATGAACTATCTCAGCCCGAGCACCTACAAGACCGTCTTCCGCATAGCTACTGGCCTCATTGTGTTGGACTTCCTCATGAACATCATCTGGCTTCCAATTGCTGTCTCCAAGACGTACGGTTTCCAAGACGCTAAATACGTTTTCACCCAGACATACAACGAGACCGGAGCTCCACCTGTCTGGAACTGGATGCTGTCCTACTACGTCACGGCTGGTGTCTTGGTCGGATTCGAAGCCAGCGGACACATCTCTGAAGAGACGAAGAACGCAAATGTCGTTGCGGCCAAGGGCATCTTCACATCTGCTCTTGCATCCGCGGCAATGGGATTCCCCATCGTCATCCTGTTCCTCTTCTGCCTGCCAAATCTGGACACGCTGTACGCACTCAATGCACCGCAGCCATTCGTCTCCATCTACGATCTCAGCATGGGCAGAGGAGGCCATGTGGTGATGAACGTTGTCTGCATTCTCGGACTTATCTTCAACGCGACGGTGGCTGGTGTGGCAAGCTCTCGTCTCATCTGGGCTGTCGCTCGTGATGGGGTCCTTCCATTCTCTGGCTGGATCTCCAAGGTCTCCGAGAAGAAAGAGCCAAAGAACGCGATTATCGTGATGCACGCAGTTGCTGCTCTCCTGTTGTGCACGATCTTGCCATCGCCAGTCGCCTTCACCTCGCTCGTCAGCGCTGCTGGAGTTCCCACAATCACAGCTTATGCTCTGATCTGCTGTATGTTGACACTTCCTTCTCAACTTCGATCTTGATGCTGACAATACTCCAGTCGGCCGCACTTTCATAACGCCTCATAACTTCAAGAAGTCGGCTTGGTCATTGGGCCGCTGGTCTCGCCCGATGAACTTCATTGCATTCGTCTGGAATCTCTATCTCGCTGCTGTCCTGTTCTCCCCGCTCACTTTCCCGGTCGATGCGGACACCTTCAACTGTAAGACAGACTCGTTGCCCCTCGACCGAAAAAGTACTGACTCGTCTTAGATTCGCCAGTGATCTTTGGAGCCATCACCATCTTTGGAATCCTGACGTGGTGGATCTATCCAGAGGATCGGTGGTTGCCCGCCGCCAGACTTGGTAAGGTACACGAGATCAGCCACGAGCCAACTGGGCAGGCTTGAGAACGTGTATGAGGTTGGTGACAGACCGGAGGGGAAGACGAGCAATAGATGGGTCTAGTACAAGGGCCTCGCGTACGTGTTGGCAAGTACATAAGACAATGCATTCCATTTGGAACCCCTAGCCACTCCCCCTGACAGTTCATAATTATGTACTCATCATACGGTCCAGCTTCCGGTTGCTCGAGACTAGCACGGCACCATATCTTCCTGGGAACGAGAGCTTGCAAGGAACACTTGTGAAAGAAGTACGTGGTTCGGTCATACGAAGCAATCAATGAATTCATCCGCTGTTGTTCCCTCTCGGTCGACCTCCATGGCGATGTCCACGGACGAAGTCTTTTAACGTCGATGGTCGATTTTGTCAATGCCTATGAGTTTCTGTACCTTTTAAGTGAAGTGCAGGCAAGTGATTACCCTCGTGGCCGTGATGTTTGCTGCGGTGGGTTCAATGTGTCGTTGTTTCCAACCCGGGGATGAAATTGTGAAGCACTTGGAGACTGGCGCCTTGCTGCCTGAGCGAGCCGCAGGCAAGTGCCACTCACCGGAGTTCCTTCCTCGATCCTGCCACCACTTCACTTCATAAGACGAGACGACACCCCGTTCCTCGCATTGCCACTTTCAACCTCTCACTCGCATTCGACTCACCTTCGACTCGCGGTCGCAATAATTTGGACGTCCCCCCTCTACTCAACAGTACTTCACGCGACATCATCAACCGTCCATCAAACAATGGCACCAAAGCGCAAGGCCGGCGACGCTGTCGCGGATACCAAGTCTGAGAAGAAGTCGATCCCTGCCGGCAAGGCGGGCTCGCTGCAGGGCCTCAAGGTCAGTCACACTTCTTCAATCCGTGATTCGTCGCGATTTAAGTGCTGACTTGTTTCAGCTCATCTTCACTGGCACGTTCGAGTCGATGGACCGCAAGACCAGCGAGGCCACGGCGAAGAAATATGGCGCGGCTATTATCCCTGCCAACAAGCTTGCTGAGGTCGACATGGTGGTGCTCGGAACTCGCGCTGGGTATGATTTGAGTGATCCTTTGATACTGGCACCTTGCTGACGTCTATCCCAGCCAGAAGAAGCTCGACGAAATCGAGGAGAACGGCCTGAAGACCATCAACGAGGACGAGTTTCTGGAGATGATCAAGACCGGCGACTCAGCCAAGGAGCCCGAGGATGATGCCGGTGACGATGACGAGGGCGCCGAGGATGACGAAGATGAAGAGATCGAGGAGCCAGCTCCAAAGAAGACCAAGAAGGCCGCCCCGAAGGCCGCCACGAAGGCCAAGGCCGCTCCAAAGAAGGCAGCACCCAAGAACGAGAAGGCGACCACCGTCCCAGAGGGCAAAGCGGATGCTTTCAAGGGCCTCAAGCTTCTGTTCACCGGCACCTTCGAGATCGATCGCAAGACTTGCGAGGCCACGGCAATCACCTACGGAGCGACTCGTGAGTTGAAAGATATCCAGACTGGCGCCTGAGACGTCTACTGACCTTCTAAAACAGTGGCCAAGAAGCTCCAGGACGCCGACTGGATCGTTTTGGGAACCAAGCCTGGCCCAAAGAAGGTCACGGAGATCAACGAGAACGGATACTCCACGATGAACGAGGCTGAGTTCTTCACCAGTAAGCATCCCCAACGTATGACCTTCAAACCTCTTTACTGACATTCTGTTCTCTCACTCCAGTGCTCAAGACTGGAGATGCGCCTGAGTAAAGGACGATCGGCCTGTACGATGCGATGTAGATGACGAGATTTGCATGGACGAATGATGAGATGCATAGCGTGGCGCCTGGAATGTGCACATTTGCTGGAAGCGGGTGTACAGAACAGAGAGGCGTTACATGGCTGCTATGCTTTAGCTCGACTGTATGAAAAGAGACGACTGTCAACTTCATGATCACAAGGAATCCTCTAGAAATACTCTACTTGATTTCAGATGGGCGACTCAGAGGTGACCTTTATGGTATGGATACTGAATGACTGAGTTAGCGCACAGCTGAAATGAAAGTCAGGAGATCGACTTGCCTTCCCTCGCCAGTGCGCCGCGATGTCCTTCCTGGTCGTTACCCAAACGTCTGGTTTCGAAGCGACGTATTCAACGAACCGCTTCAACGCCTGTCATCATCAGTACAAATCGAATGGTTCGAATCTGGAAATATATGTACCATCGCCCTCGCGGGCTTGCCAGTGATCCTGCAGTGAAGCCCAACAGTCATCATCTTGGGCTTCCCAGCCAGGCCTTCGGCATAGAGAGTGTCGAAAGCTGCCGCCAAGTGTTCGAAGAATGCGTGTGGCGAGAAGGCTCCTGTCGTCGAGTGGTACTTCAGGTCGTTGCAGTCGTAGCTAACACCACATCAGCTATTGAAACTTGTCTTCAACAGGCATGCTCAACTTACGAATACGGCACCATCAACATCCCCTCCGGACTCTCGACGTCCTTCTCGGCGGGTACGTCGACCCAATATGGGAGGTCGTCGCAATAGCTATCGCTCTCCCACAGTAGAGGAATACCCAGCTGCTTGTATGCCTCCCAGACCAGCGCTTTCGATCTAGGACTGAGTCGACCATAGTACCATCCAACCGGATACTCGCCCGTAACCTCCTTGAGACACTTCAACTGCCGCAGAATATACTCCTTCTCCAACTTCTCATCCATGGCATGATAATCAATCCACCTACACCATCAGCATCAGCATCATCGCCCTCATCGCCCGAAGCAAAACCCGAATACACCTACCGATAAGCATGACTAGCAATCTCATGCCCACCCTCCCGAAACGCCGGCACAACCTCCGGGTTCATCTCCAGCGCCTGACCGACCGCATAAACCGTCACCGGCATCCGATGCGCTTCAAACGTATCCAGTATCCGCCAGATCCCCACGCGCGAGCCATACTCGTAATCACTCTCCGAGTTGAACGCTCGTTCGCCCGGCCGGCCGGGTCGGTCGGTTTGTTCCCAGAGCGAGGATTCGGAGGTGGCGTCGCCGTTGAGGACGGTGCGTTCGGCGCCCTGGGAGACGAGGGAGACGTTAGCAGAGGGTTGAATTGGGGGAATGAGAGGGGGTTGGGGGTTTACTTCTTCGTAGTTTATCACGAACGAGACGGCGATTTTGGCGTTATTGGGCCATTGGGGGTTTGGTGGGTGGCGGCCGTAGCCTTTCAAGTCTCTAGGGAAGTCGAACTTGCTGCCGGCGTGGGGGTCTTTGCTTGCTGCGTCGAGGGGAGGGGGTTGGGGTTGAGAGGAGACCATTGTTGTTGTATGAGCTGAGGGTGATGAGGGTCATGATGTCTGTGATATTTGGTTTATTATCTATGCAGTCGATGATCCTGTGAGCTGCCCTTTCGGCCAACGTTTGGCTTTGAGATTTGGCCTATCGAGCTCTCTTTCGAGGTAGAGCTTTTGGAAAGATTGTTGATAGCCGTTTTACCGGAGAGCTCTTGGTCTTCTTCAAAGGTACATGCCAACATACCAACATGCCAACCTCAGAACAAGATTGAGTAAGTGCTGCTTCTCACTACAAGTTGTGAAAGAATCGGGTAATCAAACCCGCCAAAGATCGTTCCTCTAGGCACCCATCAAGACGACAGTCCTTCAAGTACCATCGCCTCCATAAGAAGCTCATCGCCCTCACAATCCCAGAGGCATTCATCTCGACTCTTAACTATTACACTCACCATCCCATCACTCAAAACTCTTCCCATGTCCAATCCCCAACCTCCACCCCTCCTTATCCTCCCCCTCGAACTCCTCTCCTCGACCCTCTCCCTCCTAGTCACCTCCCACCTGCCTCCCTCCACCCCGCACAGCGGAGGCTGCGCCTGGAAACTCACCCAACCCCTCAACACCCTGGCCGTCTGCCGCAAACTCCGCACCGCCACCGGCAAAATCCTCTTCAGCCGGGACTTTGAATTCTGGTGCTCCAAAGGCCGGCCTCTGCGTTGGTGGATCCAGGGCGTGCCGAGGAGTTTAGGGGCAATATTCGGAGTTTGAGGAATGCGGTGCTCACGGCGGTTTCGGTCGAGCATGGGATGAGGAGGGCTGGGGCGGAGGATCGGAAGTTTGGATTGAAGGAGGGGACAGTGTGGGTTGTTGTTCATGATACGTGTTCGCGAGCTGGGTCTTTTCGCGAGACGACGTGGGTTACTTGTACGGGGGTAGTAGAGAAGGGATCGGGTTCGTATCCGGGGACAGCGTTGCATATATGACACATCTCGTTAGGTTCTGTACATACATACCGCAATCGTTTACAACTTCGCCTGCCACGAGCTGCCTCCATCAAGCACGATCGTTCCTCCGTTCAGATGTCCTCCTGCTCTGCTGCAGAGATATACCACCGCCGCCGCGACATCCTCGGGGTGGCCGAGTCTCTTGTTCGGGCTGAACTGCGCCAGCTTGTCCACACCGCCGCTCAGCTCCATCAGGCCGTTCGCCATCTTGGTTGGGAAGAAGCCCGGTGCGATGTTGTTCACGAGGATACCTTGTGGGCCGAGTTCGAGGGCCAGGTTGCGGCCGAGGTGCAGAGCTGCTGCTTTCGAGGCGGAGTAGCCGTATGTGCCCTGTTTGCCTAGTGTCCCGACGCCGATACCCGCGATCGAAGCCGTGATGATAATCCTCGAAGGCTCCTGAATCGTTCCGCGCTTCCTAAGAAGAGGCGCGAATCTATTCCACTCTGTCAGCTTTGCCTCTCCCAACCCATGGATATATCAACTCACTTTTGCGCACAAACAAACACACTCTTAACATTCAAATCCATGACTTTCTGAAACGCATTCTCCGGGTGCTTATCAAACTCCTCTCCCCACGTCGCGCCGGCATTCGCGAACAAGATATCCACATGATCCGTGTGCTTCTCCACCTCCTTCACGAGTCTTTCAACCTCGCCGGGCTTCGAGAGATCCGCGGGGACCGAGATGGCCTGGCATTTGGTGTTGGGGAGGGCGTTGAGGGCCGCGACGGCTTCTTCGCAGGCTTTGGCTTTGCGAGAGGTGATGAAGATTTTGGAGGCGCCGGCTTGGGCGAGGCTGTTTCGGATGCATTAGCTACTGATCGGTGGTAGGGTGTTGATAGAGACGTACCCAGATGCGGCGTGCAGTCCCAATCCTCTCGATCCACCTGTGATGACGGCGACCTTGCCCTCGAGAGAGAAGATGTTCTTGAAGTCCTGGAGCTTGACGTCTGCTTCCGCCGACATGGTTGCTGATGTGTGTGATGGAGCTGTTTGTGTAACAATGGAGAAGCTGGAGTGGTGAAATTGTAGTGGTGAATGGAAGTATGTATAAGATTGATGAGTGATACAAGAAATGCCAATGGAAGAACCTACCCCAAGTGCTATACAGAAGACCTTCGTTCTGGACTGTGGCTTGAAGGACGTCGGTAGAGGAGCAAATAGCCTCGGCGTTTTCGGTCCAGATAGGTCATCGCGTCACGTGCTGTGGTCGTTATAGAGATCTGATAAGATCGGCTATAGTCAACGTGACATCGACCGAAGGAGTCGAAGGTCTCTCTTAGAAATGGTTTGCTTTCTTATAGGGTATTCTGAAGACGAAGGAAATCACGTCGAAAATTGAACGCAATTTGATCACGTTGAGTTGAGATCCTGGCCGTATCAATCGTTAAAGTCATCCCCTCGAGTCTTTTGAACCCAGCGTTTCCAATCACACCAGGTTGATCGACAGGTATTGCTCCAGCCTAAGCCATTCTTTTCGAAGCCACTCCTTCGAGGACCGGCTCGATTCCATCCCTGATCTATCTCAATCATCAACACCAGCCATAGCTTAATCGTAGGAAAGTGCGGCAAAAGAAGTGCGAGATAATGATACTAGGAGGGTTGCAGATCCAGGGTGTAGCAGAGGGCTTACAACTCCTTCTTCAAGAAATGCTCCGGCGAGTGCGACGTCTCATAGTCGACATGGACGTAAGCCCTCTCCACATCTGGCAAACTTTCCAGCTTGGTCTGCAGGTCCTCGGCGACATCGTGAGTCTCGCCCAGGCTCAGTAGCTTATCCATGACGATGTCGACTTCGACGATGATGCGTGGGCCTGAGTGCCATGCACGAACGGTGTCGAGCTGGGTGATTCGTGGGTCGTGTGTCATCGAGATGTAGGTGACGTGTTGCAGGAAAGCAGTGTCTGCCGAGACTCCGATGAGCAGTTGGAACTCCTGATATGCGGTGCGCAACCAGAGGAATGAGATGAGCACCGAGAGGATGATGGCACCCATCGGATCGATCCACCATCTAGAAAGATATGTCAGTGAAGGAACTTGGCCGAACTGATGATAATACTTGCGTGACTTTGCTTCCCAAAATACTAGTCATCAGACCAAAGCCGTTGATGAAGAGATCGTTGCGGTGATCCTCCCACAAAATCCGGATCTGGCTGTATTTGTTCCTCAGAGCCCAGCAGTAGAAGAACAGACCGAGCTTCGTCGCAAATGCTATGCCGACTGCAACCACTGATGGGATGTGAAACTTCGAGTCATCCGACTTTTCAGCAATCTGTCGAATCGATTCGACAATCAGGATGAGTGACACGGCAGTCATGAGGAAACAGAAGGTGATGTTGCCAGAGGTCTCGAGCCGTCCTTTGCCAGAGGGGAATCGGCGAGGGTCGACTCTGTTGACGGCGCGATTGCAGAGGATAAGGGTGAGGTTGCTGAAGGAGAAAGTCAGCACGTACATCACCAGACCTATCGATGCATGTTAACTCACCTCAGGGGATCAAAGATAGAGTCTGCCATGGTGGTGAAGAGTGACAAACTGCCTGATGACACAGCTCCGTAGACCTGCAGGATCGCCAATATGATGTTGGCAGCAAAGCTACCGTGAACGGCGATCTTGAACTGCAATGCCTCCGCGCCCTGCTCTTCCTTTGCCTCGCGGACATGGTCGTCGACCGGCTTCAACAGCCTCTCAATGTTCTCATTTTGATTTTCGTAGAACTTGAGGACTTTGTGCGTCTTGAGCTTATCTTTGCCATGGCCTACAGGTCTGCATACCGCAGCACGCTTGGCCTTGGTATTGGCTTTGGCATTATCCTTCACCTGTGCCAGATCTTTCAGTCCGTCGCGCAACTTGTATGGATCGTTCTCGGTATCGTAGCCTGGTAGGCTACCCTGGCGCTCGACATCATCTCTCTCGCTGTCGCTACTGTTGCGGTGATATGTAGGCCGAGTCACTGCATTATGCTCGATCTCAGGCATCTTTGACACTGCCGAGCTGGTCGCCGGTCGCTTTCCATCGTGACCATGATCGTGGCTCGGCTCTGGCGTGTGACTGTGCGACGATCGCTCGGGGTGAACATGGAAAGGGTGCGGTCGCAGCGATATGGAATTGTGCAAGTCCGGGTCCCGTTGTGCCATGTCGTACTCTTCTTGTCGGTCGGAGCCGGTCTATTCAAGTAATTGCTGCCGTTTTCGAAGATGATATGAATCGTAGAAAGACTTTGACGGATGATCAAGGGGCTGCTATGAGCAATGAGCAATAGCTCGTCTGCCTACCTTGCGTGGTTGCTTTGTCGTACCATCCATGTGCCAATGCACGCCGTTGTTGCTTCCTCGCGCTCTGATTGACCAGCGGCGCCGGCCGCGAAGGCTTCCCTCTCACCGCAGACCTCTTCCTGGAGAAAAGCAACTTGTCGCGCTCGAAACACTGCGAGACTGTCTGAGGATGCGTCTGACGCTTGTACGACGGCGGTTCTGGGTGACGTGAGGTGTAAACAAGGCCAACAAGGTGTCGACGCCCTCGCGAGAGGCGCGTTTTCGTTGGACATGGCCAGCGACCAATGGCGCCCTCGTCATCATCCCGACATCTCCCGCGCTGCGATCGACTTCACCCTCTCTCCGCACCACACCTGCCCGACTGCCATCGAGCTCTCCCTGGATGCCGACGAGGATGCTAGTCCTGGGCCAGCCAAAGAAGCGTGCGACGGTCCAGAGGAAGCCTCGGACTCTGCCAGCATCAGATGTCAAAGCACGAATGGGCCAGTTACGATCCATCTCGGTCGACCTATGGCTTGCAGCATGTACACTACCTGGCACATTTCTGGACTTGTCACTGGCTCGATGGTGGTGCTCAAGCGTATGATGATGTTTGAAGCCTACTGGCAGTGCTTCGGCCCTGTGTTGTAGCAACGATAGCTTTCAGCTCACGAAAACGAGTAGGAAGGTAAGCTATATCAGATGTGATGCCCAAGGTTGAAAAGACATCCCAGCTTGAACAGTCCCTCACCCCATCATAAACACACACGCCCAGCCAGACTCCAAGCCCATCATGCCTCTCATCATGGATCAACCAAAGGCAAAGCCCTTTCGCTTCCTGGATCTGCTCCCAAAGATCCGCCAACGAATCTACGAACACGTCCTCGTGTCACAAGCACCCATTGAGATCCACGAAGCCAGTCGTCAACGAAGAAGCAGCGTGAGCCGAGGAACTCCTGTCGAGACACCTGGACGGATCTCAGCCCTTCTCCGAACCAACAAGCAGATCAGAAGAGAAGCAGCACCTTTATTCTTCAGCCAAAACACCTTCGTCATCCCATGGGGCTTCCCAAACCTCGGTGTTCGCTGGCTGGACTACCTCGCTCCACATCATCGAAGAATCCTTCGCGACGTTCGCTTCTGTTATGGCGACGGTGCCTTCTGGACGATATACGATGCGAGAACGGCGTTGTCGTCGCTGAGGTTAGCCCTGGAAAGAAGTGGTGCGCTTTCTGATTTGAAGGAGATGACATTATGGGTGCCGGTGTGCGAGTTTAGTGTTCACACTTGGAAGGAGCTTCACGGGAGAGAGGATGCAGAGTGGGTGAGCATGGATGGGACAATGCCTTTCGATAAGGGTGTCGCAAAGAAGCTGTAAGGTAGCTGTTATCGATGGTATTCACTTCAGCGCTCGTACCAGTCGGCAGGTGCGTCGTGCGAGTGATCCATGTGCCATGTGCTTCGTGTAAAGTGATGGAAGCCTTTCAATGTTCAACTGATATCTACATGCAATCGCCATAATCTTACTCTACATCTCTGCAACACGTCGAACATCCATTATCGGAGAAGAGCCTCGCATCGATGGCGGCGTCAATTGACACAGGTATGTGTTTGCCTAGCTCCAATCACTCCATCTTCTTCTGACACCCCAGTAGATGTTGCCAAACGTGAATAATAGCAGGAGCAGATCACGACCGCCTTGACACTTGCACCTTGGACCGCGATCAGACAGATGAGATGCGACGAGACATGGAACGAACACCAGAACGTGCGCTTTCCCCAAATATCGCGACAGGATCCTCGAAATGGCCGGCTTGCACGACACTCTCGCCCGCGACGGCGACGACGATAGTATGACAACATGTCAACAACCAGCAAAGACTATGCACGAGCATTCAACACTCACAATGCAAGTTTCCGCAGCGGGGCGCAAAAGATTTTACCTACATAATCAATTCAAAACGCATGTCCCTTAACCTTCCATAGTGATTACGATTGGGCTTTCGTGGCCCAGTGGTATGAATGGAAGGTTGGCGGGGGGTTACCTTCTTCTGAAGAGGGTTCGAACCAGGTATCCCCCCCAACCACCAACCATCGGGGGAAGCTAACTTCAACAGCATAAAAAGTGCCAAAAAAATCTTGCTTCGGCGGGGTTTTCAGCCTTCACTACCAGAGTACGGGGTGTTTCATGTTTTTGCTGTTTTTTGGGGTTTTGGAGGTGGGAGGGTAGGGCCTTGGTTCGAGTTGGGGTGTTGTGGGGGATTTGTGTTTTTGCTTTTTGCGATGGAGTTGGACTTGATCCAAAAATGCACTCGTCGGCTGACCTTGAGGCGATGGCACAGGTATCGATTCGGTATTCGATTTGGAAGATATTGTGATCGTTCATTGCGAGTGATGATGATTTTAAGGAAGAGCTCCTGCTCGACGGCTCTGTCGACATCCATCCGTCAGCGCCTGCTGTCAGATGCGGCGCGAGTTTCGAAGTTTTTTTGCCTGGACGAGATCACACACGCAGAGACACAGTTACTGGAACACTTATGGAAGCTTGTTGATCGATACCGCTGAGGGTAGACATAAAAAGGCGACACTCATTCAAAGCCTACCTCCATAAGTCGGAGGAGGACGCTCGTAGGCCAATGCATCACCAAGGGCTTCGGCGGCGAGAAAGCTTTGGCGGCACTCTGGCTTTCCACGCGAACCTCAAATTCAATGGCAAATTTTTGGGTGGTTGTTGTTTGCACTTGGCTTCTTCCTTCGTTGCGTTTGTCCGGTGGTCCGTGCCCTTGCACCAGCATGTGAAAGTGCATTATGTCATGCATAAGTTCGCGCTAAGCAAGTCGGCTTCTTTACTCTTCCAAGCTGCAACAAACAAACAACAACCACCCACTTCACAAACCCTGTCCACTCACGGCAGAATCTATAATGGCGGCGTCTCTCTCCTCGCAAGGTACGCAGCTTTTCCAGAGGCCGACGTGCTTCGAGTGCTGAGGTTTGTTTCGACAGGGACCGCGCCGCCAAATGCACCCACCGCTACATCACCCACGGATCTGCCACTCGCTGAACAAGAGCAAGTCGCCGCGCTCATGACGCTCACGAAACACCTCTCCCCTGCCGCCACGAACGAGTTTCGTCGTCAACTGCGCGAGCAAGACAATACAGAGACCAGACTCTTCAAACTCCCCGCCGAACTCCGCAATGGCATCTTCGAGATGGCGTTCCTGGATGAGCTGCTCGCGAACGAGGCGAAAAAAGTCACAGCAACAGCAAGATACAGAACGTCAGATCCAACAAAGGCAGCACAGGAGCCGACCGCGGAGACATACGACCAGTTGAAAGCATTGATCTGCGGCCCTCGCGCCATGAACGCTTGTCGCCAGATGCGACGCGAATGCCGGAGCCTGCTGGAGCTCGACAAGATCGTCATAACCCGCTACACGGCGCCGGGCAAGAGCCACAAAGTAACGTCGCTCGTTGAGCTTCTCCGGGTCGGCGGCGCGTTCTTCTATGTCTCTCTGCACGACTCTGAAGAGATCGCCCACGAAGCTGCAGAGAGCTGGGTCTTCTTCCCGAGCAGAGGCGATGGAGCCGGGATGGTGTTGTTCCCCTCGACACTGGGAATCAAACCGAGATCGATCAGCATCGATTACCACGAGGCCTACCACAGGTTTATGGATGTGCCGTTGGTATATCGGCGGCATGCATGCACTAAAGCTGCGAAAGATGACGGACCGGGGCCTCGTGCCATCATCTAGCTACTACCGTTAAAGGCAGTGCTGCGCGTACACTTCTCTGCATACAGACATCCAGAGATCGACGAGTGGAGGAGGACATCTGGCAGAAGAGTGGCTCAACCTCATCAGTTGCTTCCTCTGGGTATAAACACGCACACAATGCGACTTTGTACAAAGCCCACCAATAAACCCTCCTTAAATCTCCTCCTGCATCCTATAAATCTTCCACCCAGCCGTCGCGAGCACCCTCGGAACACACTCGACCATAACGCGATCCACATCCTTCCACTCCTGCGTCAAATCCCTCCAAGGGACCAAAAACGGCGTCGTCCGCTTATTCGAACTCCTCGGCCCCATGCGCCACTGTCGCTGCAACCGCTCCGCGTTGAACCGCTCGTGTTCCATCTCGGAGAGCATATCGAGCTCTTTGACACTGAATTCAGGGACGTGGATGAGGGGTGAACTGCGGTCCTGGTCGAGCATGAAGCAGCTGACGGCGCGGAGTTTGCGGGGGATATCGTCTGCTTGGGCGCGGGTGCTCTCTTTGAGCTCGATGGCGAGTTCGTCCCAATCATACATCGAGGCGTCGGATTCGAGGGCTTCGATTTCGGATTCCGTCTTGGCCATCAGTCTGCGCTGTTTCTTGTACGTCTCGAAAAGTCCTTGGGCGAGTTTCTCTCGTAGTGCGGCGGGTAACCGGGGCGATCTGAGGAAGCTCATGAAGGTCCTGCCGTCGACGTGGAGCTGGATCTGTTCTTCTGGCGGTAGGGCTGAGATGTCGAATTTGGTTCGGCCGGATAGGCGGCTTGTGCTGAGGATCTTGTCTAGGGATCTAAGGCCGTGTTTGAAGGATGGGACGAGGAGGAGGGCGTGGAGCACGGCTTCGTCGATCTTGATCGCGCCGTTGACTTCCAGGTGTGGAAACTTCTGCTTGAGCATTTGCCTGATCATAAGTGCTCGTCGGATGGAGAACATGGTATCGTTTGAACTGTTCTGATTCGGTCCAGCGATTCGGACGACTCCGTGCAGGTAATCCATCAATAATGAATCGTCAACAGTGTGGCGTTCTTTGAATTCACCAGCGGTCGGCGTTGGTGTGCTCTCCATTGATGGAGCTTCTTGGTTCACTAGGAAGAAGAGGAGTGGATGGCCGAGACTGCGCACATGCGATCTATCGCTGAACAATCCGTCACGCATGATGGCCAGGAAGTCGTTCAGAAGCTCGTTCCTCGGCTCTAGTATAGCCTCAAAGTTCTCAAATATCACCACCGTTAGCAATCCTGCGGCTGTATGATCTCGTATTGTATGGCATAGCGCTACTAAGTCGTCAAGTCGTAATAGTCGTGCATTGTATGAAAGTTGTTTGACATTCGTATCGGTGGCGAAGTGCTCGCTGAGATTTGTTGCAACGAACTTCTTCCCTGAGCCAGGCGGTCCAAGGACGCCGATGGAGGTTGGATGTGAGGTCTCTGATCGAAGTCGCTCTTCAACAGCTCCCACGATGGCTCGCAAAGATTCCTGTTCTGAACGCTCGACACTCAAAAGGTCTCCAAACTGTTGGATTGGACATCGAGCCAGTGCTTTCTGGGGTCCTAGCGTGACAATCTGTCGTGCAACTTCGGCGGGGTCTCCTGTCACAGTGTCGAAGATATTCCAACTGTCGCCAGAGCTTATTCGTGCCGAAGGAATGCTAACGACTGAGTACTTCTTCTCAGGTGTGAGTCCATTGATCACCGCATCGACGGGGTAGTCTGGCGCCTCGTCTACGGAGTTGGGGACAAACCCCTTTTGCTCCATGTCTCGAGCAGCGTGGATGCCAAGCCGTACACCCTTCTCACAGTTAGGAGGTGTGGAATCAGCAAATCCGAGCGCAAAGCCCGCCGTGAACGCTGATGAGAGGCCGACCTACAAAGTCGTCAGTTTGAATCGTTTGGAGTGAGCTTTTAGTACCTACCATATGGCCGGTCTTGATTGTCGATTCAACCTGTTTGGGGTGGAAGTAAAGTTTAGGGTCGGTGGCGTCTCGTCCTCGATGGTGGATAATCCCTTCGTTGCCAAAACGAACAATCAGATTAGGACAAGTAACGAGTGTGTCCAGTCGCCCGTTGCTGCCAAGATTTCGAACGAAGTCCTCTGTCGTCTGCTCCCAAGATAATGATCGACTTAGTGAGATGCCTTCTGCACGAAGATCGTCGGCGTCGATGATGACCGCAAGATGGTCTGGATCAGGAACGCCGTCACGAGTTCGTGGTCCGTCTATGAGGTATTAGAATTTGGAGTTGCATCGCCGTGGGTTCGTTTGGATGCAAGGTACACGTGATGCCAAGCAAGGTACGATAAATTATACATACGCACCTCGAATGATATCCCAAAGATGTCCTCTCGCCAACGGCCTTGTCATATGATGAATGATATAGCGAGGCCGAATCCGCTGCAAAAAGTCCAAAGCCGGCTCGACGTCGTGCAATGCCTGACCGGAACCAGAGATGATGACTGTACTGGCCTTCGCCGCCGCCGTTTGATCGATATTGGGAGCGTGCCAAACGGGAGGTTTGCCAATCTGGCGCTTCGTCACCACGCGGAGGGAAGACCTCTCACCGGACGAGGAGGCCGACTGCTCTAAATCAACGACGGCTGACGCGTTGTGCTTCAGGCAGTTGGATCCGGCGGGTTGGAGGACTGGACTGGCGACTTCGAAACCCCAGGTCGGCGCGGCGGCGGTGAGGAGCTGCGCCACGAGATCAGCCTCGCTCGTGCGGATTACCAGCTGCGAGGAGTCTGCTCCTTCATCGTCGAGAGTCGCGTGATGGCTGTCTGCCGTGTCCAGGTACGTCATGGGGTAGACGAGATAGTCGTAGGAGACGGCGCCCGCGACGAGCAGAGTGTGGGAAGCCTGGGAATTCATCTATAGGGGATGAGTCGGCAGAAGCTAGTGCTGCGGATCGGGGCGTGGATGTTGTTCGCGAGTCGCATGGCGACGAAGGCAAAGCGGCAATGAAGAGGTCGAGATCCGCCGGGGCTTAGACTGGTGAGATCTCACTGGCGCCAACGAGAGCACGCGCTCCTCTTCTGCAGACGCTGGCGAAAGCAGTCTGGTGTAGAGAAAACGGTTGATGCACAGCCACTCTTTGTGTGTGGGCGCGAGATGGAGATGGGGGTGGTGGATAGACTTCGGCCGCTCGGCGAATGAAATGAGGTCTGGCTAGCCGTTGGCGATCTGCCTAGGGAGCGAACACGTCCCGGTTTCAGGGAGACTGTTTGGTGACACGGCCATATCATGAGCGCGCTCTCAATTCAGACGACGGCAGCAGCAGCATGCTGGCATCGCCCGCCCGTCCCAGGGCCATCAGCAGCGGCAGCAGCAGCAGCAGCACAGTAGTGTAGGTAGCCAAGAACCCGCCCACGCCGCCAGCGCATCTTTCATGCATCGGCTATTACAGCTCTGCCCACACCTACGATTGGCCCTACTACACCGGTCTTACTTTGGCCTCATGAGGTGAGGTTGTAGATGCTCAGCAGACTGCTCGTGGCATTGTCAAATGCATAGAAGAGTGGTACCGCGCCAGATACAGCTGCATTTGGGTCGATTGTGTCGCCCGAAAGCCCCGAGATGGCGGTCCCTTTGCAGAAGTTCGAGCTCACTGATTCCAGGCTAGAGGTGAGGGTCTCCACGAGGCGGTGCATGAGGAATGCATTTCTTCGTAGAGTTGTCCCAATGGAGATGGCATGCTTTGCTGACTTTGTTGCTAGCATAACGATTGGAAGTTTCCTGCCACGATAAAGACCAGACCGCTTCGAAAGCTGGAAGAGGAAGATTTCCTTACCCATCACAAAGTGCGAATTCAGTATGCTCTGCGCTGAGATTGTATAGACTGATTTATGGTGTAGATCGACAGAAGCTACGATGACAGTACCGTCCGGTTTAAGCTGCTGTGAGTAGTATCCCGAGGAGTCTCGTTTCCGATGTCTGACCTTCTGTAGGGTGGGAAGTGCAGTCTCTGCCAACTTGACAGACACCAACAAGTTGCCTGTCGAACCTGAACTGGTCGACGTTGTGAAGAAGCAAGGATGGGTATCTGACGAGTATCTTCATCTCTGGCGGCGTGATGAAGGAGGTTCAGCGGCCTTGACTTCGCATGGCATTCTCAGTGCGTTGACATGACTTCAAACTCGATCATCGAACACTAACTTGTCTGCAGCATTCATGCTTCAAACTCCCAGAGATGGACGATCTTTTTGCTCCCTCTCGCTGGTCAATCGGGAGAGGCACTGCTGTGGAGGTGTATACATCACAGATGAACACTTCAGCTTGAACTCCCTCCTGGCGTCGCAGCCATATCTGAACAAGCATCCCAAGGTGCCTCGAGACTTTGCTGTATTGCCGTTTCAGATCCTGGTACACCATGTGGACGAGACATTGGCGCAGGTACAAGAGCTGTCCCGACAGATCACTTTCACCGAGCGAAGGATAGCCGATGGCCGCATCTCGCTCGAAGACAATGGCGACTATAAGCTTCTGAACAGACTCAATCTCGAGCACGTCAGACTCCAGCGGCGATCCAATTTCGAGTTGGATCTCGCATCTAATCTGCTGAAATACCTGGACTCTTATCAGCGGTTGTGGGCAGTACTTTGGGAGGGCGGTACCGGCTATCTGGACGACATGCGAGAGAAGGTCGAACAACAGATGCGTTACAGCCAGCAAGTCCAGAAAGATCTCGAGATGATGCCGCGGCGAATAGACAACCAGTCAAAGGCCATGTTCAACATCATTGCCATGCGAGACAATAAGCTGAATATCTCTCTTGCTGAAAGCTCCAAGAAGATTGCCGAAGAGAGTCGTCTGGATAACCTGCTGAACGTGAAGTTGGCAAAAGCAACTGCCGATGTGGCAGAGCAGACCCGACAAGATTCGTAAGTAACCAGGACTTCTGATGTGTGGTGGGGATGGCTAACAACCTCCAAGTGCAGCCATGAAGACGATCGCCGTGTTGACTTTGACGTTCTTGCCTGGCACAGCAGTGGCGGTAAGAATACACATTTTCGCTGTGCCCGAACCAGCTAACGATCTTCGCAGTCCTTCTTCAGTATGAACGGGATGTTCAACTGGGAACCAGCCGAAGGCCAGAGCTTAGCTTCGCCTTACCTATACGTCTTCTTCGTGGTCACCATTCCGCTGACTGCCTTCGTATACATCGGATGGTGAGTGTGAATCTCCTTCCTCGACCGACATCTTTGCTGACATCCTGCAGGTGGTGGTGGTTCAGGCGTGTCCGGCAGGAGTTCCAGAAGGAGTACGAAAACTCGGACTTTGCGGCGGTGGAACGAGATCTCATGAGGCGGATGAGAACGGCGACGAATTCGTGGAATCTCGAGAAGCACGCCACTGTGACGACCCCAGTGACGACGCCGTCGGCGGCGGTGTAGCAGTGTTCGAAGGAGAAAAGTCTTGAAGAGGACACAGCATTTTCGGTTTGGTGCCCCTTATATAGCGTTGAAGTCCAGTCTTGGGAAATCGTGCCCGTCACCACGTGCGGCAGTGAAAAGGATAGGTGCGGATTTTGGGAAGCGGGCGGTTGTGAAGCGTTTGACGAAAGTATTTATCATGTGGTGCGGCGTCCTTTCTTGGGCCTTGCAGCTTCATGGTCATCTTGTTGAGAACGAAAGCATACCAAAATGGAAGAAGGCATGACCATGCACTCATTATTATCCACGCAACGAAAATGAGGCTCTGGCGTTTCAGCAAACTCTCTCCTGAGTCGTTCTCACCCATTGATCAGCTTATGTGTCTTGGGACTGGACATCCCTGTGAAGCGTCTTCTGTGACATGCTCGAGGGCCGCCCAGACAACGAAGATGCCAGGGCGGTTCGAAGCTCGTTCAGAATTGGCTTGACGATACGATGGCCATTGTTCGGCGTCCAGCGTCTGGGCGAGAGGGAGAAACAAGGCGTCGTCATCCACGAACTCATGATGCTCTGTGGTCGAGTTGAGGAGGGCCCAAGCGGTGCACGGCATGACCTCACGGCCTATATACGAAGTCGCCTCACTTGTGCCAGTCGAATAAGGGATGCCATCCCATTGGCCGGACAACGCTTTCCATGAACGACGTGCACGCGAGGACAGGGATGGCTCGAGGCCGCTCAGTGCGGCTGTGTGAGTCCCGCGAGAGTCTTAAAGGGAATCCTGCCTCGGAAGGAATTGCCCGCGTGTGCATGCATGCACCGTGCTGGGGCCAATACTCGGTCTTGGTTGCTCGAGCAGCTGAGCGGGTTACTTATGGACAAAGACCACACTGCCTGGCCTCTTTGACAATGTAGGTCCTGACACGCTCGCCCTCACCAATCTCTCCCTCATCGTCCAATGGCCCTGCCCGCGTTCGATCCCTTCGAGGCATTGGGACTTCCGAGAGACGCTTCGGAACACGTTATCAAGGAACGGTATCACTATCTCTCGCGGAAGTACCATCCGAATCGACACCAGGGCAGTGACGAGTCCAAGGCCACGTTATCCGAGCATTTCCATAACGTCCATCAGGCATGGAAGGTGTTGAGCCAGGCGGACAGCCGGCGACGACGGGTCGAGCTGTTGAACCTTCTGGAGCTTCAAGATGAGATGCTCACGCAGTTTGTCGAGCTTTTGAGTGCAGACACGCCGGAGGAGAAGCACGATCATCACGCATCCGATGTTGATGGGCATGTATCGAGTGACGCGGATGAAGACCTCCCCAATGTCGGCTTGCAGCGAAGGCAGACCTTCAAGGACTTCCACGGAACCAGACATCTGGGAGACCGCCGCCAGAGCATCGATACCGCATCGCCTACGAGTCCGACCAAGAAGACCCTGAAATGGTCTTTGTCCAAGCTTACGACGGCAAAGAAGCAGGAACAACAGAAAGAGGCAGACTACTTCACCCAGCGCCGGAAGAAGCTCGAGAAGCTGAGACGGAAAGAGCTTGAAGCCTTTTTGGAATACCGAGATGCTATGGTGGCTAAATTTGAGGCGGAAGAGATTGTGGAAACGCAGTATGAGGAGTACGAGCGAGCAAAGTGGAAGCGGGAATACTTTGAAAGAGCACCCAGAGGAACAACAGAACGCTTTCGGTCGTTTCAGCATGCTATGTCTGCCGTTACTGCTTTCGAGAACCATGCACCACGGAATCGTAACCGATCCACTCTCAGCAACTACTCAGTCATGTCACCGACTGTCGGCCCAGGCGAAGGGCCCAAGTTCCTGGATCCGGAGCATGCTATTTCGAGACAAAAGACGGCACATCGAAGAGGTTGGAGCAGTGATATCAGTGGTGACCAGACGGACAGTAGCGAGGATGAGTCTACGGAGCTGCAAGGGTCAAGAAAGATCTCACCACCTGGAAATTTCCATCAGCCTCCCATGAGGCATGGTAAACTTGTGACGTTTGAAAACTTCAAGCGTCACGCCAATGGCAAGCACGCTGTAGCAATAGAACAAGGGGGAGACTCGCCTGGGCCATTCAAGCTGGTTGTCAGACAGCCTACAGATCTTGGGACGATTGTGGAAGCTCACGACTCGAGTGGAGAGACGCCGTCGGGTTCTTCGAGATCACCTTCGCCACAGCCTGTAACAGGCACGGAGCTGGCCAAGTTCACCGTGGTGCCTTCTTCTGGGACCGCAGACATCTTTGGCGTCCCGCCTGAGCGTCGTGCTCGATCACGCAGTCCAGCTGGACACGGGAGATCTCCTTCGCCCACTCCTTCTGAACCCGAACAACGCCGACTCGTACATGATGGATGTCGATTCGAAACGAAACACATTGGCCCACCCGAGCATCACCACGTTCCCATCTCACACGTGCATCTGCTGTCGAGGCAAGAGAAGTCTGATATTCTTGGAGCGGAACCGGACACTGAGCTTGACCCGTCTGTACTGCTCCAGCGACTGTCGAGTCTTGATCCAAGAGTGGCGTCTAGATTTGAAGTCAAGCCGGACATGGAAGAGATGTTTAACTTCAGACTCATTTACGGCAACAGAGAAGTCACCAGCCGACAGCATCAGTCTTTCATTGCGCTCAGCTATCGACGCAAGCTGCATGTCGAGAGGCATTCTACGCATTACACACTTCCATTGGAGCCGGAGATCTTCCAGGCCGTATGGGACGAGAGACAATCCGATTCCGAAGGCGTTTGGATCGATCAGATCTGCATTGACCAGGACAGCGACATAGAACGAACGATCTCAATGTCTGCCATGGACATGGTGTATAGGAGCGCCCGAGTCGTGGTGGTTGCATTAGACGACATTGAATTGGACCAATTCGAAGGCGAGCTTCTGCAGAATCATATGGACGAGTATTCAGGCATGACCCATGTTGCCCCTCGGCATCGATTCCGACGCAAGCAGCCGCCGTACCTCGAGACTCATGAGGATCTCTACAAAGTTGTTCGAAAGATGCTGAGGTCTTCGTGGTTCAAGCGCGCCTGGTGTCGGCATGAGATGAGGCTGGCCAAGCATCACGTCTTTCTCATTCCATGCAAGAGAGCGGGCACTTGGGGAGGTCGAGATGTGCTGAGATTCAACGGCAAGTGCATAGCACATCTGCTGGATCTTTGCGTTGAAGTCCCTTTCGAGCCTGATGTGGAGTCGGTCAAGCCAGCCCTTCATGGATTCTTTAGAGATCGCGCGAAGATGGCAGAGAACGAGAGGCAGATGCGTCTGCATCATGGCAACTTCTCGACTGTCGTCGCAGAGGTCTTTGCAATGGAGGCTGGTGGCGATCCTCGAATTCCAGCCGAGCAGCGACTCTCGGATGCTAGGAAGGACAAGATATCGATCATCCTCAACACTTTGGAGTGTGGACTGTCTCTTCATGAGGGTGTGCGAGATCCATCTGACCCGCGCTACAACATCACGACGGACAATCAGTGTTTCCATGACTTGTCGTTGCTGGCGCTTGCAGCACAAGATCCGGGTGCGCTGTGCTCAGTCGGAGCACCACTGCCCATCACAGAAGATGCGTCGAGCTGGGTCTACATGCCAACCGTTGCTGATTCTGGGTTGAACAACTTCAAGACCTTGGAGCGGTTACCAGCAAATGCCAGATTTGTAACACACACGAGTGGATCTGAGCACTTCATTCAACTGGACATGAGGTTCCTGAAACGCACGAGAAACGCCAGAGCGTCAATCGACCCGGACATGATTGATCTAGCCCGGCACTTTATGAATGTCTGTGATGAACGCAAGTGGGGTCGTAATAGGAAGCGCTATCTCATACATGATCGAAAGGCGAATCTGCTGTTTGGGCCTATGAAAGAGGTGTATATCGAGACGCTCGCCTGCGTTTTTCACTGCGGACCAGACTGGATGAGCGATGTTTGTCGAAGATACAGCATGAGCCGTTGGAAGGTCGATCTTCAGCCAGCCTGGCAGCTTCTCATCGCGCTGCAGAATACACACGGTCGATGGCCCGCCGATTCCTGGGACGAGCGCGCGGCTGCATTCATCGCGGACTTTGTCAACTTCCTGGTCATTCGAGGTCTGCCGCAACGACAGATCTCGAAGCCTGAACCATGGAGACCGCTCTGGGTCAGCACACCTCTAGGCGGCAAAGTCCTCACATTCGTGCCCATCTCCGACGAGACCGTCCACGCAGCGATCCCCACCGTCCTGATCAACGCCGACTACGTCCATCTGGCACGCCTGTGGATCCTCAAACCACGCTCAATCCCGGAAGACCTCGAAAAGAATGTCGATCTCGTATCTTATTCTAACGACTGGACTTTACTCGGCAAATCTGTTTTATTTAGCGACGAGCTTTCCATCGGACAAATGACTGCATATGGAGGGGATTTCAAGGATCAGCAGAGGGTTTTTGGACGGCGGAAGGATATGGCTAATGGGATTCCGGGAGTCAGGGAGAGGAGGAGGAATTGATTTTTGAAGATTATGATGGAAAAGATACCCTGTACTAATAGATTGAGACTCCTTTGGCATAGCGTTCTGAGCGTATAGAGGACGGTGCATGGCGCATGGCGTGGGTGGCGTTTTGGGAGTAATAAGAGCATTTTGCACGTGAATTAAGTTTCGATCTTTCACGTGATCTTCGGCGTCTGGTCTCAGATGTTTTTGATTGTGACCATTTCAACGCGTGTGTTTCACGCCTGCCGCGGACTTTGTTTGAACTTCGTTTCGCCACTGGCATCCCCCAAGACCAGCCGGGCGACGGTGGAGTGGGTTGCAGCAGCGCAGAAAAAGGCCCTGCATGTCGTCTTGCTTTTCGCTGAAACCGGGTTATACAGGTTATACAGCAGGAAGAAATTCAATCGGACTGGCCTTGAGGAGTACACCGCAACTCGGACTCGGTTCTCTGTTTTTTTCTTGTTGGTCGTGCAGGAAAGACGTATATGGCGGATTCGGTGTACCGGCTGCATTGAAGGAAGATAAAGAGGTTCTGTGAAGGAAACAAGAAACACGCAGACTTACGATTCACGACTGGGACGGCCGCCTTGCGAATAGAACCGGTCCTTGGAAGAATACCACCGACGCCACCATCACAATGCCCATCCTCACCGGCCGAAGAACAGCACGACCGTCCTTCACGGAACGCTCGCCAACGTTTCCCTCCTACTACAGCACTCGCAAGAAACCTCGCCGGTGGCCGCTGGTGATCCGGTTCATCAAGGGTGCCATCCACGTCGACATCGCGCTGCCGGTCATCCTGCACGCCCTCTTCGCCGCGCTCATCTGCTACTTCGACTTCTCCCACGACGGACACCTAGCCATCCCCTCGTCGACCCTCCCCTCGCTCTCCATCGTCGTGGGCCTCATGCTCGTCTTCCGCAACTCGACCTCCTACGACCGTTTCTGGCAAGGCAACCAGCTCTTCACCACCGTCGAGACCAACATCCGCAACCTGACCCGCTCCTTCCTCGCCTGCTCCTACAACCCCCACGGCCCACCACCCACCGAAGCCGAGCGCGCAGACACCGAACGCACAGTTAGGACCTTGCTCGCCCTGATCTACGCCGCCAAAAACCACCTCCGCGCCGAATGGGGCCAGTCAATCCCCATCCTCCTCCCGCGCGCCGAACTCGAACGCCAACGCCGCGAGAGCGTCTCCGTCTACAAGCCCGAATACGACGACCTCCTCCCGCGCGGCACGCGAGGCCACGAAGACCAAGGTCTCGGCCTCCTCCTGCAACTCTCCGTGCAGGTCGAAGGCTACATCAAACGCTCGCACGACCGCGGCTGGTTCCACGCCCCGCAAGCCTCGCAACTCACCGTCCAGCTCAACACCCTCGTCGCCGCCTACGGCAGCATGGAGACCATCCACCTGACGCCCCTCCCCGTCGCCTACCTCATCCACATGCGCCAAGTCCTCGCGATCTTCTGCTGCGTCCTGCCCTTCGCCCTCGTCTCTGAAATGGGCTGGTGGTGCATCCTCATGACCGCCTTCGTGTCCTTCACGCTCTACGGCATCGAAGCCATCGGCGCCCAGCTCGAAGACCCCTTCGGTTACGATCGGAATGATATCAAAGTCGATGCCATCGCGGAGGATTTGAGGGTGGAGACGACGGTGCTTATTGAGAATTGGCGGAAGGGAGGCGATATGTTCCCTCAGACGCAGGTGCAGCAGAATAATCCTTTTGCTGGTGTTGGTGTTGGTGTTGGTGGTGTTGGGATGCAGCAGGGCCAGAGTCCGCAGAGGGGGAGAGGGAATACGGGTCCGGGGGCTTTTGATGAGAGGAGTCCGATGGCGAGGTAGATAGATTGAATAGAAGGGATAGAGAAGTGAGGTGAGGTCGGGATTAGATAGAAGAGAAGTGGAGTTCTATTTCCTTCAATCAGGATCACCGCGATGCGCGATTTATTTCACCTGCAAGTCACTGGACCCTTCGATCCATCCCACATGAAGGGATCTCACGGATAAGCTTAAACATATGCTTGCAGGCTGTACTTTTGCCGATGATGGGTAAGAACGTGAGAAAGATGATGAGTTGAGAGGAAAGAGAAAGATGTTCAGGTCAAAGCATAGCCATTGTTCTCAAATCGCCTCGTGGCGAACTAGTGAAACATTCTATCATTCGTCGCAAACGTGTAAACTCCTCCGTAATGCAATCTTATTGAGGGCCCCGTTGTGCTGTCAAGAGCACATCAAAGCCACCTGATTACCCCGAGAGACGTCTTTCCCAACTTCCTTCCGAGCAAGCGTAGATGGCTCGCTTAGTCGTAAAGGTCCTCTTCGCCGGCACCTATTCAAATTGTCAGCGTCTGCATACCCTCAAGATCATCATGGTTGTACATACCGTTCTGCTGCTGATCGGCGCCACCATCGGTACCGTCCTCTGGGAAGCGGAAGAAAGCACTGCCGCCAGCGCTGCTCTTCATGCTCTGGGCGAATGCCTCGTATCGGCGAATCTCGGTATCCGTGACTGAGCGACGAGCCATGCTCATAGCCTCCTCGAAGTGCTTCTTGGTGAGTTCAGGCACAGGGTCCTCCTCGTCAACATCCTCCTCCATCTTGGTGTCATCCCCCTCCTGAGCCTCGCGGGCCTTGTCCTTCTCGATGGCAATGCCGATGCTCTCCTTGATGGCGAGCTTGACAGCACGCTGGGTGATGAAGCCCAAGTCGGCACCAGAGAAGCCGTGGGTCTTCTGGGCGATGTAGGAAAGGTCGACGTCGGGGGCGACTGGCGTCTTGCGGAGCTGAGCCTTGAGAATGCTCTCACGGCCGACCTGGTCGGGAAGTGGGACGTACACAAGGGTATCGAGACGACCTGGACGGCAGAGAGCGTTGTCGAGTTGCTCTGGTCGGTTAGTAGCACCAATGACGAAGACGTTCTTCTTGCTGGTCATGCCGTCCATCTCAGTCAGGAGCTGGTTGACCACACGGTCGGAAGCACCGCCAGCATCGCCGACACTACCGCCACGAGACTTGGCAATGGAGTCCAACTCGTCGAGGAAGACAACGCAAGGAGCAGCAGCACGAGCCTTGTCGAAGATGTCTCGAATGTTGCTCTCGGACTCACCGAACCACATGGAGAGCAGTTCAGGACCCTTGACGGAGATGAAGTTGGCAGCGCACTCGTTGGCGACTGCCTTGGCGAGAAGAGTCTTACCAGTACCTGGTGGTCCGTAGAAGAGCACACCTCGGGACGGGCTAAGACCGAACTTGAGGAACTTCTCTGGGTGGTCAACTGGGTACTGCACGGACTCGATGAGCTCGCGCTTGACGTCTTCGAGACCACCAATGTCGTCCCACCGCACGTTGGGCACCTCGACGACGGCAACCTCGCGGAGAGCAGATGGGTTGCTGACGCCAAGAGCGAATCGGAAGTTCTCTTGCGTGACACCAAGGCTGTCGAGCACCTCAGCGTCGATGGTATCCTCATCCAAATCGATCAGGTCCATCTTCTCACGAATCTGCTGCATGGCGGCTTCGGAGCAGAGCGAGGCGATATCCGAACCGACGTAACCGTGGGTCTCGGCGGCGATCGATTCGAGGTCGACGTCTTCACCAAGCTTCATGTTCTTGGTGTGGATCTGGAGAATCTCGAGACGGCCGGTGGGGTCTGGGATACCGATGTCGACTTCACGGTCGAAACGGCCGAAACGACGAAGGGCTGGGTCGATCGAGTTGGGACGGTTGGTGGCGGCCATGACGACCACGTTGGAACGGGCCTTCATGCCATCCATGAGGGTGAGCAGCTGAGAGACGACACGTCGCTCAACTTCACCGTTGGTCTTCTCACGCTTTGGCGCGATGGAGTCAATTTCGTCGATGAAGATGATGGCCGGGCTGTTCTTCTCCGCCTCCTCGAAGGCCTTTCGCAGATTGCTCTCAGACTCACCAGCCATCTTCGACATGATCTCTGGGCCGTTGATGAGGAAGAAGAAAGCACCGGTCTCGTTGGCAACGGCGCGGGCCATCAGCGTCTTACCAGTACCGGGTGGACCATACATGAGGATACCACGCGGCGGCTTGATACCGATGGACTTGAACAGCTGAGGATGTCTGAGCGGAAGCTCGACCAACTCGCGGACCTGGGCCATCTGCTTGCGGCAGCCACCAATGTCATCGTAGCCGACCTCGTTGAGGTTGCCCTCCTCATCTTCTCGCTGAATGGGCTCACCTTCGCAGTGGATGACAGTGTCTTGTGCCACGATGCCGTACTCTGGTGGGTCGATCTCGACGACCTTGAACTCTACCGTCCGCATGGCGGCGCGGCATGTGAAGAGATCGCCTTGCCGCAGTGGGCGGTAGGCTTCGCGGAAGTATGGTGCGAGGAAAACATCGAACAGCGAGCCGGTCAGACCCTCGATGGTGTCTGCCATGGGCAGGACTGCGATGCGCTTTGCGTATTTGATGTCGGGGCATGGGTTGACCGTGACGACGTCGCCCAGCTTGACTCTGAGATTGTGTCTCACCACGCGGTTCATGCGCGCTGAGCCGTCATCAAGGTCGTCATCAGCGAGGACGATGAGTACGGTGTCCTTTCTCTTCTTGCCCTTGACGAGGACAGTGTCGCCGCGGAACAGCTGCAGCTGCTCCATGGTGTTGTTGGACAGTGCGAGAATGGAGTTGTCATCGGTGGTGGCGTCCGTGACGATCAAGCTGTTGGGCTTCTTCTTCTTCTTGAGGATGGCCGTGGCGGTGGCATCCTCATCGCGGTGCTCGCCGCCGGAAGGATCGTTGTCGAGCTTGACTTTGCCCTTGCCGGCGGAGTGGTCTGGTTCAGCAGACATGATGGAGGCGTTTGATGCTCGTGTGATGCTATCGGACAAGCGCTCACCAGTCTCCGGCGGATGCAGTGAGCGGCGGTGCAGTGAGGATGGCGGGTGCAGCTGTCGAGGCTGGTGGGTGTGGTGGGTGTAGATGTAGGATGGAGGGAAGGTTGATGGCGGAGAGTGAGTTAGAAGAGGTGGTGGATGGAAAGTGAAGGTGTTGTTGGTGGCAGATGATGATGGTTCCTGAGTTGAAGCTCTCGCTGCTGGACGTGCTTGGCGGCTGAACTCCGGCGGCTGGCATGATCTCATCCGGTAAACGGACACCTCTTCTCTTCACCTGCACGACGGAGGAATGAATAATCATCAGCCACCACAGTCGCCCGCAGAAGCCCATCGAAACACCCGCCGCGTACATCGTTGCCGCCTGCTGGTGGTCGCCTTTCATTCACCTGCATCTTGCCATCACGTGTAAATATCTCACTTTTTCTGATCGCCACTGCCGGTCCATCTTCGCACATGCTCGGCCTCCGGTCCCATGTACTGAAGTCTATGCATCATTATTGCTCTCGCGCCTCGCATATACTGCAGCTTCACGCATACGGCTGCACACTGCAACGCTTTGCGAATCGGAATAGGAAGTAATATAGGCAGTCACCAGCTTGAACTTGATCGCAACATCCCTTTCTTGGCCCTGACACTCGTTCATATGTGACGGAAAGGGAAGCTGCATGGCTCAATTTGGCGGCAGGTGCTTTGCGTCGGCATATATTTGAATAGCTTGTACCATTCTCAACTCTAATACCAAAACTGCACGACAATCACTGCATGCACGGCAACCATCGGCGTTTATCCCGGACAAGAGCTTAGACTCTGCTATCCAAAGCATCACCTCGATCACCAAGCACGAAGTCAGGAGGAAGTCCACAATGGCTCCTGGAAGGCAGGTCACGTCCCAAGTTCCCATCGCATCTTCGACGTGTCCATGTCAGCTGGCATGGGCCTGATGATACCGCCTCGACTATGGCCTTATCTTGACCACCCACATCAGCTGCATGCTACATTCCCTTCAAATTGACTTTCCTTCAAAATGTTCTTGTTGTCTCCTCACGTTCGCCTCACAATAGGCAAACATCCCGGTACTCTAACAGTAGTTGCAGGCGCGAAGAGCTCTACAAAGGAGCAATCATGCAGTGGCATGCAGTACAAAGATCGAATGTTTCGTCAAAGACAGACGAAAATGTTCACAATGATCACCAGCCATGGGAGAGCAAGCAAGATCCAACATGCAGCAGGAGTTCTGCCAGAGTCGATGGCACCTACCAAATTATATCACACAGAGCTGTTGAGAGTTCCATTCGCAAGGAGACCAACCTTTACAACACGAGTTTCACCAGCGACACAGCCTCTTCCAGCACCGATGAGGAAGGCCCAATTCGAAGAGTCTCAAATCCCTTGGATGTCGACATGCCAATAGAAGCCAAGTCCATCACCACTATTGCGTACCAAAGGGCCTTGAGAAATCGACCTCTGGAGCAGCTTCTCTCACATGGCGAGAAGTTCGACCCGAACGCCTACACCCCGACCTTTCTACACGACATGCTCATGCTTCCTGGCTCGCTGGCCAATCTGCTTGATAAAAGTATGCTCGATCCTGAACCACAACTCATTCGCCCCCAGTAAAACCATCTAATCAACTTCTCAGTACCAACCTGGGACATCGAGCGTCAAATGACACCCGCCCTCCTCCCAGGCTACAAAGCCCACGTCCACGCCCCATCGCTCCAGCCAGCACTGACCCAATCAGACGACCCCAACGACTACGTCCAAGGCATGCTCATCTTCGGCCTGGGCAAAGATCTCCGCCGTCTAATCCACAACCACTACCGCACCCACGCCAAACGCCGCAAACTCCAACTGGAAGTCGAACTCCAAGTCCTCGTCGAAGAACCCGGCCCCGGCCACGTCTTTCAGCAGAAAGTGCTGCGGCCTCGCCGGCGAGCGATTCAAGCGCACGTGTGGCTGTGGTCGAAGAAGCGGGGTGGCGAGGAATTTTGTGAGACGGGGGAGTGGAATCTGGAGCATGCGCTGTTGGGGAATCTTGGACCTAAGCAGACGGCGCTGAGGGTTGAGGCTGATGCTAAGGGGGATGAGGATGGGGATGGGTGGATTGGGAGGGAGGTGAAGGAGGTGAGGGTTGATCCCGAGGAGAGGGACAGTAGAGAGGTTGTGCGGCGCGGCGGTGCTGGGTCTTTGGACTATGAGCGGATTACGGGAGTGGGTTTCACGGGATGGTAGAGAGGTGAAGGTATTCACCTTTCTCTCTCTCCATCGTCGCTTCTCTCTATTATGGGATGGAGGTGGTGATAGATCACCGTTAGCATTGATACACCGAAAAGTAGATGCTATGATCGTGTGACTTCCCCCTCATGAGGACGGTGCAGTGTAATTGCTTCCTGAGAACATATCAAGCTATCACTCATCGTCAGCACACATCTCTCCCATCCAGGACTAAAGCTTTCCACCCAGACCTTTGAACGCCGTCTTGATATACTCCTCAACATCCTCCAACAACTCCTTCGGCTTCTCCATAGCCTACAAAAAACACAGTATCAGTCAGCATCTCACATCCCTACACCTTGAACGGTACCGACTTACCGCAAAATGCCCACCACTAGTATGCACCTTCGCCGAAACCAGATTACAGCTCTGAGCCACCCAGCTCTTAGGCATAGGCACCAGTTCCTTGGGGAAGAACGAGTATCCCGAAGGCTTGCTGACGTGTGGTCGTTCGCGGCCTCGGCCGGAGGCGCTGGCGATTCGAGGTCGTTCATCGCCGCCGGACAACTCCTTGTGTCAGCAATTTTACGCGTACCGTGGAGGGGGTTATAGGACTTACTCCTCGGTAGGGGTAGATGCATCGTGGGAACGTCTCGGTCATCCAGTAGAGTGTTACGCTGTCCAGGATTTCTTGGAGGGGCGGGTCTTCGTCCGTCCATTCGAGGAACTTCTCCCCGATCCAGGAGAGCAGCGCCAGAGGACTCGCGCTCAAGGCATGTCCGATCGTCGCCGTGCGCGTGCCGTGTTCCTGCGCATACGCAGTGGCGTAGTCTCGGAACCACAGTCCACGACCGAGGGCTTGCTTCTCCACGTCCTCGATCGGAAGTTCGTCTGCGTTCTGGGGACGAGGGATAGGCGAGAAATTGAGATGCATTCCCTTGCAGGCATCGTTGGTCGCAGCTTGGTAGCGCGAGATGAAAGAGCCCAGATCGCCTCCTTGAGCGACATAGCCGGAGAATCCGAGGCCAAGCATGAGGTTGTTCAGGGCTTCCGAGGCGTTCTCGAGGGCGTAGTCGTAGTTGAGCGGTGGGCCGGAGGAGTATGCGTATCCGGGGATGCTGGGGACAATGACATGGTAAGGGAGATCCTGAGGGGAATACTTCTGCTTGAGCAGGTCGAGGATCTGGAGGAACTCGAGGAAAGAGCCAGGCCAGCCGTGGTAGAGCGCGAGGGGCGTGGCGTCTGGTTTCTGGGAAAAGAGCGCGATGAAGTGGATCGTCAAGTCATGGCCCACGTCGTCCTTGACCTGCGCGGTGAAGTTGGGGAATGAATTGATGCGGTCTTCGGTCTTGCGCCAGTCGTAGCTGTTCAGCCAGTTCTCCTTGGCGTTGATTAGCCAGTCTCGAGGAGTTCCATAGCGTCTCTCGACGGACTTGTCTGAGTTCTCGTAGACCGGTGGAGCGACTGGCGAGAGCTTGAGAAGAGTCTTGAAGTCTTGAATCTTTTGATCTTCGACGTGAGCTTTAAACGGCTTGATGTCGAACTTGACGCCCGCTGGGACTTTTCCGTAGTCTGCCATGGTTGATGGTGAAAGGAGTTGTTTCTCAAAGGAGAGGAGCCGACGGAGAGCGTTCATGGATTGGAACAAGACAGGTTCTCATATCTTGCTTACTCTTGTGAAACGCGAGGATGGTTCGCGTACTGACGAGCTGGCCTCGAGCTCTCATACGTGACTTGCATCATAAGGGCGGAGCTCACCTTCCTGCCCCTCGGCTGAGTGAGGCCGTCGTGCAAGGTCTTCTACTGCTTCGAGTATAGCTGCGTGGATGCTGACAAAGTGTACAACCCGCTCTTGGACTCCGTTTCTCGCATCATCTCTGACTCCTTTTTATGCAAGCCAATGGTCTTGGATATGCTGGATACATTGGCGGTGATGTGAAAGGGAAGCAGGCAGACACGCCGCTCCGCTGTCAAGTTGGTGGCTGGGTGCGAATCCGAAAGAAGAATGAGACGGCAGGGGTCATGGATAGACGACACCTGCTCTTCTCTCATCGATCTCTAAACATCTATTCACAACCACCGCAGTAGAGGCCAAGGTCCTATGTGTTTCTACAAAGCGAAAGACTGTGTGCAGCGGCGCCCAGTCTTCGAAAACCGATGTTCTTGAGACCAACCACGCTCCTGGCAACCCATCCAAAGCGGATAGACCCTAATTGGAGATGACACGGTTCAAAAGATTGGGTGAGATACGGTGTACAGTACATGGGTGTTGAGGGTATGCTATCGTAGATTCGACGACAAGGCAGTGACTGTTCTTCCGTTACTGCGCCTCCGCCACAATCCTGACACCGCCGACAGCTAGATGGCACTGGTTGACTCACCATGAGGGAAGAATTGATATCCTAAAGTGCAGACCATGATCATCCCTCGCTATTCACCATTTCAAGTATCAGCGTAGCAAGACATACCAAAGAGTTACCACAAATGGCCAAGCCAGCCTTCCGGGAGATCCGCGCGTCCCACGACGACGAGTGCATCACAGTCTATCAAGAATACAACGCTTCCATCGCCGAATCGGCCATTGAAAGCCAAAAACTCTCCGCCTCGCCCTTATACCGCCCCGGCCGAGCAACATGGATCAAGCCTTCTTGGTGCTGGATGATGTACCGAAGCGGCTACTCGTACAAGGATAGCAATCAATAACGCATCCTCGCTATCCGCATGAAACACGAGCACTTCGCGAGGCTTCTCAAAAATGCCTGTCCTGCTGGCGCTCCGCATGCGAGAGGCGAGAGCGTAGTTGTCCAGTGGGATCCTGAGAGGGGACCGAGACTTGAGAGGTTGGAGTATAGGGGTATTCAAATTGGGATTCCTGGGGGTGTGAGGGATCAGTGGATTGAGGAGTGGATTGAGGGTATTGAGGATGTTACGCAGATGGCGAGGGATATGAAGAAGAAGTTGGATGAGGATCTTACGATTGGGGTGGAAGAGCTTGTCAGACTTGGCTTGATGCCGGACGAGCGATTGTATAGGGTTGACGACGAGGTCTTTGATCGGCTCGGGATGGCTTCGCAAAAATAAGGAAGTATCCTCAAAATCCGAGCTTGATAGGTTGCTAACATATCCAGCAGAACCTACCTGCTGCACAACTTCAACTCTGTATACCTCAAAGGTGGATACGCCACCAAGGTGAAACCCGTCCCGATCCACATGCCAACATCAGAAGATTCTGCTGCTTTTGCCAGAGGTCCAACGAACCAGGTCTGATACATCCCGAGGATGGCTCCCGTCCATCCAAGCAAGAAAGCAGCCAGAGCAGCAAAACCAGAAGGCAACCTTCTTGGCTGCGACCATACTGTCCAGTCGATTTCCTTCGTCGTTTTGAAGAGCAAGTGCTCCTGCAAGACGATGGCAATCATTGGCATGAGCCAGTACCCCATCAAGGCTAGGAAGTTCTGAAGGATGACGAAGAGCTTGTTGCGACCTGCCACTCCCAAAACTAGTTGTATAATTACCAGGAAGACGACCCAAGCCCATCGAGGAATCTTAGCAAAGTACCGACCCAGAGTCTGGCTGCAGATCGCAGCACTGTACGATCCTGGGACGCAGTTCGCGATGACTCCAAGGGCGAGGACCACCGAGCAGAATTTGCCAAAGCCCCCGAGCGGTGCAAAGCTTTCGACTATGAGCGCGCCGGCTGAGATGTTGTATGCATACTGCCAGGCACTTGAAGCCATGACACCGCACGCCAGGCCGATCCCGAGAAGATTGACGAACATGAAAGCCAGGATAAGCCCAGCTACCGTGAGTGTGAAGACCTTCCATTTGGGTGTGTTCTCCGGGTAGTAGACGTAGAAGTCCGCGCCTGCAGCCGCCCAAGAGTTCGGGACGTAGAAGCACAGCGTCACGAACGTCAGCCTTGCGGCTGCAAGAGCAGATCCAGAAACCGTGGATTCTAGCGAGGCGTTGAAGTTGGGTCCAGCACATCCGACGAGAACGAACAGAGCGAATGCTTGAGGAAGCCAGGCAAATCTGCACCAGTTCAAGTCAGCGAAGCGGCAGGGAATCACACTTTCCACGACCCTACCTCTCGTAAGCATAGAAAAGCTTCAGCCCAAATCCAGCAATCAGACCCTCCAAGATCGCCACAATCACCACTCCAACCACGACGCTCATGCTCCCCCCACTAACCGCCGCCAACATCTGTCCCGCCAAAATACAATCAATCGTGCCCCACCCAACCATAAGCACAACATTCAACAAACTACACAGCTTCGCCACATGGTACCCCATAAAGAACCTCAGCACCACCATCGTCCGACACCCACTCACAGGACCCCGCGTACTCATATACGCCGTCGAGATGGAGCCCAGCACGACTCCAATGGTCATGCACCAGGCGCAGTCGGTGAAGCCGAGGCCCATGAGGAGGGGTCCGAGCATGGGAACGGAGAGGTTGTTGACGGTCAGGTTGGCGCTGAACCAGAGCATCAGCATGTGCAGGGTTGAGGTCTTTTGGCGGGAGGAGGGCGGGACTCGTTCGAGGCCGCGGGCTTCGAAGCCGGAGAGGGAGGTGAGGTGGGCATTGAGGCGGGAGAAGAGGTGTTTGGGGGAGGTTGACGGGTCGCGAGAGGCTTCGATGTCTTGTGTAGCCGGTTTTTCGACTGTGTGAGTGCTCTCGAGGGTATCTGTTGGTTGACCCATTGCTCGTCAAAGGCAAGACGGAGATGAGAACGCTACGACCAGTTTCCAAGACGTTGAAAGTTGGCAAGGTCAAGAATATATGGCTTGTTTTGGAGCTGCATTGATCAGCGAGGCTGAAATGCGAAGATAAGTATTCATACGAATACGGAACGAGTCTCAAGGTAGCTGACTTTGCAGATGTGTCCTGTATGTGGCAGGTCAATATTGAGTTTGCGAGATCTGCTGCAAGCTTCTTCTTGGCTTGTCATTAAGCTCTGATCGACAGCAGACAGACAAGCTTGAGAAATTAGCAACATCTTCCCCAGACTGCAGCTCATCGGCACCATTTCCTTTCGAATGGAGATGTCATGTCTTTGGAAGAACGTAAGTGAAGGGTCTTCCATGTTGACGAAGCTGACTGAAAAGAGTTGGGAGTGTTGGTGAAACGGGAGAGGGCCAACAAAAGTGGTGGGGCATGAATCGACTCTGCTAAGCTTCGCAATCGTCTACATGAGTGTATGCACATGAATCCACGTAACGAAGTAGCTCAGGGAGTGAAGTGAAAGATCATTCACTCGCCGCCGATCCCTGGCATGTGAATTTTTGGTCCGTGCGTCGTTGCACCGTCAACTTATGTCACGCAAGCTGAAGTCTCCAAATTCCTTTATCCCGCAAGAACTTCGACATCGCAAACCCTGCAAAGCACTCGAACCACCTTACAACGTGGACGACAGCGTCCACATAGAAGTGGAACTAGCCAATCATCAGTGAGTTCGAGGCCAAAGCTTCGTTTGTCACACTAGATATGCATGACTGACAGCACTGGAGCGATGGCAACTTCGGCTTCGCAATCTACCGCTGCGTCTACGGCGATGAGGAAGCCTGGAAACACTTCGTCGAGCGAATGATAGCCCACGCGCACGCCAGACTCGACAGCACTGAGACCGGACGCCAGATCAAGGATCGCTTCGCTTGGGACATTATGGACGACAAGGAAAAGCTTGACGGGGCCTCAAAGGAGCAAGTTCGCGGGTAACAGCCACTCTCCCCCGTCGCCCCACATTGATCTGCCGGCTGACACTGTTGCGAAAGACTCTTCAAACACTGGCGCGATGCAGTCAGAGGCAGGCCAATCCTCCCAAGATACGGCAACTGCATCTACGCAGATCAAGAGGTCATCGACTCGGTCCTGAACGGCGATGCGCCAGGTTCCACGAGCCCACAAGATCGGAACCATCCAACTGCATTCGTCAAGGTGCTCGACGACATGTTCGAAGAGCAGCCAGAGCAGTTGACCCCCGATGACGAATCAGACGACGAGGAGCGTGAGAAGCTGAATGCAGGTGATGAGGGTTACCCTGATATCGAGGTCCGTATCATTCCAAAAGTGAATCGATGTTTTGCTGACAGTTGCCAAGGGTTGCAAGCGCAAAAGACGTGGGTTGGACGAAAGTCGCTATACGCAATCTCGTGCCCAGAGCCTATAGCCTGTTGATGGAAAACGGATGGCACCTTGTGTACGTCAGACCGCCAGCAATTATGAACGACTAGAGTGCAAGGCTTTCGTAGCAGAGTGTAATAAAAGTAGAATCGATTAATCTAAGTATCTGTATGGGACAAAGATCATGTGTGTGTAGCCAAGTCACCCGGTGGTCTGTGCGCAAACACAAACATGTGAAACCTCCCGCTTCAGTGAATTTGTTCTCGCTTGGCTTCCGGCTTGGCGTCACTGTTTACACACTGTCACGACTCCCCTAAATTCAGACGAAGGCAACGAACCGCGCTTCCGCTACTCTGACGCATCACCTTGGCCGCTTGACAACATGAATCTCCTCGCCATCTTCTTGGTGGTCGTTGCATGGCTTGCCCTGTACTTTCCCGACTTCGTTACGACACAGCACTTCCACCGCATTTCTGTCCCGGTCAACTACCCTGGAATAACTGAACGCTGCTACACCGCTCTGAACAGCACACTCGACTGCGCGCCCTGGCTCTGGGAATTCACTCACGAGCCGACGTACTTGACACTTGACCAAGTCCAGTCTATCTGCACTCCATCCTGCTACGAATCGCTCATCAACGCACAAGAAGCAGCGTCCTCAGCATGTATCACCAAAGCGGACGTAATCTGGGACGGCCAGAAATTAAGAGGAACACCCGCCACTTGGACATTCGACAAGCTCTTGTACACGTTCAACTCAACCTGCGTAAAAGATCGGTAAGTTAGGGGATATCTCGAGTCATATTTGACTCTAACGTGAAGTTTAGATTCTCTGGAGAGCTCTGTGCTTCGGCTTTGAAGGGAACACCTGGAATGCAAGACCACCCTCTTGACTGCTCTCAGTGCGCACTCGACACGATGGATATGAAGCTCAAATCGCCATTGGAATACTCCAACGAAAACGCGCTCGAGTTCAGCAAAATCATCGACACCTGCAATGCCACCGGCTATCATGTCACATCTCCCGCCCCAACAACTACGAATGTCACTCACCCAGACCGGAGTCGGATAGATGCCTGGCTGGCAGCACCCACCCCGGCTTTCACCGACAACTGCACCCGCTGGGGCAAGGTCCGCCTGAACGATACATATAACTCTCTCGCAGCCGCCAACAACGTTTCGTCATTCTGGCTACGCGCCAACGACTACAACGCAGACGTCGATTTCGATGAGATCCCTCGAGTCGGTACATCTTACTGTCTTCCGCCTGGCGAATGCCAAGCTTACAAGGTGCAAGAGAATGAGACGTGTGACGACATCATCATGAAGGCTTCGATTCCAATCAACAGTACGCAGCTTGAACTCTGGAATCCCGATATCAGCGAGGTCTGCAGCACCCCTGGACACTTGAATGGCACCGTTGTGTGCCTTTCTTCTCCGCCTGAATGCACTTGGTGCCATCGCACCACCACCACAACGACGGCCAAAGCATCCACTTTCTCAGGATTCAGAGAGAATTGGGACAGCTACTGGCCTGAACAACCGTACACTCATGCTGGTGCCCCTCTGCACCGAGCACATGCTACACCCCAATCAACACGAATCCAGCGATGCCATACTCAGTCTGGGCCAGTTGTCACTCCGGCCGGGGCACTCCCCTAACCGAAGGTTTCTGTGCTCCACGTACGACAGGAGCCACGTCGAATCTTTTGGAAGTTGTGCAAACCGGAGGGTCTCAGCCTTCGAATCAGAAACCGTTGTGAGAGGTTGTTAGGGGACAAGCATAGCCTGGTCTGGCCGCAACAAAGTAGGACGGAGGATGGTGGCACCGATCGTGCTGAGAAGGTGTCGTTGCATGAAGAGGGCTGATCAGTTCTGATATGGATTTCCGGCCGAGTGTAGCTACAATGCATATGCTCGACACTACTCCTACACAAACCCAATGCCAGTAGCAGCCCCATGAGAACCGTATTCAATCATGTGCAACAACGCTTATCACTCATCAACGTCTGAATCGTCCGACTCCATGACCTCCATCTCGATACCCTGCTCTTCTCGACCCGGATCCGCTGCCATCCTTGACGCATCATGATGCCCCGAAAACAATCTTGCCAGAAACACCACAACGAGTATCGGAAAGAAGACGATGCCCAGCAAGACCACTATCCACCAAAACAACCATCGAAAATATGTCTCTTTATTCCTCTCTGTGAACCGATGATAGGCCTCGCCGCCGGTAATTATTGCGGAGATGAGGAGTGTGACTGCGAGCCAGCTGAAGAAGTCGGGAGTGTTGCTTGGTGTTGGTGTGTAAAATGAGGAGGACGTCGAGTTTGACGGCTGTGCTGGCATGAGTTGGGACGTGGTGGTCGGAGATGTGGCGAATGATGAGATGCTTGCGATGCCGTGGTGCTCCATCTTTTCGGTGAGGAGTGCTTGTCTGTTGTCGAGATCTCTGATGACAGCTCGCGAAACTGGGAGGGAAGTATGTTCAGCGCCATGACCAAATTTCTGAGTTCAAAATGTCCCATTGTACGAAGGAATGTCCAAGAAGGATCTGCGCTCTACAGTATGTCGGCAGAGCGGTTGTTGTTGTTTCTTGTGATGGATCGTGGTTTGCATCTTGCAATGTGTCGTGGGAACTGCATTGACGATCTTCAGTGTGGTTGCCATGTAATGTTGCTTCCTCACGCTGATGTTCTTACAGAAAGCAAGTGTCACTCAATCAGTCGCACTAACGGCGCTAGCCAAAGGCTAAGTCCAACAAGGAAGGAGCGGCTGCTCAATGACGTCACCAAGCTGCACGAGCTTCGAAGCAAGGTTGTCGAAACCATTGGAGTAACAATACATCAAATCCTCAAACTCAACTGTTCATCTTACGCCGTGGAAACAAATTCACGACCATGCTTGGAAAGTACCGCCGCTTCAACTCCCGACCCGAGTCCTCGTCCTCACCCACAACGATGCTTCCTCCAAACTACCCAAGACACCCGTCAGATATACGCTCAGTCCTGCACTGGCTGCATCGAGCCTCGCAATACCGACTCCCAGAGGAACTTCTCACAGCGATCCTCCATCAAGCCAACTACGACTGTCTACACATCACCGCAAACGTCAAAGGTCACAACGAGCGAAGGAGTTACGGGCCCGAAACGAAAGCCATACCCTATGTTGAGACCACGCCATTGAGATACCTGAAAGATGATATGAATAAAGACTGGACGGGTAGAGTGAGGAAGATCACGCTGAAAGCCAAGGGGAAAGATCAGGGTTGGTTTACGAATAAAGGGACTGAAAGCTGGAGTTGGTTCGAAGTGGGCAGGACGAAGCAGATACATGTGGTGGCGCTGGAGGGTAGCGGGGATAAAGTGAAAAGGGGCCCTTGCTGGGCGAGGAACCCGGTCTCGGGAGAGGATTGGACATTGCATGAGGAGGTGTTCGATGTTGACGAGGTTGGAGGGGAGATGAAGGAGTGGATGGAGAGTCTGGAGAACGGACACAAGATTTCGATCGTGCCTATGGCTCGCTATCGAGAATGGAGATGTCAGGTCGAGGAGGCTAGTGTCGATGTTGAGATAGAGGTTTGGCGGTAGACCAGACCATGACCAGTAAGCCTTCTGTTCGCACATGCTCTACTTATCTTGACCCTCAGCCAGACCTTCATTTCTTCAATTCCTTCCAAGGCTCTGGCAGCGACTCATCATGCTTTCTCGCCTCGTACGGCTTGGCCCCAAAGTTTGTACTGCCAACGAGAGGCTCCCACTCTTCGAGCATTTTCTTCTCGCTTTCCAGCCAGGTCTTCCTGAAGGTGCACACATCGCTTCCTACGACAAGCTTCATCGGAATCTCCTTGTCCTGAGCGTAACCTTGGCCCTTGACGAGATCGACGACGACTTCACCAAACCGAGCTGGATCACCTTGCTGAGTGCCATGCAACTCAGCAAGATGCTTTTCCATCCAGTCCATGGTCTCTTTGTATGCGGTTGAGGGTGGGAAGTTGAAGTGGCCTGGGTGTGCGATATTTGTGCGGAAACTACCGGGTTGGAGGATGGTGGTCTTGATACCGAATGATTGGATTTCGAGAGCCATGGTTGAGAAGAGGGCTTTCGAGCATAGGTCAGCTCACCATATAGACTTCACATGGCGATAAACCTACCGTCAGCAGCAGCCTTGCTGGCTATATGGCCCCCTAGTCCGGGCCCGTCAGTCCACACCGTCGACGAGCTGACGAGAACGACGTGCCCGGTCTTACGTTCGCGAAAATGTGGCAAGATGGCTTTGGTCAGGTTCAGTGGTCCGAAGGTGTTCGTCTGCAACTGTCGGAGCAGCATGTCCGTACTGCGTGAAGGTCAGCAAGATACAACGTGTCCTGGCTTTGGTTTGGACTCACGTCAAATCCTCGACGGCGCCAAACTGCGTCACACCAGCATTGTGGACAATCACGTCGATGTGGCCATGGACTGCAATAGCTTCTTTGACTCTCTGAACCAACTCATCGGCTGAGGAAGAGACGTCCAGCTGCAATGTCGTTGCCCCCAAGGCCTCCAGATCTTTGATCGAGTCGGTATTGCGAGCTGTTGCAATAGCCTTGTCGCCATGACTGATAATGGATTTGACGAGTTCGTTGCCGAAACCAGAGCTGCAGCCTGTCACGACCCAGACAAGGGAGGGGGTTGTGACTGTCATTGCGGTGTTGTTATTTTCATTCATCTCTTGGGGCAGAAACAAGCGAGACTCATTATACGTTCTTGAAACCCCGTGAACTGCGAGTAGGCAGACGCAAGCTCTGCCCTCGCCGAAAGTGTCGCCTGGACTAGCATGTTGTGAAGCTTGCGTGTGCACTTGAATGAGAGTACCGGATTCGCAAAGCGTCTGAACGAACTTGTTGCAGCTATGTCCTAGACTATGTTTTGATATTAACAGGGGTTGAGTTATGCGTAGGAATTGGCCCAAATCCGATCCCGAGCACTTGACATGCATAACGCTCATGAAAATCCGAGTCTCATTAGAGTACAGTGACTTGCATTGCATCAAGCTAACGTGCAGGCTATGAAAATGTGAAGCGGATCTATGAGAGGTCCTGTCGGCTATTCACAGGAAACCAGATTCCTAACTACTCCATCCTCTATCAGTCACTAATCGCATTATTCTGGTTTCTTGAACTCTGTCGTTGCCATACCATCGTCTCTGCAAGGACCCCACAGATCACTCAATTCCTTCGCAACTTGATCGTCCAGAGGCCCGTTGCTTGCTTTCTTGACGCTCGATCGAATCTGCTCCGGTTTGCTCGCGCCCATAATGATCACATCTTCATCGTTGAGGATGCTGTGATATCTCTCCCACCTGAAGCTCAACTCATCCATGTCGAGCCCGGTCTTCTCAGAGATGGCTCTCAATTTTTTGATCGCTTCGTGCATGCTTGCGTGGTTGTACCATTTGTTGTAGGGTGTGTTCAGAGCGAAGCGTGTGCCGCCTTGTACACCATCGGCAGTGAAATTCCCAAGCAAGAAACCTCCTGCCAAGGGACTGTATCCCGCAAACTTGATGCCGTGTTTGCGTAGGAGTGGAAAGAGTGTCTCTTCCAACGACCGGCAAAGCAGATTGTACTGACCCTGGTAGACAGAAGGCTTGACGTATCCTTCCTTTTCGGCGATCTGGATCCACTCGGTAAGATAATCGGCGCTCAAGTTACTGACTCCTAGATGAGTAAATCGTCCCTTCTTGTATTGGTCGTTGAAGGCCTTGGCTTGATCGGCAATAGGGGTGCTGAAATCAGGAGCGTGGCAGTAGAGTACATTGACCCTGTCCATTCCGAGAACTTGAAGACTGTTGGAGACGGACTTCTCAATAGCGTCTGGGTTGAGACAAGGGTCGGCTGGACCGGTGAACAGAACCTTGGTGTCGATTGTGAAGTCTTGGGAAAGCTTGGTCCGACCGATGATCTTTTCGGATTCCTGCACAAGTCAATACAAGTCTTATGTGGGAAGAACAATTATATTTCAACTCACCCCGTTCTGGTACCTCGCGGCAGTATCAATACGTGTGACGCCAATATCTTTCAAGACGGCTCTCAGCTCGTCCGGTGGCAATTCTCGAACGTCGCCAGAAATCAGCTGGGCAGGCATAGTGATGTTGTTGACTTGTAAAGGATTGAGTCGCCGAGAGTAATGTGAGGGGAGTTCTTCTTTATATTCTATTGTTGAAAGACGAGGCTAGATCGGAATACCGCCCAACCGGACTCGTCTAGATGAAGTACTGCTTGCAGAGTAATGCAGAACGCAGCTTAGGTCAGCCGTTGTGGATGTGGTGGACAGGTATGGTAGTCCTTCAGCTTGGCTTTGGACCCTACAAGCGCCAGGAATCCTCTAGGTGGAGCAGCATCACCATCCTTCAGCTCTCGAACTGCGAACCTACAGTGATTGTATGAAGGCTGACTGAGACCAGTGGCCTGTGCCGATAATTGTGCGACATACACGGAGCTCAGGGTGCCGAAACGGAGACGTAGAATTGTCCTCCATTTTCGCCATCACACCTTCCTTCTTCTGGGTCTTGGTTCAGCCTTACGGTCTTCTGAAAGTAGGCCATGGTACCTGGGCGAACGAAATCCGACACGGGGCTGCGATGCTGTGGTCGAACCGTTTCCGTTCGATGAGCATGTCCGGGCGCGACAGAAGACGGATGTCTGTTGAAGGTGAAGGTGGCCCCAACTTGGAAGGCAATATAGGCGTATCTTTGGTACCAACTGTGCTGATTTTTACCGCGAGATTCGTCAATGACGACTGACCATCGAGCCGATTGGCCAACCATCGTGCATATGCCTAGGCATCGCGAAGTCATGCTGCTTGTCTGATTGTTTATCCTTCACCCACTCTTCGAACAAACGATTTCTCGTCATCATGAGAGCACTTGCAGCCTTCAACAGCTGTGGGTGAGCAGCAAACACCAGGACCCCAAAACACCGCGCCGAATCGAATCGAACTTACACCGCATCTTGTACCCCTCCAACAACTCGTAACCATAATGGATCGCCTTCAACAAGAGCTCTCGAGCACCGACCCAGATGTGCCCTTCCGTGCGACTGACAAGCACGTTCACCACACCTGGGCTCGCACCTTTCAATCCCGACCGGAGCTCTACCTCAAGCCTCGAACACTTCCTGAAATCCAGAAGATCGTCAACCTCGCGCGGAAATGTCGAAAACGAGTGGTTGTAGTAGGATGCGGGCATTCACCGAGCGACTTGACATGCTCTTCGTCATGGATGATCAATTTGGATGACTTTGGAAGAGTGGTGAGGGTGGACCAATCGAAGAAGACGGTGACTGTTGAGGGAGGAATCAGGCTGCAAAAGCTCAACGAAGAGGCGAATCGTCATGGTCTCACCATGCGCAATTTGGGCAGTATCGATGAGCAGAGCATCGCAGGAGCTATCGCAACAGCGACGCACGGGTCGAGCTTGAGACATGGCTTGCTGAGCGAGAGCGTGCGATCTCTGCGCCTAGTCCTGGCGAACGGACAGGCAGTTCGATGCTCGAAAGAGCAAAATGAGGATTTGTTCAGAGCCGCGTTGATCAGCCTGGGCGCATTGGGTATCATTGTGGAAGTGGAGTTTGAGATGATTGAAGCGGGCAAGATTGAGTGGGAGCAAGAACTCGTGTCGCTGAGACATGTTCTGGACACCTGGGATACGACTCTCTGGACACAGAAAGAATACACGCGAGTGTGGTGGATGCCATACATGAAGCGGGCGATCGTTTGGTCAGCGGACAAGACAAGCAAACCTCTGCGGCCCCCGAAGGAGACATGGTACGGTGGGTCAGTGGGCTTTCACACATACCACAACTTGCTCTGGCTGTCGAATTACGTACCCTGGATACTGCCCACTGTTGAGTGGTTTGTCTTCGGTATGCAGTACGGCTTCTCTGTCGGCAACAAGACGTCTGCGGTTGAAGAGCTACGGACAGGACTGCTGATGAACTGCCTATACTCACAATTCGTCAACGAGTGGGCGCTGCCACTCACCAAGGGCCCTGAAGCCATTAATCGGCTTTCAGCCTGGATCAACGGTGAAGCTGGTGGAGGCGGCATTCCGTTCAGCTCCAAAGGGCTTTACGTTCACTGCCCGATCGAAGTCCGTGTGAGTGACACTTCTGACACCGTTTGTCGCCCGTACTTGGACAACACCTATTCCGATGGCCCTACACTGTACCTCAACGCCACACTCTACAGAGCCTACCTTCAGGACCCGCCTTGCCGAGCACGGTATTACGAGGCGTTCGAGTGGTTGATGCAAGACATGGGCGCAAAGCCGCACTACGCGAAGAACTTTGCGTATGTGTCTAGCGATTATTTGAAAGAGAAGCTTGGCGACGGCCTGGAGCAATGGCTTAAAGTCCGCAATGAAGCAGATCCTGATGGTATGTTCCTTGGCGAGTGGCATCGCAGGAATCTCAGCGCGAGTCTCGGGCCTGTGCGATTCGCTTTGGAAGAACGCGAGATCGCACGTACCAAAGCCCGTGACGGCGGACAGCTTTGGGTGGGAGAGGTGGCGAGCAGTGTCGGCGTGCCTGAGACGTTCAACCAGACTCCGCTCGTATTGACCGAGAAGGATGGGAAGGGCAGTCCTGGAGCCAGCTCAAGCACGAGTAGCTTCGACTTCATGCATGGTGCTGAGGCTCAGAGTACCCTGTGGACTGGGAGCGAGGTGCTCGATGACGACGATGATACTGAGGGAGAAGGGCCAAGGTACCATGGGAACCCGAAGAAGACGTTCACGGGTACGGCGGTCTTCGATAAAATGTGAGAGCGGATGCATTCGACGACTTGATGGGTTATGTGGCGATGAGATATGCGACTTTCGGCTCAGAGATGTAGTATTCTGAAATCACAACTCTGAAAGTTCGTGCTGTATCGTACTCTCACCAGTTCCGTCGATCTTGCGCTGCTAGCTGGAGAGCGTACAAGAAGCACGTATGTGGTGGAGACGGCTCCGGCCATGCGGGATCGAATCACACTCACTAGCATGGTGCAGTTTGCCCAGCTGAAATGAAAGTCATGTTCTGTTCGTGACGATTTCAATGGTCTTCGCTTCGTTCATTGCTGCTGTCTAGGCGGGGAATCAAAGCTAGAACGAGAAGCATATCTCCATCCTCTCTACCCTTTCATGCGAGATCAAGAAGTATTGCCCAGTGTGTATCATACCATCGCTCTTGCCGTGGTTGCTTGATTCCCTCATCGCCGCCTTTCAATCCATCATCCGTTTAGACGCCATAGATACCATGCAGACACAGACAGAAATTTGGACCGTTTAGTCGCCGCCACCGACCGCTCGTGCTGCGAGGTATTGTCAGTACTCTGCCCATCAAACCGTTTGTCCTTCCCGAACGATTGTCACTTACTCCACACTTTGCATGCGCTGTGCTCAATGACGGGCTTGATGACACCCTTCTCCTCTAGGTCGGAAAGGGCCTTGCGGGCGAGCGAGCCGTTGATCTTCAGACGGTCGACAAGGACGGCAACGGTGATGAGGCGGTACGACTGAACATCCTTCTGGAGCTTCTCGTTGGTGTTCTTGTCGAGGACGACGGCGTGCTGGGCCTTGTCCTTGACTATTGAAAAGCAAGTATGTTAGTACTGCGCTGGCTCCGTTGTCGAGGTAGGTGGGAAATTGGTGTCGGGGAATCGTACCCTTGCCCTTGGACCACTTCTTCTTTTGCTTCTTGCCACCGGTTGCTGCTGGCGCCATGGTTGCGGTGTTGGTCGATAGATGCAATGGTGTAGCAGCGACAGCGAGGTTTCGGAAAATGCGCAGGTGCGATCAGACCCGGGCTTGGCAGTGTGGGGACGTGCCACGTGACGAGTGTTTGTGCCTCAGGCCAGCAAAGTTCGACATGAATGTTACGCGGCATGTGATGAGCGAAACGTGTCTCATTGCAACGACAATGCGGTGATCACACAACAACGACATGCTGGACAGCGTGTCAAGTAAGAGCAAGTCACGATGTACCATCTCTTCAAGTCGCTGTATCTCCATGCCACCAGCAAGGAGGAGTACTCTATTCTACTTCTAGGCCTCGACAATGCAGGCAAGACGACACTGCTAGAGCAGATCAAGTCACTCTACAACTCCGAACACACCGCGAACCTCAAGACCGTCCCAACGGTAGGCCAGAATGTCAGCCTCGTCGACCTCCCCGAGCTATACCTGCGAATTTGGGACGTCGGCGGCCAACACTCCCTGCGAGGCCTCTGGCAGTCGTACTACAGCTCCTGCCACGCCATTGTGTTTGTAATAGACAGCACAGACATTGGAGACGCAGACATTGAACGACTGAGTAAACGCTCGGCCAACGAGGATGATGATGGGAGACTGGACGAGTGCAAGTTGGTGCTGGAAGACGTGCTGCAGAATGAGGATACTGAGGGAGTCCCCGTCCTGATGCTGGCCAACAAGCAAGACAGAGAAGACTGTGTCGAGGTCGTCAGGATCAAAGAGGGCTTGGTGAGACGGGTTTTCGAGGGAGAAAAGGGTCAGAACGTGAGGGACAGCCGTGTGCTGCCGTTGAGTGCTCTCACCGGCACGGGAGTCAAGGAGGCGGTCGAGTGGCTTTGCAGCCGCGTCAAATGGAACAAGGAGGCAAGACCGCCCGTGATGCGATGAGACGGGAAATGCACTCATCGCTGCCTTTTGCGTGGAAGTTCGGACCTGAAGACCATGTCGACCGGGCCGGTGACCTGTCGAATAGGGTCTTCCAGCCGTGTCGTTGCCATGTCGCTTCCAATGTCTGAGCCAAGACCGCGATCACCCCATCTCAATATTGTCGCTTCTGCTCCGATTTCAATGTTATGCCGCGTCCCTCCTGCAGCATTTGGAACTTCCAGTCATGTTGCACTCCGCATCTACCGTGACCTCACCAACACCACCACGCTGGTACCGCATCCAACTTGCACCACCGGCCTATCATTTCTTCAGCCTTCAATACCTCCCAGGATTGCGGGCGCATGCTGAGCTCAGAGTAGCGACTTCATTGCTCGTTGTTTCACGCGAAAACCTGCAGACTGACTGCGTTTCACCTTCGAATCTTACCCACGTTCTGGACCTGGACGCTCTCCTCCCGATACCCTAGCAACAGATCTATACATTTCGATCATCATCATGCCCATCCTTTCAAACAATGGAACCTACATCGAACCCGAGGATGTCGGCGAGGAACGAGCCCGCGAGTTGGGTCTCTATTATCGCCCCCAAACAGAAGCCCGAGATGAGTCTGTCTTCCTCCCGTATCCCGACACTGTTCTTCAAGCACACGCGCAACTTGCAGCATGTCGAATGGATGTACAGCGGGCTATGATTGGACTTGTCGACAAGGACAGCTCCTACTTCGTTGCTGAAGCCACCAAGACCTTGGATCTCCAGAATACCGATCTGTCAGAAACGACTGGTGATGGACTCTAGTACGGCAGCATCAGCGTGCCGAAGAAAGGCGGACTTGTGGAATATACTCTAGCGCAAGACCCAGAGTTCGTTGACGGACAGGAAATCCCCGCACATCTGGAGATTCTGGACATGGTCGAAGATCCTCAATGGAGGGATAGTCGCTTCGTGTGTGAAGATCCGCACTTCCGCTACTATTGCGGTGTGCCTTTGCGAACCGAAAACGACATCAATATCGGTGCCTTATTCCTCCTCGACGATAGACCTCGAGAGTCCACGAACATTGCTCGCTTGAAAGGTACGCCAGTCGTAAGACAACCTCCCGTCAATTCGCAATAACAAGTCGTAGTGTTGTATACGCTTGCACAGAATATCGTGAGCCACATGAAGACAGTCCGAGAGGCAAAGGAAAGACACCATGCGATCTTTTTCAACATGACTTTGGCAGATTTCCTGAGTCCCGGTCAGAGCTTCAGAAGTCGACATTTAAACGCGCGTCCAAGGTCCAATTCCACCCAGAGAGCGCCTGCCTCCGACAAATCGTCTTTGCTCTTACAGGTGAACGAACCCGTAACACCTACATTGTCCAGGCACGCCTCAGACACCGACACAGTCACCACGAGAGACGAAGATCGATTTCACGATGTTGCAGAGGCACTTGACGCAAAACTCAGACGGGAAGCTCAGCAGACGGCGGAAGCAAGACGTGCAAGCTCCAGTCACACGAGCACAGAGCCTCCCAGTCGTGATGACCAAACCCGAGGGCGAACGAGCCATCGAAGCAGTAGCTCTGAGGAGGCTGCCAAGACAAAACAAAAAAAGAGCGCAACGGAGGCCGACCACCAACGTGTTTTCGATCGAGCTGCGTACCTGCTTCGCCAGGCCTCGGATTTGAAACAGCCGGGAGGCGGTGGAGTCGTGCTCTTTGATACCAACGCCCAGGCAAGCAGCATAGATCCCTTACTGAAACGACAAGAGTCAGACTACGCCAGAACTGGTCAAAGTAGTCGCAGCTCAGACTCCCATGGCCCTGCATATCCGAAGCCGAACTCGAATGAAACAGCCTATAGCGGTGCCATGAGGGAAAGGGTGGTACTAGCGGCGGCTTCCATCCAACCCGCAGACAATAAGGCTGCACCAAAGAACATCGGAAGAGCCGACCCAACTTTCAAAGTCACTCTCGCTCCTCCAGAGCTGGCAAGAATGTCCAAGAAGCATCCAAGGGGCAAGCTTTTCAACATTCCCGACAATTGCGGGACGTCACTGTTCGACTGGGAAGGCCGCCCTATCGCTGGACGTTTGTCGGCAAAGATGTACGACCTTGTGCTGCTTCATCGACAGTTTCCAGAGGCGAAGCAAGTCATCTTCGTGCCCATGTTCCATGTCAACCTGAACCGATGGACCTCATGCTTCGTCTACTCGAACTCCCGCTTTCGTGCGCTCTCGTACGAAATGGATTACTTGCCAATTTTGGCTTTCTGCACAGCTATCAAGGCTGAAATTGTGCGCCTGGCTACCGTCTTTGCCGACAAGCAGAAGAGCGACTTCATCGGCTCTGTCTCGCATGAACTTCGAAGCCCGTAAGTAGAGTTGCACGAAACTTGCCTTTGAAAGCACTATGCTTACCATTTGCAAGGCTACATGGCATACTTGCCTCGATTGAATTCCTACAGGACACAGAATGCGACGCTTTCCAAAGATCATGCGTCGATACAATGGATGCCTGCGCTCAAACTCTCCTGGACACTAGTAAGTCTTGGATCAAATTATGCGGTTAACGAGGTATACTGACCCGACCTATTCGCCATGGTACTGGACTACAACAAGCTCAAGACTCATCAGCGCCAGACTTCTTCGGGCAGTGAGTCTCGAGAGCGCGACAGCAAACAGACCAATTTGCCGGCAACCACGAACATCCGCAGTGAACCTATCTTTGCTACTGACCAAGACTGCGATGTTGCGCTGATCACGGAAGAAGTCATTGACGGTGAGTCGTCGACGCAGTGCGCTGAACTCTCCACTAATTTATTACAAGGCCTGGCCATCGCCCATATGGCGAAGTACAAAACAAATGCAGCCTTTAATGACGCATCTCGAGAAATCAATCCTACGCTGGCCGATGCTGGCGTGCGGCCTAAACTGAAGCGAGTTCTCAATGCCATTCGTCCGGGGGTGGAACTGATACTTGACATCAATGGTCCACCAGACTGGGGATTCCAAACTCAGCCCGGAGCAATGTAAGTGACCCAAGCACAACACACGCAAGGTTTGTAGCTGACATTTGTCCGCACCTGTAGTCGTCGAATTGTAATGAATCTCTTCGGAAATTCCCTGAAGTATACCAGGCACGGACACATCACTGTCTCTCTTCGCGTGATCGGAAATCAATTTTGTGACGGCGATCAGGCCGTCAAGTTCCCGCAGGAACAGCGGAGCATGGTCAAGCTTACCGTCACAGATACTGGCCAGGGAATGTCGCCAGAGTACTTGCGTACGAAGATCTTTACGCCATTCGCGCAAGAAGACTCCAAGTCTGCTGGAACCGGCCTTGGTCTCAGCATAGTGCGGTCGCTCGTCACCATGCTAAAGGGGGAAATTGACATCAAGTCTATCGTGAACGTTGGGACGATGGTGGTCGTTACCTTGCGTAAGCTCCTTCGGTTCTCGGTCCCAAGGAGAATGTTTACTGACGACATCTACCAGCAATGAAAAGAGCTGCTACCGCTACGTCGAAACCTCGCACTTCCAGCCCTGATCGCCTATCGGAATCATCAAGCCAAGCCATGCGCACCAGAGACTCGAGCGTTTCCGCATTGCTGAGTCTCGATAGCCCTCCACAGGTGGCCATATACGAGCCTGCTTTGGAATTTGATAGTTTTGGCCAATCACAAGGAGCGGTGTCGGTGCACAATGCCCTCATGCAGTACCTAACCCAGTGGTATCACTTTCCCGCTCTGAAGACGTGGGACTTCGACATGCCCGCAAAGATTCTTGTCGTCGACGAGATCCACTTGCCAACGCTGTTGGCACGACGTCCGGACTATTTGGAAACGGTTTCTCTGCAAAGTATTATTGTGTTGTGCGCCAGCCCATCTCGACAGGCCATCTTGGCCCAGGATATTCAAAGCAGTCAAGTGGAGCCTATTTGCAAGCCGTTCGGGCCTTTCAAGCTCGCACGCGCAATATGCAGAGCACTGGAGAGAGCAGCAAAGGCGCCTACCATGGGCCAATACTCTGAAGTCCCGAACACGCCAAGCTCAGGATCCTCTCGCGCTTTAGCCTCGAGATCGCGCGGACGCATCTCCATTGACTACGACGACGTATCTCCAATCGACCGCCGAGCACGTTCGCCTCCACTTAGCCCACCAGAACAGCAACGTCCTTCTCTTCAGAAGCACAATCCAGCGTTGCTGAGTCCCGCCCTCAAACCTCCGAAGGAAGTCAGTCCTGGTCCAGACCGCGGCTATCCCTTCCCCGTTACGCACGACAACGCAACACCGCCGACGAAGACGAGCACCATGCCACCTCTCCCTAGTTCTCAGGCCAAAGAAGCCAGAAACAACAGACCCCCTTACCGTGACGACAAGCGAAATGCCGCCCATCCTGAACATGAGCAGGCTACATCTTCGGCGTCTCAAAAGACACTTGAGCTCATGCAACAAGCAGCGAACGCGCCGGCCGTAGGCGGCAATGCTCGAGCTTCCGAAACCGTCAGCTCGACCACAGGTTCCACTTCACCTTGGAACGTTCCTTCGTTTCCGAAAGGACGCAAACCAGTTGTCCTAATCGTCGATGACAACCAGCTCAACTTGGATCTGCTGCAAACTTACGTCACGCGGAAAGGCTACGGTGCAGAAATAATCAAGACGGCGGCAGACGGCCAGGAAGCTGTTGATGCGTTCAACCGCTACGATCCCGACATTGTCTTCATGGACCTATCGATGCCTGTCATGAATGGACACGAAGCCACGCGGACGATTCGGCAGATAGAGTCAAACAGACGGGCCAGCAACGAACAAGTGCCCACGTTGAATTCACTGCAGGAGCAGTCTGACTCGTTCAGCCCTGCCACACCGATGACGCCGGGATCAGACGGCTGCGTGAAGAGCAAGAAGCCTGCCTTGGTAGTTGCTCTTACAGGCAACGCGAAGGGGTCTGACCAGATCGAGGCCTTCGACTCGGGCGTCGACATCTACATGACGAAGCCGGTGAGCTTCAAGCAGGTGGGCAAGTTGCTGGAGAATTGGAGGGAGGAGCAGGCCGAGGAGTGAGCGGCGGCGGCATGTATTCTGGGCTGATGCACTTACCTCTATCTTTATCCTAGACATCGCTCAGACCTAGCGAACGACCTACCTGATTGCTATCTAGACTTCGAACTGAATAAAGCATTGGGCCATCCCTTGTCTGCCAAGACATAAAAGTGGGGCTCTGTTTGACCTCACTTCTTCGTCGCTTCGTCTTCATTCCATCAATCTTGAACTTTACATTTCGTCTACTGCACAGTAGGATCAGAACCGCCCTGCAGACGCGATGAGTCTATAATCTGAACGTGGATTTGGCTAGTCACGGTCCCGTGGAGTCGCGGCAAGTATTGGCGTAATACACCAATGCTTGTAGCATCTCAATAGATGCTCACTCCGAGATCATCATGGCTTCATCCTTGATGCGACTTATCAACCGCTTGCTACCATTTGCAACGCCGGGAACGCCTTTGGTACAGGATCTGGTCCACCTCGGAGTCATTTGCGTGCTGTTGTACTTTGCGCCACAAATTCAGGAATACATTCAGCAGAGGAGAGAAAGCCAACTTGGAAATGCTCAAGCGGTGCCAGCCGTTGTTCGAGATACCCCAGAAACTCATCATGAAGAGCAACATGTCGACAACCAGCAGCATGACAATGCCGAAGTCGGTGGCGAGGACGTCGAGCAAGACCCGCTCCCTGCGAACGACAGGCCCGGGAATGCGGACTTCCAAGCATTCCAGCGCGATCAGATCAACGACGCAAATGGCGCCGGGCCTGCGAACGCTGAAGCTGACGGTATGCCCACCCAGAGAAATGTAGGGGCGAAGAAGGCCAAGTCCCTCGCACGCCGAGATCAGCGCAGGGCGTATCATGAGTTTCAGAGAGCCCAAGGCGAAGCACAACGAGCGAAGGATGCTGAAGGCGCTTCTGAGAGGGAGGCTGCTCAAGCTGCTGAGCGGGAGAGAAGGAGAGCTGTTGAGGCTGAGCTTGAGGCGAAGAAGGCTAAGGAGAGGGAGAAGAAGAGGGAGCAAGAGAGGAGGGATAGAGAGGAGGAGCAGGCGAGGCGTGAGAGGACCGTCAATGTCGTGAGGAGGGGTCTTGCGGAGAATAGGATGTGCAACATCTTTGACGTCATCAAAGAGGTCGGCGGTGCTGAAATCGATGAGCTCTGGGTGGAAAGAATCTTGAACGCGAACGGGATGCTTGGGAAGAAAGAGGACGGTAGTTTTACGATGGTCACAGGGACAGGATGGATCGTCAAAGTGTCAAGCGAAGAGATGCGCAAGACGTATGAAAGATCGGTTGAGGACGGGCTCGGAGATGAGGACGGAAAGATTGGATTCGAGGAGCTTGGTACCGTGTTGGAGCAGGTTCTAAAGACTGGGCAGACCGTTGCGGCACATTGACGGATCGCTATCTCGCCGCCCTTACTTTGAATGATTCTTTGCTCCGTTTGCATACATTAGCAAGCGGAGTGGCATCTGTGTCCTCCAAACTTGTTGGTCCAAGGCCGGTACCAGGCAGAAGACACTCGAGACCAAAGGACTGCGCGATGCACAGCCTTCTCAGCCTTTGTGACAGTGGTAACACCAATCCTCCCAGTGTCACCAAGTCAGACTCCGAATGAGAGCTTACGTACTACTTGGCAATAGCTTGGACCCCAAATATCAATCTGCGGTCGGTATTGCATCAGCCTCGAAGCTTCTTTGGCAAAGGCTTCTTTGTTTGTGTCACAGCTTGTTACACGATGCATCAAAAAACTAACTTTGTCAACATCATCTCCGACGTAGTCGTCAGCTGCTTTGATCATGTTTGGCAGTGACGGCACGAAGTTATGCCGTGGTTGTTGAATATATAAGATTGAGTTCAGCAGTCGAGGGAAGACATCTCTCAAAAGCAACCCCAAGATCACAAAGTCTTTTCAAACATCCAACACAGCCGTTCCTCAATCACGAAATATGCACCTCTCGACCACAACCGCTGCTCTCATCAGCTTCACGCTGCTGAGACTCGCCGCCGCCGGCTGCTACAGCGGCGGTCAGTCCTGGCCGAGCGACCACGCCGGCACGCTTTCTGCAATTCAAGCGGTGGCCAACGACTACGAAAAGCAAGGACAACTCTCCAAAGGCGAACATCACTACACCAAAGAAGTCGGCGGTGTATGTTTGCACTTTGTCCTCGACAACATCTCTGGCGGGGACAGAAGTATTGGTGCCACTGAGGCTACTGATGGCTTCACGAAAGAATTTCGTGGGTGTAATTATGGAGGTGATACCTCTTACACCAATTGGCGATATGTGTACGTCCTGCATACCCGATAATCTTGTTGGAGGGCATGATTGCTGACATTCAGATAGGCTCGACCCAAATACAAAGACTGGCACCGTATGCTAGATTAGCATCAATTCGACTAGCCGAAGGGCGAGGCACATTGTGGGAATCGACTGAAACGTAAACATGTAGGTAGAGGAGAAGGTCTCAACACCTGTGCAAAAGTAGGATATCATAGGGTATCAAAGCACGAAGCACAACGCTCTTTAACAGTTCCTCCTCACTACGAAGTCTAATCATCATCCTTCCAAGTCGCATTTACCCAGTCTTGTCGCTTCGCTCTTTGTACCTGCATCGACACCGCCACAACGATCATCTCATCGACAACTTCCAAAGACACGCCATCTGCGATAGACAGCGTCAAGGGGCCCCCTCGAATATTAGCTGTTGTAGTATACGTAGCACAAGTCCTGCCGTAGGCATCGAGTAGCTCAGTCGTGTACCATCCGGGCGTTTGCCAGAACAGCGGCCCATCCCGGCTAGGCCATTCTGTTGTCACCCGACTGGGCTCCGCGAAGTAGGGCGGGGTGAAATCGAAACTGCACCCGTTGGCTGTGATGTCGAAGTTCCATTTCGTGTCTTTGTGAGCTGAGATACGTCTCACTCTTGAGGAGAGAGGATGTTCAAGGCCAGTTCGTTCGATCTTGATTTCGGGATCTGATTGACCGTGGCGATTTTGCCATGCTTGGACCTTGTCGCGGTAGCGAGGTGTTGCGTCTGCAATATCATCGCTCCAAGGCGGACACCCATCGACTGTTATGTTGTAATCTTTGAAACGACTCTCGGCGCTTTCGACTTTCCATGAACCTTCGGCTTCGCTTCCTTCCTTGGGTTTTGGTGGTGGGATGAGCTTGATATCATGGAATGTCTGTTTACTGTCCTCCTTTTTGAGGCCAGTCAAGGGTCCAAGAGGACTCCCAACAGAGGTGTTGTGGCCCTTCTCTGCAGTCTCGATGTCCTTGCCGAGCTTTGGATGTGGAGTATAGCCTCGCGAAGCCACCAATTGGTCCTTACCGTGCGCGTACGATGGTGTTATCGCGGCATAGCCTTCGGGCTTGTAGGCCAGACGCGCGCCACAATTCGAGCAGTACTGTATCGTTCCTTTCTTGGACTTGAAAATGCAAGGCAAGCACCAGACACTTGATACGACGCCGAGCAGAGCACAGATAAGCCTACACGAGTGTCAGATAGATTTGCATGCTGATGACGACTACTGCTGGGAAGGCTTTACGTGTGATGATGGTTGTTACGAGTCGAGACTCGAGTCTTTCCTGTCTGATCACATATCGGGCAATGTACGACCTCTGGATGTACTCCAAGTCGCTCAAGTTGGTGTCGATTTTCCGTGGAGCCCATTCTGAATTCGAGATATGATGAAACCAGTGCTGGATTGGCACTTCATACTCTTCGTTTGTCATATAATAACAGCTTTGGGGGTGTTGTACCTCAAAGCTTCTGAAGCTTCGCCTTCGGCGCAGCCACCGCCACGAACGGCATCCTGCCAGTTGGCTTGCTCGGCGGAGACACGTTTTGCGGGCTGTGTCTTGAACATTCGCATCTCGGTGCTGTTGGCTGTCGATTAAAAAGTCATCGAAGACGGTGTAAATCGTCACGTTTATAATTGTGATTCAAAGGAGTTACCATCATGACAAAGTGTGTGCAAATTGTGGGTTTTGACGGGTGCTCCCGGCGCTAAAATTCATTCACTTACGTCGTCCGTGTAAATCCTATGGCGTGGGTAACACCGATCGATAAGAAGATGCTTCTTGATGTCGCCTTCGTTGGCAAGATAAAAAGTGAAGAAGCGGATCGACCCAACCACCTCATCTTGCAGAGTCTGCCGCTTTTCGTGACGATTGTGGACAGGTAAATGTCGCGATCGAGAACAGTTCTATTCTTGAACTCGGCAGACACTGTCGTCAGCGGTGAAGAAAAGATAGGCACATACTCGACGCACCTGGAACAGCGGGTCATAGCAGAACGTGGCAGCCTCGACGGTTCGCGCGGGGAATTTTGGCTGAGAATGGCTGAACGTGGCTAAGCTGAACCCCATCTGATTGGCTGACAAGCACGTGCATTTAGCCGCTACTTCCGCATTGCGTAACAAGCCAAAAGCCATTCAACCGCAGTACAGCGTAGGTGAAAGTCTAAATGGCACTTTCAGCTGATATGGCTGGTTGTCCAGATCTCCTTTGCGCCAGCCACGTCGATCACGAGAGGTAGGGCTGAAGGAAGACATTGGATCAAAGCTTGGTTCAACGTCTTGGAGGCTTTGCGCCTACCTTTTGTCGGTACACCGTTTCTTCTGCCACATGGCTAGCCCACGAGGCTCAGACCTGCCCTCAGGTGTTGTGGTATCAAGCCATGTGTTCGGAGACGCCTATCGACGCGCGGATGGTGTGTGAATCGAAGATGGAACGTGTTGAGGCCTTGAGGATATAAGGTGGTGCCGGCAACGTTGATCTTGTCTCGTCTCATCCAACACAACAAGAGCAACTTCAAGAGCCATCACTGTAGAACTCTCAGCAGCTTCAAACATTTCAACAGTCCATCACCTTCACAATCACAAAACTAAAACACACACAACCATCAACAAAATGTCTGCCAACACCACCACGACCACCATGCGCCCAGAGGCCTCTCGCATGACCTCCTCAAACTCTACAACCTCGACCAAATCGACAGCATCATCGACCGCCTCTCGTCGCTCGATCATCTCTCAGGCCGCCAGTAATTTCGTCCGCGAGTCCAAGCAGAACCTCAAAGATTTCTCCACTGCTGTTCCTTGGTACACTGGATATCCTACCACTCCTTCGCAGAAGTCAACCAAGTCTACGACAAGCAAGACCGATGAGGATGCGAAGTCGGAGTTTTCGTTCACTTTTCCGTCACTTTCCGGATGCTGCTAGATGGTTAAACGGATTCTTATGTGATGATTAGGTATGGAAGTCAGGCGCAATGCTTGTTTTACTTGTGAGGGGGAAGTGGCTTGAGCGATGGAGTTGCAGGGGCTGTGACGAATATGCAATGGAGTTTGGCGGCGCCGGGTCAGAATACATAGAGTATAAATCTCTGGACAATCTCATGGTCTTCCCATTCAAATTTCCAATCTCGAGTTTCATCTGTACTGTCCGCTTTCCGATTGTGACGCCTTGATGAGATCAGCAGCCTGGTCAAGGTCAGCATATCTACCAATGGCACCCATAGAAATCTCGCTTTCACCTACCTTCTCTGCCACGGCGTACACGGTCGAGCTCGTGTGGCTTGCCGGGATGATCGGCATCATCGATGCATCGACGACACGCAGCCCTTCAATACCATAGACTCTCAGCTCTGGATCAAGCACGCCACCAAGGTCTTCGGGCATCATGGCCAGCGTGCCGACTGGGTGTTGCCACGAGCTAAGCGTGCTGTTTATGAGTGCTGCCGCAATTTCAGCATCGCTCTGGACGCTGTGACCAGGGCTCAGCTCGATCGCTCCGAGCTCTTGCATAGCTGGGGAGTTCAACAGCTCCCGAATCTTCTTCAAAGATGCAACCAGAACGTCAACATCCGTTGGGTGCGTGAAGGTGCCGAAGTCGACCTGTGGATCAGTTTTCGGATCAGTCGAATTAATGAGTATAGAGCCCCGGCTAAGTGGCTTCAAGGCAACAATAATCATTAGTGGGGAGCCGTTGAACGTCGACTCATGCACCGCAGTGTCTCGCGATGCATAATGCCGCAGAAGAATGTTCACTTGAGCCTTGTGGCCACGAATGATGCTTGGGTCTGTTCCACTAGGTGATATATCATCGATATCGATCGTCTTGGCGTGGTCAATGACCTTCGCATAGTCCGATGTGACGTTCTTCAATGGCAGAAACGCAACATCACTCCCGGCTTGATAGGGCATTGTGTAAGCGCCTTCTCTGTCGGCGTAGTATAGCGCAAGCTGCTGTTCAGCATACTTTTCGTGATAGACATCAGATGTCGGATCCACCCAGGCTGGAATTGGACCGCTCAATTTCGTCAAGTTCAAGGCGATGTAGTACGAAGGTTGGTCCTGGAAGTTGTAGCCAACTCCTGGGAGCTCTTTCACCAGAGGGATATCGAGGCCAGTCAGGAGTTCTCGAGGGCCTATTCCCGACAGCTGCAGCAGCTGAGGACTACGAGCAGCGCCAGCTGCAACGATGACTTCCCTGCTGACTTTGACGTGGCTTGTCTGTGAACCATTTCGCGGCGCGTACTATGAACTCAATCAGATAAGCAGATTAAAAGGACTTTTGAACTCACTTCGACTCCTGAAGCCGTCTTACCTTCGAATAAGATCTGGACCACTCGATGTGCCGTGAGCGAGTCAAAGTTCTCTCGTTGACTTGCCTCGCCTCTGAAATATGCATCGGCGGCTGAGCTGCGTGATACATTTGGCTGTGCCAGAGATAGCGAGGAGTGTATCGCCCCAACAGCCATACCAGCGTTAGGTTGTGGATTTACTAATACCCCTAGTGAAGCCCAGCCACTGAACCAGTTTCTGATCTGATCGAAGGAAAAGGGAGGATAGCTCGATCCTACAGGCCCCCGCGTGCCATGTGGTCGAAGATCTGGGGACGCTGGATACTGTGCTTGAATCTGCGGCGTCGCTGGTGAGTATGTTTCGCTCTATGGGCTCGTCAGTGGCAGCGATCAGCGTAGTGAAGGCCTTCTCACCTTCTTGAAGTAAGGTAGTAAGTCCTCCCATCCCCATCCAGGATTTCCCAACTCCTCCCAAGCGTCGTAATCGAGCGCCGAGCCTCGATTGAAGAACATGCCATTGATGACTGTACCACCACCGACTACCTCGCCAGTGTAAAGCTGACTCGTCCGATTGTTGAGCCCCTTTTGAGGTACGCTGGTGTATGTGTGCCAGTACTTCTGTGGAGTCTGGATGCCAGGCACGAGAGTTCCAGGAGAGCCATCGTCCCTGTTGTGCCTCCTGTCAAAGGGCTGTGCTATTGTCAAAATGTCCAGGTCGGCACTTACACATCACCCAGTTCGATTACGAGCACATTGACTGCGATGAGTCGTCAGCAGGTGTCTTACGAACTTTAGATGATGACTTGCCGTGGGGATTCTCAGTGAGCCTGTTCGCAACTACCAGACCGCTCGTGCCTCCTCCCACGACAACATAGTCGTATTCGGCCTTCAAGTCATGAGCACCACGACATAGCTTTGCGTCGCAGACTGTAACATAGAAAACGCACGCGCACGCCAGTCGAAGCAGCAGTGCAAAGGCCATGTTGCCAGCGGTGTTTGGTGAGAGCTGGCAGTTTGGGGCCGCAGATTGAGGAAAAGACCGGTGTGTTATTGCAGTGCGGAGTGAGCAATATACTTGTCGTTACACAAATCAGCCACTCGGGCGTTCGCACTTGCCTCTGCACCTTATACCCCTTGCAAAATTCGCCAATGAGGTGAAGCAAGCCTCAGCCCTGTGTGTGACAATGACGAATCCTCCGCAGCTGCAGGTGAGGCACCCGCAGATCTGTATCCTTGTCTGTTGCTGATCTTTCCAAAAGTCTCTTAAGGGCTGAAGAAGACACTGAAAGAGTCAGTGGCCTAGAAACGAACAAAGTCATTGCAGCCTCACCGGGCTCGGGTATCTCTGTTAACTAAACGCCGGATGCCAAAGCAACAAACCGCAAGCACAACACAATATGCATCCGAAACTCTTCGTCTAGGCTGCTGTCTGAATGCCAATTTCAGCATCAGAAGGCGCCTGCCAAGTAGCCACATCAGGAGCAAAAGCACAGTACCACCACTGCCCAGCACTCCAGCCGCCCTTCCAGATACCGTCCTCTTCCACGCCATCGCCGGTGCGGACCGCGATGCCTGTCTTCTCCAACCACACAAGAGCAAGCTCAATCTCCCAGTCCCAGAACTTATGACCGTGGCACTCTTCCATCCTCGCAGCTGTCAAGCCAGACCTGAAGACCAGCAGATGCACGAGGGATCGCACAACCATATCCCAAACGTCTTCGATCAGGTTGCCATGGATATCGACCCAGAATGGGATTCGGGCACCTGTTTCACCTGCTCTCGTTGCCAGCTGCAAAGGGATCGGGACCGCAACCGTCAGACCATGATGTGCTCGGTAGATCGTCGACTTCTTATAGACGATGGGAGCCTTCAGTAGGCTTGGGTTGACCTTCTTCGTCTCGTAGCTGTAGCCACTATAACCCCAAGGTGACAGCTTCGGGAAGGATGCGTCGTAATCGTCTTTGCGAGGTGGTAGCATTGCCATTGGCTTGATTTGGCCTTGGGCGGCCATGTTGGTGAGGACGATGTACTCAGGATCAGACGCCTCCGCCACGAGGTTGAGCTCTTCATTGGTTTCGAAGTGCTGAACGATGTTCGCCCAAGCGTTGGAAACAGCACGCAGGTATTGGTATTCTTCTGGTTTTGCAGGCCATCGTTTGAATTGGGCAAGGACGTCGTTGTGGATAACAAAATTCCTGCCGGGCAGTTGACGACCCTTCTTCTCTTGAGTGAACATGCGACCTTGCACCATCTCTGCCGTAACCTTTTCGAGCATTGAACTCGAGAACGAGGTACTCAGCTTGGCCGCTGCGACATCCGGATTGTAATTCCATTGCTTGGTCATGATGACTGCGCGGACCCATGATTTCAACACAACCATATCGTCCACTCCGTCGGCGCTTGGGCTTGCCAGAGGAATCCCATGTGTGTACCTCAGAGCGTAGTGCTTTCGACCCGTCTCCGTCAGATTGGTGAAGTACTCGTCCGCGCTGAACCGAAAAATCGGCTTCTGCTCCTGAACTATGAATTCATCCTCCACGGCTTCTCTAGACGGCAACAGGTGTGGGGCTTGCTGTTGCTCAGTGGTCTCCACGTGCGGCAAGATCGTCTCCTCGACCCATCTGACCAGTGCAGGCCAATCTGTATTGCAAAGGTCTTGAAAATTGATGGACGGTAGCTCATTGCGTTCGTAAGCAGTCGGGAAGTTTTCCCGGATACGGCTCCGCAGTTCGTCGAGCTCGCCTTGACGATATCTCTTGAAGCAATCCCAACGTCTACGATAGAAATTGGCGTCATGATAGAAGCCCATAGCGTGCGCAACGGCAGTCCAAGGCGGCCGATCAGAATGGAGACCACCGCAGAGAGTCGTCACCAGTGCTACCGAAATGATGAGGCGCTGAGACTCCTTGAACTCTGCACCACTCTTGCGGTCCCGACTGGCAATCTCTTTGCCGTCAGCACGAACTCTGGCGGTCCGTCTTGCTGGGAAAACATCATCTGGGACATACTCTGTCTCCGAATCTTGCGCCGCATCCTCAAAATTGACGTTCTTGTTCTTCCGGGAGCTGTATTGCCGCTTTGCCTTGCCAGTCTTCCTGGACATCTCCGGGGTAATGAGAGTTTGAGCCCTTAACGACGCTGGCTGTCGATTCTGCGTTTCACCGCTCGCGGATGGTGATGTCGGTGCTGGCACCATTAAAGGCGGCATTGTGGTCGACCCGAAGAGTTGTTCAAGCTCTATAAGGGCATGCGGTTGGTTCAGAGTGTGATTGATGAAGACCGTCCCTCGGCTTCCGCTGACCTCTGCGTGTTCCTCAAGCTGCTTCTCCCATGTCTCGACAGCATCCACTTCCTGGAAAAACTCTCGAGCCTTATCAGTCTGAGGAGAGCTGCATGCACGGCTTAGGGTTTCGACCAGACCGAAAGGTACATTGCTGCTGGTCGCAAGAAGGCGGTTTTGCTTGCACTCACCCAGAATCACAGGTCGGCTTCTCAGCATCCTCAACTCTGGCATGGTGTGGACAGAGACCACTGGGCAAGTATTGAATGTGCCCGTTGCCTTGTGGAACTCTTGCGTTGGGTAATGGATCAGATTAGCTGCTCGTAGCCGGTAACGGGCTTCGTCTTCTAGTGTCATGCCACCGCCAACATCGCGGGGCCTGTGAGGCTTGTTCCTGGACCGAGTATTGGGGCGCAATGAACTTAACGGCTTCCTCTGTAGGGCTGGAATTGGCAATTTTGGTGGTGGTCTCGGGACAGTAGTTTGATCGCCGCCCGCTCTCTCCTCATTGTCGTTGTCCGCCCATCCCGCCTTTTCTCGTTGTTGGATTTGAAACTGCGCTGAAGATGCACTCTTCTTCGCCTCGACCTCGTCCAGAAGATGTTGGCGAAAGGAAAACACGTCCGGAAAGCCTTGTTGCTTCGCTTGTTTCGCCTCAACATCGGTGGAACGTTGAGTCTGGCGCACAACGGCTGGCTCTTTGCTCACATTCAAGGTGTCGCGTTTTGTTGGAGTGGACGTTGGCATGAGGTCGTTGGCATCTGCATGAGCATCTTGCTTCTTTTCCAGAGCTCTGGCAATTCTGGCACGTACTTCGGCATCGACTTCAACCTCGGACGGCAGGTAAAACGATGGATAGCAATCGATGATACGCTTCTGCATCTTTTTGACCTGGACCGAAGTTGGATCGATGTTGGGTTCAGTCAAAATAGCACGCTGCACCACACTTCCACTCTTCCCTTGGAACTGGAATAGGAGCTTTTTGAGCTTCTTGCTCTGTTGCAAGGTTTTGAGTGTGTTGTCGACGGTTTGCTTGTCGGGTGCCTGGTTGTATATTCTCTTCCACGCGTTTGCGAAGACGTACCACATCTCCACGTCGCCAGGGAAGACCCCATTGCAAGCCCGCAGTGCATCCAGTATGATCTTCTGTCGCTGGAAAACCACACTACCGCGCGTGCGTGTGGTTCCGAGTTTCTTGGCGGATTTCGGTGAATTAGCAGTAAACTGTACTGGCACAGCTGGCGTGATGCTCAAGCTTTCCTCTTCGTCTGGCTGCTGGTCTACATCCATGCTATCTTCAACGATGGGGACGTATTCTTCGTGCTGAGTATTGTCGCCGTGATTTTGCGTCTGAAACGTAGGTGGACCATCTTCAGCCTGGCGAACTGAGGTCGTGGGGGTCAACTGCGTGGCCTCGATTCCTGCTGGCCCTGGTTTCAATGAGTCTAAAACACTTGGAGAGATCCTTTGCTGAGCAGATGCATCGTAGGGTCTCACGATACGTAAAATAGACGGCGAACTATTGCTTGATGCTTGAGCAAGATTCCAGGGCTGATTTCCACCATCTTGTGTTCGAGCGTGACTGCTATCTTTGAAGGGGCTGTGCTCGGTATCGGCGTTGGGTCTAGTGATTGTACTCTGTCGAGAAGTTGGTAAAGGAGCGGCTGATCCTGAAGCGATCCCGTTGTCCGCGAGAGCTTGGCGGACCGTTCGCTTGTTGTCCTTTGAAGCAAGTGCAGTCAGGTGTGATCGTGGAATTGGAAGCTTGACCATAAGGCTAGTCCGCGCAGTCTCATCAGTGACTGCACCATCTGCCGCTCCATGATCATTACGTGCAGACCTTCTGAGCATCGCAGTCGTCGCAAGCTTTTCTTTTAGAGGCGCAGGGGTCTTGGGCGCTTTCGTTGGCATGCCGATAGATGCTCTCCAATCTTCTGCTCCAGGGCCTCGCACTCCAACTTTGGCCGAATAACCCGGCGGCGGCAGGCCAAGGGCCCACACACCCTTTCCTCGGTGATAGAATGTTTCTTCTGGATGGGTCTCAACGTACGTCGCGTCGAACCGTGCAGTTGATGATGTTTGTTGCGCATCAGAGCTCTGCATTGGGCCATTAACCTCAGGTTCTTCTTCTACATGGGCTTCCAAGTCTGGCACGGAAGTGGCTGTCTGCTCAACTCTGTTTGAAATCTCCTCCTCTGAAAGACCAATTTGCTGCGTATCAGTGCTCTGCGTCGGGCCAGTGTCATCGGCTTCCTTGTGTAGACTGATTTCCACACTCTGCACTGGAATCGCAGTCTGTTCAAGTCTGCTCGACTGCTCCGGGTTCGAATTATCAGCTTGCGGCTTCTCAGACGTGGCCCCTACAGTGATTGTTGCGGCCTGGTGCCCAGCCTGCACTGACCCTTTCGCAACATCACCTGGCGTAGCTCGCGACGTAATGGCAGTTGCCGGTTTGGCCCCCCGTGCATAACGTCCGGCTCCTCGGTGATGGAACATCTCGGTCGGATGGGCCAGTACGTACTCTTTGTTGAAGGTCTCAAACAGTTGCCCATTCGCAGCCGTGAAGTTGCCGGACCCTGATTGCTGGGACGCTTCTGGGTGCTCAGATGGCGGCTGAGGGTTGGTGGTGGACGCAGATCTGTCAGTTGAGGGTATTGTCGTGGACTGTGTCATGGCGGTGGCATCATGAGTATGGCGACCATTCGAAGGTGGTCTCGCCGTCTCGATGACTTTCTGTGGCGTCTTCTGGTTCTCCTGCTGGCGTTCAATCTGTTTCTGCAACTGCGCCATAAGAGTGCGTGTCTCTCGAGATCTTTGGCCTGGCCTCGACTTCAAAATATTGTATTGTTCGACAGGGTCAGAATGACCTTGCAGTATCTGTTTCTCGAGCTCGGCTACTCGTGCATTCACTTCTTTTGATTTCCGACCTCGTTTGGACTTTAGCGCATTCAATTCTTCAGCGGCACTCTGCTGCCGGGCAGATGGGATGTTGGCAGTTGTCACCGCCGAGGCACCAGATATGCCGTCAACATTTGTGTCTTTGCCTGGAGATGGCGTTGAATGGACTAGCAGACTTTCTTGGACAGCCGCGGTCGAGGATTCGTTCTGATTGTCCACTGCAGTGGTGGGATCGTCGAAATCAGGCGCAGGCGCAACTGGCACCAAAGTCTTCTCACGCCGCTTTGGTGTGTTGTTGTTACGCCGCACAGAGGGTGTAGCTTCTTGAAGATCGGCTTTGGCTGGAGAAGATATTGCCGGTAGCATTGTGGAGGAAGTTGACGCTGATGCATCGCCATTAGGTCTTGCACGGACTGTCGATGCTGGCGCATCATTAGATACGTCTAGAGCTGAGGTCGCCAGTCCTGATGCATCTACACGTGGCCTCTTTGGCACCGTTTCATCCACGTCGGAATCGGAATCAACGTATTCGGGCGATTTTGCTTCGGCGGGCATCAGACCAATCTTGGCTGTCCTTCGACGTTTCTTCACAGGTGCGAATCGTGGTGTACTGTCGTCTTGGAACCACTCGAGCTCGTGAAGGTTTTGTGTCTTGACAACAGCAATCAATGCTGTCCGTGGACGACCCCTGGAGACAAAGGTCTGTCGCTTCTTCTCACGAGCGCCTGGGGGATTGATGTAGATGCCAGGTTTATCTCGCGTCATGAGGTCTTCCTTGACTTGCTCTACACGTGCCAGTGGCAAATCCTCTACAGTCACATGTATTGCGTCGGTAGCATCGTCGTGACCAGCTTGGTTTATACCACGCCTCTGGCTCGCGTTCATTTCAAACATAACCTTGAGCTGTGCTGTTCTTTCCACAGTAGCCTCCCACTCATCGAACTCGTGCTGCGGGATCTCTCTCGTCTTGACCAAAGGTACCCCAGGCCTAGCAGGATCTGTTCGGCGTTTGTACGGTCCTCGACGCTTGGCGCTCGTTTTCTGTTCTGGCTGTGCTGAAGCGGAGGCAAGCAGTCCATGCTGAGTGTCATCGGCGGCTTGAGCTCCCCCATCGGGTTCGGCGACTTGTGGTACAAGCTGGAGAGATCTCTCTCGTGCAACACCCTCTGACTCAACTTCTTTTGGACTGTCAATTGTGTCTGCGACGTCTTCACTGGCTTCGTCCGAAGTGAGGTCACCTTTGGTAAAGTTTCTTCGCCGCTGCAATTCTGCAGTGTTGCCATCGCCGCTGGCAAGTTCTTTCGATGGAATCAGGGGGAAGCCCCATTCATCCAAACCAGGCTGCCGATCGTTTGCTTTCTTCTTGCCCTTCGCCTTTTCCGAATCCTGCACAGCCTCCCAAGAAGCATCTCCAGACTCGACGGCTCTTTCGAAATTGCCGTAAGTTTTGAACTGAAAGTGTACCAATTTTCCATGAACGCTAGTATCACGGACAATGGCGAGATGGCGAAGGTGCGGTGGCTGAGATTGTTGCCATACATCAGTCAGTAGCAACATCACTTGATCCAGGGGTCTACGCCATATCGGACCGGTCAAGCGATTGGCTATTTCCATGGAGCTGATTCCCTCTGGACCAGCCTCTTCGACGAGGCTGTAAACGAGGTTGATCAGCGGTACGTCGGGGGTCCACTGAGGTGGTATGCGCTCTTTCAGCAATTCGAGATCATCAAAGTCGTCTTCCTCTTCCACGGATTCGGCCTTATCGGCTTGTGCAGCATCGTCCAGGTCGTCGAAGTCATCGTCGAGGGCTCCATTATCTTTCTTGGCCTTAGAGTTGCCCTGCGCCCACTTCATTCGATCGAAATCTGTAGGCTCGCGAAGTAGCTGGATGCTCAACGCCTTCTTCTCTCTGCCACTTGCAAGATGAATGAGCGAATTGCCATCGGCATCGTGCAACTTGGCAGAAATACAGCGAATGCAGCCAGATTCTGACAAGCGCTTGATGGAGCGTCTGAGAATCTTGTTCTCGTATTTCTTAGGGTTCAATCCCAGGTGTAATCGAAGGTCTTCGATGGTGAGGATGTTGTCGTTCTCCTTGAGCAATCTTATCGTCGTGTTGAACCAGGCATTGTAGTAAATGACCGTCGGTGCAGCTTCGGAGCTGCTCCCTGCTAGAAATTCGGGAATCCTCATCGGTTCCAGTGGTTGAACATTGGCATAACGCTTCAGCTTCAGATTACTCGTTCTAGCGCCAGCACCGATTACATTCTCTTTGACGATGTAACCTTTGTCCACAAGCATGTCGGTCCTCTTTGGGACCGAGCGCTTGTCTTGACCGGTCAATTTGGTGACGTGTGGCTGCAAAACTCCCGTCGAGCCATGTGCTGCAACCACAGAGAGAATTTCGAACTCCCTCATCGGCACACGCCTGTGATCGATGCCATGGCCGGTGATCGCTTGCCACACCCTGTCTTCAGTCGTGAAGATTCGTTTACCAGCGAGCTTTACGTTCAAAGCCGAAGAGGTCGACTGCGATCCGTTGGCATCGTTGATGTTGACGTCCGGGTGTTTGCAGAGCCACGTGAGGATAGACTCAAGTAGTTCGTCATCAACACTTGTCTTCCTCGCGGGCGGTGCGCTGGAAAAGAGGAGGTCATCGTCGCTCGGATTATCGTTGGTGGTTGCTTCCGCGTTCTTCTCGTCGTAATAATTTCTGACAGTCTTTTCGAATTGATGGGCGGAGAATCCTGTTTGAAGATCAACCATATGCTCGTTTCATCTTTCCCCGCCGACGCTGCCAAATTGCTTTCGTGCCATGTCGGAACTCGAACTCGCACACTTTGGCCGGTGAGGCCGCCAATGACCGAGAGTGTGTGAAGAGTCACTTGCTCACTCACCTTGACTGCCTACGCAGGCGATTTCATTCAGCAGTCGCTCGATCAGCTCATCGAATCCAGCCATTGTCGTTCATCTCGTACGTGTAATCTCGGCGCATTGATTGGTCGGTTGGTGAAGTTGAGCAAGTGTGCAGCTGTCGTGGTGGAGTGGAATGGCGCGGGCGAGTTTCGAACTCAGACTTTTGGAGTCAGTGGTGTGGCGGGGCAGCGGCGGTCGCTCCCGCTTCGTTCACTCACTCACATGCATGCACTCACGACATCTGAACTGATGAGTCTAATTCAAGCCTTTCAGCATGTGAAAGACGTCTGTGTGATCACTTGTCCGCGTGGACATCTAACTGGGTATCATTTCAACAATAACAATGGAGTCTACCATGCCCACCAACGCCTCGCTGAACGATCTGAAACCAATGTCACTAAAGCCACATCAGCTGTATCTCGGCCTCTTCCCATCCAGGTCTCGTCCGCCATCATCCTCCCGTCGTCGTCTTTCGCCGATCGGTGCTGCATTCGCGCCCGTCTTTTCCCTTCCTCCACCAGACTTCTCATCCGGCCTGAATCTATCATCTAGTCCATCATGGTCTCTCTTCTTGCCTTCAAATTGGCCCCAACGACCAGTGTCTTCGTTCTTGAGGTCTTTGTATTTGGTCCGACCCTTCTTACCCAGTTTCGTCATGTCTCGGATCCGCATGTATTCCGGCAATACAGCCTTGTCGCCTGCATCGTCGACGAATTTGTGCCCTGCAATGTTACGATTGAGTGCTTGTTTGACTTCTTCGTCTTGCTCATCGGCATTGAAGAAAGCGCCCTTGTGGAAGTATTTCTGCATGTACGCCATCTTGCCTTTGTCCTCGCGCTCCTCGGCCTGTTTCTCCAAGAACTCGCGATCTTCGGCTTCTCGTTCTTCGGCAGTCATGTTGCGTCGCCGCTCAACTTCTTCACGCTCCTTTTCCTGTAGAAATTGTCAGCACATCTTTGAAGACATCGATATATGTAGCACGTCGTACCTTCGCAATAAGCGCCTCTCTATCGCGCTTCACTCGCTTGAGTTCGCGCAACTTCCAGGCTGCCCTCTCTGCCTCTGGATCCGACTCATCGTTGTCATCAACTTCGTCTGCAGGGTCGACATCGTCGTCGTCCCAATACTTCTTGCCCGCCTTACGCACTTCAGCATCACGCTCGATTTGCGCTTGCAACAGCTCATCGGCCTTCTCTTTACGTTTCCGTTCTTCTTCAGCCGCCTGATCTTCAGTGGAAATCGAGGGCCCCGAAGCCTGTTGTTTTGCGCGCTGCGCTTTTGACATGAACGTAGGCCTGAGCATAGGCTTTTCTGGCTCGTCATCCGAACTGCTGTCTTCCTCTTCTGAGCTCTCCTCGTCTTCTTCCTCGCTCCCACTGTCGCCTTCAGCGTCCGAAGACTCTGATGCTGTAACAAAGCCTTCCAGATCATCTGTCTTCGAGAGCTCTGCGGCTGTTGGCAATGACTGTCCGGTCGGTGTACCTGGCTGCACTGCCAATGCTTGTCTCGGGAAAGACGACGCCTTAGGGGGCGGCGCTTTTACAGCCGGCTTTTGTTCTTCCTCGTCTTCCTCATCAGACTCTTCTTCCGAAACTGGGTCTTCGGCTTGTGCTTTTCCAGGATAGTATCTAAAGCTCCTATCAGGCTGCTTTGTCATGCGGCTCGATGGCGGCATTTTGGCGATTGTTCAAGTGTCTGCGAGGTGGGAAGATTCGAGATGTAGTCAAAGGCTGGAGGGTAAGAGGTTCATCTGCATCGCCTTGCCACGTGAAGACAAGCTTCGTAGCGGCGCAAATAAAGTTTGAACTTTGCGGGGTGCAGCAGGGACAACGACTGAACTAAATTTTGAATAAGACTGTGACCGCTCACAACTGTTTTTCCTACACTTAATACACGCGGAGACGGAGGCACACACAATGCCTCATAAACATACCAGGAAGCGCGATGATGATGACAGGCAGTAAGCAGCGCCAGTCGCGAGCGATAGAATCATGCTAACACACTGCAGCTTCGACCTCGCACCAAATCGAATCGCGAAGCCTCTTCCCTCGTTTGAGGCGACGCCGAAGAATGAAAAGAAGGGCAAGGGCAAGCAGAAGGGAAAGAAAAAGGAGCAAGAGCAGAGTAATCTCAAACGAAAACGAGGATTCACGGCCCAGTTCAAGGAAGATGATACACCCCGCGCATTTGCCAGATTGATGCAGCTCCAAGCCGGTCAAAAACCACGATCGGGGCTCGACGATGGCGAGAACAAGAAATCGAGAAAGAAGAGAAAGGTTGAGCAGTTGGCGAAAGAGGATACACAACCTTCTCCCAAGACCACCGCGATAGACCCACGAACAGGCGAAGAGCTCAAGATCCTTCCAGGCGAACGAATGTCCGACTTTGCGGCTCGCGTCAACCAAGCACTCCCAGTTTCAGGTCTCTCCCGCAAAGCAAAAAGTGCAGATGGTCAAAAAGAGCGGCAAACCAAGACCGAGAAGCGACTGCATAAAATGTACGCCGAGTGGAGGGAAGAGGAGGCTCGTCGCAAAGAGAAGCTTGAAGAGCTACAAGAACAACAGGAAGAGCAAGATGAAGAGAAGACGGCCGAGTATGGAGGGCAGGACATCCATCTACCTTCATCGAGCCGCCAGTCGAAGAAGAAGCGTATGGTTGGTGAGATCGATGATGATGACGACGATCCTTGGGCGGTTCTGAAGACCAAGCGTGAAGCTCCTAAAGGACTGCATGACGTTGTGCAAGCGCCACCAACTATGAATGTTGTGCCCAAGGAGAAATTCAAAGTGCGGAATGGTGCTAAGGTCAGCGTTGCCAATGTGCCCGGTGCATCTGGGATGAAGAGTCTAAAGCAAAGGGAGGAACTGAGCGAGGCAAGGAAGGATGTAATCGAGCGCTATCGTGCTATGATGAAGGGCGGTGGAAGGCTATGAGCGTGGAGCATTGATGAATGTGGGCAATTACAGTCGAAAGATCGATCGCAGCAGGCCCCGCTTACTCACGGAACATACCTCTCACATACGATCGTGACTTTTGGTCCGCTCTTCGATCCGCCTCCGGAAAAAGCTTCAGCTCCAGTGGAGTGGATGCAGAGTTGATACGGCCATGCCCAGCCTGGACTTGGACGCTCCCAGCATGCTTACGAGAGGCAGCTGCTCCGCGATCGAACACGGGCAAAGGCCTTGCTTCCACATGATCGAGTGCTGCCCTCGTCTTCTACGCAATCAGGTAGCATTGCGAGTAGAAAAGCACACCAACCGAGAAAGAGAGTCAGAATATCAAAGGTCGCCTGCTGCCAACACCTGTCCCGCCCTCGTGGCAGCCACCTCTGCAAGCGTCTCGCCGCATCCAGGCCCATAATGTCCCGCTCCTTCAGGAGATGCCTTTATTAGCTTTTAATATAGGCACTATTGGCACATGCTTTATGCATTGCACGGTATCTTCAGCCGAATTCACTCACAACGCCAAGCCATGCTTTGTGCTGGGGGTACAATACCAAGGTCTCGAAAACAAAGGCACGTGTCCCGCGCTCAGTGTTCTTAACATAACAACAATACTAAGAAGCATCACAAGGCGCCAATTGTACGGTCTAGAGCTATATGTGTGTGGCTCGTCGCAATCTCGAATGGCTCTCTTCTTTCTTCAGACAAGAACAACGACACAAATTCAAGACCACAGACTCGAGCCAGACGCACATATAAACGTCGACCGCAACCACAGAACAACTTTCTCTCCTCACCAACGTTCACAAACACAAGTTCCAACTACACTACACTCGCTAAGTAAGCGCCAACCAACGACTATACACTCGAGCAACCCAGCTAACACTCACATCAGACTCAGCTTCCCAGCTAAACAACCAACAATCAAAATGGGCCGTGCTTCTCCAGTTACTGGCGGTGTCTGCACTCTGCAGGGCCGCGCCTCTCCCGTCACCGGCGGTGTGTGCACCCTTCAAGGCCGTGCCTCGCCCGTCACCGGTGGTGTCTGCACCCTCCAGGGACGTGCCTCCCCCGTCACCGGCGGCGTCTGCACTCTCCAGGGCCGCGCATCCCCCGTCACCGGCGGTGTCTGCGAGATCATGAAGTTCGGCACCGGCAAGCCCGCCATGTGCAACATCCAGCGCAACGAGTAAGCGCTTCCACACTACCTAGCGTAGAGTGAGAGTGCTTGCAGAAGGAGAGTCACAAAGCAGCCTGGATTGAAAAGAACAAGTCTCGACCGGCGACATGTCGAGACGAGGCAAGCAGTGGCTCTCCTCCTGGCAAGATCAAAATTGTCTTTTTTGCGCTGTTTTGGAGCATATCATCAACATAAGAAAAAATCTGGATTGGTCTTTTATCATGGATGAACGCCCCTTGAAGGGGCACGGGAGTTCATCTCAGTGTTGGCCGGGGGATTTGCTGGTTCTTTTTTGGACTATGCAGGGCTCTCAGTCTGCGCTTATTTTGGAGCATTGGTGTTAAGAAAAGTCGTAGAAAATTCAAAGCAATTGTTCGCTTCTCCCATTCTTGCTGTCCTGTCTCAACATTTTCTTGATTCAATACCCTGCTCAGTATAATTGTCCACCTGTTCTTGCTGTCGACCTCCGTCCATGGAGGCATTCTATCCCACGGACCCGAACCCATCCACATCCAGCGAGGCTTCACCCGAAGATTAACCTTAAGAATGCATGTCATTCTCGGGGTCTGCTCCGACGCCGTTCAGCCGCTCGGCGGTAGCTCCGTCACGCACAAGCACGCTCTCAATGATCGTTTCTTCGTGGATTGTCTTGCACGTCATCTTCGAGGCATTCCCATCGCGAGCGAGTGGCGTTACTCGCTGTCTGACCACAGATGGTCGACGTCCCTCCTGAGTCCTTTGCAGCCGTTCCGACACCGAAGCTCGGAAGAATTTGAAGGACAAAGTGGAATCGATGATGACAAGGTGAGTAGTGACAAGTAAGCTTTTCAGGACTACGGTCCCCGTTTGACACGTCCCACAGAGAGTCACATGCTCCATTTGCTAGTGGTAGGGTTGAGAAGAGATATTCCGCGCTGATGTGCTGACAACCGCACATCTTGCTTGAGTCCTCTGCATTGTTCCCCTGATTCGTCTCACGGTCCCGGGACATTTGGCGGTACTGCCTCGTCTGCAGAGCGGACAACACTCCGGACTCTCGCCCCCGGTTTCTTCTTCAGCGGTCTGCTTCTCAGTTCTTCTTCCTATAATTAGATACTCGCTTGCCGCTCAAACCACCGCACTGCAGAACACTATTCTTACCGGCTCAATATGTCTGTCTCTCGAAAACTCTCCAGCGAGCCTGTCATTGTGTCAACGACAAACGACGCTTACCCCAAGGAGCTGGGGCTCGACTTGATCACGAGACGGTTCCTGCTCGATGAGGAGCCAGATATCGATGTCTACGCACAAAGCTTGATGCTCATGATGAAGGCCCACACGGAGAGGATAATGCAGAGCGGTGCATCAAATCCAAGTGCGGCCTCGTCGGACTCTTGTTCCAGCTCCAATAACCTGGCTGACCGAGGATCGGACCCAGGAGATACGAATGACCAAGACAGTATGATACAGACAACGCTCCAAGAGCATGATCCTGTCGTTTATAAGGCCCGAGAATCGGACTCCAAAACATCGCTTTCGATGACGAACTCCAAACTTAAAACACCGGTGGTTCGCCGCAACTCGATTTGATCGAAGCTTGGCCAGGAGGACTTCGGCATCTCAATCAAATGCCGCTTGTGGTAGCCTCGGAACATTGAAGGCATTCTTGGGGAAGTTGAGAGGCCAGCGAAGCAAAGCGGTTGTAATTAGCCGAGCATCGTCAGAGGTACATGTCCAGGCAAGACACAGGTGGGGACGGCGTCAAGAGCCTCATGTCTGCCCCTCATCTGGCGACAGATGCAGAGAAAAAAGCGCATGCTCACAACGATGGGGATGGATGCTATGGGAGACAATGAGAGAGACAGTGGCAGTCGAATAGATGATGGTACGGGGAGGATCAAGTATCTAGAGAAATTAGAGATGACAATTCAGATGACTTTTTGTCTGTTGGTGAGTGAAGGATTGTGAGGAGTTTGCCGCCGTTCCTGATCCTCGCTTCACGCTTCATGCCTCAGGCACAGACTGTCCGTGCTTCAATCTTCGAGCTTATTAAGACCTCACTTCCTGAATTCTCCAACATCAAGCCAGTGCTATCTGCTACGAAAATGGGCAAAGGTGAGTCGCATAGCATCTGACAAATATGTATGGCATACTGACGGATCGTAGGCACTGACAAATTGTACGTACGTTTCAATGCGACAAGTCTTTCATCATTCAGTCACTGACCATCCAACAGATCACCCACAGCGAGTGGTCGAGCGAGGATGCCTTCTCCGCCAGCGCTGGCGCAAATGCGCGCAAGTCTGCCAATGCCGGAGCGGGCGCCAGCTTCAAGCGCCTCCCGTTCAACTTCTGCGCCGTATCCCTCCAACCCTTCGAGCACCCTGTCTGCACCGGCGACGGCACGATCTTCGACTTGACCAATATTCTTCCCTGGATAAAGAAGCATGGAACAAACCCAGTGAATGGACAGCCGTTGAAGAGCAACGAGCTGATCAAGCTCAATTTTGCGAAGAACGAGGAGGGCGAGTTCGTGGATCCTGTGACTTTCAAAGTCATTACGGACAACACGCACTTGGTGGCCTTGAGGAATACCGGCAATGTCTTCAGTTACGACACTGTTGAGCGATTGAACATCAAGGCAAAGAATTGGCGAGATCTGGTCAGCGATGAGGAGTTCAAGCGCAGCGATCTCATCACATTGCAAGATCCACAGAACATCGAGTCGAGAAATCTCAACCAGTTCAAGTATCTCAAAGAGGGCACCAGCACGCTCACTCCAGAGCAAGAAGCGGAGCGAAGTGCGGGTGTAAACGATCAGAATCTCGGATCAGCAGCCAAGATTTTAAAAGCCAAGGAAGCGGTTGCCAAAGCCCGAGCAGGGCGAGAAAAGGCAGCCCAAGGATCCACCGAATCTCAGGCTCTTGTAAATGCAAGGAAGGCACACGCAGAAGTTGCTAGATCCTCAAAGGCATCGAAGCCGGTGCCGCACAATGCCGCTCAGTATACCAACGGCCAAGCAGCAGCGTCTTTCACCAGCACAGGTCTTACTCCATCGACCTCAACAGAGCGTGCTATCATGAGTGATGAGGAGTACATGCTCAAGCCAAAGCGAGTAAAGCAAAATGGCTATGCTCGTATGTCTACGAATCTTGGCGCAATGAACATCGAGCTGTATCCAGAATACGCGCCCAAAGCCGTCTGGAACTTCATCCAACTCGCAAAGCGTGACTACTACAAAGGCGTATCATTCCACCGGAACATCAAGAACTTCATGATCCAAGGAGGCGATCCTACCGGTACTGGACGGGGTGGGCAATCATGTTGGGGCAAGTCATTCTCGGATGAGTTTGAGGGACCACTTGCGCACGATTCGAGGGGCACAATGTCGATGGCGAACAAAGGCAAAGACACCAACACCAGTCAGTTCTTCATTCTCTATCGAGCCGCAGCTCACCTCAATCGCAAGCATACAATCTTTGGCCGTGTTGTAGAAGGTCTGGACACGCTTGACCGGCTTGAGAAGGTACCTATTGATGACAAGAGTCGGCCGACAGAGGACTGTGTGATCGAAGACGTAACGATCTTGATTGACCCGTTCGAAGACTTTCTCAAGCAGCGTTCAGACCAGGAGGCAGAGGAGGCAAGGAAGGAGCAGCTGAAGAGAGAAGGCGGCGCTGAGGACGACAAGACAACATGGACTGGGAAGCGGATACGAGCAAATGGCAAAGTGGAGGATGGTGGTGGAGCGACTGAAGTTGGCAAATACCTCAAGCAGTCCAGTACTGCTGCCGCTGAGGACGACGAGGTCATTGGTGAATGGGACGAGCCTGAGCCGCCGCCGAAGAAGGCCAAAAAGGGGGGAGGCTTCGGGAACTTCGATGCTTGGTAAAAGTCCAAGCCTTGAACAGAGTTCCGCCGTATCTTCTGAGGCGACTTCCGAAATGTCTCATTGCACCGCTCGTCACTTCACAAGCTGATCTGTCACTTTGATCACATGCGAGTCCGCGAATCCGCGCAGTCATAGCCTCAGCTTTTCATCTGTCAACGGTGAACGAAGACGACATTCTGCCAGCTTCTGATCTCCATCACGCCAAAATCAGTGTGGAAGCGCGGAAGCTCTTGCGCGGCGCTGGGGACCCGTAGTAATTTGGTCCTCTGAAAGCGCCATCTTGAATAGCGAGGAACAGCGCACAACGTTTCCTTGGACAACACCAATCGAACGGATATCGCATCAGTCCGTCTCGCCACACGCCGGCACAGAAGAGTTCTCGCAAACCCTGCCGGAAGACTCAATCAAGGCCAATTTGCTTCTGATCTTGCGAGCACAGACGTATCTGCTTCACTTTCGAGATTTCCACGTGTTGGCGACTTCGAAACCCCTTCACTCTCGTCACGCCATTGCAGGCGGCAGCGCACGGAGCACATGGCCATCTATATCTTCGAGCTTCTTGTCTCCAACTTGTCTTCTTTCATCCACATCCAACTCCAACTTCAACTCCAACTCCACTCACCTCGTGTCATGGACGACACACAACCACCATCCTCTGTGATGGACCATCCACAAGCACCAACTGCTTTCATAGGCAGCCCTCAAACACCACTACCTGTCGTTGACACGCCGGAGCCTACCATGGTTTCACAGAAGCGTGATCGGTCTCCAAGCCCGCTCTTCGTACAGCAAGACGAAGGCACACCATCACCCCCAGAGCGAGGTAAGTAGACATCATACTCTGTAACCTGCAAAGGCACTGCTGACACGCACCTCAGAGTTCAAGCGCATCAAGCTCGAAGTCCGCGCCTCCACTCCCACTCCTACCGACGAAGTCAATGCGAGCCAAACCAGCGGAAGCATTTCAAGCCTAAGTCCCACCGACCAGAGTGACTGGATGCGAAACGGCACATCTAGTCCAAGCGCCTTTAGCGACATCACCGCTGCATCGGCCGGCGAGACTGTCACGGAAGTCACAAGCGTCAAGCCCTTCTTAAGCCCATTGCTCGTTGTCCCGACGCAGACAAACCAGCTTGCCCTACAGTACAAGGACATACCACTCCCAGCAAATTGCCCTCGACTAGCGGCATACCATCCACTCTGCGAAAAGACAGAGACCGACATTACTCGACTTTGTGATGATTTCATCTCCGCATATGATCAGCACAAGACTGCTGGATTTGAGAGTGCCGAGCTCGAAAGCATTAGCAGACAGTTTTCTACATACCGCAGTGTCAGCAAGCACTACCCGCCAATCAAACCAGTTGCTCTTGCTGGACCGATGGGCGCCGGTAAGAGTCGGACTATCAACTCGATCCTGGACCAACCAGGTCTTGCTCTTGATAGCGATGCGTCGGACCGTGGTACCAACGTAGTGCACGAGTATCTTGGTCCTCGACCCCGTCAGAAGGCCAAGTACCTGGTCAACGTTGTGTACTACTCAGCTTCGCAGCTGAACTCGCGGATTGCCAACATCGTGCGATCCATCTACCAGTACCTGTCGCTTGAGAATGGTTCCGGGGACGCCGACGTCGAGGACGAGGATGACCTGCGATCGAAGTTCAACAGCTCTCTGAATTTCTTCCGCACGATTCTCTGCGACTACGAGGAATTTGACAGTCGAGAGACTGCCACGGCATTCTTCGAGGAGCACTTCAATGAAAAGACCTCGGAGGACGAGCTCACGGAGATGCTTGAGAACCTGTTCTACGACTTCAAAGCTTCTCGTAAACTTGTGAACGACATGGAGTCGTATATCGCATCCGACGAAGCGGAACTGTCTCGTATCTTTGCTCAAGTGTCCAAGCCTCAAGACATGGAGCTCCAGCACCCACACCCATGGCCAATCATCGAGAAAATTCAAGTCCGTGTGAGAGACAACGACCTACTGAAGAAAGGTGCACTTGTTGCGGACACGCCTGGCGTCGCTGACAGCGATGAACTCGTTGTGAACAACACGACCATGTACTTGCAAAACGTCGGCATCGTACTCATTGTGTCGCCGATCCTACGCACCCAACGCTTGAACGATCTCAACGACATTCTTCGGCAATGTCTCGTCCTTGGGAAAGCCGAGCGAACATACTTGGTCATGACGAAAATTGACCAGAAGGACCCTCTCAAACCGCATGAGATTGCCTCCCTCCAGCCGCAGTTTCGGCAAGCCTTCGAGGCAGCCGAAGCGCAGCTCGTGAAGCTTACTCAGGAGATTAAGGACCTTAATGTCAAGAAAGACATCCTTCTCTCCCAGCTCTCGGACTCAACCAAAGTCATAGAGTTTCAGCAGACACATGCGCGACTTGGGCTACTACCTTCGCTGATTAAAGAACAAGAGGCAAAGAAGTTCCAGGTCGCAGTCGAGGCACGCAATTACGACACTGAGCTACTACTGAAGAACAAATTCCGCGAGCTGTCGAAGTCAGGCCGTGCTCCCGACTTGAAGACGATTTTCGTTTCCAACGAAGAGTATCAGCTCGTCGCTCAAGGAATGCCATCAAGACTGGACCCAGCGACTACGGGCATCCCAGGTCTGCAGCACATCCTGTGCGAAGTCCCCGCTTGTGATAAGTTCGGCACGCTCCAGAGCATTGTTGAAGACCATGTGGCGGTCAGCTTCCGTGGTGCTGTCTTGTCGTTGACCAAGACAAAACTTGAGAGGAAGGAGCAAGTCCAAAACCGTCTGCTCTGTGTTCTGAAGCAGAGCACTACCGTTGCCGATTCTTTGAAGAAGTCTGTCGAGCGTGTCTTTGACCAGGTCCTCGCGAACGCCTTCGACAAGCGTGAGCAGAGCTGGCAGGATAAGGCTCAGCGCCTAATCAAGGATTGGGAGACCTTCAACAGCGGCAACTTCACCGCCTTCTGCCGACGCAGCGGGGCCTGGAAGCCCAAGCGCAAGGGTCAAAAGGAGAGGAACAAGAAGAGTCAGATGATCTTCTGGAATGCAATGATCCAAGACATATTCTCCTCGGATATCAGCAAGGATCTCGAGGAATTCTGGCAGGGCTTCGACGCCGCCGAAATTTGCGCCCAAAGCAACATCCGGGACTGGTTGGATAGGCTTGAGGACACCCTCAAAGCTTGCCCAGAGTTCCAGGGAGCCTCGGACACTGCGATGTTCTACGAGATGCTTCATCACGTGCGCGATCAAGCTCAGAAGGCCGTACGACAGATTCTCAGATCTCTTCGTCGGGAGACGACGTCTGTGTTCCATCAGGTCACGATGCGAGACAAGGCGCAGGAGAACTACGTCGACAAGGCAATGCAGCCTACCTACAATGCCGGTGCTAAGATCGAGACGAAGCAATTTGCCACCACGACCGGCAAGAAGGTCAGCCCAGGAGCCTTGGCTCATGACGCCCGAGTCAATCTCATCCGCCGCAAGCTCATGGGCACCGGTAGCTCCCCACTTCCAGATGGGTCTGACGACACAGCCGAAAACAGCCAGAATGACGTGGTGAGGCGTGGTGCACAGCTCAGCGTCTTCCAGTCAGTTTTCGAGCAGCTTCAGGACGAGTTCATTTCCAAGCTCGACGCTGCTGTCTCTGAGACCTCCGACAAGCTCAAGACCACATGCGATGACATCGTTACGGACTTCAATCGTCGCTACAGCGTCGAAGAAGAGCAGGACACGAACGATCCTCAGGCGAAGCAACAGCTGCTCGACGCAGCTCACGGCGCTCTGGCCTCTATCAAGGGCCCGATCAAGCTGCAACTTGACGAAGCCAAGCGCTGGGAGAAGGAGGGCGACATTGTCGTGCAGACTTGAGTCACCATCCTCTTCACATCTTCACATTTCCGGCGAGTCGACAAAATAGGAGGCCAGTTCCATTTGCATTCAAAGTACCTGTGCGTTCTGCGAGCAAAGAGGAGGAGTCACACTCGAGACGAGCTCTCACATGAATGTATTAGTAGCACCCTTTCGCCACGAATCATCTGCTCTTGCTGAGGCTTGGGGTACACAGATAGAGATTTCGTAGGCCATGAATGACACATGACACTTCTAAACCCACCCCTTTTCTCTCTCCTTCTCTCTCATCGTCATCGTCTCATCCACCACAAAAGTCACTTCTCGAAGCCTAGTCATCCTTCATCTTGTCTCCATCCTCCGGCTTGCTCTCTCTTACTCCTCCGCCATCGTCCTCCGGCTTGCTCTGTCCCTCACCTCCATCATCCTCCTTCACCTCCTCATCACCATATTCCGACATCTTGTAACTGATCTGCGTCTTGAACGAAGAACTCGAACCTTGAGAATCATACACTCTGGACGAGGGTGAGGCCGGTCCAGACGCACTCGCCTCTCCATCCGACGGGGTATCAGCCCACAATTGCTCAACTGTCGGCGGCGAATAGCTGGCAGAATCTTCTCCCTCTCCCTGCTGCCGCCGCCGTTGCTCGGGCTGCGGTAGCGGACTGGGAGCGTCCCGCTGTCTCCGACGCTCGTCCTCTTCACGGCGTCGCTCAGCAGTCACCTCTCGGATCTTGCAACATTAGCATTTCGTCTTAAACTGCCTCTTGGTATTCTACGTTGTCAACTTACATTTGCGGCTACCCGCTCCAGACCCATGGGGCTCACACCCATAGCTTCTGGGTCATATGAGGTGGGCTCCAGGTAGTTATGCTCGGACTTGATGGTTTTGTCAGGAGTACGGTCTTCGTCGGGGGTGACGCTCTTCTCCGCTTTTCTCTTGCGGTCGGTGGGCTCGTCAGACATGGTTGGTGTTTGAGATGCAGATCGAAGGAACTGGTTGGGCGATGTTGTGGTTCATTTTGATGAGATGTTGGCGTTGTTATACACTTGCGCGACAATGGATTCATTGAGCCGTAGGCAGCCGCTGGAAGAATCTTCTCATTGCTATTTTCTTATTGTCTTCAAGCTTTCTGTCGTAGTGTACCGTGCATATGCGATTGCTCGTGTCTCACGATACTACAAACTGTTTTCACGTGATTTGCGGATCTTCCTCGTGCCTAGCTTTTTGCCAAGAGCTGGCGTGAGTGAATGCATCTAACACATTTGCACCATCAGACCTCACCACCCGCCCCTCTGACGCTGCTGCCAATTCCAATTTCCATCATCATGATCATTCTCGTCGTTTCGCCACCAGTTTCCCCAGCCTCCCCATTGCCACTGCTGGGATGTCTTTGTTGTCGCTGGCTTTGGCGTTGAGGTTGTCTTGCAGCTCGTTGTAGTGGCTGTGTACTTCGTCGTCGTTATTTTGGGTGTCGAAGTCGTCTTGGATGTGTTGCTACTTGATGAAACCTTCGTAGTCGTGCTAGAAGGCTTTGTGGTTGAGCTTGACGGTGGCTTGGTACTGCTGGTCTTGGGCGTCGATGAAGAGGCTGGCTTTGAGCTTGAAGAAGCAGCGGTCGGTTTCGTGGTCGAAGACGCCGACTTCGTCGTGCTTGAGGAAGAGCTCGGTTTGGTCGTCGTGGAGGTAGTGGAAGTCCTGCTAGTGGCAACACTCGTGGAAGGCTTCACAGTCGAAGTTGAACTGCTCAACGAAGATGTCAAAGGCAGCGTCGCACTCGAACTCCCACCAATACCACCCTCCAACCCATCGTTCTCCGGATCCGTCGAATTCATCTCCATGCTCGGCGGCGTAATCGTCGAATTACCCTCATCCGCATCCTCTTCCACAACTGGCTGCTTCAACAACTGAATGCTCTGCCACGTGCCACTCTGATCCGTCCAGTTGTACGCCCAAGCAGGCTTGTAATTCTCAATCTTGACATTCTTGACATACATCGTATACGGCGCAGCCGAAATATTCGTCTCTCCGCCGGCCCAGGCCTGCATATCAAACCCTCGTCAGCAAACCACCCTCCATAAAAACAAAGTCCCAGTGAACATACCTTCGTCCCCTCATTCTGCCCCGGATCTCCACCCGCCCAAATCCCCAACTGGAACTTACTCGGCGTCTGCGGAAACTGATACGCACTGCCCTTGGCCGTTGTCGCATCCCGAGCCAAAAACCTCCTCACCTCCACCCCATCCACCCTCCACACCAGCCTCTCCTCCGTCCACTCAATCTCGTACGTATGAAACGTCCCCTGCGGATCCACCACATCGAACCACCCGCCCCGATCGTAGTTCCCCGTGATGCCCTTGCCGAAGTAGTTATTCTGGCCTTTGCCGCGGGAGGCCGTGTCGCCGAAATTATTCCCGCTGAATTCAAAGTCGATCTCGTCGAAGTCATCCGAGATGAGGACAAAGGAGGAGATCATACCGGTGCCGTTGGCGATGCGCGCTTCAATGGTGATTTTGCCAAAGAGGATGAAGAAGTCTGTCCAGAGTTGGGGCGCGTCGTAGCGTTTGGCGTAGGTGAATTCGGCGCCGAGGGGCCCGAAGGGGATGTTGGCGTAGTTGGAAATGGTCCAGTTGGTGGGAATGGAGGTTTGTTTGGTGAAGTCGACGCTGTAGGTGCTCGTTGGAAGGCCTGGGTCGGGAGGACAGGCTCCGGTGTCGTTTTTGATTGGGTTGCATGGCCAGAATTGACCGTCTGCCCTTTGGGCAGAGGCTGTGGCTGCGAGCAGGCAGGCACTAAGGGCTACTGTCAAGATATGCATGTTTGTGCAGTGGGGTGTGGATGGGATATCGCTGAAGCTGATGTGCGTGGCAAGGCTGCATGACAAAGGAGGCATCTAATTCTCCACTATACGCCCCAACTCCGGAATGATGGAACAAAGACAACTCACGACTGGGTAGCACATCATCGAATTCGAAGTCCCACTGTTGATAACAGAGTGATGTTTGCATGTTATACACATACCTTCTAGACGAATAGCGGTCTACTCCTCCATGTCATCGTCCTCGCCAGTCTTCTGCATCTTTTCCACATACTCCGTGGCCAACGTCTTGACCCTCTCGGCATTCTTCTCACCACCCTCCTGCTCCTCAAACTCCAACCACTTCTTGAACAGATACTTCGCTCTTCTCTTCTTCATCTTCTGCTCCGCCATCCGCTGGTACAATTTGCGAACCCTCTCTACAGCCGCATACTTGGCGTCTTCAGACTCCGCGTGAGAGAGTTGCGAACGTTCCAGATCGGCCCACATGTCCCAGCCCGAGTGCCATTTCGGCCACTCCGTGACGAGACCCTCGAAAATGGTACGACCGCGCTCTGCGTCGCCTCCTTTGGATCGATACTCCAAAGCAGCAAATTTGGCAGTAAGGAGACGATGTTCGTTAGTTGGGACCGATTGCATCGCCTTTGGCAGAAGAGCGCGAGCACGGTCAGGTGCCCGACGGCTGTCCATGAGAAATGAAGCGTAGTTGAGCCAGATGTCTGGACTTGCGCGGAAGGCCTTATTTCCGACAATTCGCTCGAATACGGCGTCGGCCTTGTCGTGCTTGCCCGAATCGATGTAGATCGACGCAAGCTTTTGGTGCATTTCCAGTGAATCCTGCATCTGGCACGCTTCCTTGAAGACATCGTCAACGCTGTCGTCATCGCCGTACTCCACTTCCAGGTTCAACCAGGCAATCCAAACGTTGGCCTTTTCGTCCGTTTCGCGGATGGGAATAGTCTTGAGAGCCCGCTGAGCAATTTCCCGAGCCTTCTCCGTCTCGCTTAGTTGAAGTTGGAAGGCCATATATTGGATCCAGAGGCCGGAATTGTTTGGCTGCCCCAAGAGCTGTCGCTCGAAATCGCTGACGCTTCTCGGGCCATATTTATCGAGGTCGCCTGTCAGGTCTTCCTTGATCTCCGGCTTGTTGCGCTTCCGCTTCTTGGTCGTAGCAGCTTCCGGCTCAGACTCGTAGCCACCACCACTGACATTCGAGTCGAGGGCATTGCCGCTCCAGTCGAAGCCGCTTGTCTTCAGTCCGCTTGTCGACTTTGCGGGTGGCTCATCATCGACATCCATATCGTCCGCATCAATGGCATCGTCCTCGCTTTCAAAAGTTGCGATATCGTCCAGGTCGACACCACCCTCAGCATCTGATTCATCCTCGCCGTCGAGTTCCACGCCGTCCATTTCTTGGTCTTCCTCTTCGCTCTCTTCCTCGTCTTCTGGACCTTCGTTGAAATAGCTGGCCTTCAGACCGAGACTGATCTTTCTGCTCTCAGTGTCAACGTTGAGGACCTTAGCTTTGACAACATCTCCAGCGCTGTATAGCTTTCGAACGTCCTCCACTCGCCTGGCCGCAACCTCGCTTCTGTGGCACAATCCGGAGAGTTTTGGATGGGTGTTGTCGATGTCCACGAACGCTCCAAAATCTTCCACTTTTCGAACCTTACCAGTAACCACCATGCCAGGCTTCAAGCTGCTGATGGTCCAGGGTGGTGTGTATTTGCCGTCCACATGCGACTTCTTCAAGCTTATTTGGATCTGTTTGGCCGCGGGATCGACAGACAGGATACGGCCTGTGACAAGCTGGTCAATTTCGTACATGCTCTTCCAGTCCTTGACGAACTGATCGCTGAGATCCGCGATCCGCACAAGGGCATCAACGCGAGCACCCAAAGAAACAAAGACGCCCTTGTCGGCAACCTGCTTGACGAAACCGCGGATAAGATCTCCAGGTTTCACTTGACCCACGTCTGTGACTGATGCATCCTTGACAGGCAAGCTTGAGCTCAAGACTTTGGATGGTCGCAGACTGAAGAAGGCCTTCTTGTTTGGCACATCTACTGCTAGCACACAGACACGAACAATGTCATTCTTCTTGTACTGAGCAGGGTTGACCTGGTCGTAGTCGTCGTTGAGTTCCACAAGAGGCACGGCACCGGAGATGCTGTCCGAGATCTGTACATGTACCAAGCGTTCAGATGATTTTGTCACTCGTGCTGCAAGTACCATGCCAGGTGTTAAGGCTGTCAGCGAAGTAGGCTCGCTGGATTCATTCAGTCGTGCTGTCAGGTCGAGTCGATTGGAATTCACGTCGACGCTCTTGACTTTGACTCGCAAAGCACAACCGACCCGGAATCGATTCTCGACGTCCTGCAATAGACCAGCATCGTCCGAAAGATTCATGAGCGCAATCCTGCCTCGAACAGCCGGCGACAGGTTCACCCAAACGCAATTGTCGCCATGATTGTTCACAAATGCGAGATGTGAAGAGCCAGGCTTGACTGTGTCCAAGCTCAAAAGCGACTCATCTCCCTTCTTGACCCTGGATGCTTTTGCGGAAAGCTCGAAGACTGGGACCTTACCCTGCCGATGGCTGATCGGCAAAAAGCGGTGACTGCGAGCATCGTGAATTCCCAGGAGCTTGAGGTCGATGAAATCACCTTGTTTGAAGTCTTGCAGTGGAGCACCCTTGTTTGCGATCTCGTCCCACGAATCGAAAGCCTCGCTGACGTCGACACGCCCTTGGATATTGTCTGCCAGACGAACGTTGATTTGAGTAGACTTGATAGTGTCGATACGTGCTTTCACAACCTTGCCCAGCTCAAAGTCAGCCATGGACTTGACTGACGAGTCTACAGCGTCGATTACAGGTTCGCCATCTGCTGACTTTGTTGCAGGACGTGGATTGGCCGCAGTCTGCTCTCTCATGGTGAGTACAAAACGCTCGGTGGTCGCGTCGGTGCTGGCTACCCAAGTCGCTATCGTCTGGTCTTTCCTCAACCCGAACGTGGGTTCCGCAAGCATGTCTGAGGGGACTTGGGTTTTGGGTAGCAGACCAACAACGCCATTGGCAAACTCAACGTAGATGCTCTCGGGAGTGATATTCCTCACAAATCCGTGCACCTTCTTGCCTTGTTGTGCTTGAGAGGGGGCCCTAATGAGCCTCTCGGACTTGGCGTCTTCTACCATACCAGGCTTGTTGGTCAATACCAAAGTGTGGCTTCGCTCAAGTTTGTCGAGCACAAGCAGGTTTGCAAGTTTCTGGCCAACGCGGATGCGCTTCAGCTCCTTCTCAGCCTTGGACGCTGAGCCGTCTGTGAGATGGCTGGCTTTGATAGTACCCTTGAGGCCGTTGTCCAGGTCGACCGATATTCCGTCAGCTGTCTTGCCAGAGACGGTCGCAGTGACAAGGTCGCCGCCATCGATAGACTTCCAAGCCTGTTGTTGCTCCGGCTCAAAGACGCTTTCATCCCTGCAGGTGACCTTCATTTCGTCCTTGTCAGGATCGACCGAAAGGATCCTCACGTTCACGGTCTGGCCGAGACGGAAGTGGTGCTCTGGATTCTCCACGTAAGTGTTGCTCATCTCAGCAACGGGCAGCCAAGCTCTCAAGTGGCCATAGAATTGGACTACCGCGCCATTCGACCGCAGGTTGATGATGGTGCCTTTGCCCTCCATGCCTGGTTGAAGATCTGCATAGTCCTTCCAGACCAATGCATCGTTCTCGACAAGCGATTTCTTGAGCGTCAACCGCGCCTGTCTCTTCTCAGTATCAACAGACAAGACGCGCGCTTTCACGGGAAATCCTTCACGGAACTTGCGCTCAGGGTGCTGGAGCTGAGCATCGCTAAGATGCATTTCCGGTACCAGGCCAGTGATGTTGTCGCTGAGCTTGATCACCACACCAGTGATGCCTTTTGGTCCACCAAGAATGAGTTTGTCCACAGTTCCCTTGACAACTTCTCCCACGGGCAGATCTTCAAGGCGCAGGAAGGTTTGGTCCAGAACAGATCTTTTCATGGACACGTAGTACGTGTTATCGACTGGGTTGTACGCCAAGATTCGCGCATCATGAACGGTGTCAGGTTTGTATAGGCCCGTCTCCGAGAGAGTTTCTGTGTGCTCGTCCGAAATCTGTGAGATGTGCGCAAAAGCCTGAGCTTCGAGACCTCTACGACCGTCTTGAGCGAGTGTGAAGAAAAGCCCTCTGTCGGCGGATATACGGATGACCTTGGCCTTAACACTCGAGGAAAGCGGGAGCTCCTGGGCGAGACTTGCTGATTCCGCCTTCAATGTCGCCGTGGCGTTGACGGGCAATTTCGTGGGTGGAGCTGTCAGGGCCAGATTGTGTTCCAGGAATGATGCACCTACTCGTCGCGAGCCATCATCCTTCGGTACTGCATAAATTATGCGAGCCTTTACTTTCGAACCCACTTTGTACTTCTTGCTCATATCATCCTCACGCGCGGCTCCAGAGTGCACGATATCAGCAGTGACATCCAGCATGCCCATGACCTTGCCGGCAACACCTTTTGGACCAGAGTCGACCACCAGCATCTCGACCGCAGTTCCAGGAAGGAAGGCGTCCACTGTAGGCGCCTGAGTGAGCGATGGTGGCTTTCCCTCCTTGCTGGTAACGGTGAACTTGTTTGGATCCGGGCAGAGCTTCAAGACTTTTCCATTACTTCCCTTGCCAGTGACGAGACAGAGCATAACCTGGCCTTCCTGTATCTGGTCCAACTGATAGGCCGAGCCCAGCTCCTTCTTGCTCACAAAACCTGTGACGGTGTCGTCAGGCAGTCCAAGGTCCATGACGATACCACGATCTTCCACGCTTCTAACAGCCGCTTGAATTGTGTTGTTGGGCACAAAATTGTCCTGCTCGAGCCCGCCGTTGACTTGGCTTGGGTCGATTGACAGCTCGATGTGCTTCTTGCTCTTGCCGCTGGTCTCCGTGCCCATCGCCGTGACTGTACCTCTCAGCCACTGTCCCGTGTGTACAATCTGTTTCAGGTCGATATCTTGGTCGTCCTCGCCATCGTCCTCAGCTGCGGGTTTCGCATCGTCGGCCAGCACTCGTTCGATACGTGCGGTGAGTCGCTCGGAGATGGCACTGATTGGAACGTATCCGGTCAGATTGTTGGGCAAAGCAAGCGCCACATCTTTGCTTGTGACAGCGGTCACTCGGCCCAAGACTGAACTTCCAACGGCCAGGTTCTTGTAGCTCAGGCTCTGTATCCGAATCCCGGAACCTTCGATCTTCTTGATCACATCTTCCTCATTCTTGCGGCTCTTCTTCTGCTTCTTCTTTGCAGGGGCCTCTTCATCGAAAAGTCCTGCATCCTCTTCGTTGTCGGCCTTTCCACCTTCTTGTTCAAACAGAGCATCCCGCTCAGCTTGCACTTGAATCTGTTTCTGCTCCAGTGCAGTCAAGACGCCTCCACCGCCTCGTGGAAATGCGCTCTCCTCCTGCTGCAAGATTGAGCTCAGAGCTGACTTCTTCTCTTTCTTCTCTTTCCTGTCGCCATCTTGCGACTTTCGTGGAGGCTTCTTTTCTTTTGGCGCATCCTGCTCATTGACATCAACAGCCTTTGCCTTCTTGCTCGGCCGCTCGTCAGTGACGGCCTTCCTCTTCAGGGGCGCCATGGTGGGTGTGGTAGTCGAATGTTCGCAAGAAGCGACTTTCAATTCCCGCCGACACTTTCTGCGGCCGAACTTTTCGAAGAATTCCACCGGCCCACACGGCCCAAGCTCGCAAGCTCCCGTCGGCCCGCTCCATCCCTGCGCATCGGGCCATATCACTAGCGCGTTCTCTTCACGCGTGCACTCTACGCGAAGCCTCCATTCTTCGCCTCTCTTCTGCACCGTCCGGCTTCTGCTCTGCATTCATGCGTTTGTCCGTTCCTACGTTTTAGGTGCGAGGCGACGCAAGCATCTTCATATCACCATGGCCGAGGCTCCGCCTGCATCATCGCAGGACAGTATCTTCGAAAAGCATCAGATTCCTGTAGAGAAGGAGAACGCCTCATCGCCGCTGGGCCCGCCGACTACCAGGGCCAGTAGCCTCTTGAGCAGCCAGAAGGTCAGAAAACCGCCGACCGTTACCCCGAAACGCTTCAACAAGTTCTTCACGCCCAGAAGCACCCTCTCCTGTCGAGGTGGCCGCACGAGCAAGGCCGGTCGACAGCTCCAGGACATCACCAGGAATGGCGCCAATCGCCGTGCCAAAGGCTTGATCACTCGCGATGAGTTCCATGCCGACCTTCACGACAATATCCATTCGTCGAGGCCGCTCAAGCGACGGAAGTTCTCCACTGATCTCCCGAGTTCGCCACCGCAGTCCTCACCACTGAAGCATATTCAGACCGTCCCTCTCGACGAGGCTCCGCTGTCACCAACTCTATCTGAAGCTGAAACGCTGCCGGATCTTTTAAACGAGTGGAAACCATTTCCCAAACCCATTCGTCGCCTTCCGGAAGCAGGAGGATCCAGACGGATCCTGGAGCGGAGCTTTGGAGGATACAATGCAATCTCACGGGGCATCAGACGAGCAGACCATGGTGCAGACCCACGTGTTGAGACTGCCAACTTCGTGACGACTCCGACTGATTTGCACACCTTCCGAGGCGCAGCGTTGCCATTTTGCACCGCTGCCTGCAACACCAACTCGCTGGTTGCTGTCGGAGACGAAGAGGGCAGTGTTCGTCTGATCGACTCATCCCCCTCTGCCCAGTTCAACGCCTCGCATGTCAAGTTTCGTGTACATCACAACGCGGTCATGGACGTCACCTTCTGCTCTGACGATTACGTTCTCGCTACCGCCAGTGGCGATCAAACCGCTCGAGTCGTCGACATGCAGTCTCAACAGACTGTATGCATTCTGTCTGGTCACAAAAGCAGTGTCAAGCAAGTTCGATTTCAGCCCCACGACGACAACATGATCACCACCAGTGCCCGCGACGGGACTGTGCAGGTTTGGGACCTGCGCTGCGGCGGCAAGTCAGCTGTGCAGAATTTCCGCACTTCCATCGGCCAGCAAGTGGATGCAGACGGCAAGGTGCAGCCTGAGACGCGCTATAGCCAAGAGCTTCATGTTGGCTACGGTCATCGCTCATCCAGTCGACCCTTTGAAGCCGACCAAAAGAACGAGCTATCCATCACATCGTTCCAACACCTGCCCCACGGCCGTGAGCATCTCATCCTCACGGCTAGCGAAGTGGACGCCTCTGTCAAAGTCTGGGATTTACGGAACGCTGGTAGGAGGAGTCCTGTGCCACTCTCAAGCACGCTTCTACCCGAATCCCATTCTGCAAAACGTCATTACGGCATCAACACAATGGTCCTTTCAGGCGATGGTGCACGTCTCTACACGGCCTGCAGAGACGCCACAGTATATGTGTACTCTACGAGCCAGCTTGTCCTCGGCCATGCGCCTGAGATGTGCTCGGGCCCAAGCAGACGGCGCATGCTCAAGGAACCCAAGACTGGCCTTGGCCCCTTGTATGGCTTCAAGCATCCCAAGCTTCGCCTTGGCAGTTTCTACATCAAAGCATCACTTCGGCCAGCCAAGGACGACCGTGGCGAAATTCTGGCGGTAGGAAGCACAGATCGAAATCCGATGCTGTTTCCAACTGATGAGCGGCATCTACCACGTGGTGGACGGCCGCCCATCCCTGATATTGTCGACGAAGACGACGAAGACGAGCTGCCATCTCTACCACAGCCACCTGTACAGCGCTCGCCTCTTCCGTCTACCCACGTCTTCAACCACGGCACCCCACTTGTGCGAGCACATAGCAAGGAGGTCACCTCGCTTACATGGACCACAGATGGCAATTTGATCTCTGTGAGCGACGACTTCTCGGCCCGCTGTTGGCGTGAAGATGCACCGAAAGCTCGCGAGTTGCGAAAGATGGGAGAAGTTGGTGGAGGTCGCTGGCGGTCAGGATGGGCGCCAGTCGAGGCAGACTGGGATGAGGAGGATTAAACGTACAGAGGATTCAAATGCAGGCGCGATGTTGCCCACCGACTATGCTGAGTTTGATGTAGGCTGATACTGTGGTTGGATGTTTTCACTGATCGAGACATCCTTTTCCAGCGCAGCAATAGCTAAACAATGCACAAAATTATGTGCATCAACTCTCACACGGCTTCAAAAATTCATTACACAGCAGCACAATATCTGCCACAGCAGCACAACATCTGCCGTGTTCGTTGTCCACCCGCGGCACGTGAATCCAACTTCCCCTCTGCGGCAGGATGAATGATCGACACGGTCGACGACAGTTTAGGTGGTTGCATACCAGGTAACCAAAGTGTCCCACTCGCCACGCGCGAACCTCCAGCTAACTTGTTGCACTATCCCTTCACTTTCGTAGACACGACTCTGAACTCTCATACAGCCTTCGCGACTTCCTCCCCTCTCGCCATGGCCGACATCAAATTCCTCCCCACCGACTCGCCCAAAGAAATCGAAATCGCCACGCCCCATCCAACCCTCAAACTCGACAAACACGGCCTCCCCCTCCAACCCCAACCCAGCGACTCCCTCTCCGACCCCTTAAACTGGCCATGGCATCGGAAAATCTACGTCGTCCTCCTCGTCTCGCTCCTCTCCTTCATCGCCCAAGTCGGCGGGGCCCTCTTCAATCCAGCCCTAGTGCTCATGGCCAAAGATCTCGGAGTCACGGTTGAGCAGGCGAGTTATTGCACGACGACGTATATTTTGTTCGGAGGCGTGCTGAGTATGTTTGTGGTGCCGTATGCGAATGTTTATGGGAGGAGGGTTTGCTATGTTATCTTTACGATCGTCGGCGCTGTGGGGGCTTTTGTAAGTGCGGCTGCGCCGACGTATGGGGGAATTATTACTGGGAGGTATGTAACGTTGCTTGGTTTTGTTTGCATGCAGATGGGGATTGAGATTGACTTGCTGGCAGAGTGTTCAATGGTATCGGAACAAGTGTCCCACTGGGCATCGGAGCCGCCTCCATCTGCGACATCTTCACCCAAGGCGAACGAGGTTTCTACATGGGCATCTACACCGTCAGTGTCACCAATGGCCCTCATGTTGCTCCCATCGCCGGCGGATACATCGCTGCCAGGCTAGGCTGGCGATGGTGTTTCTGGATTCCCGGCATCATCCAAGCGGGTCTCTGGGTTCTGGTGATACTCACTCTACCGGAAACGCTCTTCTCCCGGAGGGACCATTTGCAGGTAGAGAACAGAAGCTACGTTCAGAAACTACTCTTCCACGGCAAGGTGCTCAACCGTAGAGTCAGACCGAAGGACTTCATCGGCTCTCTGCGTATGACCAAGTACCTGGCAGTTGTGCTTCCGTGTATATGGTACATGACCAACAATGCATACGGCAGCATTCTCTTTGCCGTGACGGGAGCTCATCTCGGGACATCCATTTACGGCTTCAAAGTCGAGCAAATTGGCCTGTTCCTTGGCGTTCCCTTGACAGTCGGATGCTTCCTAGGCGAGGCGACAGCAGGCTGGGTCAGCGATCGGATCGTCACCTTGGATGCCAAACGTCGCGGCCGAGATCGCAGACCAGAAGCTCGACTTTACCTTCTCCCTGGCTGCACACTCCTTGGCATCGGCACGGCTTTGTACGGATACTGCGTTCAGCAACAGAAGCCTTGGATCGTGTCATCGGTGTGCATGGCTATCTCGGGGTAAGTGAAGTCAGATTCTCGAGATCCGATCGTACGGATTCGGCTCTTCCTGCGAACTGATGAGGCTGACTTGTTCTTCCGCAGCTTCGGCACGCAGGTTGGCGTGACGATGGTTTACACGTACGCGACTGATTCGTATAAACCTCAGAGTGGCGAGATCGGAGCGATCATAAATCTGTTCAAATCTGGTGAGTTGGTCGTGTAGCATGAAGAACAACAGGCTAACAACAGGCAGTCTTCGGCTTCACTGTCAGCTTTTACGCCTTACCATTCGGAGAGAAGGTTGGATACACTACAGCATTCTCGGTGCTTGGTGCAATCAATCTAGCACTGCTCATTCCACTCGCGGTGTTGCTCTTTCGCGGCGAGGAAATCAGAGCATGGCAGGGTGAGCCGACTGACCCCTCGGATATATGAGTATCGCAAGGTTCTGCTTTCGGCCGAGTATAGATTGAAACTCACGATGACGGCCTGCAACTTGCCACGGATTCGCTTCCTGCCTCATCATGAACTACGTCTGCAATAGTATAACATGCCCCTCAGATGCCCACCAAGGTATTTGCTGGCCAGAATGCCAGATCACATTCACCAGCGTTGCCGCAACCCCTACCCAAAATGGCAACAGCCTTGTCGACCACGGACCCGGTCCTCAAACAGGCTTATCGAGACTTCATCACAGGCTGCCACATCCTCCACTATCACAAGTAACATCCACCAAACTTCACCTCACCAACCCATCACTGACACGTGCCAGCAGAGTCCTCGACGCCTACGGCCACCTCTCAATCCGCCACCCGCACAACCCAGACCACTTCATAATGTCCCGCTACATTGCCCCCGCAACCATAGCCTCCGAAAACGACCTTATAGAATACCACGTCTCCAACGCCGAACCCGTCGGCCCAACCTCCACGAAAGGATACTCCGAACGCTGCATCCACAGCGAGATCTACAAACGCTACGAAAGTGTCAACGCGGTCGTGCATTCCCACTCGCCTGAGATCGTACCGTATAGCATGTCCGGTGTGCCGTTGAAGCCGTGCTTCCACATGGCGGGATTTCTGGGGACGAGGACGCCGGTGTGGGACATTGCGAAGTGTTGGCAGGAGGGGGATGAGAGAAATTTTCTTGTGAGTAATACCCGGCTCGGGGCTTCTTTGGCAGAACGTTTCGAGGGCGATTCTATTTCAGGACCAGAGCTTGCGGCGGTGTTGATGCGTGGGCATGGCTTGACGGTCCAGGCGGGGAATGTGATTGAAGCGGTGGCGAAGGCTGTGTATACTCAGACGAACGCGGCGATTCAGACGACGGCTTTGGTGACGTGGTCGAGCTATTTGGGACTTGGTGCTCATTCTGGAGATGTGCCCGAAATGGCCTACCTGGACGAAGACGAGGCTGAGGGAGCAGCTGAATTGATGACGGTGTCGAGCACCAGAGCTTGGAGGCTCTGGGCGAGAGAGGTGGAAGCTGCTTGGTTGTATGTCAATAGCATTGCATGATGTAAACAACAGTCTTATGGAGTGTTTCACCGTGGGTTTCAAAAAAGAATTCACTCGGCGCACGGGCCATGCGCACGGCCCGCTTTCATGTGAAAGCACAGAGTGAATGTCGGACGAATTATTTTCGCGCTTGGCTTCCACTAGCTTCCATGCTTTTGGAGAATTGAATTCTCGATTCAGAAAGAAACACTCTGCATCATCGAACAAAGTCGTCACCAAAAGAGGTTCTTCGAGCAAACCTGCTTGCTGTCCGTTCTTTATCCAAAGTTTGTTCCAGACGGCGTCTGGAAAGATATATCAACAGGCGTCTTGAAGCAGATATCTTCACCCTGATATATTCATCACCACCCTTCCGCAACCAGCACCATGGCCCTCACCGCTGCACAGAAAAAAGCGATTATAGTCGCAACAACCCGCCAAAGCATCCAACGCACCATCTCCCCCGCCGCCATCCAACGCCTCCAACAGCAATACACCGACTCGGAATCCATCGCACCCCCTCTCGACCGCCTCCCCTTCCTCGACGAGCAATGCATCTACCGGCAATCCCTCGCCCTCAAAGCCCGCAAGCACATGATTCCGCACAACGGCGACGGCCTCCTGCGCATCGAAGACTACGACAGCGGCACCAACAAGATCGCCGTGCACATCCTCGTCGAGAGCCTGCCGGTCATCTGGCAGGGCACGCCGTACGGACATTTGGATGGGCTGAAGAAGTGTGTCATCTTCGTGGCGATTTCGAAGACGAATGCGCGGCCTAGATTGCCGCCGGATCCGACGGTGCGGTTGCCGGAGTTGACGATTCAGGAGGGCGAGGTCTTTTGGGTGGCGGGGGTGAGTGGGAATGGAGAGCATTTTGTGGCGAAGAGTCAGGATAAGTTGGTTGGGGCCGCTGATGCTGTTGGGCCGGAGAAGAAGTGGGAGGAGTCGAAGTGGGGATTGGTGGAGATCAAGGAGTGTGCGCTGGCGGTGTTGGATGTCAAGGATGGAGCTTGGATCATGTGTGATGCGGTTCGAGAGAATTAGGGGCTGTTGGTCAGTCCAGGGTATGGCATATTGAGGACGAGTGTGTGGGCGGGAGGATGCTTCTCCTCAAGTCCGACAGCGACCATGGACTTCATGCTGGCGATTGAGAAACAGTGGTTCCAGGATATTCTGGGATATCCAATTCGACTGTGGTGGATATTCATTCAGTCGAGGTATGAATGTACTTAGAAGAGTAACGCACAGCGGTTGGAATATGAAATTGAATTGTCTCCTCTTCCTGTCTGTGTGACATTGACTCACGTCCTCGTGTCTGTGTGAACTCAGCTCATGCCTTCAGCTTTGTGTGATCTGAGCTCAGTTCCTCGTGTCTATCCCGTATTAGCCCACGTATCTATCACGCAGAACAAAGACGTGAACATTCACAGGCAGATGATGGAAACAGGCGCTGGCAGCATGTTGGGGATCAGCAGTGCACTTTAAACTGATGTTTCTCTCCAGCTCTCTCAAGGCAACCACGGCGACGACAAAAGTTCGAGTTGGAGGGCCCGTAGATCAGGACGGGGATGGACGCTCATTTAGAATGAGCGTCTCCCCAGAAATCCGAGATGAAGCAAGGCATTGACAGTCACCCCAGTCGTCAGGTCCTCAACTCAACGATGGTGGTAGACAAGAGATTGAACCCTTCTCCCCAACTTTCTGGGATCGACCCAGGCAATGGTCAGATTCCAAGAGAGAGAGTTCCTCGCGAAAGAACGGAGATGGATCGGAAGGCACAATCCTTCCAAGTGCATAGAAAATCGACCGCCCTCTTCCCAATCTCGTAGAATAATTGCTCACGTACATTACAGCACAATCTACCAACCCCTTACACCTCATCAACTTTAATCCAATACAGCCTCTCCTTCTCCACCCGCCCACTCTCCACAGCCTCCAACACCTTCTCCAAATCCTGCTCCGCGTCCACATACCGTCCACTCAACCGCTTACACCTCTCATCCGCACACAGCGCGAGGATCGTATTCGCCGCCAGCTCCTCCGTCTGCCACTGAACCCCACCCTCCGAGGGAACTTCCGCGGCGTACCGCTGTTTAGCATCCACAAAAGCGTCCTTGACCATATCCGTCATGATCTGGCCGGGGTGGACGTTAAAGGTGGTAATTCCGTGCTGCCCGATTTCGGCGGGGAGGTTCTGGTAGAGTTTCATTACGGCGAGTTTGGAGGTGCCGTAGGCTGAGCACCAAGGGATGTCGTGGGCGCCGGCTGCGCTACCAACGTTGAGGAGGATACCGGTCTTGCGGGCGATCATGGAGGGGAGGACGGCGTGGGTGAGGGCCGCGGGAGCTCGCAAGTTGATGACCACAAGCTTCCACCATTCCTCCTCAAAATCTTGCACGTCCTCGAGTTTGCGAACGAGTTGCATGCCTGCGTTGTTGATTAAGATGTCGATGGGACCGAGTGCTGATTCGGCGTCTTGGATGACCTTTTTCGCGGCCTCCGGGTCGAAGAGATCGGCGGGAATCGCAGCTACCGGCACGTTGTACTTCTGCTTGATCTCTTCTACGAGGGTATCTAGTCGATCCTTGCGGCGGGCGACACAAGCTACGCTGGCGCCAGCATGGGCAAAGGCCAGGCAACTCGTTCGTCCGATTCCAGAGCTGGCTCCAGTGATGCAAACGACCTTTCCCTTGAGCTTGCCCGTGAACTTGGACAATTCGACGAACGGATAGACGTCGTACTGCTTGGGCAGTTCCGTGTGCGAGGGAATGTTGTTCATTGCTGCGGCTGAGGTCGTCTCGAGGTATCAGAGTCGAAGGCGGTGTTCTGATCACTAATGCTATGGATCCCCCAATGGTCGAAATACACCGTGCCGTTCAATGTCGTCGGTGAGCTGGAGCGAAGGCCTATCTCTCAAGAATGAGAATTGTTGGAGGAATCCCACAGCCCTTTAAGTACAATGCCCGCTCGCATCAATTGCGAAGCAGTCCCTCTTTATGCAGAACCCTTCGTCAGCGAGAGTTGCTATAAGCGGTCATCGCTGCTTACATGTCTCTCTGAGACCTTAGAGGATTCAGATGCAACTGCAGGGTCGGTAACCTCTTACAGACGCCTAACATGCCACGGAGTATGCCGCGTGGTATAGGATCGAGATGCAAGATCAGGGTTGGTATGCTCCGAGGATGCCAACAAGCGAACCGCGTGGTAGAGGATTACACAAGGTCCTGCCTCCACCATGTTTTTACTGCGTCGTCGATAGGGCGTAACTCCGAAGCTACTGCACTGCCTATCAAAGCGACTCCAGAACTCGCACTTCGTTCACAAGAGCAAAGCAAGCTAGCATCCTCCAGCCTCTTTTAGGAGCCCGGGGCTAGAATAGGGCAAGGATCTGACCCACTTCACTTCAAATGCTCCTTCTTCTCTATCACGACCACACAAGCCGCTTCAAACTATATCCAATACTCTCCATATACCCAGTCGCCTTCTTCGCCTCCGCAACGCTAATGACGTCGTGCTCCTGGACCTGGGCGGGTTTGTCGACTTCGATGTGCTGGAACCCTCGGTCTCTCGCGAAGGCGTCGCTCGTAGCTTTGTATATCGCATTCGTAATGCGTTGGATGGTGTCGCTCTCGCTGAGGTTTGACAGGTCTTGATCTTCGTGCTTCGAGGCGACGGATTTCGGTGGCAGGGCCTTGAAGGCTAGGATTCGAGTTTCTTCGACGCCTTCGTCTGGTTTCTTGTTGTTCTTGTCGTCGTCTTTCTTGCCTGCTGCCTCGCTCTCTTCATCATCCTTCTGATCTTTCTCATCATGACCCTCATCAACAACGCTCAAACTCCTCGTATTTCTCCTAACCATCCCCTCGCCCTCAGCTTTAAACCGCACAGCGAATCCCACATTCTTCTTCTCATCCAAATGAGTCTGACCAAGAGCAGTGGTAATGTACGTCCCCCGCCAAATTTCATTGATATCAAGAAGTTCAACCTTCTCAAAGCTGCCCACTTTCTCCGTATCCCAGTCAAATCGACAGAAGTAGAGAGCCTTGCCAGTCAGCAAAAGCACGCACTCCTCGAATGGCAGAGTCCGTAACGTGTTACTTTGATGCGGCGAACTCAACGTCCAACCCGCAAGCAGTTCGTCCGCGCCGTCTTCAAGCACGATCTTGACGCACGTATCGATGGCGTTCTGTCGAATGTGTTTCATATCCAATGCATAATCCTGCGACATCATATCCGTCTCAAACTCCTCGAATACATTCGGACCGGCATTGCCAAGCCAGTAGTCGATATTCGTCTGTAGGAAATAGTCCCCAAAAATGTTGTTATAGTACCGAGTAAGAGTCAGGCTGAAGTCCGACAGAGCACCAGTCCAGTTCCGTTTCCTCGTCCTGGTGAAGTCGCCCTTGAGAGCAGAAGTGCCAGCATACTGTTTACTAATAGCATCGCCATTATCCGCCCAAAGAGTATTGAACCACTGCGTCTTCGGATCGGCCTTGAGATCGATGTTCAATCCCAATTCAGAAAGCTGCTGCTGCAAAGCCCAGCCAGCAATCGCCGACTGCACGACATTCGTTCGATCCAAGCAATCCATGCAGTTGGTCCTGAGAACACCTGTTTGCTGTCGTATGTTCTTGTCGTTCTGCTTCACCGCCCAGCCGAAGCTGTTCAGCTGTCCCTGTAAGGTATCCATCAAGATCTGAACATTCTCGAATTTCATGCCTTTGCATTGGGCATGGAAATCGAACCACTCCCAGCCGATCTGTTTACCGTATATGCCGCCTTTCTCGTTCACTTGCTTCGTGTGCTTTTCGAAAGCCTCTCCGATGGCTACTTCTGTGCCATGCTTGTCGACAAGACATGCCACTTGGACGTTGCCGTAGCGGTTGAGCACAGACTGGAAGTGCTTCTTAAATGCAGCTTGGTTCGTTGCCTCTGATCCGAACAAGACGGGCATTGGCTTGAAACTGTAGGGACTTTGCGAGAAGAAGACTGGAATCGATCCTCGCACCTGCAGCAGTGAAAATGCCTTGTCTGACTCGCTCCAGGACTGTGAGGACAAGATCTGCTCCGTCTCGACGTTGTTCGCTACTGCTCCCTCGTCATCAATCCCCCGACGAAGATAACGAAGCCCAGCTCGATTGACCGACCGTCGAGAGATAAGCGTCAGAAGAAACTCATGCTTGATAGTCTCCTTCTCGGTCTCCTCGGGTTTAGAGCCCTCCTCTTGAGCCTTGATGACTTCCTGCGCATCCTGCGCCGCCTCAGCTACCACATCATTATCCGTACCTTCAGTCCTAGCGATCGAAAAAGCACGCTGTCCTATGAATCCTTGCATGAGTGGAAGGATAAGGCTGTCCTGGCCAGCGTTCATGAAAGGCTTCACGAGGTGATGATTCCAGAAGTACAATCGATCGAACAGTTTCCACAGCGGCAGCGAGGAATTGATTTGGCTCCTTTGGGCTAGTGTCCCAGATATGTCGTGGTCGTAGGAGAAGTAGAATCCGCTGCTGGAGAAGTACAGCCTCGCGCTTCTGAGTATTCTCGGCGTCAAGTACTCGATGGCACTTTGTTGCTTGACCACTTTAGACTCTGCCTTCTTGTCCTCATTTCCCTCGACGTCCTTCTTCTTATCCACTTCCTCCTTCTTCCCGCCGTCTTTACCCTCATTCCCCTCAGCCATCGCCTCCTCAACCTGCCTCTCCTGCTCCCTCGTCAACTCCTCCTTTCCCTCGCCCTCAGCACCACCCTCAGCACCACTCCCCTCCTGCCTCCTCACTTGCTCCTTACTCCCATTCCGACTAAACCACCGTCCCGCCATCCGTCCAAACTTCCCCCTATCCTGCACAACATTCCTCACAAACGTCGAACTCCTCTTAACAACCCCTCCCTTCGGCGGCTCCAACGCCGCCGCCTCTCCCTCAGGACCATGTTTATGATCCGGGCCTTGTTGTTCATCTGCATCAACGCTCGCGATGGTCGACGTATCATCTCCTACATCCTCCTCCTCTTCTTGTCCTTCCGTCTCTTCAACCTTAGCCTCCCCCTTCTTTTCATTCTGCTTCAACAGCTTCTGTGCCTCCCCAATCGCCCTCTCGGCCTCCCCTTTCCCCTTCAAAGGAATCAAACAAACATCTTGCACACGGAAAATAGCCTTCTCTCGAATCCTCGCAACTTCCTCCCGTCGCGTGATCGTCACCAAATAACTCGAGCTTACAAGATCGAGAAGACCGACAATCCCGTGAGTCTCCAATCCATTGTCGGAGCTATCGTCGGGTTTCTTGTTTAACGTGGTGATCTTGTTCGTGCCGTATTCCACGTGTACCCCGCCGTTGTCGACGGAGGAACTTCGTTGACCGGTGGGTTGCAGAAAGAGGCCGTCGACAGAGGCGAAGATGAGGAGTTTTTTCGCGAGGCCTGGCATCTTTAGGCCTTCTGGGAATTAGCTGAGTTGTCCTCGTGGGGACATGGTGGTGGATCGTTTCCAGGTTGTTGGAGCTTCGAGATCTACCTCCAATCCAAGTTGCTGATCATTCATGACGTATGGAAGCTGCACGACTGACATGTGACGATCCCGCCAAGCAAGATGTATTTTCATCACAACGATTAATCGATCATTCATACACTATTCTGTCATACTATTCAGAGAGTCCAATTCGCATCATCGTACAATCTGTGCCTGGTTCACTGTTGAAGCCCGTCTCGGCGTCAACCTCTTAAAATACCTCCTCCAACCGCTCATCCTCCCACTTCTTTTCGCCGTTCGCGACTTGGTCACGAACCTTCCAGTACTCATAGTTGAACAGCCAATAATCTTCTCCCGTGATAGGGTGCTTGGCTTTGGTGAACCAACGAGGGGCGAACTCCTCGCCTTTGGCTTCGCGAATGCGGCGACGAGCACGTTGTCCCTCTTCGACACGATTCTTCTCAGTCGCCGCGAAGTCGTACTCGCCCTCTTCCATGGCCCTTTGGTCGGGCCGGAGACGAGAATCGGTAGGTGCGACAACAGGCTTGAGACGATCCGGCAAGTCATTGAGTGTCACCACGAAGGGCGTGACGTTGAATGGGATCTCGCCAGGCGGCGGGCGGTAGTGAGCTTCCCAGACCAAGAATGCCTGGTTAGACTTGTCTTTGCCCTCCTCAGGCGGTCCCACAGCCGCCTCGTAGCCAGGCGTGAGACGCGCGTAGATCTTGTCATTCCAGCGTCCGCCCATGCTCCATCGGGTCCTGCCATCCGCATCGACAACCTTGCCAGTAACTTGGAAGGCTGACGAAGCTTTCCAGCCCTTTGCCTTGAAGTCGAGGTAGCACACTTCGCCGGTCGTCCAGTTTTTGACCTCCATAGGCCCATAGTTATCGACAACTGGGTTGCCAGTGATGATGCCAACCACACTCGAAGTCACCTTCTTCCATGTGTAGAGCTCTTCCGGTGCTCCATTTGCGGGACGAATGTGGAGAAACCATGTGCCAAGTGGGTTGAACTCGAAAGACTTGCCGTAGAACTTCGACTTGACTGCGCTCTCTCCATAGTAGGTCCACTTCGGCGATTCTGCATAAGCAGCACCAACAGGTGGATGATGCGAGACTTGCTCGATGAAGAAACGGTAGCCAAGATCCGGACGGACATACTCGTAGGTTTCTCCCAGCAGAGGGTTGAAAGGCTTCGCAACACGTCCAATGGTGCTAGCATACTCGGATGCCGCAAAGCCTGCAACGTATACGAGACGTTCGGTAGAGTCGTGGCGGTCGGCGGCGATATCGAGAAGGTCGGTGTACTCCATGTCCTCCACGACACGGTACAGCAGAGAGGTGGGCTCGTTAAATGACACCGGCAAGGTCATCTTGGTCATGTCCTTGCCAATCATGGACTTGAGAATGCTCTAAGACATTATTAGCGAATGTTGTATGCAGCAACATAAGTTTCACTTACCCAAAGTGACACCTTCGGCCGGTTGTCAGCGTCAATCTTGTACCTCTTCCTGATACCGTCTTCGTAGCCCTTGTAGGACTTTGAGATCTCCATCTCCTTCTGCTTTCGCTCCGACTCGACTGTCTCGTTCACACCGTCGAGAGCAGCCTCCATGACAGGCTCCACTTCCACTTCAGGTGACTTGATAGGTGGACTAGGCATCTCTTCCAATATCTCTACCTCGCCGGCGTCAACTGCATCAAAGAACTCTTCCTCGTCCTCAGTCTCATCGTCAGAGATTTCATTGTTGGTCAACTCTGCTATCGTGGCTCTTCGCTGGACCTTGGTAGCTTCGGGTGGGATGTCGAGCAGAGCCTTGGAAGTAGTCTGTTCGCCGTTCGGCTGAGGAGTCGACGCCTGAGCCGAAGCAGAGAGTTGACCATCGAGAGCCTCCTTAAGTGCTCTCTTGGTTCTCTTCCGCTTGTCTTCAGACTCGCCGATACGGTTCTCCAACTCTTCTTGCTCACGCGCAACTTTGGCCATGCTGTCTTCCCACAGCCGGCGGATATTCTGCTCTCGCTCTACCCGGTACTGCCAGTAAGCTTCGTGATCGCGACTAATCCGTAGAAGATCCATGAGAAGACCCTTGAGGTTTCCGACAGCAGTTTCGTAAGAGGCCAGCGCCTGGTCGACAGTGGCACTACCAACTTGCAGTTCCGGGTTCTTCTGTCTTTCGACTTGGAGTGCTGCAGACACTTGCTCAAGAAGATCAAGCTGGAGCTTAGCAGATTGTGCCGTGATGCTGAACGCATCCTTGTTTGCTGGTCGAACCTCATGACTGCTAGCATCATCGCCATATTCGTCATCGTCATCTAGATCACCATCGATGTTTGTCGCTGTATTGGTTCGGCTGATCGTCCTCAGATGCCCAGACGCCGCATCGGCTTCGCTTTGCGCATAACCGCTCAATTGATCGCCAAGTGACGTGCCTGCAGGTGTCGATTGCCCTGGAGTGCTGAGTCCAACCGCTGTCGCGGGCTTCAGCGAATCTCCACTTGATGCCACATCGGCCTCCCGGGTCCTGAGCCTTTCAAGGTGGTTATGTCGGACATGTTGTTCTTCCTGCTCTCTCTTGTGCTCTTCCTTCGCCTCATCCTTCGCCCATTGGATGGCATTGTTCAACGCCCAGAACCATCGTTTCGCTTCGACTTGATGGTTCGCTTTCAAGTCGTACTTAACAGAGCTCTTGCCGTGAATCTCAAAGTGCAGTTTGTCCTTGGGATCCATTTGCAGCTTAGCAATGCGCATGTTGATAGCGCCTCTGCAAGCACTGCCAGCATCATCTTGATGCTTATAATACGAGAGTACGCCATCCTCAAGCACGAACCACCGAAGCTTGTAGCCAGACGTGTAGTTTGTCCACTTCTTGAGATATCCTTTGATCTCACGGCTCTCTTTGCTTCCTGGTCCTCCATCTGCCGTGGGGATACCTCCCGCTTGAACGCCTTCCCCTAGAATCGTCTTCTCTTGTATCTGCCTTTGTGCAGCCGCAGCCGCCGGCGACTTCTTGAGGATCGCCCTAGTGCGCTCATCTTTCGTGTACTCCTGTGGAAGTTTGCCTTTGCGATCGCGGCGGAAAGGGTCGGCTCCACTGAGGAGCAGTAGTTGTGCGAGCTTGAGATCCTTCTTGCGTGCCGCTTCGTGGAGCAAGCTGCCGCCATCTGCCGCCGTGGCCGGTTCCGTCGCGAGCTCGGGTCCGTTGATGTCGAGGGTGGACTTGACACGGGTGTCATTCAGCAACTGCTCCAGAGTCTCGTGGTCCCCGCCTGCGACGAGCTGGTGGATCTGGCGAACGGTGCTGTCGATGAAGACCGACCTTGCCAGCTGCAGCAGTTGAAAAATTTCCGGATTCCTAGCCACATCCAGCGCTGTCTTGCCTTGATAGTTCGCGAAAGAGTCGTTGATGTCCTTTTGCTCCAGTAATAGCTTCACAACCGGCGCACGTCCCAATGATGCAGCCACGATGAGGGGCGTGTTGCCATCCTTGTCTTTCGCGTTGACGTCCGCATCGCTTTGCGACAGGACGTACTCGATGACAGGTACCTCTGCGCATTGAATCGCCAAGTGTAAGATTGTAGTGCCCTCAAGCTGCCCATCGGCCTTGCTTGCCCTTGCTATTGCCGCCGTGTCTCCATTCCGCAGCGCTTCAAACACCTTGAACAATCGCACGCTCTGCTCGATGGATGCACCCTGGGTCGCGCTGCTCGGGGTAATCGGCGAGGTGTCCTTCGTGGGCGAAGTAGGCACCTGAGCGTTGGACATTGTGGTCGACAGATGCGGGCGATGGCTGGACTGGACGGAGGTCCTGTTGGGCGACAGGTAGGCGCTGCTGCCATTGGCGCCGCCGTCGACAGGACTGGACATGTTGGACTCGGAGTCCTGAGTCTGAGCCGTAGACAAGGATGCGAGGGTGGGCGTTTCTTGCCGACTCGAAATGCGCTGCAGTGCGCGAGTCACGGCGCTCTTTGATCTTTTGTGAAGCCTGCTCGATGACAGCGTCCCGTTAGCAATAGTGTTACCTGGACAGATTTGGTGCTCACGTCACAGGCGGCGGAGTCTGCACGCCGTTGACGCGGACGATGGTGGCACAGAGCGTCGCACGTGGGAGGGCGCATTCGACGGTGCACCCAAGATGTCAAGGAACGAGGGTTGGAAATACTCACGGCGGCGCTTGTGCTTCCGACATCGCGAAGGAAGGATTCCGGGTACGCGTTCGCAACGACCGCGTCTCCTTGCTGGCGAGGTGAACCGTGGGCGCATCCAACGCCCAAACGATATACTATAGCGAATTCCCCCAACTGTGGTTGTTTCTCCGGGCGTGACTGGGATCTTTGTACTGCTCGGCTGGGCCACATGAACCACGACGGCTAATGAAGGTCGCAGGGAGGCGTCTCGCCTATCACACCCCTCGCTGTCGCCACTGCTGCAACTTGACGTCGTCCCTCAGGCTGCTCATCGCAGGCTAAAATGCAAGTGGTAAGTCTATCTCAGGAGCTCCAATCTGCCAATCTCCTGCCTCCATGTGCCGGCAAGCTTCCTGTTCTGCATCTTCGTCCTCTCTCCACCTAATCAGACGTCCACGCCAACGTGGGGTCGGCGACAGGCCGGGTTGGTATCAAAAAGTAGGGGAAGATTTCGACTTCGGCAGCAATTGAGTTCGATGAATACTCGTTCCGCATAGCAGGTGCCATACTCCCAAAAGAAATTCTGAAGATTGTTCCTGGCATCAGAGACTGGGACATCCTTCTCCAATCTTAAGCTCAACCCCAGCAAGCATCCGCATTATCCTGGTTGAACCGCTCGAAAAGGAATATCCCCACGACTGCGGGACCCCTCAGCCACCTGATGCTATGTTCGCAAGCTTGGCCGTTTTGAACAGCTTGGAGATGATGTCTTCATGCCTTCTACGTGAGGCGGCAAACCACGGAAGAACAGTGTTGTTAGAGAAATCATGGTGCAGTCGATGGTGGGCTTAATCTCCCGGAGTTCGGTCAGAAACCGAGGAAGAGCAAGGTGATATGTCGCATTCGAATCTAGCCTGGTACTCTCAATCTTCACCTCTTCAAGTATCGTCCTCAATTTCCATCTTCACCCATGGCTCATCAACCTCGTCCTCGACCTTCGCCACTTTCTCATCCTCACCCTCGCCCTCAACCTTCACGACTTTCTCATCCTCAGCATCACCCTCATCACCCTTCTCCGCCTCAAGCATCTCCTCATCCTCAATCTCACCATCCTCAAAACTGTCCTCAAAACTATCATCCATAGACTCCCCTCTCACAGAATCCCTCATCTGATCCGCCGTAATGACCCCAATACCAGGAACCACAGTCCTCTCCCGTCGGGGACACGGCCGATACTGGAAAGTGTCTCTAATCTTCAACAGCTTCTGCCTCTCCGCGATATCGCAATGCGTCTCCAGGCGGTGGATCTCATGTCGCTCCCACTCGATTTCGTCGCGGCACATGTCGAGGAGTTGGACGACCTGATGTATGAGAGTTAGTGAGCCGTCCAGCACATTGCCCTAGACGAGGACATTCACTTACTCTTTCACGACTCAAGCTCTCAATACCGCCTTCCATGTGTATCAACTCATCCACGTTGAGCACACGCCCCTCGTAGAATTCACTCTCGTCCAGAAGAACCGAGTGTTGGGGATCCCGCGCGGCGACAAACATGCACTCGAGCGAGGGATCCTAAAACAGGCGCAAATGTTAGCGGGTTCAGACTTCCGCACAAGAGCGTCACATGTCTCAACACCGTGCATCAAACCCAGAGGAGAATTATGAGATTGCTACTTACCAACCGAAGCGCAATTTCCTTCACAGACCGCGTAAGCGCGACGTGGAGGTCTTTGAGACTGAAAGGCGGCGAGGTGGTGAAGAAGGTAAAAGTCGGAGTCGTGATGTGTCCGTGGATCCAGAGGTTGAGTTGCTGCTGCGCCGACGAGGGCCTATCTTCCTCCTCTTCCATGTTCGGTGAAGTTCGAGGAAGGTGCGATGGGTCAATGTCGAAAGTCGGATGCCCTTGCGTAGATGGTCGAGTGCTGCTTGATGTGTCAGTATGTTGGAGGCTTCACTTCCGCGGTCAGCGACAGAAAAAGACAAACGAGGAGATGAAGTCGTGTTAGGCGTTTGACGCTAGTACGTGGGCGCGCATTCACATGCCAGCGCTTCACGCTTCTTCATTCACTTCGTGTACCAGTCATTACACCTAGCCTGCAATTTGTCCTCTATCCGTATATCCACCCTGCCCAATCCATGCTGTCGTCGTGCCAAAAGGCCGTATATGCTATGCTTCCAGTTTTCGTCCCTCGCACCTTCCCGTAACGCCATGCCGAAAGTTCCAAACGAGGAACGAACGCTTAAATCATCGAAAACAGTAACAAGGCCGTCATCAAGCAGACTTGGCTCAAGGATATTCGCATGCGTCCATTCGCAGAGTTTTGAGTCGCCGGGGTTTGTGACGACGAAGCTGATGCTGAATCACTACCAGTACCAGTACCAGTGGAGCTTGTGGTGGCCGGAGTACCTGCCGCTCCAGAAACCGTTGACGAGCCCACAACGAGCTGCGACGCATCAGATGCCAGACTGATAGTCGTCCCTGACACAACGACCGCAGACCCAGGAGCGAGCGTCTCGCCACCGATAACGTACTCCGAGGCCGAATTAGCGGTCACAGCAGAACCTCCCACGGTGAAAGTAGGCAAAGACGCAGGAGCTCCAACAGGCGGCGCAGTCACCACAGGCGAGCCTGCAGATGGAAGGCTGTAGGTCGTTCCCGAGACTTCAATGGCGGAGCCGGGAGCAAGAGTCTGGTCGTCTACGACGTATTGATCCGCTGAGTTCGCAGTTATTGGCGAGGCTCCGATTGTTATGACAGGCGCGACAGCAGGAGGTGGAGGTTGGTTGTCACCAGAGGGGCTTTGTCCTCCAGTAGGCTGTCCTCCAGTAGGCTGTCCACCCGGCGGATTCACATCGGGACTCTGCGTCGGTGTCGTGTCTGGAGGACTACCACCTCCCTGCGAGTGTTGATCCGGCTCAGTGGGACTCGTGGGTGTACTCGGGCCTTGCTCAGGCGGCGTAGGCGTAGGCGTAGTCGGGAGAGTGTTCCCAGCCTGCGAATCCTGATCCGCCTGAGGGGAAGTATTGGTGGGAGTAGTGGTAGGGCCCTGCTGAGCCTCTGGCGTCGTCGTAGTCCCTCCACCGTTACCACCACCACCATCCGCCCCGACACTCGAAAGCGTAGTCGTCGACGTAGCTAGCAAGTACGCCTGCGCATTCTGCCAAGTCGCACTATACGCAGGCGCCGCTGTCGTCGTGTTCGAACTCGGACACATGGTAAAGGGACAGCCCGAGTAAGGGGGAGCGAGGTTCCTCCCCATCCAGAGGTGGGAAATGTCATCTGGCGAGAAATAGTCGTTGACAGGGACCAATTGATAGTAGATCCCGCTCGGATCTTCCGATTGCGTCGACGCTGTCGATGTCGGGAGAGGGCTTTCGTGACTTGGTATGGGCACGAACGTCTCCGTGCTGTGGCAGCAGGTCCTGTTTGCGGTGAATGTGGGCAATATCGCATTGTAAGTCAATCTTGTTCCTGCCGCGAGATAATCCGTCGGGTATGTCCTGTCGTAATTCGTTAGTCCTGGACACATCTCTCCCACTCGGTGAACAAGCTTGACTTACACGGTAAGTTTCTCAGATCCATCATAAACAACGCCCGTCACCGTCCCCGCTGCATCGGTATCCGTCCGAGTATGCAGATCAGGACCACTGAAAGTGCCACTCGTGACGAACTGCAAATGATCCGAATTATACGACGTCGAGGTCACAGTTTGATTCGTAATCTGATCGACCGTCACCAGAACCGTCCCGACCGTGACGCGGGAGTATACAGACTTCCACTCCCACGATCTGGCAGTCAGCCACGGCCCAGAAAGGGAAGAGAACGAAGTGGTAGCAGCGCCTGTGACCATAGGCGAATGCCACGAGGTGGTATTCATGCCCAGAAGCGAGGGAAGGAATAATCAAAAAGCGAGCGTGGTTTAGTCAAGTCTTGCGATCGAGTGGCTGGTAGGAAGGAGGAAAGAAGATTTTCCCAAGACGTGGAGTGAACGCGAAAGAGAGCGAGCCTACTACTACCACAGGTACCTTGGTCAAGCCAGTGCAGTCACCAGGCCAGATCCACTGATCCAGCATAGAGACCGGCGAAGGATGCAGATGCTATGTTAAGGCTACCATGACGAGGCCGGTCGCGACACTCGGAGATTTGTGGCATCTGTTGCTGCCCTCCGTCAAACCTAAGTTGCTGGTGGAGTTGACGTCGGCATGCCGCAAAGGTTCACTGCGCCATGTTATTGCCTCGGGGGGTGCCTTCCTAATTTGAGTGCGGCTGAGGAGCACGCCCAGCTGTCTAAACTCTGCACTGGCAGGCCATTTGGCCCGACCAAGTAGCAACTGCGAGTTTCGGAGGCGCCGGCAGTATTCAAGGCCTTCGAGTTCGTACTCTGTGACAACCAGTCGTTTCTAATCAAACGCCTCGTCGTCACTCGGCGCGGGTTGTAGGGCGGTTCCGAGTGTTGACTTGACTTTGTGAAGGAGCAGTAGAGTTGCCAAGCTGGAAAATACTGTTAGCAATTGCAGCTAAGGCGTCGTCCGATTGGTAGGTTTTGACAAAGAGGATACGAGGCATGGGTTGATACGAGCTGCGAGTTGTCGATCGCTTCGCCATCGACTCCATGTGTCGTGGTTCTTGATTGTTTCGCGACCCAGAATCTCATCAGGAACTTCGTCAGACATCGTTCACGCCGACCGCGTGCTGTTCGTGTTTCAAGATGGGCCTTCACAGCATACTGGTGGTCTTCCAGGCTCTCGCGAGTGTGGCTCTTGCGGCTCTGAATGCTTCAGCACCTGCTCTCAGCATTCCATCAGCCCAGGTATGGGATGGAGATGATGGGCAGTGGTCAACGTTCCAGATTCAAGTCGGCACACCACCCCAAACCGTTCGAGTGCTCCCAGGAACTTCAGCCAGCGCTGGCACGGCGCTTTGGGTGGTGATTCCCGTCGGTTGCACTTCAGTCAATCCCACCCTCGAAAACTGCGAGGGCGAACGAGGAGAACTGTTCCAATCTAACCTATCCACAACCTGGTCGACGCAAAACCTCGTGAATAATCCAGATGGGGCGATCTATTCCCTAAACACTGTCGAAGAAGCGGGCCTTGGGCTGTCAGGAAATGGCTCTTATGGATACGACACCGTGACCTTTGGACTCCCAGGATCCGATCTGCCAACACTACACGACCAGCTCGTTGTGGGAATCTGGACGGACGACTTCTTCCTTGGCAGCCTTGGTCTGAGCCCGTACACGCTGAACCTCAGCAGTTTCAACGGGCCCCAGGAGAGCTTGATGGGTGCTCTGGTCAACCAATCTCTGCTTCCAAGCAATTCGTGGGCATATACAGCTGGAGCCGTATACCAAGATCCACCAATTTTTGGCTCCTTGACATTCGGCGGATATGACACCACCAGATACAATCCAAACGGCCTCACCGTCTCTTTCGCCAACGACGAGTTCCGAGATCTGCTTGTTAGCCTGAAATCCATAATCTACGATACGGCTGGAAGCGCACCGTTGCTTGGCCAAGAGATCAATATCGCCATCAACTCCATGGTCAGCGAGATCTGGTTGCCAACCGAAGTCTGCGATGCCTTTCAGCAGGCCTTCAATCTGACTTTCAACGAGCAAGGCCAGCTCTATTTCGTTTCGGAAGAAGCGCATAGATCCTTGATAGCTCAGAACCCCGAGTTCACGTTCTCCCTCGGCCAGGCTGGAGGAATCAACAACGGATCCGTGGATATCGTGCTCCCGTATGCTGCCTTCGATTTGAACCTGACCGCACCGATCGTGGGCAACGATACCCGATACTTTCCCATCAAGCGATCTGAGAACTCCACAACCTACACCCTGGGACGCACGTTCCTGCAAGAAGCGTATGTCATCGCCGACTATGACCGAAAGAACTTCACGGTAGCGCAAGCTCTGTTCCCACCGGCATCGATATCCCAAAACATCGAGAAGATCGTTGCGCCTGGACTTCAGGAAAGTGGGAGTAAGAGTAGCAGCGGCTTGAGTGGGGGCGCCATCGCGGGTATCGTAGTGGGTGTTGTGGTTGGGGTATTAATCATCCTGGCAGGACTGTTCTTATGGTGGAGAAGATCACGGAAAGCAAGATCCTCGAAGCCGAACAACGGTGTCAACCCCCAGAAGGCGGTAGAAGTTGACAGCGACACCACTGAGGTCCGTGAACTGGGAGGATCTGGACCTGTAACTCGCAAGGCAGAACTGGGTGGCCAACAGGTTGTTCCAGGACGCCATGAGATGGAGCCTCAGTCAAAATTCCACGAGCTGGATGGACCAGAGATTCCAGCTGCTGAGCTTGAGGCTGACGTTCCACCACGCGACCAGAAGTGAGGTCTAAACGACATTCGATGATTCAAATGGCCAATCTTCATATTCTTTGTTGCACAAAGATGCCTGCCTCGCGCTCGTGAAGCATATGCGACTTACAATGCCTGACACTGCTGAATAGCCTCATGTTAGGACACCTCTCCATTTTCCAACAAGCAGAGGTGAACATGGCGCCTCCACCAGTATCGAGACACTTTTCAGCAGCGGCAATGTCAGTCGGATCAACAGCAGAAGGCGAATCGAAGCTGACCACGGCTCGGCCTGTGTCTAATCCAGGGCACTCAGGCCTGGTGGACGGTAGGAGCCACAAGGATCGCAGGAGAACCCGAAGAGGCCTTCAGAGCAGGCAGAGAAGTTCGAGAGGAGCTTCGCGGAGCAGATCAGGATGGGCAGAAGCCGCTTGATGCAGTTGACCATGGGTACAGAGCGGCGAAAGACCCCGAGTAGGATAGACGAGCAAGTAGTAGTAGTTGAGCTTCTCAAAGTGTACGCGATGTTCGGCTTACGATATGGAAATCCTTCCAGCATGTTGCGTAGTTTCTCCACAACAACCTAAAGCAAAATCCACTGATACGTGTAGATTCCCGGCATGTGCCTGAAATCGCTTTCGTTGCAGCCAGTCCATGCTATGGTTTGTTTGCGGGTCTGAAAACATCCAAGTTGGCAGCCATTTGAATCGGGATGATTGCTTGAGCGTGCCAAATAATGTCCAAGGACGGCCTCCCGCACGACACCGAATATAAGGCTGTGCGATGTTTGACGATGTTAGTTCTAATCACAAGGCTCTGTTTGTGGTCTGTGTTCCTTCGAAGGACCGGGATGCAGCTTCCTAAAGAGGAATTTTTGCAGAAGGCCCGTGGAAGAACTGTGGAAGCGCATAAAACGCCGATCTACGGCACCCTGGCTGCTTGCTGCGATAAGGTGGATAGGAGACGGGAGACTACATGTTGCGATGGACTCGACGAGGGAAATGTTGAGCATCTTGAACGGGAAAGTAAAAGAGGGTTGCTTGCGGCGAGCACGAGATGGATGCATTGATTGTTAGGGGAAAGTGCTGTTAGTCTTGAGTTTGGGTAAGCCAGATACGCTTTGCAAGGTTCAGGGAGGAATGGGGATTCCTTCCGTGCCTTGGTATTAACGGGGCCTTGACGTGGTTGGAGGCCGACCCAAGTACGAGTGCGCGCAGTTCGTTTTGTCGTCGTCGACTAGTAGAGTCTTTGCAAGATCTGTTGCGGCTGAAAACACATAATAGCTCGCCGTCGTGTCATCAGGCCGCCGCCGCCCTCTGAGCTACTAGCCCGCTCAGCTGCCACCCAGCCTCGAGTTCTAGACCAAAGCGCTGCACATCTCCTCGTGTCGCACGGTGCCATCCCCTCCCGTCGGGTGCAACTCCAGTCGACGAGCCATCCATCGCACGAGAGCGCCAACAAATACGAGACGCGCCCGCTGAAACAATCAATATCGGCACTGCTGCCGTCCTTGCGAACCCGCATCCGTGGTACCGGCGCACATTCACAAGACCACGTGCCCATTCTTCGACGACACTTCTTCTGCCGCCCGCCCTCCGCGACCCCTCGACTCGACACCTGAGCCTTCTAGGACCCTCCACACACCGAGAACCACCTTGAAAGAGTCGTCAAGAAAGAATATAACCGGTTGTCGCATGATTTCGCCTTTTCCCGCCGGCTGAGACACGCGCCCCCCACATACACGGCTACATGCGCATCGATGAAAGACACGGGAGATGAGACGGCGGGCTCAGACATAGGGCTGCATGGCCAGAAGCCTGCCTTGCAGGTCATCTGTCTTGGCCACAGTGGAGGTCCAAGCGAAGAGAATGTCACCAGTTTCCTCGTGCGATCTGTGGGAAGCGAATGGGCCAGAGGGTCGCTGCTAGCTGTTGACGCTGGCTCGCATCTTGCGCCTATAACGAGGATACTGGAGCAGAGCTTCCCAAGAGTTAGTCGAAATAGGAGTGGGACAGACTCGAACGGGAGCTATGAATCGAATGGGAATGGGGATGTTTCGCCGACTTCGCCAGACGAGGAGACGCCGAAGCCAGAACCAAAGACACTCAGTGCGGGTCCATTTGCTGGACTGAAGTTCCCCAACGAGTCGGCGCGAGCGAATGCGCTCCATGTCTTGCGAACGTATGTCTCGACCTATCTGATCACTCATCCACATTTGGACCATCTGTCGGGATTCGCGATCAATACGGCTGCCTTTCACGCCACGTCTCGGCCAAAGACACTAGCTGCCTTACCGAGCACCGTCAATGCGATCAAGGAGCACATCTTCAACGATATAATATGGCCGAACCTGACAGATGAAGACGGTGGAGTGGGGTTTGTGACGTTTCAGCGTCTAAAAGAAGGAGGAGATGTAATGGTCGGTGAAGGTGAGGGAAGAGGCTACATCGATGTTTGCGACGGCTTGGGAGTGCGAGCATTCAAGGTCTCGCATGGAACTTGTACCAAAGGACCCCCGACCCACCATCACAGAGGCAGCATCGCTGGTATCTCGGATTCACAGCCACCTCCGTACAATGGCTCGATCCAAGGGACTTCACAAGACCTGAGCGCGACCAACATGAATCGCTCGCTGTCAATATCGCAGTTACACTCGACGCCAGGGACACCAGGCGGTCAACGACCGAGCTTTCACACCAACCATGCTTCGCCGCTTGTCGCATCGAGTGACCCCTGCGTTGTCGACAGTACCGCCTTCTTCCTTCGAGATGAATTCACACAGCGGGAAGTTCTCATTTTTGGGGATGTCGAGCCAGATTCGATTTCGCTAACCCCGCGAAACAAGATCATCTGGCAAGAGGCCGCAAGGAAGATCGCACACGGCATGCTAGGCGGTGTCTTCATCGAGTGCAGCTACGATGATAGCCAAGCAGATACTCTCCTGTTCGGCCACCTGAACCCGAGGCATCTGATAGCTGAGTTGCAAGAACTGGGAAGGCAAGTCGCGGATGCAAAGGCGACACGAGAAGCTGAGAGGGCAACGAAGAAGAGGAAACGATCTGGTCCCAATGGGCTGGATAACTTCACACGAAATGCAGTCGCACTGCCAGAAAGCGAGCGCAAACGCAGTCGAAGTCTGGCGAACAGGACAGCCTTGGAAGACGAGCGACGGCGCAGCAGTGCTCCAGAGCACAACATGCCTGGGTTAACGGTCCCGCCAACATCAACACCGCCACCTGGAGACGTCAACAATCTCTACGAATTCCATCCTGATCTCGTACGAATGGACGACCTAACAGCCTCACCGCGCACCGTGTCCTTCCCGCGAGAAGGATCTGGCGGTAGCACATCCACAACCCACCAAGGAAACACCAGCAATCACACCAGCACGAACGAACTGCCTCTCAGCGGCCTTCGCGTAATTATAATACACATCAAAGACACGCTAAAGGATGGACCGCACGTGAGCGAGAATATCCTCGCGCAGCTCAATGAGTACGAAGCACGACTTCGAGAGGAAGGCATGGGACTAGGCTGTGAGTTTGTGATCTCCCAGAGCGGTGAGAGTTATTGGTTTTGAGAAACGAGAAAACGAGCTCGGATGGGTCGATGGATGTCTCAGATGCAGATGCTAGGACGATACCCAGGGAGGATTGAAGAGACACGAAGACGACGGTAGCGATATCTGAAGCAGCTCCTCCGTCGAACAGAAAACGGTTTTACGAAGAGTATATGTATCACAGATCAGCCCCCAGCATCCGGCACCAAACCGTGTGTTAGGAAGAGGGGCAGAAAGCGCACACATGGGAAATGGCGTTTTTTGATTCATTCAGGGGCAGGGCAGGGAAAGGGGAAATGATATCCGCGCAAGGGCAGGGCGCATCGGGAAACGGGGGCTCTGAATGTGTTTGTGTGAATAACGAAGTAAGAAGATATTTGTTTTTGTTCTTCATGGAGAGGGGAAATGGAACCACCGCTTTGAGAGTGGGACGTTGTACATTGTGCTGCTGCTGCTGTCTTGGACTCGTTTCTCCCTCCTTCCATTCTCCCAGTCTCTATCATCACCGCTGACACAAGCATGGAGCGGGTTGGGGATCCGTATCGTATCTCGGCTCCTGCGTCCTTCTCCTTCTACGTCGCAGATAAAATGTCGCATCTTGACCCGCACACCGCACGCTGATCACAAGATCAACAGCGTCGACCATGAAGCAGAAGCCGCAAGATTCGAGAATGGCACCCACAAGGTCATCCTGACTACATATATCTCCAACAAGCCCAAACCCAGCTTCCATGCTTCGAATGCATATCCCAGCCTCGGACTCTCCTACACTCCGCTCCGCCTTTTCTCCTCCGCTCTTCTTATAAATAGAGGTATGATCTGTTTGTAAAAGCGAGAAGATGAGAAATATCTGTTACATACCGCCTTTCTGGACTTGACTCGTACGTCGTTCGAAGCCGTTACGTTGCGGTGTGTTATTTTATGGACGACATGAGCCGGAGAAATGATAGGAACAACCATGCCGTTGTCCTGGGAGTCGTGCGCCAGGAGTGCCGGTTGGTAGATGTTCTTGGTCCTTTGCGAATGAACCAACGAGACAACAAGGACAGGTGTTGGTCTTTTTTAACCTGTGTGATTTCTGGCCTGGTCGGTCGTTCCCAGAGACCGGTCAGCTGGGAATGAATGGAAAGTTTGAAGTGGTCTGAGCAGATTGCATGTTCGTATCAACATTACCAACACAGGACAGCACGTGCGGGAGGAAGGAACAGGGCGGAAGGAAGTGAGGTCCTCTAGACACGTGACGAAGGAAGAGATAACAACGTGGTCGAGAAGCAAGATGGGAGACACCAATAGCATGGAGATGGTACCTACCTCACCTCGACCGCCACAGAGGTTCGAGATCGGGAATCTCGGTTCACCTGAGCCAGTAGTGAGCTCGCAAGATCTTGCTGGCTGCTCGAATGGTACTGTACGTAGGAGATAACAACAAGGTCCAACGCTGGTCATCACGTACGGCAAGAAAGGAAAGGATTCCATCTTGCAGCTTCCAAGTCGCCGTACCTTTTTTCTGATTGAGCGGCCAGATCTCACCAGCTTCAGCTTGGTGGTGGAAGCGGGATGGCAAAAGAGTCTGGAACGCTCACAGGGACGAATGCTGACGAGGAGTGACCCTGCGACGGCAGATGGCGAGATTCTGTCGAGGAGGTGTGTTTGGGGAGCTGTCCGATTCGTGGATTGGGGCGTCTTTTCTTTCTTGGGTTGGAGGGTGAGATAGATCCACGGATGCTGGTTGTATGCGAGATGTGCTAGTGGGATTGGTATTGGTGGTGGCGGCGGCGGGGAGCTTCGTTCTTCTTCTGCTGCTGCCGCTCGTTGCTGAGCTGTGCGTATGTGCATAGCCGAAATCTGGTTCGCGTATACAAGTATCGTCGGACTTTTTTCTCGAGCTTTGCGATTTGGGTTTCGATCTGCGAGTGAATTGCCTTTTGCATGTTATCTTCTTCGACATTGCTGGTTGATGGCTTGACTTTGAAATTCATCGAGTCCTGAACATACCAGCTCGACTCGCTTTGTTTTCTCAACGAATCAAGCCGACGACCAGAGTGGCGGGCTTCCTTGACAGGCCTGAAACGCCGTACAAAGCGGAAACGGCAAATGCAGCTGCGAGCAGGGAAAGGCATGCGCGTTGCTGGCGAACGCGGAGAGCGGTGGATACATACATATTGCAGCGCATCGGAGGAGAGACGCGCTGCTGGGCCAACGCGCACGTGAACGAGCTGGATGACTGCATGCGTGAAAGATGGGCAGGTGAAAAGATATGGTGCTCGCCGACGGCTTTGGCGAGGAAGGGTCGGGCTATCTGTGCATATCATGGAACACGGCAGTAGTCGGCTTGCGAAAATGTATTGTACTTTGTACTTGCTGGGGGAGCTTGGCTAGCGGCGTCTTCTGCACAATCTAGCTGGAGGGATCGCAGCCAGTCAAGATTGCGCAATGGAGTTCGTGCTGAGGCCTGCGGGCTGCTACTGCACGACACGAGCAGGAGGGAGGGGGGTGAAGCGAATGGGGTGGCGTGATGGCTGTATCGGTGAGTGTGAGGGTGGTGGACGAGGTGTGCGGCGGTGATATGTGTGGTGTTTGGAGGCCGTCCACCTGCTGAACTGATGCTGGATGCAGGATTGCCCTGCATGCTTGGCATGACTAGAGTGCGGGATTAGTCTCGATGTGGTGCAGATGGATCATGGAGCGGAAGGCCTGGCGTTTTGAGTTGCGAGGCGTGCCGATAGACTTTGGAGACGCGGAGATTTCTAGAGCGAGGGCCGTGGGAGATGGGCAAGAGGTGGTTGTGTTGAATTAATGCATCATGTTGGGGAATGATGCAATGATAATCACAGTGAGCGAGTGAAAGGGGAAAGAATGTTGCTGCTGCTGTTGACGATGATGATGACGATGGGTGAGATGGCGGATGGGCGAGTGTTTCAGAGCAGATGGAATGGCCAACAACAGACTGACGCGCAAGCTGGGGTGCAGTTCTCAAGCGCCTGCTGGCTGCCATTCGCCGGGCACGAGAAGGCTGCTGCAGGAGACTCGAGGTGAGAGCGGAAGCTAGCCTGGTACGACATGTCTCGCAGCGCTGCAGACACCTTTTTGCATGTGCGTACCGTATCGTTGCGGGCAAGGACCGTGGGCGAGCACAGCAGCCCACGCACCGCGTCTCGTAGGCGAGCATGTTGATGATGAACGAGGCTCTCCTATGCAGCGATGATGTAACGGGCGGGCGCGCGACGAAGAAGAGAGTTTTCGGGAACGTTTTGGTACGGAGAGGGTGGATATTGGACGTTCGGCGCACGCGTGTTTGTGATGATGATTTGTGCGTGTGCTATGCGATCTGGGGATGACAGTTGGATAATAGTACTGACGGGCAGGCCAGACAGGAGTCGAGCAGCAGCAGGAGGAGGGTTGTTGTTGTAGGCACGGGTATTTTTGGTCCACTGCACGCCCAAAGCTTCTTTGCCCCATGCGCGGGCTCACTGCTTGTTGCGGCACTACTGATAATCGCGACAGTCATCATCACGCTCTAGTTTCTGCTGCTGCTGGGGCGGCCGTGGTGAGGTGGGCGAAGTTTTGAATATTCTAGCTGCGCACCTTATCTGTCGTGAGGTGGTTCGCCTTGGTGCAGCTTGACGCCGCTGCTGTAGCACGTCCGGGGGGCCAGCAGTGACGATATCAGATGACAGGAGCTCGTATCGATTCAGGCACTATTGCAGAGCCGTACGGGCAGACTCTAGCTTCAGCCTTCAGGCTCAATGATCGGGGGCGGATGTCGCGAGGAGAAAGCAAAGACATCAATTATTAGACGTGGATGAGACGGATTCTAGAAACATGGCTGCCGTGCGTGGCATGTTGACGGCGGGCGTGTTGTGGGCGTGAGGGTGGCATGGAGGCTAACCAGCTAATAATTCGTGGTCAAAGGCTCTCAAATTCAACGGGGGCGGCGATCCTGCGCACGGATGTTTCTGCTGAGCGAGTAGCGCCGTCGTCCATCCGCCTGTCTGTCTGGCTGTGTGCCTGTACTCTTCGCAACATCCATCTGTACCACCCTCACCACCACCACCTCATCTCTCCGCCGACGAGCCTGCGTCGTTTTCTTCTTGAATTGTCTTCGCTTGTTGCTGCTTTTTGGTGCTGTCCCGTCTCCGCCGCGGCCTTGTGCAGCGGGCGTCTCAGCACGAGCAGCAGCCCCTAGAGTCCCAGAGACTCCGCTTCGCTTCCATTCTGCCAGCATCACCACAACAACTCGCCTCACCCCCATTCCTCACCACCGCCCGCTCGACTTCCACCGACATCTCATCCGCCAGGCAGCTCCTCCCCTGGTGACTGCCCCGATGTCTCTTTGAGACCCGCTCTGTCGCTCCGGCGTCGCTCGTTCTGGCTGCAAAGTCGCTGCTTCTCGCTCCACCCGTGCCGCGACGGCGAAGGTACGTTCGACCGCGAGACCACCTCCTCCTCCTCCCTCACCTCTCCTGCACGCTGCGAGCCTCATACGCGAGCGGTACACATGTCTTGACCTGCCCTGCCGCCTCTTCACGCCCGCCCGACACCGCGATAGGGGCACCCATTCTCCTCACCCGCCAGTGTCTGCGTCCGCCGATTCACGCTCTTTGCGGCCCTCGACACTTCCCCCGTCCCATCTACCGCACGCCGACAGCATCGAATCTCACTGCACGCCCATACTGACTGCTGCTGGCCAGCTCACCCGCCCCCAGTGCATCCTCGTAATCAATCCTCCAACCCGTCCGCCAAGACTTAGCCGCTCCATTGCTCGCCGCCATTGCATATCGCCGCACCGCCCTCACCACGGCAGATCCGATGGCTGAGGTACTGCCGCCTCCTATGCAATCCTCCAGCACCATAGCCATGTTGCATTCTCGCCCTTCATCCTCCGACGCGTTCCAAGGCTCGTCACAGCAATACCCGCAGTCTCCACGCATGGGACAGCAGTCTCGAAGCATGTATAATGGCCAGAATACAGGATACAGAGGCACTTCGGCCGGCCCCGTACAGCCGTACGCGTTTCAGTCTACACCACACTTGAGGCAAGAGACGCGGACCGTATCTGCCCCCTCGACGTCACATGGCGCTGTTGGCAGCCATAGACATGCCCACACACAGTCGGCTTCGGCTTCCTCGACTACGTCGTCTGACACGTCTTCACAACCGTCGGCAAAGGACGACTCGGTCATGGGCTCGCGGAACGGCTCATTGATCAACCTCTCCTCGAGCGTGCCCGACTTGTCGCTCACCTCGTTCGACTCTCCAGCCAAGGCTTCACCTGACAGGTACCGACGACCTGGCACGAAGAGAGTCGAGTCTGGCAATGTCACCCCCAAGGCTGCTCCACCGCAGCTGGGCGCTTCATACTTCTCGGCCGGTGCCAGTGCGGCTAGCGCCTCCACGCAGCAAGCGCCACTGCAGCGTCAGGGGAGTGTGGACGACATGGCAGTCTCGTCCAAGTCTGATACACCGGCACGGTATAGACGACGCAGCTTGAACAACCTGGATACTTCGGCCATACAGGCTGCAGCAAATGGCCAACGGCCATCTGACAACCAGAGCCAGTCTGGATTGGAGCCAAGTGCGACATTTACGCCGACCACCATCCGCCCAGTCTCATTTCACGAGCGGCAAGCGAGCAATGAAAGCCAGAGCTCACAGCGACGAAAGGACTCGGCTCTGCAGGAGAATGCCAAGTCTTCGGCTTCGCTCCACCCAGAACAGAAAGGAGTCCACATTCCTCCACGTACTTCATCCGAGGCCAAAACGCGCATGAAGTCTCCTTCGCCATTGTCCAAGGAAGCCGTCGACCCCGACAATCCCACGCCCCACGCTTCGCCGCAGAAGCCGAAGACGTATGCTGCCGTTGCCCAGGCCGCGGTGACCACCCCATCTCCAGCAGCCGCCCAGCTCGCTGCCGTGTCTGATAAGGACCTTAATAAAGGAATGAAGTCACGCCTACGTCGTGCCTTTTCATTTGGCAGTGCACAAGAGTTGAAGAGGGCTGGTGTCGATACGGGGAATAACACCCCTGCTGCCCAACAGCAACAACAGCCCCAACCAACTTCAGCTCAGCAAGCACGAGAACAGCACCAGCAGCACATCGATGAAGAGCTAGATGCAGAGCAACAGGAGATTGCCAGGCGGCAAGAGGCTGCAGGTATCGGTGCAGGCATTTACTCTGGCCAGGGAGGTTTCATCGGCTCGACGGACAACCTATCCATTTCATCCACAGCTTCATCTGCGTCGATGATGCTGCGGAAGATGGGCCGAGGAGCCAAGAAGAGTGCTAGGAGCATCAAGGGCTTGTTCCGGCCCAAGTCGGTCATTGGTGTACCAGCGGCAGACGGTCCGGTTGCGACATCCAGCGCCACGGTGCAACCAAGCGTGGCCCAGGTATCTATGGTGACGGTTGAAGCCGAAAGGCAAAAGGTCAACGTCAACGAGCACCCGGGTGACAAGCCTCATGGCATAACTGGATTTCCCAAGTTGGAGCGCAATTCAATGGATGCGGTCAACGGCGTGTCCGGATCGAGGGCTTCTGCCGACGGCTCAGACTCACACTCTCGCCGCAGCATTGTCGGCAGTGATCGAGACCGGGCTGAAGTGCTTGCTGCTGTGAAGAAGGGCATTCTCAAGCGGACTGGTACCAACTCACCAAGTAGCTCGCCGACTATCAAGCCCACAGATGCCGCCGGGCAAACTCCAACCATCATCTCCGAAAGCCCGGCTTCCAGCATGCCGAGCACACCGAAGGACGGTCAGAGTCGTAACGACTCGTTGAAGAATGTTACCAATGGCGATTACTTCAGCCAACGTCTTCACACCTTTACCAAGAGCATGCCCGCGACGCCAAATGGCACTGTACGGTCCATCTCCTTCAGCCCGCGGATCCAGTTTCACGACGCCTGGTCCAGCTCCGAGTATGACCGCCGCGGAGAGATTGCCACCTGCAACCGCCTCACGCCCATGCTCGCACAACAGATCAAGGAGGAACTGAACACCTTCAAAATGGTATGACTCTTATCATCTTCACTTATTTTCTCCCATACTAACATATCTTTAGGAAATGGAAGTCCACGAATCCAGCAAGCCGCACACGCACTTCTTCTAATGACATAAATCAACATGCCGCACGACACGTACGACACCACGCAGCGATATCAGCACCGACGCAGTACTTCCATCTCCTTGACGCGTAAGCCACGAACAGGCCATCATTCATAATCTTTCGATACGGAGCACAATTGGGGACATGGGCTGGGCTAAAACGGCGTCACGCGGAAAGATTTGCTTGAAGGGGAATTTGAGGAGAGAGAAGGGAAGGGAGCAAGAAGCTGCACGCTGCAGAGACGAGAGCGCCTTTTTTCCATCCACACGGGAAATCTTCTTTTTCTTGGGTCATGGAGGGAGGGAGGGTCTAGGGTGCTGATGGGGGAATTGCTTCTAAACTCTCTGCTGTCTGCTTGCTTTGCTGCTGGCTGTTCTTTTTTCTCTCGATTCCTCGATGGGCTGCGTGAGAGGATCGAGGAACTTCTCTGGATTAGCGATTGCATCTTGCAAAGTTTTTCGCACTGGATTGGCTTTGGGGGCTGCAATTCTCTGGCTATAACTCTGGGCAAATTCATGGCATGGTTTCTTTCGCAAGATCGTTTTCTCTATTCTCTTTCTCTTGCATGCATGGTAAGGATCACAGTCATTTTCTACCTGTCTGGCGTTCTGCGATGTACATGGCATGGCATGGCATGACTTGAATCAAGGACCTCGGGCATTTTCTGTTTATTTGTTACACTGATGCTTCGAGATTGCATCGGCCCGCTCCTTGGAGAACCATAACCACCTCGATGGGTTCTTGGCTTTGTGAGACCATCTCATCGGAAGCGGTATGCAATGCAAAAACGCCTTGCGTCAAGCACTCCTCTTCTCACCTCCTAGTTCTCCCCACTCCTCGCTTCTGCTATAATATAGTGATGCATTTCCCCCTTTCGGGCAGGCTTTCTCCGAATGGTAACAAACGTCTGGCGCTCGGTTCCTGCCAACCGAAGCTGGATGTTTCGACTACTGACCGTTTAGAATACCGGCAAAATTGAGGAGGGCTGAAGAAGGCATTGGGATGACAACGGTTTCCTTTCGGGATGGTCTCGGGCCGAAGGACGGCTGAGGAGAGAGACATGGTCATGTGATCGATTAGTGCGAGGCGCTAAAGAGGAAGGTGCGGGATGGTGCGTGGGTTAGTGCCGATCGAGAGGCGTGACTGCACGTCTTGATTCTGAGTTCCAAATCACCTTTGGTAGTGCGCTTTCTTTTTGTTGGTTGTCGGGTGGCGATGAACTGTGTCTTTGTTCTTTTTGAAAGGAACATCTTTTTGTTGTGGCAGTCGCTTGCTTGCTTGACAGTGCATTTGCATAGGGGGAAACGACTTGCTTAGCTGAGGCGTGATAAGATCATCGCCATCATCGACATATTCGCCACCCAACACTCCAACCTGCATATCGCAGAAACAGAAGGTCGAGGATCTGTTGTTTGATATCCCCCGCCACCCCGTTTGATAAACAACACCGCCATCAGACATCCGCTCCAAACATGGCCGCCGTCCTCCTCGTCCTCGGCGCCGTCGCCATCAAAGAACGCGTCGAGAAGAAAAAAGCCGCCAAGAGGATGGTGGATGATTTGCGGTATCAGGAACTGCAGGCGGAGACGGAGAGGAGGTTGAGTTTGGGGAGGATGGAGAGTGAGGGGACTGTTGAGGGTGAGAGGGGGGAGGGGGATGGGGAGGGGGAGGAAGGGGAGGAATTGCCGACTTATGAGCAGGTTGTGAGGAGTACGTCTGGGAGGAGTGGGGAGGGGGGCGCTGAGGAACGGGGGAAGGGGAAGGAGTCGAGGAGGAGGAGTGTGAGGAAGTTGTTGAGGTTTGGGTAGGGGTTGAGTTGATCTGGCTCGTCGACTTTCTGGCTGTTTCACGGACGATATTACAGACTTGATCGGTACCCAGGAGGCCGAATGTTTTGGATGAAGCCGACGACTGGACTTGCTTCCATGGTAATGGCATAGAATGTGGAGACGGCGTGAGGTTCGAAGCTGTGGATGGCCGTGGAAAGTGTGCCATCTGGGACCCATTTTTTTATTCTGTTTAATCTTGCACATGATGAACGAAAGTAATGATGGATGACATGGAAGACAGGACAAGATATCGAAAGACGAGTACACGAAAAGAAAATAAGAAAATCAAAGAACTCACCTCTCTGCTTCTGGACCATCCTCATCATTGTGGTTTCTTCATTCTACCCCTTCTCAAGGTCGAGCGTCCAAAACAAACCTCATCAATCAACAAACAACAGGCAGCGAGAAATGTGTTACTGAGAAGAGGTCATCCTCCTCCCGTCCCCCGTCTCGAGGCACCCTTCACGCCCAAACCCAAGTCCAGAAAACACGCCTCACACACACCAAACACAAGGATACCCTCCCCAACATCCCGCCCTCCAGCCACGCGCTCGAACCAGCACTATCCTCCGGATGTGCTGTCGACCTGTCGATGGATCCTGTCGGTCTGAACCTCGTACACACATGCACAGCGCATTCTCCGGTCCTGCACTTGATCACATGCATGCGTGATGAAGTACGTTTGCTCCTTCTCCGATGGATGGATGGATGGATGGAGGGATGATCCAACCCGACCGATCGACGCCTGTTTGTGTGACGTCTGGTGGGAGGTGTCAAATAAAGAGCCGCATCGTGTGTTATAGATGGGATGGCTGGTCACACGATCTTGTGTCCTTCCCTGGTTGATGATGATGATGCTGGCGGCTGTGGCCGGAGATTTGGTGAAAGGGTCTGTTTTCCTCAAAATCTTGTCGCGCTGTCATCTCTGTGGTCTGGCAGGGTGTTTGATGCGGCTTCGGCGAGGCAAAAGTCTCTCGTGCCGGTGGTTCCTGTCTCCTAGTCATTCGTGCTCCGTCTGTTGCCGGCTTTGGAAAGGAGGCCCCAAAGTCCTCCACCGCTCTCGATGGGGAGAGTGGTGTCTTGTCTTGGTATGTGATAGCAGCCCGACGAACTCTCGCCTATCCTCAGTCAGCACATCATCAACAAACCCACCATTGACCAACAACAACCCATCTTCCCTCCCGTCTTCCACCGACATCGCCCAACCACCCCATCCACCATCATCAAGTCAAAAATACCCAACCCATCAAGGCCTCCTCGTATCCGCCCCCTTCCCAAAAACCCAATCCAACATTTCCCACCTCATCCCCTTGAAAGGCCCTTTCCCTTTCGGTCTGCCGCCCGGCCCTGTCTGATTGTGACGATGATGATGGGGAGTTTGCCGATGTCCCCTGGCCGTCTTCATTCTCCGAGGCAAGTAATAATAGTGTGAGCAGCACATGCAAGCAAGGGAGGGCTCGGGTCAATCACATCTGCGCTTAGTCGGGAGAGTGGTCATACGATCCATCTCATCTTCATCTCACTCGCATAGGGCGGACGGGGGAGGGAGAAAAGTTGCTTCGCTGTCAACTTCTCTCACCTCTCATCCAATCGATGCTTTTTCTTTTGTGTTGCCAGCGCGCCGCGAGCAAGTCCGTCCCCAGCAGGGGGTGGTTTTCCCAGCCGCCAATGGAACGCTGAGGAAAGGAGAAAATGGACATATCCCTTGTGGAGCAGAGAGGGAAGGAGCGTCGAACACGTCGCACAAGGCATCACCGATCTTTCCTCTCCTTCCCACTGATCTAGCAGGAAGGGTAGGTACCTATTACAATGTATTTACATTTCTCTCTCTCTTTTGTCCATTTCCCATTTCCTTGCATTGCCCGTCAATGAGATCATTAAAGCATGCACTCGATCCCGTAGTCATCTATTCGAGAGCCAGCTCGAAGAGACGATAGACAGAGACCATTCCAGCGGCATGATTTCTCATCGCGCCGTTTCCCTCCGTTTTACGATTACTCCGTTGCGTGGCCCTCCTTTCCTCCATGCGTATGAGAGCTCCGTACCAAATGCAAACAAACAAACAAGTAAGTGCGAATCACAACAAGCCGCCCGTGGTATCTCAACGAAGTACAGTAGTGGTGTCAGAGTACAGAAAGGAAGTTCGGGGAAGCAAAGTGATTCGCTTCCTCGTAGGAACCAGTTAATCAAAAGAGCAATTGCGATTGCGCCGTAGTGGTGGCCTGTATGCAAGTCCTAATGCAGACCGAAGATGTCGTGCAAGCGTTGCAGCGTATCAGCCATCGTATTTCATTAAGGGCCGTTTAGGATGTAGTGAACTCCATCGCTGAAAAGGGGGATTGGTGTAATGGTTGGTTGCCCAAGTCTTCTATTCGCCCGGTCAAGAACGCCAGTTGTACCCGATGTAGTGGTGAAGCAGATTATCGCGACCTTGCAGCGGCTGACGCAGAAGAATCTGCGCCTGCTTCTGCACTTCCTGCGCTCTCTGGATCGAGTTGAGCGAGGCACCGAAGTAGCACTACAGCCAGTGTTAGTGAATGAATCAATGCCACGCAAATTGCGAAAAACTCACGGTCCATGATCTCCTCTTCTGCCACACCCATTTGGTAGTCGACCAAGCCGTGCTTCTCGATGCTGTCGCACAGTCGCACAAGCTCGCGTGACAGGGTCTCCAATGTTTGCTGGTTCATGACGGATCGTGGCTCGCGCCGCGGTTGGTTGTCGCGAATCCATTCCCGAGTCATGTCGAACTGCGCCTGAAGAGCGGCCCGCCAAGCATTGTTGAACTCGTCCCATAGACGGATGCGATCGTCGTGGAGGTTGTCGTCGTCCCTAGTAAGCCCTGGACCTACAAATTAGCAACCAATATCACGCGTTTCGATGGAGCACGTGCTCACCTAACGCTTCTGCATTTCCCAGCAGATAGTGCGAGATGTCCATCAAGAGCTGGCCGACGTCGCGCAATTGCTCGGCTCGAACGTTGGTGAAGAGGGTGCGAATCTGCGCTTGGTAGTTGTTGAAGGCTTGGTCGATCGACTGGTTGGATTGAGGCGTGTACTGGGCAGCGGCATACGCAGAGTATGCGCCAGGCTGTGTCGGGTCCATCATGGCACCGTAGGTCTGCGATGCTGAAGGGCCAGCCTGAGCATACGCGGACTGGTATTGTGACGGCAAATGTGGTGCCGCCAGGTCGGGCATTGTCGCACTGGTGGGAACCGACTGTCCTGCAAGGTAATACTGTGCGGTCTGCGGTCCACCAAATTGGGACGCCAGTGTCTCGGACGCGATACCAGGCCTTTGTTGCGTGTAGCGCGAGACTGGGTCATAAGGCGACTGTGTCGCCGTCTGGGCCTGACCCGCCATGCCATACATAACGCTGGACCCGTACTGCTGATATTGCTGGGCGGTGTCTTGCTGTCGCGGCACGTCCGGACTCTGCACGCCCATGATGTGCGATGGGTAATCTGTGCCCTGCGCTGATGCCGACGCGCCAGTGGCATACTGCGAGCTCTGCGCTGCGAAACCATACACCTGCGCATCGCTACCTGCTCTTCCCGACGAAGGTACGGTGGTCGGCGACTGCGGGATGTAAGACGACTGCCGAAAGCGTTCGACAGTTCCAGGCGTGGTGTACTGGCCGGTCGCCTGGGCGCCGCCATGCTGCTGCTGTTGCTGCTGCTGCTGCTGCTGGGTGGTATATGGATTCTGCGCGTATTGCCGTCGCGATGGATCATTATAGTCCATCACAGAGTCCGAGGAGGAGCGGTCCCAGTCTAACCCTTTCCGCGACGCCAACGGCGAGAAAGGCGGTGATGCATAGACAGTCGCCAGATTGTCGGTTGGAAGGAAGTGACGATTGGACGCGACAAGGCGCTGCGCCTGGGTCTTTGAAGATCAACGACGGTGTTGCAGCCTTGGTGCACCTGGTGAGTAATAGTTGGGCGAATATGGCAGAGCAAAAGGGTATCGAGACGCGTCGAGGGGCGCCAGCGTGGAGCGTCGTCAATGGCGGCTCTGGGCAAGCAGGAAAGTTGCTGCAAGAATGTTGCGGCCTTGGGTTGATTTCCGGGTCCGGTGGTGCCCAAGAGCGCTGGGTATGCGGATTAGGCAAGATTGCAGTGGTCGTGCCGTCGGCCACGAAGGACAGTCAGCCAGAGTCTGGAAGCCAGGGAAGTGTTCTAAAGTTGTGTTGCGGCGGAACAGCAGCTTGGTCGATGGCGGGGGCGACAAGGAAGGCACGAGGGCAGAACGAGTGACTTGAGCTGGTCTTTGAACGAGCGACGAAACAAGAGTCGGGCTGGCGAGTTCCTGGGCAGATTGCAGGCCGTCAGAATGGCAGTGCACGCGGAAGAGACCATGCACGCTGGGTTGGGTAGCCGAAGTGTTGCTTGGATACGTCGTGAGCGAGGACCCGGTCGTGGCGCGGGGTTCGTCGAGTTGGACTGAGTCGATGATGGGAAACGGGACAAGGAAGCAGTGCCGAGAGCGGACGAGCCCTTGCTGGCGCGGTGGATTAAGATTCGGAAACGCAAGGCGCGTGAAACTGCGAGGCCAGAGTCTGTCTGGCAGATTTGGGCGGGGCGCTGAGGTGTCACAGCCCTGGTCGCTGACTGACTTGCAGCAGCAGATGGTGAAGAGGCGGAAAAGTGAGGCTCGAGGGAGTGGCGAGCCGGGCGACAATGGCGAGGCGGCGCGAGCCCGGGCGGACAATAATATGAGGAGCAGGAAAAAGCGCAGGCAGCGCCGCGAGTGCAATGCGGACGGGATGCAGTGGCTGATATGGGAGAGCGATATGGCAGATCGGCAGCATGCTGCTGCTGCTGCGGCAGAGGATGCGTTTGATGAGCGGCTGTCAGTGTCGTCAGAGCCAAAAGGAGCCGCAATGCAGCACGGAGGGTGAGGACGGATCTGAGGAGCGTGCGTGCTGCGACAATGAAGAAGGCTGCCGAGTCACGGCGACGATGGGGGAGATGGAAGAGGTGCAGTGGGCGTGAAAGCGAGCCGGCCAGCCAGCCTAAGCCTTCTTGATCCGACCCGCCTGGCTCAGTCTTCACTACTCACCACCACCTCGCGGATCGACGGCCGTTTGTGGCAGCCCAACCTTCAGGAATCAGGGATCATAACGCAACAGAGGCGTAAGCTGGACGGCCACCGCGATTGGCCGGGCGCAGATGTGCGTCTTGCAAACCAGGTCCGCAGGCCTCATGCAGCTGTGCTTAGTGTACCATGGATGCTGCCCGTCTGCGGCCTGTCTGTCTGTCTGGACTCCCGATCAAGGCTACGCCTCTCGTCGCCATGCTCTCAGCCATTCCCTCGGCGACTGTTGTTGGCAGTGGGCAATACGGTCGGGCGTCGACGACACACGGGCGATAGCGTGGCCGCGAGCGTTTGAGGGCAGACGTGAGCTTTCGTCGACTGACGCTGGTTAGAGTTTTGCTAGCAGCGGGCCAGAGCTGCATTCGACAACGGCCGGCACAACCGTCTGGGCGCCGCCATCGCCCTCCGATACCAGTGTCTCGTCCTGTCCGACCTCCTCCTCCACCTCACCTCGTGTCTGCTCCTGCTGCGTCACCCCGTAGCCGTGACAACTCGCAGCAGCAGCAGCAGGTATGCGAACATGCTGCATGACGACAGCAAGGGATCAGCCGCCGTGCAGAGAGTTTGCCCAAACACTGCGCCTAGCGCTGCTGTCGACGCCCTGTACCTGCAGCGCCGTTTGTACCTGACTTGTGCCTTGATCCATGCTGCAAACTATCCGACTGGTCCGTCGCCAGCCCAAGATGCTGCCGCCAGCGCAGCAGCCTGCAGTCACCGGACTGTCCAGCAGGTGGGCCCAATGCCCAGTGCTAGTCCGCGAGAGGGAGATGCAGCCCAGCGACGGCCTCGAGATATCACATCCCACGTCGGGCACATGTGCGCTACGGTATGCCGCTGCCACCTCACGTGGCCCCAATGCCGTCTCCGGGACTCGCGCCGATCGCTGAGGGCATACATCCTGGATGAAACTGCCTGTCGTCTCGCTTCGCCTTTCGACTCGGGCCACAATGCAGCAGGTCATACGCCTGTGTCACTCACCACTGCGGCGGTGCAGCAGCATGTCAAACAACAAACAAACGCCACCCCAGCAACCGTGAACCCACCGTCTCTGCGCGAGAAACCCGAGTGCAGAAACTTCAGATGCAAAACAATGGTTTCAAAAGGTGTAGCTTTGCCTGTGACAAACCCCATCTGAATCTCGATTCAACCGAGAAAACGCTTCCACGCTACAACGATACGGTATGGCGGCATCGCGAAAAAGGATCGACCGCCCGCACTCTTCGGCTGCCGGCTGTGCAAATTTCTGCAGGGGCGAACGTCAGGTTGTAAGATTGATGAGAAACGCAACCTCCTGGGCAGCTTTGCATGCGCTCATCAATGAATCAATTTTTCGCGCTCTCCCTATCTCCAGCTCTTATCGTGCCCGAGCATCTCCATATATGAAAGAGGGCCGCAGCGCCCATCAATTTCGACTCGGCCTCCTTCACCTCGACATTGGACAGCGCATTGCTCTGGACAAGCGCGGATCCACACGGCACCCGCAATCCCGACGAGCGTTTCAGACTGGGCCTTCCAGAAGCCCGGTTGAGAGAGAAGGTCTCAGCCTCAAACTTCGCCTAGGATCGCCTCACTTCTCACGACAGCGACAGAAAACGATGCGACATCTTCAGCTACCATCCACCTTCATCCTCGCCCAACACGAGATGCTGCTACGAGGAACTTGGGAACAAGGTCTTGTCGAATTCATCATCAGCCTCAATCGTGAGACGTCGCGATTGTTGCTGCCATCATCCTCGCTCGATTCTTGCAAAATGACAGATCAACCTCATCTCGTGCCGGGTTGGCGTGGACCACCTCAACCGCCTGCCAGCGCTGTCCAATTTTACTCACCCGAAGATTGAAAATGCGCCTACCTGTAAGTACTACTCATCGCAGAGGCCATTGCGAATGCTCATGACGCATCGTTCCTTCCAATCCCTCTCCTCACAAAAAGAAAGTCAGTCTGCGCCTTCCTCATTTGCAATATAAAACGATCTCCCACGACTAGCAAAAAAGACAAAACAAACAACTGTCAGACGTCTCAACTCTCAAGCATGACCGGCACAACAAGTCACAAGGTCAGACCCTATAACACACATTTTAAGCCCCCTCCCCTCCCTCACACGCACGCGCCATCTTCCCGCTCGTTGGAAGATGGATCATCCTAGAATTTTCGGTATCGTCGGTAAGATCAGAAAGATGGTGCCTGGCGAGGAACTGGCAGGACAAGTCTACCTTGACCTCGTCAGCATGATGTATCCGGTTGCCACACCAAAAAGAAATAGAAACATCAACTTCAGACAAGACAAGACGAGTGACGGATGGATTCTGGCTCCGACTTGCAGCATGAATCGCATACGCTTGGCATACATACGACTCTACAGCCTCTCATCTGAGCGCCAGTCCGTGACAGGCTCAATTCAACTCAACCCGCACGGACATACACACTCCTTCTGTCCCTTTTTCATTCCTTTCCACCCCTTTTAAACTTTTAATAACGAACATCGTGGAGGATGTCTGGGTATCTTTTCGTCACGCGATCAAACGGGTTAATTGTTGAAAGTTGTTGAAACGGTCGTGGAGACTTTTTCTCCTCTCGCTTCCTTCAATCATGAAACAAAACAAAGCCGAGAAAGATCAAGCCCACGACACTGCATCATGTGAGGAAACACCTCACACACGCCTATTTCGAGGCGGTGTAGGTCTTCTTTGGGAACGGGTACCTGTGGAAGAGAAAGACGTCAGCGGTAAGGATCCAACAAGACAAATGTGTAAGGAAACACCCACGATGGACCCAATTCACGCAAGCTCTGCGCTGCGAGCCACTGTCCCTGATCAACGCAAGAATCAATATCCTTGCCCTGGACGACACCAGCGAAGAAGCCGCCGGCAAAGGCATCACCCGCTCCGGTAGTATCGACGATCTCCTCCTTGCCGATAGGGTGCACCGGCCACGACTTGGCGTCGCCCTCGCCCTGGACGGCAACGACGGTCGGATCGGTGCCCTGGGTGATGATGGCGACGCGCTTGCGCTGCTTGTTCTCCTTGGGAAGGTTGGCCAGGTGCTTGGCAATGGTCGGGATGTCGTGGGTGTTGAGGTCGTGCGAGTCAGCGTACGAGGTGGCCTCCGTCTCGTTGCCAATCACATAATCCCAGTAAGGTGCGGTCTGGTCGAGCGGCTCCTTGAAGAACTGCGGGATGAAGGGAGCGGATAGCGACAGGATGAACGGCTGTTGGAAACGGCGATCACATCGGTCAGCATGTCAACATCCCAGAAGCCGATCGTGTGAACTATAACCACGACGTACCTTGTTCTTCTTCGCGGCCTCTTCGGCAAGCTTGAGGATGGCCGGCACGCAGACTGTCAGGTGGTAGCCGCCGACAAAGTATGCTTTGGCTTTCTCTGCGATGCCCCAGTTCTCCTCCAAGTGCTCAATCTTGTAGCAGTTGGCAGCCGCCAAGTCTGTGCACATGCTCCTGTTGTGTCCTGTAATAATGACACCGCACCGGCCAGTGGCCTGCTCTTCGTCGTAGCGGTAGCGAACCGCGAGACCGGCCTGCTTGTTGGCGTCTTGCAAAATATCGGCATACTTGTCCTTTCCGACGCAGCCGTAGAAGACTACCGAGTCAGCAGGGAGGAGGTACTGTCGCGAGAGAACAAGCCGTTAGCACAAACACCTTCATGAATCGCGTCGTGATCCTTCTCTTCGAAGCTGCGAACGAGATGCGACCCCCCTCAACGCATCATGACACGCATAGAGTTAAGCCTCAATCTTCCCTCAATGCAACGTCAAGTGTCATATTGCCAAGATGTGTGTGTGTGTGTGATATAGACAGGCATACCTGTGCACCTCGCGCCGTGTTCTGAGCCGCTCCTCCCGCCAGCAGCTTCGCATTCCGGTTCTGGATCAGCTCCTCGTACAGCGTCATGTGCTTCTCCTCGGCGAGGATGGCGTCGTTGGCCTTGAGGCCGTACTGTTGCAGCACGGCATCGTCTCTGCCTCAGGAGTCAGCCGTTTCAATTCCCGGTGGTGTGGAAAGTTGGAGGAGTCTGGGCCGGTGAGGACGGGAGGTGAGGTGGACTTTACTCACCCTTGGCCTTGGATGTCGAGGAGTGGGTTCTCCAAGCAGAGAAGCTCGTAGGTGTGGTCGGCAGACATGTTGGCGGCGTTGTCACGAGGTCAATTGGTGAGAGGAAGGGGAAGAGTGTGTTGTTGTCGAAGTGAAGTCAGCTCGGAGTTTTTCAAAAGCTCTCAAGTTCCTGGCTGGAATGATGAGCCCCTCTCGGTCTCCAAACACCCCACCATCGGTCGCCGACCACTCCGACATCGTCATGGAATTGGACGGCACGTGTCAATCAAAATCGGTCCGCATGCTTCTCATTAATGCTGTATCTATCTGTCTCGTATACGTGATCTCGGAATGCCTTCTCGCAGGGGAAAAGACACTTCCCAGGGTATCAATGCAAATGCAAATGGAAACGCCTCTCCTATGATGTGTATGCACGCCGCTAAACGCTCCCAAGAAAATCCATTGTAGCGACAGGGCCAGCCAGCCTTTCACATCGATATCTAAACCATCAAAGTCAGTACATGTCAATCTACTCTTCAGACAGCTGCATTCACTTACCAAATCAACGTTACTAAAGTCTGGGGGCGATTTGCGGAAGACTACGCGGCCCTTCGAGTCGAGTGCAGTTCCGTCGTTGCTCATCCAGATGTTCGTCTTTTCCTCTTTATCTCCATCGGCCGACTCAACCATGACGGTACTCATCTTCTTCGCTCGCTTGATCTCATCGTCACTGACTCCCAGAACATCGCGTGGGATCCAGACCACCGGACGACGAGCACGCAGGGCGCTGTGCTGGAACGAATATCGGACAAGGAGATCGCGATCTTCGGGACTGAGATCCTCCAATTCGTCGGCGAAGCCAGAAAATAGAACATCACCAACGGTGTGCTGTGCTTCAGGGTCCTTTGGCGGCTGATCGGCGCGTTTGCCATCGGCAATGAAGCGCAGTGCTCCCACAGCCTCAGGAGCAACTCGCTTCCACCTGTCCGTTGCCCAGATAGGCTTGCTCTCCTTTCGCTCATGCCATCGTCCCTGATCAGACTGGGGCGTAGACGGCTGACGTCCAGCATCAGGTGAGCTTGATGAGTGAGGCGTATGATTGCGCTTATGCTCTGCAATACGCCTCTTCTCATCGTCTTCAGCAACATCTCCCGCTTCATCGTCTTCTCGCTCGTGATCCTCGAGTACATCTTGAATATCTCGGGTGTCCTCAGCCTGGGTGAGCGGCGCAAACTTGCTTGCTTGCGCTCTTGCGAATTCCTCGTCCCTGATCACAGCCTCATCCTCCAGCGTGATAGGCAAGTACTGGAACAATGGCTTGAAAGCCATGTTGATCAAGATCTGATAGGCAACGGTAGCTACCAAGACCACGATCAGAATGACCGCTTGCGCGATAGCAGGATCTTCCGCCAGTGTGAAGCACAATCCGATCATGCAAAGTTCCAGAAAGTAGAGGCCTGTGAAGAGTTGGTTGATTGCGACAGGGAACAGCCGTCCACCTGTGTCGACCCGGAACTGATAGACGAAAAGGACGTTGTAGCGGTACACGATCCAGAACAGGCTGAACACAAACAGCATGAAGACCAGCATGAGAGGGGAGATGACAGAGTAGATAACTCCTATCGCGGCGAAATTGGTGAACGGCGGGAAGAACGATCCCCACTGCACGTTACTCAGCGTCGTCTGGCGTCTCCATTTGGCGCGCGCCGTGGAGTCGAGCATTGGGGCAAGAATGAACCAGGCGAAGAGTCCTCCAGTCTGCACGAGCGCACTGGCCGAGTTCGAGAGCGCCTGCACCGTCAAGTAGGAGTAGAAGTAGTTTGACGCCGCCGGGAGAGTCTTCGCCAGGGTCTGGACGATACTACCAGGATTCGAGGCCAAGTTAGAGAAGAATTTGGTGAGACCGCCGGTGATGGTCACGACAAGGAAGACCTGTATGAACAAGAAGACAAAGTACCATTGCTGAACACCAAGCTCTTTTGCGTTTCCGGTCGGCACGCCTTGCTGCTGAACCAAGAGCCGGAAGATGATCGGAACGAGCAGAAGGATCAACGACAGCAGCACGGGTGGCAAGACACCCTGTATCACCGATTGAATCCATTTCGGGGCATCCAACAACCAGCTAAGCCATGGTATGAATGTAGCCAACTGGGTGATCTGGCCGACGATAGAGGTGAACGCCACGGGAATAGCGTAGAGGACAACCAGAGCGGCACAGATGATCAAAACTACGCCTGTCCGGAGGTAGCGCTCCCACCATTTGATGGACATGTTGTCCCAGATGACATCGTCTGGACTGATCTCCACCAAGCGCGGTGACATCTGCTGAGGTACATGGTGACTCAGAGACTGGCAACACATATGTGCGGCAACCTGATGGTTGAATTGGATGAAGGCAGAATTCATGTAGGGGAATTTCTCCACATCATTCTGGTCAGTTTCAATCTCCAGGTTCAAACGTGCCAGCTCCTGGCGAAGGTGGTAGATCCGATCGACTTTCTTGCCCACAAATGGTATGCTAGGGAACCAGGACGGGCTGAAAAGGGGAAGACGAATGGTCTCGCGATCCTTAGGTTCAATGTACCTCCGCCAGTATGGTTCTTCGTCCTGATCCTCGTCCCAGTCTTTGTCGAACGCAGAGGGGTATTCTTCCTTTGGCTTGTCGTCGTCTTTACTCTTCCAGAACGCCAATTTGTCGGTCCAGCTGCTCTTCACAAGCTCCTTTTCTGTTGTCTTTTCCGGATGCTTCTCACTACCTGTATGTAGAGGAAACTCGTCTTCTTCTTGAATATGTGGCTGAGGTGATGGGAGTGCGATGGCTTGGTCGTTGTTTTTGAAAATGTCCAAGAACTTGCGCTTGGGCTTGTGGGAAGGCGGCTCCTCGATTTGGAGGGTCGACTTGGGCTTGGAATCTGCCGATGGTCTGTTGACGTTGATGCTGGGCACACCCAGAGTGGACCCGTTGCTTGTCGGCGAGCCTTGCGCGGGCTCTGCTGGAGTGGACTGCACCGCAAGAGGATGCCTAGTCTGTCTTGGAATGGTGTCCATCGCCGCTTTCTCACCCACACGTCTGCTGTCGGCAGTCCCAGGCCGTGATCCAGGCTGCGCTCTTGCGCCGCTCGGTGAGCCATATATCGAGTCATCCGCTACAAAGCCACCACCAAGTCCGCCCTCGTTCAGAGTGTTGGCAGTGCGATTGAAGTTGTCGCCAGCCTTGTGGAAGCCGGCATCCGCACCTGTAACAACCTTGCCTCCAAACTTGCCAATGCCTTTGCCCACCGCACCTAAGCCGTGAGTGACTGCACCAAATGGGTGGTGAGACTGCTTGTCGTACTTTTCCTGCTGGTGCTCCTCTTGATCGAGTATATCTTGCATGCCGTGTGAGACCTGGCCCTGTTCGCCTGCACTGACACCTCCACTCTCAGCCATCTGTTCTGCCGCTGCATTCTCGTTTGCCTGGTCCTGCTTCTTCTCTTCCTTGGTCTTCTTCTTACGACCATCCTGCTTGGCCTTCCTCTCCTCGGCTTTGGCGTTCTCCTTTCGACACGTCTTGATCAGAACAGTCTCGGCGTCCTCGAGGTTCTTAGCAATCTTATCGCGCAACTGCACCTTGTCCGACAGTTCATCAAAGTTGCGATTGATCCAAATGTTTCTGATGCCTCCTGGGAACACATCATAGAGTCCAGATAATGCTTCGAGAGTCAGCCACTTGCGTGGAATGCCAGTAACAAGCACGGTGGTGGCTGATGCTCTGATGCGGTGTTGTGGACTAGTGAGATATGCCTGACGGACTCTTATGTAGCCTCGAAGCTCCTTAAACACAACGTAGAAGAACCAGCCGATAGACAGCACCGCTAGGATCGTGTGGGCCCAGAGGTAATTGCCGTCGTTGGGACCGAGATTGGATACGGAGTATTTGTCCAAGCCTTTGGCACCACCATGTGCTGAGTGGTTGATGGGAAGTAGAATCGGTAAGACAATGAGAGACATGGGCAAGAATATCTTGAGCAGCATGCGCAAGAAGCGCAGGAAGAAATAGGCGTCGAGTCCGCATTTTTGGATGAGGGTGAGGTTGGAGACGGTAAAGAGTGGGTAGAGCCATCCCACTATGCCTCCAGGCGGTTGAGCGACTCGCTCTCGTTCTGGAACCAGGTATGATCGGGGCCGGTATATTCGCGATAACCTCAGGCGGATGATGGCAAAGCACAGCAACTGGACGCCCAGTGAACCGAACGAGACAGCAAGTGCGGCCACGAGCTGACTACCACTCTGGCCTTGCTTGTTCGCTGCTGTGCCTGCACTACAGTTCAGCCAGCCAATAAGGCCACCTTGGCATGATTGCGTCGGTGCTGGGGGCGCCGACATGGTGTTGCCGTCCGAAGGTGGGACGCGTCGAAGTCGTCTGGTGTATGCGCGGAAATATTATCGTGATCCCATGGATGCGGCCGTTAAGTGTGCTGCGTAGGAGCTCGCAGGAGAAGGGTGGAAGTTGTTGACGAGGGGATTGTGGGAGCGTTGCTGCGTTGCTTGCTTTGCGGGCGCCAAATTGTCGGACGCGACTTCCAGGGCGCCCAAACGAGCTGGACGATTGGCTGCACAGTGATCCTTGCAGGTTACGTCAGGACGTTTCGCCTCCAAAACTCAATCTGGTTTGTTTCATCATCAAACTTTTGGACGAACGCCTACGAATTGATTTAATTCCACGAATACGTTCATCAAAGACATGTCAAGCTTCTGATTTCAAGAAACGGCTCAACACTGCTTTGTATTTCCATTTGATTGATCCAGCAGTGTTCACAAGTCGCCAAGCGGCCAAATGCCACTGACGTCCCCCTGCAGAAAATCCGATACGAAGTTGGAGGTGGGGAACGGCGACCCACATGACCCGCCCCTGGCTCCTTCAAGGTCGACTTCACTTCATCCTCCCACGCCATGTCAACGCAACGATTATGGCTTTCACGTGCCAACACTTGGCTGGACACGTACTGAGGTTTTGGATATGAGCCGGATCGCTGCAGGTAGAAGGCCTCCAACCGTTAGCATCGATACAATCTGCTTCATGACCTCGTGCTGCTGAACTCATCGCTCTTTTACTTACTTCAAATCTGCGTCGTCTTTCCAACTATGTCATATCTACGATCTTCCACTCAATGTACGGGCAAGAACTAAAGTGATCTGGAAAGCCGTAAAACAAGAGCAGCCTGGCCACCAAGGATGTTCCAAAACGTTCACCTACTCGCAGTCGAACCCGAACCAATCCAGACAACGAAACACATCCCCGGGACCTCCAACCCGCAAGCAAAAGAGATTCCCAACGAGCCCGAACGCCTGGCGACAAAGAGGTCGAGAAACTATCGTCTGGTGACAGAGGATCGCTCCGCTGAACCCTGAAAAGGACCCGGTACTTTGCACGATCATCGCCTGGGTGTTCGCCTCCGTCGCTGGTCGAGTGCATCAACCACTGTGATGTGACTTCTTGAGAAGCTGAAAGCGGAGGAGATGTTCTTTTCGTTGGAGTTTGCGTCGTTTCGGATGAGCTTCGACAAGTTGCGAGTGGCGAGGAATAGAGGTGAGATGCGTTCTCATAAGGCATGTCTTGGGGCAGCTGTAAGTGCTTGGTCTATGCAAGCACGCATGTGGATGCCAGGCTGTCGCTCACATGCTCGACTTCAACGACAGCCAAAACTCGTGCATTCAGGTGCACGCAAGACATCTTGTTCACATATCAGGCTTTCCACGAGATAAGGAACGAGGCTTATGTGTCCTGGATCGCTGCTCTCGAGGGTACGAGAACACAAACCGGATCATCGTCATCGTCTGTACAGTTCAACCATACTGAGGTGTGCCAACTGACATTCTTGCCACGATTTCAGCTTCGAGTATCAGCCGACGGCGCTATCAGACTCAACATCTTGCGTCTCATGACAACGACGCTTGACGAGTCCTTGTCGTGTCCTCCTCATACTTCTCCCCTGCCCACCGAACAGTCTTTGCCATCGACAAACTACTCACGATGCGACTTCTTGGACTTCTACTCGCGACACTCAGCCTCTGCTGCGCCCTGGTCGCCGGCTACACCAACAGTTCCATGCTCATGGATGAGAATGACTTCTTGAGAAAGCGCTGGTATGGCGTACCAGAGTACCCGGGTAAAGGCAAAGGCAAAGACCCCTTCGTCTACCCCTGGCCCGTCGTCTGCGAGAACCCCTTCATCCAACCCGTCTACTACTGCTTCCGCGACAAGCGATCCGCCGAGAACCTGCAGGAAGTCGTCAACCAAGCCATCGCAAAATGGGGTCACGCCATGAGCGTCTCGGCCTTGACCTTCGAACTGGACCCGCTCACGAAGGGCGACCCCACCATGCCGTGCAGTCAGCTGGAGAGCAAGTTGCATGACTCGCTCGTCATCTCTGACGAGTCCCTTGATGACCCAGACCTGAACAAGGTCAAGAAACACTTCAATAGTGGCTTGTGCTCGACCGCGACGACGGTTGGGTATACTTACGAGCCCGCGGTTCCGTTCAGGCATCATCTCAGGTTCTGTGACCTGCAGCCGTGGGATGCAGAGGCGGATATGGCGCATGCGGTGAGATCTATGACCCATGAATTAGGTACAGTCACACTCATAACAGTCGTCGTGCTATGTTCGTTCAACTGACAGAAGTCTGTTCACAGGTCACGCAATCGGTCTCCAGCACGAGCACCAACGGCCCGATCGTGACAAGTATATCGCGATCAACTACAAGAACATGGAAGGCTACGACGACATCGAAGCTCTCGTGAAAGAGGACGAAGAAGAGTACTTCCACGAGGACGTCACAATCGAACGGAGGATTCACGCAACGTACGTTCGCCAGAAAGACTGAAGTATACCACACCCACCGAAGGATATTGCTAACAGCTATCTAGATGCCGCTCGGAGCTCTACAGCCGCGACTACTTCCCCGAAGTAACCGACTTCCTCGCGGGCAACGAGCTCGACGCGCCCACCTCCCAAGAAAAATGGGAAGCCTACGAGTTCTCGCAAAAATTCGACTACCAAAGCATCATGCTCTACGATGCCACTGCGGGGCTGAGCGACAAAGCCAAGAAGGCGGGTCTATACGTCATTACCAAGGCGGATGGCAAGACGCCGGTGTGGATGGGTGGCAGTCGAAGCACTGATGACTACAGTATCAGCGAAGACGACATTGCCCGCGTGGCGATGCTGTACGACGCACACACCGACGAGTGCGAGAAGGCGAAGAAGGGCGAAGTCTGGAAGAAAGCCGGTTCGGCGCCGAAGGCATTGAAGGTGAAGATCCGAGATGTCTTCGAGGGAGTGGTACGTGCGCCGCTCGCGGTGCGGAAGAGGGATGAGATTTGAAAAAGAACGAGGGAGGGGAAGGGAAATATTGGGCAAATTCTTCAATGTGTCTTTTTGAAAGCCATGAGAAGCGGTACTCGATTAGGCTTGCGATGTAGCCGTTGTAACTATACAAATTGTACCCTAGATCTTAGAATCGTCAATATCCTCCTCTACGTCTTGCGTTTCCTCGCAGCCTGGGCCTTCTCATTGCCACTGGCAACGACACCGTCGACCTTCTCCTCCAGCTCACCCTTGACGTTCTTCGTATCGCCTTTCTTGCCATCCGCAGGTGCTTCCAAGGGCTTGCTCGCCTGCTTGGCATCGACATCCTCGTCATCGCCGCCCTGTCCGAACTCGTTGACACGGGTGTAGTCGACCTTGTAGGCCCATGCCTGGTACAGGTAGACGAAGAAGATGACGTCGTCGCGCAGAGTGGCGAGACGATGGAGGATGGGCATTTTGATGGTGAAGGCGAAGAGGTCGTCTATGAAGGTGTTGAGGAACTTGTATGCCATCGCTCTGCCGGGCATGTGGGCCACGGACTTCAGGCGGTAGTTGATGTAAAGGGAGGGGACCTGTGTACGATTAGTACGTGTTTGACATGCAGAAATTGTGATCAGACTTACCATCATCAAGAAACCATAAGCGTAGACGCTGCCGACCAATGTGGTGATGATGAACGAATACCAGCCCTTGTGAGTTTCGTACACAAGCGAGTAGCCGGCGTAGGCAAGCAAAAGAGGCACGGCGAGAATTCCCATGTACTTGAACGCGATCCGATCGTATTCCTCGGTCTGCTCTTCTGTCTCGCTGAGTTTGTGCTTGTCCTCGAAGACGACAGTGTATGGCAATCCGAGCTTGTACGAGTAGGTTCCAGGTGCTGGCTCACGAACGCGCACATTGACAGTCTTGGTGATCTTCCAGGCCTCGATAGCAATGCCCATTCCTTGACCAAAGAGGATCATCCAGCTAGTGTTCTCGTTGTTGTCCATGAGATATAAGAAGATGATGGTCTGCATGACCACGTTCGACAAAATCGTGCGGACAGACACGCCGACGTTGTCCTTCTTCTTACGCCAGTGGCCAACATCGCTCTTGAAGGCCAGAAGCTCGAATATCATGTGCAAGACACTGACAACAGCGGTCGTGCCAAGCAACCAAGGGTTAGTATCGAGAAGGGTCTCCTTGATCATTTCCAGCTCAGAACCGTCGCCGCCACCTGGGGTCGACTCGCCCAAAGCAGCCTTTCTCGCAGTCTCCTTCATGCCCTCGTCCATGCTCGACATGACACTGAATGCCCAAGTTTGAAGGGTCGATAGATCCACGTTGATTGGCAGCGTCTCGAATGGGTGGGTAGAATTGAGCTCCGTCATTTGCGACTTGAGCTGCCAGAAAGTGTTGAGATACAAGACCGGATAGTACCAGCTGTTCTTTCCGGTAGCATCGCGAGCGCCAGTCTGTTCGAGGGTGTAGTATTGCCTCATCGCGGGGTGCATGGCCGGGTACTGTTGGACTCCAGTGTCCGGCACAAAGGATAGAGTGAAGTTAGGATGGTAGTATGAAGCAGATCGAGGTGCCTCTTCTTCTTCAGGATCCTCCTCGACTGTCTCATTCTTTCCCTCAAGCAGACTTCGGGTCTTGCGTACTTTCTTCTTGAGGAGATGTTGTGTCAGGGGTCTCAGCATGCGATAGGCCTTGGACGGGTCGTATCTAGGGGCAGCTGGATCCAGCTCTGCACCGTGCTGGCCTATCAAGATATGGGCAAACAGTGTACCGTTGTCCTGCACGCTCTTTGGAACCGTGAAAAACTTCTGTACCTGGCGGTAGTCTTTCTGAGATCTATCGATTGAAAAGTTCTTTTCATTCAAAATCAAGCTGTCTTTTGGCATCTGGTTCAGGGAGGGTATGATGACGCTGGGCGAGATGTACAGGCTGACATCGAGGGTGGTGTTTGTCGGCCAGAGGGGGTAGATCGTCTGAGGAACGGCGCTGTAGTCTACCGTGACCGCTTCTGAGCCAGGTTGTGCGACCTCTGGTGCCGGTGTTGCGGCAGGTTTTTGTTGACCCATGTACGTTTTTAAAGCATATTGGATCGCCACAAAGATGAGTATATTCTTCCCGATAGACCATGCCTTGCTCATCCAGTCGTCCTGCTGTTGGCCTTCGGCGGCCGCTGGGGCCTGTGTCTGCTCAGGCATGATTGCTGAACGAGTGCCTGGCTGAGGTGAGGTTGGTGAAGTGGTTGAAGTGGTTTATCGACGGCGGTCCATGGGGTTGAATGGGTATCGATGGTTGTAGTTGAGGAGAGGGTGGATGTCGACGTGAAGCTGGCCTAACTTTCAGGCCAAACGAGGTACCCACGTGGGGCGGCTGGACTTCGGCAGATGCTTGGAGATAGCGGAGTGACGACGAGATGCTGGCTGTCAATGTACAATGTACAATCGGCTCAGAGAAATTCGTTGGTTCAATCACCTCTCACTTCACAACGATATCAGAATCATTGCATGTCCCCAGGCAAACAGACACAAGGCGTAGCTTTAGCAACCATCGGCAGCCGGCAGCCAAAGACTAAAGTGAGGCCCCAGCTTTGCCTGCGTCACGCGCTCGGGTGGGCGGTGATCAAGTCCGACTATCTCGACCATCCGCCATCGACCATCATCAACACCACGACACCGCCTGCGATACGCCTCTCTTCCACCGCCCGTCGCGGTGAGAACGCCTCAGCACACATTCACCTATTGCGACTTGTTCATTCACTCCCCCACCGATTTGGCAGGACGCCGCCGTCCTCTCCCGCATCCGGAGCTTGATACTCGCTCGACTCGGCCATCCATCCAGCTCCTTCGACCGGCACCACAACCAACGCCCCTGGACCACCGGCGCGACTTTCACGCCGTAGTGACACCATCGCCAACATCCCATCTCCACCATGTTCTCTGAATGTACGTGCTGCTTTGTAGCCCATACCCCGAGGCACCAGCGTCATCCCCAACCGCTCGCGTGACTAACCTCCACCTGACTTCAGATGCATCACGCTTCTTACAGCAGTCCAACAACCGCCTCTCCTTCACCCAGAATGACGACCAGCGAAACCAGTCCAGAAACCCTCTAGATCGCCGACGTGCGCCAGCCAGCAACTCACGATACGTCCAGCGTCCCGGCATGGCACCACACCCGTACCACAACCCCTCTGCATCGCAATCTCGCTTTCCTTTCGCCAGCCGAGTAGCACGTCAAGACCCATCCGCCCCTCTGTTCTACAGCGCTACAGACGACTTCCAAGACGAGGACGAAAACGATGTGCACGAGAGGGAGGTCGCCGACTACTACGCTCTCCAACGAAGCCGGCAACACTTCGGGCGCAGCAATCTCACTGAAAGCTCAGAAGCAGAAGACGATGGCATAGAGAAGAGTGATGAGACACAGAAAGGTCAAAATCATGACCGAGATGAGAGCAGGCAAAGAGGCAGAGTGGGCGCTCCACAGCCACCATCGTCACGAGGTGAAAGCGTGCCGGAGTCAGAAGCGAGTAGGCCGAGCTCAAAGGGCAAAGGGCGTCTTTTCGACGTCAATCTGAACAGCACGATTCACGAAGAGCCTCCCGAGTCGTTGGCCAATATATCTCCATCGATCGATCCAGACGAGCCGCCTACGCCATACAGGCCTTTCAAAACCGCCATCAAGTCTAGCAGATTGAGCAGTCTCTTGCCCATGGAGACCGACGAGGAGACCCAACATCTGAACCCTCGGCCGCCCTCTCCAGACCGTGAGAGCGTGCCACCAACTGTTATCCTGCCATCGCAGGAGCCTCCCAAGCACGATGCGTTCTGGGCCAATCTATTCACCATCACACTCTTCGCCATGTTCGCGGCTTTCGTCGTCATCTGGTTCCAGACATCTGCACCGTCGAAGAAAACGCCTTTGGGAGATACAGTTTACAGCGCGCTTCGCGGGAGCACGAACATGCTGGTTTGGGATACTCTGATCGCTGTGGTCGTGGCTCTGATTTGGCTGGCACTACTCAGAAACTACGTCCGGCCTTTGATCTACTGCCTGGTGGTTGCAGTACCATTGGTGCTTTTCGCATTCTCGCTCTATCCCTTCATCAGCAGCTTCAAGGGGTCGTGGAACGGCGCTTCTATTCAAGACCGCGCCATGCGATGGGTCTCCCCAATTCCAGCAGTTATGGCTGTATTCTGGACATGGAGTGTCTTTAAGAACCGCCACAGTCTCTCCAAATCTATCAGCATCCTGGAGTTTAGCATCAAGGTTCTGGAAGTGCATCCATATCTTTTGCTGCTCGGATTTGCCACCCTAGCGGTTGTGGTGCTTTTCTCTTGGACCTGGATGTTCATGTTTGAGCGCGTCTTCCTTTCAGGACGCTGGGTTGGAGCCAAGAAATTCATCCTCTACGCCAACAGCTGGTGGTTGGGTGCTTACTTCATACTACAGTTTCTGTGGTCGCTGGGCGTCATTGCAGGCGTACAACGAGCTACAACTGCCGCCACGGTGAGCCAATGGTACTTCCACCGCCTAGCAGTACCACAGCCAGCTAGTCGCGAGGTTGTGAGGGCTAGCTTCCTTCACGCTGTCGGGGCACTGTTTGGCACGGTCTGCTTGAGCACGTTCTTGGCGTTGCTGGTGAGGCTTCCCCTGATTATACTGCCGGGAAGAATATCAGGACTGCTGAACATGTGCGCGTATTGGATCATTCCGACAAGTCTGGCCACATTGACCAACCCGCTTACCCTGACGTACGCCGCCATTCACAGCAATCCACTTGGAATCGCAGGTCGCCAACTCGCACAGCTCAACTTTGTGAGCCGCACCAACCCGAGCAACACACTTGGTCCACGCAACTTCAATCCTATCGGACAAAACGGAAGCACGCTCCTGCCATACCGTCTGTCGAAACTCCTGCTACAAGCAACACGATGGATCATGTCATTTGCCCTTGGATTCGGTGGATGGGTTCGAGCTGCCCATAGCATCAAGCTGGATGGAACTGCAGCCGGTTTCAGGGGCAGCTTATACGCCTATGTCGTGGCTCTGATCGCTGGTACCATTGGTTTCGCGGTTCTGGGAGCTGTCGAGAACACGGTCGGTGCGATTGTGGATGCGGCCGTCATTTGCTGGGCAAGTGAGAGCAGTGGTGGTCGAAGTGAAGCGAGGTTCTGCAGAGAGGCTGGCGAACTCTTTGGTAACGACGGAGGGTTCGATAGGGATGCGCGAGTGGGGATGCCATGATCATGACGAGGAAAGGCTACGGCGTCTGAGCATTTGGGTTGCTCTACGAGTTGGACGATAGATGGAATTCGGCGCAACATTGGGCACAAAGGCGAAAGGAAGGTTTGTCACTTTTTGTTTTTTTGGAATACCCGAGACCACGAGCGACGTTCGATGCATTCACTGCACCCCCTTTTCTTGTCTTATGATGATGAGGTGGGTAGATTATGTTACTACGTAAGATACGACATACAGGTAGATTCGTTTTACCACATTTTGCTGCGGGCTGCACAGGATCTGTCATTTCACTCGAAGTGGAACGCACGCACATGCAATTATCATCTCTCCGATGTCCCCCAAACAACCACGCCTCTGGCTATACTCTAGGCTGCTTAGATGTCTCACGAGTAACGAAGATGAATCGTTCTTTCTGATACACAATATCATTACTGTACGTCACTCCATTCGTCCGGTCATATCTACATCAACATCCACTCCATCAACCATCTACCTAATGATACCCATTCCTCTTCTTAAACTCCCTCTTCCTCCCCCCCTGATTCCACCCTCCCTTCCCACCATACCTCGGCTTGCCCTCCCCAAAATGCTCATACCCATCTTTCCCGCCAACATTCCCCCAATTCCCACCATTCCCCTGCCCGCCCCATCCATGCCCATGACCATATCCATGTCCGCCCTCGCTACCGGGCACGTCGCTCAACCCGAGACACTCAGCCATCTTAAAGAAGATATCGATGCTGTTATACACGCCCCCGAAGATCTCCTGGCAGGGCCCCATGGCGAAGACGGTGACGTCCGTGAGGGAGTGCACGCCCTGGTCGGCGTCGACGGGGAGGGTGCCGTTGTAGGTGATTCCGCCGCCGTTGGGCGAGTCCTCGGGGTTCGCGAAGTAGTCGTCTTCGTCGAAGCCGGTGATGTTGGTCGCGGGGACGCGGGGGCCGTCCTGCGGTTCATGTTGTTAGTCGATGGCGTGGTTGGGGGTGGAGGGATTGGGATTTTGTGTAGTTTTACAGTACATACCTTGTTGACCTGGTAGTCTTCCACGTGATCTGGCGTTGCGCCGAAGCCCTGCGCGAGGGTATATCGCGGATCCCAGTTGGACGGGAAGTTGCTATCGCTATATCGCAGCTCGCCCGTGTTGATATACTGCGACAGCCCGGACTTCTCGTACTGCCCGACCGCGTGACGCTTGTCGCGATCGTTGTCCTGCTCCTTCAGATAGTGCGTGTCGACCGAGCCGAAGACGTCGAAACCGTGGCCATGGTCGGCCGTGACGACGATGAGAGTTTCCTTCAAGGCGCCGAGTTCTTCGAGGTGCGCGATGCTGTGCTTGATCGTGTCGTCGAGTTCGAGGAGCTCGCCGAGCGCGCGGTCGTAATCCAGGACGTGCATCATTTTGTCGACGGACGCGGCTTCGCTCATGATGAACCAGCCCTCGTCCGAGGCGCGGTTGTTGAGGATGTCGATGGCTTTGAGGGTCATTTCCTTGAGGCCGGGTTGGTCTGCAGCGTCGCCGCCTTCGCAGTTGGGGGCGTCTTCGTTGCCGGAGAGGTTGTCGGTGTAGACGTTGCGGTCGAGCCACTTGGCCATGTTGCCTTGGCTGAAGATGCCGAGAGTTCGCTCATTCGAGGAAGTAGCATCCAGCGCAGTGGCATTATAGACAACGTTGTAGCCAGCATCGGCGAAAACCTGGTAGTAATCCAGATCGTTATAGGTCTCGCCACCCAAATCTGGGCTGCAGAAGTTCTCTGCTCCTCCACCGAACAGAACATCAGGCCCGGTCCAATTCGTCCAAGTATAGTTCACAAGACCGTGTATGAAAGAATCGATAACGGCGCCGTATTCGCCTCGATCGCGGGTATGAGCAGTGAAAGCAGCTGGCGTCGCGTCGGCAATGAAGGCTGTCGACACGATACCGACGTGACCGCCGTACATTCGGTGGAAGATCTCTGCAATCGACTCAACCTTTGGGTCGTCGAATGGGTCTGGAGACGTATCTGCGTACACTCCCAAGGCGTTCACGGTCGATTTGTGGCCAGAGTAGAGAGCAGTGGCAGAGTTGGCCGAGTCGGTGATGAAAGTATCGATCGAATGGGTCATCTGGTGGCCCAAGACTGGAAACTTGTCCATGGCCATGGTGCTCTGGTATCTTCCGTTGATAGACTTGTGCCCGATCAACCTCGCAGCCGTGATCATATTGGCAGTCATACCATCTCCAATGAACAGGAGCACATTCTTCGTCTTGCGAACATGTTCGATATCCCGGACATGCCAATGAGCAACAGTTTGCGTCCCATTATAAGTCAAAGTCGCAATATAATCGCCCGGCTCGTACAGAGCCACCCGTCTCCAGGCCTTCGACGCAACATTCACCACCGAAGGAGTATCTGCGTCCTCCGCGAAGAGATCTCTGTCAAAAGCTTGTCAGCACCCAAGCCTTCAACAACCCGAGCTTTTCGCAACCACAACACCTACTCATAATAGCTGAAATCCCACGTCTCCAGCTCCGGCTCTTCGCTCTCGAAGTACTCGCTCACGGTCGCCGCCCTGGCGCCAGCCTTCCCGATCGTCAAGGTGAAGTCCTCGTCCGGCACGCCATTGGTAGCTTCTGACCCATTGACAGGCGCGTGCACCTCAACCCGAATGTCGAAGTACTGGCCCGCGAGGAAGTCCTGCTGATCCGGAGGAATCACGCATCCCAGCGTGGGACAGGTGCCAAAGCGCTGGTACGTCTGGGCCTGTGTGACGGCAGCGAGGAACGTCGAAGCAAGAGCTACGCCCAATGGCGAGCTGGAGAAATACATCTTTTCCGAGATAAAGAGCAGAGAGAGCCTCGCTGGGAAGAGACACAAAGAACCTTGATGGTTACACCCTGGCGACCGGAATATTTATATGAAGAAGAGACGGCGCACCCCGACCTACTTTTTTTCCCTCGTCCACCACTCTGCCCACCTCGCTAGCTGTCGTGCAACCGTATCGTACCTGCAGAACAGCACCAACACACGGCGCAATGGCTCAGAACACCCAAGAGGCAATGCCTCCCAAGCCGCCGACATCAACGCAAGCCTTCCATCGGTTGGGACACTGCTTGGCCGCATATCCTCGTGCAGTGCTTCGCGTCGAGAATTGGCCGCGGTGAGGGGGGCCTCTCGCTACGCCGCTTTCCCTCCTGCCTTTCTGCGATGGCCAAGGACGGTAGAAAGGTCTTGGGAGTCTTGGGGGAGATGCGGGCCAAGAAGGGCGAAATATAAAGAGGACCAGGAACGGCGCCGGGTCTGCAGATGGGCATTGCACGTGGGTGGGTGATAAGCTTTTGATTGGTTGGGAAAGAGGTGAATGTTCTGAAATGTACGCACTGGGGTAGCACGTGGGTTTCGAACGACACGTTGTTAGCACGCGGTGCTTGCTCCAACGACTCGGCTAGGCCATCGATATTGAGGCTGTGAACGCCCCAGCCAAGAAGGATATCGGAAGTGGGAATGTTGGAAGAAGAGTGGGTTGTGATGAAGTTTCTTGATCGTCATATATCGTAAGTCGTAGTGGACGGGAGAGTCCACCCAGCCAGCGCCTTCGCTTTCAACACACAGATCCCCAGCGCCTACGCCCATCTCCAAATGCTGCAGGGTATTGAGAAAAGATTATCTGCAAGCGTGAAAAAGAAGATGAATGTACATCCGTTCGATGGCCGACCTCATCAGAAGCCATCCAAGCCATCTGAGGGGACCATGTCGCGAAGGATCCATCGCCACCGGCCATCGTCAGGTCTTGCTCGGAGCTCTTCACCGTGAGGGACGAACCAAGCTCTGCATCTCTGCACCCAGTTCTCTTCCTCTTGCTTTTGAAGACTGATGAATCTTGGCCCCAAATCGAACTCCTCGTGGACTTCGCTCAAGCCTTGAGCACCACCTGCAGCCGGACTTGCAACGCCCATACTACCGGCACCTGCAAAGACTGCAGGGGCGTTCTCGTCTTTGAGGTCTTCGATACCAGCGAAAGCGTCCTCCTCATCGTCGGCGTCGGTGACGGAAGGTGACATCTGGCCAGACACATCCCTCCCACCTTTGACCTTCAACCACTTCATCTGCTGTGGGTCGTACACCATTCCGTTCTGAACTTGCACGTTGTGACCGTTTCCAGTCGAGATAGGTGCGATGAGAGCTGGTCTGGAAGGAGAGCCGCCATGCCGCCTGTCCATGTAAGAGGATTGGTTGTGATGTGAAGGCGTCGGCGTTTCGAGGGGAGGTATTTCGAATTGAGCAACGGTATTCTCGTTGCCTTCCCATCGAAATGTCTGCGGGTTGTAGACCATTCCTTTCTCGCCTATAGCATTACGGTTAGCGATGCACGGAGAGTAAGTCCACAATCTGACACTCACTTTTTGGGACATGAGTTCCACCAATGCCTGAGATCAGACCGGGCCTTCTACTCTTCTGCCTTTGCGCGCTGGGACTGGTGTATGGACTGCGAGCAGCTATTTGGGCCTTCCAATTCGTTGTCAGCGGTTGGAGAGGGCCTTCGCTACGTGGTCTGGGCTGATTCGCGAGTCTAGATTCTCTGGCAATTCTACTAGCAGCAGTGTCTCGCAGGTAGCTGGGTGTGGCATTGTGATTGTCGTATAGTCCCTTGGTGGGGCTCGAGGGCGTCTTTGGTGGAGCTGGGGTCATCATCCTTTCAGGTACTGCGGAATATGCCGAATTCCGCTTCGTGGGATCCCTGAAATCGCTCCGGCTCTGGGTCCTACGCAAGCCTTGCTTAGGCGGACCGCGTCCTACGGGCTGCTTAACAAATTTGCTCTCCTTCGTGGTTGATGTTGGCAGATCATCGAAAATTTCGAGTTCTGATCCATCGCCAAAGTTTCTCTTCCTCGCGGGCTTGGTCAACGTCCGCTTCGAAGCTGCTTCACGCGCCAATGCTGCTGGTGCAACATCTTGTCTTTGTCTGGGCGGGCGAGATGGTGTGTCTGGAGTGACCTGGTTGGCGAGCCGTGAACTTGGACGAGGAGGGGGAGATTGAGCTCCTTGCCTGTGAGGATCAGAGTCGCGTCTGAGGTGAAACGGCATCGCCCTATGAGCTGTGACATGCTGATTGTGATGAGTCGAGCCGGGTGGCAGAAAGGGTGCAGACGGCTTTGAGAAGGAGTTGACACTTGAATGATTGCGCAGTACTGGCATCGAACGCTTAGAACGAAGCAGTTGCGCACTCGTAGTGGTTGGCTGCCTTCGCTCTCGCATCGCCTGCGAGGCACCACTTTCCAGTACCGGCTCGAGTCGAGATGTTTGCTTCGATCCAGATACAGGACGTGGGATATGGGAGCGATTGAAGATGGGCTTGTCGGTAGGCTTGTCATGGAAATTGAGGGTCGTGGCTGGTCGTTGGGCTGCCGGTCCAGGCTTGGAAGATTTGACTTGCACATTCTTATTTGTACGCTTTCGAATGTCCAAGACTTCACCGCCACCAAGGTCGAAGTCGTTGAGGAAGTCGTCGTTGTCGTCCGAGATGAGTTTAGATTTCTTGTGAGTCTTCATGGTGGCTGGTTGCTCAATGGCAGGTGTCGTCGTGGTACTGGGCTGTGACAGATCGGAGAGCTCTGCGTCCGCAGCTCTTCTCTTCTTCAAGATGGCATCAAAGTCGAGTGGACCTTCTGGCAGCTCTAATCCTCCCATTTCATCGACCTCGCTCTCGGCGGTTGCAGACCCAAGACTCGGGCTCATGACAGACGCAGAAGAACTGCGATTTCGGGTCCCATCGCGTGTTGTTCCAGCAAATCGAATGCCCAGGCTGCCCTCGAGGTCGTCAAAGTCGTCCATCTCTTCACCAGACATGACTGCAGGTTCTTCCGCTCGAGGTTTCAGCTTAAGTGGCTGGTCGGACATTTCCAGGTCATTATCCCAATCAGTGTCAATCTTCTGCCGTGACTTCTTCTTCCCTAATCTCTTGATTGTGCCGCCCAGAAGGGCACTCGTCGGTACATTGGTGGGTAATGGTATACCAGCTTGCTTGGCCGATTTGATGGCCTGGTCGGTGCTGTGGTCGTCGTTGGGGTGTATGACCACGTTCCAGTCCTCATCGCCAGCAACAGATTCGGATCTGACGCTCATACGCGAGGACATGCTTGTAGGAGCTGTTCCAGTGCTGCCGCCGGCGAAGGCCTGGAAGTCGCCTTGAAAATCGCCATCGTCGTCCCACGACTCCACCTGACTTGCGGCCATGTTGCGTGATGGGACCTCCTCTTCAATGGCGAGCGGACGCGAACCTCCTGGAACGGGAGGGCAGCCCTCCGGTGGAATCGGTGGTCGATGGCATTCACTTGTGGGTGCTGTTGCTAGAGTATGCAGGAGGTAGGTACGGTCGAGGTCTGCAGGTGGTTGGAGTGACCGACACGCGCGCTAACAAGCGCGACCAATCCGAGCTTAGCGGCAGACCCTGAAATGAAGAACACGAGGCAGGCGAGCATCGTCAATCGACAACACAAACACTGCACTTTCGCTCTTTTTTGCAAACAGTGAAGACGCAGGGCAAAAAGGCGAGGCAAACGGCGCGCGGCAGGCCGGTGACGCGTCGATAACAACGTCGACCCTTCAATTTTCTCACCGGCGGGCCGCGCCATCTGATCCTGTTAGGCCACTGTCAGGCAGTATCGCCAGTTGCCTACGAAACCCTGGCCTGAGCAATACATGTAAATCGGCCGCGCGCCGCGAGCAAATCTCTTCACTTCGCTGACCTCAATCGCGCTTCTAATTCTGTTTCTCAACACAAAAACCATGGCAGCAACCCAGCACGTACTTCGGCTCAAGAGAACGGACGCCAAGTCGGAGCACTTGCTGGTCAATGTCACCCGCGACGGCTCGAACCTCCTCGATCTCAAGCTCATCGCTACGGATCAGGATCATATATACCATGGATCGGTAAAAGAATCAGGCGTCAAGTCACTGCAGGCTACGAACTTCACTGGCGATTTAGAACAGTGGAAAACGACTTTGTCCTTTGCCCTGCTTCGAAGCCCGCCGGACGGCCCGCGACCAGACTTCTTGCAAGGTGTGGAGACTGTTTCGTCGATCAGTGGGACCACAGCAACCATTACCTTGCGGAAAAACATCGACGGCATCACTCAGCGGCTTGGTACGGTCAAATTGAACCAAGACGACGAAAAGGAGGAGATCCACGTCTTCGACTGGGTCGACAATGCCGTGGCCAGCGCAGACGATCTGCGAGCACAGCTGGAAAGGCTGCAGGAGTCTGCTGCGTCTCAACAGGAGCAACTTTCCAAGCTGACCAAAGACTTGGATGATTTGGTCAAAGCGAAGAAGGAACATGAAGATGACATGTTGACCAAATTCGCCGCGTTGCTCAACAGCAAGAAGCTCAAAATCCGCGACCAGCAACGTCTGCTCAACGGGGCTCAGATTGATGCAAGCGCCGCAGAAGAAGTTGGCAAAGCCAGAAGGTCAGGTGGTGGCACTTGTCGACGGGCGGGTACGTCTCGAGCTGGAAAGCGCAAAGCAAACGGGTCCGTCGAGCCTGTCGAGGAACGTGATGATGAGAAAGATGACGGCGATATGAATGATGAGGACGATGCGCAGACTGTGGCTACGGAGGATGGGGATGAAGAAAACGAGCGGATACGACAGCAAACGCCTGAGACAGACGAGGCTACTGAAGACGAAGAAGTGGAGAGTAGCAGACCTGATCAGACCAACCATGCGGCGAACTCCTCCCAGAAGCAAGGCGGCAAACCTATCGAGACTATGGACGTCGATACTTCACTACCACAACGAAGTAAGGGTGGATTGCCTCAGCAGCAGCCAGCGGCAGCAAACACTGAAGACGATGACGACGAGACGGACGACGAACTGTAATAATCCTCGAACACTTCCTACGGAGGATAGATTCTCTAGCGCTTGGATATACAGGTGGCTGGCATGAAGGCACTTTCTTCACACTTTTCATTCGAGCTCAAGGGCATCAATGTAAGTCATTTCATAACTTCCAGATGTCAGCAGCATCAGTGAGGTCAATACCGACAAGCCGGAGGCCTGAGGTATGGTGGCCGGGATGGCATGCGATCGCGTTCGTGACACGAACCACAAACCTGATCGGGATCGGAACATCGCTTTCTTTGCTACTGACTGACCGCAGCCGACCTGTTCGTGGATAGATTCGTGGTGGATAGCGACATGATTCTGTTCTATTCATATGTCGGGAGCTCGCACCTCGCCGCAGACGGGCGCTAGGCAGGCCACATGCCCAGGCACAGGGGAGCACACTGCACATGATCGACGAATCCCGGATTCCGTCGAGGCGGCGGCAACGTGCAGCGCGAAGATAGGGTCGAGGGAGATAATCGCCTTTTCATGGATCGCATTGTCATGTTGGCTATCCGTGTCTGTAGAAGTGCAGCGAAGGATGATTACGGTTGAAAGGAATTGTTGACGGGCAACGTCCAACAACGATTGGACTCGGTGCTGGCTTTCGTCATTGCTGGCGCCGATTCAGCTGCTCCAGTTGCGGGCGGACTTCCATGTGTGCTGCTGTACCGCGACCTGATGTGATCCACTGCGACCGCCAGAGCACGCCCATTGCCGCACACAACAACAATAGCACATGCCTATTATTCACCCGTCTCACGTGCGCCACACTCGCCTTTCACCCGTCTGAGACAATAGACTTCCATTGTCACAGGCCCGCCGCTTCTCTCGCCCTCCTCCACCTTCAATGCGCATCTCAGCGCGACGACTCTTCCGATGAACAACCCCACCACTGCCACGATTTGAGACCATGCCGGATGCGCAACCTCTGGGGAAATGGACGCCCTCCAAAGAAGATCAAGACGACCTGGACGCCATCGACGCCGCCATTGCGCGCATGCGCAGGATCACAACCCAAGATCCCTACCGCCTCACCATACCGCAACATGAACAGCGCTACCGCCACTTCTCCGCGGCGCAGGCCGAACTATGGCTGACCAATGCTCCTTTCCAAAGAGGCGAGCACGAAACCACGCAGTACCTCACCTATCACTTTCACGAACCCGGCAAGGATACCTACGTCTTGGAGAGTAGCTGGCACGAGGAGGAACCAAAAGTGAACGGCAATGGATTGAAGCCAAGACCTGCGCCTGGCGCAACGACACCAAATGGTGCGCCGAAGAAGAAGCTCACCCTCGATGCGTACAGAAAGCAGAAGTCCGGGGCAGTTGGTACTCCAGAAAGAGATGCTGCGAAAGGAGGCGATGCACCGGCGAAGCAGCCCGCGGTCAAAGGACCAATCGAGCGGGTCAAAGTCGAGAATGAGGAGATCCTGGCGGCAGTCGAGTCTGAGGCGGAGGTGCCGGCGGAGAAGGATACTCAGTCGCAGAAGAACGAGCTTAAGCGGAAGAGACAAGATGAAACAGCGACCGAGCCTGAGAAGGGGAGTGATGCGATTGTTGAACCGCCCCCGAAGAAAACGAAGCCTTTACAGAAGGACGAACGCGCGAATGGCCTTACCAAGGGTTCGGCAGGGCAGGACACGCAAAAGACAGACAAGTCTTCAAAGGAAGACCAGTGCGAGGAGTCTGGCATGCCACCTCGATTATCTCCAGGAATGCCCCCAAAGCTCTCACCACCTTTGCCTACGAAGCTTTCACCTCTTCACAAAGCGCAAGACACGAAATCACCAAGTCGAGGCGGAGCGCAAGATTCACAGGATGCACCTGCTTTGCCGTCGCGGCTGTCGCCGACCCTTCCAGACAACATCGAGAAGACCTTGCAAGCACGAACCCATCCGTCAGCATCAAAGGCACCAGAGACATCTGCTCCGAACTCAACCTCGAAAGACAAGGACCACAGATTGACTCCGATCAAGAACGCAGCCGACGAAATCACGAAACGCAAATCTCCAGCTCCACGAAATGGATTCCGTGCCAACTCGAGCTCACCCGCAGTTCGGTCAGATGCAGAAGACAGGACACGGCCAAAAAATGCGATTATTCGGGCGAAGACACCAGAAAGGAAGCGAGAGAGTGAGGTCGAGAAGAATGAGGCAACGAAACCACTTGTATCAGCAAAAACTTCGTTGGTGGCGAGTCTCAAATACAAGAAGGCCCGGAAAGGAGACATCCTTAGAATACTCAAAATGCCGCCCAGACCCGACAAGAGCATGTCTCAACCTCCTGACACGCGGGCTTCAGAGGAAGCGAAGCCGGCTGCCAAGACTACAGAGCGTCGAAACGGAGAGCGAAAGGACACCGGTCCTGTGAAAGGGGTGGCGCAAAAGATTGGTCCTGTCAAGAAGGACAAGAAGCCTCAGCCACAGCCAGCAGAGAAGAAGAGAGAAGACGAGAAACCGGAGAAGCAGCCAGAGAAGCGCGAAGAGAAACACAAGAAAAAGCAGCCCGAAAAGCAACCTGAAAAGCAGCTCGAGAAGCCGCCCGACAAACAACCCGAAAAGCAGTCTGAAAAACGTTCGCTTCCGGACGACGAAAGAACCAGCTCTCCGACCAAGCGCAGAAAGGCAGAGTCTTCAGAGAATCGGAAGGAGCCATCGACGCCTGCGCAACGAGAGGTCGGCTCTCCTTTGACATTGAAGTCTGGCCTGCAAGCAACACCAAGTGCAAGGAAAGAGCTCCTTTCACATGCTATGCGACGAGAGCAATCGCAAGATAGCAGCAGTACCCACGCCACGCCTCCAGGGCAGGATAGCACGCCCAGCATTGTCGGCAGTCAACCGAATGGCATTCCGAAGGCACCTTCAAGCCAGCCGAGCAATAAGACTCCGAAGCAACAAGTGTGGGAGACAGAACAGAAACGCCTGGAGACTTTAGGTCGCGAGCTGAAGCACGCCGCCTCGGCCTATCTCAACGCCTCTCAATCCGACACTTCAAGCTCCTCCAACGACCAAAAGCTCGCCGCCGTCAAATCCATCGAATCGTTCCTCTGCTACCTGCTAGCATTCTCTTGTCTCGACGAAGTAAACCTCGCCGCCGACCCCAAGCAGTCTCCATCATATACCACCTGGCGCAGCCTACACGGCTTCTACGGCTTCGTCAAACGCAACACCGAGCCCTTTCCCTCCCTCTGCGGCCTCTCCTGCTCCCTCGGCGTCGTCTACACAGCCCGCATCCTCGAAATCGCTGCGCACTTCCCCAACGACGGACCCAGCCGCGCCAGCCTCCTCGAAACCCACGCGACGCTGCAAAAAGCCGCCAACGAAGCCGAGCGCAAACTGGACATCGATGCGTTGCAGGACGCCTTCCCGAAAAGCTGGAGTCAGCGCAGTAAGAAACTCCCCGCGAACGAGAAGCTGGACTCCACGAAATTGGGCGGCGGGTTCAAACTGCCTATCGGCCTGGCGACGACTCCTGTCCGCGCCGCGAGGGCGGGTCATGCTATGCTGCAGGAGTGGTTGGAGAGGGAGCGGATCGATTATACCCTGAAGCTGAAGCTTTGACACAACAGGGGTGGATGATGTCTTGTACGAATAACGTTGGCGTTTTCGATCGATAAATGTTTGGGCGTTTCTGGGAGAAGGGGACGACACGAGCCGCTGCGTTATACATATGGAGTTTGAGTGAGAGATACCTGCAGCTGGGCTCGGGGGCGGGGCTAAAGGAAAGGGATGGGATCGGACGGTCCTTTTTGAGAGTGTGGTTCTTGTGTTTTTTGCTGATACCCCAACCACCCAACCACGAGTATAGCGACAGTACCAACAAACGGAACGTTAGTTATTCCGGGGCCAATTGAGATGAATGATTTGTGATAATGAGTATAGATTAGAAGAAAGGGGTGATGTGGAAATATCATCACGCTCGAGATGTTTATGAGCTCTATGTGTATCTTTTCTGGTTTTGTGAGTGAGTGAGTGAGTCTCTAGCTATCTCTTCCATTCACGAACTTGCGATGAGAAGTGAATGCCGGCAGCCCC